TAATGAAACTTTGGAGAATTATATTTAAAATTATATAGAACATGTTAAGTATGTATGAAAATGGAAAATGAGCCTGAAAGTTGAGATTCTCATGAAATTATCTGGAAATGAAATGAAGGGCTTCTCAATGGAATTCATAACGAATGTGTTGCATCCAATCATAGTACTGCTCAAGGTATAGCCATTCAAAATGGACATGACTAACTTAGATGAATTAATTTCAGAGGGTCTACTGTAATTTAGTTGGATACAACCCATCTGTGCAAGGTTTCCTAATACACTGAGCAGACCTATTTGCTTTGACTTTTCCATGGAAAGCCCATGTTTTTGGTGCACTGAAAAGCCAGCACTGAAGACAAACACACTTACTTTATACATCCTAACTGCTCCACCGCCCATACCCAGTTCATGCTCTATATCAGTCAAGCTCCCAAGGGAAGCTGCAGAAGAGTGGTCCACCACAGGTTTCTCGCCAGTTTCGGGCAGAGAACTTTTGCTTTTTCGATCTCTCTCTAAAAAAGGAATATTTGGAATAAGAAGTCAGTGGCAAACATGAGTGCAACATATCAATCATGCAACCTGAGCTATAGGAGAGGGCTCACTTCAAGGGGGCCCAAGTACAGCAAAATAGAGCCTCCTTGTGCAGAAGCAGTATACCTCTGACGAGATACTGGGAAGTCAGGAGTGTGAGGGCAAGCTCCCATTGGCCCCAGCTGGCATGGCCAATATTTATTTACTAATTCATTCATTTATTTAGAAGGATTTTCATCCCACCTACCAACCAAAGTTCTTGAGGCAGCTTATATTTAAAACACAATACAAATAATAATGGCACAATGATTACTCACTCTCTTCTGGGCAATCTTCCAAGGGCCACATCCCAGCAGGGCCAGAAGCAAAAGTGGGCAGGACAACAAATGTATTCCGCCTCCCTTTTGTACACTAGGTTAGTTTCTAAATATACTCACACACCTCTCTCTATTCTCCGTCCAGACAAGCAAGAGTTCTTATCACAGTTCCACTCAGGCAAAAATATTAAAGATGTGAAGCAGAGCCAGTGAGTGGGGGTGGCCTGGGAAGAGTTTCAAGGACCATATGGAGGGATCTGGAGGGCCACATTTGGCCCTCAGGCCTGCCTGGGGCTCTCCACTCCCTGAATATTAAAATATCTCCCCTACTTCTCCAAGGCTGTAAGTACCACTCTGCAACTGAATCTCCCAAGAATTAATGGTTGAAGCAACCAGATGTTGGTCCTTATAAGCCAGGGCTTCTACACTTGACAGAAATTGCTATCTCTCAACTGGGTCTACGACAGATACAGGAGGTGCTGGATCAGCAAACGCGTTAAAAGCTTTTCTCCTAGCCTTCAGATTTCTAATAGTCTGGGATGATGGGAGCTGTAGTCCAGCAAGTTAAGCCCCTAAAAATATTTGTTGTTTAGTCATTTAGTCGTGACCGACTCCTCATGACCCCCTGGACCAGAGCACGCCAGGCACTCCTGTCTTCCACTGCCTCCCGCAGTTTGGTCAAACTCATGCTGGTAGCTTCGCGAACACTGTCCAACCATCTCGTCCTCTGTCTTCCCCTTCTCCTTGTGCCCTCCATCTTTCCCAACATCAGGGTCTTTTCCAGGGAGTCTTCTCTTCTCATGAGGTGGCCAAAGTATTGGAGCCTCAGCTTCAGGATCTGTCCTTCCAGTGAGCACTCAGGGCTGATTTCCTTAAGAATGGATAGGTTTGATCTTCTTGCAGCCCATAACCAGAGACTGTTATCCTATATTCACTTACCTGGATACATACCGTGTTCCAGAGTGCTACATACCTTCTGATCCCACAATTCATTTTTAAAAACAAAGAAACTGTGATCCTAAAACACGTCTAATTTAACTCTAACTCTTTCTGTAGTTGAGTCTCCAGCTTTTAGTGAGGCTTTTTCTGAATTGTTTCCTTTACGTACTTGATTCTACCATTGAACTGCTGGACGCTGCAGCCATCTTCTCTGAACGATTATCTTCCTCGTCTTCTTCATAGGGAACATCTGTTCAGAAAGAAACAAAGAGAAGCATCACACAGAAGTTACAAAAAACCGAAGCTGGGTTCGTGAGCCCAGTCCAGAGTTTTGCATGGACTCTGAATGCACACAGGAAACTCCTCTGTCCACTGGCAGCCAAGTAAGAAGAGACTCCATAAAGGAATCCTCTCCTTTGAAGTTAGCAGGTTCAGAAAGAAAAACTATTCAGAGTGCACAATTTGAGCCAGGGCTTGAAGCTTGTTTGTGAAGTCAAACTGAAGTCAAACTGAGCCCTGGAATATATAAAATAATGGTTACATTGTATTATATTGTTACAATTGAACAGCTTTTCTTCAGTTGTGATTTCTGACATCCCGAAACAAAGATGCTGCGGCTGACTACCTGGGAGAAACTAAAGAAACTTTGGACCTGAAAGTTATGATGAGGGAAGGACTGAAGACCGTGTTGTTTATTTATTAAATCCACACTCAGTCCTTCCTCACAAAGGCGTCCAGGGCAGCAAACAACAAGCGATAAAACAATAAAAACATTTTTAGAACAATTCCAGTACAGATACAGACTGGGGAAAATCACAGTAAAGTGGTGGGAAAGCACTCTGAGACATGCAGGAGGGGTTTTTTTAATATATATCATAACTCTTTTACATAGTCAAGGCAGAAGATACTGATGTCGGAGGAAGGATGCAAGGATGTTGCTGCTCAGCAACTGGATCAGGGCACTCTGTATATGCTCAGAGACACTCTATCATTTCTCTGCCTCTAACAGGCAGGCGTTTGTGGCAAATGAAAGGCGATGGCACACAAGGCTATGGTCATTCTGTGCGGAGAGTTAAGGCACTCAGCAAATGCTCAAAGGAACTCTTAGAGCACACACTTTCTGTAGGAAAAGTGCAGTCCCGAGACCCCCTATCTAAAACCCTGGATAACTACTGCCACTGCCAGTTAGTGCAGGCAACACTAGGCTGGACTGCTCAATTATCTGACTTGATAGGAGGCAGCTTCTCCTATGTTCCTATGAGGGAGGAGCGGTGAGAGGATTCCAGGGACAGCCAATGGGGCACCCCTCCAGATAGATATATAACTTCCTTGCTGTTTAATTGGTTTTTTTAATTGTTGGATTCCCCCCCCCGCCCCCCGTTTGCAGCGCAGCAGTTCCCTTTTATCCATAAGTCGCCTTGAGTCCCTTCAGAGGCAAAGAAGAAGAAGGGCAGTTGTGGACTACAAATCCCATCAGCTCCAGGGCTGTTGCAGCCTCAAATATCTGGAGGGCGGGGAGCACGTGGGCTTTCCCTGGGAAGGGGGCGAGGCCCTCTGCACGCGCTCAGAGGCCCCCTGCCCACCGATCTCGACGTCGACCTCGTCGAGGCGGATCTCCTGGCGGAAGAAGAGGGCGGCGGGCTCGCCCTCCTCGGCGCTGGCGCCCAGGTTGAGGAAGCGCAGGAGGACCTCGGCCTCGTCGCCGTCATTGCGGTTGAGCAGCTCCTCGAAGGGCGCCCCGTCCTTCACGCCCAGCGCGCTCTGCAGCCGGTCGCCCACCCACTGCACCCGCACGTCGTCCATGCCTCGCCTCGCCTCGGCCGGGTTTCGGCTAGCAGGCCGACCGACGCGCCTCCGTCGCCATGGCAACGGCGCTAGGCCGCAGGGCGGGCGCGCGCGCGGCACCAAGAGCCGGAGGAAACACGGCGCGCGCGCGCGCGCGGGGCGGGGAGTTCAATGTCCATAGAAAAATGTGCGGAATTCAAGAAAGAACATTTATGAAAAATAAATTTATTACGGACTGTGTGTGTGTGTGTGTAAAACTCATCGTGCAGAAAAAGGGGTCTGGGTTAAAGGCGGATCTACATGGATCCTCCACTTTTAAAAAAAGTGCAAACCTAAATTCTGTAAGGGTAGAAATCAAATCTTCCAAGCTAGCCTTAGCCTTAGCAAACGCCAACAACATCAAGCCTTTATCATTAACCATCATTTCAATGTGCTATTTGGAACAAGTAAATTTGGGAGGGTTTCAGGACTTTTTCTGTGCGCTTCAGACATGTGGTTTGTGTTCGTGTGTGTGCTTAGTACATTTATGAACATTTATTTTATATATATGTACGACCTTAAAATTATTAAAACAATAGTAATATTTGATATTATAATATTAATGATATAATAAGATAATGATAATAATTATTATTTTATTTATACCCCACCCATCTGACTAAGGCTGTCGGAGCCACTCTGAGCGACTTCCAACATACATCAAAACATAAGAAAACATTGCGCACTTCCCTATACAGGGCTGCCTTCAGCTGCCTTCTAAAGGTTGCATAGTTACTTGATCTTCTTGGCTCCAGGATCACACGACGTTTCTCTCAGGGACTTTCCGGGATCAAATCAGAAACCAGAATGGCTTCTGTAAATCCAGGACTGTCCCTGGAAAGTAGAGACAAAAAGCATGAGGATTAATGGGAATCCGTGCTTCAGAACCCTGGTTTTGGGCCATGGAGTTTCCAGGAAGCCGTGGATACGTGATTTTTGTGGTGCAGGTTGTGCCCCTGGCTATGATGTGTGATTTGACGGTGAGTTAGGGTTGGCCCAATGCAAAAAGTGTGAGGATCCATGAGGATCTGTGCTTCAAAATAACGTTTTTGGGCCATGATATGGCCAGGAAGCCGTGGATCCAAGTTTTTTGTGGTACAGGCTGTGCCCCTGGCTATGATGTGTGATTTGACAGTGAGTTAGGGTTGGCCCAATGCAAGAAGTGTGAGGATCCATGAGGATCCGTGCTTCAGAACGTTTTTGGGCCACGGTCTTGCCAGGAAGCCGTGGATCCATGATTTTTGTGGTGCATGCTGTGCCCATGGCCATGCTGTTTGATCTGATGGTGACTTCGGGCTGATCTAGTGCAAAAATCATGAGGATCCATGTTTTTTAACCATGTTTTTGCCCCATTGGGGTACCATGAAACAGTGGATGCGTGATTTTTTTGGTTCTGCCTATAGACAAATACGTGGTGTAGAGTATCAGGGTGTTTTTATTTTGTTTCAATATAAAAATCATATGAATTCATGAGGATCCATGTTTTTGTGGTGCTGCTGTGTTGGATCCACGTTTTTTATAGTCCAGTCTGTAGGCGTGCCTTCCAGATGTGTTTTGACACTGGATTTGTTGGGAGTTATTTTTTAAAAAGTGGAGGATCCATGAGGATCCATTGTAGATCCGCCTTTAACCCAGACCCCTTTTTCTGCACAGTGTGGTGTGCAGTGTGGTGAGCCAGTGTGGTGTAGTGGTTAAGAGCGGTAGTCTCCTAATCTGGTGAACTGGGTTCGATTCCCCGCTCCTCCCCATGCAGCTGCTGGGTGACCTTGGGCCAGTCACACTTCTCTGAAGTCTCTCAGCCCCACTCACCTCGCAGAGTGTTTGTTGTGGGGGAGGAAGGGAAAGGAGAATGTTAGCCGCTTTGAGACTCCTTAAAGGGAGTGAAAGGCGGAATATCAAATCCAAAAATCCAAACTCAATAAGTTTTACACACACACACACGCATTGAAGACACCATCCACCTCTACTCACAACCAGAGTAGCCCATTCTTTTTCTTCCATTTCTTCAGTAGATTATCATGGGTGACAAGGGAGAATTTAACCATTAAGGTGTTACACCAGAATGGTTCCAGACTACATTAATCTAAGGATGTGATATTTTTTACTGGGCAGTCTCTTGTATCCATTGTAATGATTATATTTCCTGAACAGTACAACCCACTCTCATCCTGCCACCATCCCTACAATAATAGTTCTCCTCCCAACTCTGGTATTCGCCCATTCTCATCCAATCATTTTCTCTAGGGACTCATATCCTCATTTCCCCCACAGCTTGGTTCCCCAGAGGTTTAAATCATCACCATCATAATTCATTGCGAGCTACAATTTAACAGGCACAATGTTTGTTCTCAAAATGAGTGATTAGCTTTTATTTACGATGAATATGAAAGAAGGCTAGATTTATTCTGCTGGCAATTATAAAACTCGGTAAGGTGAAATACCTCCATTTTCATTTTGAAATTAAAAAAAACTTTTAAAAGGTAGCTGTCTTCACCGAGTATAAACAAGTTTAATTCAAATTCACTGCTGTGTCAAAAACAAAATTAAACTAGAACCTGATTTTGCAAGTATTAAGTTCCAGCAATGGAATGATGTGCATAAATGGAGTGTGTAATTGTTTTCTAAGAACTTGTTCTAAGTCAGGTAGTTTGCCATTCAACACTGAACAAAAGGTATGGGGATATCCAGACAGCAATACTGAAGAAACTTACATAAGCATATACTTAATTTCAAGGAATCTTTTTTTCATTTAAGCAAATGAAGTTTAAGTTCCACCAGGAGTTAAATTAGAATATTTAATACCTTGCAAAATAATTTCAGGTAGCAATATTGGAAGAGAATCACTGTGAGCCCCTATAACTTGCTCCTTGGTCAACTTAACAGGCATTTCCTTAAAAAATTCAAGGCCACAGGCTTCCAAGTTTTTTAGTGAATCCAAAAGCTGGCATGGCTTTCAAATCCTTCCTCTTATATTCAAAATGTAGGATGTGCAATGGCAAAAAAATAGCATAGCTCTTGCTGAAACCAGAGGCAAAAAGCTTTTAAACAATATCTTAGCCCATGTATTAGACTGCATAACAAAGTCTTAATAGTTTCCTGTAAATACTGAAAGGTAAGCAACTTCGTTCTCAGCTGCTGCCTGATTTTCTGAGCTATGAGTAATCATGAAGGTGCAGTAGTACTAACAGGAATGACAAGGCATTTTTCAGTACTGAACTCAGGTTCAATGGGGCTTACTTCCAGTTAAGGGCATATCGGATGCACTGTAAGGGTTTACAGAAGAAAACAAACTGCTCTTAAAAATACCTGCAGCATTTTTAAAAGCAGCAATGAGATATTTAGAATCAGTTTTAAAATCAATTTATATGTGCTCATGACTGGAAAACACAGACATTTTTGTGACTATTTACCAGAAATCCACGTTAGCAAAATCCAAATGTGAGGTTATATATTACAAAATTATTTGGCTGCATTGTAAGGCAATCAGTGTTTTTCTTTTCTACAATGAACTGTACAAGAATGACAAATAGGTACATGATTATTTTCAAACAACTCTAGAGACGTACCGACTACAGCAGCCAAACTATGCAATGTATCTATTACAATGTAAAGAAATGTCTTGAAAGGAGAAAGGTGTGAACTTGTATCCTTCGCCTGCGTAGAACTTGTTCTGAAATTCTACCCTGTAAAAAGAAAAGCACTACATTAAGATAAAGGCAATCACACAGACCCCGTTCAAAACTGCTAGGCAAACATGCTCTGAATCGTATCCACAATGAATAATTACTTTCAAGTGGAACATACTTAATGTCAATAAAGGATTCATTTACTTTAAAAATAAAAATAAAAATTAAGCTTTACATTTTTTAATTAAAAAATCCAAAATGTTTTGCTAGCAAGACACACACACACACACACACACACACACACACACACGTATATATTAAAAGGAACACACATACCAGTGAAGTCGTACCGCATGTAGAAAGGCAGAAAGACCTTCCATGACTAAAAGAATGAATATAGTTAGAACCATAAATAAGGCTGAAACTGGTATCAGAAGGATGATCCCATAAGTCGCATCCACGCGAAGGCCCACTCTCATGATCATTGCCCAGAGGACTTCCGATAATTCTAAAAATAAAAACACAATAAACTGTCCCAAATCCTGCTTTTTAATACTTTACCACATGACATGCCTAAAGGACAAGTAATTTTGCCAGGGACACATTTCTCATTATTAAAAGCAGTTGAAGATGTAATACCTTAATCATGCCCTGTTCAGACAAAACAGGAAACTATGGCTTTGGACTATGTGGATGAGTTGTGGAAAACTCTTAGCTTGCATGATCTGTTGTCCCCACTTCATACTGGCGAGACTGGAAGATTTGCTTCCGCTTTTAAGTTAAGTGTATTTCCTATGGTGTCTAAATTTAGGGAAATGCAGTTTGCTTCTTCACCTTCAACCCAATACTGCCCATACCAACAATGTATCATGCTGAATGTAATTGAACCGTATGATTTGAACTCTAGCATTTGAACACAGATACTGAATATACTTTTGATACTCATGAAAAATATTTTAATAAAAACTTATGTAAAAAAAAGCTGAGGTCAAACCATGGTTTCAGATTCTGACCTCTTTACTAACCACAGCTTCAATATACCACAGTTCTCCAAGTTCATACATTATAGGGAACAATGATTATAGTTTAAAGCTGAAAATGGATGCTTCCAATCTCCTTGCAGAATGGAAAGAGGAGAAGGGATAGTTGAATTCATGCAATCCATTCACATAGTAGGAAACCAATTTTTATTATGTCTGAACAATGAATATGCACATTAGAATTAAATACGTTTTATATTTGTTTTAAAATCAAAAGCGGGGGGGGGGGGGAGAGACTCCTAAAGAACCAAGGTGGGAACAAGAAAATAAGAGCGTTTGAGACTGCTTGCAGGATACTTACGCGCATGGGCCAAACTGAGAGCCCAGAGCCTGAGGTATGAAGCAGAGTTGGAGATGCATCCTAGACAGTATTCAATGGTATGGATAGCTTGATCCATGAATACATCTGTAAAGTTAAACTAAAGCAAAATAATATGTAAACATACAGATGTACTTTAGAATTCCCGGGACACATCAAATTCATTTCAGTAGGTGGTCTCCAGTGCTAGTCATATTCAGAGTAGACCCACTGAGATCGACAGGCCTACAGAGCATGACTTTGTTGGGTATCAGGAAGGACCAAGCAGAAGGTCCCAGGTTTAATCGCCAGCATCTCCAAATAGGGCTGGGAGAAAATCCTGCCTACAATCCTGGAGAGCTGTTGCCAGCCAGTGTAGACAGTAATGTGCGTTGCCACGTCTCAGTCAGCCTGTCTGAACTTGCTCTATGGTGTTTTTAACTGGTATTCCTTGGGCAGTTTTTACCCTTAATGTAAACGTAAAGGGACCCCTGACCATTAGGTCCAGTCATGGGCGACTCTGGGGTTACAGCGCTCATCTCACTTTATTGGCCAAGGGAGCCGGCGTACAGCTTCCGGGTTATGTGGCCAGCATGACTAAGGCACTTCTGGTGAACCAGAGCAGTGCACAGAAACACCGTTTACCTTCCTGCCAGAGTGGTACCTATTTATCTACTTGACTTTGAAGTGCTTTTGAACTGCTAGGTGGGCAGGAGTAGGGCCCGAGCAACGGGAGCTCACCCTGTTGCGGGCATTCGAACCGCCGACCTTCTGATCGGCAAATCCTAGGCTCTGTGGTTTAACCCACAGCGCCACCCACGTCCCTTGTTTTTACCCTCACTGCCCCAAAAAAGCACAGAGAAGCATTAGGTTTTATCTTAGGCACATACTCCATGCATGGGACCGTAGAGGCTTCACAGCATGCTGTGTCAATCATGCAACACTATCCTGAATCCTCTGCAATACGCAGTAGTTCTAGAGTAGTCAACTCAGCATGAAAAGGCTCTCTGGAGGCAGAACATTTGAAAAAACTATTGCTAGAAGTTTTCTAGGGGATATTTAGAAAGCACCCTCAATAAGCCCAGCACAACACAGTATCAAATTACAAGATGACAGGTCCCTTCCCCAAGGAGCTTACAATCTAAAATTTAACACAGGGAGAGGAAGGGATTTATGGGCAAGGGTAAATGCAGGGGGATATGCATTAATTTAAATGCCAGGGTGCAGGACACCCTAAAAAGGGCGTTTTGAGGAGGGGTTTGAAATAAGAGCCAGCATCCTGTAGGTGGCCTGTGCACATTTTGCAGTCTTCCAGATTGCTGATAAATGCATACAAGTCACAAAGGGGGGTAGTCCTTCCGAAAGAAATAAGGGACCCCTGACCATTAGGTCCAGTCGCGGCCGACTCTGGGGTTGCAGCACTCATCTCGTTTTACTGGCCGAGGGAGCCGGCGTACAGCTTCCAGGTCATGTGGCCAGCAGGACTAATCCGCTTCTGGCGAACCAGAGCAGCGCACGGAAACGCCGTTTACCTTCCCGCCGGAGCAGTACCTATTTATATACTTGCACTTTGATGTGCTTTCGAACTGCTAGGTTGGCAGGAGCAGGGACCGAGCAACGGGAGCTCACCCCGTAGCGGGGATTTGAACCGCCGACCTTCTGATCAGCAAGTCCTAGGCTCTGTGGTTTAACCCACAGCGCCACCCGCGTCCCTCCGAAAGAAATATAACACCACAAACTGAAGGGGAAGGCGAACACGCCCTGTGCTGCACTGAGAGGATTCCTTTTACATAGCTCCAAACTACAGGCAGTGTCTGCGAAACACACACATCTACCTCTTCTTTCTCCTCATCTTTGTGCCTGTGGTCCAAAGAGCTGCTTCCTTCTTCAATATCATGAGTTCTCAGCAGAGCAATTTCTTCTTCACTTTCTTTTCGTACTAACCGGTAGCCTTTCTGGAGAATTTAAAATAAAAAATTGAATTGTATCACTCACCCCACCTCAACGGCCCAAGCTGGATTACAGCAACCATGCAAGCCATCTCCACCAGCCCCACAAAAACCCAAGTGCTAAAGATTTCGTTCTCAAGAAAGGTGACCAACTTTTTAAAATGAAATGAAGCCTTCTGTATTTCTATCTCAGTGCTACCCAAATTTTTGAGAGCTGAAACACACTCTACCCACAACCCTCTACTGAATTAAGGTTGCTTTTATAGTGTGTGAAGAGGAAGAATTAGCTGCACTTTAGGGAACCCTCCCAGTGGCACAACTTAGCAAGACCTCAAGGGCCAAAAACAGCCTCACAGCAGAATGACTGTTCACAAGATCAACAACCGGTAAGGGTCATGTCAATACCTGGGCCAGCTTGGCAATCCTTGCTTTTTTAATAAAATAATAATAATAATAATAATACAGGTGTCTCCCCACTTTCATGCGTTTAACACATGCGTGACCGCACCTGCACAGTGCCAGGAAATAAATAAAATCAATTTAAACAGCAAAAAGCCACAAAAAAGGCAAAAATGGCCCAAAAACAGTGGGGAAATGGCCAAAATGGTGCAAAAAGAGCAAGAAAATGGTTAGCAATCCTATGACCCTTTGCACTGATATTTCAGGCTGTGGAGAGTTGGAGTTTGAGAAAGGAGATTTGGAGAGGACTATTGTGGTGAAGTTGGGTGGGTTTTTAGAGTAGTTTGGCTTTTAGACGGTGATCCCCACTATACATGATATCACATATGAGTGCGATACCCGGGAACGCAACCTCTGCCTGTAGTCATAGGCTGGTCAATTGGGCTACACTGTTACAGAACTTCATTTTATTACTTTTGGCTTGGAAACATATATATATGTCCTTTTCTGTAACAAAATGGTTTTATTCTTATCCTTTTTTCCTTGCCCCTTAACCAAAAAGAACATGTGTTTACAGAGCCATCAAACTAATTCAGAGAACATACATTTAATTGGAAGAAGGATTTTGCCAATCTTATAACACACATGCTACCATAGGCAGTTATTTCCAATACATACTCTGTATGCCCCAATGCTTTGGCCTCCATTGCTCAACCAGTATAAATAAAGTGGTTTTCCAAAAAGCAGCACTGGAACTGAAAGTACAGCAACAGACAGGAGAAATTTCTGTAGAACCATCTGTTTTGAAAGAGAGGAGGCAAAAAAGACAAAGTTGTTTTATATGGAGGCTGATTCCCTCCTCCCTACACAAAACCACTAAAACTCTCCTAATGGCAACTGCCGTGCCTCAGAATGCGACAGGTCCCCCAGTGCCCAGAAGGGTGGCGAATCTGTGGACATCTCCAGGAATCACTAAACTACAACTCCCACAATCCCTGAATGCTGGGAATAGAGCTAATGGGACTTGGTTCCAACAACACCTAGAGGACCACAGGTTCCCCACCTTTGGCATATACATTCCTGAAAGGATTCAGATGGGCATCAATTCTTTGCAGGAAAAGGATTTGCATGACAACTGACTTAAATGCCAGTTTGGAATTGGGGTTTCTTTTCATACTTTATCAATTTTAATACCATAAAAAAGTAAGGCCACAACATTTATTTATAGTTCAAAAGAACCCTTCTGATCCCCTGCCAAGGTGACCATATTAATCAGGCAGATTTTTTTTAATAAAAGAGTTAACGTTGTGTTAAAATTGCAGCTGGCAAATACCATCCTAGAAAAGGGAGGGGACGAAATGACTTTCCTAATATGATGCCTCCTGCAACACATGTAAAAATTTATCAGTTAACTGAAAACTGAGATTATGCATTGATGATTCAGTTCTATGCATGCTTATTCAGAATTCACTGTGTTCCATGTGGTTTACTTCTCAATACGTGTATTTAGGACTGCATTTGAAGATTTTTTAAAAACTGGGTTACAAGCCCTAAAATGAACACTTTTGTATGGCTGTCTGTTCAATTCCATATATTTCTCCAACTGCCTCTCTTCCTTTCAAAGCATCCACTTGCATCTCCATACACACAACAAAGACAAAAACCAAATCAGTGCAGAAAGAACAGCAAAGAGAAAAATGTGGGGAAACCACATATTAATATTGCCTTGTTTATACTTTGCATACATCACTACAATATTTCCACATTTATGCTTTTTCTTCCATGCCACAACTTTCATATGCCACTTCATCCCAGGCCACTGCGCCCACAAAATAACTTCTGATTTAGTCTTATCTTTTCATTTATGCAATACTGAAAATACTGAAAAGAAGTGTTGCTCTTATCAGAACATTTTATTCCTTTCTCTAGAATCAAAAAGATGCCTCCTAATTCCAACATGCACACTGCCCAGGCTTGCACCGCAGGGAGGTCACTTTGGTGTTGCTAACGCAGTGGTTTGACTTCCATCGTCTCCTGAGACAGATGGATGCCAACAATACCAGCACAGGAAAAGACTATCTTCCATACATGCCTAGAACCAAGTACAGTGGTACCTCTGGATACACACACTTCAGGATGCGAATGCGGCAAACCCAGAAGTATTTTTCCAGCTTTCGCCCCGTGCGCATGCACAGAAGCGCTCTTCCACGCCACACGCATGCGCAGAAGCGGCACCTCTGGTTGGGAATTCCTCAGGATCTGATCGGAGCTCCGGAACAGATCCTGTGCGCAACCAGAGGTACCACTGTAATACTTTAACCTAACTCTTCCCAAAATTCAGTAACTACTGCACATTCACAGTACATATACCCCAAAGTGGCTCCACTCCCCACACCTTCAGCCACATTAGAAAAGATACATTTAAGCAACCTAAATTAGGTACTGTTAAAGACCTGTTCATTTCAACTAAGGAAATTTAAGTACATGCCTAACTATTCCTTTGAAATCAATGCAGCAGAAGAGTTGTGTGTTTTGCTTTCTCTTTAGGAAACCCTGAACTGCAAGACCGGAGACAGGCAAAGATAAGGAATTCTGTGACTATCTTTCAGATTATAAGGCTTACCAACCTGTCCTTCGAAAAAGATGTGTGGTTCTCTCTTATTAGGAAATAGGAACATGTTAATGAACAAAATCAAAATGCTGGGAGCCGTCTCAGAGTTCTTCGCGCTAAAAGCCAACCATTTATAGATGATCATAAAAACCAGGTATCCAAAGATGGAAAGAATGAACAGAAGTTGAGGAATGAACACCAAATAAATATTGTACTTCTTCCTGAAATGCCTGGTGGAATAAGAAAAAAGGTGGATTTCGTTTCATTTTTTGTATTCAAAGTGGAAATCAGCTTTACAGAGAAAGCTTATACATACATAAATATACTGTCTATGCCAAGAAAAAAGAAGCAACCTCCAGATGTTAGACCACAATTCCCATCATCCCTGACCACTGGGCCATGATATGGGAAGTTGGAACTCAACAACAGGAGTACAGTTACCCCATCTCTGATCTGAAAAATGAATGCCAAGACATTTACTGCCCAGCAACTCTCTTCTGCAATGTTGGATAAGCTGCTACTTACAGACCTAGGAGAAAACTGTTCTTTGCCATTTGTAGCCACAGGATAGATGTCTTGGAAAGAAAGGTGTTAGGAGCAGGGAAGCGAGCAGAGTAGGTCATGCTCCTCCTGTGGACCCCCCCCCCCCGTTAGATGTCAAGGAAATAAACAACCATCTGACTTTTAAAAGACATCTGAAGGCAGCCCTGTATAGGGAAGTTTTTAATGTTTGATGTTTTACTGTGTTTGATGTTTTAATTTGCTGGAAGCTGCCCAAAGTGGTTTGGGCAACCCAGTCAGATGGACAGAATAATAATAATAATAATAATAATGTTAAAAAATAGAGTAAGGTCATGTATAAGGTTCCCTACTAGCTAGGGAGCTTTAGGGAGCCTTAAACAGTAGGCTAGATCTTGAATAATAGCTGCGCTTGTTCATCAACTTGATTTTTAAAAATAGGTTATACATAAAAGTTATTCCAAGAAATTCCCACCTCGAATAAAAAGGCATACCAAATTGTTGCAAACAACTGAAGCACACACAAAAAACTATCAACAAACAACAGCGCTAAGGAACTGGTGTATTGAAAACACAGAATTATTTATTATAATGAAATAATTATCCTATATACAAACACTAAACATTTACTAGGCCAAATCCTATACTTGACTGTATATTTCAATATATGCCCAAAGTGTTTCAACACAAAGGTTTTCAGTGGAGACCTTATTTAACAAAGAACCCAAGCACAATAAATCTATAAAAAATAAAAATATTAATAGCCCAGAAAAAACCCACTGTACATAAAACACAACAAGCTGATACTCACCAATAAGCTTTGATCCTTACATATAAAATTTCAGAGGAGAGCAAAGCAATTCACCTCAAACCTCCACTGTACACAACTGTCCTGGATAAACTGATAGTTTTCAACAACCACCAATTAAAACCACATAAATATATACCTTCAAAAATCCCAAACCTCAAAATTAATCTTCTCAAGACTTATCAATTCATTACAACCCTCAGTACAAACATTCCCAAGCCTCATGTAACTAAGAAGGAAAACAACAGAGGAGTGATATAAACTTGCTAACAGCTAAAGGAGAAATAGTTTTGACACACCTAGCACCCAGCAAAGGCTTTGAATCTGGAGCAGCAAGATAAATCTGGAGGGAGAATGTAGGTTATAGTAATTGTCATGGAAAAGTTTGCACTAATAGTCATTGATAATTTGGTAAGCCTCAGCTTGTTGCTTTATGTAGAGCTGTTTTCATTTTATCATAAGAACAGGAATTTTAAAAATACATTTATGCCTTTGTTCTGCTTTTGGTTGCTGCAATTCTCCTGTGAAGACACACACTTACAAGTGGTTAAGTCCTCCTAAGATGACCCCAAACGTCATGTGGGTCACTCCAATAATTATAGACATTTTCATTTTGAAGGAATTCAAGAAACTGAGACGATTGTTCGCCAGGTTCCAAATCTGGTAAGAGAGAGAGGAGGCAGATAGAATCAGACTTAACCGAGGAAGAGGAATGAGATATTGGCTCAGATTCTAACTACAAGCAATGATTCATAGAGCACAGTATGGAGTCCTTCTCCAGCATTCCTGTATGCAAGGTAAGCAAGAAACCCCATGTAGCTCTTTTACAAACACACTTTAGTTCTCTTGCAAGTTAGAAAACATGGGACACCCAGGATAATATCCTTGAAATGGAAAACCATGCTACAGTGGAGACAGCAAGGTGGGACCATGCTGAGAATTCTTTGAGGGAGAGGTTCCAAGGGGGCAAACTGAAATGAGAAAAAGGCGTTACTAAGTGGCTCTCCTGACAAGGGTGGGAGGTGACCAGGTATAGGGAACATGAACATGGGCGGGGGGGGGGGGAAGGTTCACAAAAATAGCACATAGTGCCTTTAATCAGCTACCTTCTGTGGGACAAAGCTGGTAGGAACGCAGGGCGCTGCCTTATCCCAGAAACAGGCCCTTGGTCCAGCTAGTATTGCCTATGCCAAGGTTGAGTAGCCTGTGGCCGTCTAGGTGTTGTTGGGCTCCAACTCACATCAGCCGCAAACAGAACGGTCAATGGAAAAAGATTATGGGAGGTAGAGTCCAGCAAGAGCTGGAAGGGCCACATTTTCTCCATTTCTGATCTACTGACAGCAGCTCTCCAGGGTTTCAGGCATAACTTTCTTCCCAGACCCACCCAGAAATGTCAGGGACTGAACCCTCCACCTTTTGCATGTACACTTCCTTAAGAAGTAAGGAAGAGTTGCCAACCCTATAGGACTATCCTAGCAAACAGAAATATTTATAAAAATTAAAGCTGTAAATCTGTTGACCTATGATTCAGAACCATAAAACTGCCATTTTTTCTTTATAGGGTTGTCGTTGCCACACAGTGGAAGCTCCAGGGAAGAACACTAACCGGATCTATGCCAAAAGGATAAGGTCCTATGAACACTCCAGTCGCGTTTGGATTTAACATCAAATACTGATTCTTCATGTCCTCCTCACTGTTAGAAAAAAAAAAAGCACGCAGCAGAATTAAGCCTTGAACAAAGATATTTGTATCACCACAATAGGCTATTTGCTGTCAGAAGCTTCCGCAAGATCCTACAAGGATCTTGTGACATCTTGCAGGTAGGGCTGGGGAACCCTCCCATCGGAAATCCTGCCAGTCAGTCACTGTACACAATGGTTAGCTACATGGAACAATAGTCCAACTCAGTATTTACAGCCTTCCAGAGGCCTTGTGCAACCTTCCCAGGAATTAAAAAGAAAAAATCACCTGGAAGTCAATCGTGAGGGAGAAATACACACCTCACCTGGGAGAGCATTCCACAACCACGGGATGGCCACTGAAAAGGCCCTGTCACAGGTCAATACCAACAGAGCAGCCCCTGGTGGTGGCACCACCAACAACCATACAGGTAGCTAGTAAATATGTCCTTCAAGTGAAGGACATATCCCTCTCATTAAATGATTGAGAAAAGCTACCACAATATTTTAGAATGGCAGTTACTGGCTGTTGCTTTCCAGTAAGCCATTTATTATTCTGCACACCACAAAAGATACTTCATAATTGAACTGAAAGACTAAAAAAATTAATCATGAAAATGGCAGGAACTGGAGGCACATTTCATTTACCGTAGAACATGGGTAGGCAAACTAAGGCCCAGGGGCCGGACTGGCTCAATCGCCTTCTAAATCCGGCTTGCGGACAGTCCAGGAATCAGCATGTTTTTACATGAGTAGAATGTGTCCTTTTATTTAAAATGCACCTCTGGGTTATTTGTGGGGCCTGCCTGGTATTTTTACATGAGTAGAATGTGTTCTTTTATTTAAAATGCATCTCTGGGTTATTTGTGGGGCATAGGAATTCATTCTTTTTTTCCCTTCTTTTTTTCAAAATATAGACTGGCCCCCCACAAGGTTTGAGGGACAGTGGACTGGCCGCCTGCTGAAAAAGTTTACTGACCCCGGCTGTAGAATGAGTGAAAAGTATGCTGTGACAGGTTTAGGACACTGCACAAGTGGTGAGAGATACCTCTGAGCTTCCTATCTCAATTCAGTAGGTTGCTTTCACACCGCACTGGGTTTAACAAAGGAGTCACTCACCGCCACTCCACAGCAAACATTTGGGAAACGTTCCAGTAGGAGTCAAATATATTCAAAGACTTTGAAAAACAGTCATTGTAGATCAGGCCAGTGTATACAGAAAACAGTCCCATCAGCAAGATGATGTATCGTCCTTGAAAAAACATCTTCATGATCTGCAAATGTTAAAAAGGACAGGCCCACTGACTGCCATGTGAACTTCAAAGATAAGACCCTTTGTTACATGTGCAGCACACAAAAGCTTTGATGCACTTCCAAAGAATGTATTTGATGTGGTGCAGTGTCCAGATACGCCACAATTCACAATTCCCACAATGTGTGCTAGAAATTCAGCAGAAGCAGCCAATCTTAGTAAGGATGCAGTGTGCTTTGTGCATAAAAATATAAGAAACTGCTCTGCTGGATGCATTCAGCTTCCAAAAGTGGTCAGCCAGATGCCCCCAGGAAGATGACAAGCGAGGCATGAGGATTTGCTGAATTACATCTCTGCTATTTAGAATTTACCATCAGTTTATGCATGCCTTTGGGTAAGTGCAACACATGGCGCTTCCACACTAGAAAAAGTTGTCACCTTCCATACAACAATGGATGAATGATTTGCCCTCCCTTGCCCAAGTCAACAAGAGAAAAAAGGAGCTAATGATGCACTGCAGCTCCATCCACCCCAGGCAGCTTGGCTAATGATCAGGACGATCAGTTGTCCAAAAACAACTGGAGGGCTTTCTGCAATGTTTTTGGACTACACTCCCATCATTCCTGACCCAGTCCTGACCACTGGCCATGCTGCCGGGGCTGATGGGAGCTGCAGTGCATCAGGATCTGCGGGCCCTTCGCAAGATGCAATTCAAGTTCCAGCTTCCACCATCCCTGACTAGTGGCCAGGCTGCCAGAAATTGGAAGTTCAGCATGGTCTGCAGGGACGCAGGCTGCTCAATTCTGCCTTAAAGAATTCCCCCTTCTATGTGGCAGATACACAGGAAAAACTCCAGGGGGGGGGGAGAACTAAGGGGCCGTTTACAGAAACAGAAATATTGAAAACAATACTAGAGGAGGAGGAGGAGGAGGAGGAAGGGAAGAAGAAGAAGAAGAAGAAGAAGAAGAAGAAGAAGAAGAAGAAGAAGAAGAAGAAAAAGAGGAAGAAGAAGAAGAAGAAGAGGAAGAAGAAGAAGATTTCATCTGTACCTCGTCTTGTGATCGCAGAAGTTTGGGGTGTTTTTCATATAATACCATGAACAAAGCAAACAGGAACATTATGAAACCATGTCCACAATCTCCAAACATCACAGCAAATAAGAAGGGAAAGGTGATGATGGTGAAGAGAGCTGCAAAATGAGAGGGACAAAATTTCAGCTTTATAAGCAACTATACATAATGCATAGCATCCATAAGCTGCCTATGCTAGCTTACTCTAAGTCATTGTTTGAAAGTGCCAGAATTTGGCTCATTTTGGCCCTTGAAAGAAGGGAGGAAAAGCATAATCCAGCCACCGCTCTGCTCTTCCATGTTCCCCCCCAAACCCGGCCTTTCCATGAACATTTTTGACACACTCTCTTAGGCTATATGTCAAGCTTGTTGATTTCAGTGGGTCTGCTCTGACGTGCCAAATGCAATCTAGTTCTCCCCTATCCCAGTCTACTCTGCTCATCTGCTGCCCAGGGGGCATCTCCCCTCTGTCCACCTGGATGTGTAACCAGCTGAATTTACTTTGCGCTCTTATGCACTCTGCAGCACACGACAAACCATTGTTGCTAACAAGTGTTAAATAGCAGACACTTTTCCATGCCTTATAAAGATTTCTTAAGAAACTCCTGCAACCATTCCTAACAAAGGAGAAAAAATAAATCCTGCTTCTCAATAAGTATCTTTCAATCCATGACCCACCTGGATTAACTTCCCTGTAGCTCCCAATCCCATAAGCATCAACAATGTCCTGGAATCCAGAGGTGAATTTATTGGTACGTATCAAAGTTGGAGGCGTTTCTTTTGTTGGTATCGTGTTCATGAACGAAGGGACAGACGCTCCACTTTCACTCTGGTTACAGAATTTAAAAAAGGAGACCTGTATCATTTTTTGAGACGCTGGAAAAATAACACTGATTTCCACATTCTGTTATCCAGACAATGAGCATGAGCAGAAATGGGGTGGGGATGCGCAGAGTCAGACTTGAGCCACCCCAGCTCTGATGATGTACACATACAAAACTCTCCATGTCATTCACATGCTAGAGTACATGCTTCAGAACTAGGTGTGCAAACCCCTCCTCTGTAACCATGAGATCCAAATGTATGTATGTCAGCCAGGGCGAGCCTGTGCAACTCCAGCCTTCCACCTCACCTGATGTCCACAGAGGTCTACAGATAATCCTCAGAAAGCCTTGCTGTTTGCTGAACTTCAGCCATAACCTGTTCATGCAAGGCACTGAGTTTCATTATCCACGCAACTCAGAGCCTCCTCCCTTCTATTTATAAAGAAATGCATGTAATTTATCATTCATACTGAAAACCCTGAATGCTACATGCTGCCAGTGCAACATTCTCTCCTACCATTCAGTACATTCAGCACAGTGCAGTGGGTCCCAAGCCCGCTCCCTCCCTGCTGAGATGAAGACAGTCTCCTTGCTGAACGTCAGGCACATGATGCAGACCTTTTTACTCCAGCAGGCACTTTAAGAGGGTTTTATGATAAATTTTATTGTCCCATTTTCTGTGCATTGTTTTTACGTACATTGATTAGAAATGTTAATAATTAAGTGGTATAAAAATAAATAAAGCAAACTAAAATTTAAATCACTTACAGATCCTTCCTCGAGGGCTCGGCGCATGTTTGGCAGGTCAGCCACTGGGCACCAGACCTCAGCAATCAGGCATTTGTTGGTGACATCAAAGCTGCAGAGATTCAGCACGTGGTAAATGGCTTTCATCTTCTTCACTTGGACATCCCAGGTGTAGATAGACTCAGACGCCTTGCATAAAACTTGCCGTAAATAATCTTCAGTTTTATGCAGTACCTTTGTGGTTGTTTTTAGAAAAATATTTAAAACTATAACAAGAACACTGAACGATCAGGGCAACTTTATACAAAGTTCACACAACTGCCCTCGCTAGCTATACTCACATAGGTCTTTCAGTATTGATTTTATCTACTGGCAGCTCAAAAGCTATTCCATCTGGCTTCAGGCGGCCCAACTAAAAATGCTTTCAAGTTGTAAGAAATAGAGTAGGGTTGTACAGTCTTTCCATCAAGGGGCACATTCCCTCGGGTAAAATTGGTTGGGCCCCCCCTGTTTCTGGATTAACTACTCCAGAATAAAGGCCGCCCTGCTACAGTTCACCCACATGCCTACCTCCAGTTTGAACTGCCAACACACAAATGTAAGACAAACCAAGTGGAGCAGCCCAATGGCCCATCTAGTCCAGGACCCTGTTATCATCATGGCCAGTCAGATGCCTGTGGGAAGCCTGCAGTCTGGTTCCATCCCAGCTCAAGTGGAGCCCATCCATTTTGCACTGGCCCGCCTTGTATCGGAAAGTTATCCAATATCTAACAAACCCGAACCACTCCTCCCAACACCACTGTCTCATCCACACACTGAGACTACAAAGCTGCACCTGTCTAGCTGGCCCTTTGTTAGGAACCAGCAGAATTTTCAGAGAGCCTCTGCAGATCTACCCAGAAGTGAGTCCCACTGGGTTGGATGGGTCTCAAGAGAAATTATTTTCTTAGTACAACAGACAAGTACAGCTACTGGAAAGCAAGTAATTATATTCTGGCTTGAGTTTATACACATGCTTTCACTCTCTCTTACACACACACACACACACACACACACACACACAGAGCGAGGGAGAGAGCGCAGATGGCAACCAATTTCTTTCCAGGCAGTTGGGGAAGTGTCTTCTTTTCTCCAAGCCATACAACCAAGATTTTTCCCCCAATCAGTTTATTTTTTATCAAATAAAGTATCGCCCTTTTTATTTGCTCCGAGAAACTACATAGAAAGAGGAGGGGAAATGCACTTTAAAAGGCAAAGGGAGGGGACCAAACAGGTAGGAATGACCTTTGATAGAATGGAAGAGTGCGGTAGCTACAACAGGTGTCAGGTGATGAATAGAAGAGGTCTGTCTTTTAGATTTCTACACATTTTATATGTAAAATCCTATGCCTGAGTACACATATAACAGCTCATAAACTGTAAAGAGTTCCCAGAAAGCAGAGCCACTGTTGCCAACACCTGCAAAAAAAGTGGAGCTGATCATCCCTCGTTTACATTAAAGTCCATATGGTTGAAAGCTGGCCCAACCTCTTCCTTTTAAACATGCACTCAGAACTGTAGGTTATGTATTAACCTTCTTCCATGAGACGATTTGTGCCTCCAAGGTGCACCAGTAATTTTCTACTCACCATATGAAGATCCTGAATGCGAACCTGGAGTCCTTCCATAACTGTTCGGCGCTCCTCAGGGGTGCTGGGATAGGGGTAGACATGGCAATGGTAGCTGGCAAAAAAACAAAAATAGTCTACATAAAAGAGCCCAACAAAGAAGAGAAGAGCAGAACTGCAAAACAAAAGCAGTGGGAACTTAATCTGGTCTTGCAAAAACAACACAAAAACAAAGCCTAAAATAGTTCTGGAATATAGGAAGCTGCTTTATATTGAGTCAAGAACGCTGGTTTATCTATCTCAGTATTGTCTACTCTGGCTGGCAGTAGCTCTCCCAGGTTTCAGGCAGCAGCTTTTCCCAGCCCTAACATGGAAACACCAGGGAATGAACCTGGGACCGTCTGCATGCAAGGCAGATGCTCTACCACTGAGCTGCAGCCCTTCCCCAACTTTGGATACAGAGCTGAAGAAGTCTGCCAGGGTAATGGATCAGCACAGCAGCTGTCAGACTGTGTACCAGGAAACAAAGGTGCCTTGTAAGTTTTATCAAGGGTTCCGGGTTGAGAAGTTCAACAATGGCAGACAAACTCTACTTAAAGACTTTTTGCCAAGAATAATTTGCAGGTATGCAGTAAGGATCAGGGTTATGGTCAAATCAATATTACTGTATTTAATTGAACGTAATGCTCACCATTTTTGGCCAAATTACATCACAAAACATAGGGTGCACATTAGATTTGATGGAGCATTAGATTTGATTGCAGGCTTGAAAAACACTGCTAACATAGCAAATACTTTTTTGGTTTCAAGGTTTCGAAAACTGAGGTGTGCATTAGATTCACATAAATATGGTATGCTGCCACCTTACTAAAGCTAGGCAGGCCTGGGTCTGATCAATGCCTGAGTAAGAAACCTCCAGGGAACCCTGTGCAAGTCACCTTACTGCCACTGAAGAAATGCAAGATACAAATGCAATTAATAAGCACATATGTAGCCACAAAAGTCATGTTTTCAGGTGCACACTCAGTTTCCCAATGCCGATGCTGTTATTATTTTACAAAGTGGTCAAAATATAAAAATCTCAGTAGGAAAAAGTAAAGCAAATTAAAGTATGTTAATTCTTACCAGTCACATATTTTCTTAACTTTCTGGCCTATCTGTTCACCCCAATAAGATATTAAGAAAACAAACCATTTGGTAGGTTCGCCCTGAAAAGTAAACATAAATTGTTCAATTAAACTTTGGCCTACAGTTCCACTTTATTGGTGATTGACTAACCACTCATATTGAACCAACTGCACAATTTCTTTTAAAAATGAATTTTGATACACAAAAAGGGTAGATAGGGGTTTTCTGTATTCTGTGAATAGATTCCACATGCACAAAGCTGTGGTACAGGCTTAACTCTTAAAATCCCCAATGAACAGCAAAATTATGGCTAACCTTATTGAGACTGCTCCCATTCGCCTAGTGCCCGTATTTGAACAATATCACAAGAAACCATTTTTTGCCAAGACAGGAATGAGCTCTGGCATAGCTGTGAGGAGGGGTTCAGAACCTTTCATTTCCATTCTTTATTAACTGCACTTTGTCAGTTGATCTTAAGCCTTTAATTAGTGCTTTTTAATATCTGTTAAAGAAAAAAAGTCCCGGTACTCACCATGAAGTTGTTACAGTAAGTGCAACACATTTAACATGGGGGCGGGTACGGCATGCCCTTGAGAAGGGGTAGGCAACCTAAGGCCCATGAGCCACAAGCAGCCCATGGGGGTCGTTTAACCGGCCCACAAGTCGCCCCCAAACCGAGCCGCCCGCTCGGCAAATCCCCATGTGCTGCACTAAACCGGCGCAGCATGGCACAGGGACTTGCTTCTGCAGTGCCAGAAATCGCACCTGCGCAGATGCCGAAAATAGCAGGCGCACACACTCACGCGTGCGCAATCCAGCCCACGGAGGGATCTCCGCTGGAGTGAACTGGCCCAGGCATGGTAAACCTTGTCGACCCCTGCCTTTGACTATCCTCAGAAAAAAATACTGCCCTTAACTATGGTTTGTTTGAAACTTCAGACTGTGAGCTACAAAGTTAGCTTGTTTCAACAAGCCATCATTAAGATTAACCATACTTTAAGGTTCAGATGAAACACATTGCATTTTATTCAAAACCAGATGTGAAAGTTTGTAATCTCTTCCTCAGAGCTACTTTTCAGCCATGGTTTACTTCTTGCAGAAGTAACTCAGTTCAAACCCAGTTCAAATCATGTTGTCATATACTGTACTGGTTTGTAGCTGATCTTTAAACATGCTTTAGCTATTCAGACATAAAAGCTTAACCATGGTTTAGAAAAACAAGTCACAGTTAAACATTATGGTTTGGATATTGAGTAAGCAAGTCACACTTTTCACATAGTGGGATAAGTTATTGTAAGCTGTCTGGAAGCCTCTTCAGCTAAAAAAACCGAATACAAATACTATTAAATAATAAATACAACATTTCTACAGGATCCAAGTGTGATGAACTTGCTTTGGATCCAGCCATAACACCCAAGTAGCCACATATACTTTGCATGCAGATGTATAATTTAGATGAGGAGGTGGGCTGATCCAGCACCGACCTTCAGAAACAGGCTGCATTATTTATCTATCCTGATTACTCACGGTATCTGGATCTTCTAGGCACTCATCCAGTTCTGAATAAGAAACAATTGTATATCCTTTGCAGACTCGCCACAGCATTTTTTCAAAGGCTTCAATTTTTGCTCGGTGAACTAAGCCAGATATAAATCTACATTGGAAAAAATACAAAGTATACTATAGAGCAAACTTTAAATTTTATTACATGAGCATTCGGACCAGAAAGGATACCATATTCTATCATTACATGCCAGTGAAGTTAGGAAGGGCTGGGCATTCACAGATTATCTGTAAACTAAAATGCCTCTTCCACTGAGGTGCACATGGAAACCACTAAAATTACACAAGGTCATACCAAGTGAGCTACAAGATTCCAGCACTTATAACAATTTTTAAAATCTACTAATCTCCTCCTTACTTAAAAACACAATAGGCACATGAAGGAAACACAATTGGCTATCAAATATCAAACCATGTAGAGCTCAATTCAGCATGACACTGATTGGTGCCAAGTGTTAATACTGTCAATTTGAAGCTCTGAAACGGGTTTTAGGCTGCAAATCTGAACTCACTTACTAGGGAGTAAAATCCACTGAGGTTATTGGGATTTACTTTGGAGTAGGCAGGTTAACTACATAAAACTATGCTCAAGCAAGCACTCACCCGCATGCATGACACATAAACGAATAGGATTAATGCAGCCTCACTTCCTCACTAGAAGGGAAAGACTAAAGAAGAGCTAAATTATTCCAAAAATTTGCCATATCTGTGGCACCATCGAAGCAGTCAGGTCTTCATCTTCATATAAATGCAAAATGATTATTAACAGTTAAGTGCCCAGTTGTACCTCGGACAATGAACAGAATCCGTTCCGCAAATCCATTCAACTTCCAAAACGTCTGGAAACCAAGGCACGGCTTCCAATTGGCTACGGGAAGTTCCTGCAGCCAATCAGAAGCCGCATCGGACATTTGGGTTCCAAAGAACATTCGCAAACCGGAATGACGGTTTGCACCATTCGGAGCCAAAACATTCAACTCGCAGGGCATTCAGATCCAAGGTATGACTGTATAGACTTTTTCATCACTTACCCCAGTTTGGCGCCAAGTCTATGCATGCAGTTGTAGTCGACTAAGCGGTCCGTTTCTAAAGTTGGGAATTCTTCATAATTCGTAAGTAAACAGGACTCAAACTAAAAAGAAAAAAATGAAAGGAAACGCTTCTTCAAATGTGCTAGGGCTGTGCCCAAATCACAGGGGAGTGATGATCACCAAGACAGATGGGAAACAAGGCTTAAGGCTACTGCATTTGCCTGCATTCAATGGCATTCAGTGCCTCACAGGACTGCAGCAAGGCCCACTGCTGCAAGAATCCTGCAGCCATTATCAGGTACTAGGTGGGCCCCGGAAACTGGCCTGTGGCTCACTGCCTCCCCTCTGTACACCCAAGTTAAGGAGCTTTGCCATGCAACGGTAACAGTACCTCAGCAGTTCTTCTGACAAAGGACCGGGTGACCCGTAGCATGTGGGTATATTCCGTCAGCTCAAGGAGATTCTTCCTCAGCTTCTCTTTATTTTTCGTCACTTCTCTCAATTCCACCTCCAACTTCTGCAGCTGCTCCTGCAATACAAGGGCAAAAGTGCATTCCCATTCTGGCTCCAGATGTTGTATGGCCACAAGTCCCATGACAGTCATGCAATTGTTACAGTGCTGGGCTAGCACTGGGTCTCCTGTACAAAATCCTCAAGGCTCAATATTCCTTTCTGAAATAAGCTTATTGTTGGCATCCATCTGTTTCACAAGACATTGGAGGAGTACACCTTTGGGGGTCATGTCAAACCACTGGGGAGTTAGCTAGTCACTCTGAATCTCGATTGAGTCTCAGTTCCATAATGTAAAATTTGTTTAGTAGCTGCACCATGGTAGCTTCACAATAGTCTGCTTCTCAAACTCATTCCTGTCTGTTTCCCTTACCTAAAGTATACAGCTTTTCCTTCTTCCTCTCTGTCTTTCCCCTTCCTGCAACGCTGCACTGCTCTTTCCTCTTCTCTGCCTCTGGCTTCCATCTCTGGCCTTTTGAAGCGGCCAGTCCTTTGTGACTCTGCCTGCCCCCTTCAGTCAACCAGTTGCACCTCATGATGTTTGCAAGCTCTGGGCAACCGCATATATCATAGGTAGGCACCACAACTCACTGGTATTCCCAATCAGTCCCACTACTGTGACTCAAACAGAAGAAAACCCACTAAGCCCCAATTTACCACACAAAATGAAGAGGGTATTTAGTATTTCTTTGGCAACTATTGATTTAATTCTGTACCGAGATGAAAGATCTGTACTCTCTATTCAATGACTCTAAGCTCACTGGATGGGCCCAAACAAGTCAGTGCCTCAGCCTAAACTGCTTCACACAGTTGTTGTTACAAGATTAAAATGCTACTCATGAGCTTCTTGAAGGAAAGTTGGGAATCCGAGCATGCAAGCTCTCACAATTGGCCCAAAATAAAGGAAAATAAGTGGATCTATGACTACCTTTTAATTCCAGAAGATCCCCATTCCACAAAGTACCTGAATCTCCAGCATCTGCTTAAACGGAGGGGCAGCAGGGGTAACATCTCCTTCTGGTAGGGGAATGTCCGCTCTCTTAATTTCTTGCACAAGGTATCCTGGAATAAAGGAAAGAAATACTTTCAAAGGAGTATTCTAACTCAAGGAATATTGTTCCACGAAAGGTTTGCTAGGGAATGGGGAATTTTTTCAACTCTCAGGGTTATTATCCTTGGGGAACTCTTGGCCACATTTGGCTACTGCTCTGGGAATACTCTGCACTGCAGAGGATGCTAAATACCTTCCAGGGCTCCCAAAGCTCAAGGAGGCCTCTCCATAAGCCTGTCAGGCCACAATGTTACACCATGTGAACTGAGATGTACAGTAGAATGTGTTCAATTCTTGCCTTGCAGAGGCTGCAAGCTAGAAATCATCAATAATTTATTTATTTGCCTTTATTAATCACTTCCTATGAAAGTTCCCAAAGTAATAAGAACATATATACAAACAATTAAAAGAATTTAAATATAAAACAATTCCAAAACAAATACAGACTGGGACAAAAATCTCCACTTAAAAGGCTTGTTGAAAAAGGAAGGTCAAAAACAGGGAAGAAAACTTTGAAGTTTCCAATTGTTTCTTTGCAACTGTCTCTCTACCCACCATGCATTGCAGGGGGTTGAACTAGATGTCCCTCAGGGTCCCTTCCAACTCCTTGGTCCCTTCAAGGTCTTTTTAGAGCTTTAAAGGTCAGATTTACCCCTTCAATTTGAGCCCCAAAAGAAATTGTTTTGGATCCACTGTTGCACTTATGCCTCACTGAAATCAATGAGACTTAATTAATTGACATGTCCCATTAAGTCCCACTGATTTCAATGGGAATGAAATGCAATTTATTTAGTCTGGATACAATCCATTGGCTACAAGAATAAGTCGCACAGGGCAGGTGTTAGTTATCTGATCATCATACTCCTATCAACATCCGTGCAGCCGCATTTTGAACCAGTTGATGTTTCCAACTTAAGGGCAACCTCATGTAAAGAGCAATACATGCATGGAGCGATTTAACACTTGACAAAGCTGTTGAAGGTGGGTCACTTACATAGTCACCTGACAGCAAATTTCAAAATCTGAGCACTTGGTAAAACAACTGTGTTAAGCCAGCAGTTTAAAAGCATGAGAATGCAATTTGCAACACAGAGCAATGCTTTCAGCAATGCTAAGGATTTAAATAGCTTCTAATCACATTGTTTGTTAATAGGCTTATCTCATTTCCCTGAAAGGCCAAGGGGGGCGGGGAATGATCGATGAACCAACAGCTCCGATTTTTGGAAAGGGAAATAAGCATGAAAGCTGAAGCAAGGGTGGCTTCAAGTAATAAGAACTGGGCCTGGACCTCAGCCACTATTCTTGCCTAAGTAAACTCAGTTTACAGAATACACACCTATCTCAGTGAAATATGAGCCCCCCAAAAGCAGCACAAAATAGCTATTGTTATTCTAGGCTGCATCAATAGAAGTATAGTGTCCAGATCAAGGGAAATAATAGTGCGTCTCTATTCTGCCTTGGTCAGACCCCACCTGGAATGCTGTGTCCAGTTCTGGGCACCACAGCTTAAGGATAGAGGCAAGCTGGAACATGTGCAGGAGGGTGACCAAGATGATGCAAGGGTCTGGAAACCAAGCCTTATAAGGATTGGTGGAGGGAGTTGGGTATGTTTAGCCTGGAGAAGAGGAGACTAAGATATAATACCTGTCTTCAAATAAATGAGGGGCTGTCAAATGGAGGGTGGAGCAAGCTTGTTTTCTCCTGCTCTGGGGGGTAGAATCCAAACCAATGGATTCAAGTTACAAGAAAGGAAGAACTTTATGATGGTAAGCACTCTTCAGTAATGGAGCAGACTCCTTTGGAAGGTGGTAGACTCTCCTTCACTAGAGTTTTTTAAGCAGAGGTTGGAGATTCCTGCATGCATTGCAAGGGGTTGGAATAGGTGACCCTTGAAACATCTTCTAAGTCTACAATTCTATGATTCTATGACACATGTGAAATGTGACCCTGAAATGGACCTCCCCACAGAGGAACAGCCTTTTGCCGGGGTAATCAGGTATGCCTCCCTCCCCCAGTGTTTAATGCATGATGAAGAAGCAGTCAGCCACCCTGCAGTTCCCAAGTTTACCAAGTATCCTTTCCATCTCTTCACACTTCTTTACTTCACCCACATATTTCCGTTGGAAGACACTGGTGCTTGGATTGAGCTGGAAAAAAGAAAAATGTTATTTGCCCCAGGATCCAACTTAAAAGCCCTTTGCATCAATATTTACAGTAGGGGTGGGGAATCTGGGGCCCTCCAGATGCTGCTGAAGCACAACGCCTACAATCCTGGACCATTAGCTATGCTGCCAGGGGATGATGGGAATTGGAGTCCATCAATGTCTGGAGGGTACCAGTTACAAGTAGGTAGCTGTGTTGGTCTGCCGTAGTTGAAACAAAATAAAAAAAATTCCTTCCAGTAGCACCTTAGAGACCAACTAAGTTCATTATTGGTATGAGTTTTTGTGTGCATGCACATGAAAGCTCATACCAATAACTAACTTTGGAGAGTACCAGATTCCCATTCCCTGGTTTGCAAAAATCAATTCTAGAGACACGTATTACAAAAATAGCTGAAACTGGGTACCCAACAGCCATTCTATTTTCACCTCTGTTCCACCTCCACTGCTGGAGACAGGATGCTTCTGAATGCCAGTGGCTGGGAATCATGAGTGGAGAGAGAGTGGTGGCATCCATGTCCTCCTTGTGGGCCTCCTGTGGGCCTGCAGTTGGCTCACATGGAAACACGATGCTGGAGTCATGGGCATTTGGCCTGATCCCTCAGGGCTGTTCTTATGTTCACAATCAAACATCCAAGTTCTGAGATTAACCCTCCCTCACCCCTAATCCTGCTAAAAATACTTTTCTTCTTTTAGAAGAAATTCCATTCAAAAATTGAAGGGTACCCAAGCATTAGTACTACATTACAAGTTTATACCACTTTTCTGTGAACAGCAGATCCCTTGCATTGCTTTTGAAATTCTCAGTCTCAAAAACCTATGTGTGCCATCGTCCGAGATATGTTAATTAAAGGAAGAGAAACCCAAACTCTCCTTAAGCACACAAAAATTATTTGTGTTGTATAAATCCTGGCCAAAGGGCCAAAGTAAACTATGTGTTTACTTACTATATATGGGTGTATTATAGTATTTAAATTCTGAATTCAGCTTTTGTTTACAAAATGATGAAGGCTGCAATATGAATAGTCATCTATAAGACTGCACTACTAATTTACAATTCTCTAACATAGAACCACACAAAAGTGTAAGAAAACACAATCAACATAACCAGGGGCTAAATAATTTTCTCTACATGTAAAGGTGAATGAACCCTAACATGAGGGAAACCCACATGGATGCTCAGTTTCCAGGTCTGAAAATTGGCTTTCTGAAGTATTAGTAAACATGTGTAGATGTTTGGGCTATAAGTGTTAAATAGTACAAAATCTCTATGGTGCTTAATTATTATATATCACGATACATTTTTTTAATGAAAAAACAACTGAGGATGCAGACTCTGGTACACCGAAGTTTATGGTGGTATAAATATAAAGTGCAGCAAGCTAACAGCTACCCCTCTGGAAATAGTTTGTATGATAAACTATGGTTAAAAGGAGGCTAGTGAAGATTATCAACTCCTCCAAACAAGATTGTAAAATCAATGCACTTAATTTTAACTTACAGGTGAGTCCCCATTCCATTCTGGGCCTGTGCACATATACAAAATCACATAAAATGGGGAGCACTCTGAGGAGTCCTCCTCAAACAAGCCCCATGGTCCCTCCAGCTCATGCAAGACAGAGAGGCAGCAGAGCTGGCCCAGCTGACATGTGCGGGGACAGCTGACACTCACAGGAGCTGGACTGATAGCGGGGCTCAGCTGACCAACGCGCCAGCTCCGCCACACCTCCAGCTCCCACAAACTGGAGGGACAGTGGGGCTTGGTTGACCAGGTGCTCCCCATTTCCAGCTACCACTTCCAGGTACCTAGCACTGTGCAGGTGCACAGGAATGAACAAATAACAATGCACATAAATGAGGATTTGCCTGTATTTATTAATATATATTAAGCCTCAAACTGAAACTAGTTCAAGTGTTAATCTGATATTAGTGCTTCAGTGAGAAAGTGGTTTTTGCGTATCTACTGTAAAACTGCCGGAAGACAGATGTAAAACAAAGGGTCAAGCAAATGATTATTCCATATTCTGTTCGCCAGCTTCTAAAGGTAGGCCTAGAATGTCTGAGTCATAAAACCAATAAGCAAATGTAATAAAGACAAGGAAATAATGAACTTCTCAAACGACTTCTGTTAATCAGTAAATGTTTTGGACCCTGGCCATTCCTATTACCAGCATGGAAGAAATGTTGTATGGTAGCATCCTAAATGTTGGAAAGTAGGACCCAATTAAACAACAAAACCCACAATGGGCCCCCCTAATACAATGCATAACAGCAAATCATTCACTATTCCCAGTTAAGCACCAGGTTATACTAGAGCACTAAACGTTTTTTCCTAGACTGTTTGGGTTATAAGGCTTGTGAGAACAAAAAAATTGGGCTCACACATACAGAACTGGCTGGACGAGACAATGGATCTTGGCCATCTTTATAAATAATTTGGATAAAGGTATTGAGGGGATGCTAATCAATTTTGTAATTTTAACCTTCTGTTGGAAGCCCCCCAGAGTGGCTGGGGAAACCCAGCCAGATGGGCAGTGTAGAAATAATAAATTATTAATATTATTATTATTTGCAGATGACACCAAACTGGGAGGGGTAGCCAATGCCGCTGAAGACAGAATTGGGATTGAAGGTAACCTTAACAAGATTGGAGAACTGGACCAAAATTTAAATAATGAATTTTAACGGGGACAAATATAAGTTTCAACACTTAGGCAGAAAGAACCAGCTGCCCAAATATAAGATGGCTGGCCCATAGTACAGGAATCAACAGTGTGATGCTGCAGCTATTCTAGACTATTCTAGGCTGCATCAACCAAAGTCTAGTGTTCAGGTCAAGGGAAGTAATAGTCCCACTCTATTTTGCCTTCGTCACAGCACACCTGGATTACTGTGTCCAATTCTGGGCAACACAATTTAAGAAGGATATTGACAAGTTGGAACATGTGCAGAGGATGGCAGCCAAGATGATCAAGATGTGGGAAGAGGTTCCTATCCGAAACCCTGGAGAGTTGCTGCCAGTCAGTGATGACAATACTGCACAAGATGGGCCAATGGTTTGAGTCAGTTTAAGGCAGCTTCCTATGTTTCTATGCTCCCCTACAATCCTGTGAGGTAAGTAAGCCTGAGAGACGGCAATCAGCCCACATGAAGGCTGAGCTGGGAGCTGAATCCTGCCCTCCATCTCTACAGTATGTGGCCTTCCCAATATTTCTGGGCAACTCACCGCTATCTGCAGGCTTTGGCCATGCTGGTTGAGGCTGACAGGAGCTGGAGCCTCCAGTGTCAACTGCAAGGGGCACACCTGTTCTCCACTTATTCACAGGGCTGCCTGATTTCTTTTTAAGACTGCTCCACAACTTCAGCCTTTCTCAAACTTGGGTTCCCAGATGTTGCTAGACTCCAAGTCCTTTCATCCCTAGCTAGCAGGACCAGTGGTCAGGGATAATGGGAATTGTAGTCCAACAACAGCTAGGGACCCAAGTTCAAGAAACATCAGTTTATAGCATGACAGCACCAATGCTCTGGAACTCCCTGCCTATTGATATCAGGCAGGCACCTTTCACAGAACCACAGAATTGTAAGGGACCACAATGGTCATCTTGTCCATCCTCCTAAAAGGCAGAAATCCTATCCGCAGCTGTCACTAGGTGGGCTTGAACCGCTAACCTTCTGGTTAACAGCCAGACAAGCTGCATTCTTTTCCGGGCCTGATGGAGGAAGAAGTTGTTACTTAGACAAACCTGCCCAGGTGTTTAGAAAGCCTGTACGGGCTTTTAGTCTCGAAAAGTTGGGGGGAAAAGGGTGATAGTTTCATTGTTCTGTTTTTTTTGTAAACCGCTTTGAGGGGTTTCTTCTCGGCACGCCCCCCCCCCCGACAATCAAGCGGCGCATAAATTCCATGAACCACCAGCTGAAGGCGCGCGCCTCTTGTCGCCTCAACTCACGTCTCGGAAGTGGGCGAGGCCGCGCTCGCCCAGGGCGCTGAGGCACTCGTAGGCCGAGCCCGCCTGGAGGAAGAGCTGCGCCAGGCACATCGTCTCGCTGCGGAAGAGGGAGCCCATGGCGGAGGCGCCCAGGCCGGGCCGGAGGAGGCGCAGGGGGAGCGGCAGAGGCGGCGTCACCGGTCTCCTCGGCGCCGTCTCCGCTCCGCCGTCGCCGCTGCTGCTGCTGCCGTCCCGCTGCGGAGGCGGCTCCGGGGACTGGCGGGTCCCCCGCTGCCCGGTGCCATGGAGAAGAGGCAGGCGAGGGGGACGGAGACCCGAGTCGCCCCGAGTCCCGCGGCTTCCGGCTTCTCCTCACAGGTCCAGGCGCCGCCGAGAGAGAAGGGGCGGGGAAAGCCCAGAGCGGCCACCGCACGCTCACCTCGGAAGTTCCGGTCAATAAGACAGCGCCATTGGCCCGGGCGCTCTGCCCCTCGGCACCTCTATGGCGGGCCCAAATGCCGAGCGAGGAGCTGTTTCGTCTCTGTGGGAGGGAGGAGCAAAGAAGGGCCCAGCCAGGCTGGCCGAACGAAAGCGAGCCCAGAGTTCCTGTGCTTCCCATTGCCTTTCCCTTGGGCAGGGCGAGGGATTCCAAGGCTGCAGCCTCTCGCTCGCGCTGGGGCGCCAAACAAACTGGGGGGCAGGACGGGGGGGGGCAAAGGGCTTTGAGGCAAGCTATACATTCTCAACAAACAGTGTTCCAAAGAATCAAGCAAGCGGGGGTAGCTTAAAAAACAAGAGCTCCTTATTTTATTGTTTCGTTGTACAGTTCTCCCGATGTTTTGGGGGGTGATGTTGGAATTTACTCCCAAATGAATGTGAAATATGAAACTTGTCTCATCTTGTTATGCAGCAAGTTGCCCTGTGGGTTTTTAATGCAAGACAGCACAGAGATTTCCTAAATAAGGCCTAGTGCTGAGCTAATATCCTCTCAGGCAGAAATTCAGCAGCTTCTCATGTTAGGAACATTTGTGCTCCAGAGGTAGTATAATAAAAATAATAATAGTTATAAAATAAATTATAAAACTACAGTAAAACATGAGCCTCACCCCACTGCCCCTTATTCTTGAGGAATCGAAAAGATTTCCCCATGCAAATCTCTTGGAAACAATGTATTTCATCTGGAAAACTATTTAATAAAGATTACTTTTTATTAAAACCTTTGAATGTGTTTGAACTGTGTTTGAGTGCGTCGAGAATGATTTCACTTGAAAGCAATGCCCTTAGATTACAGAATCATGGAAGAGTTAGACGGGACCACGAGGGTCTTCAAGTCCAGCCCCTGCAGGAATCTTTTGCTCTACGTGGGGCTCAAAGGACGGCCCTGAGATTAAGGGTCTCGTGCTCTACTCAATGAGCTATACGGATTGATCTAAATAGCAAACACCAATTATTTATTTTTTACAATTTACAGTGGTGTAAAATAAAGGAAATGAAATGAGTGTTGCCTTTTCATTGTTTAAGGATGTTTCGTTAAGACTTGATTCAACACACTTATTTCAATATACAGTTGTACCTTGGTTTTCGAACTTAATCCGTTCTGAAAGTCCGTTCTTAAACCAAAGCGTTCTTAAACCAAGACGTGCTTTCCCACACTCAACAGGAAGCAAAATATGTTCTGCATGCAAGGCAAAGTTCACAAATCAAAACACCTACTTTGGGGTTTGCAGCGTTCTTAATCCAAGTTGTTCATAAACAAAGCTGTTCTTAAACCAAGATACCACTATATAAGCGTCAATAGACTGACCTTTTAAATAGGAAGCTACTCTTTATGTTTCTAAGCAATTTTTTACCTTTCAATTAATTCACCAATTTTATAATGGCTCTTAGTACCATTAAATAATGCCTTACAGTGTGTCAGGGAACTGCCATCGGAGCCAGGGGGAGAGGGAGGGCTCCAGAGGGATTCCGGAGAGTGTCCCAGGAGGGAGAGAAGCAGCACATCTTCTGGGGAAGGAAATCAGCGTAGCACCAGTGGAGAAGGGGGGCAGATGGGGGAATCGGCGAGGTGGCTCCATGACTCTTCGCCAGGGACCAGCGGGGAGAGCACGGGTCCTCCGCTGCCCACACCCTCCCTGCGCAGAAGGCTTCCGCGCAGGGAGAGTAGGCGGAGACTAGGCATCAAAGAACTTCTTTGCTGGAAGAAGTTCAAGAAACGCCCAGTGACGGATTCTGCCAGCGATTGAGACAGCCACGGGCGAGTGGCTGTCCGGACAGAAAGGGTTCACTCAGGCAACCCAGCCAGGTGTGGCGCCGATTTACGCACGAGCAACCCCTAGAACCATTACACAGTGGTACCTTGGTTTACGAACTTAATCCGTTCCGGAAGTCCGTTCTTAAACCGAAGCGTTCTTAAACAAAAACGTCCTTTCCCATAGCAGCAGGGGACTCAATTTACAAATGGAACACACTCAACAGGAAACGAAACATGTTCTGCAGCCAAAAAGCACTTTTTCACCAATCAATCAATCATTTATTGTATTTGACTAAAAGGCATTACAAATCCAGTTACAAAAGCGCCAAACCCAATTAAACCTATTAAGAAATAGGTTGTCCAACCCCCCTGGAATGCAGGAAATTCAGCTGAAATTGAGGAAATATTTGTATTTCTGTAGTGCTTTTTGGGGTTCCCCTCTCCAATATAGCGGTATATGGGTTTCACGAAACAAATACTGTAAATGAAAACCGTTCTATTTTTCCTACATGCTTTGCGTCCAAGAAAAAAGGTCCCAAGCTCAGCCCCCGGCATGTGGGAGAGACCCCCCGGCCCGAAGTCCTGGCTTGCTGCTGCCAGTCAGTGAAGACAAATATCGGCTCCACGGACCAAGGATCTGACAGCACCTTCAGAAAAAAGGTTGGACTTCTGGACTCCCCCATCTCCCTAATGCACTCTAAGCGGGAAGAGAAAGGAGACTAACCGTATCCCAAAAGGCGAAACCCTCTGCAAAACAGGAGTCCCGGGCATGGCCTGCACCCAGGGAGGTCGTATTTGGGGGACCCTCTTGGCTGGCTTCTGAGCTCTCTGGGCACCAGCCTGGCTTTAAAAAGGTAAAGGTACCCCTGACCGTTAGGTCCAGTCGCAAACGACTCTGGGGTTGCGCACTCATCTCACTCTATAGGCCGAGGGAGCCGGCGTTTGTCTGGAGACAGTTTTCCCAGGTCATGTGGCCAGCATGACTAAGCCGCCTCTGGCGAACCAGAGCAGCGCACGGAAACGCCGTTTACCTTCCCGCCGGGGCGGTACCTATTTATCTACTTGCACTTGATCTGCTTTCGAACTGATAGGTTGGCAGGAGCAGGGATCAAGCAACGGGAGCTCACCCCGTTGCGGGGATTCGAACTGCCGACTTTCCAATCGGCAAGCCCTAGGCTCTGTGGTTTAGACCACAGTGCCACCCGTGTCCCTATCCTTACTCTGATGTAAACTGCACCTTGAAAGGACTGAAACTCTCAAGCAAGAAATAAGGCAATGCAACATTAACTCTGAGGTCAAGCACTGTCTAAACCGCGTGAGGCTCTTCCTACCCCATTTCATTCATTATTACTCTCTTATTTTTTCTTCCTAATAAACCCTTTTGCTTTTAGTATTTGCTACTTTCCATAATAAAGACAACGCTAATTGTGACTTGTAGAACCTCTAGATAAATATGTGTATAACTCTTATGAGAAACTTTATTTCTCTGGTCTCATTAAAATGTAACAATGTAATGGCAAACCCCTCTTCTATGACTATTTTTACACCCGCAAATCTTCTTAAAATTACGCCAGGGTTATTAGCGTGCATGTTAGAGAGTTAGGAACTGCAAGACAAAGAATGATTGTACTGTAAATGCAATCAGATAATTTATTTTCAAATAGTTTATTTTTGTTGAGATCTGTGAACTATTTTGCAATTTCTTTTGAAATATGAAGTGGTATACAAATTAGCTGAATAAAAATAAAGTAATAAAGAAAACCCATAGCCTTTTACTATCACAATCAGTTTTGCTGTCCTTAGGAAAGATAGTTGTTAATAAGAGATATTTGTTAATAACCCACAGTACAAGGAGAACACAGGGGAAACAATTCAAAGAATCCATCACATAAAGTTGCATGGAATATTCAGGTGACATAATGTGTGTGTGGGCTACCTGTGCTACATTACATGTTTACACATTTTAATATAGGGAGTTTGCAGATACTGGGGATAGCCATCCTGTACAACTTAGGCCCTAACCCATTTACATAATGGATGTGAAGGGCTATATAAACATTAGGTGCTGTGTAAGCACAAAGTAGAAACAAGAAGCTAGACCCAATTGCATCCATAAACATATTAATTTCAAAAGTCGTTAGTGTTGCCCATTCTACTGTGGCCAGCAGGTTTATTTCCTTATAAAGAAAGTTGTGAGGCCCACTGACTCAGTGTCACACACGTTAAAAAAAGTCATAGGTAGCTTAAGCCTGCACAACTTCAAGGGAAAAGACTTCAAATGACAGTTGGACAATCCATTACACTTCTCCATATATAGTATATATACAGAGTAATTCAACTAGAAATTGAGAGAGAGAGGCTTGCAGAATACACACAAACCCACGGCAGAGAATGGAACCCGAATCAGTGTTATTTGTTCTTACAAACATGGGCATGGCACCACTGTTAAGGATAGTAGGTGAGAGCATTAGCTGTGAGCCAGGAAGCTGCTGGTTCAGATGTCACTTGATTAAATAACTGCTTAAATAACTCAGCCATTCCTGTAATATGGAAATAATAGCCAGCATGGTGCCATGAATAAACATTCCAGACTTGGACGGAGGAGACCTGGTATAAAATCCCTGGTTATCTTAGACAAGTTACTATTTCTCAGACCAGCCTACCTCACAGGGTCATTATGAGGTAAAAGAGGAATAGGTTCCATGTAAGCCCCAAAATATTCCAACTTTTCCTCCACAAACCTAGCATTTTATTCCTTTAAACATATTTTGGGAAGCCCATCCTGATCCTATGCCTGTTCACTAATAAGTCACATTGTATTGAAAGTAAAAGCCCATAAGAAAAATTCCAAAATCCGTATGTGCGCAAATGGGAGAGGAGGTAACAGACAATTGAACTTGAAGAATGTTCCCTCACAGCCCTCTCCAACTGCTATGTGAAGCTGTCTAGTTTGGCTTCTATTTACTTTTACTTACCAAGCCACCTAAAATTATTTTCCACTTTTACTCACATGAAACTGTCTGGTATCCCTTGTTTCCCTTTTTCCACCTAAAAAGAAACCTATCGATGTGTTTCTCCCAAGGATAGAGACAGAGCTGGGTAACAGCCAGTGACATAATGGTCAGTAGACTAGGGGGACTAGGCTAGTCCTCTAAATGTTCTCCTTCCCAAAGCCTGGGAAGCTTCTGCCCAGGTTAGGGAAGGAAGTGCGATTCTCACACCCAATTGTCCTCGCAAGCTGGCACCTCTGGCTCTAACTGTCCCCCTACAAATAATTTCCCTGCACGCCACTGGTATCAGCCAGGTTTGGTGATTCCATAGATGGGAATCAGGCATTACACTGCTTGTTCCCAGAGGCCTTGGTGCAATTTGATACCTGCACAGCCCCCAAAGAGCTTCCTCTGAATGTCTGCTATAGTGCTACCCAAGGCCAGCCCAAACATTTTGGCACCCGAGGCAAATCACAGAATACTCCCCCTCCCTGCAGGGAAGAAGAGGTGTAAACTAAGAGCTATGTCAGGAACAAGGCCATTTCCTCCCTGGGATGGGAGGAGTCCAGCAGCACCTCCTATCCGCTCTCCTTCCTGGGAGGTTTTTAAGCAGAAGTTGGATGGCCATCTGTCATGGATGCTTTAGCTGAGATTCCTGCATTGCAGGAGGTTGGACTATATGACCCTTGGGTCATTTCCAACTCTACAATTCTATGATCCTATGCTGAGAGGCTGCTGTAGAGACGGCATTGCATGGGTGTGTGGGGTGTGCAGCTGTTATGGAGGAGGCACATCCAGCCTCCAAGGAGCATGCCGCAGTTGTTGCTACCACCATCGCAGCAAGAGCAGGCAATGCATTCCTTGGAGATCAGATCTGCTGCCTCCATGTACAGTTGCGACCTGTCCCATATAATATAGGATTGTCCCGTATTTCAATGTAAAATGCTACGTCCTGTATTGATACAGTTTTGTTCTGTATTTCAGGTCCTCTCTCTCTCTCAAGTTAGGGCAGAGAGAGAGAGAGAGCTCACAGCAGAGCAGACATACAGGACAAACTGTGTCCTTTATTGATTCAACACAGGACCTCGAATTTTACACTGAAATACAGGGCAATCCTGTATTATATAAGACGGGTAGCAACCTTAGCTGGGGCAGATGAAGGTATCTGGTTGTGCTGGCGCTGATGCAGCATGGCATTTCTTCTTCACTGCGCTCCTCCCAGCGGTCATTCCTCCTTTGGTCACTACCGTGGATGCACGACTTGACCGCCTGTCTCCAGGCACTGCTGTCGTCTGCAAGAGAGCAGCACAGGCGGGGTCGCTGTTGCCAAACTTCGTGTCATATTTGTAATGCATGGTTGGTTTGCCTAGCGGCTAGCTCTTCCATTCTGTGTAAATGACCAAGCCAGAACAGCCCTGCTATGGTTTTATAGTTATTTACATACCTTTCCTTTTCCCCCCCTGACATGGAACCAAACCAACGCGGAACCTTCCACATCGCGCCCCGCGTTTCCACTTCAACCCAGAAGTACGCCGTACTGGAGCCGCGCTCTGATTGGCTCCTGGGCTTTTCGCGCCGGGGCGGCTCGGGAGGCGGGCGCGGTTGCCGGGGTGACGGCGGCGTTTGCGCAGCGCCCGGGCGTGCGTGCGTCGCTCGTCTGTGCCCGCCGCTGAGCCGGGAGCGGCGCTATGGCCAGCGTGCACGAGAGCCTGTACTTCAACCCCATGATGACCAACGGGGTGGTGCACGCCAACGTCTTCGGCATCAAGGACTGGGTCACTCCGTACAAGATGGCGCTGCTGGTGCTGATCGGCGAGCTGGGCCGGGCCGGGCCGCACCTCAGCCTGCTCGAGAGGCGGCGCCTCAACCGGCTGCTGCTGCCTCTGCTGCAGGTGGGGCAGGGAAGCGGGGGTCGGGGCGGCCGGGGCCACTGTCGACCGCCGACGGCGGCACTTGGGCGAGTGGCCACGCTGTGGGACGCGGGTTCAGCTCTGTCCCTTATGCACTTCAGTCCTCTCTCTCCTCGCCGCTTATGATCCAACACACACCTACATACACGGGGGCATCAGATTCCTGCCCATGCGGACTGTCGTCGGCGAAAGCTTATGGTTTGTTATTTGTTTGCATTGCTATGCCACCTTCATCTTCCAAGGAGCTCAAGGTGGTGCGCATGGTTCTCTCTCCCTCACAACACCACTGTGAGGTGGGTTAGGTTTAACTAGAGGTGTCAGGGTTTTCCTTTGTTTAGCTCTGACAGTGCTCTTCTCTCCTTATGTTTTCTGGCCCCTCTTCACTGGGCATTGGAGTAGGACTGCCTTTGATGGCAGTGCCAGAATGACCAGGTGAAGAAGACAGGGCTGCTGCACCTTCATAGCTGCAAGGAAGGTGGAGTTTCAGTAGGGTTCTTTGGATGCATAGGGAGCTATTCGTTATTTTTCTTTCCTTCATTACCCAGCTTGGGAATTCTTGTAGTGCAAGTGCAACAAGCAAAGTTGGGCACATTCTTTCCTGTAGTAGTATAGACTGCTATAGATGTTGGAGCTGGTACAGTTTACTTTTGTATTCATTTAGAAATTACTGTTAACTATTTCGTGTTTCTCCATGTGCTTTATTTAGGGGCCTGATATGACACTGTCTCGCTTGATTAAGGCTATTGAAGAATGCTGCCCTCACTTAGCGAGTTCTGTTCAAATAAGGTAAGTTCATTTGTTCTTTCCATAAGCATAATTGAGATGAGAGTTCTTAATCTTAACCCTGAATACTTTTCAAGCAGAATTAAACAAGTATGTAGTTAAGGACATGATAAATTGACGTAGTAGTAGGTTTAGTAACTTTTGATCTAAAGTTCGCATTGTCTAAGTAACCTGAAACAGAGTAATGTGGCTGCTTAAACAAGTGGGCAAACCAAAGGGCAGTGCAGAATGTTCTGGTTATATGCAGTAAGCCAACAAAGCCATTTTCCAGGAAACTCTATTCTATCAATTCCCCAGCCCAGTTTTCCTGTCTTTCCTTCTCTCCCTGCCCTTAATAGTCAATATTGCAAGGCCACTCAGCATGCTCAAACCTCATTGGACTGCTTTTTAGTCGTCGTCGTCGTCCCCACTTTAGGGTTCCCCCCTCCCATCCCCCATCACGTGCAGGTGTACTTCTGCAAACCATGGGTGTGAGGGGTTTCCCCAAGCTTGATGATGCCTCTTCTTCCAGGGGTCTGCTTGAGTGTACAGTGTTACCTCGGGTTACAAACACTTCGGATTACAAACTCTGCTGACCCGGAAGTAGTACCTTGGATGGCAAACTTTGCCCCAGAGTCAGAACGGGAATCGCGCGCTGGCAGTGTGGCAGCAGCGGGAGGCCCCATTAGCAAAAATGCGCCTCATGTTAAGGATGGTTTCAGGTTAAGAATGGACCTCCGGAACGAATTAAGTTCATAACCCGAGGTACCACTGTAGTTCTTTCTTCAGAGAGTCCAAGCCTCCCTCTCCCTTTTCTAGTTCATTTCGTTCAGGAGTCAGTCCTAAATCCCAGCAAGTCAGATCTTAGAGCTGCCTAAGGGTTCCAGGGGAGGCTCTCCTCCAACAGGGGGCAGGTTTATTCTGCCGCAATACTCTTGGCAGGCTGAAATTGAGGGCTTCTATGCTTCTCCAGGTGTTTGGCGGGAGGGGGGGGGAGAATCTGTCTAGGCCCAGCCTGAAGAAAGCTTCCAGTGGGGAAGCAAGAACCATAACCAATCTCTATAGAAGCGCCTTGTTTAGGCATCCAACCTATTCCCTCCTCTGGATGTTCATCCTTTTCTCTAAGGCTTTTTATACCCCCCACAACTTCATTCTGCGTAAGGCACAGAAATAGGTATCCCTCTCTTCCACCAGACAGCTAATGGAAAGTGCTCCTACCTCCTCCCACAGCTGGAGTCTCCAGACAATGTCCAGTTGTGGTCTCCTCAGGAGTCATTGCCTGTTGGTGTGGAGTAAGGGCCAAAAACACCTGGCAAGCCCTGACAGCCCTCCACTTTCTCAGGCTGTCCCACTTGAATGAATACGTCTCTGCCATATGTATTAATTTTGTATTGTATTTAAAGTACAGTCATACCTCGGGTTACAGACGCTTCAGGTTGTGTTTTTTCGGGTTACGGACCCGCTGAAACCCGGAAGTACTGGAACAGGTTACTTCCGGGTTTCAGGGGTTGCACATGTGCAGAAGTGCTGAATTGCAACCAGCGCGTGCGCAGACGCAGCGCTGTGGGTTGCGAACGTGCATCCCGCATGGAACACGTTCGCAACCCAAGCGTCCACTGTAATCTGTTGTTTTTAACTGTTTTTATTATATTTTCTACATTGAACTGGGACATTTTTAGAAGGCCATTAATACGCAACAATAAATATTAATTAACGCAAGAATGGTACTGCTTTGGCTACATCAGAATAGGCACTTGGAATTTAGAACTCAAAAGCACAAAGTGTAAGTAGATAAATAGGTACTGCTCCAGCAGGAAGGTAAACAGCGTTTCCGTGCACTGCTCTGGTTCGCCAGAAGCGGCTTAGTCATGCTGGCCACATGACCTGGAAGCTGTACGCCGGCTCCCTCGGCCAATAAAGCGAGATGAGCGCCGCAACCCCAGAGTCGTCCGCAACTGGACCTGATGGTCAGGGGTCCCTTTTCCTTTACCTATGAATATGTATGATGGGTTTAGCTCACTCCAGATTTTGCTTATATCCTGTTCTTTAAAAATTTGAAGCAGTTGCATTTGTTTATATAGGACTTTGTATAACCTTTATAGAACAGCCTTATGGGAGGGGAGTCACACACATATGTTCCAGCTGAAATCTCCCTCCCCCAGAATGATCTCCCCTTGGGCAAATGAAAATAAGGATTAGAACATTGACTTATAAAAATTTTTTTGGCCACTGTTGGGAGAAAATGACATATTGTTGAGGAGCTAAATAGCTACTCTGAGGGTCCTGGTGGGCACATGGTCTGTGGGATGGTCTTGGGAAAACAGACATCTCTGCCCTCATGTCATATCACAAATTGCTTTGGAAGTCACTTTCAGAATACTGTTTAAAAAGTTCTAATAATAGAGTTAATTGTGTAGTTCTTTGGATCCTGGCTACAGATTTGTATAACATCTAGTTTTGTTTTGTTTTTAAAAACAAAAAACCTAAAGCTCTCTTTGCAAATGCTTGCTTGTAGAGTTTTAAGGTGTGGAGAACATGTCTACCTATAAATCCCAAAAAAACGAACAGAGTAGCATGATGTAATGGTGTCATTTCTAGTATTTTAGTATCCTCGTCCAAGTGCTCTGTATACACAGAAAATTATACAGATTGTTGAGCTGGTTGTTTTTAACCGAGTCTGTTTCTGGCCCTGTTCTTTGGCAATTAATTCTTAAAATAATAATAATAATAATAATGAAATTCTAGATTGATCTAATTTTAATGCCACTTTCTAAATGAATACTGCCCCCTGCCCCTTTCCCTACATTATTCTTTGGGGAGAGGACAATAGCTTGGTGGACTATCATATGGTTTGCATGCAGAAGGTCCCAGGTTCAGTCCAGGACATTTCCCGTTGAGATGATCAGGTAGCAAGTGATGGGAAGGGCCTGTGCCTGAGACTCCTGGAGAGCTTCAGCCAATGTGAGTAGGCAGAACTGGGCTGGATGGACATGATCTGACTCTCTGTGTGGTGGTATCACTTGCAGAATAAAGCTAATGGCAGGAGGGGAGTTGAAAGATATGGAACAATTCTTTGATGACCTTTCGGAGGCATTCAGTGGAACAGAACCAGAAGTTCACAAAACCAGCGTTGTAGGTACTGTATCATTTATTATATAAAAACCTTGGAGAGCCTCTCTTTATCCTTAGGGGCAGCCAGAGTCCTGGGCCCACAGTGCTCACCTCTTCTTCCTGGGCAGGGGAAAGAAAGCAGGGCTTCTCTCACTTTCCTCCTATTTTCAAGGTAAAGCTGTTTCTAACATTACAAAGAGTCATATGTGTAGCTTATCACATCTGATGATATTTTGCACTGATAAGTTTTTTAAAACTCCAGCAAGCTGCAGTTTCCCAATACGTGCACGTTGCACAAAACATGGTTTTGATTAGTGACTTCAGTGTGCCAATTTTTGTCAGGTGAGAAGCAGCCTTTCATTTATGTTTTCACTAGTGGAGACCATGGAGGAAACAGTGTGTGAGGGAGAAAGAGGAAAAAGAAGCCTTTTGGTTTGAGATGAGGAGGTCTGAGAATTCTTTACTGTCTTAGGGAAACTCTTCTATAAAAGGAGTGGCTAGCAGAGAGGTCAGAAAGGAATGGGTGGGTTTATACATTTGCTGAAAGTCTGTGGGAGTAAAGGAAAACTGGAGAGCAAAGAATTCAGTTCTCTATGAGTTGAGTCTGTACTAGTTTCTGATCCTTACGCCTGTGAAAATATACAGAAAAGTGGATGGGAAATGTTAGTTAAAATCTCAGAAGCCAGTGGTATGGTTGAATATGGTTTCTAGTGATTGGAGTTGCACGTTAAGTGAGCCACCGAGCTCCTAAGCACTATTCATGACCAGAACAAGCTATGCAAAACAAAGTGGATTTGCTTTGCTTAAGTTGCAGCATTCATCCAGAGTGCAAAATTAGAGTTTATTTGGGCATGTGATTAAAAAATTTTTTAGCATGGAGTATGCTTATCTTGGTTATAAGGACTGGCTCCCCATTGTGGTGTTATGTGGGTACTGCAGGATTTGATGGAGATCAAGACATCTTAATACACTCCAAGAAACAGATCCCTCCCCCCTCTCTCTGTAGGCTTGTTCCTGCGCCACATGATCCTGGCGTACAACAAGCTCTCATTCAGCCAAGTGTACAAGCTTTACACGGCTCTTCAGCAGTACTTCCAAAATGATGAGAAGAAAAGTGGAGGAGACGAGACTGAGATGGAACTGACCCACTGTGGGGAGCTGGAAGGGAAGATGGAGAAAGATGAATTTGATGGGCCTCTCAGGTAAGCTTCTAAGATTTGTTTCTAAAACTTGTCTCTGCCCTGCTTTGATAAATAAATCCTTCCAGCAGCTTTTGTCAGCTTGGTGTCCTCCCAGTTCTCATCAGCTGCTGCCAGCACAGCCATATGAATCATAGGACTGTAGAGTTGAAAGGGATTCTGAGGGTCATCTAGTCCAACCGCCTGCAGTGCAGGAATTTAAACTAAATCATACATGACAAATGGCCATCCAATCCCTGCTTTCAAATTTCCAAGGAAGGAGAGTCCGCCACCTCTCATGGGAGTCTGTTCCACTGTCAAACAGCTCTTACTGCCAGAAAGTTCTCCCTGGTGTTTAGTTGGAATCTTCTTTCCTGTAACTTGTTTGGGTCGTACCCTCCAGAGCTGAGGAAAACAAGTTTGCTGCATCCTCCATGTGATAGCCCTTTAGATATTTGAAGATGGCTATCATATCTCATCTCACACTTAGACTAAACAAACCCAATTCCTTCAACTGTTCCTCATTAGGCTTGGTTTCCAGACCCTTGATCACCTTGGTTGCCCTCCTCTGCACATATTGTAGCTTGTCCATATGCTTCTTAAATTGTGGCGCCCAGAACTGGACACAGTACTCCAGCTGTGGTCTGACCAAGGGAAAATAGAGCAGGACTATAATTTCCCTTGATTAGAATGTTAGACTTGACTTCAGTTAATGCAGCCTAGAATAGCATTAGCCCTTTTTGCTGCTGCATCACACTGTTGACTCACGTGAAGGTTGTGGTCTACTAAGACCCCTAGATCCTTTTCACAGGTACTACCGGTAGGCCAGATATCGCCCATCTTATATTTGTGCAGCTGGTTCTTCCTGCCCAAGTGTAGAACTTTACATTGTCCCAATTGAAACGCACTTTGTTAGTTTGGGCCGAGTTCTCCAATCTGCTAAGGCCATCTTGAATCCCAATTCTGTCTTCTGTGGCATTAGCTATCCCTCCCAGCTTTGTGTTATCTGCACATTTGATGAGCATCCCTTCAATTCCTTCAAAGTTGTTTATAAGGATATTGGACAGCAACAGGCCCAGGACAGAACCGTGCGGCACCTCACTTGTCCCTTTTTTCCAAGATAATGAGGAACCATTAATTGGCACAGCAAATCTATCCAGAATCTAGAGAAAAGGTCTCTCCCACCATCTGTGACTAGATCCTTCTAACAGAAAATGCCAGGAAATGAATGTAGGATCTTCCTCATGCAACACGTGCTGTATCTCTGAGCTCATTTTCCACCTCCCCCCACTCCTTAAGGCATATTATCTCAATCTTAGAGATGAAGAAGTTTACAAAAAGGCCCAAAAGACTTTGAGAGACTATTTTGAAATAAATATGAATACCAATGTAGAAAAAGAGTAATCTGGGACGCAAGCAAAGCTGTGATGAGAGGGTTTTTGATACAACAGAATGCAATAAAGAAGAGAAGTCAAAATGAAAAGAAAGATAAAATTTTGGAAAAAATAAAAGAAGGAGAGAAGAAATTGAGAGCAAAACCAAAGTCCCAGGAGATTTTGAGAGAAATAAAATTATATCAAGTACAATATATGGAAATGATGAATCAGGAAATAGAATGGAAAATCAAACAAATGAGACAAAAACATTTGAATCAGCTAATAAATGTGGAAAACTGTTGGCCTGGCAAATGAAAAAAGACAAAAATTAAATACTATTATAAATTTAGAAGTGGAAGGAAAGAGTATACATAATCCAAATGAGATTAGAAATTGCTTCCAGAAGTACTTTAAACAATTATACACACAAGGGCCACAGAAGGAAATGGACATAGACCAATTTTTGAAGACAAATGGCCTACAAAAATCTCTCAAGAAAGTAAATTAATGCTGAACTATAAAATATCTGAACAGGAAGTAGAAGGTGCCATACAAAATATGCAATTGGGCAAATCTCCAGGACCGGATGGGCTGACTTCCAGATACTATAGATCTTTGAAAGAGTGGTTACTGCAACCTTTGAAGGAAGTCTGCAATGAAATACTGGAGGGGAAAAGGGCACCAGAATCGTGGAAAGAGGCGTATATCACACTTATACCGAAAACAGAGACTGAAAAGACTCAGCTTAAGAACTATCGCCCTATATCGTTACTTAATGTGGATTACAAAATTTTTGCAGACATTTTGGCCAAGAGATTGAAAAAATATTGATGAAAGAGATTCATAAAGACCAAGCGGGCTTTCTCCGGGAAGACACCTGTCTGATAATTTGAGGAATATAATTGATATTTTGGAAAATTAGAAGTGAATATAAACACCAAAGCAGTATTGATATTTGTTGACGCGGAGAAAGCTTTTGATAATATCTCTTGGAGTTTTATGAAGAAGAATCTGCATGGGATGGGGGTAGGCCAAGGTTTTGAAAATGGTATAGGTGCAATATACTCTGAACAAAAGGCTAAATTAATTGTAAATAATGTGGTTACGGAAGAATTTAAGATAGAAAAGGGACACGACAGGGGTGCCCAATTTCCCCACTGCTTTTATATCGGTCCTGGAGGTTTTGCTAAATATGATTAGAAAGGACCGGTTGGTTAAGGGCATACAGGTCGGAGCTAAACAGTACAAATTGAGAGCATTTGCAGATGACCTAGTATTGACGTTACAGGAGCCAGAATCTAGTACTAAAAGAGTTTTAGAATTAATTCAGGAATTTGGTCAGGTGGCAGGTTTTAAATTGAACAAGTTAAAAACTAAGGTTTTAGAGAAAAACTTAACACCGATTGAAAGAGAGAGGTTTCAGAATGAGACAGGATTGAATGTGGTAAAGAAAGTGAAATACTTGGGGATTAATATGACAGCCAAAAATGGGAACTTATTTAAAGATAATTACGAAAAATGTTGGACGGAAGTGAAAAAGATTTAGAAATTTGGTCAAATTTGAAACTCTCGTTGCTGGGCCGTATTGCTGTGATAAAGATGAATGTATTGCCTAGAATGTTGTTTTTGTTTCAGACATTACAAATTGTAGATAAGATGGACTGTTTCAAGAAGTGGCAGAGAGATATTTCTAGATTTGTCTGGCAGGGCAAGAAGCCCAGAATAAAATTTAAGATATTAACTGACGCCAAGGAAAGAGGTGGATTTGCCCTGCCAGACCTTAAACTTTATTATGAATCAGCAGCTTTTTGCTGGCTGAAAGAATGGCTACTTCTTGAAAACACAGACATTTTGGATTTAGAAGGTTTTAACAATGTATTTGGATGGCATGCATACTTATGGTATGATAAGGTCAAAGCACACAAAGCATTTAAAAATCATATTGTTAGGAAAGCATTGTTTAATGTCTGGATAAGATACAAAGACTTATTGGAAAATAAAACCCCAAGGTGGCTGTCACCAATGGAAGCAAAAGCTCTGAAAAGGCTCAATATGGAGGCCAAATGGCCGACATATTGGGAAATTTTGGAGCAAGAAGGAGATAAATTGAGACTGCAGAGTTTTGAAAAATTAAAAAATAAAGTGAGAGATTGGCTCCACTACTATCAGATAATGGAGGCATATAATTTGGATAAGAAAATAGGCTTCCAAGTGGAAAAGTCAAAATTAGAAACAGAATTGTTAGAACCCAAAACTAAAAATTTGTCAAGAATGTATAACTTGCTGTTGAAATGGAATACTCAGGATGAAACGGTGAAATCTGCTATGATTAAATGGGCACAAGATGTTGGACATAATATTATGTTCGCTGACTGGGAACAGTTATGGACCACAGGTATGAAGTTTACGGCATGTAATGCCTTAAGAGAGAATATTATGAAAATGATATACAGGTGGTACATGACCCCAGTCAAGCTTGCAAAAATTTATCATTTGCCCGATAATAAATGTTGGAAATGTAAAGAAACTGAAGGTACATTCTTTCACCTTTGGTGGACGTGCCCAAAGATTAAGGCTTTCTGGGAAATGATATATAATGAACTGAAAAAGGTATTTAAATATACCTTTCTGAAGAAACCAGAGGCCTTTCTCTTGGGCATTGTTGGCCAACTGGTGCCAAAGAAGGACAGAACCTTTTTCATGTATGCTACAACAGCAGCAAGAATACTTATCGCAAAGTATTGGAAGACACAAGATCTACCCACTTTGGAAGAATGGCAGATGAAGGTGATTGACTACATGGAATTGGCGGAAATGACTGGCAGAATCCGAGACCAGGGAGAAGAGTCGGTGAAAGAAGACTGGAAAAAATTTAAGGACTATTTACAGAAATATTGCAAAATTAAGGAACTTTAGAAGGATGCTGGATAGAAATTAAGAGGTTTTTAGCTGTAATGCTTTAAGAGACATGGAAAAAAAAGGTTAACAATTGGGTAAAAGATTAATGGTAAGGATTTGCTGAACCAACAAACTGAATTGGAATACAAAGAAGGGAGGTATGAGGAGGTCTGGGGAAATAAGAGTAAGGAAGATAGGTTATGGAACATTATTGTGTTCTTAACTGTTTTATTTTGTATGTTTTTTCTTACTTTTTGCTTTTTTGTTGTAATTTACACTTTTTTCTTTGTTTTCTGTATTTTAGTGAAACTTTAATAAATATCATTTAAAAAAAAACAAAACAATCTTTTTTACAACAACCCTGGGAAGACATGGAGGTTGTCGATATTACACCCATATTGCAAATGAGGAGCTGAAAATGAGTGAGTGAGTGGTTCTGGCCAGAAGTAGTGTTTGACCCCCAGGACTTCTTCATTTATGATTCAATAGGCTGAGCATATAGAAAAGCCATTTCAGCCTCTTTGGTAGCCTTGGGGTAAGGTGGTCTTGCAATTATTAGCAGGCCTAGAATTCTGAAGGAATTTCACAGTGGGTCTTCTGCTCTGTCTCAAGGGAGGAAGAAATATCTTGCAATGGCCCACTGTCACAGAAGCAAGCAGAATACTTCCTCTCTCAACAGGTATGTTAATAGTTATTCTTAAACCTGCCCATCGGGTGAGCTAAAGGTGTGGCTTCTGGGGAGGGGGGCTTTTCCATGGTGGCACCTGGTTATCCCCAGACACATTTGCATGCTCCATTCTTAGTGTCTTTAAAATGCCATGTGAGGTCTGTCCTGTTTCCTCACACCCTAATACCTATTCACTCTGTTGGAGTACTGAAACGGTTTTTAAAGTAAAATATATTGTTGATGTGGTTGAAAATTTCAAAGGGCTTTGGATCCCAGCCTTTGAGTTCAGTTGCATTGACATCTGGATGCTAGAATGAAAGGTATGTTTGAGAGCCATTCTTGCTTGAATCCCTTAAGCCCGCTTTTCATCTCTCGTAATCAAATTAGTAAGAGCCTCTCTTTTGAGTGTAGCCTAACGAAGCTTTGGCTAAATCTCTCCATGGCAATTTGTAAACATGCTGTCAACCACCTTTTTCTTCCTGATATGGAAAGGATTCTGTTGCTGTGGTGATAATAAAATTAAATGGTTTTTAATCCCAGCAAATTCATACTTGTCTTTGCCTGGTTGCTCAAGTGACAGGTTTTTAATTTAATTCCAGGCATCTTTATTGAAAAATGATGAGACCAAAGCTCTCTCTCCAGCATCTTTGCAAAAGGAGTTGAACAGCTTGTTAAAATTTAACCCAGATTTTGCTGAAGCGGTAAGTTTGGTTTGGGTTCCCCCCACCTAGGCAGTCTGGTGTAATCTGTACTGTAGCACACTCAGCAGTTTGGTGTTGGTAGCACTGGTAGCAGTTTTACTGACATCTCTGACCCTCATTGGCTGAGCTACTATGCCCTAGGCAGGTCAGGCAGCATAGCTGTCGTTGGTTGAGGTGCCCTGTTTCTAAAGGAGGGCATACAGAAAAGAAGAATGTGTCAACAAATTAGCAGCTAGGAAAGGTAGGGCACCTGGGAAAGCAATGGGAATTGGTACAGAATGCTGAGAGAAGGAGGGGGTGGGAAATTGAGAAAGAGGGAATGGGCAGGAAAAAGAGGAGCACGTGGTTGGGGACTGCAGTGATAAGGAAAGTGGAAAGTACCGTGGTTTGAAATTAGCCCACCAGATTCTTGTCCTCATGGCCCCTAGATTTATCATTGGGTGACCTCACAACCTTTCACCAAATTACTGTGCGCTAAATCTGTGTTCAGTGTGGCCATTGCAGTTGCCTCTGATCACTCACAAGCTGCTGTTTGCTGCTGTTTTCACTTCCAGCATTATTTAAGCTACTTGAATGGCCTTCGGGTCCAAGATGTCTTCAGTTCAACACACAGTCTCCTTCACTACTTTGACCGCTTGATTCTCACCGGCGCAGAAAGCAAAAGCAACGGCGATGAAGGCTGCGGGCGGAGCCTGAGATACGCAGCTCTCAACTTGGCTGCGCTGCACTGCCGCTTTGGTCACTAGTGAGTTCCTTTGTGTTCCTCCTGCTGCACAAATTGGGATGAGATCTTCTCCCCCCATCTGCCACATTGCTGTTTTCCCTCTGAGAGATCTCATGTGAACTCAAGATGGTCCCACAAGATCTCGCGAGGGCATCCCAGAGCCCCTTTGCTGAGCAGCACTTGCCTGGTAAGCAAGGCGGAGCACTTAAAAGCTCTCTGCCTTAAAAGCATGCCACCTTCAGAAGGTAAGGATGTTTGCACAAGGGGAGGTCAGGTATGCAATATGGTAAGCTCTTACAGTTCCCTTCCTTAGCAGTAATGGTAACTGCAAACAATAAAACAAAATAAACTAAAAATTGTAGTGATAAGATGATGGTAAAGAATAAAATAGTAATAGGAAATTGGAAAGAAAGTCATCACCAGCATTTTAATGGAGGGAAACATGAATAACATGATTTGTTCAGTGAAGTCAGCCTTTGAGTGGGCCCATTGAATGAATAGACTTTGACTTGACTCCGTTGATTTCTGTGGGTCCACAGTGAGCATGGCCTAGCTCGATGCAACCCAAACTTACTGAGTTTCATTCAATAATATCAAAAAAATTGATATGAAATTTATACAAATAAACAGCAACTGACGGGATTGCTTTGATCAAGGATGTTTCCTGAATTTTGTCATTCCAGTAATGGATGAAACGTTTTTAACACAAAGGAAGTGGTTATCTCACTCACTTGTTCATTTCCTTGCTGTGCTGAAAATGAATCAACTGAGACTGAACGTTTCTCTAAAACACGATGCACAACTCACCCCCTGAGCCCCCCAGCAAGACTTGAGAGCCAGACACTTTTTCAATGAGCCAAGGAGGGAGAAGGGGGGACCTCAGCGTGCCAGCGGGGGAAGAGGGATTGTCTTCTCTCTCTTTATGCTGATCTCCACACAGACATATCCAGCCGGTCCCTTGGCCTATTTTCCCAGCTGCTGTTGCTACCACTCCTGCTTCTGCCTTCCGGAGCTGACCCCTTGCACTGTGGTTGCATTTCTGTGCAAAGGCCCCCGACTGTACTGTGGATCAGAAGTGCTTCCCCCCCCCCCCAGCTCTTAGCATCAAGATTCTACTTATTGCTAACCCTGAAGTCCACTGGGCGGGGTGGGGAATCAACAATGGGATATGATCTTTTTGGCCCCTGACAGTTCCAGGCCCTGCTCCTAACAGATCCCTGGGTTTTTTCACCTCCATGCCTGTAACATCTTGTTGTTGGATGAGTCTGCATGAAGAGAATCTTGGCTACCTCTGTGTTTCCTTTGACTGTAGCCAGCAGGCTGAGCTCGCCCTTCAGGAAGCTATCCGGATCGCTCAGGAGTCCAATGACCACGTCTGCCTGCAGCATTGCCTGGTAAGATGATGGAAGCTTTCAGCTGGTGTGACAGAACTGTTGCTCACTTCCTTTCCACTACTGGTGCCTTCACAGATGCTGTTCCTATTTGCCATAAACTCTGAGGATTGGACAGGCTGCAGGTCTGCAAAAATCTTGGCTGGTTTTACTAAACGGCTTAAAATTGTGATCCGTTGTTTCCATCCAGCCCATGTTTCATCTAGTTTAAAAAAGGAAACGAAGAAAACAATTGATTTGTTAGGTTTTAAAAGCTGATTCTTTGCCTCCAGCTGGCTCTGGCCGTAACAAGTATGGCTGTGTAAAAGCATTCTTTTGCTTAATCTGTATTCCTTAACAATTTGAACACTGCACTGGGAGCTTAAATGCTTGTAGGAGTTTAATCTTTACTGGTAAATGCCTTGGCTTCTATAGGTTTTCCTTCCCCTTTAATGGCACCAATTTGAGAGAGAAGATTCCTGCCTCAATGGCAGAATAAAAACTTTAAAGCTGTGAAACATCAGAAGCAGCATCAACCACTGTCAAAACCTATGACCATAACTCTGTGGGTCCCATTGATTTGTGGTCCGCTGGCATCCATTCTTAATGTGAGGCTCACTTTTGGCATGCTTGACTCCTGAAAGGCTGTTTGCAGGCATCTATAAAAGAGGAGAATCTACTGCTGCTCTGTTGTGTCTGTGGACCAGCCTTCCCCTACCTGGTGTCCTCCTAATGTTTTGGACTACATCTCCCGTTGGCTCCAGCCAGCACATGCTGTACTCCTTAGCCTCTAGAGGGTACCAAGTTATGAAAGACTGATTTAAACTATTATGCAACATTCATTCCCCCCTTAACTCTTCACTTTCCAGAGCTGGCTGTACATCTTGGAGCAGAAAAGGTCGGACAGCTGTGTGCTCTTGGAGCACTCTGTGAAGAAAGCCGTCTATTTCGGATTGCCAGTATGTCTCTCCCACCCTTATTTATCCATTCCTTTGTCATTATAACCGTTTTACACAGCCCTTGGATTAAATGTGTTAAGGGCTGTTAGCAATAAGCAAAACTTCAGTTTTTACAATTGTAAAGGGCAATCACAGCAGATTTCCCTTTTTAAAAAATACGTTAGATGCTTGGCTGCAGCCCTCCCTGGGAGAAGGTTCTGTAACTGGGGTGGCACACCCAAAAGCACCCTCTTCGCAGTTGCTCCCCCAAACACACCTTGTCCTTGGAGATGCCAGGGACTAAACCTGGGACTTCCTGCAGGGACTCTGCCGCTGAGCTGCCTCCCTTCTCCAAACTCTGGCCCTGCGAGCTTGGCTCTTGTCGTTTGCTTGGGGCTCTCGTTGACTAATTGCTTCCCTTTTCAAATTCTGTGACTTTGTTTATTTTGTTCCTTTCTCCTAGTATTTAGCTTCCCTGGGGATCCAGTCCTTGGTTCAGCAAAGAGCTTTTGCGGGGAAGACTGCCAACAAACTAATGGGCGCCTTAAAGGACTCTGACCTCTTGCACTGGAAACACAGCTTGTCCGAACTCATTGACATCAGCATTGCTCAGAAGACGGCCATTTGGAGACTGTACGGTCGCAGGTAGAGCAGACCCTTATTCATCTGCCTGCGCCCGCCTGCCGCGTGCCCTGATTCTGCAGGAATGTGGAAAGGCTGCTGAATGTGGTATTGGCCACAGACTTAGGCTTCCTGGTAATCTCTGCTGTCAGTTAAAAACAAAAGTTTCTAAAATGGGTGGGTGCAAAAATAAAAATTCTAAATTCTAAAATGGTTGCTTGTGGGCAACCATTCCTTCTATTTCCAGTGTTCAAGCTGTGAGTGCTGCTGCATATGTAACCATTGTGGCACCACTCATGCACAGGAAAGACTGACCAGCAGGCTTGGCAGAACCCCATCAGCTGCAGAAGTACCAAAAATCTGAATATAGTTGGCGGCCCCAGAGGCTTCAACTGCTCCCTGTTGCATGATGTCTCCCTCTTGCCATAGGTTGCACCAGGGCTGCACAGCAGGCCCACACGCTCCAGGGGGGAAACAGCTTCAGGTGGGAGAAGCCAAAAAACAGCTCAATCCAACTTATTGTATTCAGTATATGTACAACTTGACTTTGCCAGCAGAAGATGCAGTGAACCTACAGGGAAGTCCCAAAGAACTGAGCATGATCAGTGGCGATGGAATGCTGACTAATTAGGCCTGGGTGGGAGGGATGGAGTATCCAAGAGCACTGAGCAGCAGCACCCCATGCTGCAACATTCTGTTGCAGATCTCACTTGTCCCTACTAAACCTCAGCAGTTTGAGGGAATGCTGGAGAAGATCTCCAGCTGTCAGAAGCAGGGATTCATCGCCCTACAAAGTTTCTCTGTATCCCCACAACCAGCAGAACTGAAATAGACTGCAAAAATAAAAAAAAAAGGGAACATGCAAAGGATTTTATTTTATTTTTTACTGCAAAGTACATGAGATGCTTCTTCACATAGCCTGCGGTGCTGAGTCTGTGGCTATCATCCTTCAGCACTTAAATCTTCCTCTTGCCCTAGCACTATGGCCCTCCAACAGGCCCAGATGTTGCTGAGCATGAACAGCCTGGAGGCCGTGAACGTGGGTGTGCAGCAGAACAACACCGAATCGTTTGCTGTGGTGCTGTGCCACCTGGCAGAACTACACGCGGAGCAGGTGGGTGGGGTGTGTGTGACTGCATGCTCTGGTTCCACACAGTCATTTGCTCTGTAACTGGCAGTTCTTTTTCTTCCTGGAGGCTGGAGGGAGAGGTCACTCTTCCCCTGAAGCAGCACCTTGGTTCTAAAAGGCTCTGGGACAGCCTGGGAAGACTGTCCTTGGAGAAATTTGGCTTTTAAACTAGGAGAGCAAGTCTCTGGCCGTCTTCAGCCCTCGACAGACACCCCTTTGCTGCTACAGAGAGCTTTTGCTCCAGCTTTTAGCTCCTGGAAGAGAGAGGACAAGATGTGCCAAAGCCTCAGAGGCCTAGGAATTATCTGTCACCCCTGGGCTTCTCCTGACTGCTCGTTTTTTTCCACCAGCCTTTTGCTGTTCTGTTAATATTGTTATTGCTTTGTTCCGTGGTTTTTAATACAGTGGATGCTCGGGTTGCGAACGTGATCTCTGTGGGAAGCACATTCGCAACCCGCAGCACCGCGTCTGAGCACACGTGATCGCGATTTGGCATTACTGCGCATGTGCAAAGCGCAATTTGGTGCTTCTGCGCAAGCACCAAAACCCAGAAGTAACCCGTTCCAGTACTTCTGGGTTTCGGCGCGGTGCACAACCCAAAGCATCTGTAACCCAAGGCATGACTGTATTAAAATTTTAGTAAAAGACTTGTTTTGATTTTAGTTGTGATGGCCTTGTAATCCACCCTAGGACCATTTGGTGAATGGGGGCTGCTATAAATATAGATAATGTAGGGTTGTCATATTTCAAAAAGTAAAAACCAGGACACCCTGAAAGTTGTTGAGCCCAAATGTTGTCGGGACATATGGTAGCCCTAAGATAATGTCTAATAATACATATTCGGGTATCGTCTGAATCTGCTGTGAGCATGCTTGCTTGCTTGCCTCCCTTGTCTGTCAGACTTCCAAGCCTTTTCAATCATCCTTAGGCTCCACCCCCTCATCCAGTAGGGTTGCTTTTTCTCCTTGTGGCACTACTATCTCACCCACCAATCAATTCAGCTGTTGCACAGTCCATGCAGGACACCAGTGGATGGTGCCCACTTCCAAGATGTGGCTGGGTTCTCGGTTTCCCATTCTGGGAAAGAGCAGCTCCCATCAGACCACCACCTTGGCGTTCACAAATTGATGACACTTGCCCACTGTGGAGTCCCCTTGTCAAGTGAACTCTCTGGTTGGATACTCATGCAAGTGTCGTATGTTTGACAGCTTTCCATGACTGCCCAAGTATAGCCATGATGTGCTTTGGGGGCTCCACCTGAAAAAGTGAGTCTAATGGAGAATAGTTCCCAGGTCCCAGAAGGTTCTACAGCTCCTGCTTGCGTAGAACCATTTTAAATTTTCCATTTCTGCATCTGACAAAGTAGGCCATCCTGTGAAAAGAAAAAAAACACCAAACCTGCTCTTAAAATCACTTATTTGTTGATAATCTGCAAGAGGCTGCTGTTGTAATGGTGTGTTAATCAGTTATTTATTTTCAGGCTGTTTCATTCTGGGGCACTTTATATTATTTTTCTATTTCTCTTCTAAACTCCTTTGTGTACCATGGCAAAAAGGCAGGTTAGGAAATAAAAAAGAAATCAAATAAATAGTCAAGCACAGAGTCCAGTCAAAGGCAAGTTCTGTTAGGGCTCCTTCAGTGAGAGAGTTCTCACTTCTGTTGAAATCAATGTGACTTAAAAGCACTTAGCCTTAGCAGGATTGTTCCCCAAATCTTAATTTTTTTTCTTGGAATTCCTATAGACATCAAGGTTTCTGTTTTGAGAACCAATTTCTTGAACATTTACTTCAGTCTTTTCTTTCTGTGTATGTTTGTGTCAGGGCTATTTTACAGCAGCCTCTGAAATACTGAAGCACCTCAAAGAGAGATTTCCTCCCAACAGTCAGCATGCACAGGTGAGGCCCAATGTTTGGACTGTAAGCTCCTTGGGAGCAGAGACTTATCTTTTTTTATGACATAGGGATGATGATGAAGAAGATGAAGCAGCAGCAGCAAAGCATCAGCACTCTCAGCTTGCTTTGGGTAGCATTTCTGAACAGTGCTGTGTCCAGGATTTGAGGGGCCTTCTTAACCTCTTAAATTCCCATGCTTCACCTGGAGGAAGCTCTCTGCAGACTTAAGTGAGAATAGTTATGGTTCCCACATCTCAAAAAGGCTAATGTACAGCTGGGGAAAGACGAACAGAAAAGGTGAAAAGTAAAACACCACCCAAAATGTGACCAGGGATCTGGAGCAGCTCACCTGGTGAAAAAAGGCTAACATGGTGCCTCCCCAGTGCTGTTGGGCTCCCATCTCCCTCCAGCCCCTGCCAGCATGGCCAGCGCTCAAGGAAGGTGGGAGGTGCAATCCAGCAACATCTGGAGGAGCCACAGGTTCCTCTGCCCTGGTTTAGAGATAAGGCGGCAAATGATGCCATTATGCATGGTGTGAAGAAAGAAAAGTGATTCTCCTCCTCCTCTCCTTGGTCCTCCAAGGAAGGTGATTGGCATGAGATTCAGGGCAGGCAAGAGGAAGTCCCTTTCCACGCAGCACATGGTTAAGCAAAGGACTTGGACGAAAGAGTCTCTTCAGTAAAGGGACAGGGAGGGGACTGCAGGGATGAGTGAACTGGAAAAGAGATGCCACCTGATCCAGGAATATCGGAAAGGACTTCCGGATGCATGGACGTGACACCGGTAACGCCAGACGACTGCATCCTGGAGGATAAGAATACCTGACCCAGTCTGCTAAAGCAAGCACCCCATCCTCTGGGTTCTGTCATGGCCATCTTGGCTACAGCACCCTTTGATTTGTGTCAGGCCAAAGAAAGCAGAACCTGAAATGTTAGTACCTCTGTAAAATATATACCTATATGAAGTTGGCGTGTCATATATTTATGAGGTGTGTGTGTAAGTAAGACTCCTGTCCTGTTTCTTTTTAACCTGATCCGGAAATGTTCTTCTCCAGCTGTGGATGCTGTTTGAGCAGAAGATCCAGTTTGACAGAGCTATGAACGATGGCAAGTACCATGTTGCTGGCTCCCTGGTGGCTGGGATTACAGCCCTGAATAGCACCGAGGGGGTTTACAGGTAAGAGATCACACACCTGCAGGAACAAGGGCCTCTTCTGATGTCCCCTTGAAAAGGGATTAGCATTAACATGGGATTAAAATGCCTGTGGGATAAGGCATTGTATTCCTCTTTCTTTCTTTCTACTTGTGCTAGCTTTTCCCACTGTTACACTGTAGAAAATAAAAATAAAAAATATACACAAGACATTTTGTACATGCATTTACCGCATGAGTTGGGAAAAGACTCATTGGCCCTCAGCCGTTGAGTGCGTGGACTGCCAGTGCTGGATGTTTCACTACCCATCGTACAGCCCTAGGAGCTTGGAAAAACTTGCTTCTTTTAAGAAGAGAGAGAAACATAACTAGGATGCTTCCTTATTCCCTATAGGCAAGGCCACAAATCTGTGGCAGACCACCTACTCTGTGTGCAAAAGGTTCCAGGTTCAGTCCCTGGCGTCTCCAGGTGAAGCTGCACAAGACACCTGTGCGAAACCCTGGAGAGCTGCTGCCAGTCAGTGTATGTATGACTGAGCTAGATGAAGCAAGTTCTACTATTTGTCTACCTAGCCAAGTATTGTCTTTTCTGGCTGGCAGCAGCTCTTCTGGAGCTCAGGCAGTCTTTCCTCGCTTGCCACCCAATGCCAGAGATTGGGCCTGGGCCTTCCTGCCCCTCTGCGTGCCCCTTCCCTCCGCAGCATCTGAGCAAGCTGCATTCTGCATACCATGCTGCTCTGCGCCCGCAGTGTGAATGCTCTGGTTAGGGCAGGATGCCACCCGTGAGCCCATAAATAGAGGGAAAGCAAACAATTTCTAACGCCCCCTTTCTGAAAAGTCTGTTGCCCGATGCCAATTGGCTCTTGCCATGGCGAGGTGACTTTTGCCTTGCTGAGTTCTATGACCTTTCAGATGCGTTGGTGGGAGAGGGGTTATTTGTTTGCTTGTTATTATGTTATGAATTTTTGCGTTTTTATACTGTAAACTCATCCTTTGATGAACGGCAGTATATAAATTTAATAAATAAAATAAATAAAAATAAAAAGCAATTAAAATGCAATTAAAAACCACTATGAATATATAATATGGACACACCATGGACTACCTGAATGAAACTTGCAGACCACAGTTTTGGAGCCCCTGCATTAGGGTTGAATCAGAAACTATTGACGCTTCATTGCAATCCATTCTTTGAATTAAACTATTAGAAGTCTGTATTTTATTTTGAAAAATTATATCCTGCTTTTCATCATCTAGGTCTCAAAGCTGCTTACTATGATAAAAAGCTGCTTACTGTGATAAAAAAACAAACAATATACAAAATTTTAAACATAAATTAAACCACAGAAATTTAAATTCCCAGATATTTTTAAAAGAACATGAGGAATTTATTTCTTTATTGTTTTTAGTGGTTGGTGGCTGTAAGGCCCTAAAATGTGGGATACATGTAAATAAAATCTTACGCTTGATCCAGCCAAAAATAAGCACTTTGACATCCCTTTGATTTTGAGGGAAGAGATTTTGAGCACTTGAAATCATTGCAAATTGGGCGTGCTTCAGACTCCATTTTGGGGCTCCTGGGATTCTGTCTTCCAGAAAAGCCATCCTGCTTAAAGCGCAGAATCAAATGTCTGAGGCGCACAAACTCCTGCAGAAGCTCTTGATTCACTGCCAGAAAATTAAGAACACTGAGATGGTGATCAGGTAAGCATTGAGCTGCCCGTTGCTCCCAAGGCGAGTTTCCCTGGGCGTCTTCTAAGAGCCCTGCAGCCGTGGGGTGAGGCTGGGGGTCCTGCTGGGCCTCTTTCGTGGGCCTGGGGGAAGCTCACAGGGCTTTCCGGTAGCAGCTCCCCCCATGCAGAATGCTGTCCCCAGGGAGGCCCACCTGGTATCAGGGCAGCCCTCATTTCAGCACTAACAAATAATGTTTTGCTTTCCTGGCATCTGGGCATCACCAGTATTTTGATTACATTATAAACATGCTTGTGTATTTTTATTTTTATTGTTGTTGTTTTTACTCTGCTTGTAAATCACTTCAGACTTTATATTATATTTTATTTATTTATTTTAAAAATAAGAATAAAATGCTTGTGCATTTTTATTTTTTTTTATTCTGGTTGTAATTCACTTCAGATATCTTGTAGTGTGCTTCCTTTCACACTGCTTCCTCTACTTTAGTCTCTCCGTTTCCTGCAAGAAGGGGTGGGGCTATAATACCAGCTTCAAGTGCTGGACAGGGCCGGTGGCTCAGTAGTAAAGCACCTGCTTTGTAGGCAGAAGGTCCTGGATTCCGTTCCCAGCACCCCTAGGTAGGAATAGGTATGTCTCCGCTCTGAAAGTATAGTGTCTAGACCAGTGCTTCTCAAATGTGGGTCCCCAGCTGTTGTTGGACTACAACTCCCATCATCCCTAGCTGGCTGGACCAGTGGTCAAGGATGATGGGAGTTGCAGTCCAACATGGCTGGGGACCCAGGTTTGTGAAGCACTGGTCTAGATCAAGGGAACTAATAGCACCGCTCTATCTTGCCTTGGTCAGACCCAGCCTGGAGTCCTGTGTCCAGTTCCCAGCTGAGAAGCTGGAAGGTATGTAAAGGAGGGTGACCAGGATGGTCAAGGATCTGGAATCCAAGCCTTATGAAGAACAGTTGAGGGAATTGGGTATTGGTTGAGCCTGGAGAAGAGGAGAGGTGCTATCTGAAGGGCTGTAACATGGAGGATGGAGCAGGCTTGTTTTCTCCTTCTCCAGAGGGTGGGACCCGAACCAATGGCTTCAAGCTCCAACTAAACCTCAGGAAGAACTTTTCTGCTGGTAGGAGCTGTTCGACAGTGGAATGGACTATCTTGGAATCTGTAGACTCTCTTTCAATGGAGGTTTTTAAGCAGAGGTTGGATGGGCTATTTGTCGGGAATTCTTTGACTCCATTTCCTGCATTGTAGCAGGTTGGACTCCAGTACGTTTCCAAGCACAATTCAAAGTGTTGGTGCTGACCTTTCAAGCCCTAAACGGCCTTGGTCCAGTATAGCTGAAGGAGCGTCTCCACCTCCATTGTTCTACCCGGACACTGAGGTCCAGCGCCGAGGGCCTTCTGGCAGTTCCCTCACTGCAAGAAGCCAAGTTACAGGGAACCAGGCAGAGGGCCTTCTTGGTGGTGGCACCCGCCCTGTGGAACACCCTTCCACCAGATGTCAAAGAGAACAACAACTACCAGACTTTTAGACGACATCTGAAGGCAGCCCTGTTTAGGGAAGCTTTTAACGTTTGATTCATTATTGTATTTAATATTGTGTTGGAAGCAGCCCAGAGTGGCTGGGGAAACCTAGCCAGATGGGCGGGGTATAAATAATGTTATTATTATTATTATTATGACCCTTTGGGCCCCTTCCAACTCTAAAATTCTGTGGCTCTATGAAACCCTGGAGAGCCACTCCTGCCATACTTGACAATTGGGACCAGTGGTCTGACTTGATAGGCAGTAGCTTCCTACATTCCTAAGAGTTGGGTTTCCCCGCTCCTCTACTTACGCACACTGTTGTATTTCTTTCCTTGCTCCCCCCTGCATGACTTAGTGTCCTCCTGTCCATTGCTGAGCTCTACTGGAGGTCTCTGTGCCACACAATAGCTCTGCCCGTCCTGCTGCAGGCACTGGCTCTGTCCCAGGAATTCCGCCTCCAGTACTTGGCCTCTGAAACCATCCTCAACTTGGCTTTCTCCCAGGTATATTTGGCACAGGTGCAAGCAGTACCTGCTTTGTTCTTCCTGCTCCTTTATGCAGTTCTATCAGTGTGCCGTAAGGGGACAGCCCCTCGCCCCAAGAGGCTTGCAGTTTAAAATTTGATGCACAAAAAGAAATAGTAAAACTTACATATGCATATAAGTTTAATACATTTATCAGTGTTTAATTGTTTTAAAATGATTGCTCTATGTTTTCAGGGGTTCTTATTTTTATCTGTAAATAAATATATATTTTTATGTATAAAAATCTATAATAATTATAATAAAAGGGGGGATAATAGGCATTTATTTCATTCTCCTGTACTTGGGCTTAGTGAATGACCTTGGGATGTGAGATCTAAAACAGCCGTTCACCAACATAATCTGCAGTTGGGACTCCAAATCCCATCAGTCCCGGCCAGCGCAGCCCAGCCATTGGGGATGGTGGGAATTGTAGTCCACTCACACCTGGGAGTGTCACAAGTTCCCGAAACCCCGTTTTAACTTCTACACAATACCTAATTCAGCAAAGCGAAATCTAAACCAGCAGGTGATGATCTCTGCCTGACATTGGGGGCTCCCGCTTCCCTTCCAGCTAATTCTTGGCATTCCCGAGCAAGCGCTGAGCATTTTGCACATGGCGATTGAGCCCATCCTGGCTCACGGGGCAGTGCTGGACAAAGGGGCCGCCATCTTCCTGGTGGCCAAGTGCCAGGTCGCCTCTGCTGCCTCCTACCCTCCCCAGAAGAAGGCGGAAGGTAAGACCTCTCCGTGCACCTCCTCATCTCTATTCCATAGGCATGCGAGTGAAACGATATATTGCGGGTGGGAGGACTCAGCCCAGGAGGCACAGGCCTTCAAGGGCATCCCTTGGGTACACACATCACCCTCCGTCCTCCGCCCAGGGACACAGTCCAGCCAGGGAAGTGATATGGGAAGGGGACAGAGCAGGGCCAAGAAGAGGTGTGGCTGGTGGAGGCTTGGTTCAGGCAGAATCCTGAAGGCCCAGATAGGCAGATGGCTTTATAATCTATTTAATCAACTGCATTTTAATATATTTCACTGTTTGATCTTTGAGGAGGGGGGTGTTTTTTTAACAGTTGGGCAATATATGGATTTTATGAAACAAACAAGACAAATGTTTAAGCAGGAGAAGAAAAACTTTGCTCTTTTTTGACAGCTCTGGAGTCAGCTATCCTGAACCTCAACGAAGCCAAAACCTATTTTGCCAAGGTGGAGTGTAAGGAGCAGCTCCGGGATGTCCTTTATCTGCAGGCCAGGCTCTTCCACAGCCTTGGCAAGGCCCAGGAGAGGAACCAGTGTGCCATGCTCTTCCGCCAGCTGCACCAGGAGCTCCCTGCGCGGGGGGTCCCCTTGATCAACGCCTTCAAATGAGCCCTTTGAGCAGAGGGCCTCATTCCAGAACAACAGGGCTCAGCGCCGTTCTGCTTCAGCAGGACTTGGGCAAGAGAACTCTCAAATAGATTGCCTCCTAAGCTGTTCCTCTACAGCAGCCTTTCCGAGACTAGTCCTGTCCTCATGTTTGGGCTGGGGCTGATGAGGTGGTAGTCCAAAACATCTGGAGTTTCTCCCCCACCTCCTTCCATTTATTATTATATGTCTCTTCTTCTGTGCAATCCTCAGCGTTTGGAAATCAGTATCAATAAAGTTGTAGGTTTTGGGGGTTTTTTCTTGCTACAAAGAAGGATGTTTCTGTCTGCCCTGAAATATGTTTCGCTTTGGCTGCAATTCATGGTTTGCTTGGGGATTTCCTGCCCCCCCTTCTTCTTGCAGCTGAGACTTGAGCATTTGGCTTTACAAGTGGCTCCATTGTAGGGAAAGTAGGCTTCAGGAGCACAAAAGGTTACTTGTGTGGGCAGCTAATTGGCGACTTACTTGCGAATTGTGCAATTTCTTCATAAAGTGTGGGACTTCTCCCCGCCTCCCCTGTGTTTGGAAACAGAAGTGGTTGGCTCAGAAAGGACTAAGAGCCTGTATGCCTGGCTTGGATGCAGTACGATCACTTTCTTAAAATACTTCTAGGTTCCACAAAGCATGCCATCCTCACCAGCTTCTAAGGAAAAGAACAAAATTTCTAGCTCTCGTGGACGTCTCAGGAGATCTGAAACCACATGAACAAAGGCAACCCCAGCTTCACCACAATAGTTTAAACATTATGTATCCTAAGTATACTGACATTACAGTGTGCTCTATGTGGGGCTACCTTGGGATTGATCTGGGCACTTCTGCTGTTGCAGAACGCCGTGACTTGGTTGCTTGTTGGGGCATATTTGCCTTGTTTACAGGGTTTGCATCACTGTCAGTTTGTTAACGAGCCAAGTTCAAGGTGTTGATACTGACTTAAAAGTTCCTGTACAGCTTGGGACCAGGTTACCTGAGAGACTGCCTTATCCCTTATACACCCAGTAGGTGGCTGCAGTCTGCAGGAGAGTTTCTCTTGCAAGTTCCAAAGATCTCAGAAGCCCGCTCTGCAGAAACTCTGAGCAGGGCTTTTAGTGCGGCTGCTGCTGTTGTATGGAATAGCTTTCCCCTCAAGATACAACAAACACTCATTATCCTCACTTCCTGGAAAGAGTCAAATGTATTTTTGTTCCAGCAGCCTTTCCCAGCTGGATAAATGGGTCTTCACCATGGTATTAATCTTCTAAATGCACTTGTTGCTTTTAAGTGTTTATTAGGAGAAATTCACATTAAATTGTTGAGAAATTTTCATGATTTTTAAAAAAAGAAACTGATGTGGAAAACTGAAGATAGGAAAAATAAAAAACTGAGAGACCTGAAAATGGCAGATTTGTCTATCCCTGGTGACTACAAGATGCTAAACTGTTGAGTGAGGTGGGGTGGGTGGAATGGAATGGAGTATCCTGGCAGATGGGGTAACTGGCTTGCTAGAACCCTGAACAGAAGTGTTCCACGTTACCACATATTGTTTCAGGTCCTCTGTATCGGTGCCCTTTCCATTTCCATATATGCAGTCTTCGTATCCAGCTCAGAGCCACAGTTCCTGCCATGACCACAAAACAGCGAGAGGGTTTACCCAATGGATCATGTTGTGTTTGTGTGTGTTCCTGCAAGACGGGTTCAAATCCTCAGTGGACGGCCTTGGGAAATCATCTGTGCCTCATCTCTCCCACCAGCAAAATGGGAATAAATAATTTATAGGAGTGAGAGATGTAAAATGCCATGTGTGCTTAAATGACCTGATCAGGGGAGCTGCTGGCTCTCCATTCCTTTTGCTGGGAGGGAGAGGAGGGACCACACACAGGATAGACACACCCTGGGTACTCCCATCTTTTGGACTGGCCTGACAAACTGGGTTTGGCGAGTTCGAATCAACTCGCGCTGGCCCAAACTACTTTCTTATTTTGCAGCTGAATGAAAGGAAAACCACTGAGTCACAGAGCCCTGCCACGATTCTGTGTCAGAAAATTGGTTTTGCATTTCATGTCTATTTGACCGTATATATTGGGACAGGGTACCCTTATGGTTGACTGTGCATGTTATATAGGAACTTCTATAGCATACTACACTGTAAAGGCCATACTAAGCGGCAGAGTGCCTTCCCTGCAAAGCAGCAGGTTCCAGGTTCCGTCCTCTCTGGCACCTCCAGGTGGGGTTGGGAGACTCTTGCCTGAAACCACTGCTGGCGATGAGCGTAGATTATGCTACATTTGAGCCAAATGGTCCAAGGGTCTGAAAGCAGCCTCCCATGCTCCTACTTCCTTTTGATTGTCTTAGCCTAATGCATCCTTCAAATCGGCTCACTCCAACCATGTAAGCATAGCCAGACTGAGTCCCAGCCCCTTTGGGGATGCTTACGGTTTCGGGAGGGTTGTTGTTGTTGTTTTAGCACTGCCAATGCAGCTTTATGATTAACATCCTTATTTGTTGACATAGTGCTGTGGGTGTTGGCAGGTAACCCATTATTTTCAAAGCTAAGAGCGCACCTGTGTTCCAAAGTCCGTTGGAGGCAGACTGGTTTCCAAATTGCAAGCTTTACCAGACGGCTGATATAAAGCAGTCCTGGACGCTGTGTTGTTTTTATTCGTGCATTATTGAAAACTCTTGGATGGCAAAGTCCTCCAGATGCGACCTGGGAGCTGGAGAAGAGCCTAGGAGCAGCTTTTAGCACATGCAAAGGTAATGCAAATCTGTCTTGAGCAATTGTTTCAGCGGAAATGTAGCTCTGGGGTGTCCGCTTTTAAGTAGGCCACCCCCCTCTTCGTTAGAGTCGGGGTGTCTGGGTAGGAGGAACCTTTAACATCTTGGCATAGCCTTGGAAGCAAAGCAGCCCAGTGGAAGGAAATCATCAGGAGTTGTGTAGGCTCTCCCAACCTGTAGGTTGCATAGACAGCAAATTTCCTATTTTCAAGGCAGTAGCAGTATTGGACTACAACTGTAAGCCTACTTACTAGAAATGAACCCCGATGAACTCTGCAAGACTTACTTTTAAGTAAGCATGCATACGATTCTTCTACAAGAAAGAAGATTCCACCTAAACCTTAGGAAGAACTTCCTGACAGTAAGAGCTGTTCGACAGTGGAATTTGCTGCCAAGGAGTGTGGTGGAGTCTCCTTCTTTGGAGGTCTTTAAGCAGAGGCTTGACAACCATATGTCAGGAGTGCTCTGATGGTGTTTCCTGCTTGGCAGGGGGTTGGACTCGATGGCCCTTGTGGTCTCTTCCAACTCTATGATTCTGTGATTCTATGATTGTATGCTAGCAAGGGAGATGTGAAGCAATGCAAGAATCACAAATAAAGCATCCCTGACAGATCAATCAATCAATCTCACCATCTCTATACATGGTGATTTACAAAGAACAGGTTTGACAGGTCCCTGCCCCATTAAAAATGAAAGAGAATAGACATGGGGTGCAACATATGGGAAGAATATGCAATTATTTCAAATGTACTTTGGCTTCATTACAATGGATATTGACACCAGCAATTGGTTTCAAATGCTATTTTTCTCTTGATACTTCTGATATTTTAACTTTGTTTGTTATTGGTTAATTATGATGGCTTCATTATCTGCAAACAGAAATACTGAATGCTGGATACAAATTTGTAAATAAATACTGACCCACCAGTGTTGGGTAAGCACTGAAACAGAAAAGGAGAGTTCTCCTTTCAACTACGGTACTTCCTTTTTTGTGTGATATCTGATCAGTCCTTTTTACACATTTAATCCCTGCCCACCCCCCTCTGCAAGGTACCAGTGGTTTAAGAATGGCTGTGGGCCTTTGAAGGAAATGCAGCTGAAACTCCAAGTGCTAAAACTGTGCCTGCTTGGAAGCTGTTGAACAAAACAACTTTCCCGGTCACACACAAAAACCCAGCCAGTTGCTGCTGTCCAGTGCTGCATATCTTTGGATATTTGTGATGGCAGGTGAGAAAAAAACAAAGCCTCCTTCTCCCCAAAAAGTGCTTTGGGTGTGTTTAGGCAGCAGGCACATGGTTAATGGAGACGCTACAACATTGCTCTGCCTGGCATGTTGCCCTTACTAAGCCTCTGAGCAAGTTGGTGTCCTGTTTTTTTTTTGACTGCCAGTTTGAAAATGGAGTTTACCTTCAACAGTGATTTTTTTTTTTTTTTACAATTTAGAGTGATGTATGGAACGTGATATGCAACACCCATTTTCTCCCCTGTCCAGCTTGTATCCATGATAGACATGCCTCTTGCCTTGCCATTTACTTATTATTTACTTATTGCCAAGAGTAAACCCCAGCACTGAATTGTTTTAACAGTGGGTGTGGTGTAGATTTACCTGAGAACTGCAGCAGCAGAGTATGAAAGAGACTGAGGGGGAGAAATTGGAGAGAATTGGTCAGCTTGTCCGTTGCCTGTTCTTTTGGTGTTGTTGCCTCCGGAAATTTAATGTACTGGTAGGTTTTATGCATTCTGGTCTGCAGGATTTCAGACGGGACATTCCCGGCCCTGCTGGGTGTTGGCAGGGATTGAACCTGGCCTGGTACCTTCTGCATGCAAAGCAGATGCTGTAAGGTTGAGCTACGGCCCTCCATCTTTCTGCTAAGGCTTTCCCAAAAAATATTTACAGTACAATAATCCTGGTTCCAAGCTCAGTCTTCTTGGAATTTTCAGAAGGGAAAGCTGTCAGCCCTGGTAAGCCAGGCCTTTGCTTTTTCAGAGAACGTTTGGAGTTGCTCCTGGAAGAAGCATGCAGGCTGTTGTATTTTCATAAAAACAACTGCTTTGTAGACCTTTTTGGAGAGGAGGTTCTGTGTTAGTCTTTTGCATCAGGAACAACAGAGAGCTTTGTGGCACTTTAACCAATTTATTATGGTATGAGATTAAAATGGGCATATTTTACGATTATCCTCTGCATATATGTTCCTATTACTTGGAGCAAAAAAATAAGTGAACAGGCAGACAGCAGGGAAGGACCCCTGAACTAATATTCTTATATGCACATTTATTATTAAAAATGTCATTAATTCTCAACTTAATCTCTCCCTTGCTTTTATAAACTTCAAACAAAAAAATGATGTGCACTACTGCCATAGTCACATAGAAGAGTGACTAGTGGGGTGCCACAGGGTTCTGTCTTGGGCCCGGTCTTATTCAACATCTTTATCAACGACTTGGATGATGGACTCAAGGGCATCCTGATCAAATTTGCAGATGACACCAAACTGGGAGGGGTGGCTAACACCCCAGAGGACAGGATCACACTTCAAAACGACCTTGACAGATTAGAGAACTGGGCCAAAACAAACAAGATGAATTTTAACAGGGAGAAATGTAAAGTATTGCACTTGGGCAAAAAAATGAGAGGCACAAATACAAGATGGGTGACACCTGGCTTGAGAGCAGTACATGTGAAAAGGATCTAGGAGTCTTGGTTGACCACAAACTTGACATGAGCCAACAGTGTGACGCGGCAGCTAAAAAGCCAATGCAATTCTGGGCTGCATCAATAGGAGTATAGCATCTAGATCAAGGGAAGTCATAGTGCCACTGTATTCTGCTCTGGTCAGACCTCACCTGGAGTACTGTGTCCAGTTCTGGGCACCACAGTTCAAGAAGGACACTGACAAACTGGAACGTGTCCAGAGGAGGGCAACCAAAATGGTCAAAGGCCTGGAAACGATGCCTTATGAGGAATGGCTAAGGGAGCTGGGCATGTTTAGCCTGGAGAAGAGGAGGTTAAGGGGTGATATGATAGCCATGTTCCAATATATAAAAGGATGTCACATAGAGGAGGGAGAAAGGTTGTTTTCTGCTGCTCCAGAGAAGCGGACACGGAGCAATGGATCCAAACTACAAGAAAGAAGATTCCACCTAAACATTAGGAAGAACTTCCTGACAGTAAGAGCTGTTCGACAGTGGAATTTGCTGCCAAGGAGTGTGGTGGAGTCTCCTTCTTTGGAGGTCTTTAAGCAGAGGCTTGACAACCATATGTCAGGAGTGCTCTGATGGTGTTTCCTGCTTGGCAGGGGGTTGGACTCGATGGCCCTTGTGGTCTCTTCCAACTCTATGATTCTATGATTCTATTTTCATGATGGTTTACTAATCTCTGGCGTATTCTCTGAGCTGGAAGTTTTCTGTCCACCTCCCTACCCCAGTGACCTACCTCACAGGGTTATTTCTAGGGAGCTAGTATTGTAAATGCACATTTATTATATCTAGTTGTGGTTTGCATCCAGAGACAATGGAAGGATGCGCCATGGGGGGGTGAAATTAAACTGCTGGAGAGCTGCCGCGCTTGCTGTGGCCGTAGAGACCCACGCGCGAGAGAGAGACATGTTGCGTTGCAGCCGGGGCAGGCGGAGGCGTCGGGTTTGGCTGGTGCGGACGATGCCCTCCCATGGCGTTTCTCCTCTCCGCGCTCCTCCTTGCTGTGATGATTAATGCAACCCCCATCACAGCCTCTGGCTCGCTTTTGCAGTCGTGGGTTGAGGATCGCCAGGCAGCGAGCTCCATGTTCTCTGATCTGTATCTGCTGCCTCTCCGGCTCCCCCGCCCCCCCCCCCGCCCTGCGGCTGGACAGCAGAAGGAGAAGCGCAAAGAGGGGAGGGGGGAGGGAGGGAGGGAGGGAGAGAGCCCTTTGCAGGAGGGAGGCGCCCCATCCCGCCCTCCCCCCTCCACATCTGGGCCACTCACGGCCTCCCTGGGCGGCGCGCCTCCTCCAATGGGCGGCGCTGCTGCCAGGCCACTCTCACTTTCGGCACAGGAAAAGCTCCCGGCGCAGCCAATGGGCGCGCAGCTGCTGCTGCTGCTGCTGCTGCTGCTGCTGCTGGCATCTGGGGCGCCGCGCGGGCGGGGGGGCGGGCAGGAGGGCGCGCAGCTCCCGGGATCGCGGCTGCAGCAGCAGTAGCAGAAGAGCGGGAGGAGCCGCCGCCGCCGCCGCCAGGTAAGGGATCGGGGCCGGGCGCGCCGCTGCGCTGCCGCCTCCTCTCCAAGGGCGACGCGTTTCCCGCCTGCCTCCCCCCCCGAAAAAGGAGTCTGGCTTCCGCGGTTGGGGGATGCTCCGAGGGCGGCGGCGGCGAAGGGAGGCAGGGTCGGGTCTTCAAAGAGAGCCCGGCGGCGGGATTTCAATTTGGCGAGGGCCCTTTTAGCCCCCGCCAGCTGCGCATCCCTCCCGCCCGGAGGACGGCAGCGCCGCGGAAACTCCCGCCGCGGAAAGGCAGCGGGCGCCTCTGGATGCAGCTGCCTCGGCCGCCTCCGGGCATCTGGTCTCGGGAGGGGATGAGATTCCGCCCCAGAAACCCGGGACACCCCAGGTAGCCCGTTCGCCCTCCCCTGGGGAAAAAAAACTGACGGGGTGGGGGGTGATGGAACCCCAGGCGTTTTAGACTGCCCATCATGTTTTGGTTTTTTCCTTATTTTCTGTGCACCGCAAGTTTTTGCCAGGAGGCTGCCTTCCGCCCACGGTCCCTCCCCAAGACTGGGAGATCCAGGGCTTGAGTGGAAATGTCGAAGTGAGGATTCCGTGTTGGATTAAGCGGGTGGAGAGGAGGTCAAGTTGCGTGGAGGGACAGAGGCTGGCTTCCCCCGAATTATGAGTTTGAGGTTTCCAGGTTGTGCTGGGATTTTGACAGCGGAGGCTCTAATGGGGGGGGGGGGGATTGCAGTCTGGTGTGCTGGATTTCTCACTGACCTGCTTAGCTGTGCAAGAGGATAGAAATCTAAGAGAAGAGACCCGTTAGGACCTCCTTGCATCTGGTCCTTCCTTCTTCCTCTTTGCTGTAGGAACGCAAAGCACAGACCAAGGCGGTGCTTGTGGTTGGGACTGATGTCTCAATGAGTGCTAGTTTAAAAAACCGTCGGGTTTTAGCTCAGACACAGGCAGCTTTAAAGTTTTATTTCTCACCATGCGATGAAATACCTCATGGGCTGATTTTCCTAGATCAAGTGTCAAGGCCTGACTCTGCCCCTGCTCCCAAGCGCACACCCATCACTTGGCAACCCAAGTGGAGTTACTCCGTGAAGGCAGCGCAGAGGGTGTGTTCACACCTGACCCTGAAGTTCACTGCTTTTGTGTGGATGTGCAGTTGCCGTGGATGTGGGCTGGAGTGTAAAATAGGCTTTTTAAAAAGCTGAATGCCTTTTCTCTTGCTGAAACTGATCTTGAATTCACATGGAAAATGTAACTGCCAGTTTTAAATATTGTCCCAGTGTGTTTTGGAGGAGGAAGGGGCATCCCTTTCCATCTGGTTCACTTAGCTCAGGGTGAAAATGGTTTGGCAAGGCTTGGCAGACAAGGATTTCTTAGCCCTGACGTTCATGACACACTTTCACCGTGGAACTGAAACTTATTGTGGCCGCTCCTTCACAGAAATATTCCCAGTGTGACAGTTATGTGGTGAAACCATATCAGTTTTTGGAGAGCGTGTGGCAGAGGCCACAATGGTTGGTTAACATTCCCACTGGCTGTTTGCTCCTCCCTGCCACTTTGGGGAGATTTGGATGCAGGCAGAAATGAGTGATCCTGCATTTGAGCTTTGAGGCAGTCCTATCCTGTGGGAGGAGGATTGTACCATCTTTTTGAAACAATAAGAGCTGCAAAAGGTATTAATTAATGTGATGGACCTTCCTTTCTTTTTCTCATCTTTTTGTGGTTCCTCACTGAATAAATAGAATGCCACTGCAACAATGAGGCCTACAAACATGATTCCTTGGTGTGCCTGTTTGTCTTTTGAGGAATTCTAAGCAAAGCTACATCACCACTTGTAGACTTACCTGCATGACCTGTTCAGGCTCTATTAGCATTGGAACAAGAGTGGTGGCACAAGGCCATGGAGTCAACATTGCTAAGATACTAGTTTACTGCAGCTTTTCCAACAAAGATATGTGAAAGTGGGCAGCTTTGCATTGCTTGGGATACGTTTTGATATTCTGTGCCAATTTTTGCCAGCCTGGTGCCCGCCAGGCTGATAGGAGCTGCATTGCAAAACATCTGGAGGGCACCAGACTGGCAAAGGCTGTTCTATGCTTTGCCTTGATGCATAAGATCAGAATCATTTAATTAATTAAGTTAATTATGATTTTTGAGAGTGAGGTCTCCCCTTATTAACAGTCTTTCTTCTGCTGCGAGTCAGCTTGATGAGGACTCTGAATTTTACTATTCTGAGAAAGGGGGGCAATAATGTTTCCTCTCTCCCTCCACACTTTTATAAACCTTTACCATTAACCTTATTCTCTCTCGTCCCCATGCACCTACCAATGAGTTTTAGACCTCTTTTATGAGTGAAGACTCGCTTTTGTTTATCTTATGGTGGCCTTGAAAAGTGTTGTTTCTTTTTTTGTATACCAACCAGCAAGCAAAATGTATTTATTATAATTATGTTTCAATAGATAGATCCAGCTATCTTGATTCTAAAGAATTTAACTGCTGTGTGTTGAACAAAATGGCTGGTTTTGAATCCTTCAGAACAAAACTGGAATCCAGTGACTATAACGACCTTGTGTGTTTGGAGCAAGTGAAGTGTGATAAACTGAAGAGAAAACAAAGGCTCAATTTGTCCCCTTTTAAAATCATAATAATGATAATAATAAATTCCTTCAAGTAGAACTTTTTGTGCTTTCCATCTCTCTGGTTCTTTCTGCTGCTCTCCCCTTGTTTCTCTTCTGGTTTATCTCTCAGTTTTACTTCTTTGCAAGCTACAAAGCTTTATCTCTGCAGATTCTCCACATTCCCATGAGCTGACTTGTAGTCTGACCGTTCCTGAAAATCCACGTGGCTCGTGGGATATTGTCAAGGCACCGTTGTTGGTATGTGTGGGCTGGTGCTTTTCCCCACCTTATTCTTTTATTTTTCTTATGATCCTTTTGGTTTAATTGTTGCAAGATCATCTTCACACAAGGGGCTCTCAGAGTTTATACAGTCAGCCAATTCAAGTGGCAAATCCTGAGATTCAAGTTCCATATGTGTGCCTGTGGGTAGGAATTGTATGGTTGAATGTTCTCCATGGAAACAAATACACACACACACACTGTCCTTAATGCACATAGAAACCAAATATGTCAAGCAGAAGGGCTCAGCCCAGCCTGTATGAAGGTGCTAAAGCTCAGTGGTAGGACATCTGCTTTGCATGCAGAAGGCCCCAGTTTCAATCTCCAGGAAGAGCTGCTCACCGTCAATGTAGACAATACCAAGCCAGATGGAGAAATGATTTAGTGCAGTAAAAGCCAGCTCTCTATGTTCCAGTTTAATTCAGCCCTTTTATTCAGAACAATGAAGACTATAATCTTCTTTTTTTAAGGGAATGGTCAGCAGTTCAGTGGTAGAGCATATGCTTTGCTTGTAGAAGATCTCTGATTCAGTCCCCAGCATCTCCAGGTAGGGCTGGGAGAGAAACCTCTTTGAAACCCTGGAGAGTCACCTCTGGATACTTCCAGCTGTATTGAGCTAGATCAGAGGTGGCCAACTCCCAAGAGACTGTGATCTACTCACAGAGTTAAAAACTGGCAGTGATCTACCCCTTTTGGGGGTTCAGGTCAAAGTTGTTGAGCTTTTTAGGAAGAAGGAAGCCCCATTTTTTGGGGTGCAGGGCAAAAGTGTTGAGCTTTTTGAGTTTCTTTGGGGGAGCCAATGATCTGCCACAGATGTCCAGTGATCTGCCTGTTAGACGTGCCTGAGCTAGATGGACAAGCTGTTTGGCTTGGTATAATTTGGCTTCCAGTGCCAATCTTATTTGTCGGGGGATTTGGGTAGGTGTGTTTTTAATGGCACATTAATATGGCACACTCCGCTGTGAATGGAGGTTCTGTTCAGCTATCATACCAAATAGACAATGGTATCCTTCTCCTCCTCAACCCACATATTTGTTTGATCCAGGAGTAGCCAAAGCTGCACTCTTCATATGTTGCTGGGCTGCAGCTCCCATCAGCCCCAGCCAGCCCTGTCAAAGGTCAGGCATCATGGGAGCTGGAGTCCAACAACATACGGAGGGACACACCTTCCCCAACCCTCGTCTTAGTATCTTGGGGCAGCACATTGCTTAGACTAATTCTGCATTGTGCAATTGATTCCTTTCCTCTGCCTCAGTGCTCATCTTCATTAGAGAACCCTGATTTCAAGGATTTTGGGAGAAGGGAGAAAAGCTTCTTCCTATCTGCTCTGAGTACTGGTTCTGGGGAGAAAAGAGGGGCACTAGAGAGGTTGGGGTGACATTGTGGGGGAAGAGGATGCTGGGTAGGGTAGATCTTTGCTCTGATCCAACTGACTTCATTTTTTAATTGCATGCATGTACGAACAAGGCGGTTAACAAAGGGTGTTTACGGTACTTCCTCCCTTTACACCTAGGAAGGAAGAATGGCAAATCAAATTGTGTGAATATTTGGAATTAGCAAAAATGACAGAAGTAATTAGAACTCAACAAAAACCAAAGGTTAAAAAAAGAGTGGGATGTTCTAAAGAGTATCTGGAAAACCATTTTTCAGAAGTGTAGGGGGACCTGTCCCCTAATAAACACCCAATCAATCTCCCCACTCGGAAATTGAAATCTTTGAACTAGGATGCTCTTAAATCCTCGTAGATTGGGCAAGCGTAAGTGGTGGGGTAAATCGTCAGGCACATGACAGCTATGCGGGCATCCTCTCTCTTCAGAGGGGATCCAGTGACGGCATCCTTCAATTACGGCAGAAAACATGGACTGGAACTTCAGAGCTGTAAAGGCTTGTCTCCATTCCACACTTATCATGCTGGTTACGTAGTGAGAGCGAGGGGTCTGAAGTTTGGCAGAAGTGGTCAGCACAAAAGTTGCATTTTAAAATATGAGATTTCAGGTGGTAAGAAGCTATCTCAAAATCTGAAAAGCTCAGAATGCTGAAAAAGAGGCCATACATGTCAATAACTTGTATTTCCTGATTCCAAGACGGAATTGCATTTTAGTTCAAGCTCAACATCTTGTTGAAAGCAGAAAATACTAAATTGGGCCCTACCCCCTTTTAAATTTTAGCCAATACCTAGGGGCAAGGATATGCACCCCTGCCTTCACTGAGCAAAGACCAGCTTCCAAACAGAGAATGGAAGACTCTGTTGCCTTAGGGAACTGGGGTATTTGTCTGGATTTGGCACTGTTTTCACATTCCACCTGTGTCTCTGCATAGCTGTCAAGCTCATTCAAACTGGCCTCTTTTGTGCATTTGTTTTTTCCCTTTAATCTGGGGAATTTATTTTTAACACACGCCCCTTGCTACTGTTTGCATTGTTTCCTGAGGCCTGTGCTTTTTCAGTGTTAGCCTGGCAGTTCAGCCCTGTGCAGCCTTTAAAAATAAATAAATAAAACTTCCATAGCTTTTGAGCAACTGCCTGTATATAATGGGTTTGCAGAGGTTAATGGGAACAGAAAGAGTTCTAACAGATGCTGCTTTAACCTCATTAAAAACAGATAAAAGTTGCTGGCTCGTGTAGGATTAGGCCGTCCCAGTGAGTCAAGCAAGGTTTCCAAAAAGTGACGTTTTCCCTTGGGGTTTCTAGGTTGCGTGTGAGGAGCAGAAAACAGAGTAAAGAAAGGAAACTTAAAAGCAAAAGTTGACTTAGTGTGGTGTCCCCTCCATGAAGCCATGTTGCTTGCTAGGAATTTCATACGCCAAGTTTGATTAGAAAATGTGAGGCCTTAGACTGGTCAAGCCTTAGTTTTCTTGTTGGTTGACATAAGGAGACAAAGACGTAAAAATATTCTACTTTAGATTTGGTCAAGGGACCAGGTGTGGACCTGCACATCAGTGTATGGCATCCGCCATATTTGTTTCCCACAATGCCCTGGAGTAATGCCTCCACAGGCCTCCACACCTGGAGCCATCCTTGACCAGTTGTTTCCCAACTTTGTAGCACCAGGAATTGTGGTTTCCTGTCTGCCACAGAAGAACTACTGTGTGTTGTAGGAGATTCCAGAATGTATGCCAGGGCGCTCACGGTTTAGGTGTAGGTGTGACCTGCCTGTCCTGATGGACATAAGAAGAGCTCTCCTGTTCCATCCACTCTAGCCCTGTATCCTGTTCTCACAGCGGCTAAACAGAAGTCTCTGGGAAACCCATGTGCAAGGGCATAAGCACAACATCACTCTCCCCACGTACAATTCCCAGCGACTGGCATACTGGCTCCGGCAGGGCAGGTAGAATCCAGCTAGCACTTTGACTAAACCTCTTGTAGAGCCATCCAAGTTGGTGGCCATGGCTCGGTCTTGTGGCAAGGAGTTCTGTAGCTTAACTATGCACTGAGGGATGTCTTGAATCTTCCCAATGTTCAGTTCCTTAGGATGATGGCAGAGTCCATTAATGGTGAGAGAAGAAGGAAAGCCTCTCTGTCTACTTTTGCCCTGCAACTTTTGTATACATCTCCTGTGTCCCCCCCTTTGCATGCCTTTCTCCTAAGCTACAAAGCCCAGTATGTAAACTTGGAGCATGTTTAATGCTGTGCACTAAGGCCCGGGGGCCGGATCCGGCCCAATCACCTTCTCAATCCGGCCCGTGGACGGTCCGAGAATCAGCGTGTTTTTACACGAGTAGAATGTGTGCTTTTATTTAAAATGCATCTCAGGGTTATTTGTGGGGCATAGGAATTTGTTCATTTCCCCCAAAAAAATATAGTCCGGCCCACCACATGGTCTGAGGGACAGTGGACCAGCCCGCGGCTAAAAAAGGTTGCTGACCCCTGACTTAGAGCCACTTCAAGAACCACACTGTATTCTCCAGTGTTGCTGCACTGGTGGGGGAATATCAAATAGTGGTGGGCAAATATAAGACCACAGCTGCTGCTGCTGCTGCTGCCGGTGGTGTCAGGAATATTCCAAGTTCCACCCTGAGCAGCTAGCTTTCATGGGCAAAAGCAAGTCGCCCATCCGTTTACTTTCAGAGAGATTCCCAGAGCATCATAGAGAGTTGAAAGGAACTCTGAGTGTCATCTAGACCAACTCCCTGCAATGCAGGAATCTCAACTAGATCACTTGAAGCACTTTGTGATCCCCGTCAGCACTATATAAATGCTAAGTATTTAAACCTTTTAATACTATTTTCAAAGGTCTTTCTGTGTCTGCCCTTGAAGTTGCCTTTTTCCTTTTCTACCACTTCCCCTTCTAGTGGTACAGTAATCTGACCTCTACCCACTTCCAGTGTTCCATCCTGCCCATTGCCTCCCCCCCTTTTGGTGCCATTTTTGGTGCAGGCTTCTGTGTAGCTGGGGGTGTGCGGCATTGTGGGCACTGTTCCCAGTTAATGGGGTAACTATTTTTATGCACTGGCTGGCAGAGCTCCCAAAACACAGACCCTGAAGTAAATGGGAGACCAACAGGGTGGGGGTGGGGATATGCTATGCCTTTGCTTTTGTGTGTGTGCATGTGTGCATTAAGTGCAGTTACCAGATTCTGCTCTTAAGTGCAGTTGTGATTGGTGCATAAGAAAGCTTTTGTTCAGCATGAAAACAGCTTCAGCAGTAGCGATACACCAGGAGCAAAATCTATGCTGCAGATTTTTCAGTGCAGTGTATGGTGGCTTGTGTGCTAGCAATGGATGTATCCGCACTAGTAGTTTACTCTAAAATTACAGTTCTCTCTCCCTCCCCCCTCTCTCTCTCACACACACACTTTCTGTATGCTCACTTGGCCTCCAGCATGGCCACGAGGAAGAAATTGGAAGTTCCCACTTCTTTGTTGACCATTGTGCAGTGTTGCGTCTGAACCCTAAACTCTGGTTGGTCTTAACTCTAGCTAGTGAAAGCAAGCCAGCTTTATAAACTATGGTTGAAATTTTCTTGTTGCACTACTCATACTTAAGAGTAACCACAGTTTGTCCTAGTTCAGATGTCACCACAGGGCAGGCTGTGGTTAGCCTAAAGCAGAAGCTAATGCTTCAGAATTCCTTCTCATGGCAGTGCCAGAGGAGAGGAGGAATAACTCAACCATGGTTTACAGTTATGTGCAAACAAGGTGTCTGTCCAACCTGCAGAGCCAGTTCACATACACTGCATGTCAAGTGCTTTGAACACTCACAAAAAGTGGTGTAAGTGCTGAGTATTATTACATCGGCATGCATGAGAATTAAAATATAGAATACAATAAATCAACCAGATAACAGAAACAAAATCAAGGATCAAAATTAAATATTCATCTCAAAAATTATCAAAATTAAATGCTTCCCCAACTAACCAATCAAAATGAACCAATTAGCCAAAATGAACCAACCCCCAATTTTACACCTATTGTTGTTCTCAAGTATATTTTTCCCGCCCCAAATGCCCAACAGAACCCTTTTTAATATTTTAAGATGCCCAAACTGGGGTTTCTTCCTGGTTTCTAATCCAAGCATAAAACTCTGTTTTCTTTCCTGGTGTCAGAAGCAGCAAAGCCGTGTCCATGAGCCTGTGGCTCAGGCATCTAACTTCAAACCATTTGGCACAATATGCATTTCAATAAATCTTCTGTCTATTAAATGGACACTGATGGAAGGCATGACTTGTTTGCCTTTAAATCTTGGGCTTTGTTTGTTTCTGAAGTGCATTGTTGGCCCTGCTGGCTGCCTCCACTTTATACCTCTGTGTGCCAGCGATTCCAAGAAATTTTTGCAGCAAAATGTTTCCTTTCGTCTTTCTTCACGATGCCTGTTTAATCAGATGGTTCCCTTTAGCTCTCAGAGGCCCTGGTTGCTGAACCACATTTGCCAAATGAATTGAAGATTTGATACAAGGATCGCTCTAAATCAGAATCCCAGTACTGAGCGTCTCTAGATGAAGCAGGCAAGGAGATAATTTAATACTCGTAGCATGTTACTGGTGTCATTTCCTTGACCTGCAAAACACAGGTGATAGAATCTTGTCTAGCCAAGTGGGAAAACGTATATTTTGTACAGTTATACTTGTGTCTTGCTAACTGATTTACTCATTTGTTCTCTTAGGGGTGTAAAAATTGTTGGTACAGCATCACATGTGCTAGATAACTAGATTTTGATACAGGTGTAGTGCAAGGTTCCCTCCTTACTAAAAACGAGGCGTTCCCGGGAACAATGTGCATCACCCTCGTCCAGGCATGTCAAAAGTCCGTTTCGGGGCCTAATCTGGTCCCTGTGGCAGTTTATTTTTTAAAAAAAGGTCAATAACTTTGGTTGGCCCTTTGGTCGGCCCCCAAAGCCCTTCACTTCATCAAATCTGGCCCTCTTTGAAAAAAAGTTTTGACACCACTTAGTCTCTCGCTCTAGACTTCTTTTTATGGGCAGGTTCAAGGTGGATGTTCCTTCCTCAGGCTGCCCAAAGCGGTTTCCCTTTCAGCTGCCCTCTCCACACCCAGTACAGCAGGTTTGCTGAGTTTTCCAGGGGTCTTTAGAGGAAACCACAGAATAGCCCACCCCTACAGTAGGCTGCTCGTTGTCTCTCAAGATAAATCTCCAGAAAAGTCCAGTGGCTCAGGCTAAAACATGGGGGCTGACTTATAAAAGAGCAGAGGGCTGTCTGTCCTGCCTATTGTAATTCAGAAACAGTGTGCCTCAGAGATCACATTAGTGCAGACAGCACCTAGACTCCATTCCATATTCACTGCGCTGAGTTGCCCAGCCTCCAGGGCTGACTTGAAGTCTCCAGCCTTTCCTGACCCCCTCCAAGTAGCTGGAGGACGGCTTGAATCTCCAGGTGGGCAAAAGTGCATTTTTTAAAAATTAAGAAGGCTATGTGTTCAGCTTAGAAGTGTCAGCCTGGCAGGATCCAACTGCAATTGCATACTCTTTTTCCCCCAAGGGGGGAATCTATCTGTCCTCTGTTTCCGCCTCCCTCTCCCAATTAACCCCTGTCTCCAGGGCTCAGTGGTGGGGGAAAGCGCAGAGGAAATATCAGCGCCCCTAGGTCTCAGGTTTGGGCTCTGAGATTTCAGGGTCTGGGATTCTCCTGACCTGGCGACCCTATCGATCATGCTTTGTACTTTCTTTGTGTGCTGGAGGGTGTAATCCTGCAGTCCCTTTAGGCTGCTGTTATCTCTCTCTGGTGCTTGGATGGTGTATTTTTGGTCTCTTAGGAAGCGGCAGTCAGAGAACTGGGTTTGCTGTTGGTGTGTGTGAATGTATTCCTGCTACGAATTACATTGCCTTTTCCCACTTTAATTTTAACATGTCAAATGAAACAAGAGGGTGGGCAGTATGGAGGGTGATGGCAACCAGCCATTTTTACTTTAGGGGAAAATGGTTGCATTTCATGCATTTTATTTGGTGCCTGAAAAAAGCAATTGTGCAATTACAAAGACTTTTGCCTCTACCACCCACCCGCTTTTAATATATATCCATATAACTGACATGGAGCTTCTGCTATACTGATTTAGAGTTGCTGGGCCAGAGGGCACTGCTTTAACAGGAATTTTAATTTTAGATAAGTGTCTCTCTAATTTTAATGACTGCCTTTCCAAAGTGTTAAGTATGACAAGAAGGGGGGGGAGTGTGGGCAGGGGAGGAAACAATTGCATGTGATCTGCCTTCCCTATTTTTGCTGATGATCTTTTGACAACCTGGGAATTCAGAAAATAATAGTTATTATAGCATGTCTTCGCTGTAAAGGGACCCTCAAGGTGAACTTTAGGGGGAAATGGTTTTATGAAGTGCATGGTGACTAAGGCTGCATATATGCACATATATGGAGCATACATCTTAGTAAATATGATTGCACCGTAAATTGCACTATAATTGCACCGTCAAAAGCTATCAGCCATGATAGTTAAGAATGTAGCCTTCAGTCTTAGAAGCAGTCTACCTGTGATAGGGTTGCCATATTTTTAAGCACCCCAACAAAATTGTTAAGCTTTTTTGGGGGGAAAACCTGACCCATAAACAGCTTTTTGAGCTGTTTCCTCTGCTTTTTTCATCATGTTGCCTTACATCCGGGTTTTTCCTGACATTTTGCCATTTTTACACCCGGAGAATGACATGTCAGGAATTTTCCTGACATATGGCAAGCCTAACCTCTGAGTAACAGTCACTGGAGGCATGCCGGGGCTGGCCACCTCTAGGCAAGGCATTGGAGCTGATTTGGACAACGGCAGCAGCTTATAGAGTCATAGAATTTTTTAGTTGGAAGGGGTCCTGAAGATCATCTAGTCTAAACCAATGCAGGAATCTCAGCTAAAGCATCCGTGGCAAATGGCCACCCAATCTCTGCTTAAAAACCTGTAAAGGAAGGAGAGACCTCCGCCTTCTGACAGAGTCCCTTCCACTGTCAAACCGCTCTTTCTGACAGCAAGAGTTCTTCCTGAAGTTTAGTTAGAATCTCCTTTCTAGTAACTTGAAGCCATGGGTTCGAGTCCTACCCTCCAGAGCAGGAGAAAACAAGCTTGCTCTGTCTTCCACGTGACAGACCTTGAGATATCTGAAGATGGCTGTCCTATCTCTTCTCAGTCTTCTCTTTTCCATGCTAAACATACCCAACTCCCTCAACCGTTCCTCATAAGGCTTGGTTTCCAGACCCCTTACAAATCTTAGCTGCCGTCCTCTGTTCCAGGTTGTTATGCAGGATAGAAGTAAATGACATTGGCTGAAAGTTGCTCTAAAGTTGTATGCTGAATCTCCCTATGATTAGCAGGAATGAAGTAAATCATGCTGAATAAGCAAATGCTTGCATTATGCACCTTGGAGAATTTAATTTTCTTGCTTCCGAAATATTGTTCAGATCCCTAGCACAGAATCTATAGATTGCACTTGTAAACTGGCAATTAAGACTGCCAGTTACCCTGAATTTGTCAATTTTGAGTTGTTAAGCTGTTCTGCCAAGTGACTAGTTTTGAGCTGTCTAGAATCCCGCTTCTACCTTGGCTTTGCCCGCAACCCACCAGAAATGGTGGTGGCTTTGCCCCTGACCTGCTGGATTCAACCCGGCTCCCCCTTGTAACCATTTGCTTTTCTCCAGGGCTCCATCCACATTCCACCACTTTCAGCTGTGGAGGCAGAATCACAGCTGAAAGAGCTGGTGTTTTGGATAATCCACGAATGGCAGAAGTCTTTTGAAAGTAATAACTAAAAAAAAAAGTAGGAATGGGGTGGTGGTGGTTTGACTTGGTTTGCATTTAAAGCCAAATCTATCAGATTCACACTTTCTTGTGAAACAGTACGATAGCTGAAGCACAGCCATTCTGTGAAAATGACACTTGTATGAAATTTGTGATACAGTCCTTTAACCAACCAGTGTTTACAAACGGCATATACCAGGGGAAAGTTGCATACAAATGCATATATTAGGGAAAACAACATACAAAAAATGCATTCTGTTAGGAGAAATTGCGCACAAATATGTGCTTATTAGGAGAAATTCACTCTAGAATGTGGATGAATTTTCATGAGAATTTAAACAGAAAAGAAAAAGGAACACAAATTTCTGCAGAAGTGTGAAGAACTGAATTTAAGAGGGAACTGACACTGACAGCTCCACACATCCCTCTCAGCAGTTGTTCTGGGCTTTCAGGAAAGGGACAAGGCTGGCAGGCAGGGATTGTCATGATGCAGATATGGGAGAGGCAGCGGTGGGTGGAGTAACTCTGGAGCCAGGAGGAGCAGGGTGGTATTATAAAGGTAAGCATGGTTTGAGGACAAATTGCTGTCGGGGTCGCTGTGCTTTAGAAAAGCAGTGATCACCTTTTCTGTGTGTGCAAAGGAATGCACATGAAAGAACAAATATTATTTTGCATTTTGAGGCTCACGCCCGGAGGCCCCTCTTTCCTTGTACGCCACTGAAAGAGACTTTATAGCTTGAAGCGCCTGGTTGGCACAGTGCAGAAGACAGGGCTGGCTGCCCCATGTGACTCAGAGAGGCAGTTGCCTCAGGTGGCAACAGATCCAGACTCCAAGGAGCGCATCACTCACCTGTGTAGGCGGAGCAGCTGCTCCATTTTCTCTTTTGTGCCAGACAGCAAAACATCCCGGCTGGTCCTGACAGAATATAATTCTTTTGTGCAATTACCTGCGTTCCTTGTCCTTTATTGATGTGAAGGTATGCATTGTTTGTGAACATTAATGTTTGCATTCATACATCATATAGGCCGTAGGCTGTACAGTGGTGCCTCGCAAGACGAAATTAATCCGTTCCGCGAGAGTCTTCGTCTAGCGGTTTTTTCGTCTTGCGAAGCAAGCCCATTGACGGATTAGCGCTATTAGCGCTATTAGCGGTTTAGCGGCTATTAAAGGCTTAAAGGCTTAGGGGATTAGCTGCTAAAAGGCTATTAAAGGCTATTAAAGGCTTAGCAGATTAGATAAAGGGGGGGGAAAGCGGGAAAAAAATTTCAAGACTCGCAAGACATTTTCGTCTTGCGAAGCAAGCCCATAGGGGAATTCGTCCTGCGAAGCAACTCCAAAACGGAAAACCCTTTCGTCTAGCGGTTTTTCCGTCTTGCGAGGCATTTGTCTTGCGGGGCACCACTGTATAAGATTGTTCTTCCAAAGTTATTTTTCAGCATTATGCATGTGGTGTAGAAATACATTGTGCAACTTGAGCAATCTGGCTTCGTTTTTTGAATTTCCCAAGTGGTCAGGGAATAGACTCCCTAGGTTTCTTTTGGGGACTTCCAGTTCCCCTCCGCCTCAGCGTGGTCAGTGTTGTGACCCAGAAATGTCTGGAGAACACAGCCTCCTCATCTCAGGAAAGATCCCAAGCTGTGGTTTTCTCGGTTGACCCCATGGGACAGGAATGGCGGCCACAGACACCTTCTGGGAACTTGTGGGTGAGCAGGGCCACAATCCATAGTGGGTGCAGCAACAAACATAAATGTCCCATTTGTACAGTAGGCTAGTTCTACACAGAGAAACTATCCTCCAGCCAGGCAGGTATGAGTTCAAAGACACTTTCCAGCCAGGGAAAAACATGTTAGGGGCGTGACGAGGGTGCGGGGAGGTGTTGCTTGGGGTTAGTCCAGATATTTGGCCCTTGGCCCTGAGGGTTTGCCACCCCTGCTGTGGGACCAAAACTTCCCCATTTGCTCTTTGCAAAGACTGGCGTCGCCCAGCAAATCCACCTGGTCACGTGGGAGCCAAGTCCTCTTCCGTCCTGCTAATGGTTTTGCTTCTGTTTTGACCCAGCACACAATGGATGTAGCCGCCCCACTGGGATGAAGCTGGCCAGCGCACCATGCCAACATGCACCTCCAGCAGGCCTGCCACCGCCGAGAGGCTCGTTTCCCACAATGAGCTTGGCAAGCAGCAGGAGGCTGCTGGCTTTCCGCATTGCTTGCAAGCCCTGAAGTCTACCCAGTTGGGCGAGATGGATTCCTTCGTGGTGGTGACGGAGTGTGACCCTGCTTCCAGGCCTTCGCCGGGCGGGCGGGACGAGCAGGAGGATGAGGAGCCCATGGAGCCCTGCGAGGAGCAGCCGGTGGCGCAAGACCCCAGAGGGTTCGAAGAGGAGGCTTTTCCTGGGGGTGCTCTGGGGGGGCCCTTGCGAGAGACAAGGGAACCTCGAAACAAACTGAACCTTTCAAGTCGCAAACTCTCTCTCCAGGAAAGGTCGCAGTCCGTCCAGTCTCCTGGTAATGGCGAGGGCGTTAATGGACGCTACATTTATCCTTCTCTTCCTTATTCCCCGGTCACGTCTCCGCATTCCTCGCCTCGTCTGCCAAGGAGGCCGACGATAGAATCCCACCGAGTTTCTATCACAGGATTGCAAGTAAGAGAAGTGATCTCTGACAGTTTCAACACTGGGTGTGTGATTCTGTAAATGACACCAAAGTATTCCAGGGAGTTCTGTGGTAGCTGCAGGGTGTGTGTGAGCAGACCCTCCAAGGGCCCCTATTTTGCAGGGACTGTCCCGGATTTACAGAAGCCATCCTGGTTTCTGCTTTGATCATGCAATGTCCCGCTTTACCTTAGGATGTTGCTATTTTCACTGGAGAAATGTTGGAGGGTGTGGAGTTATGCAACCCCCAAACCAAGGAGATAAGTAACTATATAAGCTTTAGAAGACAACCAAAGGTGGCCCTGTATAGGGAAGTTTTTAGATGTTTTATTATGTTGGAATCTGCCCAGAGTGGCTGAGGCAACCCTGTCAGACGGGTGTGGTACAAATAATAAAATTATTATTATTGTGGAATAGGACATGCCAATTTTCATCGGAAAAATGTTGGAGGGTATGTGTGAGGTGTTATTGGGAATGGATGGAAAGCTTTAGTGCATGTTTCGTGGTATGATTCGGAAATGTAGAACATGTGATTTCAAGATTTAACCAAGAACTTCTTTTGCATTGTTACGTTAGTGCAGCTTGCAGAGTTTTCACAGGCTTGTAGCACAAAACAGATCAATATAAGTCCATCATAAACAAATGGGAAAAGGGAGAAACATATTTCCTCTTTTGCTTTCAATCTGTACCAAGATAGCCCCTCCACAATGACCTAGGTGTGTCGGAGGGCGACACTTCCTCCCTTGTTTAATTAAGTCTGAACTGATACTGCACCCAGTAAGAATGTTCTTTTTCAGCAGCCCCCCAAAGCACTCTGTGATGATGGGCAAGGTGCTGTGAGGGTCCTATATATCCCATGTCATTTGAAGCCAAACTGCTCATGAAGGGGGAGTGGTAGATCTCCAGTGTCTCACCACTCTCATTCCAGATACCGTAAAGAGCAAATATATTAGGATGCTTTTCTTTAGTGACTCTTATGAGAGTTGAATGGATGGGGTGGGTTCAGGGGCGTAGCAATGGGGGGTGCGGTAGGTGCGGCCTGCCCTAGGTGCCCCCAGCGAGGGGAGTGACAAAATGGCGGGTGGCACTCAACGCTGGATCTGCAGCGCGCCCGAACCATGCGTCTCGGGCGCCTGCAGGTTCCATTCTATCCGCCTGCTGCCTCCCCCCCCATCTGGTCCTTAAGGGCACACCACGCCCTGTCCCTATGGGTGCTGCGCCCCCCACCCCTATGGGCGGTTCGCCCGGCCCCTTGGCGTGCCGCCCCAGGTGCTGGAGAGGCTTCCTCCATCGCGGGGTGGGATCATATTAGCACAACCTTTGCCAAACTGGTGCTATCCCGGATGTTTAGGACTACAACTCCCATTATCCCCAGCCAGCCAGCATAGCCAGTGATCCAGGGATTATGGGAGTTGTGGTCTAATAAAACTGGTCTAAAGTGAAAGGGAGGACAAAACCTTTATGTGTTTCTGTAGATTAGTTGAAGGTTTTTTCCAGCTTCTGAGGACTTTTCAGTGGGGGGCCTTGATGGACTTGAGGCCCCAAATTCTGCCCTTTCTTGCTGTGATCCAGAGAACCGGCCCCCCCTGCCTGAGCCACCGTGCAAATGAATTATCCCTGGGTTTTGTGTTCGCTGCTGTTATTGTTGCAGAAGGGATGTGCGAGGCTGGCGATGGCTGTGGGTGGGGAGAAGATAAACGAGGAAGAAAATCAGATGCTCTTTGCAAAGCTATATATGGCGAGAACAGCGGCTGATTAAAAGCAGAGGTGGGTGGCAGCCCCGATGCCTCCAGCCCAGTCTTTCTCAGTTATGTATTAGAGAAAGAAGGTGCACTTGTGCTAATACAGCTCAGCTCCCAGCGTGGAATCTCTGCATGTTTTATGCAGCACATGGAAAGTTTAGTTGAGCAGGCAAGGAAGAAAGGAGGAGGAGGGGTCAGGAGGGCCTGGATCTATACCAGCCTTTCCCAAACTGTTGCCCTCCAGGTGTTTTGCACTACAACTTCCATCAGCTGGCTGGGGCTGTTGGGAGTTATAGTCCAAAACATCTGAAGCAGGACCATTTGGGAGAGCCTGACCCAAGTCTTTCATCTTAGTTCAAGGAAAAAATAATAAGTAAAGGAAGAATTCCTGGATGCCAAGATCCTTGTTTGGGGTAAGCACTCTGGTGTGAGAACCTCAGCAGAGATTAAAAATTGCAAAATGTGCAACAAAGTAAAGGATGGAAATAAAGGTTGTTTGACCTATAAAATATGCCCTTGTGAATTCCAAAACTTCCCTCTTCCCTTATCATGGAAAAAGACCATGTTTGCTAAGTTAAAGATGGTTTACTTACAAACTCTCCTAAAGTCATATTGATGTGCTTTTCCATACAGAGTTCAGAAAAAGTAGCACAGGCAAAAAAAAAATTGGCTTACTTACAGAGTGGTGAAAGTTCTTCAGTTATTGGTATAGTGGCTTGTGAGAGCCATGTGGCTAAGCTGGAGCAAGCAGCTTGCTCCAGCTTAGCCTCTTCACACACAGAGCGCAGGGAGACAATAAGCTTGATTACCTAGTCCCTCCTAAGCTGAGCTAAGCCTGGCAGGACAGCTTACTCACTGGTCTTAACCCCTTCATGCATTAATTAGACTTAGCATGGTGGTTCTATGAGGCTGGTTATCCCACATCATCTTTGCTTATTCCACATTTTGAACAGAGGTGAATTGTGTCCATGAAAAACAGAGGGATGGCTGGTGGTGATGAAGTCCTTGTATGCATACATCCTCTTTGCCGGGTGCCCAAGATCTGCCTTGAGTGAATGGCAGGCCATAAACTTAAAACATAATAAAAGCTGGTGGCTTTTCGTTTCGAAGGTCGATGCTTATAACGCTGGCAGGGAAGACTTTTTACAACTTGTTTAATTCTGACTGCCTCAGCGTTCCTCCTCCGCTATTGTGTGGCTCAGTTTCCTCATTATCTGTCTTTCGTCAGCCTTGGGACTTCCTTTGCGGCCAGAGAGATTGCCACCTCTTCACCCCCTCTCTGGTAATAAAACTCAAATATTATTGCTAGGAACTGAAGGAGATTTTCAAGTGGCAATAAACTACAGTCATGGCAAATGGTGTTTTATTACCCAAATAGTACAGCTTAAGCCACTGAGTGTATTTTTACCTCTTCTCTGCTTCTGTGGATTTAATGCAATAACATTTTGTGGGATTTGCCACAGAGAGATCTGGGAATTGGCCATGCAGGCTGATGCTGATAGGAGCTGGAGTCCTGAACCCCTGGGGGGCAGCATGTTGGGCTACCCCACCTTACCCCAAGCCTTGGCAAGGCTCTCCACCAGCTTTCTGCTGCGGAGCCAAAGGCTGGGGAGGTCAGCTGACAAGGGACTGGCTGGTCCGGGTAGCATCCAGGAGGATGCTGAGAGGCGCTGCCTTTCTGTGAGATGGCTAGATGAGGACACAGGCATGTGTTTATGCAGAATGAGAAGAGGTTGCTTGCGGGAGGTAATCGAAGCAGATTAATAAGCAATCAGCTGTACTAGAGGCTTAGCAAATATTTTCCTCCTCTGCAGCAATTTCCTACAGAATCCTAGGGTCCTAAAACATACCAAAGTCATTCACATCATAAAAACATAACAATACTCAATTAAAAAAAAAAGTAAGTAGCAGCAAAAACTTCCCATGCGTTTAAAGCACGTGTAACACTCATTTAAAGTAGGTGGATTTCTCCAAAGTCCTGGGAACTATAATTTGTTTAGGGTTCTGGGAAATGTAGCTCTGGTAAGGTAGGGAAACTACAATTCCAAGGATGGGGGGGGGGAATTATTATATATATAAAATATACAGTGGAACCTCGTTTGTTGAACACATCAGCAGTTGAACGTTTCGGCTTTCGAACAGCAACAATCCAGAAATGAATGATTCTGTTTTTGAACGTGCCTCAGAAGTCGAACAGCTTCTCCATTTTTTCAATGGATTTTGCCAACCGGCAATTGCGCCTCGGTTGTCGAACGTTTCGGAAGTCGAACGGTCTTCCTGAACGAATTATGTTCGACAACCGAGGTTCTATTCTATTGGTAGCTTCCAACATATATAAAAACATAATAGAACATTAAACATTTTAATACTTTCCTATACAGGGCTGCCTTCAGTTGTCTTCTAAAGGCTGTATAGTTACTTATCTCCTTGACATCTGATGAGAGGGTGTTCCACCAGGTGTTTGCCCAGAGGGCCCTTTGCCTGGTTCCCTGTAACTTCACTTCTTGCAGTGAGGGAACTGCCAGAAGACCCTCGGAGCTGGACCTCAGTGTTCGGGATGAACAACGGGGGTGGTAGACGCTCCTTCAGGTATACCCTAAGAGTGAGAACAGTTAAGGAATGGTTGGGTGCACAGTTCGGTCTTCAATAGATGATGGATGCTCCCATACCTGGTGCCTGCCTGATTTCAACAGCAAGAAATTTCCACATGGTAGGCACCACAACAGAGAAGGCCTTCCCTCCACCAGACCCCTGCCAGATGAACCTCTGTTGGTTGTGGCACAGTCAGAAGGACCCATTTTGTAGATTGTGGTGATATCGACTGTGGTCCCTCAACATATACCGGTCCCAAATTGTTTAGTGCTTGATAGACACTTTAAAATTGACTCAGGAGTTTGGCTCAGGATGCCAGCAGACTGTTCTTAGCACAGAATGGAAAACAGAGCAGTGGGAATAGAGTGAGGGAATCCTGAACAGCTTTACTTCACACTGTAACGTTTTGTCGCAGGTCCCATTTCTAATAACCGTCGGCTTCTCCCATTCCCAAGAGAGAAATGGATCAAAAGTAAATGCCATCCTTTTGTATTTTCAGCATGTGCTTGGCTCATTTTGTTTCCGACTTCCTCTTTTCTTTTAGGACTGTGTGCAGCTAAATCAATATACGCTGAAAGATGAAATTGGAAAGGTGATTATGTTGTTTCTATCTCCGCAGATCTGTTGTGTGAGTATTTGGGCTGAACCTGGACTTTGTACCAGCCCGACACATTTGTGTGAGAATGAAGGTTATGAAAGGGAAGCTAATAGCAACATCCAGATTCAGCCCTCTAGTTCAGAGGCCACCAGCCTTCTGGGACCAGGGAGCACATTTCAGATTTTGAGAGAGTGCTGTGGGTGACAGTCACAAAATAACTCCTGGGAAGTGGGTGGCATGACATAACGCAAAATACCCTTGGTCTAATAGCTTTAGTCCTTGTGTTTTGCTTGGTGTGATTGCCTTGCCTGCAGAATCATAGAACTGTAGAGGAGGGAGGGTTCCAATGGTCATCTAGCCCAACCCCCTGCAATGCAGGGAGGCAATTTGTGTGTGTTTTGATTTGGTTGTTTTGCATTTCCATAGGGCTCCTACGGGGTTGTGAAGCTGGCATACAATGAAAATGACAACACCTACTATGTGAGTAACAGTCTCTGAGCGGGGGGTGGGGGTGGCAGTTGACGGCAGTGGGAGTCCTTAAGGAACACTCATCACCTGTTGCTCTCTTGTTACTTGTTACTGCCCTTCAAAGCTCAAAGTTTTCAATCCAGCTGGATTAAAAATGCAGCTTTACTTAACCTTTAAGAGGGTAGAATAGAATAAAGAGGTTTGGTACATGTTTTAAAAGCATTGTATGTGAATATTTCATAAACATAAATGTCTCTAAGAAATATTAGTCTATTAAGTTTCCAGGTACAGTAGACAAGTTGGCCCTAGTGCTTCTGCTTATTCAGGTTGCCAACTTACTAAAACCATGTTTAAAAATACAAAATGCTTTTTAACGGTGACACACTGACCCTTTCCTGTGTCCTCTTATTGTGTGTGTGCCTGTGTTGATTTCTCTTGCAGGCAATGAAAGTGCTTTCCAAGAAGAAGCTGATGAGGCAAGCGGGATTCCCACGTAAGTGAGGACTAAAAGAATGTGCTGTCCAAATGCTTGCGTTGGCCTTTCCGAAGGCTTTGGCATAGGGGAGGGCAGCACAGTGAATGAATGAAGTAGGGAGAGAGAAGGGTGGATCCGTCTCCCAAGTATTTATGCTAGAAGCACGGCGGTAGATCATCCCCTTCCCATGCAGATCACCCCAGATTCCATCTCCAGGCAGGGCTGAGACAGTTGAAAATCTGGAGAGCTGCAGTCAGTCAGTGCAGACAGTTCGAAGCTAGATGGGCCAATGTATACAGCAGCTCCCCATAACCTCCCTTTTGTTAGCGTCTGTCTTGAGAGACAATGGAGTGCGCCTTTGGGGGTGAAGTCAAAGCACTGAGTTAGCAGCACTGAAGTGACCTCCTGGGGGTGTCAGCCTGGGCAGTGTGCATGGAGGTCCCGGACTGCTCAGACGACAAGACCCCACCTCTTGGCCTTGCAGATGTGGTCCAAAGGAAAGCAGAGCAATATATTTTGCACCAGCTTGGCTGCAGGAGTTGCCAGAAGGAGACAGACAAGGCACCATCCAACCGCTTTAGACACTCACACTCTGGATTTGCGGAGAGTTTACTCCTGAGCCAAAGATATCCTGCAAGGCAGCGGAGGTTTAGGATCAGAGTATTCCTTCTCCTAGATGGGCTCCCTTCCCAGCTTGACAAGCCCCATCCGCCCCGATAATCTCTGAATGAGATGATTAGAGTCAGTGTTTTGTTTTGTTTTTTTAAGGTGCTGAAACTCTCTAGGGCTGGGTGATATATCGACATATTGTCGAAAACCAGTTTGAAGTGCATATCACGATATTGGTTTCATAGTTTTGCACCTGACAATATATAGCTCAAAACTGGTTTCAAGTCCATATTGTGATATTTGTTTCATAATTTTTAACCTGGCAATATATTGTGAATCATATTGTGTGTTGTGCAAAAATCACAGTATGGGAAAAAGCGTGAAGGCAGCCAGTGCCTCTACACAGCCCCTGTCCTGATTTCAGATGTTGTGATATATATGTATATCACAATGTTTAGCCAATGATATATCACAATGTTGAAAACCTTACCAGATATCGCCCAGCCCTAGTCCTCACCACGAACTTGTTACAGTAAGTGCCACACTTTTAACATTTGTGGGGAGGGGAAGGTGCATGTACTGAGTACCCCTGAGTACCCCCATAAAACCAACAACACTGATTATAATGTGCTGTACATGGTGCTGCCCTTGAAGACAGTCCAGAAGCTGCAATAGTGCAGGATGGGGCCACCAGAAGCATGATTCGGAAGGATCTGCGATGGTTCCCTGCTCTGCTTCCGGGCCCCATTTTGCTCATGGTGACTTAAAAATCCCTAAACCAAGCATGGCTAATCTTTTGGCCCTCCAGATGTTGCTGGACTGGAACCCCCATCAGCCCCAGCAAACATGGCCAATGGCTAGGGATGGTGGGAGTTGCTGTTCAGCAACATCTGGTGGGGCGAAAGGTTCCCTACGCCTGCCCTGAATGACTTGGGACTGAAATATTTCTCCTCAGGGAGGCTCTTCTCAGCATTTCAGAAATGGGAGGGACACATTGTGTTGTGACATGGGAGAGGGGCCTTTGCTGTGGTGGTGCCATTCTTCTGGAATGCCCTCTTTGGCACCAATTTTTTTTGCCTTTTGGAGCCAACTGAAACCATGGCTATTTCATTATGTTTTTTGTTGGATGTTAATAAAATTAGCATACTTGCAGAAGGATGAAGTAACTGGGTTATAAAGACAGATCTAGAGATTGTGCTGACTGTTCTATTTTGACTTCCTTAACTGTTCTTCTGGCTTACACGAATTTGTTGGTCCTGTTCTGTGCCCTGGGTTTTTATCTTTTGTAACCCGCCCTGGGAATCAGTGGGCTAGAAATCAACTATATAAATACATCCAGCCCCCAGCCTTTTAACAGCACCCCACATGTGCCAGCCCTCCTTACCCTCCAAGCCTCCATGCGTTTCCTTATTGTCTTCCGCAGGCCGTCCTCCTCCTCGTGCTGCCAAGCCCCCTCTGGAAGGCTTCTGCCAACCCAAAGGACCCATTGAGCAGGTCTACCAAGAAATCGCCATCTTGAAAAAACTCGACCACCCAAACGTAGTGAAGTTAGTGGAGGTGAGAATGATATTGCATCAGAAATGTCAGTGCGGTTCCTGGGTGTACGGGAGGAGGCAGAGTCAGCCATCAGCAGAAGGTGCCAGCCATTTTGATTAATCAGACTGAAGCAGGAATTCAGGGCAAGAATACCTCCCCCCCCCCCTTGAATTATGGGACATCAATCCCAACGAAAGAACAGTGGCAAGAAAAACTGATGAGTTATGCAGACCTTGCCAAATTGACATACAAATGACGTGAGAAGGACAATTGTGACTTCAAAGAAGATTGGGAACTTTTTACAAATTATTTTAAAAAACAACAAAACAACTTGGACTCCTTGGCAGGTTTTGAATAAACATACATAAATTTATTAATAGAATATATGACAGATAAGGTAATGATATGTACAATTTTTAACATGCAGAGAGTAACAAGTGCAAACAAATCAGAGAAGGGAGCTGAGGGAAGTCTCCGGAGGGAGGGATGGGGAGGGCAGGGTAAAAAGGGGGGGGGGGAAATAATGTAATTGACCATTGGATTGGTAACTTGTTTTGTTGAAATTGTTTAATAAAAATATATTTTTTAAAAAAGAATTATGGGACATCAATAACCTTAATCTGTCAGGGTATACTGCATTGCTGTTTTTAAAGTAAGCTAGTTACGGGAATCTAGATGCATGCTCTGTCCCTCACTTGCTTTCTCTCTCTCTCTCTCTCTCCCCCCCCACAACAGGTGCTAGATGACCCCAGTGAAGACCACCTGTACATGGGTAACCAGCTCCTCTTCCCATCCGTTTTGCTATGCACCTCCGAAAGAGGCTCCTTCACTTCCAGTCTGTGCAGGACAGTGCAGAGGCAAGCAGCCTCAATGGCACAAAAGCACTAAAACCATACCTGAGATAGCTGGTGAAGTCTAGAGCAGCCTTGTATTGAACCACTCACCTGGTTGCCATTGGCGACCAGGAATCCCAATGAGAGAGCTGGCAGACGAAGCAGGACGGAGCTCCCCATTTCCACTTTGTTTCTGTGCTAGATGGAGAGGAAGGAAAGCCCCTTTCTCCATGGCCAGGATCAAAATTAAAGCTGTATCTGACATCGCCTCCAGATTTCTCATCCCAGAGGTGCATTTTCTTTCCCCTTGGTGCAGAAAGGCAGGTGTTTTCTAAGGGTCTAATAACCTTCCTACTTTTATGGCCGCTCAGATGGAAATGGCTCAGCAGCACTGGGAACCCCAGGCAGGTGTTACAATCCAGGGTTGGAGAAACAGAATATGGCGTATAGCCCAGTCCAATAAAATAACCAGCACTGCAGGCCAAGTTGAGGAAAGATAAGTCATGGCTGCTTTATCTCAAATCAGTCACCTTCTGTCTTCAGGATGTTTGGAATGACTGAAGATTGTGCAAGGACCTAGGTGTCATTTGGCCAGAAGTTGTGATATGTGATTCTTGTGGTGTGCATGTTAGGTGTTCACAACAGTATCCCATGTGGTGGACAATGCTAGCTTTTTAACTTTTCCCACAGTTGATTGGACAAATACAGTAAATGTCATATCTTAAAAAAACAAAAATACAGAGAGATAGCAGAGGAGGGGTAGATCGCTCTGTTCCTCTTGGTAGAAGACAAATAAAATAAAAGCCTGCTTAGAACCACAATCCTATGCTTTAATGCAAGACACAGAAACCAGTGGCCAACCTCACAGGAGGATAGTAAATTGTTTTGCACACTAATAATGCATTGCAGGGGGTTGCGCTGTTTGGGTTCCTTCCAACTTGACAATTCTATTATTCCAGTTTTTGTCGGCTCCATTTTCAAAGCTAAATTAAAGATTCTCAAATGGACTAACAACAGCCCTATACATGTGTCTGTGTATGTGCACCTATGCGGTAAACATGTGCAGTCTTGGGGGGAGGGTGGGGAGTAAAATACACACTTGTTTGCTGCAACCCTCCATTTTCTGCCCGCTCCTCTTTTTCTAAGCACTGAGTGGGACTTGATGTTAAGAATTGCCCATCCGTGCCTGTAGTACTCAAAGATGTTCGATGCGCTGCCTACACAAGTGGCTACTTCCAGATGGAAGAGGGTCTAAAATAGATCTTGGATAGCAGTTCAGTATTTTCTCCCTCTGTGCTCCATCTGGTGTTTGTTTCAAGTTTTAAAAAAAAGGCTTTATAAAAATTAATTTTTTAAAAAGCATAACTGGCTCTTTGGACCATCCTTCCAGGGCAGCCTTCACCAACTTGGTGCCCTCCAGATGTTTTTGACTACAAATGTTCGACTTGGTCACCAGTTTAAGTGAATTCCTCATCTTTATAATTTTCAACTTGTACAGAAACAAAAAATGTGTATATTACTTACATCCAGTTATTCCTTCAAGAAACTCGGGGCAACCGAAGATTGATTAGTATAAAGGATGGGGACTCTGTGTCCCCCTAAATGATGCGGGACTACAACTCCCATCAGCCTCTGCTGTGTGGGCAATGGTCAGGGATTATGGGAGTTGCACTCCAGCATCATCTGGAGCGCCACATTTTCCCTACCCATGGTTTATATATAATGCCACGTCCTAACCCTTGTATATACACTGCTTCATTAGTTACTGTCTGGTTTATGGTAAACCATAGTTTACCGTTGCATCTGAGCTAGCAAACCATTGTTTGCACTTGCTCTGCAGAACAGAATCAAACCCTGATTTGCAAGCAGGGTTTGCAGGACAATTGCAAACTACAGTTTAACAGGCCTGTGGTCCTGGTTTGCAAAGGACACACAATCATTTCAATGTAATGGTAAACTTTGGCTTTGCTACCTGCCAGGAGGTATTGCGTTAAGTGAGTTTGTGAGAGGAGAGGAGGATGCATGCAAAGGGCTACTGCTGATAGCGCCAAACCCTGATTTGGTACTAGGTGTGACCTGAGCCTTATTTAGCCTCCTCTCCAGACACTGATCAGCCATGACCTCATAAGCTCTCAGAATGTAAGTCTTTCTTTTTTATGCTGTATTTAAAATTTGAGATTTTGCTGCCTGGAGTGTTAATGATTTAAAAGGCAGGATTGTTCTCTCCTGTTAGTATTCTCTCCTCATAACTAATAACCGGTCTCTTTTGTGTTTCAGTGTTTGAACTTGTGAAGAAAGGGTAAGATTATGATTGTTTATTAATTTATACAGTTCATTGAGATATAGGATGTATTGCAGAGCAAGCAAGAAGCGCTGCGGGGGCAGTTTGCTGCTCCAAGGACTTTGCAGTCTTGCAGTCTATCCTCTGGCTTTAGGACGACCCACAGAAGGCCCACCCCCCCTTATCCTCTCCTTTTCAACTTTCCTTGCCTCCTATCTGCAAGAGCTTCTCCCCCCTCCTCCCTTATTTCCTTCTCCTTCCCCAAATCACTCTGCCTCTAACGCCTTTCTCTCATCCTAGAACTCTGTAGCTGGGGTACACTCTGCAGAATTAAGATGGATTTAAATTATGTATTTAAGGCATGTACCGGTATATACAGTATACCTCTTTTCAGGCACACCTCATATGATTCTTACAACAGTAATCATGCATAAAGAAGTAATTGCATTAAATTATGTGCCGAAGTAACCAGAATCCTGTGTTGAGAAAACAAAGTCCTGGCCTGCAGCTCCCATTGCCCATGCAGCCTTGAGATAATGGGGAGGTAGAGTTCCACAACATTTGGAGGCACAACATTGGTTATGTAGTACAGTGTTTTTTTCTGTTTTTAAAAAAATGTTTAGGGGTACTCTCATTTTAACTCAAGAAAATCAGCATTTTATAGTTCAAATCAGGAAAAATAAAGACAGTAAATGGACAAAAGTACAAAGATCCACAAAATGTTTAGGGGTATATGGACCCCTGCATCCCCCCCAGGAAAAAAACACTGGTTATGTAAATTGGTTGGGTTCATACATGTAAATTTGTCTGTTCCTCCAAAACAGGCATAGGCAAACTCGGCCCTCCAGATGTTTTGGGACTACAACTCCCATGATCCCTAGCTAACAGGACCTGTGGTCAGGGATGATGGGAATTGTAGTCCCAAAACATCTGGAGGGCCGAGTTTGCCTATGCCTGCTCCAAAAGTTATGCTCGGAAGCCCCACCCCCAGCTCTGGAGGCTCTGCAGATTTAAGAGCTCTGGGAAGGGATCTTGAACTCGGGACTTACCAGCGTAGTATCTTGCCAGAGGGGGAGACTGCCAGTGTGCCATCTCTGGTCAGAGGCCGGTATTGCAGCTGCCAAGTCTGCAGAAGCCTAGTGACCCAGTGGATTAATAAGGCAGAGACTTTGAGGGGTTCCCATGCGGTGCTTCCAGGGGACCCCGCCTGCTGCCCGAAGGCCCTTGCTCTGCGGAGGGTCTGCCTCATCCTCCACAGACTCTCTATCTGGTTGCAGGTCGGGGCCCCCAGACCTGCCAAAAGTCTTGCGTTTGAGGCCAAATTGTGTTTCCCCTTCGCAGGCCTGTGATGGAAGTCCCCAACCTGAAACCTCTGACCGAAGACCAGGCACGCTTCTATTTCCAAGACCTGATCAAAGGCATTGAATATTGTGAGTTCCCTTGGCGATGTTTTAGCAAAATGGCACAGAAGGGAAGGGCACAGAACATTTAATAAATAGTAATACTGGGGGCGGGGGGGGCACCCATGTTATGGTCTTTGTTTGTTATTATGGTATGCCTTTTGTGTTTTTATATTGTAAACTGCCCTGTGATTTTCAGGTGAAGGGTGGTGTAGAAATTTAATAAATAATAAATAATGATACTATTAATTTGTGGCTGCAATCAATAGAGCTAAAGCCCAGATAATTTATGTTCAGCTTGAGGGGTTGTGCCCTGTGACAGGAGGAACAATGAAATGACAGTGTGCTTCTGACCATGTGCAGAGTTGCACCCTTTCAGTGCTGCGTAACTATCTCAGACTTAGTCACTGTGTTACAGTAGCTCTTTTTCCCCAGGCTAGGGATATAGTCATTTAAGCCCCGAAATATCCATCATTTATTTTAATTATTTAGAGCATTTTTACCTCACTCTTCAGCCAAATAGGCTCCCAGTTTAAATGATACAGATCCTGTCTGAAAGCTTACAATCTAAAATACATGACACAAAAGGAAAGAGGGATGAGGAGGAAAGAGGGATGGAGCAAATTAACCCCTGAAAACTGAAGAAAGGGAGCAGGTTCTTTGCGTCCCCTGAGCCTTCATGCTCTGCCAAATTCATGTCTCATCTGGTCTTTCTCAACAGTGCACTACCAAAAGATAATCCACCGGGATATTAAGCCTTCCAATCTTTTAGTTGGGGAAGATGGTCACATCAAAATAGCCGATTTTGGCGTGAGCAACGAATTCAAAGGGACAGACGCCCTGTTAACCAACACCGTGGGGACCCCAGCGTTCATGGCACCCGAGACCCTCTCAGAAACCAGAAAAATATTTTCTGGAAAGGTATGTTGAGAGAAGAGTGTGCATTTGTATGCTCATTTAGACAACCTTGTTCTGTACTCTCTGAAAGGAACCAACCAAAAATTAGGTTGCCTGAAATGACTCAAAGTCCAATGTACTTTATATCCATCACAGCAAAGATGGCCTAGTGGTTAGAGCAAGGGTGGGGAAGCCATGACCTTCCAGATGATGTTGGATTTCAACTCCCGTCAGCCCCATCTCAGCAACCTCTGGAAGGCAACAGGTTCCCAACTCCTGGGTTAGAGTGTCAAACTAGGACAGGGGGAACCCACGTTGAAACCTCCATCCGGTCATGATCTTGTCCATTCACCTCTCTTGCAAGATTGCCGTATGAATAAAATTGGAGGGGGGGGGGTGAGTGGAAAAATCAAGTGTTGTACTCCTGGAGGAATCATAGACTCGGCATTGGTATAGGAGGTCCTCTAACAAATAGATTAAAATACCCACCCCACTATGGATATTCTGGTTCCAACACTACTAATTTGGAGAGTCTGGAGGGTCAGATAGCGATGCTCAGAGAATCACATTTCTGCTGCCCCCCTTCCAGGCCTGAGGTTCCCAACCTCTGCAGCAGTTCATCTTAAAAGCTTACCATGTTATTTTAAAATAGAAAAGCAATACAAACATAGTTTTTGGAGGGCTCATGTGTTTAATCTCTGCCTTTCTCTCTCTCCCTGTCCCTTCTTCCTAAGGCTTTAGATGTTTGGGCTATGGGGATCACTCTCTACTGCTTCGTCTTTGGGCAGGTAAATGAGCTGCTTCTTTACCTGCATTTTGGATTTTAAACATTTTGTTGTTGTTGTTGCTTGTTTGAAGTAGTAGTGTTTGGTTGCAGGACGCATGCCCAGCCCCCCTTTCAGGGGGTCATAAAGCTGAGTAAGATCTGGATGTTATTAGGGCAGCATAATTAATAAGCCCACACATGTTACTAGTCTGCAGAAAGTTTGACCAACCTGCTGAGAAGCTACTGGTCTGCATACGCAAGGTGACTGTGGTGGAGGGAAGGCTTCACTTCTGCAGCAAGCAGGGAAACGCAGAATTCATAGCGGAGTACAGTAACTTTAAAAGGGGGGTGTGTGTTTTGTAGCAGGTGGGTTGGAGGAGAAGAGTCAAAGCTGAGGGATAGGCTTTCCGTTCTCTGTGGCCAGCAGAAAAAGCAAGCAGATTTGTGGAAGAGAAATGAGCAATCGGTCCTTCTCCATCAGCCCACTTACTCGCCTCCATGGAATTCCCACTCGCCTATGGCTACCAGACAAGTTGTTAAATACACAACTGTTTTAGGGACCAAACCTAGATGCAAATCTGTGATCTCCAGTGCGGTTTGTTACCTGCATGATTCTCTCTGCAAGACAAAAAGGCAGGGTTTGAAGGGGGTTTTTTTGTGGGGGTGTTAATTTGGGGAAATGGTAAAGAGAACAGCTGCACGCATGTGCATGGACGCTCATACACACACTCTGCCACTTGCCTGATCAAATCCTCCGTCAGGTACATGAGAGTGAAGGAAAGTTGGGAGAAAGTGGTATAATAGCATTATAATGCAGATGGAACCTTAACCTCAGAGCAGGGCAACCTCACTGACGGGCAAAAGTGTTAGTATAGGGTATTATCTCTTACAGGAACTCAGGCACATCAACAAGGCCATGCTGGGCTGTTGGGCTTCCCCAGCGGATGCCAAGATGACACTCAAACATTCGCTAGTGGTCACTAGTTCATAAAGAGACATCAAAATGGTGTTCCTCTCGCTCTCTTGGAGATTTTGATTCTCTGTAAAGTGGCTAAATATAAACTGGGCAGTCATCTGGGTTTTGTCACACTCTTAATCAGAAGCTGCAAATCCCTATGGTGTGTGTTCTATCTGTTGGCTGGCCTAAATTTAATAATACATAATAAAACAGAATTCCAGAATAAAACAGGTACACAAGAGTGAAGGAAAGGTAGGGAGAAAGGCAAAAGTTTGATGAAAGCTTTATACTACCAGTGTACCTGTCATGACTGCTCCCCAAAGAATTCTGGGAACTGTAGGCAGGACATCTGACATCCCTAGTCCTGCCCCCATGCTCACATTTCCATGCTAAATTGATTTTATGTCTGTAATGAGAGATGCTCATTAGGGGGAGAGGGGGAGGAGAATGAGAATATTTTTTGTTGTGAACTGCCCTGAAATCTACAGATAAAGGGCAGTATACAAATCAAATAAAATAAATTGATCACATTCTTAGGAGGCAGGGATACCAAGTTAGCCATTGCTTTATAATCTCTCATTGTGTTTTTTTGTTCTTCCAAGTGCCCTTTTATGGATGAGAGGATTTTGAGTTTGCACAGCAAAATCAAGAGCCAGATGCTGGAATTTCCTGACCAGTGAGTATGCAGAATCACTATGTTTATGACTACCCTGGCCAGGGGTCCACAAACACGCTCACCGGTGAGGGCGTTCTGGATTCTAGCAAGCTCTCCTCACCTCTCCTTCTGGACCTGCAGAAGGGCAGGAGTCTCCTGGAAGCCACCTGGAACCTTGGAAGTGCTTTGCTGCTTGCCAAGCCATTCCAAGACTTGGTGCGATAGGAACGAGTCTCTGTGTGCCCGCCTCCCCCAGCACATATATAGGGTGAAAGACAACAACTTGCCCCCTCAATACCTCACAGTTCCTTCATTGGGCGGCGGATGGGGGGTGGGTGGAACATATTCAACAGCAGTAAATTTGGGGGCTGGTTTCCAGGACTGGCACCTCCAGCCGTGGAGGCTGAGCATGGCTGATAGGCTTTAATCGCTTTCTCCTCCATGAATTTGCCATCCAAGTTAGCGGGTGGTGCTGTCACCAGTGCAAGCAAGTTCCGGGTGCTGGAGAAGGCTTGCTGAAGAGTTGTGACTGAGTTGGAGCTTTATTTTATTTTACTGACTGAGTGATTGAATTTATATACCGCCCTATACCCAGAGGTATACTGATAAAGCAGGAGGAGAAGGGCGAAGTCCTGGGAGAAAAAGTTGGGAGCAGGGATTGGGATGGTGCCTGGGAACCTCACAACTGAGGTGCCGCTTCCCTGGTTGTGTGTGGCTCCCTTGTTGTGGTGGCCGATTGAGGCAAATAGGCCACAAGGACATTTTTGGGAAGTGCTAGGAACACAGCCCCTGTTTTTATGAGGTTCTCGTTTGTATTTAGGTGGGCGTAGTTCAGTGGTTGAGCATCAGCTTTGCATGCAGAAACTCCTAAATTCAATCTCTGGCATCTCCAGGTAATTCTAGGAATGTCCCTTGTAGACAATACTGAACTAGATGGGACCAATGGTCTGACTCCTATACAGCAGGAATGACCCGCTTATTTTCAAACCTGCCTTTCCATCCTTAAGGGCTAGAGACTTATTGTGCATTTGTTTGTTTCAAAAAGAAATGGTGAGTGCAGGCCCTAACTCCTCCACATGTCTTGATATTTCCTCCGAACCCAGGCCAGACATTTCTGATGAACTGAAAGATCTGATCATGCAGATGCTGGACAAGAATCCCGAATCCAGGATCACAGTCCCAGAAATAAAGGTATCTCACAGTCAATTCAGAACATCCGAAGAAGTGTGATGCCCGTAACCTTATATGTCTCAGGTCCTTTTCTTTAGCCTCTCTTCTTTGTTGTTGCTGTTCTGACATGCTTATCTGTGCTACCATTCCTGGTTGAGGATAATAATCAATTTTACAATGTCTACCCTTCCTTATAGTCCAAAGGTCTCTTAAGGCAGCTTACAAATGGACTTTAAAATTCCCATCATACCTGGAGAGTTCACCTTTTTAAAGGGGGCGCATTTTCCCACCAGAGCTTGTTGACAGGCTTAAGGTCAAGATGTGGGAGTTTTGCAGGAAGGGAAGACAATTAATTTGCATTGGAATTCCCCTGCAGGGCAGTGGGGCCTTGATCCTGATTCTTTTCCCCACCCCACTTCCCCAAGCTGCTCCAAGTCAGATAATCAACATGGGCAAAATGGGTTAGATCCTTCAAGCTGCAATCTAAATCTAACCCACTCCCCCCTGCAAGAAAATAAAAGAAAACCTTGACTACTTTTTGTAAAATAAAAATATATACGAGTTTTAGTTGCAGAACTTCCAGGTCACGTACATCCACACCATATGTTTATGGATTTCCCCAAAGAAACCTGGGAACTGTAGTTTGTTATGGGGACTGTGGATTGTGGCTCTGTGTTGGGCAAACTACAGTTCCCAGGATTCTTTGGGTGGAAACTGTATGCATTGAATGTTCATTAAATGTATGATGTGGATGTGGCTGCTTCATCCAAGCTCTTTCCCTGTCAGAGATTAGGAGGGTGACCATTGTTGACAGGGGCTTTTTTCAGGTGGCCCCTAAGTGATGGATTCCCACCCCACAAGGAGGCCTCCCTGGTTTCTTACTTTCATTCTCCACTAGGAAAAAGGTTAAGACTGTTTCGTTTATGGACTGTTCCGTTCAGATGAAGGCTTGTTGCTCAGTTGGTAGAGCAGCTGCTTTGCTTGCAGAAGGTTCCAGGTAGGACTGGAAGAGATTCCCTACCTGAAAACCCTGGGAAGCCACAGCCAGTGTCTAATGAGCCAGGTGGTCTGACACATTACAAGGCCCCTTCCCATGCTCCTGTGAATCTGAGGTTAATTCACCCTTGATTCAGCTGCCCTTTCGATGCTGAACTGTTCGTGTTACTGGCTGCTTTTTCACATTCATTTATCTTGCTATTTTTCTTCTGTTATTTCTATACTGTGTTTTGTTATTAAACTCTGCATCCATATTTAGTTAGTGGGTAGTTACTTTGAATGCTTTTAAGCCACCTAAGGTGTGGTGGAAGGGTGGAATCTGAAATACACAAATAAAACAGTTAAAATGTAGCTAATCCTCAGCAGCAACAGAGATACCCATCTCTGGTTTTCCTCAGCTTCTTAAAAATCATGAACCTTTGGGGAGTAAGTTTCACAACAAAGAGGCAAATACCAAAAAAGCCCTGTTCCGCCCAGCTCATTCTGAGGAGGACCTCTTCTATCTTTCACTATGTATTTTTATTCTTCCATTTTTTCGAAAGAATACAGAAATTGATAGTTTATTTTTTTAAACAAAAAACCTTTCAAAAATAAAACGTGTTTCTAAAATACAAGACATTTAGTTTTCACCTTAGTATGTCAAATAATTTTGCTAAATGAATCGGGGACAATGGGAAGAAGGAATTGTTAGAAATGTCATAACAGGCTCAGGCACACGGTTATATGCCTCCTCCATTAAATTGCATGTCAAATACTTAATATTTGTTGGAATTTCCCCCCCGGGAATAGAATATTGGAGTAGGTGATAGAAGAAGTAGCCAATTTACTTGGGGAAAAGTCAGAATATGTATGATTAGAGCAGGGATGGCAAACTTGTGGCCTTCCAAACTCTCATCAGCCCCAGACAGCATAGCCATTGATCAGGGATTATGGGAGTAGCGATCCAACATTATCTGCCGGACCACAGGTTTCTGACCCCTGGATCTGAGGCTATCTTCAATTGCAGTGTGTGTGATACTCTGTTTATAGTTGTGTGTACCTATTCAGAGTTGCTTTCAGAGTATTAAGCTTGTGATTTCAAAATCTCTCTCTCTTTTTTAAAACAGCTTTTTCATAATACAGTAAAAGAAAAGAAACTAATCTAAATAAAAACAAAAACAGAGAAAGAAACAGAAAAGAAAACACCGACTCCTCTCTTAAAAGTAGCTCCCTAATCCTTGTCTCACACAGAAAGTAATGGACCCTCCCAGCTCTCACAATGGGAGAATTATCCCCTCCCTATCAAGTTTTAAAATTACAACTCGGCTGGTATTTCTCATCTCACTTTTTCCTTTGGGTTGTTCTTGTTCCAGTAAACAATATAAAGTCGCTGCATCTAAGAGAGGAAATCTTGACGTGTATTTTCTCTCTCCTGGTCATCTACAGTCAGTTAATTTATTCATTCTCATTATCTGCCAGGCTTCCCATAATCATCCATCTTTGTTGGGACATGAGTTGCATTTCCCGTACTTTGCCTTTAGGACTCTGGCAGTGAGCAATAAATTTCCAGCTAGGTCTTCATGTCTCCTATTCACATTAATTTTTAAATATCCCAAAAGATAACAAGTTTAGCTTTAGTGGTTTTATGGTATCCAATTATTTCTCTAATGCTTTTTGGAATAAGCTGCCAGTACTTTTATGATCTTATACAGCTCTCTGTCAAGGATTTCCAAGCACCTGGAGGAAGTTGTGGAAGGAGGCAATTCTTGAGCTATCTCAGGGCCTCGCCATACGTCCTTTTTATTGTGCATTCATGATGATTTGTGCTCATGATGCTCTCAGGCATAATTGTGCACCTGCATATGTTTTGGGGCAGCTATACTGATTGGTTTCCACTTGGTGCTTGTCCTGTAATTCCTGCGGAAATCCTGTAACTTGTCATACCACAAATGGTATGTTCTGTCCCACTTTTGTTGTGCTGTGGTGCAAGAGCTGCCCCTCCAGATTGCAGTAATGTGGAACCACTGGGGAAGCATTGCAGAACAACTAAGAAAGCAGAAGGATGTGTGGATGGACCTATATAAATCCAACACTAATTCACTCTTACTGTGTGAGTGGCATGTTGCAGAACCTGCAAAAACGACAGGGACTGCTTGCGTGCTTGGGTCAGAACCAACACTTTGCCTTGTGCCTGGAATCTTGCCAGCTTTAACTCTGGAAACCAATGCTATAAGAATATGGGCCTGATCCTGTGTGGCTCTTATGATCTAGTTCAGTATCCTGTTTCCCACACTGGCCAAGCAGATGCCCCTGGGAAGACCACAAACGAGACCTGAGGATAGTAGCCCCCTCCTCCCCACTGTGTTCTTGAGTTGCTGATACTCAAAGACAGGCTGTCTCTGAGCCTGCAAGCTGGAAAAAACCCACTGTGGGTGGTAACGATGGCTAGCTGAAACCTCCATGAATTCGTCTAGCCCAGTTGAGATCCACTTACAGGGTCACAACCCGATCTAAGGTGGGTTGCAAAAGCAGCATTACCACCATACAAATATATGGTTGAAAATAATGAAGGCAGGGGTCACAAAATGCATGTTTGGGTTAAAGGTGGGTTCTGGGCCTGAAAAGGTTGAATTCATGGCTGTCACCACATCTTGTGGTAGCAAATGTCATAGTTTTTAATGCTTTGTGTGGTGTCTGTCTGTCTGTCTGTCTGTCCATCCATCCATCTTCTTGCATTTATTTAATGTTCCTTTCTTCTGTCATGGTACCCACGGTGGTGTTCATCTGGTACTCATCCAGGTCTGATTAGCCCCAGACCTGTTTGCCTTCAGCCTGATGGTGGCCTTGTGAGCCTTGTTATGAGTGTGTGAAGAAGTTCTTACTTTTGACAGTCCTGAATTTCCTGTCCTTCGCCTTCCTTGGCTCACCCCTGACTCTGCCATTCTTGGGCCGAATTCTGTTATGCTTACTGTCTTTACCCCCTCTCAACCAGAAAGCCCCGTTCTAACCAGCCCCTGGATGGTTTTGGGTTTCCCTTTTCTACACCTTCTCCTTTTGACACCCCAAATGTACACTGTGTTCCAAGTGTGTCCACACCACTGACTGGTATGAGGGCATTATATGTGTTCCCCAGAGCCTGTTCCAGCTGACAACCCTGCCGCTATGCTATGGACCAGTTCCAGTTGCCAAATGCGCTTCAGAGGCCCTGACAGCCTATTACAAGAAATTCAATCTAGAAGCTACCATGGTGTGTATCAAACTGCAGTCTTAGCTGTGAATTGACTTGTGGTAGCTGGATTTCCAAGGGATTCCCCACCCCCCATGACAAGTGCAAAGGATGCTTCCTCCATTTTGTAAACCAGCTTCATAATCTTATTTTAAAATAAAGTTTCATAGTGCTGACTCCTTTGTCCTTCCAGGTCCAGGGGAAGTGTGTTTCTCTTAAGTTGTTCCCTCTTCCCCCCCAAATGAAACAATTATCGGCTTTTGCCCAACTTTTTATATTATTACAAGAAGAGTCTCTGGGTCACCAAATCGTAGGGCATCCCCGCTCTCCAGCTGTGAAATCAAGGCAATGTGTGGTGTTTCTCCCCCTTCTCTCAAACAAGGTGCACCCCTGGGTCACCAAGAATGGGGTGGAACCATTGCCGACAGAGGACGAGAACTGCACGCTCATAGAAGTGACCGAAGAAGAGGTTGAGAATTCGGTCAAGCACATCCCAAGCTTGGCCACTGTGGTGAGTGAGACCCAAGTGCTGCTTGTGTGTTGGATATGCTAGATTCAAAAGGGCACGTCTAACCAACCTGTTTTTAAAATCTGCTCCAAGTGCCAGCGAGCCTTATTGGCTGAATTTGCAGGTCACAGTGCACCAGGTGTGGAGAACTTTTGGCCCTCCTGACTTGCCAAACTACAACTTCCACCAGCCCAAGCAAGCATGGCCAGGGGCTGGGGATGATGGGAGTTGAAGTTCAGCAAAATGGGGAGGGCCACAAGATTCTTCATACCCTGCCGTAAGTTATAACCCAAGGATGGCTAACCTTTTGAGGGCTGAGAGTCACATTGACCCTTCTTTCTCACGCTTCCCAAAGCAGAAGCTTTTCCCCCCCTTTATTCTCCCCGCCCCCGTTCCCAAATATGCTGTCGCTGTGGGAAGGGGGTGAGCACAGCTGCAGGGAGTGAGGAACAGAGAGAATTTCTTTGGGGACTTTCCTCCCTTTGTTTTCCTCCCAGCTTGTGCAGACTCCCTCCCCAATGCTGATCCTTTCAACCTCTGACTAGGTTGCACTAGGTGGGAGAAGCAATTTGCACTGAATGGAAGCCCCATCCTCCTCCTTGAGCAAGGAAGTTGGGGGCGCACCTTGTTCCAGCAAACGAGAAATAGGGAGCCCCCTTTAAGATCCCAATGGTTTTTTAACACCTGGTTTTTACCAAGCCCCCACCTGACTTCATGTGGGGTATCTGGCATAGGTCGAGTGGGGGTGGCTTCCCCAAAAGGCCTGGTGGGTCAGGTTTGGCCTGTAGGCCAAAGGGTCTCCTCGACTGATGCAGAATGAGGAGGAATACTGGACAGTATCACTTCAGATTGTGGGGAGGGGGGGTCCATGTTTCTGAGTCCTCCTCCTCCTGCATGTAGCTTGCTAGTACAGTGGTAACTCTTATTGCGAACGGGATCCGTTCCAGAGGCCTGTTCGCAACATGAAAAGCCCGCAAACTAAAGCACCGTATCTGCGCAGGTGCGCAGCGTGATTGGCGCTTGTGCGCATGTGCGAAGTGCGATTTAGCGCTACTGCGCATGCACGGGCAGCGAAACCCGGAAGTAACCCTTTCCGGTCCTTCCGGTTGGCCATGGGATGCAACCTGAAACAACATAACATGAAGCAAACGTAACATAAGGTATGACTGTACAACACTGGAATAGCTATGTGTAGCATTTGCCTGGAATGAGCTAGTTTTAAAAAGCCTCTCTCCTTGCATTAAGCTAACACATCAGAAAGAAATTCAATGTAGTCCTTTCCCTGAGGTGCTAGCTTACTGGATGCAGTCAACCCCTGGCCCCCTCAGATGTCTTGGGATTGTAGTTCAAACAGTCTGGAGGGTGCCACGTTGATGAAGGCGGCACCATATAAATACAGAAATACTGGTAATAGTAAAACGATCACAATCTTCTCTTTCAGATCCTGGTAAAATCAATGATCAGGAAGAGATCTTTTGGGAACCCATTTGAAGGAAGTAGAAGAGAAGAGCGATCCCTTTCTGCACCAGGGAATCTGTTGACGTAAGTCTCTGACGCAGGAGCCTTGAGCTGTGGAGAAGGGCAAGAGTTTTCCAAATGTGCTGTGGAGAATTTTCATGGGGAATTTCCCTGGAATTTAGGGGTGCTCAACAATGCCTAACATACAGGCCCAGCCCTGCCATTAAACAAACTTGAGGTATCTGTCTGAGCAGAAGACAGCAGGTTCATATTTATTTAATGGAGTATTAATTGTGTTTTACTGTAGGGAGTGTGGAAGAATAACCTTGCTTCCCTTGGAAACTTTGCACTTTGACTTTTGGATGATGCCTTTTTGCTGCTCCACCTCAGGCGGCAAACTATTTTGAGCCAGCCTTGTCAATAAAAGGTGGCGTTGGCTGTCTTCCCCTTCAGTGTGTAACTTCAGTAAAACATGGGAGGTTATGATCTGAGGTGCTCACCTCATGTAGAAACATGGCTGAGTCTCATGACATGCCTGTCCAGGAGCCTGTGTGAACTACAGCTGTTCACCAGAACATAATTTTTATAAATATATATATTTTTGTATATGCCACCCATTGTTGAAAAATGTTCCTGAATTGAAAAGCTTTTACTTGGTGTCTGAAAGCATGGGCAGGGGGCTATCCAAATTTTTTGAGGCAAGGTTTTCCATAAGTGTGGTGCCCCTGCAGAGAAGGCCCTGTCCTCATGTCCACCAGCTACATCTCAGATTCAGGTAAAGACACATAACAGGAGCACCTGTGAAGGAAAAGGCAAGAGGGCAAGTGCTTATTGAGCTTGAAATGGACCACTGGAAGACTTTGGTGTTTAACACACTGGTGGCTTGAACCCACCACTGGAAGGTGGGTCTCTCCGGCAGCACCACCAGCTTTGGGAAAGGCAGGGGTAGGATTGTTGTTGTTCTTTTAAGAGGTGGAGAAAAGCAATGCAAAAGAAGATGGGCTTGCTTTATTTTTAAGAACTTCTGTAGAAAAGGGAATTGTGGGGGGTGGCTGCTGGTCACAGAGTGATGGTGGAGGCAGCACTTTCCAAAAAGTGCAGGGGCTGAGCTGTCTACTTTTGTTGCTTTCTATTCACAGACGCGGGTGGCGCTGTGGTCTAAACCACAGAGCCTAGGGCTTGCCGATCACAAGGTCGGCAGTTCGAATCCCCGCGATGGGGTGAGCTCCCGTTGCTTGGTCCCAGCTCCTGCCAACCTAGCAGTTCGAAAGCACGTCAAAGTGCAAGTAGATAAATAGGTAGTGCTATGGCGGGAAGGTAAATGGCGTTTCTGTGCGCTGCTCTGGTTTCAGTGTTCCGTTGCGCCAGAAGCGGCCTAGTCATGCTGGCCACATGACCTGGAAAAACTGTCTGTGGAGCAGACAAACGCCGGGTCCCTCGGCCTGTAAAGCGAGGTGAGCGCCACAACCCCAGAGTCGTTCGCAACTGGACTTAACTGTCAGGGGTCCCTTACCTTTACCTTTATTCACTCTGAAGCAGAAGTGGCCAACCTACAGCCCACAGGCCATATACACCTCCCCCGAGTGTTTTCCCCTCCCCATAAGTCCTCCCCCAAATTTGACTTTATTTATTTGTTTGTTTGCTTAGGATTTTTAAAAATAATAATTTATTTTTAAAATATTTTATTTATTTATTTAATGTGTTGCTACTATGATGTCAAAAGATTGTTGTGCCTCACAAGCACCTCCCCCCAATTTCCCTTCCCTCTTAGGAAAATGAATAATGAATGATAAAAACAATTTAAAATAGTGCAGGATAGCTGATGGGAAAAACCTTTTGTAAGGGCTGCCTTGAGTTCTGCCGCTTTGTCCATGCCTACACCCAAAGTATTCAGATTCTTTGGTCAGAGGAAGCTCAAGGGATTTGGAAGAAATTAAGGGTTGCATAGTTTTAAAGGGGTAGCTAAGAAGAAGGTAGTGAGAGTTCATAGAAACATCTCTAAGCTTTTATTTTGCACCTTGTGGACTAGAAACTCTTGCAGGATCAGGCATTAGACTTCCCATACCCCAACCCATATAAATAAGAGACAAATAAGACTTGGGTTTTGGTCAAAACAGGCCACAACTTTATTGAATACAGATGAAAGAGGTTTGGCTTGAGCATGGGGCAATCAAATACTTCCAGCCTGCCCGCCGGAAGTGACACATGGTCAATCCAGGTGGAGGTTCCTAAGACTTACATCCAAGAGGGTGACCCCCGCAGGGACCGCCATCTGGGGGAGTGCCTTTGGCCCTGGCCCCCCCAGGGCAGGTGGACATGGCCACTCCCCCTGGATCCCTTTAAAGGGATACCCCAGTTTGGAGGGGCAGGCAGAGACTACAACCTCCCCTCCATCCAAAACAAAGGATTGCCCCAATGTCCAAACAGTTGTCATGATTGCTATGAGGTAGGCAAAACCACCGGGTCAGTGCCAATTAGCCCAGTGGGCAAATTCCCACCCGGCATCTTGAAGGATGCAACCACCGTAGCCACAGCAAAGTCATTGACTTGTCAGCTTAAACCGAGGGTGGGTGGGATAGGGAAACCCGGTGCAGGAACAAACAGTCTGAGCCCCAGGTGTAGGATGCTTAAATGGGCAAGGGGTGGATCCGAGGGCAGCCCACCGGCGGCTCCATTGGCAGCGCCCCCCGGCACAGCCCAAGTCCCAGCCTGCAGCCCCACTTGCCAAAGCAGGGTGCAGGCCAGGATTCGGTTCCTGATAGGCGGAGAGGGTTCAGGAAGGGCACCGCAGTTTGAATTCCCACGTCGGCATCCCAGTGAAGCCTCCTCTGTCCCGCAACGCCAGGGCACCAAAAGGGGTGAGCGGACTTGTTGTCTTTGGCAAAAGCTGAGATTTCTCAAACTACCAAATCCTGGGCCACAGCAGCAGGTCTTGGAGACATGCAGATTACGCAATGTTGTGTTTCTACTTCCGTTGCTCCATTTTATGGTTTGGTTTCTTTGAACTGTGTCTGGAAAGATATGTACTTCTTTCTACACAGCCAGTGCTGAGTGTGACAGTGGAGGACATTGCTGGTTTTCTTTTTTCTCCATGTGTGTGTGTGTATGTACTTACGTATGTATGTATGTATGTATGTATGTATGTATCTGAAGTGTGCATGCACACATAAGCTCATACCAATAACAAACTTACCGTAGTTGGTCTCTAAGGTGCTACTGGAAGGAATTTTTTTATTTTGTACGTATGGTTGTGTGTTCTCATATCCACTTCCTTTCCTTCTCCTTGACCCGCTGTCCCACGCCCCACCCCACAACTCCAGAAAAAACAAATCGGGAACTGTGAAATATTTCATCAGTCAAAGGTAAAGATCACAACTGTCTTGCTAGCTCCTTCTACCTGTTTGTCCGTTATGCAATGAACTGGAATCAGAGTCTCTGAGCTGCTGCATGTTGTCGTCAGTGGAAGGGAGAGCATGAAGCCAACTTCTTCTGACGCATGGAATGCTCTTGTTTTGGAGTTCCCTTTCTGAAATGTGTAGCATGATCGTGATTCAACAAAGACCCTTCCCCAAATAAGCAGTAGCACACAGAGGATGCTGAGGTGGTGGGCTGTCAGCAGGGGTGTTTCAAAGCATTATTATTAATTTAGTCTGCTTCCAGGGCAGCTGGATGCCTTGCAAAGCACAGTGAACGTCTACCACCTTCCATCTCAATCTGCCCAGAGGCACTCCATCCATTTATTGTGGGTCTCTGCTCTGAGCGCTTTATGTACCTAGCAATGCCCCTGGTTGTCGGGAAATATATATATATGCATGTGGCTGCCAGCAGAAACTTGACCGATGCCAGCTCTTGGATTTCTTTGGTGCATTTTCAAAATAGGGGCTGCAAAGGACTTCAGTGTGTGCGCAGAGTGCATTCTCCTCCATGGTGAGACACCCAGCCCAGAGCGGGTGTGCCTTCTCTTTAACTCTCAGTGTTCATACAGAGTGCTTTCTTTTCTACTCATGACTTGTCCTGACACTTTAAGGATGCAATTTGATCTATGCTGCTCGTAGTTATATGGCCATTGTAAGTATAATAAAATACACGAAAGCATAAGTGTGTATCATATATAAAAATTAACTGTAGAGTTAATTGGGGTTGCTTTCAATTTTAGCTTGTTCATATTAACAAGGCACTGCAAACTATGGACAATTTGGTGTGAAATTCTCACTCAGGTTTTCTTTGCTGCAGTTGCAAACAATGCCACTTCATAGGTTCTATATTCCTGTTCATCGGATAAGAGCAAAATCGCTACAGGCGAGATTCAACTAATGAGCCCCACTAGGGGAAGTGTGTGCATATGCAAGGATTTCTGCTAATGCAAGGAGACTCCCCCCTCCTGCATGCAGCCCCATGCCTCTCAAACTCGGCTGGGGGGGGGGCGGGAGGACCCCCACAACAGTGTGCAGGTACGGGAGAAGGGGGACTCTTCAATCTGGCAAGCTGAAATGCTTGTGCTGAGGAACAATGGTCATAGCCTTCATGGAGTCCCTCCCATTTTCTTGAACTGGCCGTCTGCTACATTCTTGAAGGCTATAGCACTGCCTACCCAGGCCTGCTGCCCTGTAGAGGCTTGTCCCTCATCCCTGACCATTGCCCACACTGGAAGTTGGAGGGCAACAGGTTGTTGAAGGCTGATTATTAATTCTTACTTTTTCGTTTCACCAATTTTTATCCTGCTTAACACTGTACTTCTCTAACCATAAAACCAGAAAAAGCTTACTTTAAATGCCTGCTGAGATTTACCAAAAAAAGACACTCTTTAGTAAGTGCCAGACATTCAACATCGAGGGGGCCTGTCTGATCTCACCTGAGGGGAAATTCCACAGCAGGGAGCCCACTGAATGCACAGCTGTTGGTGGATGCAAGCCAAACATCTGGACCACGGGGACCACGCCCAGTGACTTCCCTTGAAGACCTCAGTGAACAGGCAGGGATCAAGCGGTCCTTGGAGTTGGCAACACCCAGTTGGCAAGGGCCTTGTGAGTTAATTCAACAGCCTTGAACTTGGCCCAGTAGCGAGTTCCTAAATACTGGGGTTGTTTGATGCTGGTGGTCCAGCTCTGCCCACAGTCTGGCTGCAGCATTTTACACCGGCCGGAGCTTCCAGACCGGGCCAATTGTAACAATCAAGTCTTGAGGTTACTAATGCATGACTCACCAGGGACAGGCTATCCCCATTCAAGAGTGACTGTAGTTGGCGTACCAGCCATAACTGGTAGGAGGCACTCTTAGCCACTGAAGCTACATGAGCCTCAAGCAACAAATATAGATGCAGGAGCACCCACCGCCACAAACCACACACCTGTCCTAGCAGAGGCACCTGTGCAATCACTGCCCACCTGAACCTCCATTAGCGTATATCAAAGCTGTCCTGGAGCCATAGAAATGGCGTCAGGTGCAACTGGAAGATGTGTAGCCTATTTTCTCTCTCCCTTCTCATTTGACCTTGGAGAAAAAAATGTTGTATGGTTTTTAACACGTTTTTTCTTCATTTTTTTAAAGCAGGAAGCAAAACAGCGAAGACAACCTTAAGAGCATCAGTGACCTGCCAAACGTGGGTGAGAATGAACTGCTTTCCTGAAAGCTGCCATTCTGGTTGGAGCGCACCCTCTGGTCCCATCCCAACTTCCCACCCCCGACTCCGTTACAAAGCATGTGTCCATGGAGGGAGAAGCTCTGGAGCCCAGGGCGATTCAACCAGCATTCTGTGAGGCTGGTAACCATATAGATGCTGAATGTAGAACTTTTTGTGGCAGCATGCTGTACAAAACAGAATCCGTCCAGCCACCGTAAATAAGGACCATCACGGGATTATGTCTGATATCAAAATACGAGGACCTCAAACTGGCATGCTGCTGGGCTTCATCTGAATGGAGCGATGTGGGAGCTCGTCATACGATTTTGCGAAAATCAACCAAACTATCAACCTCATTTAGGGTGGGGAGAAACTCCCAGGTCAAATATTTCATGAAGAAAATGGTCCATATTTTAAAAGCGTGTTGAAAGTGGGCAGCTAAGTGTGATGCTTTCGATCAAGCGGAGATTGTGTTTGCATCCTTCCAGTAACATACATCTTTCTCTTTTTTGCTTTGGTGTTTACTATACATACATTTTTTGTATTAATATTTTTTACTGCATGGAAACCAAACAGAAATGCCACATCAGGGTTTTCGGTGGTGCTTGGGCTTTTGTGATTCAGAGATTATTCACAGCTACATTTGAGAGTGGTTTGCCTTGATTTCATTTGACCATCCTCAAGACCATAGCAGTGGTGTGGTTTGTGGGGTTTTGAGTGCTCCAGACATACAAGGCAGGCAGAGCCCTTTTCTTTTTTGAGGGGCTGTATGTGCCAGAAGAACCCATAGAGTGCCCGACTTCAGTACAGTCATGCTCAAGCACAAATTTGAAAACATGCACTGCTGAGTGAAAACGATATTGTATCTAGCTGATGAAGTGATAACAAGAATTTCCTGCTAGCAGTTTTACTTGATCTCTGTTATCTATATGGGCATGTACAAAAAATAATAATCAGGATTTTAAAATAATAATTATAATCCAACACTTCCTGTTATGTAACATGGTTTAATACATTTTAACAGAATAACAGATAGCTTCTGCAGTTTTTGAATACAATCCAATGAATTTTACTGAAATATATAGATTTTGCTGCTAACGAATATTTCAATTAGCTTGTAAGCAGAAGTAGCTGTTTTGTGCTTTTTTTGTACCTGAAAAATGTGTCATCGTCCCCATCTTTAAAACGGGACCTGCATCCTGCATCCCTGTGCTCCGATAGCCACTAGCTGAGGAAACAAAAGGACCAGGGAATGAAAGGCTAAGCTCATGCGTAATTTCCACCCACCCTCACTATTCTTGCCTTTGCTGGAGTATACGAGTTGCTAGAATAGTTTTGCCATGTCAGTAAAATCTGTAATTTTAAAAGCAGAATTGCATGTTTGGATGCTACCATGTTTTTCTTGGAGAGAAAACAACCAGCGCCAAAAAATTCCCTACGCATCAGAATCTATACCCCTGACATGCTAGCTTTCTGTGGACTAAAGAGTTTCCAGTAGTGATGCTTTCAGCGACGCAGTCTTTCTTTCACTCCAAACCCTCACATTGTAAAATTGACCCAATCCTGGGATGGTTGCTGAGCATGGAGCTTGCCTCCAAGAGCCTCCCTCAAACCCAAATGGGGCCTGCCTACATCTCCCAGTTGGAGGCACAAAATGCATGATCTGTTGAAAGAAGTAAACTGTTGCTGCAGCAACCATCAGGCCTCTCTCTGCTGTTTGTTTTGTAATCAGGTACCACTTCGTAGCCCCAATTAATCTATTTGTATTGGGTGGGCTTAAGTGGCTGATGGCTTTACTTTCACCATTCCTTCTACTCTGCTCCCAGTGTAAAAGCTCTGTTTACATGGCAGCAGCAGCTTAGGTCATCCCTCAGTCTGTGTGTCCACATTATTTGCTGTTCTGCTTAAGCTTTCCATTGTACTTCTGCCCTCTGGCAGGCTGGTGCCGGTGCTGAAGTTGTAGTCCAAAACATCTGGAGGACACCAGCTTGTCGGAGAAGGAGGTACCTGAATGCTTAATTTCTCTTCATGATAAGCACTGGATTCAAAAAGGAGGGGAATCTGCTGCCGGTTTGCGTAGAACTAAATGGCAGACTTCCTGGGTTATTGTGGTTTATCATGAGTACGGCGGGGGCTCCTTTATGCGTCCCATCCTCTCCAGTTTTGAAGCCCCCACCCACTCAGCACAACCAGGAGAAATGTGTAATTAATTACCATCAATTTATTAATCACCTTCTAAATAACTGTCCCGAGGCGATTTACTCAAAAATTAGTTAAAAACACAAAGAGCAAATGCATTTAAAACAAGACTGAAAAACTAACAATGTAAACACTTGTGATAAAGACACATGAATCCATCTGGGGAAGCCTGCAAGCTCAAAATGTCTTCCAGGGCAGATAGTGGGGAGTTGTTTAGTAGTTGTGGGTTGTTGTTAGGGAGGAACCATGTAATTCCCTGGTTTGGAAATAACGGGAAGCCCAGAGAAAGAGCCACCAGGCAGCCTGTATTAGCATCCCACGTCTTCTCATTAAACTTTGAGATGCCAAAAAGTGTGGCTCAGGGGTTGCCAAGTGTTTTATCGGCCAGCAAGACAGTCACAAAATGGTTGCTGTGTGGGTATGTGGTGTAACATAAAATGGCTGCCCTGTTTAACGAAACGGGAAAAGAGACAAGAGCACAAAATGGGCCCACTTCTCAGAACAGTCAGTCTTGGTGCTGGATGAAATGGGAGCATGTTCCAAGCGTAGAAGGAGACAAGCCAGCACAAACGGACTGGGCAGGAAGAGCAAACCACCTCCTGTGTGCTGAAGGGATCTTTAATGGGCTCTTTCTCATAGGTGCCATCGGCTGAACTGACAGCACATTGGTGCCCACAGGCAGTGCTTGGGAGCTTGCACATGTGATTTAATTTATTCCAGCACCGCTCTCTGGCCTGCCTTTGCTCTAGACGAGCTGTGGTCTTGTGCAGCTCTTGCACTTGCTCAGGCATTCTCCAAGAGGGCTGGACCAAGCCCCTCGCACCGTGCTTGCTGCGCTGAGATGTGCAGTTGGCTTGGCAGCACCAACCACAGACCTTGGCTAAGGCCTGCTCACTGCTCAGGAATAGCCTTTTGGCAGGACTGGCTACATCCACAGAGGCACAGAATAGGGGAAGGTCCCTTTGCTATTGGCAGAATTCCCTTCCCATGGAGACTAACCAAAGTCTGAGGTTGAGCGTCTTCCAGAAAAATCTACAGCAGACATTTGAATGTGCTGGGCTTTTAATGGTAAAAATGGACAGTACAAATGAGTGGCATTAATCTTAACCTGTGGACCTCCAGATGTTGCTGAACTCCATCAGACCCAGCCAGTGTGGTTGGGGCACGTCCAACAGCACTCAGAGGCCACAGCTGCCTTAGCCTTATAAAAAAAAGGGTGCTCCAGAGCTTGGAATGGGTTCAAGCTGTAAAGCAATTCATTTTGTTAAAAAAGCAGCAGCTTAGATTCCAGTGTTGAGAAGAAAAGTGTGTTAACAATGCTAAATTATTGTCTTCAGGTGCAATTCATGCTTTTTATGCCCATGTAACCAGGAATGCTAGGATCTAAAAGCACATTTTATTACGGGCCTCCTGCATCTATGGCTACAGAACTGTAACTCCTGGCGGCATCCCCTTGTCCAAGCTCTATAATATTGCTGCTTTTTATATTGTTGAATGACCAAGGCTTGTATTATTATTTTTAATTTTTGTTCCTGCCTATGTCCTTTCTACTACACTTCTACTTTTATCAAGCGTTTTAAATATTATGTATTTATCACTTAAATGACCTTTTAAAAAAACAACACAGACCCAACAAGGAATTGGCAAGCACTTTTCCAGGGGACTTTCAGTATTCAAGCTGAAATAAAAATGTGGGGGAATGATAAATGCAGCCTCTAGGGGTTTCATTATGTTGGTTTTGCAAAAGAGAGGGAGAGAATACATTTACCTGTAGCTTAAGGACATCCCCAAAAGGTCAAGATGCCTTGGCTATCCCTCACCTGTCCTACATCAGGATGACGATATAATGCAAGCACCTTCCCAGCCAGGTGCCCTCCAGATATTTGGACTCCCACCACTTCTAGGCAGCATAGGATTGTAAGGGCAGGATGTAAGTATTTTAAAATAAATACATTTTGCAGATTGCAGCATTTGTATCTCCCCTTTCTGCAGATGTCTGACATTTTCCCTAAATGCAGATAAACAAGTTCTGAAACAACAGTTTTTGAAACACAGAAGATTGCAGCTTGATCCCACCACACACAGTCTCCAATCCATTCTGCTAGCATCTACCTTGCAGAGAATTAAGATTGTGTGAATATTCAGTTGCAGCTCTGCATTCCAGGCTACCCATAGAGGAAGGAGGCACAAGAAGATAAAAGTTTCCAATAGCTTTATTTTCTCCACAAAATAGATCTCTCCCCTAAAATCCCCCCCATTCACATTAATCAACTTTTCTTTTTGCTCCCATGTAATCTAGACAGGGGAAAAGTGCAAGGACGTACAAATTTATTTCTTTTTGACCTATATCCATTCCTTCAGTTTGGAAATGAATTCTAAAGGACAAAAATTAAGGAAAGTGCAAAGGGAAAGGACTGGCAGTATGCCATCTAGTTCACAGGTCAGAGCGCCTTCCTTGCCCCATTGAATGCTGGGGATTCTATCGCCCGCTAAGAATAGGAACTGGGATCTGTGCAAGGAAGGCAGCAGAAGACCTATCTTGTTTAAATCCAGCAAAGATGGGGGGATGAAATGAAGAGGAACCAGGGCAGAAGGGGACAGAAAGGGAAGGAATCCTACCCAGAAGCCACTTTCTTTTTCCAGTGCCACAACTTTAGGAGGCCCTCAAAATTACCTTAAGACTATCCAGGGCTTTGCAGGTCCCCGAAATATCTTCCCCCACCCCAGCAAAAAAAGAACTTTCACAGAAAGTGGTTATCATTATTTGCAGAATATCACAATCTTTACATTCCCTTTATCAGGGCATCCATATTGGAAGCAAGACTGAACAGAATAATTTATGTGGGTTTCTGTTCCCCTTCACAGCCTGTGCATGTGTGAAATTCATTGGACATCAACACTTTGGGTTGGTCATCGGATGCGACAGCCTTCCTGAGTTTCTGCCTGGGAGCCATAGGATGAATTGGCTTCCTATGAAAGAAGAAGGGGAAGTCAGTGCAAAAACAACAACAATACACAAGACAGATTCTCAGGCTCACATTCTGGCTAACATTGCCCCAAGGGAAATTTGCTAAGCAAATTAGCCTGTAAGGTTCATTGAATTGTAGAATCTTAGAATTGGAAGGGATCCCAAGGGTCATCTAGTCCATAGCTGTCAACTTTCAGATTTGAAAATAAGGGATCAGCAGCCTCACCTGTCCTGGGGACAGTCTACGGGATATCTAACAATCCGGGGAAGCAGCGGGAAACGGCGCTGGAATAAGGGAATTTCCCACCAAAAAAGGGAAGGTTGACAGCTATGATCTAGTCCAACCCCCTGCAATGCAGGAATGACCCCTACAAGGTTCTACAGGAGCTGCACTTGCTAAGGCAAAGCAACACACTTTCAAAAAGCCCAACCAAACTTTTCTAATAAGCTGGCAAAAGGTTGCCAATAAGGCAACCCCTGTTGTTGTTGTTGTTGTTGTTGTTTAGTCGTGTCCGACTCTTCGTGACCCCCTGGACCAGAGCACGCCAGGCACTCCTGTCTTCCACTGCCTCCCGCAGTTTGGTCAGGCTCATGTTTGTAGCTTCGAGAACACTGTCCCACCATCTCGTCCTCTGTCGTCCCCTTCTTCTTGTGCCCTCCATCTTTCCCAACATCAGGGTCTTTTCCAGGGAGTCATCTCTTCTCATGAGGTGGCCAAAGTATTGGAGCCTCAACTTCATGATGTGTCCTTCCAGTGAGCACTCAGGGCTGATTTCCTTCAGAATGGAGAGGTTTGATCTTCTTGCAGTCTATAGAACTCTCAAGCGTCTCCTCCCGCACCATAATTCAAAAGCATCAATTCTTCGGCGATCAGCCTTCTTGATGGTCCAGCTCTCGCTTCCATACATCACTACTGGGAAAACCATAGCTTTAACTCTTCCCCCTACTGTGCTCCAAACTGATCAAGGTGCGCTATTGTGATTTTGGGCTTCCCAGAGGCATCTAGTTGGCCACTCTGAAAACCACATGCTGGACTTGATGGACCTTTGGCCTGATCCAACAGGCTCTTCGAATGTTCGTCTCTAAAAACAATTTGCTGTAATCTAGCAATACGATACGATACAATACAATAATTTTTATTGTCATTGTCCCATACAGAACAACGAAATTGAAAAAATCTACATCAGACATTCAAAAACCAACAAGCCTGCTATCCCAACTATCCCAGCCTGGTTAGCCCCTAAAAATGTACAGTGGTGCCCCGCAAGACGAAAAACTCACTAGACGAAAGAGTTTTCCGTTTTTTGAGTCGTTCCGCAAGACGAATTTCCCTATGGGCTTGCTTTGCAAGATGAAACGTCTTGCGAGTTCTTGCGAGTTTGTTTCCTTTTTCTTAAAGCCGCTAATAGCCGCTAAGCCGTTAATAGCCGCTAAGCCGCTAATAGCCGTGCTTCGCAAGACGAACAAAACGCAAGACGAAGAGACTCGCGGAACGGATTAATTTCGTCTTGCGAGGCACCACTGTATCTTTACTATGCCTTATAAAATGCAAGCAGCTGAAGTCAAGCCCTTTTTTAAATTAAGAACACCCACTACAAGTCTATCTACTTTATGGTAAATCTTCATTCCCCATGAGAAGCTAGATAGCTCTAGCCTAATATATTCAAATGACATTTATCTGTAGGAGCCACATTGATCAATAGGATGACGGGAGCATCTGGAGGGCAACAGGTTCCCCAGCTATAAAGGAAAAGAAAGTGACTAACATCCAATTAAGCCACAGGGCCATTTGGCCAGAAGCCAAGGTGGGAATTTGGTATTATAAATGGTTTTTTAAATTATCACAGTGTCTCACACAGGAAATCCTAGTTATATGGTGGCACCAAGAATTGTTAGCAATCCTTAATATAGTTTCCAAGCTTCTTTTAGGGGAAGAAAGAATGGATGTTCCACATCCATATTTATTCTTTTCCTTCTGGAAAGACAGAGAGAGAGAGAGAGAGAGAGAGAGAGAGATGGAAGGAAGAAGAAACAGATACAAAGAGAGAAAGCTATGGGAGCAAATCCTAACACAAAGCAAACTTACCAAGTCATAGTCTTCAACATATTTGTATTTCTTCTCTCTATAATAATATTTTTTCTTCATGAAATACAGGACAATGATATCACAGAGGACTGTCGCCTAGTTGAGATTCAAAGGCAAAGAAGAGATATTACTTATTTTCAAATGTTGAAGTTTCTTCTAACACCTTATTAAAAGGAAACCAGTGGTGAGGGAGAATAAAGGGCTTACCACACCAAACAGGGCTAAGCCAGATCCAATGTTAATCATCGTAGGGATGATATCAAATTTTCCCGCCTAAAACACACACAGATATACACAAGTTATTCAAAAGTCCTTTTTCCGATAGCTCTCCTATTCATTTAAGGCAACTTTCCACCGACAGGTGGTGTTGGACTCCAATTCCCACCGGCCCCAGCCAGCATGGGCACTGGTCAGGAACAACGGGAGTTGTAGTCCAACATTATCTGGGAAGGGCACCAGGTTGGGAAAGGCTGGCTTTATGGCATTTGTTTGTAAGAAAAGGATGGCCGTTCCGTGACTGTCTGAATTGTCTCATGTCTGTGGTGGTGAAACCTCCAGCGCTAACTGGTGCAACAGAACATTCAACAACTCAGGAAGACAAAGACGTTGGACACACACAAAAATTCACAGTTTCTATGAAAGAGAAAGAAATTGAGTGGAGGAGGCAGGCGGACATACTTAAACCAACAACTAGAAATGTGGTCACACGTCACAGAATGTATTTAAAAGTTGGGTCCCAAAAAGTTGAGGACAGCTGAATTATTCTGCCTGGTAGCAGGTCAAAGGTCTTGGGTACTCTTGCTGGAAATGCCAAACATGGGGCCGTCTGTTAAATGAGATTTGGGTTCTCTATCCCCCCTCTTAAGGGAACAAAGCAGAGGGGTGCCATGCATGCCTGGTGCCATCTGAGGGTCGCCGCAGCCACGCCAAACTCAGAGGCAGCTGGCCTCCTTTTGCCCTTTGCAAAAGCAGGTAGCTACCTTGCCAAACACCATGATATCAAAGCGGATTCCATAGGCCTTGATGAGCGTCCGGGAGTCTCTGCCACCAGCATTCTTGTAATATTTAGCAAATCTGTTTGGGAAAAGAAAAAGGAGAGGTGGGTCTTGTCCTCTGGGCAGCCCAGGACCTCCACACACACTGCCCAGGCTTGTGCCCCAGGGAGGTCATGTAAGTGCTGCTAACACTGTTGTTTGACTTCACCCCTAGAGGTGCACTCCATTGTCTCTCGAGGCAGATGGATGCAAACAACTGCAAATCTTCAGGGATCTCATAACCCAGTTAGAAATCCTGGTGTGTCTGCTCCAGAGCTGCTGCACACACACATTCATGTGGGTCACTGGTCCAGAGCAACTGGTCTCCACTGGTGCTCTGCATCAAGTGAAAGTGCTCACAGGCATCACAGTAAAACCAGTACAATTAAAAATCAACAGCGTAAGCCAACTCTTCCAACAGATAATCACACCTAAACAAACACACTCTTCACCTGCTCCAGACATCAGACCCTGCACCAAAAGAGTTTGACTTGGGTAGAGGCTATACCATGGTGGGTTCCCAGACCTGGTTACCCCAAACCACCCTACCTGAAATTGTATCCTGGAGAGACGGTGTGGTCAGAATCCTTGTTGTCGATACGACGGAAGGTGTACTTTGGCAAACAATAAGAGGCAGCCTTGTCCAAATTACAGTTCCAGCTGATCTGCAGCCCCATCACTCCACCCTGTAGAAACAGTGCATTCAATTTAAATTCAAACAGACCTCATATGTGACATAATTCATTTTTTCCCCTATGGTCACGGATGCAATTGTCTTTTACAGCAGACCATGCACAAAATTTTCTAGAGTCTAGTGTACACTGCATCCACCATAACCCAAGTCAATTTTGGTACAAAAAAAAGAGTGAGGAACAAGTTTCTAGGTCTCATTGATGCCCAAACATATTGCACCATAAAATGCGGTTATTTATTGCAATTATTTACATCCCACTTTTCAGGATACAAATCCTTCCCATGTGGTTTATGAACAATATAATCTCAATGCACATTCTCAAAATATAATAAAGCTGCTGTCATTTGTCTCGGTCCGCCAGTTTGCCTGAGTGTTTTGTATGCAGCTGTAAGGCCTGAGTCTAGCAGCAAAGTTTTACGTTTTTAAAACACTCTGACGAGATCTAAATGGAGGGGTACTTGTGGACTGACATAATTGTAAAGGTTTTTCTACAGCTTGTTTCAAATGTTCAAAGCACATTAACGTGTTCTCACAATGATTATTCCAATAGCCCTGTAAGTTTGGTCAGTACTATTATCCCAATATTACAGATTGGAAGACTGAGGCCTTAAAGAACAGCGCAGCTTGCATAAATCCACCTTGGCAAGTGCAGAGCAGTTCTGAACTGGACACTTTTAAGTTTACACTTTGCATGACTGAACCAAGTTGAGGAGTTAGCAAAAAGAGCCTTTTGGAAATGCAACTGGCAAATGTGACCAGAAGCAAAGCTCATTGTTTGAAAGAGGCCTTGATCTTGAGAAGATAGCAAGCCCAAACAAGGAAAGTTAAATATTTGCTCCATTAATCGCATTCCTTATAATGTGCATCTGCCAAAGAGCACCATTTGTACAAACTGTTACCCAGCTGCCCTTGTTCAAATATGCTGGATACTCAAGAGGAGGGGGAAGAGGTTGGAAACAAACATCAAACAGGAAACGAAGGCTCTTGGGGTGCAGCTGTTGCCTTGTGGGGCTTGCTCAGAAGTGGACTCAAGGGGCAGCTGCCCCACAGGCTTCCCGCTCTCATTGCGGATCACCCCACCCCCCCATCACGCAGGCCGACCCCACACTGCCACAAGGAGGGGTGAGGCCCAAACCCCATCCTGAGGCACAGAACACACGGGGGCTTCTGACAGCAGAAGCTGCCACGGAGAGGCCCATGTGAAGAGATGCTGGGTCGAGGGTCTTCTTGGCAGCCCACAAGCGAGGCATAAAGCAACTGTTCTCCTGCACGGGAGGCTCCCAGATTCTGGTGTCGCAGCTAACAGCCTTTGCACAGCAGACTGCACTCCATGGTCAGTTTTGCTTATCATCCGGGCTATTATCACGGTGCAAAGACATGAGAAAGCACCGGAAGAGCCTGTGGAGTGGAGCTGATAGTGAGTGGGGCCTGGGCAGGGGAGGGGTCCGTGGCCTGCCAGAGCCCCAGGGGACAGTGGAAGGAGCACCTATGTCTCACAGCCCAAGTTAATAATATGTGCATATAGAAAATTTATCCTATCTTTAAAGGAAGGTAAATCTAAGTTTTTTTTTAAAAAAAAAATCTAATTCGCAACTCTTGCACTCGGCTCCAGATTGGATTATCACTCTTCCCTTCCTGTCGTATTTTCCCACCACAGATTCTAACCAACCTCAACAGCCATCTCTTGGAAATTCTGACCAGCAGATTCAACCACATCACGGAGGCGGAAAATGGGGCAAAAGGGGTCCGTTTTGGAATTGTATTTGCAGTTCTTGAGGTATGATTTACTTATGTTGGGGAGGATGTTTCGCCTGGGTGGGGAAGAAGGGAGAGATTCCAGAGTTAAGGTCATCTGGGGAACTCACTGGGTGATTTACCTATTAATTTTATATCATGCCCTTCCGCCCAAAGGGTGCAACTTCCTGTGTACTGAACTAGAAACACCTGCCTTGCCCACTCCACATAAAAATGTTGTCTAGGAAAAGGTGGGGGTGGGGATGGTTATCTCTGGCAAGCTTTTGAAATGAGAGAATGAGCATAAGCCGTCACTATTCATTCTGCAAACTTGATCCTGGCTGAAAGCTGCTGCTGTTCCACAACGCCAGTGTTAGGAGAAGGGCAGTGGCTCATGCCAAAAGTCCAAGGTTCGATCCCTGGCATCTCCAGGCAGGGCTAGAAAAAGATTCCCCTGAACCTGAAACCATGGAGAGCCATAGCTAGTCAGTGTAGACAGATGGACCAGTGAGCCTGGCTTGGTATAAGGCCGCTTACTGCAGTCCTAAGAAAAGTAGATGCAGCACCAGCAAACAATGGCAGTGAGGAAAGCAGCTCATGGGAGGAAGGGTCTCCCACTGCCAGGGTCTTGCCCAAGGGAACCCGGAAGCCTAGAGCCAGTGGCATCTCCCATCCCACCCTGCCACCTCCATGCTTGGCAAAGCACTGCTGGATTCTTCAGTGCCATGATTTTATATTGTGACACAAATAATACAATACTGATTCTTTTCCTGCTAGCACAAGAACCCAACAACTTGTGATTAATGCTCCAGTGAGCACAGCCCAAAGACGTTAGTGATGGGGGGGATGTATACGCACTTAGTGAAGTTGAACTTGGGGTACCAGATGTTGTTCTTTACCAGGAGGGTGAAGTTTGCAGCATTATGTAGGAAAGCTGGTCTGGAGAGGATTGAGAAAGGAACAGGGGATGGGATGGGGCAGGGAGGAGAAAGAGAATGTCTCAGTGGAAACGTGCGATTTCACTTTATGCCTGACAATCATGGCTAGCAACAAGGCAACAATCCAACAATCTCACTTCAAAAAGGTGGTCTGGCCCCCCATAGGTCAGTGCACACTTTGCACACATAACACCCCAAATTCACTCAGGCAGGGGTGATATCCAAAGAGGGTGACCTCAGGTAAAGCCTTCCATTTATAGCGCTGCAAGCCTGCCCGCCCCCAGTGTCCCCTGAATGGCCAATTCAAACAGGCCTTTCTGCCCATGCCAGTGTGGCCAGAGGGGGGAATGCTGAGCATGCCACCCACGGCTATGGGGGAAGGAACCAATGGCCTTTGGGACCAGGCCACAGCAGTGCCAACCAATAAACGCTGCTTCCCTGAAGGCCTGGGAAAGCAAAGGCCATCAACACCACTGAGCTCCAAAAGACGTCTGAGCGTAGCTACCTGGTGGAAGTATCTCAGCATCTAGCCATGTTTGGGTTTTTTAAAAAGCAACTTGTCAGAGTTAAGACACTCACTTGGGAACATGTTCATCATCCTCCACTGGACACCAGGCAAAGACCTCACAGGTTTTCTCGGTTTCTCTGTATGTAACACACTTCCCAGTCTGGACACCTGAAGGGATACCAAGAGCGTCCTCATCAAACTGTTATGCTAGCAAGAACTATGCTGCCTCAGGACTCTCCTTCTTTGGAGGTTTTTATGCAGAGGTTGGATGGCCTCCTGTCACGGATGCTTTAAATGCGATTCCTGCATTCTAGGGGGTTGGACTAGATGACCCTTGGGTTCCTTCCAACTCGATGATTCTATGATTCTGAGTTTTTCTGCTGCCACATGTGTAAGTCAGGCTTCAGACCTAACATCTTCCTATGAAAGGTAGGCCAGAACTACCCTCTTCTTGCAGAGGGCGGTGATGGTGTTTGAGGCTGAGAGAAAATGGCTTGCCATTAGGGGAGTGTGGAGAATTAGGGGGCAGCAGCACCCAACCGAGTAATCAGCATTCCTCCCCTCCAAAACCCATAACAAGTATCTACAGATGAAGTCAATCACACCATTGCACAATGTCCTTGAAATCTGCAACATACAGTTCCCGCCTAGAAATGCTGCCTTATCTATATGTTTGCAGATCTCAAGGTCAAGATTTTATTAAAAAAAAGTGAGCAAAATGATTAGCAGGCACAAAGAAGACCACACCAGCTCCTACCATTGCTGTGTGTCCCAACGTATCCTTCCGTGCAGTTTTCGCTAGAATGGCACCGTGTGGTTTTATCTGGAAACTGGAGAGGAAGACGATGGTGCAGATAAACAGAAGGGCAGCGCTTGCCATGCCCTCTCCCTCCACCCCGTGGCCTCCAAAACTAGCGCTTATGAAAGGGTTTGCATGGGGGCACATCAAAACAAAAAAGCTCTTTCTGAACTAGTTAATCCACTATGCTGGGATTCATTGAAATAAATCAAATAAGCAGGAGCTAACAAGTAGGGCTCTTCAATCAATGAAAGGAAGGAAGGAAACAACGAGAGAAAGAGAGAGTCAGAATTCCGCACAGAGGCAAATTGGGCAATCTACATAAATTGGGATATGTGCTAAAAAGACTTTGATCCAACTAAGTTGGCAAACACCACAATTTAAAACAATAGTATGCAGAGGAAAAAAGACCGGGGGAGTTATGTAGGTCCTCTTCCTTTCTGATTGGGGGTGTCATACTGTGGTACCTCGGGTTACAAGCACTTCAGGTTACAGACTCCGCTAACCCAGAAGTAGTACTTCAGGTTAAGAACTTTACCTCAGGGCATGGGAAAGGTACAAAGATCTAATAGAGCAAAAAACACCTTGGTGGCTATCACCAATTGAAGCTTCATTATTCAAACCGCTTGGCAAAAAGGGGAAGTGGCCTACATATAGAGATCTACTGAGGGATCAAGAAGGGAAATGGAAATTAAAAGAGTTTGAGGAAATCAAAGACCATTTTCAGAGTTGGCTACACTATAGACAACTTTATGAGATGTTGAGGAAGATAATAAGAAAGGGTTTAGTTATACAACTTCCAGATTTCAAAAGGAAGTTATAGAAGAAGAAGGGAAGCTGCTGAAGAAAGCATATAGTATTCTGCTAGAATGGGAAACAAAAGATGAGGAGGTCAAATCAGTCATGATTAAATGGGCACAAGATATAGGACATAACATACAATTTGAGGACTGGGGAAAATTGTGGAAAGTAAATCTGAAATTTACAGATTGTTCTCTCTTTTTTAAAAATGACATTTGCAAAAAAACCACGAGCATTTTTGTTAGGGATTGTAGGACAAGACCTGCCAAGAAAAATAAGAAACCTATTTATGTATGCTGCAACAGTGGCAAGAGTCTTGTTAGCACAAGAATGGAAGAACGAGGAAATCCCAACGAAAGAACAGTGGCAAGAAAAATTGATGAGCTATGCGGAATTGGCCAAGTTGACATATAAACTGCATGACAAGGACAATCATGACTTCAAGGAAGAATGGAAACTTTTTACAAACTACTTAAAAAGACAACAAAATGACTTGGACTCCTTAGCAGGTTTCGAACAAACAGCCACAAATTTATTAGTTGAATATATGATAGACAAGGCAAGGATATGTACAATTTTATAATATGCAGAGAACAATATGTGGGGGGGAAACAGAGAGGGGAGCTGAGGGAAGTCCTGGGGGGGGGAGAGGGAGGGATTGGGGGGAAATAATGTAATTGAATATTTGGACTGATAAATTGTTATGTTGAAATTGTTTTATATATATATATATATATATATATATATATATATATATATATATGAACTTTACCTCAGGATGAGAACAGAAATCGCGCGGCAGCGGAAGGCCCCATTAGCCAAAGTGGTGCTTCAGGTTAAGAACAGTTTCAGGTTAAGAACGGACCTCCAGAACGAATTAAGTACGTAACCCGAGGTACCACTGTACAATTAAAAACCACCTTCACAAGGGACGCAGGTGGCGCTGTGGGTTAAACCACAGAGCCTAGGACTTGCCGATCAGAAGGTCGGTGGTTTGAATCCCTGCGACAGGGTGAGCTCCCGTCACTCTGTCCCTGCTCCTGCCAATCTAGCAGTTTGAAAGCACACTAAAAAGTGCAAGTAGATAAATAGGTATCGCTCTGGCGGGAAGGTGAACGGCGTTTCCGTGCGCTGCTCTGGTTCGCCAGAAGCGGATTAGTCATGCTGGCCACATGACCCGAAAGCTGTACGCCGGCTCCCTCGGCCAGTAAAGCGAGATGAGCGCCGCAGCCCCAGAGTCGGGCACGACTGGACCTAATGGTCGGGGGTCCCTTTACCTTTACTGCTGGGTCCCTGGGCATTAAACCCCCTAAGGCCCAGGTCAAAAAACCAACTCTTTCTCTGGTTTCTAAAGGCTACAAATTTACGTAATTTATTTCCTAAGGATTTCAACCCTCTTTCCCTCCCCCTCTGCTTCTCTCCCTGGTTCTGCTTTGGAGCCAGCATAGCCAACTGAGGACCCGGCAGTGTTTGTTCATGGTAGCTGCTCCTACTTTTATCAACAGGCTGGCTCCACCCCGAAACACCAGCAGCTATTAAAATCCTAATTCCCCAAAGATGGCGTCACTACTTTGGCCCTGGGGTGTAAACTGAATGGCCAACTCCTCAACTCAGCTCCCGAAATTGCACAGCATTTTCTTTATGGTTTCAGACAAAAGACGAATGAATTCTGAGCTTTGAAAGCTTGATGTTAGTGGGAGCCTACCTCTGCACAGAGTCCTTGAGTTTGATTCTGAGTGATGATCATGTTTGTCATGACGAATATGGAGTTCTCGCCCTAAAGAAAAAAGAACGAGTTCAGCTTCACACAGCGATCTGGATCGGTGGTGTTTCCCAAGGAGAAGCCAGACAGGATCAAGGCCTAGCTCATTTTAGTAGAAGGGGAAACTTTGATTGAAATGTCCCTCTGTGGGCTACAGGAAAAGGTGGTTACTGCCCACCTCCCACAAACCAATGGCTCAGAAGCTAAAATGTGATCATGGGCATCTTAGCAGCTCAGAATGAAAGAGCAGTAGATCATTGACCATCAGCACAGTTTCCATTAGAAGTTGAAAGGCGAATTTTGAGTGGAAGCAAGAAAACTTTTTGCCCAGGAGTTGAGGTCAGGAAGAACAACTTGCTACTAGGTGAAATAACTGGACATCCCATAGAGTGTCAGAGCTTATTGCACCAACAACATGAGATTATCAACGGGTCAAGATTTGGAGCTGGTCAGACTGAGCTGGGGTGACAATCTGGAGACAGAAGGTGAGGCAGTGGAACCCACAAGCCAAACTTTTGTTTACTGATCCCTTGTTCAAGTGCAAGTTTGTACTTACATCCCTCCCAATGGGACAATCCTGCCCATTGGCTGACAATACAGTTATCAAATATACATCATCAAAACATATACAAGGTAACAGTGTCAGCAAGAAGGTTGAGAGCATTTGAAAAGCCTGGATAAACAAAGAGGTTTACACCTTGTGTCTCAATTAGGTCAATGTGGGGATAACCAATTATGCTTTGGAATTCCCTAAATTAACTGAGAATGCCTTGTCTTGTGCCTTCATCTGCACACCTTAATACAGTGCAGTGGAACCTTGGGTTGTGTACCATCCTCCTTACAAACGCTTCGGATAATGAGCTCCGCTAACCCGGAAGTAGATGCTCCTGGTAGCAAACTTTGCCCCAGGATGCGAGCGGAAGTCACGCCATTAGCGAAAGTGCGCCTCAGGTTAAGAACTGTTTCGGGTTAAGAACGGACCTCTGGAACGAATTAAGTTCGCAACCAGAGGTACGACTGTACAGCAGAACCTCTACTTATGACCGCCTCTACTTGGGCCCGATCCAAGTCGCGACCACGGCAAACCCGGAAGTAAATACCGGGTTTGTTGCGATTCGTGCACACAGAGAAGCAGCTGCCGCTGTCTGCACATGCACACAACGGCGCTTCGCCCAGCGACCCGTTTTGCCTAAAGGACAGGCCGCCAGAACGGATTATGGTGGTGAGTAGAGGTGCCACTGTACATGCATGGATAGGGAAGTACTGAAGAAGGTACTTGGGTCCCAAGTCATTGCAGGTTTGCTATTGGAAAAGTACCGTAACACATTGCCAACAAAAGAAGAATGGCTCTTAAAACTAAGTGAGGATCTGGAACTGGCTAAACCCACAGAAATAATACAAAATCATTCAAAATGAGAGAATTAGGAGAGAATGGGATGTTTTTATAAATTATATGAAAAAAGGTGGTTTCCAGGATTTTGCTTGGCTTAGCGTAGATAAAAATTCCACAGGAAATTAGATCGTTTCTCCACAGTCTTACTAATGGAATACAGACAACCAGAAATACGAGTTATTAAGAACCGCATAGGGGTAGATGGAAGTTAAGATATAAATGAGGGAATCAAGCATGAAGTCAGAAAAGGAGATATTGTAAAAATAGAAGAGAAGGAGGCTACTAACAGGAATAAGGACAGCTTGTATTCCTTACAAAGATGTGTATATGGAACTGTTGTTCTTTCTTTTTAAAAGTTTTTTCTTTATGTATACGTCAGAATAATTGCAGGTTATGTTAAAATTTGTAAAACTGTGATCTCTTTTTTTCTTTCTTTTTCTTTTGCATATGTAATATGTATATGTTAATAAAATTCAATTTTAAAAAAGTGTTATTATAGCACTTCAAATGTATGTATGGTGTGAATGTGGCCGAAGAGGGGTATAATGTTTGTTGTTGTTGTTGTTGTTATTATTATTAGATTTTTATTTCTATACCAAACTCATATTGATCCAAGTATAAATGCTTTCATACATGCTTAAAACAGCAAATCAAATACGATTGTTTAGGGAGATGACTCAGTCACAGTGCGAACAACTAGGAGGAAGTGTGGCTCCCAGGAAGCCGCAAGCTGCAGAGATCAGAGGCAGAGGCATAAAACAGGAGAAGTTGAGGTTTAGCCAAGAGGAAAGACTCAGCAGAGCTGACCTTATCATTCTTTCACAACGGCCGTAAAAGAGAATCAACAGAGGAAGCTTACACCCGTTCTGCCTTGAAGCCGCAGCATGCAAAGACATATTGAACCGAGTTCTATGACAGAGAAGAAATTATTCCACACAACAGTGTGCCAGGAAGGGCCTGGCAGCTATTTGCAAAGTGTCCTCTTGGATTAGACGAGGTTCTCTCAGGTCCTGCCTTGGGCTTCCCTGAGGCATCTGACTGACCACTGCGGGAACAGAATGCTGGACTAGATCTGGGCCTCAGGTCCAGGGACACTAATAGCGCCCTCAAACTACAACTCCCATTGGTCAGACATGTTTTCTGAGATATGCCCTCTAAACAAGGCCTGAAGCCATCACCATAGAACAGGGATGTCCAACAGGTCGATCGCGATCAACTGGTCGATCCCTGGGAGGTTCCGGTCAATCGCTGTTGACCGTGGGCTCCTTTTCCTTTGCGGTGGCATAAGAGCATTGGCCCCGGCCTCTCTCTCCATCCTCCATTTTTGCTGGAATGGAAGACGTGGTTTTTGCTGTGAGGCAGATTGTTTCCCTAGCAATCTTTTGGTGAGTGACTTTTCCCTTTTCTCCTTTCCCCTTTCCCCTTTACTCAAAACAACTTTGACCTGAACTCTCCCCCCAAAAGGGGTAGATCACTGCCAGTTTTTATTCTGTGAGTAGAATCCAGTCTCTCCATCGCATTTTGGCTAAGTGGCCCAAAAAGATAACAAGGTCAGTGACATCAAAAGCCTCTGAAAGGTCCAGAATCAACAAGGTTGCATTCTCCCTGCTTCTCTAAAACATATGTTTTTTCATTGTCCTATATTGAAAGACTTTTGGCAGAAGGTAACTGAAACCATCAACAGAACTGTACAGAACAACCTTACATTTAAAGAGCAAAATATCTTCTTGAATTATATACCCAGCACATGGAACCTTACAAAAGGACAATACGAGTGGACTCTCCGTGCCCTGACCACAGCAAAAAGACTGGTTCTGATGAATTGGAGAAATAAAAATGTGGCTCCCTTCTATGATTGGATTGAAGACTTATACAAACTCGCAACATATGAACAACTTGCATATAAACGCAGACTTGCCATGGAGAAATTCAATGATATTTGGAACCCATTCTTACAAATACAGTGGTACCTTGTTTTGAGTCAGGGATCTGTTCCGGAGCCCCGGACGCTCGACAAAACGCAAATGGATGCTGGACGGGGCGGACTTATACAGAGGTACCACTGTACTGTAATGTGTTAAGATCTGGTGAAGTACAATAACAACATTGTAAAAGTTTGGGGTTTTTTCCCTTCCTCCCTTTGTTTTCCCTTTTGCACGGGTTCTGTTTCTCTTTTTCTTTTTTTCTTTGCGCCTCACCATGTTTGGTGCACATATGGTTATGTACTTTTTGAACTTTCAATAAAGATGTTACCAAAAGAAAAGAAAAGAAAAAAGGTTGCATTCTCTCTGTCCCTCTTCTGGTATAAGTTACCTACCCAGGAGACCAATACAAGTTCCGTACTAAACACAGGAATGAAACCAGGATGGAACGGATCTGAACAATTGTCTGGTTGGCCACCCCAAAATGAGGCACTTCTTATTTACCCTCATAAAGACGGCCGCTGTATGTCTTAGGCTCTGTTTAACTTTAGTCCTGTGATCTAATGGTCTCCTTTGAAGAGCTAGCAGGTAAAAACTGTCCCTGTTTGCTCCAAGGCAGAGAGACTCCTGACCACAAACAGGAAGTATGTGTCATACCCAGCAAAGCCCTCATGAGATTCAGCTCCTGTGTACATACCTGAGGCGGAATCACGTAATCGGCTACATCCCAAATTCGGAGCCCCAGCTCTGAAGTATTGGTCACGGTGACGCCCTTCACTTTTGTGGTCACCGAACTCACCACTGAATCTGTTTCTTGGTAGCCCTTTTCCCACACGAAGACCCAGCTGCAAGAAGGGGGGAGGGGAACATCCATCTCAGAATTTAGGTTTAAGTAGGGTTGCCATATTTCAAGTAGTAAAAATCCAGACACATTTTCACGGAAATCTTTTTTAGCTTATCCCCTTAGTCTTGCACAGTTAGGGAAACCTGCAGGTGTTTACTGGTCTCCTCCACTTCCCATCATTTATGCATTTTCAATTTTTCAATTTACATATCATATTTTGCCATCAAATATTCTTTCCATATAGACTTCCCAGCCTAGCCTGCCATGGCATTTGTAATTGTTGAATATCCAAATATTAATCCACCCTACTTTTCCCTTCTAGTCTATCTTTGTATTTACTGTTGTTCAGAGAATTACTCCTACTTGTAGCTTTGCTTTAGTATCAACTTTTTTTTAAGTACTCCCCCAAACTTTCCCATCCGTCCTTTATTTGTTTTCCATCCCAATTCCTTATTTAGGCTGTCATGCTCGCGAGTTCGGTGTATTTTGTGCATTTATACAGCCATTGTTCTTTTGCTAGTATTATTTTTCTTGCCAATTTTTAGCATGCACTATTCTGTGGGGGGTTTTTGGATAACATTTTGTTAATTTTCCAAAAAATAATAACAGCAAAATAAAAATAACAAATGCATAAAATAATGCATAAAAAAGAAAAAGAAAACATCATAGATTTTTGCTTGACTTCCCTCCACTCCCCCTCTTGGTTCCATTGTTTAGTACGCGTTCACGCATGTCCTTAAAGCCTTATATTCTTTATAATCCAATTTTAAACCTTCTTCATCTTATTACAAGTGACTTTTAATAGCATGCACTATTCTGGCCGCTGCTGTGGCAGAAATAAATAAACTGCATACTGCCGAGGGGAGTTTACACTTAACTAACAGGGGTTCTGCCCCCCCGCCGCCAACATAACGCCTGGCCCCCAATAAATCCTGGCTATGCCCATGCATACATGTAAAGCATATTCTTCCCCCAGCCTGGAAAGAATTATGGGAACTATAGTTCATGATGGGTGCTGGGAACTGCAGCTCGGTGAGGGGCAAACTAAAGCACCCAGGTATCTCAGAGGAGGGCAAAGTGCTTTCAACATATGGGGCGTATGCAGCCAACAGCTGGAGAAGCACAACTTCGCTGCAATAAACTCCTTTGTAAGTAAATCCTAGTGGACTCCAGAGGGGCTTACTTCCGAGTAGACACCTACGGAATTCAAGAGGACTACTCTCCTCTGGCAACAAGGGAGTTCCCCTGCTCCACTACCCCAGTTCTGGGAGGAGGATCACGTCGGTGGGGAAAAGAGGTCCGCGGGTCTCCTCCTCCCTCCCTGGTCAGCAAGCAGGGGCCACTGGCCCTCGGCCCCCGCCTTACCCGATGACGTAGGCCAGGATGGCCAGCTGGACCAGCCGGTTCATGAGCCCCACTTTGCGGCTCTTGATCAGCACGATCCGCGGCGTGTCGTACTCGAAGAGGAAGCTGTACAAGCCCGCGCACGGCTTGCCCGGGCCGGCCATGGAGCCCAAGGGGAGGCGCAAGGCGGCGGCGAAGAAGAAGCAGCAGCGCGATCCCGGCGGGAGGCGGCCGGAGGGCTTTATAGAGGGCGAATCCCGCCTCCCGGTGGCGAGTTCGAAAGAGGCGTCTCCCTTCCTCCTCCTCCTCCTCCAGCGCCTGAGGTCGGATTGGTGGCGAGGAAGCGGAGGCGCTGCTCCTCCTGCCGCGGGCAAAGTGCGCGGGACTCCGGGAGAGGAAAGGAAACGGGGAAGGAATGCATGCGGAGTCCGAAGGCTGCACGAACTTGCGAGCCGGGATGGGAAAGGCGTGAGTGGGGAAAGGGGGAGGACCCCCAGGCTGGGTCTCATTCACACCCCCCAACACTTTTAATACAGTGGTACCTCGGGTTACAGACGCTTCAGGTTACAGACTCGCTAGCCCAGAAATGGTGCTTCAGGTTAAGAACTTTGCTTCAGGATGAGAACAGAAATCGGGCTCTGGCGGCCGGGTGGCAGCGGGAGGCCCCATTAGCTAAAGTGGTGCTTCAGGTTAAGAACAGTTTCAGGTTAAGAACGGACCTCCGGAACGAATTAAGTACCTAACCCGAGGTACCACTGTAGTAGCAAGGGCTTCCCCAGGGCCAGATTTAGGTTGGATGAGGCCCTAAGCTACTGGCGGCAATGGGGCCCTTTGTATGTCCAGCTGTCCTTTGTCAACAACAAATGGTTACTGTTTTTTGTGTTGAATATATGCTATAATTTATGCACCTAATAGGTATCTAAAGCCATTTGCGCATGCAGAATATAGGTACCCTATATGCAGAAATGAGCAAACCAGTGATATTTTAGGGAGCAGGCTAGCAAGCAGGGACCATTGCTTACTTACATCATAGATAGCTGTCAACCTTCCCTTTTTTTGCGGGAAATTCCCTTATTCTAGCGCTGTTTCCCACTGCTTCCCGCTGCTATCCCGGATTGTTAGATATCCCGTAGACTGTCTCTGGGACAGGTGAGGCTGCTGATCCCTTCTTTTCAAATCTGAAAGTTGACAGCTATGATTATAGGAGCCTACACAACACACAAACACTGTTGCTGTATGTAGGTTTTATTTTATGTTTTTTATCTTATATTTTGGAAATGTACACCCAGGTTTTTTTTCCTTTATATTTTTTGGAGGCCCCCAAGAGAGTGGGGCCCTAGGCTATAGCTTGTTCAGCTTATACGTAAATCCAGCACTGGGCGTCCCTCCTCCAAAGAACTCTGGAAACTGTAGTTTGTTAAGGGTGCTGGGAGTTGTTAGGAGACCCCTGTTTCCCTCCCAGAATTACAATTTGAGTGGTTCAACAATCAGTCTGTCTTCCCAAAGAACTCTGGGAGAGGACCAGGGCCGTCCCTAACAACTCTGCACCCTTCATGAACTATACTTCCCATGAATCTTTGGGAGAAGCCATGACTATTAAAGTGGTATAACAGAATTTTAAATGTACAGTGTGGACGCAGTTGATGCAAAAACAGCGCACTAATGGCGGATCATTCCACTTGGTTGTTTTTTTTCAGAGATCCTTCCCCAACATAAGCATACTACTGCCATCTGGAGGGCTGTTCTTCAGGAGCCTTAGATGAAGGACCATCAAAAGCTTATTATTATTATTTTTTAAACTCTAAAAAGAAATACAAACAATTGTCCTGGCAAGTGTACAATTATGTATGGCATGGTATATTAAACGTACATCACATTGCTTCAAAAGGTCTTGCTGCTTCCTTCCATGAGCGCTTGGTTTTCTCCCGTGGTCTTTCCATCTCGTGTCTCAGTGAATAGTTGCCATGTATCATCTACACATTCTCACGGGATACTCTCAAACAGCTCTAAAGGGTTGTTTAGAAAGAACTTACCTGGAACTGAGTGAATCACAAAGGCTTGTGGGAATCCAGTTATGTCACTGGGGCCTTCCCCTAGAAATCTGGTGGGGAATTGTGTATAGCTGGAAAACCCCCAGCAGAAATCCTTTTAATAGGACTGGCCAAAATGTTGCAAAAGAGTGGCACAACATTTGTGACATTTTTGTTTGTCCTAATAAAGCTATTGCAGAATTGTTAATTATTTTAGGTCCGTCCCCACCTTCTGGACCTTTGCTTTCTCTCTGCCCCACTTTATATATGTGGATCAGAAGCTTCTGTTCCTGAGTCTCCAGTCTCCAGTGGAGCCTCATTCCCATGAAACCACCTCAGGGAACAGGTTGGAACCCTTGAAGCCTCTTGCTGCTGGGAGATGGGGACGGAGTGCAAAACAGTGTTTTTAACTGTGAAGCATAGCAACAAATACCAGTTAACAATACCAGGAAGCTAAATTATAATGCAATTGTGTGGCATGGCATATAATACCACAGGCATGAGAAATAGTTACACACAACACTAACTCAAGACTGCCCTGTTTAACACAATGGCAAGTGCTATGCACCTGATTCTGAAACTTAAGAACTAAAGTCCCATCTGATGGCCAAGAAGCGTTCCAGGTCTCTTGAAGACCTGCAGCTTGTGTGTTATTTATTCTGAAATGGCCAAATTCCCCAAGTTATTATACCATAGGGAGACATGCAAAATTTGTATATTTTCCTATTGTTAGGCTACCAACATCCAGATCAAACTTTTTTTCAGAATGAATAGCAAGGAGAGCTGTGGAGAGGCATTCTGTTAGATATTTATTGATAAATCTCAGACCAGAATGTTAAGGACATTCCCACCATAAAAAAACTGTGTTTGATGTTGTGTTGATGTTCCGTTGCAAGCTGTCCCGAGTGTGTTGTGATAGTTGTGAGAGGGAGGGAGATACACATCTGATAAACACGTGTGTGTGTGTGTGTGTGTGGAAATAGACAGACAGACATGTTGTGTCACAAACTGCTTTGGAAAAACTCTGCTCAATATCAGGTTACAACAATTAAAAACAATGTTAAAAATAGTTTGAAACAACTTTTTAATTTTTTTAAAATTACAATATAAAATTCAAAGTGATTGGAAGATAATACAAACATGTAAAAATGGTAAATTAAAACACAGTAGCAACATTGATCCCACCAGTTCCTAAGCAAAAAACATTGTAAATCAGTGCAGAAATGTTAGTGCAGGCCTATGAGGCAAAAGGGCACCCTGGTGAGGACACAGGAATGCTTTGCAAACTGGGCGAAGGCCAAGTTCCTGGATTTTGTTACATTTCAGTGACTAGAAGGACTAACATAAATATGTAGAGGCAAGTGGATAAGTAAAATGTTCTTGGAGACTATTTTTTTGTACATGCCATCAAACCTGTGTCCGCAGTTCGAGAAAATGGCAGGGGCAGGTTTTGCTTCACAGCAGGAGTGGGGAACTTGTGGGCCTCGTGGCTCCCACAGCCTCAGCCCACAGGGCCAAATAGGGCCCCTGGAAGCCCAGCAAGGTTTGGAGGGCAGCAGCTTCTCTACCACTCCTGCTGTGAGGGGAAAGCCTTGCTTTGCACACCCTCAACCGTAGAAAACACTTTGGCAAAATATACTTGAGTCAGTTGCATATGCATTACAGTATATGATAGTCCCTGGAAATACCATGGGACAAAGTCCTCTGAACACCCAGTTTTAATTACCGGTATATACACAAGTTTGTTTGTTTGTTTGTTTGTTAGGTCTCTCTGCTCTAACCTCCAGAAATGCAGTAATAACGAGGCTGGTATCTGATACTCCTGAAGTCTCCTCTCCCCATTCCTGAGAAATTACAGTGGTACCTCCTGTTACGTTCTTAATCCGTTCCGGAGGTCCATTTGTAACAGGAAACCGCTAATGGCGCCTCCTGCTGCGTGACTTCCACTCGCATCCCAGGGCAAAGTTTGCAACCAGGAGCGTCTACTTCCAGGTTAGCGGAGCTGGGGAGCCAAAGCATTCGTAAGGAGGATGGTACGTAACACGAGGTTCCACTGTACTGGAAAGAAACAAACAGCTTCAAAACCAGACGCAAAGAAACAGAGGGCTTCCCAGTGGAAATCAGCAAAGCTCTCATCTCTCATACATGAGCCTTTGCTGTGTTTTGAGAAAGAGAGAGTTAATCTGGTCTTTCCTTTGGGCTTTGACTGCTTAAGCCTGCCAGGAAGATTGGATCCCCGATTCCAGGTGTGCACTGAAAATTCTGAGGACCAAAGAAGGTTGTGTTTTAATGGCACAAGCAGCAACAAGGTATGGTTTAAAATTAAACACCAAGTGCAACTCCCCTTGTTGGCTTTTGTCAGGCAGGGCCAACACCTTTCGGGACACATTTGGAATTTTGAGAAAGTGCCCTGGACACCAGGCAGAAAGTGGCTGTTCTGGGAGCATGGCATAAGACAAAATGGCTGCCGTTTCCAACACAGCAGGAAGAGACACAAGACCACAAAATTTTGTGAGTGTTATCTCTTACATGAATGGACAAAAAGAGGCACCTGCAACCCGTCACTGCAGCACTTCATCAGAGAGAGAAGCTCTTTGCAATTCTCTGTTCAGAACATAACAGGGAGAACAGGTTCCCAATCATAGCATTCAATGACATGTAGGCATCTTGAAGGGGTGGGTTTCAGTGTAGGGGTTCATCCATACTTCTGCTTGTCCTGCTGCTTTTCCCCAGGAAAACCCACTGCTTACCGCTCAGCAAACGTCAGCTGGTTTTTCTGCAGTGTGATGCTTGCTCCGTCCGACTCGGGGGTAAACAATGGCTTTCCCCAGTAGTGGGATAGGAGAGCGGGGGGTGGGGGATCACATCTGGCAACCAATGCGCCTCTTTGGATCCAGATAGTACCAGAGTACGCGAGTCTAAAAAGCTCTCCTGGGAAGCTTAGTTTGGTCAGAATCAAGTATATATTTAGTTAACGCTAAATACTGTTAACAAAAGTTGTGTGCCTGCCCGTCTCTCTGCTGAGCAGTGGCAAGAGCCCATGGGGTTCCAGGCACTCGCCCAGGGTCTATGGTCCTTTGGAGAATTGAGACACGGCATAGACCAGGGGTCGGCAAACTAAGGCCCACGGGCCAGATCAGGCCCAATTGCCTTCAGGATCCAGCCTGTGGACTGTCCGTGGATTGGCGTGGGGATTCTGTTCATTCAGGCTGCGCCATTCCCCCCCCCTTGCGCCATTCCATTTCCCCACACACACACACTGCGCCGCCTCCTCCCGCCCTGCCTAGAGGAGGAAGGGGGCTGGGCTGAGCGCCATTTTAAGCAGCCCCTCTCCAGAGCTAGCCCTTTCATGCCGCTCATCTTCCCTCCGCCACCACCGCCCTGGTGCTCCTGTGGGCCAGAGAGTAGAGCAGATGAGCTCATTCTGCCTACCCATGAGAAGCAGTGGCGGTGGCGGCACCAATGGTGGCGGCAGCCCCAGGGAAGGGAAGTGCAGTGGCTGGGGAGGAGGACTACTTGCCCCCTCCGCCTCTTCTTTCAGTCCCCCCCCCCAGTGCCACTTCTCCAGCCGGCCACAAGGTCTGAGGGACAGTGGACTGGCCTGTGGCTAAAAATTTTTGCCAACCCCTGGCGCAGACTTTCGTATCTTTAAGAAATATGGTTTATTCGTCTATTTACACCTTCAGTCTGCATGGAGGGAGTCCAGAGCTTACAGCATGATCATCTCAAGAGTGCCTTGTACCTCACAGCAGTGCAGCCATGGAGTCCAAGGGATCTCTCCCAGCCAGCCTTCAGCCAGCCTGCCCAAGATGGACCTTTTCAACCCTCCTTTCTTCCTCCTGGAAAACCTTAGTAAAAAACTCTTTTCCTGTTACCTCAAATACACACACCCCACCACCTGGGTAACATCTGACTCCCCAGACCAAAGGATTCCTCCCCATCAACACCTTTTGTCATATTAAGAGATTTGCTCTTCACTAACCCAGCCAGGCATAAGCCAGCCCAGGGATACCTCTGCAGCTGGTATTTCTCCCTTCACATCTCAAATAATCAAAATCCTAGCATTTATTAATTTCTAGGGTTTAGGGGGTCCCCTCCCAAAAAAAACTATAACGGTACATTATGTCTGGTAAATGAGTCACTACAGCCACTAGAGAGCTGTGAAAATTTGTGTCCCAGGTTTTTTAGACTCATCTACTCATGTATTATCTGAAATCCAAGGGGCACATTGGTTGCCCAATGTGAAATATTTTGGCATCATTTTCAGCTCTCCTGCCCCACTAGAGGGAAAGCAGCAGCACCAACGAAAAATCACTTGGACAGGTGGAAAACTTCTTGGACCCCATGCTTTCTAGGCACAGGACAAGGGGAAGTGTGGATGAGCTCAACGATAGCCCAAGCCAGCACAAACAGGTCCTGAACAGCCTCTTGTGCATTTCTTAGGAGGTATTTCGTGAGTGCTTTTGAGGACACCATAGGAGGTACTTAGTGGTGGACACACTGGCATCCGTGGGCACCATGCTGGCAATCCCTAAGAGCGACACACAGGAAGGAGAAGTTTAACTCTCCCCAAGAAACACAAAAAGCTAGGGATAACTGCAGCACATGGGGTGGGAATCTTTGTCTGGGTGGGAAGACTAAACCTCCTTTTCCTCTGCAATGTGGTCCTGCGCCTGGTATTCTGCTTTCAGAAACCCAGCTGTGGCTGCTTATTGTGTCATTACAACCACCTTCCCCTATTCTGGTGACCCCAGGAAGTTCCAATGCTCCCTAACCAGAAGAGGTTCGTGATCCGAAACATTGGGGGGGGCACCAGGTTGGGGGAGGCTGTGTCAAAATCACATCTCGTTTGGCTCTCAGAAAATACAGTGGTACCTCAGGTTACAGACTCCGCTAACCCAAAAATAGTACCTCAGGTTAAGAACTTTGCTTCAGGATGAGAACAGAAATTGTACAGTGGCAGCGTGGCGGCAGCGGGAGGCCCCATTAGCTAAAGTGGTGTCTCAGGTTAAGAACAGTTTCAGGTTAAGAACGGACCTCTGGAACGAATGAAGTTCTTAACCCGAGGTACCACTGTAGATTTAGGGAGGCTGAGGCTGACACCTTGCTTGACCTGTGGTTCCCAAAATCTGCTTTATTCTCACCTGTGACCTGCTTTCATCAGCATCTTCTTCTCTCTTTTGGCAGAGGCTACCAGGATGAGGAGAAGAAGCCAAACGGCTTTTCAGTTCAAGGGTCAACCAGGAAGAAATATGGAGTAAACCTGTTTGCTTATTGCATTTATAGCTCACTCTTTGTCCAAGGAATTCAGGGCTGCAGAATATGTGGTTCTTCCTTCCCCAATCATTTTATCCTCCCAAGAACCCTGCGGGGTAAATTAGGCTGAGAGAAGGTGACTGGCTCAAAGTCATCCAGTGTGAGCTTTGTGGCTGGTTGGGGATTTGAACTCATCCATCACTCTAACCACAATACCATGTTGCTCTGCAAGTGCTGACTTTGATTAATTGGAATGAGAAGCACAGGATGGCAGGACTGTTGAAGAGGTGGGGTTTGGGGGGGGTTGCAAAAGGGGGCACTGCCTCGCCCACTGAATCTGTTCTGTCCCCAAAGCCACAGCGCAGAGTCTCCACGGTCCGCTAAGCCTTTTTCACAAAGCCAGCATATTCACCGTTCTCGCTGGGAAAAGCATCCCGGATTTTCCACCTGCAGCAGTTGGGTATCAGAGCCCTTTCTTCCAGGTCCTCCTCCCCAAAGCGCCAGTGAATGTACTGCTTGTAAGCACAGTGCCGAAACTGCCTGTTGGATGCCTCCCCATTCAGGTCCAGCAAGGGCTCTTTGTAGAGGAGGACAAACTTCAGCATCGGCCGGGAAAGGACCAGGCGCTCAAACAGATCAGAAGTTGTGATGCAGGCCCCATTTTTCCTTCGGCAACAGAGCTGCTCCCAGTAGCCCTTGGCTGGGCGACATTTCCCACAGCTGCACCAGGCAGGACGCTCACAGGAGGAGGAAGAAGACGAAGCAGGTCCCCCTTGGCTCTGAAGGGGATGCACCTCTTCAGAGTTCCCAAGAAGAGATGCAACTTCATCCGGATGTTGCAGCTGGATTTTGGCAGCACGCATAAAATCACCAGTATTTCTCTGCAATAAAATAAAATCAAAATTTATTGGTCAATCAAATACAGATTATAGATGTGACGTTAACATATGAGAATGCTGGAGGTGAATTAGTTAAACAAATTACCCAATCAGAACCCAGGGGGTGGAGTCAGAGGGACTATAAAACCAGCTCTGGGAGGGGCGAAGGGAGGAGTTCGTTGGGAGTTGGGTAGTTGGTTGGAGTGGGAGTGAATTGGGATAGAGTCTGTGAGTGGGTTGAGTTAGTGTAGAGAAATAAGCTGAGTCAGGAACAGTTAGGAGATAGGAAAACAAGTAACTATCTGAGAGGTGGTTTAGTGAGTGAGAGCAGGTAGCGGAAGTTATAGGTCTGGATAGGCAACCCATTATTGTAATTGACCGATACCACACGCTTTTTAAACTGCAATAAATAAACAGAAGTTTATGTTCCAGTTTAAACCTGACTGGACACAGTATTGTCCCAGGTAGGGCCTGAGTGGTGGCAGTGAGAAATAAAGTGGTGGCACAGGGATCAATAGACGGTGAAACCTCCGGGGACCCTATGTGATCGCCACAATAGACACACACACACACACAAGCGTAAGCCAATGGATTTTAAGGTAAAGGTACCCCTGCCCGTACGGGCCAGTCGTGTCCGACTCTAGGGTTGTGCGCCCATCTCACTTAAGAGGCCGGGGGCCAGCGCTGTCCGGAGACACTTCCGGGTCACGTGGCCAGCGTGACGAAGCTGCTCTGGCGAGCCAGCACCAGTGCAGCACACGGAAACGCCGTTTACCTTCCCGCTATAAAGCGGTACCTATTTATCTACTTGCACTTAAGGGTGCTTTTGAACTGCTAGGTGGGCAGGAGCTGGGACCGAAAGACGGGAGCTCACCCCACTGCGGGGATTCAAACCGCCGACCATGCGATTGGCAAGCCCTAGGTGCCACCCGCATCCCCCCCTTTTTATTTTTAAATGATATTTATTAAAGTTTCCGATAAAAAAAGGACACATCAGTAAAAAAGAATTAAAAGTAAAAAGAAAAATACACAATACAAAAATACAAAAGAAAAAACAGTTAAAAACAATACCACCTTTTCATCACCACTTTTGAATTTACTTATTTTCTGGACCTCCTCATACCTCCCTCTTTTGTATTCCAGTTCAATTTGTTTGTCCAGCAATTTCTTTCCCTCTTTTTAATCCCAATCCTTAATCTTAATATGGTATAACATTAAATTCTTATCTATTAATAGCCAGTTTTCCGTTCTTTTAACCTTTTTATGCCTAATCCTTAATCTTAGTCTATATATAACTTTAACGCCTGTGCAGCTAGAAACCACTTAATTTCAATCCATCATCACTCTAACGTTCTTTAATTTTGCAATGTTTCTGTAGATAATCTTTAAATTTCTTCCAATCTTCTTCCACCGACTCTTCTCCCTGGTCACGGATTCTACCAGTCATTTCCGCCAGTTCCATATAGTCCATCAGTTTCATCTGCCATTCCTCCAGTGTGGGTAGCTCTTGTGTCTTCCAATACTTTGCGATGAGTATTCTTGCTGCTGTTGTTGCATACATAAAGTCCCCCCCCTTTTTAGCATGCAAAAAAAAAGTTATTAAGAAAAGTACAATAAAGCATATATAATAAATATATGTGTCTGCATATAGCTCAGTAGGCGGAGCATGAGACTCTCAGGGTCGTGAGTTTGAGTCCCACTTTGGGGAAAAGACTCCTGCATTGCTGTACTGGAAAGCTTTTGTCACAAACTTAGCTGTATTGAACATAACAGGCTTAGCCATACTAGACAGCAGCTCTTTAATTTTGCCAGTGTCACTAAGGGGGGATCTAAGAACGCACACACACATGAACATACATTTAACCTTTCTCCCCAGGGAAGATATTCCAAACCCCTGGTTGTGTTTTTTGCAGTTTCCCAGCCTTTCCCAGCTCTGCCATATCCTTTTTGGGATGGGTCTTGCAGATCTCCTATAGTGGAGTGCTGTGAGGACCACAGGCTGGACTAGGTGGGCTTTGGTCTGATCCAGCAGGGCTATCATTATGTTCTTAGGACATCAGACACTGAGAGCTGTAGGATGAAGCCACTGCCAAAGTTACACATTCATTTCCTCAGTCCTGCTCCAGTCTCTGATCAAACAGGTGCATCACAGGCAATGGCCCACGTAGCATGTAATGTTAAGTCAAACCATGGTTAAGCATGAATAAATGAGTGCACGAGTGCATGGGGGGGTGTTGTGGTTGCTTCAGTCCTCCCCTGGTCTTGCTGCCAGAGGAGTAAAGTGACCAGAATTTTTCCCTCTTTGTATCTGCACACCTGTTCATTCCTGCTTAGCCATGGTTTTGCTTAATGTGACACATGAGCCAGGGCACTGAAGGCTCTACCATACTGGTTGAGTTGGAACATAACACCAAAACATTGTTTTAGCATATCAGAATGAGCCAGTGAGCCTCAGGTTTGTGCGCCCTGTTAAACTATCACCCAAATCCTAAACTGTGGTTAATCATAACTGCAGTTAGTTGAAACAGACCAGTTTCATAAACGGTGGTTTGAGGTTGGCTTCTTTCAACTAACCATAGTCAACATTAATGACAGCTTGTCTGTGTTTAGACAAGAAGGCAAATGGGAATTAATCTAAAATGGAAGGGATTCCAACTTTGGAAGATTAGATAGTGTATATAGTAAATGACTCATGTTAAATTAATAAACATAGTAAGAACATGTGAAGATTATTTTTTTATTGAAAAATGGAGCAGTTTTGTGGTGTGTGCTCAGGAATATTCAACCATATAGAAGAGAAGAAGAGGAGTTTGGATTTGATATCCCGCTTTATCACTACCCGAAGGAGTCTCAAAGCGGCTAACAATCTCCTTTCCCTTCCTCCCCCACAACAAACACTCTGTGAGGTGAGTGGGGCTGAGAGACTTCAGAGAAGCGTGACTGGCCCAAGGTCACCCAGCAGCTGCATGTGGAGGAGCGGGGAAGCGAACCCGGTTCCCCAGATTACGAGTCTACCACTCCTAACCACAACACCACACTGGCTCTGATTCTGGAAACAATGGAAGGATTGAGTTAACATACTTGGTGTATATAATTCCTTTGTTTTTCTTCATCGCTCATGTAACCAATATTGTTTGACTATGATGCTTTGTTTTTATGCATTAGTTATATACAGGAATTAAGAGTGTGTGTGTGTGTTTATACACTCACACACACACAAATGTATTTCTGTACAGCTTTTTAAAACAAAGAATAATCTAAAGTGGGAGGTTTCTGTCTCCCCCTCACAGGCACACTAGAGAAGGAAAGCGTGTACAAGTTTAAGGCTTGCTAAGGCTTGTTTTCCTAATACTAAACTATGGTTTAGCGCAGTCTACCCCAAGCTGGTGCTCTCCAGATGTTTTCAAGTATAGCTTCCATCAGCCCCAACCAGCAAGGGACTGACTGATGGGAGTTGTTGTGTGAAACATCTGGAAGGCACCAGGTTGGCGTAGGCTAGCCCATCCTCTTCAAGCCTCTGAAAACATTTCACCTGTTCACAAATCTGTATGTAGGCACAGGCAGAAAGGTACACCCATATAAAAAGGAAGACCCCAACTCACGTGAATAACCTCGCCTTTAACTTTCTGTAGGCTCGTCCTCAAAAATTTGTCAATCATAAAGATGTGTGGCTCATCAACAAAAGTCACATAAAGTAGAGTCTGCCCAACAAAATAAACAAAGACATTTTATCAACCCAAGGGTTTCACTGAATGAACTTGTTATTTCAGATGTATTAACAATAGAAGATATAAGATGAGGTCAGGCAGCAATTTATTTGAATCTTACACTTACCACTATGGCTTGTTTGGACCTTTCCAAATTATCATTTTACAACTAAGTGGTAAGAGTGCAGCTGTTACTCAGTGTCTTGTTCACACGTAATACAGTGGTGCCTCGCAAGACGAAAAGAATCCGTTCTGTGAGTCTCTTCGTCTAGCGGTTTTTTCGTCTTGCGAAGCAAGCCCATTGACGGATTAGCGGATTAGCGCTATTAGCGGCTTTTAGCGGCTTATCAGCTTATCGGATAAGCAGATAAGCGGCTTAACGGCTTAGAAAAAGGGGGGGGGGAAAGGGGGAAAAAAACCGCAGGAACTCGCAAGACATTTTCGTCTTGCGAAGCAAGCCCATAGGAGCTTCGTTTTGCGAAGCACCTCCAAAACGGAAAACTCTTTCGTCTAGCGAGTTTTCCGTCTTGCGAGGCATTCGTCTTGCGGAGCACCACTGTACTTAGCCATAGTTTATTGTTGGATTGGCCATGGTTTGTTTGGCAGTCAAAACCCTGCTCAGTCTCTTAACTATGGTATATTTACTGTCAACAAAAGATGATCAGAAGCCAGGCTTTGTTGTCAGCTTCTGGAACCTTGATTGGTTTTAACTATGGCTTGGAACTAAACGTGAACCCAGCCCCCTTCCTTAACCATGCTTTGTTTGGCCACCTAACTGCAGTCATTTACCTGGCTAGTCAACAACACACGGAAAACTAGATTCTGTGAATTACCTTAACTACGACTGGTTTCAAACAAGCCAACTTCAGTCCTTGGTTTCAGAGAATGGCTATTTTAAACTAACTATAGTTTATGGTAGTTACAGTTCCAAGTCTGGTGGTTAACCAAAAGCAGAAGCAAAACCTCAAAAAACTCCCCCTCCCAGCTGTGTCGGAGGTGAAGAGGGTAGGACAAGGGGAGACTAGGCACACTCATACCTCACTAAACCACAGTTTAGTGTGATGTCCAAATCCAGCATTTCTTTTCTTGCAGTAAGGTGAATTCCCTAGCTATATCCATAAGTGGCTGCAGTATGTTGCAATTAATTGCATTTCTTACCCATCTTGGTCCCGGCACCATCTCACACTTTTTCTTGATGTAATATTCTTTCACTGGGTTGTACTTGAAGCAACGGCATGAATATGAAGTAATGAGAAAATCAACTACAAACTGTGCCTGTGAAGAAGAAAAAAATCCAAGAGAATGCTGATTCAATTTTCTTAACTGACGCAATTTGTGCTGAAATCATCTTCCACCCAAATGACAAGGGATATAAAACAGTCTCTTACCAGGCCAAAATAGGAGAGTGCGGAACCAATATATACCAGGAGCTCAAAGAAATCAAACCGTCCAGCCTTTGGTGGGGGTCAGGGTTGGAAGACAAGGAAACAGAGAACAAAAGAGATTATTGGTTTTTTCCCTAAAAGACAGTAATTAATTTTCACCCCTTTTCTCTGAGAACGGGGAAGCCTCAGCATCTGTTTCATAGATTGAGTCAGGCCTGCTTCTAGAAAAAGGATGAGGAGAGAGCACTGAACCAGGGCACAAAACTGCAAAATACAAACAAGCTACACTCTATTTCAAGTTAGAAATTAAACTGGTAAAAAATCATGTAAGGTGAATAAAATAATAAAAAATTAGTGGCATCCAAAGTGTCAAATATGAGCACATGAAACTGCTTCCTCAGGTCCATCTAGCCCACTTCTGCCAATTCTTTTCCTTTTTTAAAAATAAATGTTTATATGCAACAATAAAATGGTACACAAACAAACATACACAGAGAAAAATTCAAGATGTGAAGTTCTTGGACATGCTGCATATTCAGAATACATAAAAGTATCTATGAATTTGGTGTCTGGCTCTTCTGTCCCTTACAGGGAACTGATTCCATCCACATGCCTGCAAGCAGAAAGGAGACAGCCATTGCTGACAACAGAACCATCAGCATCCACACAGCATGAAGCCCATACCTGAAGAGGATGCAATGGTGGAGAATACTCCATGTCAGAATGGTTTATAAAGGTGACAAAAGTTTTGCCAAAGAGCATGTTTTGAGCATGATCTTTTCGCAGAGTAATAATGTTCCACACATTATTGCAGCATACAGCAACCTCAAGATCAGTTTGTGTTTTCCCCTTTTGAGGAACTGACAATTCTGCTGCTGTGGCAAGAAAAACAAGCAGCTCTTCAGATTTTATATCCATGTTAGGAGGACCCTCAAATCCCCCACCCCAAATTTTTAAAATTTAATACATACCAAAGGAAACCCAAATGGTGGATAAACTGCTTCCTAACACAAAGTCCTACTAGCTTTCCTTCCCATGAAAATAGACACAGATGGCAAAAGGTTAAGTCCCCTCCCCACACTGCCACAACGCTGGTCCAGATCAGGCTTCCACTGCCTGCTATTCACATACAAACAGTGCTTTTTTCTAGGGGGACGCAGGGGTACCCATACCTCTAAACATTTTGTGAATCTTTGTACTTTTGTCCATTTACTGTACAGTGGACACTTGGGTTGCGAACGTGATCCGTGCGGGAGGCACGTTCGCAACCCGCAGCGCAGTGTCTGCGCATGCTTGGGCACTTCTGTGCATGCGCAAAGCGTGATATAGTGCTTCTGCGCATGCGTGAGCACCCAAACCCGGAAGTAACCCATTCCGGTATTTCCGGGTTTGGCGCGGTGCACAACCCGAAAATGCACAACCTGAAGCATCTGTAGCCCGAGGTATGACTGTATTTATTTTTCCCGATTTGAACTATAAAATGGTGATTTCCTTGAGTCAAAATGAGAGTACCCCTAAACATTTTTTTAAGAAAAAAAAGCACTGCATACAAATAATAATTTTAAAATCATGCAATTGCCAGTGATGTCATGCATAATCTGGCCTTCAAATTCCCATTTCTCTGACATGATCGAAAACCAGCAACAGAAAGTCAGGATGAGTTTCCTTTTACCATGCCGAACACGAGGATGTCGAAGCGAATGCCATAGGCTTTGATCAGGGTTCGCTCCTCCTTCCCACCAGCCTGCTTGTAATACTTTGCAAATCTACAAGGACCAAACAACACAGTTGGACACGGTATTGTGAGAGCAGTTTGGATGATGTGAGCATTGGCCTGGACTCCAAAGAGCGCTGGAAGATGGCTTCCTTCCTCACACAACACACCTGTGTGGAACTTGCAAGCCCCATCACACTCATTATCAGACCCCAGAACCCCAAATCCTCTCTCTGCAAAGAACACAAAGGCCATTGCAATTTGGCTTTCCGTACTCTGTTAGGCAAGTTCTCTGCCCACAGTACAGCACACTCTGGTGAGTCATCGGATTACCACCCTGCCTCGTACTAGCTGCTTTTCTCCTCACAGCATAAATGAACTTTGATTTTCCGTTGTGGGATCTCCAGTCACTGGCTCAGGCATGCTTTACTGGTAAGAACAGAGCTAAGCTTCTGTTGATGCTTCTGGCAAGGTTATTTTGGATTCCCCATGGGAAACTTCCCGTCCCCAAAGTAAGGAGCCCATTCTGATGTGTGGATTTAGAATGTCATGGAAACATGGGGTGCAAATCGTCGTGGGAATATCCTGTGCAAGACCCACAAAATTACCCATTTTGTAAGTAGGATATATAAATTGCCTAAAGACCAACCCTCCCTGACCTGGTAAAACTCCCCTCAAGGCGAGCCATTTTGCCCTAGAGAGCATCAGGCGTGGGAAAGCTGCAATAGACTGTCATATGAGGACACACCTACCACCCACTCCAGCAGCCCTCATTCTCAAGTTATGGATGGGACAAGAGCACACTTCTTTCCAGCTCTCTGGTCCAGTGAAAATTGGCAGTCAGAAGAAAGTTTAAAAGCAAGTTTTAAGCAAAACTCCCTGCAGCTGCTTCTTCTATGGCCAATGGAACCACACTGGTTTCCCCCTTGCTGCCCTGTTCTTCCTGGGAATCTGGAGTGCAGCCTCCCAGTGACCCCCGCCCTCCCTCAGCCTACAGTGCAGGCCAGGATTGGCTTCACTCTCTAGCACCAAATTGGGAGTAAAAGGGGAAGTGGGGCAGTGTAGCAGCAGTCAGCAAAGGGACTGCCATGAGGCGGGGAGACATCCTGTGTGCTTTATCAGCATGACTGCGGTAGGCGGCAGATGACTTTGGTGTGAAAGGCCTTTGGTTTTTCAGAATTGCCAAATCGTTGAAATCCCCAAATAAGCCCATTTCAAAATGCACATTTTAAGAGAGAGGGGAAATCAATGTTTTAAAAATGCATGCAAGTCAAGCAAATTTGCACACATTTGTCTTGTTTGGGATAGGCTTCTCTGCTGCTAGTCTTGGGAAAACAAAAAACAATGTAGGAAACTGAAGACCTATCTTGTTGTGGCATGGGGAGAGCCCATTTCAGCCCCTCTCTGGCATCACCTCTGCTGTTTCAAACCTTTGCAGCCATGAGACCTAGAAACTAGAAATATTTAGAGTATGGGGGGGAGGAGGGGAAATAACTAAAGTGTTCAAGATGCTAAATTCTGCACCCAGTTGCTGGCTAGGACTGCTGGGAGCTATAGTCCAGAACACCTGGAGGGCACCAGGTTGGGGATGGTTGCAACACAGCAAAGTCTTCAAAAGCATGTTTTACCTAAAATTACAAAAAAAAAATTACCTAAAATTGTTTCCAGGGTACAAGGCTTCATTTGTTTTTTTGTCATCCAGACGCCGGAAACCATATTTGGGTTCGCAGCGGTGAAGCCACTTGTCCAGGTTGCAATCCCAGTTAATTTCGATGCCCACGATGCCACCCTTGGGAGAGAGAGTAAGATGAGTACTTTTAACACGGGGCTGATCATCAACGGGGGTAGACACCGTGTGCTCCCAAGCTGGTGAAAGTGAGCAGTAGATCAGACCTTGAAATAGAAATAAATATTTGGTCCTTATGCCAATCAGCTTCCCAACCGTCTCTTCACAGACTGAAAGTTTATCAAAAGGAAGGGAGAAATAATTCAGCTTGCCCTTTAAAGTGCATATGAGGAACTTCCTTTCCCTCAAAGGATTCTGGGCACTGTAACTTGATTCTGGGTACTGTGGCTTGTTAAGGATTGTTGGGAGTGGTAACTAAGTGCGTAAACTAGAGTGCCCAGAATTCTTTGCGAGAAAGGATTTGCTTTGAATGTGTTTCAAAGGGTTAGGGTCTGCACACAGCCAAGTGAGCAGGGGCATAATACAGACAAGCCTTCTATAGCCAAAACAGATGGCACAGACCTGAACAGCCACCTCAGAGAAGTTCTCCCCTGATGCTCGGAGAATATCTCCCAGCCGGAAAATTGGACAATGCGGAGCAGTGTTCTTGTTGTATGTGCAGGAAATATTAAAATCCGGTGAAATGTTTCTTCTGCAGAGAATGGGAGGGAAAGTAGTGTTGTTTTAATTTTGCAGGCAACACAAAATGAATTGTTTATGGTAGCTGGGCTGACTTCGCCCAGTGTTTATAAGAAAATTAAAAAAAGCTGGGGGAAATTTCTATCACAAGAGTTTTATTATGCTTTTCTTATAGTACCACTGTATCTACAGCGCCACAACTCTACTGGAGGCCAAAACTACACAATATGTCATCAGCTTTGTGAATAAACCCACAAAAGTTACTAGCCTGCAAAAAGTTTTACTAGTCTGCTAAGAGGCAGTAGCCTGCATGTCTGTGCTGGCTGCAATTGAAATAATTTCTCCTCATTTGCAGCCTATATGGAGGCACAGGCCACTTGGCAAAAAATGTTTGCAGGCTAGTAATTTTTGTGAATTTCAAAAAGCTGATAACGTATTGGTGCAGTTTAGCCTGGAGTAGGATAGTGGTGGATGTAACTTTTAGAGGCAGTGGCTATGTTCAGACATCGTGGTAAGCCATAATCCATGTGCTACTGCACATTGCCCAACCACTCTCCTGGCACAAGCAGCAAACCATGGCCTTTATCTTAGCATGATGTCCAAGCCGGCATCCATGGTTTGTTTTGCAACCCATGATCTGAAGCCAAGTGTCCTGGCCCCACTCAAAACCAATTAACAGGTTTCATTGCTTGAAAGTGAAGAAGTGGGTTTTTATTATAGTGGTCTCACAATACAAACTCAGTGGCTAATAAAGAGCAGAGCCTGGCAAAAGAGTAACAGCAATATGTTCATTAGCAAGAGTCAAGGACCAGGAGTCTGAAATTTGCAGTAAGAGTTCCACGACAGCCCAGGAGCTGCAAACTTGCTTCAGTGAGTTTCCCTGCCTCCCCACCGTGTTTTCAAACAAAGACAGCAACTGATCAGCTACTTGAAATAACAACTGTCCCTGTGGGAATGGGGGGGACGACGACAATTTCCTCTTTTTTTATTGATTCTCTCTCTAAGAAACAACGCTAGACCCATCTTCCCCTCTGAATCCTCAGACCAAGTTGTGCCCCAGAGGCCTCCTTATCCTTTGCCTGCAGGGAAGGAGCAGCCCCCAGGACTCCCGCCTTGTTGTGTGTCTGACCACAGAGAGGAGACATCATCAACTGGGCTGTGCGGCATCATTTTCTCCCCACCCCCATCCCGGCCATTCAAGTCATCCTCCTCAAATGCCTCCTACTCCTGGTCTGAATCAGAGGAAGGAAGGATGACACCAGGTTTTGTTCTTTGCTTGGCCACTGTGCCTTGCTTGGAGCAAAACAAACCATAAACCTTGGTTTGGCAGCAACAGTCAGCTGGGGCAGGCTAGTGGTTTGCTGATTCTACTTGGGTTAGGGAAGGAGCTCAGCAGGAGAACTGGAGCAGTGTGAATGAGCCCACGGCTCCATCACGTAAACCAGGCAAACAAGATGGTGGGCAGGTGGGCCCTAGAGATGGCTCCAGCAAGTCACACAAGCACAATTTTAAACAGGCACCCCAACATTGCTCCAGAGGCAGTAACAGTAAAAACAATTTACCGGAAATGAGGGCAGTTGAAACACATGTCTGCACTTACTTCGTATAATTAAATTTCGGGAAGTGAATGTTGTTTTTTATCAGCACAGTGAAGTTTTCAGCACTTCTCAGAATGGCAGGCCTAAAATGAGACCCCAGACAAGGATAAAGATCTCAAAAAATAAAGTCCCATTTATTAAATAGCATATAGTTTAATAACAGTATTAGCTGGAAAGCTGTGATGCATTTGAAGCTGAATGGGGGGGGGGGAGCCCCAGGATCTGTGAATGGGATTCCTCGCTGTTTCTAGAGTTGTAAATATATTTGAGTGGCTTTTATCAGTATCAGCAGGAATGAGACAGTGTCAGGGGCGCACATGCTGAATACAGTAAAGGGGAGGAGCTTTAACCTGAGGGCCACATTCCCTACTGAGCAATATTCCAGGGGCCGTATGCCAGTGGTGAGCAGAGCAAGAAGCAAAAGCAGGTGAAGCAATGGATGTAAATTTAACCCTTATGTGGTAGGAGAGTTTCTACACATATTCACACATCTCTCTCACCTAAGCGAGCAAGAGGAATGATCAGAGATAAGAGGCTGCTGGATCAGGCCAACGGCTCACCTGCTCCAGCATCCTGTTCTCACGGTGGCACACCTGTTGCAGGTGGGAAACCAGCACATTTGAACCAAGGTCAACCAGGGGGTGACCCAGAGCCCGTGAGGCCTGGGGAGAGGACCAAGGGCCACGCAGCCCCAGCCTGAGGTCCCTCCTCCTCGCAATAAAAGGGTGCACAGACTGCTATGAAAAAACCTGTCTTACTCCGGAGCCTTTTTAATTGACTCCACGGGGCACCAAGCCGCGACCTCACATGTTTTGATGGTTGTGTTGTAGTTCACACATTTGCCGGTCTGAATTCCTGTAGAGAGCAGAAATCAGCTTTCATTTATGGAATATAACCTTGCTGCTAGTTGAGGTTTTTGTTTTCGCTAAAAATACCAGAGCTTTTAAACTGATTTGTTTTCACAGACACAGATTAGGAACATTACAGGTAAGGAAATTATTGTGGCACAGAAAAGCACAATACAAATCCAGCTGTCATAGCAAGCAGCCACTACTCACACAAACTCCACACCAAGGGCAATCTCTGGGACATGTCACAAGCTGTTTTCTGGCCTTCTTCGCCACCCACAGGAACTTTGACACTGCCCATGAAACGCCAGGATTTGAAGCTTACGGTATGTGGTTTGTAAGAAATCTGTCTGTCTGTCATCTGTGTGTGTGTGTGTGTGTGTGTGTTTACAATCCTGTTGTAGGCAAAACTGGATCCAAAGTGGGTTATAATTGACAGGCAGGTGGTCATCAGATATTGTCAGTAAAGTAAAGGTAAAGGTAAAAGGACCCCGACCGTTAGGTCCAGTCGCAGACGACTCTGGGTTTGCGGTGCTCATCTTGCTTTATTGGCCGAGAGAGTCAGCGTGCAGCTTCTAGGTCATGTGGCAAACATGACTAAGCCGCTTTCTGGCAAACCAGAGCAGTGCACGGAAACGCCGTTTATCTTCCCGCCGGAGTGGTACCTATTTATCTACTTGCACTTTGACGAGCTTTCGAACTGCTAGGTTGGCAGGAGCAGGGACCGAGCAACGGGAGCTCACCCCGTCGTGGGGATTCAAACCGCTGACCTTCTGATCGGCAAGTCCTAGGCTCTGTGGTTTAATCCACAGCGCCACCTGCGTCCCTTTTGTCAGTAAAGTAGCTTTCACAAATCTCCCATTTCCATAGGGGCTGATATGGAAGGCTGATATAAAGTATCTGTTAAAGGCAAGTTGTCTAATGAATTCTTTTTAAATTCTTTTTAAAAATGCATGTGAAGTTACATAACTCCCAGTGTTTCCAGATCTTTTGACTATAAATCTGTGAGGTTTGTTAACCACAGTAAAGAAATGGCAGTCTTACCTCATTGTCAGGAACAGTGAGGTACCCCAGTTTAAAATCCCTGCCCTAAAGGAATCTTTGTGGCAGCTCCTTTGAATGTGATTTACACACTAAATGTATGGCAAAGAACCTGCACAACCTCACACTTAATCCTATGCCCTGTCTTGAACAAATCATTTATGTGCCTTTAATCTGCTTTTTGGCGCATCACACAGCATGGCTATACCGATTAAATGTGGTAGCCCCGTATACTTAACCAATTAGCCTTTCTTAATCAAGTGACAAGTAAACTGAACATTTTATCATAAGGTATGGAGTCATAGTCACCTCAAGTTTAAGTTGCTGTTGCAGTAAAGTTTCATTATTGTTGGCTATAAAATTTGTTGAACTAAAATGAAAATTTAAAAAGCAACCAGCTTTTCTTTTACTTTTTTCTGCAGCATATTACAAACATTAAACCCACGTACCATTAATCTGAGGGTCCATACGACCTTTCATACAGCTCTTGTCGGTAGAGCAAACAGCTTTGGCAAGGGGAAACTGAGCAAAAGGAAAGGGGGGAAAGTAAACATACAATATGCGTTTTAATTTCTAGTGTTGCATATTCATTTCAGACCACACTAACAGGAGCTAGAGCCCTGGCTGTGGACACACTGTATGTTTAAAACACATCGCTTCCTCCAAAGAATCATGGAAACTTTAGTTTACCCCTCACAAGGCTACAATTCCAAGCACCCTTGACAAACTACAGTTCCCAGGCTTGGTTGTATGCTGTCCTACTTTGGTCTGTCTCACTCTCAGCAAGGCCATTTTTCTCTTTTTTGGTATTTATTAAATTTCTATACCGCCCTTCAACTGAGGATCACAGGGCAGTTTACAATATAAAAACACAAAAATACACAACACAGTAACAAACAAAAACAATACCCCCCAGTTTAAAAGGCCCTAGATAGTTTAATTAGCCAAAGGCCTGGGATAAGAGGAATGTTTTTGCCTGGTGCCTCAAGATATGTAATAAAGACACCAGGCCAGCCTCCCTGGAGAAAGCATTTATTTCCTTTGTCTACCACTTGAGGTGTATATTTTTACAATACACCTTATTTTCCTGATAGTAGGTTGTTTTAAACTGTTTTCTATATTGTTTTTTGTAACGTACCATGGGACCTTAGGGTGAAGGATGAAAATAATAATAATAACAACAACAACAACAGAAATAATGCCATCATTAAAGAAGAGCAGGACTTAAGGATTGGGGACCAATAGCTGTGGGGTAAAGAGCTATACCAAAGCACTAGGTTCCATTAAGCCCTGCTCAACATCACTTGAAACTGCATATTTCTATCTTCCTGGTCATAAGGACTAGGAATGTCATTTCATTTTCCTAAAATGAAATCTGAGATCCTTGGTCTGCTGAAACCTGCTACACCAGTTAACAGATTTCATGCCTGAACAGAAAACTTACGAAATGTGCAGAACAAAATGCAGCCCTGAATGTATCTTGCCAGTTGCCAAAAAGATTCAAGCTTAAACAGAGAATGCAAAGAACATATTCTGGACTAGTTGTTGCAGGTTTTTTGTTTCTCTGAAATCTAACAAGGTTGTGATGGGAAAGATGAATCAGCACCTGATGATGTAGGATCACCATAGCAATGAGACACTAATTAAAAAGCCTTCCGTTACAGAATACGGCTTATTTCCCTCTCCACACAGATAATAACATCACTCACAAAATTGAGTTACCTCAGGGCAAAGTCCCTGGACTTGGTTCTCTGTCTTGATGATATTGGTTAGCACAAAGAATGAATTTATTCCCTGCATACACAAAAAAGGAGGTAAAGAGAAAGAACTGATCAAAGGGGGTTAAAAGCGGATCTCTTCAAAAGATTGTTCCATGGGGCGGGGGGGGGGGGGGGAAACAAAAGCCACAAGCCCCCAAGCCACACAGTTTTAAAGAAGGCAATACATTTATTAGGGACCAAGCAAAATATCATAAACCATCAGGATCAAGAGCTATGGAGTTATCCTCTTTTTCTAGATGAACGTTCAACTAAGTAAAACAAAACTGGGGATGGGAGAAGACTGTCTGACAGTGGAAGATGTCTGCCTCAGAACATGGAAGGGGTTTTTTCACTGAAGGTATTCAAGCACATCTGTCTAAGGAAACATAGACTGCTGCCTTATGCTGAATGGCAGCGGCTCTCCAAGGTTTCAAATGGGCATCACTCTATGCCCTACATGAAGATGTGGGAGACTGACCTACAGTCTTTCCCCTATACCAGGTGTGGTGAACCTTTACAACCCCATGTTGCTGAAGGGCCATAGCCCAGTGATCCTTTGGAGAACGGCTGTAGCTTAGTGACAGAGCTCCTGTTTTGCGTTCAGAAAGGTTCCAGGTTCAGTTCCCAGCATCTCCAGGTAGGGTTCGTAATGCACACTCAAGGTGTGCCCAACCTCTGCTTTATATTCCAAAGCCGAAAAGCAGTCACTCAGGTCACTGAAAGCAGGTTGCTCCCTGGTCAAGGAGTTGAGACATACCTGGATAGGGAGAGTGTACTCCACTGTGTCCCAGATCCTTGCTTCAGTCTGAGAAATCCCTTTCACTTTTGTGTGCACTGAGCTGATGACGGAGTCCTTCTTCTGATAGCGTCTGTCAGCAATAAGGGCAACACTGGAGAGACACAATGGAAAGGGTTTGAGGTGGTGTCCCTGCGCCCCCCCCCCCATGCTACAGCACTGCCCTGTATTATGCAAACCCAGAGCAAAGATACTGCCCACAGAGGGTTAGAAATAAATTGTGCCATTTTGATGACCAGGTCTGCTAAAGAGATGGTCGAGTGGAAGGACGAGTCAATTTCTCAGTTCCTGTACCACTATGAAAATTCACCTGCCAATGAATGCTTCAAAGTTACAGGCGTTCTATCCATCTTTTTTTTAATGGTAGTTTTATAACATAATGTACGTTTTGTGTGTGCGTGATGTGTCTTTTAAAAAACCCTTACCTGCGACACACACACACAGCAGGCATGGCAGATCTGTGGGCCTCCAGATGTTGGACTCCAACTCTCATCACCTCGGGCTATTGGCCACCCTGTCTGGGACTGATGGGATTTGCAGTCCATCAACATCTGGAGGGCCACAGCTTCACCATTTGTTATTCTTGCCATAAAGCAACACAGACTCACCACTCTATTTACTACATTGAGAGTGTCCCTTTAAGAGTAGCTGGTTGTACATCATGGCATTCATCAGATGCGTGGGTGGGAAAGAAGGTCACACACCAGACTTACAAAGCTGTGCTTGTCTGGAAGGAGGCTCTTCTCTTAGGTCTCAGAATGCCAAAAGTTATACACTCAGAAACAAATCTACATTAATATGTCCAGATCAGTTTAATGCAGTACTTTTCAAAAAATTCCCAGCTCTGGGGTCTTTATTTCCAAGGCTGTGTGATCCTAACCTCAGTTACTACAGTTCTGTTTCACTGATTAAAATGTTTTAGGGGTTACTATGTAAGACTATACACCAGCTGTTGTTGCAAATGCAAAGCTTTCTACTTCGGTGAAAAATAAACAATAAAGTCCTTCCCCTTAAGTTCTCTTGTTGTAAAAATAAAATCCTAATAGCACAGGTTTAGAAGACCAGTTCAGTAGGTTTTTTCTGTTGTCCTACACGTTACTTATGAGTTCCCCTGATTTCAGTGTGACTTACTCTTGCAGCAGTTGTGCACTCTCAACTGCAATCCTATGCACACTTAATAGGGAGTAAATCCCAGTGAACTCAGTGGAACTTTACTTCTACATAAGCATGCATTGGATCAGGCTGTGCAGAGATCAGCAAGCTGGCAAAGTTAAATCCGATGTGTTTACTTGTACATTTAAAGCACATTTATGCTGCTTTAACTGTCATGACTTCCCCCAGCAATTTCCAGCTCCCTTAACAAACTGCAGTCCCCAGGATTCATTGGGGGAAGGCCATGTGCTTTGAATATATGGTGTGGATATGACCTAAAGTCCGAGATGGAGCTATAAGATCAGACAGTCCCTGCCTGAATCTCTGGCCCCATCTGCACTATACTGTACATTAAAAAGCAGTGTCATATTAATATCAGCAGTCATACCTCCCCTCACCCAAAGAACACTGGGAAGTGTAGTTTGTCAAGGGCACTGACCACCTCACAGACCTACAATTCCCTGAGTACCCAGGGAAGAGTAAACTACTCTGGGAACTGTAGCCCTGTAAGGGGAACTCTTAGCACCCTTGATAAACTACAGTTCCCATGATTTGGGGGAGGGGGGACCATGCCTGCTTAAAGTCATATGATAGTGCCAGGTGGGGCCTCAATATTTGGCAGATTGTTCTCTCAGTGTCCAGTTTAGTCCATTCATCCCGTGTTTGCAATAAGAGGAAAGTACGGCAGTAATATCAATGAGTAGGGACAGTACAGTTTCTGTTGGGATACTGCCAGGGAAACAAAGTCCATCATGGCCCCCAAGCCGGCTGCCGGACGATCCATTGATCTCCCGTAGTCACGCAGTATCAACAGTTAGCGACATGAGTTTCTAGAAAATATCTTGCCACATTCCAGAGCTCATGCACACTCTATCAGCAGATAATGCACAGCCAAAAGTTGCACTCAGGAGAGCATTATTTACAAGTTTATTCAGCGTTGATAAGAACACAGAAAAACATGACTGCCTGCTTTAGTGTCTACAACACAGAGAGAGAAAATGAAAGCAACAGAAAACATAAACATCCTGTGAACAGGAAATAAGCAGACTCTGTGACTCACAGCCTGCTCCCTTTTAAGGTGGAACGGAAATATCCTAACAGTTTCAACTAGACCAACACCCTGCTTAGTGCAGGTTCTGCTATGCAGGGTGCAACAAAAGCATCTCTGACAAATGTCCATTCACCCTTCTCCTGTCCTTTGCCATCAAGTGAAGGGTGAAAATTTTATTCCCTAACCATTTCCTTTGGGAGCAACAGAGAGCAAACCTGCTCCATGTTCCACATGACAGTCCTTTAGACCTCTGAATATTGCTATCATGTCTCTCCTTCATCTCCTCCTCTTTAAGCTAAACATACTTAGGTCTTTCAACTGCTCATTGTACTATGGGGATTTCCAGAACCCCCAAACCTCCTTTGGGCATGCTCCAATTTGTATGCTCCAATTGTCCTTCCTAAAATGTGGCACCCAGGACTGGAGCTTGATCAGTGCAGAATAGAGCAGAGCCATTACTTCCCATGATCCAGACATCAAACATCTGTTAACATAGCCTAAGATTGCATTAGCAGCCTATCTTATAAGGTTGTTGTTCTAAAGATTACATTATTACATGTGAGCTGCTTTGAACACTTTAAAGCCCTGTATAAATAATGTGGTATCTTGTTGACATCCATCTGTCTCAAGAGACAATGGAGGAGAGACAATGGAGTGCGCCTCCAGGGGGAAGAGTTAAACCACTGTGTTAACAGCACCAAAGTGACCTTCCCGGGGTGCAAGCCTGCGCAATGTGTATAGAGGTCCTGGGCTGACCAGATGACAAGATCCACCTCTTAGCCTGGTTCATGTGGTCCAAAGGAAAGCAGAGCAATACATTTGACACCAGCTTGGATGCAGGACTTGCTGGAAGGAGGTGTACAAGGCTCAGTTAAGGAAAAAATAAAGCTTGACACTCTGGATTTGTGTAGCATTTACTCCTTAGCCTTTTCATCTCCTGAAGATGTCCCACAAGGCAGCAGAGGCTCAGGAGTTTCCTTCTCCTAGATGGGCTCCCTTCCCAGGTGGACGAGCCCCATCTGCCCCTCACTTCCCTCTACAGCATGTGCAGAAATGGCACGTGCAACTGCTCCATCCGCCAGAGCCTGTCTTTGCATGCAGGCGAAGTCCCTCATTCACCAAGGGTTTGAGACCCATTGGCTACCCTCACCTGGTTTAGCCAGCCAGTCAAAGCTGTTCCCTGTACGAGGCCCCGGGTTTTTGAACCAAAATAGCCATTGTAAGGAAGAATGGTCAGTCCTCACCACAAATTTCCTACCATACAGATAATAATGAAAACGTCCTATGAACTTCACAACTGCCAGGAGTTCTCTCCTAGTAGTGCAGAAGTTTCTCCCAGGCTCTTACTGAAATAAGCAACAGGCTTGTCTTGTCCTGCACATTCCTGTGACAGTTCAGCCCTCATGCCATAAGCACCGGCATCTGTATCTAAAACGAATAGTGACCGCTCTTGCCTGCTGACAGCTACAAGGAGTCACAGGTGAGTTGTGAGTGCAAGGTGGGGAATGTGGTATCACTGACAATTAATATTGATTAAATTTATACATTTAACATGCTTTTGTTAAAGCAGTATCTTATGAACCGTCGCTAACATTTTTACCAGCTTTACTAACTTTCAGACAATAGATGAAACTACTTAAACAACTCTTGGATATAGTTTAACTGATCCAAGTAGACAGAGCAATTTGCACAGTTCAACCCCAGCCTTTCTTATCAACAGCTAGAGATGTAAACCCCAAGGATTTCGCTGGAGAGCTCTTTCCAAGGCTTCCAACTTTCCCTGTTTGTTTTCCCTGCTGCCGAATCTGAACTTTTCCTGTTCCACTTACCAGACATACATGAAGACGACAGAATGGATGGCCCACTTGAGGCTCCCGTAGTAGACACTCTGAATGCGTACAACCTTGTTAGTTTCATATTCACAAACATTCTTCAAGCTGCAGCACCCGGCCATGGCGGAGGAACAAAAAAAGCCTCTTACAAACTGCACCCTCTCACAGACAGCACTGCCGCTGGTGTTTCTGGCCACACACACACTCACACAGCAAAACCACTCCACTTAAAGGCACAGTAAGAAAGCCATGCAGGGAAGGAGCAAGTTAAGATAAATCAAAATAGTCACATGAGCTATAACTCAGCTGCTGCGCAATCACCTCCAGACTGTTATTTTGTGGGAGGGATTCAAGTGTAGGTTTGCACAATTAAAATAGATTAAAATGCTCTGCGGCCTTGGGGCAACCAATGCACTTAACACAAACACTTTTTTGCAGTTAGGAAATTAATGGGGAAACACATTGAAAAGTGGGCGACGGACAAATTATTAACAGATGAATAAACACCCCACAAGCAAATCAGGTAAACATCATTGTATAACTTCACCACAAACAAATCAAAATGAATGCAGATTAGAAGACTTCTGCAACTTCTGGAGTGTTGGCAGATCTGTTTATAGCAACACAGCTTTTCTCCTCCTCACCCTTCCTTCCTTCCTTCCTCCCTCCGGTCAAGCTATTTAAAACAATAGCAGCAGCATTTTTCTCATTTCCGTATTCAAACCGTTCTGAACTTGAGCTACAGCAGGGTAGTTCAACTTTCCATACCAAGTGGGCCGCAAGAGCGCTTTGATGTAACCGCATACTGCCTTGTTGGGGGGTGGAGGCCCAAACTGGACGACCCCCACCTCCTTGCGCTACCTTCCCAAAGCCAACTAAGCAAGGCACTAGGCTTTAGGAAGGAGGCACAAGGCTCTGGCAGGACCTTGAGAGGCAATAATTACACACTGAGGCAAGAAATTCCTGCCAACCTAGCACTTCGAAAGCACATCAAGTACAAGTAGATAAATAGGTACCACTCTGGCGGGAAGGTAAACGGTGTTTCCGTGCGCTGCTCTGGTCCACCAGAAGCGGCTTAGTCATGCTGGTCACATGACCCGGAAGCTGTACGCCGGCTCCCTCAGCCAATAAAGCGAGATGAGCGCTGCAACCCCAGAGTCGTCCGCGACGGGACCTGATGGTCCGGGGTCCCTTTACCTTTAAGGCAAGAAATACTCTCCCTTGTTATTTCTGTTTTTGTTATTATTTGGGATCTTTTGACAAAGGTATATAACCTGAATTTATTCTTATTATTGTCATTGCAAACCTTACTGTTATTGAAGTGTTAAGCAGAAGTGGTGTTCCTACCAATTCCATTTTGACTGTGACATTTGCTGTAAACCGCCTTGAGATTTATAGCTGGAAGCAATAAATAAACCCCCCCCGCTCCTTCCCCATTATTATTATTATTATTACTATTATTAGGGGGCGGCATTTATCGTGCAGCAGCCCTCCTCCCCCGCTGCCGCCTCTCGCCCTCGGCGGCGCAGACTGAGCGCCAACCATCCGGCAGATCCTAATCTCTTTCTCCCGCTTCCCGCCTCCTTCGCCTCGCGCAGCCGCAGTCGCCCGCTCCCGCCGCAGCCCCGCCTCTTTGCCCTCGGAGTTGGGGGCGTGTCCTCCCGCCGAAGGCGCGCTCGAAGCACCTCGGTTCTTTTCCGTCCACGCTGCCGCCATTTTGGTCACGTGAGCGGAACTGCCTCCTCCTCGGCAGCAACGGTACCCTAGCAACCGTTACCAAGGGCCCCGGCACGAAGAGGCGGGGAAGAGATGGCCAATTAGAGGGGGCGTTTCGGGCGAAGGGTTGAGGTAAGGTGGGGGAAACCTGGGGGTGTTTGGGGGAGAAAAGAGCGGTGTGGGGAAAGGCTGGCTAATCCCTTTGGAGAAGGGCGGTGAGGGAGGGGGAAGGACCCGGAGGAAACGAGGCAAGGGTTACCATGGCAACACCTGCTTGCCCCAGTTTAGAGGAAAGGGGCGACTTGGGGGAATCGCTCTGGCATCTGGCGGTGCGAATCTCCCCCTTAAGGAAGGGGAGGGGGCGCGGCTCCTGCCTCTGGTAGTAGGAGGGGCCCCAGGAGGTGGGATCTGTTACCGTTTTACTCCCTTTTGAAAGCTCAGTACTGTAGAAGCAAACGTGGAGAGACGGAGCTTGCAACCAACACTTTGACAAGAAAGGGAGAGGAAGAGAGGTCTGCATAACAAACAGGCTGCCGCAGAGTTGGGCCTTTCCCCCGTGGGTGGGTGAAGGGGTCTCCCTTCAACGTGAATGTGAATTTTCCCTTGGTATAGTAGGCTGATTTCCATGTGTGTGCACCACTCTCAAAGTGGTGAAGTGGCTTCACCAGTGTTCATGGGCACATCCCAGCCAGAATGTGAGGGGCAGGCCCTCCAGAGAAGGGGGTTTGGTGTGGGGAAGAGTCTCCGGGCCAGGAGTGCTAAAAGTGGGAAGAATGTGTTTTTTTTATTGCATTTGCATCAGGGCAGTTTTTTGTTCAACTTGCTCTCTAGAGGTAGACTGCTGCAACACACAAATATTTCATCTGTCAAACCTACAATAGCAGCAGAATGCAACACCCCCACAACCACCCGTCTGAGATTTTAATTTTTTAAAAAATGTTTTTGCAGTGATTTTTTTGACTCATGTTTCATGATGCTGCTTCGTCTCTTCTGCAGATACCTTCTAGAATGCCATTATGAGTGACCAGCTAAAATTTATTGTTGAGAAGCTCAACAAGGAGCCCTTTAAGAAGAACTTCAATTTAATCACATTTGACTCATTGGAGTCAATGCAGCTGTTACAGCTGCTAAATGATGTTCTGGGAGAGATTGACCCAAAGGTAAGGATGGAAAATTAAGATGTTGAACTACAGGTGTCAAGAAACTTGCTGATTATTAATTTGTCTCAAAGGTTTATATCCCGCCTTTATATCAAACGATCCTCAAGGTGGCTTACAGTAAATTATAATAGTACATGTATCTTAAGTTGCCAGGCTGGTGGAAGGGGCCAGACAAAGTGTGTTTCCCATTGGCTCTGCGATTCCAAGGCAGTTCTTTCTCACAAGGATGGGGTAGCAAACTATCTGCAGCTGCTAATTCTCTCGCCCATGCAATGGATGGCACTAAGTTATTGAACCTAACTTAGTCATCTTCATTAATTTCAATGGGTTTACTCAATGGGTTTACTCAACCAAGTGTAAAACTTGGTTGAATACTACCCCAGATTCAGAACAAACCAGGAGCTTAAACCAACTTCAGACTGTGGTTTAAGATCATGACCTATTCTGAACCTGCTTTCCAATAATGGGAAGCTACAGTTAACTGAAGACTTCCTGGCTTACTGTAGCACACCAAGAAGGGAAAAGCGAAGGGGCACTTTTCCTGTTTCAGCTTATTAAACAGATTTGATTGCCAATAGCATGTTTATTCCAGCATTCTTTTCTCTTAGTGGCAAACAGATTCCTATAGAAAGCCCCCAAACAGAACTTGGGTGCACTAGCCGTTTCTCTCTTGTGTTCTCCTACAACTGATACTTGGAGGCACACCACCTCTGATACTAGAAGTAATATAGGTATCATTATACCTTTATCCTCCATGAATTTGCCTAATCCCCTTGAAGAGGCCTCCAGGTTGGTGGCCATCTTGTTGCTGGGTATGGTGCTCTGATTTGACCTGCCTTCTGTTACTAGGCGTGACTGACCAGTCCCCCATGATATCACCACGATCCCCCAATAACTTCCAGAACAAAATTGCATTGAAGTGCTTACCTTTTTAAAACGTATGCAGCCACAAATTAATGGATAAACACTCTGGGCACTTAAAAAATGAAAAGGTCAGAGCCAGCCTGCCTGCCTGAAACTTGGGGAGGGGGAATTGAGTTGCAAAGGTTCATGGCATGGAAGATGATAGTGGCCTGGATGAAACCTGCCTAGTTATATGTGCAACACCTCACTTAGGAGTTTCAACAGTGCACTAATCATTAATTAAAATCCATTCTTCTTTGCTTTACTTGTGAAATGAAGCTTGTCTTGTTTATTATGCCTTGGTTATTTTAAAAATTTTCAGCAAGTTGTTGACATTAGAGAAGAGCTTCCAGAGCAGACTGCTAAACGGATGTTGAGCCTTCTTGGCATTCTTAAATATAAACCTCCAGGAGGCACCAGTGACTTGTAAGTATTTATGTCCTGTTGATAGTTGTACAGTACAGCCACTGTTGAAGCTATCTGAACCTGTAAAAAGACATAGAAGTAACATATAATCAATTCATCTTGTCACTTACGGGAGCATCCTATTGTTAACCTAGATGTCATGCCTTATAGCTTTGACTTGTTTGCCTATTTGTACTAAATTTATTTCTTACCATCCAATCCTTGAGACATCTCCACTTTAAGAGTGAATGTGTTTCAGGGAGCACTTTCAATTTCTTAGAAGTTAGGTATAAAGTTGAATTTAGAATAGTCCACACTGAATGTGGAGTCCCTGAAGGTGTGCTTTCTGTTAACCTTCCAGAGGCTGCAAGCTTATACACATCTATGAGAAAATATGTCTATTTGCCTTTCAAATATTTATGTTGTGTTGTAACTTGCTCTTTGTTGCTGTATGCCATGTTTATTCAGTAGTCTTTTCCTGACACTGGGCACTAGAGGGTGCTATTGCATTAATGTTTATTGTGTGTCACGTCCCCTATCCTGTAGGTTTACATTCTAAAATAGAAAATGCAGATTCAAATGAGCAAGGAAAATATAGTGCTCCCTAGTATAATCTTACTAAATGCCAGCTTGCATTTATATGTGGGACAAACGGCTTGCCTTTGGCAGCCAGTCAGATGATGGATCTGGTGCAGAGGCCTTCTTTTCACATTTGTATGATTCCAGGGGAACGACAATATCAGACTCATTCATGGTGTGGCCATTTGATACAAAAAAGCAGGTCCCAACACTCATGGGTGCGACTACGATGCATTTAGATTACAATTTGGTGGCTGCCGCTCAGAGCTTGATTGTCTGTGTCCCATGACAGGCAAAGGTGATGGAGGAGGATAGGGCTTTGAGAAGGGGGCAGTAAGGACTAAACACTGGTAGCACAGAAACAAAGCTACTTTGCAGGAAATGTAGAATTTTTTCAGAGAAGGTGGGTGGTGGCTGAGGTGATGTGCGTGTGACTTTGTGTGGAATGGACTAAGATGGGAGAAGTAATCAAGGCAGAAATGGACTTGGGATAGGGTCAGATGCAAGCTGGGCCAAATTAATAGGGGCCTAGAAGAGGCCAGACGGAAGAGTTGGAAAGGCTTGACCTCAAGTGGCCTGCAGTTTCCCTGAACATGCCGCAGACCAACCCATAATACTTACTCTTTACTACATGTTCTTATGCACCTATTTCCTTATTATCCATTTTATTTTTATCCTGCTTTTATGAAATTGCTCTTTCTAGTTTGTGTGTGTGTGTGTGTGTTTTATTTTTACTTAAGCTGCCCTGCTAATGGATTGGAGAGCAAAATATAAAATTTAATAAATGAATCCTTCCCTGGTATTCTTCTTTCCTTTTCACGGTTTAATAAAATTTGAAAATCTGCAAATTTTGAAATCTATAAACTAAAAAGTTTATCGTTCTGGTTAAGAAAATTTGTGGAGGTTTGTTCTTACCACTGTTGTGTAATTGCAGATTTTATTTGAGCAGTACTAAAGGTAAAGGTAAAGGAGCAGTACTATAGTAGGTTAGAATCCCACGTCTAAGCATTTTACTCTGAATTAAGTCTTGCGATGGTCAGTGGTGCATGCTTCCAAGAGCTTGCATTGAAGGTAGTTTGGAACTTACAGTTACTGCAGAGTGCTGCTACTTGGTTGCAGAGTGATATGCCAATTCAGAGTTTTGTTCTGCCCTGGCTGAGTTATTAACTCCTGGGCCCAGTTTAAGGTCTTGTCATTGACTTATAAAACGCTAATGGCTCAGGGCCCGTATACTTGACGGAGCACCTCTTATGTTGATGGACAATGCCCAAGGAACAGGGTAAAGGACCCCTGGACGGTCCAGTCGAATTCGACTATGTGGTACAGTGTTCATCTTCTCAAAGTTTGCTTTGTAGGTCCTGTGGCCAGTATGACTAAACCACTTCTGGTGCACAGAACACCATGACAAGTGCCAGAACGCATGGAAACGCTATTTACCTTCCTGCCACAGCGGTACCTATGCATCTACTCACACTGGTATGCTAGGTTGCCAGGAGCTAGGACAGAGCAAAGGGAGCTCACCCCGTTGTACAGATTCAAACTGCCAACCTTAAGATTGGCAAGCCAACGAGGCTTGGTGGTGCCACCCACAGTGCCACCCACATCCCAGCCCAAGGAACAGTGACCTTGTAAAGGTGTCCTCTCACCCTTTCTCTGGAGGTTCCTAAGTCTTCATAATTGCTTCAGTTTCTCCAATTCTTGAATGAGATTTTTTTTTTGCTTGAGGATTGTTTAGCTGGATTTGATCTCATAAGTACAGTCTACAGAAATTTTAACTTCCTGCTGTTGTAAGGTTTTCAGTGATTTTATGGTTTTATTTTGCTGTTATATACTTTGCGTTTCATGTTATATACTTTTGGTTTGTTGTATATTTTAAATGTGAACTACTTTGTGATTCCAAATAAATAGTAGTACAGTCGTACCTAGTCTCTCGAACGGAATCCGTTCCGGAAGTCCGTTTGACTTCCGAAAACGTTTGTAAACCAAGGTGCGGCTTCCGAATGGCTGCAGGAACTTCCTGCACTCAATCGGAAGCTGTGGAAACCACGTTGGATGTTTGGGTTCCAAAGCACTTTCGCAAACTGGAACACTCACTTCTGGGTTTGAGGCATTCGGAAGCCAAAACATTTGAGTCGCAAGGCGAACCAATGTACGACTGTATATAAATTGATTTGAACAAACAAACAAACAAATGTGTTTTAGGATTGCAGTCAGGCATAATTTCTCAAATTTCTGATTAATGAGGCACACTCCTTTTCTGAATTAAAAACAGGGCTACCCTAAACACTTATACCTGTTAACAGTGCTGGAGCACGTTAGTTGCATGCAGAAGATCTTAGGTTCAGCTCCTGGTATCATCAGGTAGCATGAGGAAAATTCTCAGGGATGATTCACACCCTGGCCGGCACTTTCTTGATCTCCTGCCCTCAGGCAGAAGGTATAGCAGCATGATTAGTCACACCAACAGGGTAAATAACAGCTTCTATCCGTGGGCTGTTAGGCTGCTGAATGAAAAGATAACAACAGGGCAACTGACTTTCGGGTTTGGTGGGTGTGCGTCAGTAAACTAGGGGAATTAAGACTAAGAGAGCTGAGTGGGGGGTGCTCGTGTAATCTCACTGTATACAAGTTGTGCAAGTGACAATAAAGTATTTCAATTTCAGTTTCAATCTTCTCCTGAGAAAGCCACTGCCTGTTAGAATAGACAGTACTGGGCAAGGTGGATGAATAACAGGGCCTAATGTAAGATAGCTTCCTATGTGCTCTCATAGAGAAAGGCCACACTTCTGTGTGTCTGCTGAGTCACTGCTTTAGCATGACTCTTTAATGGAAGGAGGCCAGCCCAGAGCAGCAACTTGTGCAGAGAGGCATCAGCTTGCTTTAAAGGCAGAAAATTCTATTGCATCTTTGCTCTCACAGTGATTGAATTATCCAGAGCAGTGACTCATGCAGAGACACAGCAGGCAGCCACAACCATGGGCCTGTATTTCAAGGATGACTAGAGTTCAGGCTTGTTGGATCTATTTTGTCTTTTACTGGAAGCCTAAGATCTAGCAACTACTAGAGTCAGGTGGGAAAGATTCACAGTTAGTACTGAAGAACTGGCTTCTTCTGAGCACATTCTGAGCTTAGGAACATGTTTTCAGTACCAGAACTGAGTTCATGCTCCTTTCACACAAAAGCACACTTCTGGCTATCCCAAGCTTTCTTAATTCAAGCAATATAATTTAGGGCAGTGGGGTGAGTCATTTTGCGCTGCTTTGTTAAATTATTGGCATGAGTTTCTGACTCCCAATCTGTTGCAAATTGCTCTGAGATCTAGCAGATGATCACATTATGCCTTCTGGTGTACTTGGGACTTGGGCCTTTTTTTGTTTCCCTCACAGCTTGGGAATGATTCAGTTAAGAGAAAGATCTGTGATCTACATTGTCCCTTGACTATGCAGGGTACTCAGTGGCTGTAGGGAAACCACTGTCTTTCAGCTTATCTCTCACAAACACAGTCTTTAAATTGAATGTCAGGAGCCACAGCGCTCTGGTGACTCTGTTGCATGCCTGGCAAAAGTAAACACAGCTGGTCTGGAAGTGACGTGGTACCCACGTCCATTCACAGCTGGGTTCAAAAGCTCCAGTCGAGATGAGGGGCTGGGGAGAAGTGACATCAGCCATGTAAAAGGCCCACAGAGGTAAGCACTGTCCTCCAAATGCTTGTTTTGACCTTCTGACGTCTTAAATGATTGGGGGGCAGAATACCTGAAGTACCCACCTGCTTTCTTAGGTAAACAAATGAGGAACTGTTTTATATCCCCCTCCCCAATCACTTAGGCAAGATAGGTGAGCATATGACTCAGGGTCTTTTGGGTTATGGTGACAAGACTGTGGAGCAACCTCCTTGGTCAATTTTTGCCTTTCGGTTGCAGCTGTGGAATATTATCACATTGACGCTGCTATTTTTTAATGTGGTTTATCTTTTGGGGGGGCAGGATTCTTTTGTTTCCAGTGCTGTTGCTGTTTTTTATTTGCCTATATTTGCAGGTTGTAAAATGCTTTGAACATTATAAAAAGAGCCAAGTAAATGTTTAGTATTAATTCTTCATCTTCTACTAAGCACTCAAGGGTGGGGTGGGGGGCTGCTGCTTATGTTTGCTTCAGACTTCTTTTCTCTCAGTAGAGCTTGATGTCACTGTTATTGTTATTATTCAGGAGTACGTTCCGCCAGGGTTTAGTCATTGGAAGTAAGCCTGTCATTCATCCTGTCTTGCACTGGCTGCTTCAACGGACAAATGAGCTGAAGAAAAGAGCCTATCTTGCACGGTTCCTAATCAAAGTAGACGTGCCAGCAGAGTTCCTTCAAGATGATGCTGTGTCAGATACCAATAGACAGGTAGCATTTGCAACACATTTCTTATCCAGATTGTATTTCTGTAGTAATGTTGGTTAAAACCGTGGCAGGTTTCCTTGAATGGGTATAAACCTTATATGCACTGGGAGAATCATGCAAAAAGCATATTAATGAAAGCCTTTAAGGCTGGTCAAATACAGAAAGCCAGGATAACCTGTATATAATCTGGAATTGTTTAATTATGAAGTGCTCAAAGGCATCTGCTTAGATGAGAGAGCAGCTAGTAAGCCTCTCTCATGGGATGCTGCCTTCCATCCCCAAATGCTACATGATGCATTTGCTGCTCTCAAGAGGGGTCAGTGAGCTTTGGTTGTCCCCAGATCACGGAAGCTTCACCTGTATAGTGTGTTGGTGGGTAGAAAGTTTGGAAAATGGCAGGAGAAATAGTGTATGGCTTTGGTGTTTCCTCAAGTGTGTGCGCATACCAGGTAAAGCAGGAAAAATTGCTCTTGCCTTGCATGGAAGTTAAAGCAAACATTTTCCCCACATTGATAATATCCGATTGTAAAATTAAAACTAAACAAACACTGCCTTTAGAGCAGGGAATGCAGCTTGTATATTTATTCAGTGTGTGCCACTCCTAATTTGTATAAAGATATAGCTCCACAGTTTCCATTATGTAAAATGTTTCCAATAATCCACTGGCTTCTCCAAAATAGAAACTATAATAATACACCACACTTAAAACAATATGTGAGGGTTTTTTAAACGCTGCTAAAAATGAAGAGATTTTGCTGATAATATTTGGTTATTTATTTGTGTAATATTTTATGTTATGACCTGAGATAAATTATTTAAGCTACGTATCATTACAAATTTTGTGTGTGTGTCTTCATTTTCTGCTAGAGTTTCTTACATACAGAACAAACATGGCTTCACACAATTTCTAGGCCCAGAATTAAGCTACATTAATTCTGATGGTTATGACCTGCCCACTGGTCTGCTCACCTGAAGTTAGAGGAAGGACCTTTTGATCACTGTGAATGTACATTATTTCATTTTTTCAGTAAAAGCTCAGTCTAGGGAATCTGCCCAGGGGCACCAATGAGAACCTTAGCAGGCCCTGGGTTAGCAACTCCTGTTATAATTTAATGAACTCTTGACACTGCACTGTTAACATCAATCCTTAGTCTTCCTAGAAAGAATTTTATGGGGCAAAATGTGCAGTTACCTTCTAGGAGATTTCTGTGAATGAACGTGTGATGTGGTCACCTTGTGTATTTTTCCTGGTACTGAGGAACGCTCCCTGTTGTTATTAGACAGCAACATTATCAGAGACTATGTCTGTATAATCAGTATTGTGTGATTTCCACAATCAGGACATAGCGGACTTCTGTTGTTCAGAGCAGTTGTCCCTCTAATTTTGTGTTATACCATGTTCTCCCTAGTATTCTCTCAAAACTGAATGTGTGTCCACTGATGTGTGTGTGTCAGCTTAGCAAACCCTGAGTCATATCATTTGTTTTAGAAGTTTACTCTTTTTGCAGTATGAAGAGCTGATGGAAGCATTCAAAAACCTACATAAAGAATGTGAACAGCTGAAGACATCTGGTTTCTCAACTGCAGAAATACGAAGGGTAACAAAGAGGGAGACATTGCAGATACTGTATATTTTTAGCTGTGCTTTTGATTTTTAGATCAACTATTGTAGCAGCCACTATTTTGATTAAATTGATTGTACTGATCTTTTAGCATGGCACCCTGTGCTTTGGAATTCCCTGTTTGTTACCATTAGGCAGACACACTCACTATATTATTTAAACACCTGATGAAAACTTTTTTTGTTTCAAAAGCCTATCCAGACACATAACTTAGCCTTTGTTTTTGAATTTTGTTGATTTTATCTGGGTATTATTGACAATTCTTTTGATTAAATGGCCTATTATACATTTTCTAAATAAAATTAATGCATAATTTAGCCTTGCAAGTATGTCTACAAATGTTGCTACCTGCAGAAGAGGGTGACTGATTTTTTCTTCTTCTTGACTATTTTGTGGCTGTCTCTCAAAGCAGGTAAAAATAATGATGATGATAATAATAATAATAATAATAATATTTTATTTATACCCCGCCCTCCCCAGCCAAGGCCGGGCTCAGAGCGGCTTACAAGCAATAATAAAAACAAGAAGAATGATTACAACTTAAAAACAAAAATAAAATACAACATTAAAATAATGGAACATTAAAATATTAAAATGTAGCCTCATTGCAGGAGGAGAAGGAAAGGAAAAAAGAAAGAGAGGGAGGGAGGGAATCAAATTGGCTCCAAGCCAAAGGCCAGGTGGAACAACTCTGTCTTACAAGCCCTGCGGAAAGAAATCAGATCCTGCAGGGCCCTGGTCTCATGAGGCAGAGCGTTCCACCAGGCCGGAGCCAGAGTTGAAAAGGCCCTGGCTCTGGTTGAAGCCAATCTAACTTCCTTAGGGCCTGGGACCACTAGGGTGTTGTTATTTATGGACCTTGAGGCTCTCCGTGGGGCATACCAGGAGAGGCGGTCCCGTAGGTACGAGGGTCCTAGGCCGTGAAGGGCTTTAAAGGTCAAAAGCAGCACCTTAAATCTGACCCTGTACTCCACCGGGAGCCAGTGCAGCTTGAAAAGCACTGGGTAAATATGCTCCCATGGCAAAGACCCCGTGAGGAGCCTCGCTGCAGCATTCTGTACTCGCTGGAGTTTCTGGGACAGCTTCAAGGGCAGCCCCGCGTAGAGCGAATTACAGTAGTCAAGCCTGGAGATGACCGTCGCATGGATCACTGTGGCCAGGTCGGGGCGGGAAAGGTAAGGGACCAACTGCTTGATGCGGCGAAGGTGGAAAAATGTCGCCTTGGCTGTTGCTGTAACTTGCGCCTCCATGGAAAGGGAGGCGTCAAGGATTACACCCAAACTCTTAACGGAAGGCAATGGCACTAATTGGGCCCCCGCAAGAGAAGGGAGTTGGTCCCTCATCCCCATGCCATCCCGACCTAGCCATAGGACCTCTGTCTTCGAAGGATTTAGTTTCAATCGGCTCCCACGAAACCATCCAGCCACAGCTTCCAAGCATCTGGTCAGTGTGTTCGGGGCCGAGTCGGTGTGGCCATCCATCAGCAGATAGAGCTGAGTGTCATCAGCATATTGGTGACAGCCCAGCCCAAAGCTCCGGATAATCTGGGCAAGGGGCGCATAAAGATGTTAAAAGCATCGGGGAGAGAATTGCGCCCTGCGGCACTCCACACACCAAGGAGTGGCGCGACGACATTTCCCCCCTAGTGCCACCCTCTGTCCCCGACCAGAGATAAAAGAGCACAACCAGTTACGGGCTATGCCCTGTATCCCCATGTCTGCGAGGCGGTGGTCCAGAAGATCATGATCGACCATGTCAAAGGCTGCTGACAAATCTAAAAGGATCAGCAGTCCTGACCCGCCTCGATCCAGTTGTCTACGGATATCATCTGTTAGGGCAACCAGAGCCGTCTCCGTCCCAAAACCAGGACGGAAACCGGACTGAAATGGATCTAATGCCGATGTTTCCTCCAGAAACCTACCAAGCTGTTCAGCAACTGCTCTCTCAATTACCTTACCCAGGTATGGAAGATTTGAAACTGGGCGGTAATTGGATAGGTCTAAGGGATCTAATGAAGTTTTCTTTAAGAGTGAGACTCAGTAAAATATAACTGATACAGCAGTTGTCACTTGTCTTTCTCCCATTAGGGCTTACTACTAAGAGCATTTCTTAAGTCTTCCCTGTCACAGGTAGCTCATTCAAAAGTTTCAGCTACTTTTCACGTAAACTGCTAACCTAGCCTCGTCTAACCCCCTGTAAATGCTCTTGAAAAACATCATTTGAAAGGCAATATATACATTGATTAATAAATAAAATGTAGTTAACCAGAAAAACATCCAAAGGGACATAGTCACCTTATGTTCAAAGCAAATTTTATTTCTAGCCCATCTGCCCACTCATAACTTTGTCACTTTATCTGCCCCAAAAGACATTGTTGTTTTTTTAAGGGTATTGAGATTCTATGTGTTGAATGACTTGAGGCAGTTTGATCTTTTTTCTTCTTTGAAGCACTAACAAATTCTATAGGATCTGAAGAGTACCTCTTTGAATATGTTGATTTGACTTTGATTAACCTGTACAAAACTAAGAGGTAATATAATTAAAATCCTGAGCATAAGTGATTCAGTTACATGAATATTATGATAGAGTCTTCTCTTAGTTCCAGGCGTGTAGAAAAATAACTGATTCTGGTGTGTGTCATATTTTTTCTGTGTTGACGCTTTCTAGGATATCACTGCTATGGAAGAGGAGAAGGATCAGCTGATGAAGAGAGTAGAGCGTCTTAAGAAGCGGGTAAGTGAGAGAAGCAAAGCTGTGGCATTTGGATGTCATCATCCTTGGCTTGCAAGTTGGACTGGGGAATGCAAACAAGGATTAAGACTAACATGTCTTAAGCACGCCTTGGGAAGGAATCAAATGGCTAACCGGAGGAAAGAGAATCTTCCCCTCAGGCAGCAGTCCAAAACATTTAAAGGCCTTGCTTGAGTCCAACACTTAAGTGTGAGCTCCAAGAAGTGTTGCGTATGGGGAGGAAGTGTGGTGTGAATCTGTGAGACACCTGATCACCCTAATTGATTTCTCAGCTATGTAGCAGTTAACTTGCTTTGCTTATCCTTTTACCGTAGGTGGAGACAGTGCAGAATCATCAGCGGATGCTTGAAATGGCAAGGCAGCTCCGAGTGGAGAAGGAGAGGGAGGAATCTCTCTCCCAGCAGAAGCAAGAACAGAAAAATCAGGTATCTGTGCAAAAGCATGCCACTTAAATTAAGGGTGTTTTTCCCAATAAAATAAAACCTAACTAATTTTTGTAAATAAAATTGCATTTGGCTTTTTTAAAAAAAATGCCAGTATTGTCATTGGATGATGACACTCCTCGTTTACAGAAGTTTAAAATCTAGTCTTGGTATGAATTTCTATTTAGATTATGGATAAATTGGGGGTGTCATGGCTGTAAATCCATGTATGCTTCTGGATACCAGATGCTGGGGACAAAAATCAGGGAAGGTTATTGCTTTGATGTCACTGCTTGTGAACTTCCAGAGGTATCTAGCTGGTCATAGTTTGAAAACAGAATTCTGGGCTAGATGGACAAGTTTCTAAAATGGTCTTCAAAATTTAACTCTTTGGTGCAGTGACAATTGGAATGTGATACATTCATCTGATGGTGGTGTGGTCATCTGTTGGCCTTTCCAATAGACATTTCTGCATGATTGGCCAATGTGGGCCAAAGGTTTACCAGGTCCACCAAGCAATTCCTGCTCTTGGTTTGCTCAATGGTACAGCTGGTTGTAGCACTGTCTTGCCAGATCTGCCATCATAATGCTTTCTAATTACTTCCTTTTAAAGACTGAGGGAAGGAGTATATTGTGTGCATTCCCAGCCTATTCAGTAGGGTTTGCATAGATGTTTCCTCCCTTTTTGCAAATTGCTATTGTGTATTTTTGTGTACGTTTCCAAAGATTAAGCTTATTAATAGACCTGTGCATATTTTCTAAGCTTTTTCATGCAGAGCAGAGGCTGCAAAGAGTCCAACTCCAGCTAAAGGATATGCGTCATGCAGCAGTGGATTCAAAGCCAGAAAGTAAGTAGGAGTTCTAAAATGTTTTTCCCCCTCCTTGTCTACTGCCAAAAACCTAGGATGGACTTTTTAAAAGTCAAGAAAGATAAAATTTATACCCTCCTGAGTTTACATTTTCATATTAAAGGTTTGGCTTGATGTAAGTGTACAGATTTTTGAAGATCTGAATATTGCAGATAAGATCTGAACATGACTATATTCATGACTGATGAGCTTTTCATTGCTGCTGCTGCTGCTGCTAATAATTTTATACTAACCTTTTGATCCTCACTTTATAAATGAAGCCAAAATGTGGGCAACTATATCTGTTGCCCTGTTCAGGGAAGTTTTTAATGTGTGACATTTTAATGTATTTTTAATCTTTGTTGGAAGCCGCCCAGAGTGGCTGGGGAGACCCAGCCAGATGGGCGGGGTACTACTACTACTACTACTACTAATAATAATAATAATAAATATGTTGGCTCTGGTCTCTTCTTTGATGTAAGGACCTGTCTTTCCAGAGTGGCAAAACCATAGTAGTGCCATGTACTTTGATGGCTCTGCTATAGAGGGAGGGATGGGACAACAGGGGCCTCTCCATTGGCTCTGCTCAGAGTCAACTGCCTCTTGATTCCTCCCCTACCCAAACTGTTTCTGTTTAAGTCAGTCATTAATAAGGACTTTGTAATTTTAAGGATCAGTGCATGAGATTGCTTGTTTTTCCTCCTCCGTCCCCATACATTTTCCCTTTTATGTCATGTGTTTTAAAATGTTAACTTGTGGGCTGTAACTTTCTTGTATCTATTATTGTTTTAATTGCTCTTATGTAAGTTGCTCTGGGAACATTTTCAATGGAGGGGCAGTGGAATACTTCCAGTAAAATAAATAACTGAATTGTAATAAGCAGCTAGAAAATACCAGATATAGTCTCTGGCATTATAAGGGATGGTGAGACTTTTGTATTTCTGTATACACTTATCTTCTGTTAACTCCCAGAAGCATAGCTGTCAACCTTCCCTTTTTTTTTGCGGGAAATTCCCTTATTTCAGCACTGTTTCCCGCTGCTTCCCACTGCTCTCCCGGATTGTTAGATATCCCGTAGACTGTCCCCGGGATAGGTGAGGCTGCTGATCCCTTATTTTCAAATCTGAAAGTTGACAGCTATGCCCAGAAGGACCCTATTCTGTAATAATACAATGCACTGGTGCCTTGTAGAGCCACTGTGAAGCACTGAAGAAGATGTAATGGAGCCAGAACTTCCCACTATTTCTCCTGGCCAACAAGGCCCTTGAGGTGTAGGGAGGCCAGTGTAAGAGAATACATTTGGTTTTTTGAATGAGTGGGTGCCAAAGTGTATTGTGCAGGATACAATTTCTGTTTAAGGCTAGTTGGTCCTGCAGGTAGGACTTCAGTTTCAATCAATAAGCCCTCTTTGACCACAGCTATAACAGACTGCCTGCTTATCCTTATCAATGTCTGTCTGAGAGTTGAAGATTTAATATTTTCATCCTCAACTAATTCTGCTCACTTTCCCTCTTCTCTATCGGATTATGGTATTTTTTTATGCAGGAGCAAGAGGAGGACACTTTGTTTGCTCTTGACTGAGCACTCACATTAAAATGCCATGTAAATTCCTAGCCAGTACCACTTTGATCACATTTTTGCTGTTTCATAGTAAGCGAGAGAGAGGTTTATTTTAAGGAAAAGCTTTAAGTCCTAGTTTTCAGGCACTCCTCCTGATGACATCAGTGTGCAATTAATAAGAGAAGCCTAAAGCCCTGCCAGAACATTTTGCCATTAAGAGTTATTAGTAGCTTTAAAAAAACAAAAAACAAAACCCAACAACTTCAAGCTGAAAGATGACGTATTGTACGATTTTAAAAGTTAAGTACTGAGTGCCATCTGCTCCTCCTCGGTTTATATGAGGCCTGCCATCCTCTGCATAGTTTCTCAACTGTAAGTTGTGCTGAGATAAATGGGTCTTTCCTGCAAGTAATTGATGATAAAAATGCACTGTCATTAAGTTGAATACCAGTTGGTTATGATCCACCTAAAGTTAAGCCTTTTAAGCTGTCATTGACTTCTGAATGCTGTGAGGTGGTTTCTGGTTAGTGTGACTGGCCTGCTGTCGAGGCCTTGATCTCACAGTGGAGTGGTGAGAGAGAACGAGCCACACACATGACTGCTCTTAAATGATTGCTGCCAGGCATTGTGGAGTCCAAATGGCAATCTTGTTTTTCTGGGAGAGCTCCGGGCAATGAAACAGGCAGGAGGACAGCTGGAGTAAAACCTGGTGTAAGTCTCAGGGTAGCAACAACTGAACACAAGTGAGAACACGACCATATAGTGTTGATGGCAGCAAAGACAACTTACTTCTTGGTCATTGAAGAAGTGTAGCATGCAGGAAAGGGTCAACTCCTCATGGAGGTATAGTCGGCACTGACTGATAGATCAGGTAGTGGTGGCCAGGTGAAAGGGGAGGGAATCTCCCACCAATTGTCAGCCTTGACTCTACCTCTAGTGAGACTTGGAATCCCACCTTTGCCTCCTGGCATGCAGTTCTGCCTAAGTTCCATTTGAAATTAAAGACCTTTCAGTGCATTTCATACATTTTGGATTGCCCCCCCGAGCTATGTTGTTACTCCTTTACTGCTAACTTAGTGACGTGCTGTTGTTGGCAGTAGGGTTTGCGCACAAATTAAAAACACTTCTAGACTCTGAATCTCAGAAGACAAGTGTGTCTTGAGCTCTGCTGCTTGCAATTTTGTTTGAAGATATGCATTTAGCCCGTGTATTGGGAAAGCCGCTGAAATTTCTAGCTGGGGCAAGTTGATTAGTCAGGTCTAGTCAGGTAAGTTTTCTATTTCCCCATGTCTGAACAAGCCACTAATTCACTCTTCCGGAACCTCTCTTATAACCATAAAAAATTTGAACGGAAAACATGATGAATCACTATTAACAGCTTTTCACATATGTCACTGGCAAAAATGGAACTCAAATAAGCTTAAGGCCCTGAGCCAAGCACACTATACAGCTTTCGTGCATAAAGAGTCTAAAAGAAAATGTTTTTTTAGAAAAATAAAAAGCTTCTGAAGTGGATAATGGAAAGACCTAAAGTGCTCTCTATTATTTTCCCTTTGGCTTGAGAGTTTGTGAAAGGCAATGTTTTCAGAAAAAGTTCAATTAAGCTGCCAAAATGAGAGAGAGAAAAAGAACTAGGTAATTCCTTTCCCTATGTGACTAATTCCACAGAGTTTGAGAACATTTTACTCTATGTGAAACATCCAAAGTAGGCTAGGCATCTGTTGTTCTTTGTGTGCACTTAACCAGTTAGTTTTCACGTTTTACCTTGTGTCTCTGGTTTCTGGCATCAGTGGAAGCTTTAGAATAACCTTCTTCAACCTGGTACCCTCTGGATGTTTTGGACAACTCCCTTGAGCCCCAGTTGTAATCCAAAATATCCAGAGGGTACCAGGTTGAAAAAGGCTGCTTCAGAGCAGACATATCAGTGTTTACTTTAGAAGCCTTTTTAAAAAAATAGTATGTTGTATATATTCTGCACTCTAATATCTGTTGGAGAGATCTGTTGTAACCATATCTCATGTTTTCCTTATATGAAAGTTACAAATGCCTTTTTTTAAAATTCATTCATCTCCCCACCTTCATTACATTTATATTCACTTTTCTATTTGAAATCATATCATCATTAAAATACTGAAAGGCTAAAACACAGCAGCTATGAACCAATTCAGCATAAAAGGAAACAATATTTAAAACAATGACCAGGAGTTACAATTAATCCACCAACAGCTATCGAAAGGAATGCTAATAAAATTGATGTCTTTCGCTTGCTGGAAAAGATTGAGCTAAGCAAACATCACTTGGAAGCATATTCCATAAACTTAATGCCACAAAAGAGAATGCCGTGTGTGTGTGTTTTCACTTGGCAAGTTAACACTTTCCCCCTGCCTGTGAAAGCGCACCTTTAACCAGCTTTAAAACAGGAAATTTGCAAAAGACCACTGCTTTAAGGCAAGCTCCTTTTATATTTATTGTTCAAAATATATTTTGGAAAGTTGTTTGTTCTCTATGCATTTGGACACCTCTTAAGATATTGTAACCAAATTTCGCCTGCTTGTTCCTGAGATCAAGGAGCAGGGTTTTCTTTTCTATGTTTGGATACAATTGGATGCCATTTTGAATTCAAGATGGCAGCCTGAACCTTCAAAAATGGGCTGATTTTGGGGGTTCTTAACATTCCTGAACAATCCTGGGTACACAGCTGCTAGTTTAAAATATTTCTGTGCTGCCCTTCTGTTTACCAAAACTCCCATGTGGTCTGACCAGCATCATCAAAACAATATCATGTCTGTTTTTAGAAGCAGAGAACAGTCTGTGCTCAAATTGAGAATCATATTTAGAATATTCCTAACATAGAAAAGAATACCAATTGGATATTCCAGAACTTAGGCATCCAATAAGCTTAAGATCAGAGCATGAATGAGGGAGATTGTACATTGAGCTATCGGAGTATAGTATTCCCAGGAATGACACCAATTTCAATTTAATGAACTTTCGCATGAGAGTCTGTATGTGACAGCCCAATTTGTAGCCTGATTCTCAAGATCTTCCATCCACGCAAGCCTGGGTGATGTTAGAGGAACTTGAGTTGTCAGTTGTCAGAGCTCCCATCCCAAATGCTATGACAGAGGCTGTTATGTGCAAGTAAGAAAGCTTTATTCAAGGGCTTACAATGATGCAGGTCAGGTTACAGGTACATATGTAGTTAGGGAGTTCGAGAACAGCAGCAGGAGTCCAAGAATGGACAAGCAGCCATGGCCCTCCACCAGCTTTTAAAAGTGAGAGGTGGTGCACTCATGAGATTCTCCCTATGAGAGTGGGGGCACTTGGAAGCAACTGCTTTTGTGAGGGGCATGGGTCTATTTCCAACAATGAAGGTGGCTCCAAGTTCCTGGTGATGGGATAGAGGTCAGTCTCTCTGGCTGCTGCTGCTCAGCTTCCCTCCCTTGCTAGTCCTCCCGTGTTGCAAGGGAACCATCCCACTGTGTGGATGGGACAAGACAGGGAGCCAACAAGGCTGCCTCTGTTTCCCCAGCTCTGAAGGCAAAGGAATGGGAGCCCTCTTAGGCTGTTCCCTGCGGACAGCATCCTCCTCCTGCTCACCTTCCTCACCTGTCACTCCCAGCCCCATGCCAGACGGTATTGAGGGGTTCGCAACAGCAGTGTGCCTTGAGGACCATACCTATACTCAGGATTGCCAGTGAACCTGAACATTGTAGCCCTGTTCTGAATAGATTCCTGGTAGGATTGCTCCAACCTTTTCCCTGTGACATGCCTGCTCCACCCCGTCTGCATTTCATACATTCAGCTTAGCCTTTGCATAGTGGTTTACACATAGAGAGGACCTACGTGACTGATGTATACACCGTAAAATCTTGGACATTCTCATGATAGTCCTTTTCTGCTGGATTTTGAGCTGGTGTGACGTACTTGATTAATGTATTACAGCATTTCTCAACTACAATGAGAAGGAGTGACCTACTGTTAAAACCTAAAACATAACCCTTCATACCACCCCTGCAAATATTAAGAAATTCATAACCAAATCACAAGGTGGCAAGAATTCAGGCCTGCCTGGAAGAGAGGATTTGTATAGCTTACTAAGTTATATGCTACTAGGTTGTGTTTTCATCCATAGACAGTGTAAATTGCAGCTCGGGAGACTCCTTGTTTGCAGCAGTGTTGCATCCTTTTCTGTTGCCTGGGACATGCCTGGGCAGAGCACAGAGGGTCAATAGAACCTGCTGCTCCAGGCCAGCCAACGCTGCCAAGTGCATGCACACAGGGTGCAAAGGGCTCATGGAGCCCACACATCAGCTCAGCTCTGGCCACTGGAGCCAAGCAGGGCTGTGTTGTGCTCCTGCCTGCCTGTGCAGGGAGGAGCCTGGCCAGCCAATGTAGCACTTGTTGTGCAAATCCCCCCTAACACTAGCCAGAGGGCCAGGGGCACTGCAGCCAGGCCAGGCTGAGACCCAGAGACCCCCAGTTTCAGGCAGCATGGGATGGGGATCCTTGCATGGGGGCACCTAGCTCGCGCCCCCTAAAAATTGTGCGCCTGGGGCTATGGCACCCCTTCCTCCTACTATGCCCCTGCTTGTTTGTTGGTACAGAAATAAATGTATTTGACTGTTAAATAGTTTTGCTTAAACTACAGCTATTACAGCATTAGACCAAGCTGACCTTCTCATTACTTTATTTAGGTATGTGTTGATATTGTTTGTTTTGGTTTTCCAGGTTTAATGAAGAGACTGGAAGAGGAGACAAAGTTCAATACATATTTGGTCTCTGAAAAATTTCCTAGAGAACTGGAAATAAAGAAACAGTCGCTGTACTTCTTGCAGAAAGTAGTTGCAGAGCCAGCAATGGGCCAGTCTGATCTCAACGAACTTGAAACCAAAGTATGTTGACAGGGAGAAAGTTCAGTTCCCATGTTTAAGGGCTCAAAAACATCTGACGAATTCATTTTAGAAGCAGCTATTTCTTTGTGCATCTTACTCGCTCCACTCTTCTGGTGGTTGGTCTATAATAGCGATGTCCAACTCCCAAGAGTCTGCGATCTAATCCCACTGTAAAAACACTGGCAGTGATCTACCCATTGGATTGATCAAAGGTGTTGAGCTTTTGGGGGGTGGGGGAGGAAGACTGGTATATAACATGGGACACCTGTTTGCACTCTGCTGGCTGCTGGGTTGTAAGAGACAAGAGCACTTGGAACCCTGTTCACTGCAGGAGTATCCACCATGAACATTTGAAGGTTATTGTGTCATAGTAGTTGTGGGGAGGGAAGTGTGTAAATAACCTGTATGGCATCTTTAATAAGAGGGCATTATAGTACTGCTTGCCCCGTCTGAGGCAAACAGATTATGTTTTGGGAGTGGGCTGAATGTAATTGAACCATAATGTAAAAATGTATGTGACCAGACTCAGCGTGCTTTTTGCTGGCCTGTTGTCAGATTTTTGTTATCCCTCACTACATCCATCAATATTTTAACTTGTTCTCTGATTTAAATCATAAGGAAATTGTTTTAACTTTTTTCAAGAAGCTCCAAGGTGCTCACTAAAATACACATACAGATTATTACTCAAAGCTAATTAGGAAATTATATTACTTATTTTGCATTTCAAAAGGTCATTTCTTCAAAGCCTTATGTGTTAGAGTAATGTCCTCTCAGGGCTTGCAGGAAAATGGAGAAATAGGCTCCATATATTTCTGCAATAATTTGAATGCTGAGTGTGATTGGCATTCGCATTGAAGTAATAACGTACACGGTGCTTTTTTTTTGTTTTAGATACTAACATTATGACTAATTTGGCATAAAATTTAGCATAGCAATTTTCCTTCTTATTGCAGCATTTGAAATGTTGAAACCTAGAGCTTGTTAAGGCTTGATAATTGACTGCAATACAGTGGTACCTCGGGTTAAGAACTTAATTCGTTCTGGAGGTCTGTTCTTAACCTGAGGTACCACTTTAGCTAATTGGGGCTGCCTCCGCCGCGCGATTTCTGTTCTCATCCCGAAGCAAAGTTCTTAACCCGAGGTACTATTTCTGGGTTAGCGGAGTCTGTGACCTGAAGCGTCTGTAACCCGAGGTACTGCTGTACCGTTTCTTCTGTGTTTGGGGGAAATCTAAGAATAGGTAAAACAGAATACAAGACTTTCACATAGATTATCTTGAATAAGCTCCAGATATGCTCTGACATTGATCAGAGATGTAGTAAGGGAGCTAGGAAGCACACTGCACATAGACACAACCCAAATTGGCCCTGTGAGTGAACAAATCCTTCTCTTTTTTTATTAGGTTCACTGGGTTTCCCTTCCTTTTGCAGGTGTGCTGAACTTGTGGTGTGAAAGAGCATAACTGCTCAAAGATTTTAAAAAGTAGTGAAGTCAGTATTCTGATAAAGTTTTTGAGGTTTTCAGAGAATCACTAGACAATTATAAAACATCTATAACATTGCTGTTAAGGCTTCAGTTATGAGCTAAACTGATGGCCTCAAAACATAAAAATTGAGGTGGGATTAATTCCTATTCAAACTATTTTTGTTGGTTGCAAAAAACTCGATACTTTCAGTGGGACTTAAAGCACAATCCTACGGTCAACTAAATTCAAGGGGGCTTACTCCCTGGCAAGTGGAGAGAGGACTATCGCCTTAAGTCACAACTAATTCTGACTAGATTGGAATCCACATCATTTGGTGTTCCTCAAACTATCAAATATATTTTAAAAATAGAAATTAGACTTTGAAATCTAAAAATAGATATGCGAGTCCACCTTTTGGAACCTCATTTTTAAAAGGCTGAAATTGAATATGCATCCCAATCAGAGATTTTGTGAGCATCAAGGCACTCATAAAGTTCCTGCATTTGTGCGCTTACATATCGGTCTGCTCCCTCCACCTCTCGCAAGGGGGGAGGCAGGCAGCGATCTGTGTGTTTGTGTTCCTTCCTCCAATTGCACACCTTCAAGAATAGATCAGTTTTTGCACCCACACAAGGTGAGACTGGCTGTGCTTTGATCTCGCTCTATCAATATCCATTCATTGGACTTTGGCTTACCCCAAGTTTGGGAAACCCTGATCTAGGGCATCCCATATACCAGAGTGCTTAGTTGCTTATTCATGCCACATTTTTTAAATAAGTATTTTTAATTAATTTTTCATTAATAACAGTCCAATGCAGACCACATTAATATAATACCAAATCATACCAAATCATAATACAATCAAAAGAGCCATTTATTCAGTTCCAAATTAAACATTTTTGGATGATTTTGCGTGTTCAGTGTATCAGGAGTTGATGTTATTCCTTGGTCCTGCTCCAATTCTCTTAATTAGTCCAAATACAACAGTTCCGATCTTAATCCTTTATTTTAGCAGTCGCTGGTGTGATGACTTTCATTCATATTTATATCCTGGGAATTTATATCCTGTAGCTTTCTGTATGAAATATTTGTTTACATTTGTCCTTTCCTTCATGTTGTAATCAGTCAGTCCTCTTCAACATTACTCCTCCTTCAAGGACTCAATTATCATTACGCCACAGCTTCTCCATTTTGCTTTCTCAAAACTGAAAGTATTCCGGTGTCCAGCCGTGACTCCTGGCAGGCTTCCAGCATTGTCTTCTTTGATCCTTTCTGATTGTCTGACAAGCTGGTGTTTCGCCAAAACCATAATAAATCAGAGTTAGAGCCCTCTTTAGAAGGTAATGTCACAAATCATTACAGTATTTTACACAGTCTATTTGTTCAAGTACTCCGTAAAGAAAATTATAAAGTTCTTGTTGAATCCCTCTTGCATTCCATTTATAGTTATAATTTCATTCCATTAGTAATTAATTCTTCTTCATTGAAGGCTTGCCTTTACAACAAATATAACGTAAAAAGAGAACAAAGGCTCCCCTTCACTTACATAGCAATCCAGTTATGAGGAAATCCTCTCCAGATCAAAACCTTGGCACTCAGTGGCTGATTCATTTAGTAGGTTATCTTGTATCCTTCATCCAGAACACGCCCGTTTCTTAAGTCCAAATTCAGATCCATCTTAAAAAACAGAAGTACCTCTGCTCATGGCGACCACGTTGGAGAGTTTCCAATATGTGCAGTGCTATGCACTCAACGTCCCTGCCCCCGCATTCCATCAGAGCGAGAGGCAGTTATCGGACAATCTGTGTAAGTTCTCCCCCCTAACCGGGGGGGGGGGGCTTACAAGGCTAATTACTTTCAGATTATCCTTAATTAGCTGCATGGCCAGCATCCGCTATTGTGGGACCCGCTGTTTGCCATGGCATTCCACATTTATGTCCTGCTGATAATTTTGCAAACATAAGAGCCCCAACATTCTGAACTCTCTCTTCAGTGAGGCCCACTTAGCCTCCCCTCTGATGTCCTTTCATACAACTCATCTTAATTCGTTTCATCTGTTCTTCAGTTTGATTTGATTTGATTGATTGAATTTATATACCACACTATACCCAAAGGTTTCAGGGCGATTCACAGAACAAAGTCAAAATATATAATCAAAATAAAACAACTCAATAACGCCCCCCATATATAATTATACAAGTATAATTATTATATATGTTTTACTGTATATGTAATATATGTAGAAATGCAGGATATAAATTGAAATCAGAAAGAGAGAAAAGATCCCTGCTGGATCAGCTCAGGGCTTTATCCTGTCCAGCATCTTGGTTTCCCACAGTGGCCAGCAAGATGCCCTCTGGGAAGACCACAAGGAGGGCATAAAGGCCATAGCAGTAGGAACACTCATGTGACTCATGGTAACAGATCCCCTGTCAGGCCTTGATTTAATGTATACTATTGTTGTGTATGGCACTTCAAGGACTCTTTTGCAACAGAACTGCCTATGCACCAACTGAATGTCCAGGAATAGACTTCTGGGGGTTATCCCAGGATACTTCTGGGCTTCCTGGACATTATCCCAGGGCATCCATTTTATATTCATGAACTGGAGCTGCAAATGTCCCTTTCACACAATGTCTTCATTCATGAAACTCCAAAAGAATACAAAGTCCTTAGCAATTGTATATTAACTCAAAGTCTTTTGTGAGTTCATTCCAAATAAGTTTTCCCCATCTTTGGGTGAAATAGTTGAATGCATTTGTCAAAAGAGGTGTGGGTATAATGGCCCAGTTTGCACGTCACGTCAAGCTGTAATTAAACTAAACTAGTGCATCCTGCTGAAACTGCAGATACTTTGCTTCTTCCCTGCTTCTGCAACTGCCAGGAAACAATCTGCAGTCTGGCTTGTTTTGTTGTTTGAACAGGGGCTCATGGTTTGTGTTTTTCTCCAAACAAGCCAAGGTTTGTTCTTTGCTTGGGGGATGCAAACTACAGTCCAGCTTCAGATAATGCAACAGAAGGAGTGCAGAAATAGTGAAGCACCCACGATTTCAGCTGTTATAACTGTGGTTTAACGTGATGTGCAAACCAGGCCAACAGAATTCTATACTTGCTCTGCACTGATATTGGAAGGGGAAAATAAGCAGCTCCTATATGAGGATGTTGATATTTAGAAATCTTTCATGTGCAAAGCCATGAGCCTCTGAGAGAACTCATTTCCAAGGTCTGTGTCATGATATGGTCTCAAAATCTTGAGACATTCCTGCAGTACAGCAACTTTCAGAGGGATAGCCATGGTCTTTGTTTTGCAGCAAAACCAGCAAGGAGTTTTTGCTATTTGCATCCAAACTGGATGCCTAAAGCAGCAGCCTAGTGAGCGAGAGTGAAATGGAGTAGCTCTGTCCTTGCTCTGATTTCTTTTATTTTAACAAGTGTCTTGATTTATATCCAGCCATCCCACAGGGTTCAGGGCAGATTACAGAAACGGGCTGTGAAAGAGGAGCATCTGTGTCTTTTCAAAGCACAGTTAAATCGCAAGAAATTGTTCTGGGGAAAGAAAGAGCCTGGAATTTTAGACGTTTAGTCTAGTTATTAATCGTGACTGAATGAAAAGTTCACAGAGAGAAACACTTTGCAGAGTGGGTCCACCAGCGTCTTTGCTTTTTGGCTCAGAGAGTTTGCTTGCTAATAAGGAATTTAAGCTTTTGGACTGGGAGGCTGAAGGGAATGGTGATATTTAAATAAATAAGGAGTAATTGCTAATGACATGTTTCCAGACACCCTGTGTGGTTTTGGAAAAGTCGTGGAGCTGCTTTTTTAAAAATTAGATCTGATACTGTGCTTGAATCCATTATTGACGTTTGAAGCAATTTCTGGAAGTCTCTTCTGTTGCAGAGCAATAAAAATGACATAATTTTGCATTGGCTGTGAAAACCTTTTCTCAGATGACAAGCGTTCTTCGTGTTTTAATCTATATTTCAGATAAATGAGGTCAACATACAAATCAATCAGTTGATTGAGAAGCGGATGATGAAATATGAACCAATCGATAGTAAATTTTCAATGTATCGACAACAGGTGAGAACAAAGTCTTCTCTAAAGAGAAATGTTATTTTGAAAAATCATTTATTTATTATTTATTGCATTTATACACAGTCCTTCATCTTAAGATCTCAGGGTGGTTCACTTACCTTATCGTGAGCAGCCAATTGCCTGTGAGACTTTGAATTTTGCTTATATTTTGATTTACAAATTTGAGGATCAACCCATCTATATAATGTGAGACAGCTCCAAAGTCAGTGGTCAAAATGGACTTGGACTTGGGTACATTAAAAAGGTGGACTTGGGTACATTAAAAAGGTAGGATATCTGGTTGGGAATGTGACCTGCAGCATCTTGTTTAAGTGAGTGATGTGTTACAAGGTTAAGAATGCTACATAATGTGCTGGTACAAGAGACCAGCTGGCTCCTAATATAAAGTGCTGACGTCCCTTGGATGAGCCATTCCAGGAATTCAGAGCGCTTCCCTTGGTCAATAACATATGGCAGACTCCTCTCAGCTCCACAGGGCACTGTCGTCGGCTTCACAAGATCACCCCATATGTTTTTAACACAATTTGTCACCATGGGCTAGTTTGGAGAAGTGAAAGGCTTGGATACCGTAGAGGCTGAATCACCATAGATAGGCTATAGAAAGCTTTTTAATCCGGTGAGTGGAGGCTGTTCTCAAAAACTGCCTACACTATTGCTGTATAATCCATGTTTTAAATAAGAAAAAACAGCAGGCTTGTGTTTAATTTTTAGAACTCTGTAACATAATCCGAAGCTATATGTTTGAACTGCAGCCTTTTGGTTCTTGCTATAGTATAGAAATGCTCTGGAAAGTATTATTCTGTTAAAAGCAACACTCAAAATGCTGCATAAAAGGAAATAATGGATTGTGCTGTTTTAAAAATTATTATATTTATCCCAAGGAGGCCTGAATGAAATAAAAGCATTCCTCTTTCATTATATTATCTGTCGCCACTTAAATTGGATTCTGTATTTCCCCCGTCTGTATGATGACCTAATAGAGTCCTGCTAATGGGTGGGGGGTGATGGGTGGGGGCATAGCGCAGTAGGAGAGTGCATGGTTTGCATGCAGAAGGTCCCAGGTTCAATCCCTGGCATTTCCAGTTAAATGCTGCAAGCTGCCTTGTGCAATTGTGTAAAGACTGGATGGAAATGTTTTAGATAAATAAATGATCTTAGGTAACGGGTGCAAAAGACCTCTGGAAACTGTTGTCCATCAGAATGCTAATGCATGGTGAAATATTAATGTGTTCTCTTAAAATTGCCACTCCTACCATTTTCAGGAACTTTGTTCTTATATTTGTCTGATGGAGAAATGGGGTGAGAATCTCTAAATTAAAACTACAACAGTTCAAAATAATAATACAATGTGTATCCCTCTGGCTCTAATACCCAAACTTCTAGACTATATGATTCAGAATTAAAAATGTGACTGTTTTCAATGTCTTAAGCAACATTTGTTTCTATTTTAGAAGTCTTATCAAATATGCCTTGTAACGTGGATACAGACTTTTTTTCAATTTATTGGTGTTTTATGGGTCTGTTCTGCTTTAATCTGTGTCCTGTGTATTTCTATAGCTTGTTGAAGGGCTATTCTATAAAAATCCACATTAAGACACTGTTGAAATAACTGCAGGATCTTTATCTTCATTGCTACAGTTTAAAATCCTTAATTTTTGAAAATGAACTAAAGGAAATCATCAGATGTGGCTGCCGAAGTAGAATGCTTGGCCAATGGTAATCTGATTCTTAACTGCAGCATAGAAGCCGCAGAACATGGCTGAGGGCACATAATGCAGCCACCTTGCAAAAGCTAAGCAGGTCTGGTCTGGGTCTGATTAGTGCCTGGATGAGAGACTGCCTGGGACTCCTAGGTATGCCTCTCAGAATTCTGTGATGGCAGAAATAAAGTTTTTTTAAAAAAATTAAGTGGCACAGTTGCCACTTACCCACACCCGTGTTGAGGAGGAATTATTTCTAAGTAGCAAGGCAGCAAAGTCCTTTTACAGGAAGGGGGGGAATCTGTTTTCCTTCTCCTTTTGAGGTTATTATGTGTCTGAAGTACCTAGTGCAGCTACATGAAGGTAAAGCAGACTTTGTTCTAATCCAAGGATTTAGTTTCAAGTCTGTATTGTATGCTGGCATCTCATGCCTTGAACGTTTCCACTCTGCCCATTGTGCTGCCCTACCTGGAATGTTTCAACTTGCCGTGTGCTGCAATGATGATTGATAAACATGACCCAACAGGCCTCCATCATTTCCCGGAAGAAGGCAGCCAAGGCCGAAGAGCTTCAGGCTGCCAAGGAAGAGCTGTCCAACCTAGAGAAGCAAATGTTGCAGAAGTCAAGCCAAGCCCGGGAACTGAATGGGGCTGAAGTCTTGAAAGGGGATGAGGTAAGTGCAGGGTCAGGGTGAGTGAGGAGAGAAAATGTGAAAGCTTGCACATGTGTCTTGAGCTTATTGTACATACAGCCTCCATTCCAGCAGTTACTGCTTGGGCAGCCAGTGTGGTTGAATAGGCTACTCTGGGAAAGCCTCTCAGATCAAAAGTGATTTGTCACACTGCCTCAGCAGCTGATGTTGGAGAATTGTAAACCAAAAGCCCCCATCTGCATCCAGATGTCTTGTCATGCTTTTGTCTCTTGGCCTCCGTGTGTAACTGTTACAGTGGATCCCATTAACTCCCAAGGACAACTGAATAGCACACACCATTTTGGCACACACCATTCTTACATTTCAGGTTTGACAGACTGGTCCCTTACTATTTTATTTCCATGCTTTTATGTCACCTTTAAGGCCCTCTTAAAGTGGCCCATGGGAGCCACGTGCAGCTCGCAGGCAGCAAACAGAGATGCTCTTATTGCCTCCCTTTCTGCTTTTACTGCAGCTCTACATGGGTCTGGGAAAACTGGGAGCAGGCAGAAGTAGCATCAGCCATTTGTGGGGCTCCACAGTCTTTGGGTCTGGGGGCCATGAGATACTGTGGGAGGAAAGGGTAAGGAAAAGGTTGGGAGAGGTTAAGAAGCAAGACTTTCAGGCGGACAGTTCAAGGAAGAGGCAGCAGTCACAGTAGCTCTTGCTGAATGCAAAGAACTTAAGCATAGAGTTTTGGCCCTTCCCCTGCTGCATTATCTTCTCTGAAGTAAAGGGCACTATTCCCCATACCAAATATGGCTTCAGCAGCCAGTCTTTGCAACCTAAGACAGCTAGATGACAAGCCCTTGAGATAAGAGTCTTTAAAGGAAAATGACATTCTGGTTTCAACACCTAATCCTGTTGCAAATCCACTATTTCCTATTATTCCATAAACCCAAGACTGTTTTTTTTAATCCTCCTGGGTAGTATAAGCTTCACACTTAACCTTTGTTTTAGTCAAATTTGAAAGCAGACAATCATAACATTCCTGCTATGCAAAGCAGTGATTAATTACTCAGCAGCAGGGTGTTGCAAGAGAGAGAGGGAGAACCACAAACGCTTTGTCTTATCTGCTGTTAGTTCAGTGTATTGTAAAGTACATAAAAAATGTTCCACGTTGTCAATGCACCTGACGGGAACAATCTGTGAAGTAGCTAAACTGTTAAGACCCACAACAACGGTGGAACAGGAAACTGGTGAGCTCATGGCTGTGCTGCAATGTGGAGTAAGGCAAGGAGGGGGAAGAGCAGGCAGGCAGGTTCAAATACCTTCTAACTTCCATCAGTTTGGACCTAGGAGGTTTTCTACAAAAGCTTAAGAAGAGCTCTGCTGGCTCAGACCAGAGGGCTGTCTTGTTCAACATCTTGCTTCCAATGCTGGCCTACAGGAGGCCCACGAGAAAGGCAGGAAGGCAATAGGCTTCTCCCATATTGCCTCCAGAAGCTGTTGCGGAGGTTCCATAAAGCCACTGATAGGCCCTACTCCTCCATTAAGCTGTTGGTCCCCTTTTAAAGCCATCTAAGCTACTACTGGCCATCAGTCACCACAACTCGTGGAAGCGAAATCCATAAATTAATTGTGTGTCTGTCTTGAATCTCCAACCAATCAGTTTGATTGGATGACCCTGAGTTCTCGTAGCATGAGAAAGTGGCAGACACTCTTATCTGCACTCACTGTGCACAATTTTATAAACCTCTCATGGCCTCCCTGCCATTGTTTTTTCTAAATGAAAAAGAGGACCCCAGCAGCCTACCATAGTTTCACGTTCACTGCTGTTTTGAGAAAACACCACGGATGGGTTTGGCACATGTTCGAGTTTATTTTTGAGTTAACATGATAAACTTCATTTTGCACCTTCTCCATAGTTTTAAACCTCTAATGAAGTTTTAAGCACTCGAAGCTCTTGAGTGCTTAAAAAACAACAACCATGAAAGAGTCTTGTTAAATTATAAATGGTGCTGAGCATGTGACTGGGGAGAACTAACACTAGCATAGTGGATGCCCCCTTGCAGTGGTTTTGAGCTTCCCTGGCTGTCTGACCAACTGCTATAGAGGACAGCATGTGCTAAACTGGACACCCTTTTGGTCTGAGGTGGTGGTGGGGGGTGATCCTGGGATGGCCTTTATACCACTTGGTTCCTAATTTCTGTGTCCCTAATACTTTGGATGTGGTGCTGGAGATCTTAATTAATTGTTATTTGACCTGGTTTGCTATGTCTTTGCCCACCGCTCCCTAGGTTTGGGTTGCTGTATCCCCTTGTGGCCTGGCCCTCACTCACTCTGGCACTCAGATGAGTTAATGCCTTCTCTCCCTGGACTCTCACATACCAGCAATCATATCCTCAGTTGAGGTCTTAACACTTCATCCACAGAAAGGTCAACCCTGGCTTATGTTTTTACTTGCCGGCATGTTGCTTTCTCCTCTAACGATGCAGAGGAACACACTCCAGTCCTATGAGGGCCGACGTTTGCACAGCTGGCTGGAACTGACAAGCTAACAGCAGGAGATAGCTGGTGTGTGTTTAGTAGAAACCGCATAGAAGTCAGGGGGTAAAGTTGTCTGTTGCAAGAGAAGAATATCATGAAAGAACCTGAGATGCTATTTCAAAAAAGCAAAAGAAACGCAGACAATGCTGGCACGCTTCTCCCTGCAGCTGTCAGATCCTGAAAATTAGAGAATCACATTCCAGCTCTTAGAAGGGTAGGTGGTTCAATTACAAGTGATCCTAGGTAAACTGGATATATTTTTAGCTCCCTTTCACAGCACATTGTACTCTTTTAAAAGCTGAACACGGGTTTGGGGGAGCCTAGATCTCTCCCCCCGCCCGACTTCCTCAGCATGCTGGATGGAACAAAATCAAAGTGGTATTAATCTCACAGAAACTATTTGGCTGTCAGATGAGCGCAGCAGGATGAGTGCCAAAGGATCCGGTCCAATGGCCAGCAAGCTCTAGCCTAGTCCATTTCAGAGTTGGACACCAAGCAGATACTGAAGTCAGAGGGATGAGGGGGTGGCTGTGGGCAGTCCTGGTGAGATTAGGGCCCTGACTCACTCTCGGTCAGAAGGAAAGCTGAAAGCACAGCAGGGGAGATGGAAGGCTGGAAGGTCCAGATGGCAACAGAGAGAGGGATAGGCAACTTGGGCAAGGTAGTTTTCACTTGGTGCAGGCTGATAACATGGACCAAATACTTGGAGGTGCCAGAGATGCCACTTGCCTGCTGAAGCCTTGCCTCTCCTGTCTGATTAGTGGCCAGATAAGGCAGAAGAGATCATGAAGCCCTTGCTGGGAGAGCCTGAGGTCCCCACTGTTTAGGCAGTGATTAGACATCTGTTGAAAAAGCGCTCCTTGGACATCACTGAACTTAATAGTTATCCAGTCTCAAAACAGCTTTCAGGGGAGCAAGGTATATGGTGAAGGTCTAACTCCAAAGTGTTTTTGGGTTATACCAATTCTCAGTCTGGTTTCAGACCCAGTTTCAGAGCTGAATAGCAACAAATTCTTGGTCAGAGTCCTGCCTTTCTGCCTTTTGGCTATTCATTCCCTTTTGCCTGTAACTGAAGTGCATAATTGTGCGGGGGGGGGGGGGGTTGGAATGCTGCAAAAGCCTCTCATTATTTGCCCTGGAACAAAGGGATGGGGGAGTCTTTTGTGCCAAAGTGAGTCAGTGGGCAGAGCCACTGTTGCTAGTCCTTCAGCCTGTTCAAAATAGGCTCCTGCTTTGGGAGCTGGGGTGGAGATGACAGTGCCATCCTATATGCCTACTGAGAAGTAAGTCTCATTGTTTTAAATGGCGTTTACTCATTTAAGTGCATCAGAGGTGGACCTAGGCTCCCCTGGCAAGAAGCTGTATTGGTTCTCCCTGTCCCTTGTGCTCTTGCCAGAGGAGAATGCGCACGTCACCTGGCTACCTGGCCTGGCCTGGGGAGCATGTGGACAGGTGGATGGACTCCTAGCCACTCAAAGCCAGAGTGGAGAGGCCTGGTTTTTGCACCACCCTGGCTCTTCGCCCTTGGCAGCCATCAACCTAGCCAACCTCCTAGGTTGGATTGCAGCCACAGACAGTCACCTGACATACAGCTATAGAAGCCAGGAACTTTTGAAGCAAGGCATTAACTGTCAGTGAAGTCAAACTTACGGTGTGGCTCAGGTGTAAAATGTGGCTTAGCACACATGAATGCTCTTGGAGCACTCACTCGAATGGATAAAGCATTCATCTTGCTCATCTGCGGCTTTCCACCAAGAACTAAGAAGGCTTTTTCCAGTTTGATTGAGTGTATTGCAGAATAAATAGACTGGTCTGAATTACTAAAGATGCTGCTGCCCAGAGCATGATTGACGTTATACACACACATAACTATACTTTATCTCTCTGGATTGTAATTGGTTTTAAACGGTTTTTAATTCCTTATTTTTAAATTGTTGTAAGTCACCCTCAGATTATATGGTAAAGGGCATGAAGGAAACAAACAAATTTTAAATATAATTATTAATAATTATTAAATTTATATACTTCCCTTCACCCAAAGATTACAGAGTGGTTCACAACATAAAAGTACAAAACGAGAACACAAAATGCATAATAAAAGAAGAACAGAAACCAGCCAACCAGCGTGCCAGGCTGTGTCATGGGTCATGGTTGTCTACTGGGAATCTGCCCACAGCTGCAAGTGATGTCCCTTCAGGGGACATATCCAGACCAGGTGCTGGTGGTTCTTCTAAGGAGACCTCAGGGCAATTCTGAACCTGGGCATTTCTTCACTACAGGTTTAGGGTGGACTCCAGTTCATGTATAAAAACATGTGGCTAAAGCAAGCCTTATGGGTGGAATCGGAGAGTGCCTTCTCACAAGGCTGCCACTGGAGGTGTACACCAGCAAGAGGTGCCTGGTGCCCCTTAAGGTGACACTTAATTTCCCAAAAGTACTGGACATTTTGAAGCTCCAGAGCTATTTCAAAACATTTTTCTTCCTTTAAATATGGGACATTCACTTAGGTTTCCCTGGTGATTAATAGAGATGTACTTTAAGTTCTGGATTAAGAGAGAAGTCTTTACTATAAATTAAAAGACATTTGTCATCCCTGGCCCCAGCCTGGCCAAACAGGAGCCTTAGTCATGTGTGGCCCAGAAACAGTTTCCCTAATACTGATATTTTAAAATGGCCCGAATGGCCTCTCCTACAAGACAACCGCAGGATATTTTTCTTCTTCAGTAGAAGTCAGCTTCTCCACAAGCATTAGGGGGCAGCCAGGAAGCTGCTTATGCACCCCCCAGACCTCACTGAAATGGGTGGGGCTTTTCAGCTCCGTAACTGGGAATGGAAGTGGCTGTAATAAATCATACCCCAAAATGGCTGTCCAAGATGAGATCTGTGATATCTTGCAAATGGCTGTTGAGAGCTTGTCACAGCCAGAGATTTGCTTAGACTAAATGTTTTTAACTGCTTGGGATTGTCTGTATTGCATTAATTGGACTGGCAGGAAGATTGGCCATCTGCTCCATCATCTTCAATATATATCTTTTGCAAACATTTTTCTATGGCATCCTGCTGAGGCAGTTAAAGAGAGTCTCACAGTATCTAATTAAGAATGTTCTCAGGAACCTACATTGACTTATGTATTTCTTTTAAAAAATGTTTTCCCTTTGTGTTTCCAGGCTTATTGATTCTTGTGTTTTGCTCTCCTCCTTCCACAATGGTGGGCAGTCCAGGGCTATCATAGAACAGGAGTGGGGAGTCTGTGGCTCTCATCACCCCAACCAGTATGGAAGTTGCAGGCCAGCAACATCTGGAGGGCCACAGGTTCCCTCCGCTCTTTACACTCTGCAGTTCAGAGGGTGGGTTTCCTTTGGGGAAGGGTGTACCATAAATAAATGAACCATCTTAATAAACACCTTTTGCTTCTCCAGACACAGAACAGGGCAAGCAGCAGGAAACCACACAGGCAGGAACAGTTTAATGGCAGGAACCTCCAGCCTGCAATCCAAGTGCAGCCCCCGCTATGCCCCTGTAGCTGACCATTTCAGCTCCCTCCAGGCCGTGTCCCCCATCAGCCCTGCTCTCTGCCTTCCACCCGCCAGGTCCTTTGCCAGGCTGGAATGTGCCTTTGAGCCCTTGCTTCCCTGAAAGCAGAAATGTGGGGAGGGGGGTGAGAGACCACTAGCTTCTGTGTGACTGGAAGGAAGCCTTCCCACTTTTGCTTCCAGCTCCGCCCACCACTACTGGCATGTGGGGAGAGTTTCCTGCAGGAGAACGAACCCCTCAGGGTGAAAAGGTTTCCCCACCCCTGCAATGTCAGTTGAGCAACCAAAATTCCAGGCCAGTTTATTGCCAAAGGATTTCCCAGAACAGATGTTAATTATTATTGTTATTTTAGGAGTGATGGGAGCACTTCCATCTTAGCAGTTCACTTGCGCAAGAATTGATCCTGCACTTGTTCAGGTAAAACTGGAAGGATTGAGGCAGTCAGCTCCTCCCTTTCTTTAGCAGCAAAGGAAATGTCCTAATGCGCACATCCTAGCAAAGGAAAAGAATTCTTAAAACAAAATGATTCTTTCATGGCAAGGGATTGAAGCCGTGAAAGGAGGTGGTCTTGTTTTGTGCTTACTTTATTTAAAGGGCTATTTGAGTGTTCATGTTGCTGCAGAAAGGAGGTTAACACCTCCACCACCACCAGCGCTGAAAGCTGTCAGATGGAAGATACATGTTCGGGGTTGATGCCCTCAGTGGGTGCCTGTGATTGCCCCACAACAACACACAGTAATGAGAGAACAATCACACTTGAACATCTGCCTCCAATTACTTTGTGAATGCCAGAAGTACAACAGAGCAGGAAAGGCCCCTTCAAGATAGTTCCTCTTGTGGAGTTGAACTTCTTTGGTATTCAATCAAAACCTTCGCTGTGTGATGCTTTGTTTTGCAAAGCCCTCTTTTCTTTGCTATGTAAATAACATCTCTGTTCTCACTGCAGTTTTGCTTTGTCATGACTTCCCTGTACTTTTATAATCCTCTCTTTCCTGAGAAGACAGCGTGATAGATGCTTGTTTTACATAATGGTTTCAGTTGTTAGCGGCTGTGGCAGGTTTAGACCCACACTTCGCCAAAATGTCAAGCAGTCCGGCTGCAGGGAAGACTTTGTAATACTGTACTTGCTCAGTTCAACCATTTGGTTCAGCTGGTTGGAAGACCTTTAGGCCTCACTTTCTTCTCGCTCTGTAAGCAGAATGGACTTGATCAGGCAGTACTTTCCCCGCTCCTCACAATCTGTCAGCACAGTATTCCTTTCCCTTTGAAAGTTGTCCCTACCACTTGATTCCCCAGGATGTGCAGTGCTGAGGAAGTGGCCTCAAGTCTGAGCATGCTCAGAAGCAGTTTGGCTCTCCAGGGAAGAGGGAGGTCCACAGTGCTGGCTGATAACCCTTGGAGTGCTGGCTTGGAAGGCAGGAGGCCAATAGTGGATGGAGGCAGAGCCAAGGCCAGCTCCTGCACCCCAATCCTTCTCCCCGTGGAGCTCCTCAAGGGCAAAAGACTGTGGAGCTCTCAGCTAGCGCCACTCCCTGGACGGGTTGTAAGTAAGAAGGCAGTTAGGTGGGGACTGGCCCAACCCCCCGCAATGTAGAAATCTGTTGCCCAACGTGGGGCTTGAACCAATAACCCTGAGGTTAAGAGTCACATGCTCCACCCGCTTAGTTATACCAGCATTTACTTTTAGTGTATTTTATAGTATCAAGTGTTTCTTTTTTTAAAAGTAAAACTTTATGCAAAAGTAGTTGTGTGTGTGGAAAAACTGGATTCAGTGACCTGTATAAATTATGTGATTGTTGCATTATGTGTCCTTTGTTTACATCATTATTTCTGCTTTTGCCAATCCATGTGGGGCAACTCCTGCCCGGAGCACTGGAAACTCAACAGAGCCCCTGCCTGGCTTTGAAGCTTTCATCAAGGCTTTGGCTGCACACTATCAAACCTGTCACTATACATGTGTATATGCAAGAGAGTTGCTTGGTTTTCTTTAAAAAAAAGGAAAGCTGAGGTTATCAGGATGCTGAATTCTGCAGGCAAGATCAGATTCAACAGGGCAATCAGCATCCGTCTGACTTTCATAGGTAAACAACCCAGTGACTCACCTATGGCAAGTCAGAATCCCCTCAGGCAGGGAAACTTTTGTTAAATGGAAGTGAGTTGGTTCCTTTTTTCTTTTCTTTTAAGACCACCGAAGTGCCATTTTAGGTGTGCGTGTGCAAGCAACTTATTACCAAGGTTATCACTCCTAGGTGGGCAATATAGGCCTCTCTCTTTCAAATGCTGTTGCTGGACAGGGGGGCCTTTTATTCTCTTAAGCAAAAAACAAACATCTGCTGGGGAGATTCCTGTGCAAGCCCCACTGAAATGAGCAGAGCTTCCACAGCAGCTGTGCTTTGGGGATCCACACCCTGCCAAAACCTGGAATGATCATGCACTTGTTTTCTTGTGTGACTTCTGTGACCTTGTCCTGAGCCTTGGCACAGCAGAAAAGAATGTTCTTAAAGGTACACATAGCCTGGTCTGCGTTGAACACACACTGAGCAATAGGTGGGTTTGTTCTTTCACTAAGAATGTCCAGTGTTTGGCTTTAAAAATAGTTGCGGGAGCACAGCAAGGTAGACAAAGCATCACCGCCCTGCACAGGATGGCAGATGATCTGGGCTGATTTCAGGATGGGCTCTTTGCCTGCAACGCTATTTATAGAACATACACTTACTCTGGGGGGTCTCAGACTGCCAATGATGGCAGCCTTTAAGCATTTGTTATTTAAAAGCAGCACAATTTTTTACTTAGAAAGGTTACTTATATCACAGATTTTTAAAAAAAGAAATGTAGTTTCCTTTTTTGAAAAAAGGTTGTTTTGGTATTGGTATGTACAGGAGATACATACTTAATAGAGAGGAAGGCCGCCCCAAAACATTTTGACGGGGTGTAACAGTGTGTGCTAAATCTAACTTCCTCATATTTCAAAGGTCCCTGTTATCTCTCATTTCAGTTTAAGCGATATGTTAATAAGCTTCGGAGCAAAAACACGCTTTACAAAAAGAAGCGCCTGGATATAGCAGAAATTACAGCTGAGTACGGCATCCTGCAGAGAACAGAGGAGCTCCTAAAACAGCGCCACGAGGATATCCAGCAGCAGCTGGTAATGGGCCATTCTGTCTTCCTGTCCATACTGCGAAATGCAGGTAGCCAGGATGAATCTTCTAGCTTCAAGCTCTTCCTGCAAAGCCAAGCAGGCCAAGCCTGGGGTTGTTCCAGCACCGCCAGGGCACTAAGTGCTTTACACAATGCAGGGGGGGAGAGCTTCTTGCCCCAAGGAACCTACAGTCAAAAATGCAGCATGGGAGGGGTGGAGATAGGGGGGAAAGATTCAGCTGTGTCAGTTACATGTGTTCAGGCTCCACAGGAAGGGTGGATTTTGAGGAAGGATTTGAAGGAAGTTAGAGAGGCAGCATCCAAAGCATTTTGGGAGGCAGTTCCAATCGCGCAGAGCAGCAAAGGAGAAAGGGGGGGGGGAGGGAGGGAGCACCCACACATTTGTTTGAGAGATGTGTTTTCATGATCAGACTGACATTTACACTTGTGTTGTAAACAATGTTAAGTGAAGCCTTTGGTTTAGGTTCAGTATTTTAGCATTGGCTTTGAGACAGTTCTAATGACATGTGCTAGACTTTATTGTATGTTAAAAGAAGTTATGTACGTGGTATCTCAGTTCTAGCATGTTGTTATTCAAAAGCTGAAATTTTGCCTTGCTTTTAAAAAATTGAAGTGGCTTCCTCATGCACATTGACCTGGTGTACACGTAGCGCTAAGCTTCAGGAACCCACACATTCCCTCTTTTGCCCTAAGCAGCAGTTTGGTTTAGTTTTAGACACAAACTGGGCCACTGAAGTCAGTGAAGATACAATCATTGCAGGAACGCTCAGTGCCCAATGCCCTTCTCACAGCCCACTTCCATGGCTTCATGTCTTTCTTCTGTCACTCGCTTTGTTAGAAAATTGCTTTGGTGTAGAGATGGGCCCTTTCCCTAAAGCTACTCATATTTATATCCATTAAAAGAGAAGCTGTAGCAAAATATGGAAACCCATGTAACCAAGTGTGTATTTTGTTTTCTTCCCCGCTCAGTAAAACATTTTATTTCTTCTGAAACAAAGCAGAACAGGCTGCAAGTGAAGCTGTAAGATGATAATAAGTGTTGTCCCCCATTTCTTGATCAAACATTATTAATCCGTGTGTGGAAGACATGGCTTAGTAAATAAATAACAACCGCACACTCAGAATTATTTCATCCTCCACAAATTAAAGTAATGGATGATTGCAAATGCACCTGGTTCTTTAGAAGCTCCTCTAGGCGATTTATGCAAAGATGCCCTTTAAGGAGAGGTGTCTTGCCACAGCAGCTGACCTGTTCTTACTGATTTTTATATAGTTTAGTTCAGGGGTAGTCAACCTTTTTATACCTACCGCCCACTAATGCATCTTTCTTGATGGTAAAATTTCCTTACCGCCAAGGAGTGCTCAATGGAAGGAGGATTCAGCTTGTGCTGTAGAACCCCCTACCGCCCACCTAGAATCCTGAAACACCCACTAATGGACGATAGGGACCAGGTTGACAACCCCTGATTTAGTTAATCAGAAAACAAACTAGGCAGTCTGTCAGATGGTGGTGGTGGTTGCTTATGAGTAACTAGGCAGGACTCCGACCTGTCTTTTACAGGTTTTATTGTGCAAACTATATACGGTGCAGATCTCCAAAGTTCATGTCCGTCTTAGTCACTTGTAGAATCTGGGAGTGGCCCCTTCCAGCTTCTCCCCCAACATAAGAACTTAGGCACCCCAAGCCTTCGCCTCCCCTCCTTGCGTTTCACCCCGGAAGTGGCGTGCGTCCCTCCTGGCCAGCCTGGCTAGGTGAGGCACTGGGGCTCTCCGCAGCATCCTCGAGCCCTCTCCTCACTTGGCTGGCCCCTTCCCCTCTTCTCCACTGGAGGGGTGGCTTTCCCCACCTCTGGAAGAGGAACTGCTTCTCAGGATTTTTGGAGGCTCTCTGTATCCCAACGGCCCCCCACCTCCCTCCCCTGTTCCGATGCCAGTCCCCTGACACAGTCTTTACTATTTATTGGTTGCAATTCAGAATCTGTTTGCTTGTCTGCTGTCAGAACGTATACTCAGAAATGTCTTTCTTTTTCTATGCTAACAGCAAGCAATTGAAGACAAGAAGGGTATCTCTGGATACAGCTATACACAGGAGGAGCTAGAGAGAGTGTCAGCCGTGAAGAGCGAAATGGATGAAATGAAGGGTCGGACTCTGGATAACATGTCTGAAATGGTGATTTTACTCCCCTGTATTTAAAGGCTCTCTTGGAAGGAAGGGTGTTGTCTGTTTGAATCTTACCACCACCCTGCAAGATCTACTTTGGCAGACCGGCGTGGCTGTGGGTATACTGGTGTGCCAACACTGCTTGTGCTGGGAATATGGCCAGTCTCCATTTATCACATCTTAGTTGATCTTTCCCTCTCCATTTGTCTTTCTAATCTTCCTTTGCCGCCCCCAGTGTTTCCAGCTTTCTTGCTATGCTGTTAATAACATATTCATGTGATGTGTTTCCCTCCCATAAAACAGGTGAAAAAACTGAATGCTATGGTGGCTGATAAGAAGTCAAGCCTTGCTCCAATTATCAAAGATTTAAGGCAGTTGCGACAGAAGTGTCAGGTGAGTAGAGGGGACTTGAATTTTTTTGTTTTTTGTTTGTTTGAACAAATGGTTTGGGCTGATTACAGTGCGACAAGATTTCTCCCAACGCCTCTCCTGCAGTTCTGCCTGTATGGCAGTAAGTGGCTCAGAGCCTCCCCCTAAGTAATGCTCCACACTATCTGTGGCTAGATGCCTCTATCGTATAGGCCAAAATGTACATTTGGGGGAGATGATCAACTGCATCTGGTGTTTTCAGTTACAGTGGTACCTCGGGATGCGAACGGGATCCGTTCCGGAGCCTCGTTCGCATCCTGAATAGAATGTAAGATGCAACTGCACCTCTGCGCGTGCGCAAGTCGCGTTTTGCTGCTTCCGCGCATGCGTGTGACATCATTTTGAGCATCTGCACATGCACAAGCGGCGAAACCCAGAAGTAATGCGCTCCGTTACTTCTGGGTTGCCGTGGAGTGCAACCCAAAAGCACTCAACCTGAAGCACATTCAACCCGAGGTATGACTGTATTTTAAAGTGTTTCTTCAAGTGTAAACCTCATTGGAAAAAATAATAGTTGAGTGAATGTTATTATTTACTTTAAAAAAACCTATATTCCACTCCTACATTGGACTCCCAGGGATCCACCATTTAGTATGCTCATCATGTGCTTGTTTGCTGGGTCTGTTAGTGTTTTTCTCAAACTGAAGACAGCGTATATGTGTCAGATACAGACCTATGTGGTTTTAAGACATTGCTGAATTCAAGACAGGGTTGGAATGGGGAGTGATGCTGTGAAGCTCTGGCTGAGATGAGGAAAACTGGTGCCCTAAGGAGCCTGAGATGGTCAGAGAAGACAGCTATTGAATATTTATCCAGAGGACCTGTGCAAAGTTTTGGTGCAATGGTTAACTTGTTAGCTGTCTGACGAGCAAACTATATGACAGGAGCTGCCCTGTTCTCGTGGCCTGGGCCCTGCGAGAAGCTGTGCTCCCGGATCTGATGGGGGGCAGAAAGGGAGCTTCGGGGGGGGGGTGAGCAAGGCAGGTAGAACTGCCACTGACAGTGGCAAGGAGCTGCTGCTCTCTTGAAAGCCAATCCGAGAGTCTTTTTTGCTAAAGGGCAAAGGATAAAATGCCTTAAATAAGGGTGAAATGTTCCGATGCATCATACTCATCTGCCGGCCAGAGGAAGGGGGTGATGGTCACCTTCAGGCTATTCACATGAACAGAACATTAGGGCATGTTGAATTTTCCAACTTTCGAGTTCCAAAATGAGGGGTGCTAAAATGTTGTAACACGACATGGGAATTTGAAATGTATTTTGGATAAATTAATATAATTTAGTTTTTCTTGGTAAGAAGAATAAGTGTCAAAGTGCATAGAAATCATTATAAATGATTGCCAAGGCCTTGCAGTTATCTTATATATTAATGTTTTTGTTATTATTTATTGTTGTTGTTATTTAGCATTATCTGACATTTTCAGAAGGTAAAATTAAATTCTTTGGTTTTCCAAAAGTAGTTTATGTACTTCTTCATCAAATGTAGACGTACCAAGCTAAATGTTGACCAATCACAAAAATAATAGCAGACCCGAAACCTTAAAAAATATAAGGTGCCTCAGTGAAAAAAATTGCAAAAATTAGGTTTCACATCCTAAAATGACGCCCCCTAGCAGAACACTCAGGTGGTCTGATGTAACCCAGCGAGACACTTCTTATATTTATTACAGTGGGCCTAAGGTAGGAGAAATTCCTGGTGTCCTGCACCCTCATTTGAAATATGCTCCCCCAGCCTTAGTTATTTTATCACGTGGGTGAAGGCAAGCTTTGATTTTAAGCACAACTTGTAGAATACACCAGCCTGGGGCTCTGGGGCTGTTTTGGACTCTAAATCCCATCAGCTTCAGTGATGGGGGCCCAGGCTAGGGAAGGCTGGCCTACACCCGGTCTACTTGCTGCTTCACCAGTATAGTATGCCCTGCCATACTTTCTATCACAAGCTGGATTGTAGTTTACCTTTCACGAGAGTGCTCTGTTGCTAGTGATGCCGATTACCTCATGGCATAAGTGAATATCTGTACAAACTGTTTGTACAGGAACACAATCCTTTTACAATCTCGCGAGCTTAATTTTAATGCAGCCGAGTCAAAATCTAGGCTATGGAATGAACAAGTGGGAAACCTAATCCACCAAAGCATTAACAACGCTGGGTAGTGATACATGTTTTTAAAGTTGGGGGGAGGGGGGAGCTTGCAAGTTACGTGGTAGTTTACCCTATTTGATCTATCGGTCTGCGAAGCTGGTGGCTTCCCCATGAGTGGTGTGCCTCAGATGCCTTTTCCGTTTATGTAAGGGCCTCTGTGTGCCAATAGCTGAGGTTAGGCAGCAGGACTGACAAGAACATGATCTCCCCAGGTGCCACATGCTGATAGAATTCATGTGCCCTTCTACCTTTCCCCCCGCCAGGAATTGACCCAAGAATGCGGAGAGAAAAAAACCCAGTATGACAGCTGTGCAGCAGGCCTGGAGAGCAACCGTTCTGCACTGGAGCAGGTAAGAAGGCAGGCAGGACAGAGCTGCCCTTCCATATCTCATCAGTTTGGTTTTACACGTGCTCAGGCTTACCCCACTTGGCCCACACAGGTGGGCAGGGGGCAGACGGCTGCACCCAGGCATTCTGCCAGGTGCAGACATGTGGCAAAACGGTTGGCTGCATCCACCCCTGGACCAGTTAAACTTAACAGCAATTATTTTGCTTGCTTTGGCTGAAGAGGAAGCAATTAAATCATCAGTGACTGTTGACAACAGGCGCTCTTTCCTTGAAAATGGTCCTGCTGTTGTTGTCATCATACATGTTAAAAATGTGCGCTTCCTGCTTTAGGAGGTGAAGGCCCTTCATGAAGAGTGTATTCAGGAGGAAAGCCGCTATCATCACATCAACTGCATGAAAAAGGTCGGTCTGAAAAAGGTTCTTTTGTAGTCGTTCAGTAAGATGATGCTGCTTCCATGGGAAGGGCAGTTGATATCTAAATTCAGGTGTTTCTTCTTAGATCCTAGAAGTCAGCCTTCAGCGCGCCAAAGACGAGATGAAGCTGTATGTTTCTTCAGATATGCAGGAAAGAAGAAAGGCAATCAGGTATTTACTCATTTTCTTACATTTATATCCTGCCTTCCTTCAACCTGGAACCCAAGGCATCACACACATGCTCCCCAGGAACATCCCAAGTACTGGTCAGTCCCAGACATGCTTAGCTGCAGCAAGAGGTTGGGCTCACTAGTGCCTTAAGACCATTCCCTGGAAACCAAGCCTGATGAGGAATGGTTGAGGGAACTGAGTGTGCTTAGCCTGGTAAAGAGGAGACTGAGAGGAGAGAGGAGAGCCATCTTCAAATACCTCAAAGGCTGTCACAGTGGTGCTAGCTTGCCCCCACGGCTGTGGGTGCCTGGGGACGCTAAGTCAGCCCACCCACTGGCGCATGCACACTACATCAGCTACATTGGTGTGCTGACATCACTCACGCACATAGTGGCAGCCTTATGACGTGTGCACATGCTCCCACAGCATGCACACGGCCCCCACCACATTTTGTAGGTGCCCTGCCCCCCCCATTTAAAATGTTGTGGGGGGCTAGGGCACTCATGGCCCCAGGGAGTTGACGTGCCTGGGCTGCCACATGGAAGAGGGAGCAAGCTTGTTTTCTGCTGCTCCAGAGGGCAGGACCCAAACCAATGGATTCCAGTGACAAGAAAGGTTATTAAGACTCAACAAGAGGAAGAACTTTCAGACAGTAAGAGCTGTTCAACAGGGGAATGGACTCCTTTGGGAGGTGGTGGACTCCCCTTCCTTGGAGGTTTTTAAGCAGAGGTTGGGTGGCCATCTGTCACAGATGCTTTAGCCGAGATTCCTGCATTGCAGGGGGGTGGACTAGATGACCCTTGGTTCCTCTTCCTACTATACAATTCTATGATTCTATGATATACTTGGGACTGTGATTTAATTCCAAACAATTTTTCAGAAATGGAGGTGTAATTTAGTCTTGAACTAGAAGAAACTGAGCATGTTAAGTTTTTGTGGAATTCTTTGTTCCCTCTGCTTAACAGTCTCAGCAGTGACACTTCTTGTTTGCTGTGGCTCCATTTAGGATTCTCTCTATAGGAAAACAGGACTGCACACACACACACACACACACACACACACACACACACACAGAGTTCATTGAAGAACAAAATACTGTTTATGTCGCCTGTTGATCTCATGAGTCTCCATTTATGGTGGTTAAATTGGGGAGCAGCCAGGAACAGATAACAAACCCCTTGCAAATATATGGAGAGATGTAATCCCTGTCAGTGGAGGAAAGAAGTTGAATGCTGAGCAAAGAACTAGTAGGAATAGTAAAGCTAAAGTGGAAATGAGAGGACAGTTGCAGTGGAAGTTAGTGGGTGAACACCGAGAGCGTTTCTCTACTCAGTGGTTTTTGTTCTCAGTCTGTCTGCTGTAACCTACTTCTCAGACCTTGGTGTGCTATGGTGGCTACTTCACAAACTTTGTATGTACTGTATTTAGAATTCCAAGCTTATTGGGGCCACTGTGCTTTGCCTGGCATGTCCAGTGGGTGTCCAGTGCTCATCCCATCCAGTCCTAAGAGGCCACAGAGTTTATGCTGTTCAGTCTTCTTCCTGCCCAAGTCACTCACTTGTCTGTTCCCCATGCTGCAGACAGGGGCAGTTCTGGGAGCACCAAGAGCTATGAAGAGGCACATCAGGATGCCCATCTGTCATGGAGGGGGGGGGATGTTCATTTTCCAGGTGTCTTCTGGGTCTGCCTCCTGCACTTTTGCTTTTTGACTGCACAGTAAAATACAGGGTGCTTCTGGGTGAGTTACTCTTCTGAATGTCCATTTGCTACTCCCTGTGGAGAAAAAAAACAAACCAGGAGAGTGCAAATTCTCTTGGAAATAAGCAGAGCCTTTGATAGGCAGAAATTCAATAAGTGCAGGATGGAAAGAGAAGGCAGATTTCTAGAAATCCTTTCAGGGCTGAATGTCTCTTCTTGCGAGCACTGGAATGTAAACTGAGCTCAAACAATCCATAAGCAGAACCTCAGTTTACTAATGAACCAAAAATGCCCTAATTCTGATCCCCATCCTCTGTTCCATGGAGTCAGTACCGAGGAATGTGAAAAGTTAATTTTGTTCTCTAAAAATAGTTTTAACTTTCAAAATTAAGTTGCATTCTTTCCAGACATCATTATAAATAGCAAAAAAAACAACCACCAACCCTTCCCCCCCCCCCGACATTCAGAGGTTTAGTTTTCTGTTGTCTGTTTTTTCTCCTTCCAAGTCTTGGGACTAAAGAGCAATTGGTGAACCTAAAGTGATGGGGAAGGATGTCAATAGATGTGCATTCTCTTGGGGGCAATTGAGGTCGTCTTGGCCCTGGCACAAATTACAGCAGCTGCATGCAGGTTATGAGAAAGATGGATAGCCCGGGCTGCAAGAGTAAACCTGTTCCAGGCGCAAATCCCATTTCCCCATAGGACATGCAATATATGGGGTGGGAATGTGTAAATGGCTGGCACAGGCCCTGGAGACAAGAGCAAGTTCCCAGTAGTCTTGGCTGGGGTGGGGGGAGCAAAGGAGGAATCCTATCCTGCCTTCCCCAGTGGAAAGCTACAACACCCGTCTAAGAGGATTTATAGTTCTTAAGATTCCCAGCTGGAAGAATTTTCTGTCCCAGGCTTCCAGTCCTTGGATCAGCCCCCTTTTAGTCAACTGTTAAACTGTCATTTTGCTCAGATGACAGAGCCAAGAGTTGCAATGATTTCAGTGAAGTCAAAGGATCATTTTAGGCTGCTGAGGTAGGAGGGTTCAAGTTTGTTGTTTTTCTATCATCCACTGAATTCCTTTGGGGTTTTCAGCTTATCTTGATGACTCACAGATTTATAGAAGCTTAGATGTGTGAAACCAGTGTCCTTCAGGGCATAGTCTCGTAGGCTTTACATGCAGGACACTCATCTCCAAATGCCCCTTGGCCATATAACTCTCTGCCAGGCTTCGGAAAATTCATTCCTAGTCAGTGTAATCTACCTTATAAGATGGTGACAAATAGAACGTAATAGGTTTTTATCACTTTCCTAGACCCTTGAAATAAGACAGGAAAGATATACAACAAATATGTGTTTTAACAGTAAAAAATAATAATAATGAATCATCTACTCAAGAGTCCATTGGAATTGTGAATAAAAAGCCTCAGACCCTCACCTGCAACATGGGTATAATGATATGGAGCTGCCTTACAGGGCTGCTGTAAATTTGACTGGCACACAAAGTAAGTACTACTTTGAACACTCTAAAAGTGCTGGGGTGTATGGGGTGTTACGGGCGGGACAGTACCTCTGGTGGGGGACACATCATGCTCCTTCTGCGGCAGTTTGTCCGCCATTGGTCCCCACCCTGCATTCAGCTCTCACCTGTGGCTCCTAGAAGCTGTCAGCATATGACAGTAGCCACAATTCCAGGAAACGACTTCAACTGGCCAGCAGAACCAGGTAAGGGTAACCAATGGCTCTCAAACCCTCACTGAGTCAGGAACTTCCCCTGCATGTGAAGACAGGCTCTGGCAGATTCAGTGGATGAGGCCAATAGTAGGTTTAACAGCAAGAAGGCAGTTTATGCACGTGCTGTAGAGGGAAATGAGGGGCAGATAGGAGAAGGAAAACTCTGATCCTAGACTTCCACTGCATTGGAGCTACACACAACTGTGAGAAAGGCTTTGAGAGTAAACTCCAAGGAAAAATCCATACCTGCTGCCTTGCAGGACATCTTTGGAAGAAGAAAGGGTTAAGGAGTAAACCCTACACAAATCTGGAGTGGAGTCCCTAAAACAGTTGGATGGTGCCTTCCATCAACTCCTGCAGCCAAGCTGGTGTTGAACATATTGCTCTACTTTCCTTTGGACCACATCAGTGGAGCCAAGAGTGGGGGTCTTGTCGCCTAGCAGCCCAGGACCTCCATACACGCTGCCCAGGCTTGCTCCCCAGAGAGGAGCAGTCACGAGTTACTGGTCTCTGCAGCCACAGCAGGTGCCGTGATTCTCCAACATTTTGACTTCACATCCACAGGTTTTTTGTAAATAATGTGTATGTGTGTATGTATGTGTTTATTTTATTTTCTTCTTTAGGGAACAATATACTCGGATGATCACAGAACAAGAAAACCTTGGAAAGGTAATAATAGGTTATTATTTTTAAAAATATTCCCCTTCAGTTTTAGAAAATGCTACATTTCATGCCTGTCATTAGTTTATTCTGGTCCTTATGCACAGCCTCCAAAAAACCATTCTGTTGCAGCTCGGAGAAATTGGCTTCTCAAAATAAAATAGAGAAACAATTCTGAAGTCAGTTTCCTATAGATAATGCTTAAGCTGCTTGACTATCTTTTACAAACAGCACATTCCCCAGGAACCCCAGGGATAAGATATTGTAATGCAGGCGACACTTTGCTAGATCAAATTTGAAGTGGTATATACAGAAACTGGCTGAAGATGATACATTTCCCAGCTGTTGTCCTTGGTGTTTTTATAGAAAGTAACTGAAGTGCTTTTGAGATAGCTGCGTTGACTAAGACCCTTGCTGAGTTCTGTACATTTTTAATCGTCTTCTGTAAAGTTCAGAATTGCACAAATAATTCCTTTTTCTTAACTTCTTTCTTTAACGTTTCCCTTATAAATTCAGTTATGCAAGTGTTATACTTTTAAGGACAGAATTCCTTGTAAAGATTAATTTCATTTTTTTCTTTATGTTCTAGAGTTAGTCTGGTGTGGTGGTGAGAGGGTCAGAGTAGGACATGGGAGGCTTTAAAACCCAACTCAGCCATGAAGCTCACTAGGATGACCAGTCACTGTCTTTCAGCCTAACCTCTTCCTTACAGGGTTGTTGTGGGGATTAAATGGGGGGGGACCATGTGTGCCACCTGGAGCTCCTTGGAGGAAAAGGTGTGGTATAAATGAGGTTAGAATCATAGAATCATAGAGTTGGAAGAGACCACAAGGGCCATCGAGTCCAACCCCCTGCCAAGCAGGAAACACCATCAGAGCACTCCTGACATATGGTTGTCAAGCCTCTGCTTAAAGACCTCCAAAGAAGGAGACTCCACCACACTCCTTGGCAGCAAATTCCACTGTCGAACAGTTCTTACTGTCAGGAAGTTCTTCCTAATGTTTAGGTGGAATCTTCTTTCTTGTAGTTTGGATCCATTGCTCCGTGTCTGCTTCTCTGGAGCAGCAGAAAACAACCTTTCTCCCTCCTCTATGTGACATCCTTTTATATATTTGAACATGGCTATCATATCACCCCTTAACCTCCTCTTCTCCAGGCTAAACATGCCCAGCTCCCTTAGCCGTTCCTCATAAGGCATCGTTTCCAGGCCTTTGACCATTTTGGTTGCCCTCCTCTGGACACGTTCCAGTTTGTCAGTGTCCTTCTTGAACTGTGGTGCCCAGAACTGGACACAGTACTCCAGGTGAGGTCTGACCAGAGCAGAATACAGTGGCACTATTACTTCCCTTGATCTAGATGCTATACTCCTATTGATGCAGCCCAGAATTGCATTGGCTTTTTAGCTGCCGCGTCACACTGTTGGCTCATGTCAAGTTTGTGGTCAACCAAGACTCCTAGATCCTTTTCACATGTACTGCTCTCAAGCCAGGTGTCCCCCATCTTGTATTTGTGCCTCTCATTTTTTTGCCCAAGTGCAATACTTTACATTTCTCCCTGTTCAAATTCATCTTGTTTGTTTTGGCCCAGTTCTCTAATCTGTCAAGGTCGTTTTGAAGTGTGATCCTGTCCTCTGGGGTGTTAGCCACCCCTCCCAGTTTGGTGTCATCTGCAAATTTGATCAGGATGCCCTTGAGTCCATCATCCAAGTCGTTGATAAATATGTTGAATAAGACTGGGCCCAAGACAGAACCCTGTGGCACCCCACTAGTCACTCTTCTCCAGGATGAAGAGGAACCATTGATGAGCACCCTTTGGGTTCGGTCAGTCAGCCAGTTACAAATCCACTGAGTGGTAGCATAGTCAAGACCGCATTTTACCAGCTTCTTTACAAGAATATCATGGGGCACCTTGTCAAATGCCTTGCTGAAATCAAGGTAGGCTACATCCACTGCGTTCCCTTCATCTACCAGGCTTGTAATTCTGTCATCAATGTTGATCAGGTTAGTCTGACATGACTTATTTTTCAGAAATCCATGCTGACTATTGGTGATCACAGCATTCCTTTCTAGGTGCTCACAGACTGTTTGCTTAATGATCTGCTCCAGAATCTTCCCTGGTATTGATGTCAGACTGACTGGGCGGTAATTATTTGGGTCCTCTCTTTTCCCCTTTTTGAAAATAGGGACAACATTTGCCCTCCTCCAGTCTGCCGGGACTTCGCCTGTTCTCCAGGAATTCTCAAAGATGACTGCCAGTGGTTCTGAGATCACATCTGCCAGTTCTTTTAATACTCTTGGATGCAGTTCATCTGGCCCTGGAGACTTGAATACATCTAAACTAGCCAAGTATTCTTCTACTATCTCCTTAGTTATTCTGGGCTGTGTTTCCTTTGCTGAATCATTTGCTCCAAATTCTTCAGGTCGGGCATTGTTTTCTTTATCGGAGAAGACTGAGGCAAAGAAGGCATTGAGGAGTTCGGCCCTTTCTGTGTCCCCTGTTTGCATTTCACCATCTTCTCCTCTGAGTGTTGTTGTTGTTGTTATTCATTCCAGATTACAAAGCAGACTACAGAGCAGTGACTAATATGTTTGTAGTCCTGATAACAGTTCATTTTGAATTGCCTTTTAACCCTGTTTTAGATCTTCTTTGCAGAATTGTCATCAAAAATTGTCTTCTATTATTTCAACATACACAAAACACACACATAAAACATACATAAAACACTTAATCTATGTGTTTTTTTAGTGCTAAGCATGGAGCTCAGATTTAGGGGACAGGCTGTAGCTCACAGGCTGAGCACTCTGCATATGCATGCTGAGTTCTGCCCCAACAGTGGCTGCCCCAGTCAATTCAGGATCTTGTAATGCCACGCAGACAAAGTAGCAGCAATTGAATTATTATTATTATTAATATCCCACCCGTCTGGCTGGGTTTCCCCAGCTTCTCTGGACAGCTTACAGCATATATAAAAACATAATAAAGCATCAAACATTAAAAACTTCCCTAAACATTAAAGGGAATAAAATAAGGTTAGAATGTGTTAAGATAATTATAGGATAGAAAACAGAGGAAGATGGAAAGGAATTGCTGAAATAATTAATTGATGTGGAATACAAAAAGGGAGGTGTGAGGAAGTCGTGGAAATAAGCGAATGAAAGATATGACATTGAAATTGTTTAAAATGGTCTTTGTTTTGTTTTATTTGTCTTGCATTGTATTGTGTTGTTTTTTGTTTTTTGTTTCTTTTTGCTTCTTTGCTTTGTTTAACTCTTTTTCTTTTTTTTGTAACTTTTAAACTCTTAATAAATATATATTTTTTTAAAAAAAAAAAACTTCCCTAAACAGGGCTGCCTTCAAATGTCTTCTAAAAGTTGTGTAGTTGTTTATTTCCTTGACATCTGAAGGGAGGGTGCCACTACTGAGAAGGCCCTCTGCCTGGTTCCCTGTAACTTCAGTTCTCGCAGTGAGGGAACCACCAGAAGGCCCTTGAAGGAGGACCTCAGTGTCCGGGCTGGACGATGGAATGGAGATGCTCCTTTGGGTGTACTGGGTCGAGGCCAGGATCTCTTGTTCAGAGAAATAAATGTTTGTGCCCCACTGTGAGGTAACTGTTGTAACTCTGAAACATTTCTTGGAATGATTTTGACTGTTCTTTTGAGTAACAGAAACTGCGAGAGAAGCAGAAGAGTGTGCGGGAAAGCCATGGTCCAAATCTGAAGCAAGTGAAAATGTGGCGAGATTTCCAGCTGCTCATGGAGTGCAAGAAGGAATGTTTCCTCAAGCAGCAAAACCAAGCATCCATTGGCCAGGTGATTCAGGAAGGAGGAGAGGACCGGCTGGTCTTGTGAATCAAGCTGTTTGGTATCCCAGGCATACTGAGCATCAGTTCTCTTGTGAAAATTGGTCTAGTTCTACAACTGTTTTTACAACAGTTAGATTTCTGATTGCTGTTGTTCAGGGGCTCAGCTGCTGTTCAGCTACAACGGCTGCTTGGAAAAGTCCCAGCCTAAATAGAATGGCAATGGTTTCCCAGTTTGACTGGGAGCCTTTTTGGCCGCTCCTTGTATTAAAGAGAGAAAATAACTCTCATTCTACAGTTCTGCAGATGCAAAGTTGCTCTATCACTTGGAGGCCAGTTTAAGCAGTGGGACGGGCTCCGTGTTCAATTACTGCATTGAAATGGGCTTACGTGCAAAGGTCTAGTCCATGTGTTGAGCTGAAGGCTGGCTGTTTTCACAGAGAAACCAAGATAAATGATACTCCCTCCCCAGGCCCAAAAAAGTTGGAAGTTCTAATTCTGCAGCTTCTACAGCCAAGCAGCAGGATATACTGTGACACAGAGCCAAACTGGCTTGCAAGAAGTCCACTCACCCCACTTAGTCATGCCCAAACCTGGCATATTGCTTCCTCTTGGTACTGGGGAAAGGATGCTGATTTATCTTCCAAGGGCAGAGCAGGGCTTACATTCTCAGCACGTTTCTTAAACATGCATTTTTTGCATCAAAGTATGTGCAGGCCTATAACTTCATCGGGTGTCATCTTTAAATGGCCACTCCCCCTGGAGAGCTGCAGTGGAGTATAGAAGCAACAGGCAAAGCTTGCTTTGGGGAAGCAAAGTGTGGCCAGTTGATACAAGAGCCATTAGACTTCTCCCTTGAGATAAGCAAAGGGTGTGTAAAGAAAATTTACTAGTTGGACTAAAACTAGTAAATTTAGTCCTTGGACTAAAACTGAGGTGCAGGAACTTCCAGAAGTTTCCTTCCTTCCCTTAGGCCTTTGACCTATAGTCATTTAGAAACATATGAAAAGTAGTTATTCTAACCTTTTCTAGCTTTGTTAGAACAATGGCATTTTAACATTCCCTGTAGCTTTCTGCTCTCTGCCTATTTTTTCCTGGTTGATATTAAATTAATGTATTTCATTAATGTAGCCACAGAGACAATAAAGTCTATCATTCACATTGTTATTCTTCTGTACGCTTGTTCAGTTCCCCATTGTCCATACTTAATAAAGAACAGGAGTTTATTGGTTGTCAGGCTCCACTTCACCTCTCGGAGTTACTCTTTTGAGAAGTCAAAAGGCTTTGCTTTCTGACTCGGGGCCAAATGCTGGCAGCATCTGACCCTTCTGCGTCAGATATGGAACAGGTGATCTTAAAAGAAACCATACACAGAGTCCAAGACCTTGCTGCTCTGTTGTCTTACTCTTTAACAAGAAATGGTGTGACAAAGTTAAGTGCTGATTTGAATCGGGAGCTAGAAACCCTGGCCGCCTCCACCACTAAGAAAACATACATTACTGAATGAAAAACTAGGGAGCCATAGAAAGAGCAGGCTCTGAAGCGTGTACATGAGTTATGGACCTGTTTTCAACCACCTGTTTGTTGCATTTATGCTTTACATTTTTAGATAAATTTCCCCCTGCTCTTACACGTGTACACCTAAAAATTGTGAGATGTGGGTTGGTCTCATCTCTGCTAGGTACTGTAGTTGTGCTCCACTTCCTCGACTCCAGCCTTCCCTACACTCAAATGAAAATTGCAGTCTGCAAAATGTGGTTTTGTGTGGGCAAATGTGATAAACTTGTACAGTTCTTAAATGTATAAAATATATGTCAGAAATTATTTGAAAGCTTTCATTTCCATATGATGCAGATGTAATGCAAATATGCTTAATTTGAATAGTTTTTCTGAAAAAGAATTTTATATTTGCAGGACCAAAATGTGATATTAACCCTGAAGACTGAGTGATAGAGTCATTGGCACACTCATGTCTGCAAAATCCTGGTCTTCCTTGTTCATTATTCCTTGTGCTGGTGGAACCAACAGTAAAGTGTCTGAGTTTTCAAAGGAAGGATCAGTCAGCCGGTCTCTGAAACTTAGGTCTCTGGGGGAGATGAATTAAGCAGGGTCTAATTTAAAGCACAGTTGGAGGAGAGGAAAGGGTTAGCATGCTTCTAAGTGTGAGAAAATGTATTTGGTGGGAGGAGAGAAATGTAAATAGCCAGTGCCCAAGGCAATCTCAGTGGAAATAGAGCTGCAAAGTAGCTCTGATTCTGCCTCTGAGGTATTTTTTGAGGCCTAAATAGCAGCTTGATAGGACTTGGGAGGTTCACTGCCATTTGAAAATCCACCCCGGAGCCCTTAAATTATATTTATTACCCACTAAATCATTTAGCCATCCTACGACACAGCCTGTGGCCACAGCAGTGAGCACTTTTGAAATCTCAGGCCAGTGGTTAGAAATAAGACTGAAATTCCCTTTCTGCCTTCTCATGTCAACAGCAGAGAGACTCAAGGAAGATTTGGGTTGTAATTTACTTTCTCCCCCCCCCTTTCCATCTGCAGAAAGTAGTCAGATTGTAACATCTGTTGACATTATGCAGATAAGGTAAGAATGCCAGTTGCTGGAAACCCTCTTGCCCTGTTTGTGGGCTTCCCCTGGGGGCATCCCCTTGGCCACTGGGAGAACAGGAGGCTGGACTAGAGGGGCCACTGGCCGGGTGCAGCAGCCAGGCTCCTAAGTCCTTATCCAGGCGCTCACCATTGATGGGGAACTTCAGAGCCTCTGTGCTTTCTTGCAGGGGAGGGGGTCTTTAACTTCAAACCGGACTGAGGCCAGACAGCTGTTCAAGTGGAGTATTCTTCCTTCAGCGCTCGTAATGGAACAGTGTTTTCATACAGAGACATTCTGTCACATAGGCACCTAAAATCCCAGGTGGAGATTTATCAACTCAGTGAGAACTAGACCCAAGCGCCCTTGAGGAATGTAGCTCAGGAGCATCCTTGTAATCTGCTTAATATGCCTAGTGTAACAGCCACCAAAGAGGATGTGTCCAGTTTAAGAAAATAATACCTTTGTCATGAACTCTCCAGGTAGCCTGGCACGCTCATCATCAGCTTCTTCCCCCTCACCTTCAACATTTCCTGGACAGAAACAACTGTTAACATGCTCTGGTCACATCCATAACGTGCTACAGTTTCCGAGGCAGTATGCCTCTAGATACCAATTGCTGGCAACTACAGGATGGAAGATGGGACGCGGGTGGCGCTGTGGGTTAAACCACAGAGCCTAGGACTTGCTGATCAGAAGGTCAGCGGTTCGAATCCCCGCGACGGGGTGAGCTCCCGTTGCTCGGTCCCTGCTCCTGCCAACCTAGCAGTTCGAAAGCACGTCAAAGTGCAAGTAGATAAATAGGTACCGCTCCAGTGGGAAGGTAAACGGTGTTTCCGTGCGCTGCTCTAGTTCACCAGAAGCGGCTTACTCATGCTGGCCACATGACCCGGAAGCTGTATGCCGGCTCCCTCAGCCAGTAAAGTGAGATGAGTGCCGCAACCCCAGAGTCGGCCATGGCTGGACCTAATGGTCAGGGGTCCCTTTACCTTTACAGGAGGGACGAGTGCTCCTATGATTGGGCCCTGCTTGTGGGCATCTGTTTGGCCTCTGTGGGAGCAGGATGCCGGACTCTTCTGTATGTTTTTAAGCTTCCGTTGCATCTGCTTGTGTAAGGCTCACAATTGTTTGTTCTGCAAAAAAGACCTCTGCTCCCCAGGAGGGGGGCAGTCTAAAATTGAAAGTGGGAAAGAAGAGTAGCAAAGTTAAAATGGGTGAGAATGCAGTTCTAGTCAAGCTTGGCTACAGTTGGAGGTAAGGATTTAAGGAGTTGAAGCCAGAGGTCTCTCAGAAAAGGTAGGTTTTGAGGCAGGGGTTGAAGGGAAGGGACAGCAGGAGATTTGATAGGAGATGGAGTCAGTGACCATGGAACCACCTCTAAACCACACAGCCCCAAAGTGACAGCACATCTCAAAAACGCATTTGTGATCATCTTTCCTCAACATACTCCGCAAACTGAAGTGCACCTATAACTGTTAGAGCATCTGTATGCTTCCAGCAGGTTAGCAGACAAGCTTAGCAAAAGCCCTATTGAAATGAACAAGGGCACTACCTTGACTGAAGCTTATGATTCATTTAAGGTTTAGAGGAGCAAACCAGAGAGTAGAAGTCTCCAATCAATTTCTGGACTTAAAGAACATACAGGAAAAATCTCAGAATGTGTTACTGATGCTTATTGGAATGGTGTCTATGGCACAGTTTCTTTAGCCCTAATGCAAAGAGATATATATATATATAAAGACAGAGAGAGGAGGTTTTGCAGTAGCAGCACTTTTTGGACTGCACCCCAAAACGCACCATGCTGCTTTCTCAGAGGTCCATTGTCACCGCTGCGTCATTCCTGTTGCCCTCCAGAAGGGCAAACTGATTACGCACTTCAGCAGCATCAGAAATGACTTTCTCAGCTGAAGCAGAAAATTATAATTATCCAAAGAAAAGAAAAACTGGAGGAAGGGATAAAGTGGCTATCTTTAGCTTCTATGCAAGTGGACAGTCAATAATGTGACTTTAATGGTTTTTGTTCGGTGACTATTTTTTCCAACCTGTTAGAGATTTGATAGGCGTTTCATGGGAGGAGAGTGGGAGAATTCTGACAGCTCCTTCAGCTTATCGCTTTTCCTATTAGCATTAATACTCTAACTAGCTAATACATGAGATTACACACGGCTTGGAAAATCACCTGCTTCTTACTGGTGACGTTCCAAAGAACATGTAAGAAACAATTTAGTGTCTGTTAAATATACATTTTGAATATCCTGAACCCCTGGGAGCCTGCTCATATGTGACCACATATCCAGGAATAGCTCACTTCTGCATTAATTTGTTTATACACTGAGGGGGTTAAAAAGAAATTGCAGTGAGCTGTCTGGCAATAAGTGCAGGGACATTTAGATGTAATAATGTATTTAACTGAGTCTGAAGTCCAATTTAAACATGACAGCAGACAAGCCTAGAAAGATTACCCGCTTGGGGTCCCAGGCACCTTGTGGCACATCTAAACCAGGTCTCCATCTGCCAAGTGCAGATAGTTAGCAAGCCAGCACAGCCTCTGCCCAGGCCACAAATCCCTGGTGAGGCAGGTGAGGCAACTGGGCTTAGACATGATACTTCACACATGGGACTCTGCAAGGGCACATTATTTAGGGAAGTTTTTAATGTCTGATGTTTTATCATGTTTTTAATATTCTGTTGGGAGCCGCTCAGAGTGGCTGGGGAGGCTTGGAATCGATGGCCCTTGTGGTCTCTTCCAACTCTATGATTCTATGATTCTAAGTAATAAATTATTATTATTTATGAATACCCCAGCATGCCCTCACCTTTAAAACAAGTCTCTGTCTCAAGAGGGGATAGTACAAGATCTGTCATGGATGCTTTAGTTGAGATTCCTGCCTGGCAACGGCTATTAGCCATGATAGCTAAATGCAACCTCCATATTCAAGTACTGTCTGCCCACTGTTGGAAACAATACTGGGCTACATTGGCTTTTCTGATCAAGCAGGTCTCTCCTACGTTCCATTATATTCTTACTGTGAATCTCAGGTGCTGAGGTCAGTCGGCCGCCTCCTCCCTGCTTTGCATGAGCGTTTCCAGAGTCATCTGGCTGGGCATTGTTTGGATGGAATGCTGGACAGGGCGGTTTAAAGTGCCAGACCTTTTTCAGCTGACATAGCAAGGCAGTTCTTCTTCTTTGGCAATCACTCGTAGCCGAGTAAGATTGTCTTCCATAAACACGGTTTTAACAATGAGTCCGTAAGTGACTGTGGAGGCCAATTCTGGATCCACACATCCTTCCACAGTGGGGACATTGGTTTCTGGGCGGGAATTGATCATGGTGTGGATTTGCCAAGCGTGCCTTCCTCCTAGCACATTTCTCCCTTGCATCCTGAGTTTGAGTGTCTTCAAAGCCCATGACACCTTTGGTAAAGGCTGTTCTCCAACTGGAGCACTCACAGGCAAGTGTATCCCAGTTGTCGGTGTTTATACTACATTTTTTTTAGATTTGCCTTGAGACAGTCTTTAAACCTCTTTTGTTGACCACCAGCATTACGCTTTCCATTTTTAAGTTTGGAATAGAGTAGTTATTATGTACAGTTGTTATGTACCTATGAAATAATAAACCATAAAACCATGTACTTTATGCAAATAATATCTACAGATTGTGCATAAACTACTCACTTCATTGAGCTGATTTGAATTGAAGTGCTTAGTTTTCATGTTGCAGTTTTCAAATCACTTTTTTCTGTTATAAGATATGCCTTAAGTTTAAGTCATTTAGTGACAGGTAATCTAAGACTACAAATGTGCTGAGTGAGAGAATCATTTTACTTGAATAAAACATTTTTGGACATTTCTTGGCAGTTTCAAATAAGCAAAAAATATTTGACTGTTGACTGCCATACAAGGCTGGAAAATAAACATTCGGCACCCAAACTGCAGTGTTCAGACAGGCCTAGAGCATGAGCATAACTCGTCCGGCATCGCTGTGCTTCATTATGAAGAGCCTTCGGCTACATGAGCTTGCAACTATTATGGTATTTTCTTGCATCAGTTGTGAGGGAAAGCCTTCAAAGTGCCCAACAGTTTGGGATAAAGGTAAAGGTACCCCTGCCCGTACGGGCCAGTCGTATTGTGCGCCCATCTCACTTAAGAGGCCGGGGGCCAGCGCTGTCCGGAGACACTTCCGGGTCACGTGGCCAGCGTGACGAAGCTGCTCTGGCGAGCCAGCACCAGCCCAGCACACGGAAACGCCGTTTACCTTCCCGCTATAAAGCGGTACCTATTTATCTACTTGCACTTAGGGGTGCTTTCGAACTGCTGGGGGGGCAGGAGCTGGGACCGAAAGACGGGAGCTCACCCCGCCGCGGGGATTTGAACCGCCGACCATACGATCAGCAAGTCCTAGGCACTGAGGTTTTACCCACAGCGCCACCCGCGTCCCGTTTGGGATAAAACTTGGATTCAAAAATTCCCACACAGCATGATGAATTCAACAGGGTGAGCTTATTTTTCATTGATTTCATTTCAGAATTTATAAACCAACCTACAAAGAATACCCAAGCGGTGTACAAAAAACAACATTAATCTAATATAGATCATAAAACAGTACTGATACCTAAAAACCAAAAAGAATTTAGGGCTGATGGGAGCAGAGCCACAGTCTCCCTCTCCCTGATATAGGTACTTTATACACAAGTAAAAAAACACCCTGCATCTATCCCTCTAGCAAAGTGGCAGCTAGTGCAGCACATTTTGGCAGAGGTGTCAAAAGTTATTGATAGGTTGCCTTGAGTTAATCCTTATCTCCCAGCCCAACCAACCTTGTAGGGTAGTTTTGAGGTGGAATTGGGCCCATCCCATGTACGTTGCCCTGGGCTCCTGAAGGAAGCAGTGGGATACAGATATGGTGCCATTTAAGGATGTAAGTGGAAATCAGGAAACTCCCTTCCTTATTAAATTTGTATACCGCCCTTCATCCAAAGATCACAGGGCGGGTCACAACATTAAAAACACCAAATTTACTCAGGCTTTGACAAACAAATATTTGTAGATTAAACTTGCTAGGGCAATTTCTATAACCTTTGCCAGAATTAGCACCTTTCCAACAGACAAATAGTTGGAGCAAGATGCCCAGTATAACATCTTGGTAGCTGACTGTTCTGTTTCCCATTTTCTTCATTTCCCCACTCCTCTGAAAACACTGCCTTTTAATTCTCTTCATGCGGAACCCATTAGCATGCACTTGACACACAGTAGCTCAAGCCTGCCTCTGTTTTTCCTCTCCCACAAATGTTCCCTGCCAGTGAATCTCACCGAATTAAACTGAAGATTCGTCTTAAAAACAACAGCTCTGCACATGTGGTATAGATACACATGCATGCATAGACGCACTGATGCAGATGTACGTGTCAAACCAAGGCAAATGTTATCTCCAGTAAAATGAATGAGTGTGGGCTTAGCCTTGGAACCCATTCTAAAGGCCAGCCATAGCACATGTGACGCAGTAATAAAAACCACAAAGAGCCTTGTGGCATCTTAAAGGCTATCAGTCTGGTGTATGACGCCATAAGCTTCCACAGAGCAGGGCCCACCTCATGAAGTGTAATTCTCCATTGGCAACCATAAAGGTAAAGGTAAAGGACCCCTGACAGTTAAGTCCAATCGCGAACAACTCGGGGGTTGCGGCGCTCATCTCGCTGGCCGAGGGAGCCGGTGTTTGTCCGCAGACAGCTTCTGGATCATGTGGCCAGCATGACTAAGCCACTTATGGCAAAACCAGAGCAGAACACAGAAACGCCGTTTACCTTCCCGCCGGAGCGGTACCTATTAATCAACTTGCACTTTTTGGCGTGCTTTCAAACTGCTAGGTTGGCAGGAGGGGATTCAAATCCCCGACCTTCTGATTGGCAAGCCCTAGGCTCTGTGGCTTAACCCACAGCGCCACCAGCGTCCCATACATACATACACCCAAAAGACAGCTCATCTGAACCACCTCTGGGCTAACAATTAATATTTAAGAAGGCTGGAACTTGCCTCTTAAATGACCTTAGCACCTCCTAGGAGACCTGAACTCAGAACCCACAGTTGTCCCCACACAAACGACCCAAGTGTGATTAGCACTGCAAGTTCCTGCAGGCCCAGAAGGCCTGGTCTGGTGGCAGAGGTCTCGGCTGTTCAGCCAGTGTGAACAGGATTACTACCAGATTGGCATTACCCTGCACCCCAGCTGGCTCCCAGCCCAGTCCACCCTTCTGACTGGTCCACAGTCCTACATTAATGCTTCATAGCTCAGTCTGAGTACTGAGCATTCTGGCTATGAATTTTGCCACACAATACAAGACTGCGGTGCCTTGATGAGTCTCGTTGCCTTGGAGCCCAATGCATAAAACTGCTTTCCGAAACTTGATATTCTTGCCTCTCGCCCAGCTCCCTCTAAATACACAGATTAGGTTTGGCTGGGAGGGGGGAGACCGTTGCACTGGCTTGCACCCCGTGGTTTGCTTCTGCCTCCCACTTTGCAACCCCCCAATCCTCCGCCTAAGGGCACATCAACATGATAGGGCAATTCTGACATAATGGCTCTAATGATATCCAGGTCAAATGAAAAGTGTTCTGTGAACGGCCCTGAGACCTCCAGATATGGGGCGGTATATAAATTCAACAAATAATGAAAAAATAATAGCCCTATTCATGTCGACTTGGAATTAAGCCCCACTGAGTGAATGGGGCTGGCTCCAGGTAAGGGTGCATATTATTCCTGCCCAGGAGGGGGGCGGACTAGATTACCCTGTGGGTCCCTTCCGATTCCACAATCCTATGACTGCAGCGTTAGTCTCCCTAGAGAGCTTGTGCGGTTTTGCCCAAATGTGCTGTAACTTGGGGAGAGCAGGTGTCTGCAGGCAAAAAATATTCAGGACTGCACTGGTGGCTGCACCGGGCTAAGAAAGACTCTTGTTTGAGATGCTAAGGAGCTGCCAGCAGTCAGCCTAGCAAAACTGAGCAATACTGGGACATAAGGTAGCTCTGCATTTTGCAGGGGTGCATGAGAATATTCAGATCCTACTGCTTCTTCTTGTAAGCCTCTGGACTCTTTAGGGCTCACTCAAAATGCAATGAAATTAAAGAGGGAGACTGGGGTGAGGGGTCTGCAGCTTTGTTGCCCAGAACCATCAAGCCATGGAAAACATGTGGGTGTTTTTCTTTTTCTTTCTTTCTTTCTTGCCAGTGACTCAACTATGTCAAAACAAGTGGCCCGCTTTTATTCTAACACTTCTTGAAGGATTTGATTGAAACTCTGTATGTCCAGATAACATCCAACAAAGTGCCCCTCTTGCGTATTGTTTCAAGATATTTTTGGAAACAGCACAAGTGACCTTGGAGCGCCAGAGCCCTGCTTTTCCAATTTAGGACTTTGTGGCTGGCCTACAGGGAAGAAGGATATTCTTTAAAAAAAAGAAAGAAAAAGGAATCAGTGTCCCCATCAAAACTCTCCCTAACCCTTCCAATTAATATATAGAAGCTATGTGGGATCCCTCCCACCCTCGGCATGTATATTTCCCCAGATATACTGATCTATTTAAGGACATAAATCAACAAAGCTACTTCTCAGTATATTTTCCCCAGAAATTTTCTGGCTTATATTTGTTTATTGCCAAAAGGTCTTTATGTAATTTGAATGGATTGGCACTTAGTTTATCTACCGTTTTTCTTTGTGTTTAAGTAATCATAGCTAGGATTCTGCTGTCAAGCCAGTGACATGATGTAAAGTCCAAATGAAAGCAGCCTATAATCTTAGCACAGGACGGCATAACAGGTCTGTCCCTTGTGGGAGCTGAGATCCATGTTCATAGAAACGTTCCCAGTCCATGAGGATTGCACTGTGAAACCAAGGAATGGCCTTAGGGCCTATGAGGCCACCATCTTGCCGAAGCTGAGCAGGCCAGAGCCAGGGCCTGCGGGAACTGCAGGGTTGGAAGGGACCCGAGGGTCATCTAGTCCAACCCCCTGCAATGCAGGAAATCTCAGCTAAAACAGCCATGACAGGTGGCCATCCAGCCTCTGCTTAAAAACCTCCAAGGAAGGAGGTTAATCAATATCTGGATGGGTCTCTACCTGGGAACCACGTGTGCGCTACCTTCAGTAACAGAAGAAAGGCAGGATATACCTGCAAGAATATAGGAATCCAAATCTTTATTGCTTAGCCAGGAGTATACAGAAATGCAACAAAAAGTGGAATGCCATTCAAAACATAATTAAAACTAAGTAATAGCACATATTGCAATATCTATTATAATAATTTCAAAATTATAGCACACATTACAGAAACGACACACTTTAGCAACAGAACTGACAGACCCCCTACTGTCTGATATATTGTGGAAAACTCTGGAACCTGTGCAAAACAGGTCTCTTATAGCTAGGTAAACAGAGTTTCTGTGCGCTCTGGCACTTGTCACGGTCCTCTGTGCACCAGAAGCGGTTTAGTCCTGCTGGCCACATGACCCAGAAACCTGTTTGCGGACAAATGCTGTCTCCCTCAGCCTGAAGTGAGATGAGCACTGCACCCCATAGTCGCTTTTGACTGGACTTAACCATCCAGGGGTCCTTTACCTTTTTTACCTTATATATAGGAATCCATTTATTACAATGATTGTGCAGGTCTGTAACTGGGTAATTTGTTTAATTTAATTTTACTTTTATTTATTTTTTAACATCTGATGGGAGGGCATTCCACAGGGTGGGCGCCACTACTGAGAAGGCCCTCTGCCTGGTTCCCTGTGTTTCATTTTATTTAAAATACCATAATTTCGCTCTATAAGACGCACCAGACTACAAGACGCACCTACTTTTTGGAGGAGGAAAACAAGAAAAAAAAATATTCTGAATCCCAGAAGCCGGAACAGCAAGAGAGATCGCTGCGCAGTGAAAGCGGCAATCCCTCTTGCTGTTCTGGCTTCTGTGTTAGCTGCGCAGCCTGCATTCGCTCCACAAGACACACACACAATTCCCTTTAATTTTTAGAAGGGAAAAAGTGAGTCTTATAGAGCAAAAAATACGGTAGTTCCATTCGATCTCCAAGGCTTAGGTTTGAAAGGGGCATATACCAAATTTTTAAATCCATACAGAAAATTAAAATCAGAACAATGGTAAAAGGCATCAGCAATAAAAACTGTAAGAACAACTGCAGTGGAACATAGTCCAAAAGCTGAAAATGCAAAACCAGGTTGCTCTAAAATGATCCTAAATGCTGTCAAAGCTCTTACACACAGCAGTGTGTTAACCAGTACCTAAAGGTCACAGGGAATAAAGACAGCTGGGCAAATGGACCGGAGTAAATGGACAGCCAAGGCCCTGCCTTGAATGCATTTATTTGCTAAATTTGCCTCACCTTTCAGCGTAAAGTTATTCCAGGATAGGTCACAGTGCAGCATACTAAATCACATAAGAGTTTAAACAGCATTACAATATGCAGGTAAATAAAACCAATCTCACATCTGCCCTACGTCCGTAAGCAGGCCCCCTGTTATTTGATAAGCCTGGCACAAGAGGAATGTTTTTAGCTGGTGGCAAAAGCCAGCTAATATCAGTGCCAGCCTAATGTTGGAAGGAAGGGTATTCCACAGCCGGGGGGCTGACAGCAAAAAGGCCCTGTTATGAGTCCTATATCCCCCTACAGTGGGTGAGGGGGTTGAGCCTGACAGAATACTGCCTTGCCCAAGGCCAGCATGGAAGATTGTGGCAGAACTAGGGACAGTTTTTTAGCCACTACACCAGGCATAGGCAAACTCGGCCCTCTAAATGTTTTGGGACTACAATTCCCATCATCCCTGACCACTCGGCCCTTAAATGTTTTGGGGCTACAATTCCCATCATCCCTGACCACTGGTCCTGTTAGCTAGGGATGATGGGAGTTGTAGTCCTAAAACATCTGGAGGGCCGAGTTTGCCTATGCCTGAACTACAACAACACTCATCAGCCCCACCCACCATGGCCCAATGGTAATGAATGATGGGATTTGTAGTCCAGCAATCCTGGAAAGGCCACAGGTTCTACACCCCTGCACTATACTACAGCAGCTCTAATAATTTATAATACTACAGAGCCATGTTTTTGTCAGTCTCTGTACATTTTGCAGAAAAGCTGGGAGAAAAAAGAATGCCATTCAGTCTCATGGCAGGATTGATTTCTGTTCTATAGCAGCTTAGACATAAAGTGTGCCTCTTATTTCTGGAAAGAGGCTTTGAGCGGGAGAACATTTCTATGTGGCCTGAATGCTCTTCAGCTGGAGCAGCAGCAGCAGATGGGAAGCCAGAGTACCTAAGAGGTTCCTTTGCATTGCCTGAAGCTCCCCTGCTGGTGCTACCTTTGAAAGTGACAGTCAAAAGGAAGAACAAAGACAGGAACCAGGGACCCCAAAGGATTGCTTCCCACACACCTGGCTTGGTGCTTTAAAAGCCTGAAGGAACTCTCCAGAAAAATAGAATAAACAGTGGTGTAGCAGGGGAGGCAGGGGGGTCATGGCCCCGAGCGAAACCAGGCGCCCCCATGACAGGCTCCCTCATCCAGGCCAGAGGCACAGGGAGGCAAGCTGCGCTCAGGCAGGTCTTCAGGACTGCGGTGGCACCTCCACCTACTCGTGGCTGGCGAAAGGACACTCACCTGCAGCCCGTTTCTGGGTCGGTTTCGCATTTCTCTGCTTTATCTCCAGGTTAGGGCTAGTTTGCAAGGAGAGACTCCCTTGATTAGACGCTGGCCAGTGAAGAGACTGACCATTGCCCAGACCACCAAGGGGGTACAACACCTGCCCCACCCTGGGTATCAGCAATCCATGCTACGCTCCTGAAATAAAATTAAGCTGTTCTGGGTTACTCTTGTGGCCTTTACCAGCAGCTATGCAGAACTAGCTGGCCAGTGAAAAGACTGACCGTTACCCAGTCCACCGGGGGGCGTGTGCAATACCTGCCCTATCCCGGGTGTCAGCAATCCACGCTACGCTCCTGGAATAAAATTAAGCTGTTCTGGGTTACCTTTGCAGCCTTTGTCAGCAGCTATGCGGAAATCAGCCTGTGAAAGATTTCACTTGGTAGAGATAAGCCCTGAATGGCTGTGCATCAAGCTGCTGAAAAAGGCCACTCTTCCTCTGGCTGGTAGAAAAGTAGCAACTCCAGGAGAAAAGCAAGGCTCTTTTCATGCCTCCTCGTCTGACTAGCCCATCGTGCAACAAGGGCTGCATGCCCCCTTTGTTTCTGGAAAGACTTTAACTGTGACGTGGGCGGGGGTGTGTGGGTTCATGGCACACGGACGTGCACATGAGTCAGCGCTTGAGTGCAAGAGCCTGTGGGTGGGGTGGCCTCACCCACTTTTGGCCGCACCCACTGCTGGCACACAGCCCCTAGAGCATGGGTAGGCAAACTAAGGCCCAGGGGCCGGATCCTGCCCAATCGCCTTCTAAATCCAGCCCACGCTAAATTCAGCGTGTTTTTACATGAGTAGAATGTGTCCTTTTATTTAAAGTGCATCTCTGGGTTATTTGTGGGGCATGGGAATTTGTTCATTCCTCCCACCCCCAAAATATAGTCCTGCCTCCCACATGGTCTGAGGGACAGTGGACCAGCCCCCTGCTGAAAAAGTTTGCTGACCTCTGCCCTCGAGGGCTGGTCAAGGATGAATGTGGGCAGTTCTTGGGATGAAAAGGGTTGGCCACCCCTGCTTTTCATATCTGGAGGGCAGGCAGAAATCCAACAGGCACAGCTTTTCCTCATCAGCAAAGAAATCTAACATGAGCTGGAGCCCTGAAAAGGTGGAGAACCTGGCTGGAGGTGTTTGGCTCGGCACCCCCAGGCGTTCTTAATTCAATTAGTGCCCTCGTGAAAGTGATGCCTCATTCAGCGCTTAACAGCACCCAGAAAGCCCAGGAAGATTCCAACAAATTCTGAGTCATTCCCTCCCCTGCCACGCAGTATTGTTGAGCGAGAGAGTGAGGGGTATAATCACCCCAGCAGGAATTATTTGGAGCCAGGATGGAGGCCTGAAGAACGGGGGTTGCCAGCCTTTTGACAAGCCCTCCACCACTTTAACATACATTTTACCTGCAGCAATTAGCAAGTGATAAAATTTAGCTATGCTGTGTTAATTTTACAGCTAATGGGGCCTGCTGCTGATGCATCATTGACTGATTTCTGTGTATGAAAGTGCTGTTAAATTCATAGGTGCAGGGAAAGACAGGGTGGGGTGGGGTTCTTTTATGGAAACATAGGAGTGCAGAGTGGGAAGGGGTCCCAGGGGCCATCTAGTCCAACCCCCTGCAATGCAGGAATCACAGCTAAAGGATCCCTGACAGATGGCCACGCAACCTCTGTTCAGAAACCTCCAAGGAAGGAGAGTCTGCCACGATGGTTGTTTGGGAAACCTGCCTATAATGTACAAAGCATCACCCAACATTTGTGCCACCCGCCTCATCCCTGGGCATGGCATGCTAACCTCTTGGCCAGAAGGTACAGTTTTTGGCCAAGGATAGGGAACCTTCAGATGTTGCTTGGCTTCAGTCTCCCTCATCATTGGCTGCATTATGCGAGCTGGATTCCAGCAACCTCTGGAGGGATGGTTCGGCAGTCCAGTTTTTGGTAGACTGGAATGGTGGCCAGCCAGCTGTTGGTATGGGCTGTGCCTGTAGAAAACACAGAGCTGTTACAAGCCCAGGAGCACTGACAAGGCAATGGGAGCTGAGCTGGTGGTGCAGAGGAATGAGGACAACGCTGCCTAATTCACAGCACAATCCTGAGCAGGCTTGCTCAGAATTAAGTCCCACCGTACGCAATGTGGTTGACTCACTGCAATGTGGTCAGAACGATTGGGACTGCAGGGTAAGACTGAGAAATGGGCTAAGGAGGCGAGTGTTTGAACTTCCAGAAAGCAGCAGGATGAGGGAATATCTTGCATTCATCCACCTTTGCAAAGGCACATGATGATCTATCAATGCTAAAATTACTCCCATCCTCCACTCACCGCTACCCAACCCCCAGCGATAATTTTGCTCTGACTCTGCTCACTTGCCTTTTAAGGCCTTCTTGAGGAACATGATTTGCTCTGTGCTGAAGGTCCCCACTGGTCTCCACGCAAATGCGCCCAAGCAACATCTGTCTTTAATTGTTTATATCAAATTACCTATTTAAACAAAAACAAAACAGAAGCAAAGGTTTTATTTTAGAAGCATGTGCCGTATGTGAAGTCAGAACAACGTTAATGGAAAATCCGATGCGCTTTTTAGAACATTCTCCAGCCTTTGCAAAACAGTTTTCACGGCCTTTGGGGCGACTGCAGACTAGTGTCAAATTAATTTTGTGCAGCACCAGCCTCCAGATAAGGGATTCATAGTCAAACGTGCGTCCCCTTATTTAGAGCATGATTTTAATAGAGTGGTAGCTATAAAACCTTGATGAATCAAAACTTAAAGCAACCAAAAACTCTGGGCAGCCCCCAACATCAAGGGAGTGGAAATAAAAAAAGGCAAAACCTATAAACAACGGCTCTTCACATACAACCTGATGGTCACGACATCAGACCCCATAAACACAGCAATCATCCTAACCAAATAACTCAACACATTTGCAGTGGTGTCAGGCCTACAGGTGAACTTTGCAAAATCTTAAGCTATGTGCTTCAACACTCCCCCTTATATCCAAAAAGAATTCACCAACATCACACAGATAAAACTCTGCCACATTAAATTCAGATATTTAGGGGTACAAATAACCAGAAATCTCAACAAATTATACCTTCACAACCCCCTGTGGTGAGAAATTAACAAAGATGTGAAACAATACAACTTCACCCTCTTAGACAAAATAGTCATTATCAAAATGATCACCCTCCCAAAACTAACCTATTTCAAACCTATTTTGGGGGGAATTTGGATTCCCCCAAAAACCAACTCCATAAATGGCAGGAAAAAACTACACTCATTTATTTTCTCACATAAAAAAACAAAAAATAAGTCCCAAATAACTGCACCTCCCCTCCTCAGAAGGAGGATGGGGAATTCCCAATATAGAACTACATAGCCAACCAAGTGCGCCACATAATCCCATACATCCTAGAAGACGAGATGAAACAATAGGTGCACGTAGAGATAGGTACAATTGAAAACACCCCCATCACAGTGTACCCAATTTTTCCAATTCCAAATAAGTTTATGGCCACTGACCATTACAAATATGAATAAAAAATAAATACAAGCAAAAGGAGTGTCACACCACAAATAATGATCTCTATTTAGATCTCTGTGTCTCCCTTACACTTCACTGCTATATTGTCCAGGGTCTTCTTTCTGGGCTTTTTTGCCACCAAAGCAAAAAGGGTGACTTTATGAATCACTGAAGCGTTCACATCACTAAGAAGCCTTTCCTCCAGAACAAACAAAGGAAAAACCCCACAGCACTAAACAGGTACCCCCTAAATACCCCCTGGAAAAAAGCACAGCATATGTTGGAAGCCACCCAGTCAGATAGGCAGGGTATCAATAAAATTATTATTATTATTATTATTATTATTATTATTACTATGGAATAGGACAGCCTTGTTTTCATCGGAGAAGTGTTGGAAGGTATGAGAATCTAGGAAATGCACTTCAATGAAGGGAGATGACAATGATCTCCTGTCAGAGAGTTGTGCCTGACACCTTTCTGAGGCACTCTGTCATATTCCGCACAAAAAGCAGGGCCATTTGTGACAGTTTGGTGAAGAGGCTGGCATGTAGACGAGCAGCATTACTTCACAATGGACTCAAGTAACCTGTGCGGAGCAAAATGTCAAAGCATAAACGCGCCATCCATCTGCTGAAGGCCATAACAATTATTATTAGATTGAGGTGTTTTCTCTTACACTGACGTTACACTGAAACCTTTTCCCGTGTAGGACTTTCAACAATGCCGAGCTGCTCATGACACCAGCCGGGGTAGCCAATAGTTACCGAATACAAACTGGAGTGTCTCCTTTCTCTGAGTCTGTACTTTGGTATTATCTTTAAGCGGAATAGTCCCTTCCTATTGGCTTAATTTCCCCTGGGGAAGGTGAAAGAGTGAGAGGAGGTAGGCAGAACATATTGTGTTCCTCTGCCTTCTCCAGTGATGAAACAAGAGGAGCCCAACAAGGAAATGTGCTGCTATTAATACAAGTCTCAAGTTGTTTGTTTACCAAGAAAAGAGCTGCCTCTCTTTGACCTTTCGGTGTCTCATCTGAGGGGCAAATGCTTGGAACCTGGGGACTGTTTTTAGTGGGATCATCGAGTCCTAAAGGACTGCAAGGGCATCTAGTCTTACCAGTCCTTGGGTGTAAGTGGTGGGACTTCACCAGATAAAAAGGTGTGCCTCGCAAAGGGTTTATTGAGCAAATAAAGAGGCAGTCCTGTTAGGAGAGAAGGGCAAGGTGGCAGACTTTGGCAGCCATTAAGGGCAGAGATGTAGGATGCAAGCAGTTCTGACTGATGGGAGGCAACGGGCATAAATAAAGCCCTGCTAGATCAGGACTAAGGCCCATTTGGTCCTCTCCTCACAACAGCCAACTGGATTCATATTGGAAGCTCCCAAACAAGACACTCCCCACTCATTATTCCCATCAACTGATTAACAGAGACATATTGTCTCCAAAAGTAGAGGTAGAACACAGCCGTCTTGGCTAGTAGTCATGTATAGGCTTGCCATTTGCCTCATCTCCTGCTGCTAGAGTCTTCCAGGCTACATCCTGTGGCAGTGAAGTACATTACCTATGAAGTACCTTCTTTTGTCTGCCCCCAGTCTTCCAGTGGATGATCCCAGATTCTAGTATAGAGGGAGAAAACTTCCATCTACTGGCAGGTTCTCCCACACAAGTGCCATTGAAATTAACTGGAGCTGCTCAAGAAGACGACACAAGTGGTCTTGTGCAGCTCCTGCTTATTTCATTGGGAAGTAGGTCCTGGGATGGCCCTGGCAGATTGTGGCCCAGGTTACTTAGTGAGAGGGTTGCGCACCTTGGGCTGCCAAGCATGGTGGCCTGGTGGAAAGAGCCCTCTGAGGGCCTGGGTGAAATAAATGTTGAGAAACACATGGATGCAGGCCCAGCAGCAAGGGTCAACATGGCCAGGTATCTGCTGAAATCTACTGTGACCACTGACAATAAGGGATGCGGGTGGCGCTGTGGGTTAAACCACAGAACCTAGGACTTGCTGATCAGAAGGTCGGCGGTTCGAATCCCCGCGACGGGGTGAGCTCCTGTTGCTCAGTCCCTGCTCCTGCCAACCTAGCAGTTCGAAAGCACGTCAAAGTGCAAGTAGATAAATAGGTACCACTCCAGCGGGAAGGTAAACAGCGTTTCTGTGTTCTGCTCTGGTTTTGCCAGAAGCGGCTTAGTCATGCTGGCCACATGACCCGGAAGCTGTCTGCAGACAAACACCGGCTTCCTTGGCCAGTAAAACGAGATGAGCGCCGCAACTCCAGAGTCGTCCGTGACTGGACTTAATGGTCAGGGGTCCCTTTACCTTACCGTGACCACTGACAATATTACTCTGGAGCAAGGATGGAGACTCACTGAGGGAGTGAGGGCCATGAAGGATGTTTTGGGGCATCTCTTCCTCCACCTTCCCTAGGGCTGCCAAAGACCTGTGTGCCCTGAGGGAAGGCAGAAGCAAGGAAGCCTAGGCCAGTGAGCAACACACACCACTGGCCCCCAGTTGGCCTGAGAGAGGAGTCTGTCATTCTACATTTTATGCAATTTATTTGGCTTTAGTGTTTTAAAATTGTAAACTGCTTTGGGGGCCTTGTCAGAAAATCAGTATATAAATCCAATCAATTCATAATAAAGGCCCTCCAAAACCTGAAATTGACACCATGGATGCTCAGGGAAATAAAATGACGCACAAATTAAAATGCTAAGATTCTTCTGAAGGGATTCATTGCTGTGGCCTTGTTTTAGGAACTGCATGGATTTTTTTCTGTTTACACAAGGTTGGGAAACTCTTGACTATGATCTTAGACGTATAAGCGCCACCTGAACAAAACTCTGTCAGGCACAAGGGGAATATGGCAGATCCACACCACACATTTAAATCACATATTACTACCCCAAAGAATCCTGGGAGTAGTAGTTTGTTAAGAGTGCTGGGAATTGTTGCTCTGTGAGGGGGAAATACAATTCAGGGAAAGCCATGGACTTTAAACAGGCACTGGATGTTTTAAATGTAGATGTGTCTATGCAGCCACTGATTCCTGTTTCTTTACACTGCGATGGCTGAGCTGTGTAAATGCAGATGCTGCTGGACTACAACTCCCGTTATCCTCGACCACCAGCTATGCTGCCAGGGTCAGTGGGGAAATCTAACAACATCTAAGGGTCAGAGGTTCCACATACTTTCTGTACATACTGTGTAGATAGGCGATAACAGCCATTTGATACTGAAGAGTGGCAGTCTATCTGTGCTGGCATAGCACCAGGAGGAGGAATGACTGAAAATTTCTAGCCAATGTGTCTAAGGGAGCAAATTCCTCACAGAGAATAAATAAAAGTGATGTGCTGTTTCCAGTTATGACAAAGCAGGTTTCTTACCAGGAATCCGTTCTTCTGGTTTCCCTGCCTCCCAGATATTGTCCTGCTATAACCCACATGAAAGCCCCAGAGAATGGCTGTTTGAGGTCATCACACTCAGGTATGCAGCAAAACTGGCTACAAAACATGACTAGCTAAATTTCTAGTATTTTGCTTCTTACTCCACACATACTTCATGGTATCCTCAAGAGAAAGAGAAAAGAAAATCGGTTGTGTTGTTTACATTTCACAAAGGTAAGATCCAGCTCCCAGCTGAAATTCTATGCATGCCTTTTTTGGAAGTAAGACCTGCTGAACAAAGTGGTGCTTACCTCTAAGTAAGCATGCATAGAACTGAGCAGTTGGAAAAGGGAAACCATCATTTGTAAAAGGAGACCAGCGCTCTGTCAGAGCTGGTTGCTGTAGAAAAAGGCACTTGCAGCTACCGTAAGATAATTCCTCTTGGCTTTGAAGTGAAGTATGATTTGTCTTTCCCTCTATGCTATGTGCAGGCTTCTCAAGCTTGTCAGTCTTTAATGCAAAAATGTTAAACGATTTCCTTCCCATCCTGTGCCCCTCCTCCCTCCGTCCCCAGGACAACATGAGCTCAGAGGTCAACATTGTGTTGTCTGGCTACTGATTCAGGCTGCACACAGAGGTTGGTAATTAACTACAGCTTCCTGGTCAGGTTCTTAATACAGGCCTGCAGCAGGGCTGGATTTTCTTTTTTGGTAACTAGTCCATTGGGAAAGAATGGGGAATCTGAAAGCTGAGTGCAGGATTAGCTCACTGGGCTTGAATAAAAACACAAACACCAATCTGTCCTCTATCTGTATGAAAGTCACCTTCCCAGCCTTGAGTGACCAAGACCAGGACAGGCTGTGCAGCTGAAGATAGGTCACTAGGAGCAGGCGCCATCTTTGCCCCCCGCCCCCATCAGTATACCTGATGGAGCCCTCTTATTTTCTCTTGCATAAGATGCTGGTCACAATTCATTTTTCCTGTGAAAAGAATTTGGGTATGTTATGCAGAGGGCAGCACCTGCTTCTTACCCTGACCACTAATCAAGATCCCTCAGGGGTGGTGCAGCAGGTGTCTGTGTGCAGACCACCCAGAGGCACACACTTCACCTGCAAGGCTTCTTCTTACAGTGTACAAGCCCAGCACTCTCCTCAGCCCTGTCAGAATGACATGCATTTTGCCATTTACTGATAAAATACAAGGTCCCCACGCTGAAAACGGCAGTTAGGGTCAGCTAGCAATTACCCCAGGAGGTGACTGGTGCACATCACCTATAAATTAATTAGCTGAGACGTAACCAATCAGCATCACTCAGGAAAACAGGTGCAGCTTTAGAACGGGTTGAATTCCAAAAGGGAATCCTCAGATAAAGGTGCAAGAAAGCAAACTGAATGTACTCATATATCAAAGTCGCAGGAAAACATCTCCACTGTATGTCAACTCCCCCAACCCAGACGTGAGGTATGGGATTTCCCGATAACCTAGCCAAATTTCACATTTAGTGCCAGGAAATCCTCCTGACTGCCAGCCGTTGAGAGGTTAGAGAGATTAGGGTTTACATTAGATGTTTATTACTCCAGTATCACTTCCTCAGAACATTAATGGGTCATCTAATCCAAAGAGGGCAATGAGCAATTCCCCTAATAATGCCTTTGCAAAACTTTCGTGACAAGCCTTCCTTGTTTAGATTTTAAAAGCCTGGCCATGAAGTCTGATTGTTCCTGTAGCTCCGTGATTTCCTGTGATTTAAGTGTTAGGTGGCTTGTCTGCTGTTTGGTACTGGGCGTGTTCCTTAACAGGTTCTCAGCCACAACAACAGTTGTAGTCAAGACTGATACCAAGAGTCTCTCCTGTGGAGCTGCCTTAGACTGCAGGAACTGTATAAATCATGGAGGAGAAAACATATTTCATTGTGGGAGCTCACTATGTATACAACATACATTTAAAAGCACCCCCTACACACACACACACACACACACACACACACAATCCTGCGCATTGTAGTTTTCTCAAGGAGCTACAATTCCCAGCAGACTTTCCCAAAATCAGTGGCGTAGCGTGGGTTGTCAGCACCCGGGGCAAGGCAAGTAATTTGCGCCCCCTAACCCGTGAGCCAGGTAGGGGCAGAGAGCTGTGAGTGCGAGCGCGCCACCCCCCAGATGTTGCGCCCGGTGCAGCCGGCCCCCCCTGTACCCCCCACGCTACGCCACTGCCCAAAATTCTTTCTAGGGATGGGGGAATGTGTTTTACATGCATGGTGTGCCCCCACCCTAATTGGTAAACTCTTCTCATACCCTCCCAAGTGTTCCTATTTTCCAGGGACAGTCCCTCTTTCCCCCGCCACTGCCACTGCTGCCAGGTTTGGGGAGGAGGATGAGCTGCCACTTGTCCCAAGCGATGGCGGCTGTGGCTGCAGGAACTATGAGGCAGCATCTCGTTGCCTCTCCATGGCCACCGCTGCTGTTCAGCGCGTCACTGCCAGACAAGGCCAATGTGTTTAAATTACTTTTGTCCAAAACCAAGACTGAAGATGAGATCTCTCAATGTCCAGTGTCATGCCATAGACCAGAGTCTGTACTGCCCATGGTTACACAGCTCCATCCCCAGCCAGACTTTTAGCTTAGTGGGCAAAGAAATGTACAAGTGTGGAAGAGATTGTGGAATGAAGCTTCTGACAACCGATGCTTTAGTATTAACGGCACAGAACAGATTAACTTTTCCTGACTGCACTGAGAAGCCACAGATATTTTAATGGAATATTAGCAGCTTTGCATCTAATTACTTCCAAACCTCCCAGCACTCTCCCTTGCATACACACACACACACATTAGGTCACACATTTTGCTCCCAGTTAATTATTTTCTATTTTGGTATGGTCTAAGGCGAGAAAAAGCTGATGGGTTTGCTGGGAAATGTTGAAGCTATTTTTATGTATTTCTCTTGCTCTCCGCAGTGGCTCCTGCTCCCTGGAAACAACCTTGAAGGACTTCCAGGCACCTGGTGCCTCTGCTTTCAGCTATTTAAAAGCTGGCAGCTCTGCTGAACGTCCCGTAATGATGCCCCATCCAGTTCCATTCGCCCAAGGAAAGCATTCATGTTCTGCAGCCATTAGTAGTAGTAGTAGTAGCAGTAATTTATTAGTATATTCTGCCCTTCATTACAAGATCTCAGGGTGGTTTACAAGATAAAAATACAAGGTAAAAGCACAAATAAATAGTTTGAATAAAAACAACAAAACAATAATGCCCCCTCCCACAAACACATTTAAAAGGCTGTAGAATATTAATCAGCCTTGTACAGGGGTAGGCAACCTAAGGCCCATGGGCCACAAGCGGTCGATGTGGGTCATTTAACCGGCCCACAAGCCACTCCCAAACCGAGCTGCCTGCTGAGCGAGTCCCCACGCACTGGGTTAAACCAGCGCTGCATGGCGCGGGGACTCGTGTCTGTGCAGATGCAGACGCCAGAAATCGTGGGCAATCCGGCCCACAGACGGATCTCTGCTGGAGTGAACCGGCCCAGGTGACATAAACCTTGCTGACCCCTGGCCTTGTACAGTGGTACCTCAGGTTACATACACTTCAGGTTACAGACTCCACTAACCCAGAAATAGTGCTTCAGGTTAAGAACTTTGCTTCAGGATGAGAACAGAAATTGGGCTCTGGCGGCACGGCGGCAGCAGGAGGCCCCATTAGTTAAAGTGGTACCTCAGGTTAAAGACAGTTTCAGGTTAAGAACGGACCTCCGGAACGAATTAAGTACTTAACCTGTGGTACCACTGTATAACCAAAAAATACAAATACAGAATACAAATTAACATATAATGCTTAAGAACAATTTAAAACATCCCCACAAATAAACAACATCCACCCAAGTTAAAACCCCATCCCCATTAAAACGATAATTTTAGCACAACAGGGCAGGGCTGGCTCATGTCCTCATTCCACCCCTAAAGTGCTGTCCCCTGACTTGTCAGTTTTCTTGACTTCTACCTGCTCACCTGGGTGCCTGTTCCTGCCTTGATTCTGCCTTGCACTTCCTCCTACCACGACCTGAATCTCTGAGTCCTATCCTATGAAAGCAAGTGCTTCTGTTTGTGTGTGATGTGGAGAGCAAATTTGCTCATAAAAGGATCAGGTACTCCCAATAACTGCCATGTAGATATTGATCCTTCACCCCCCCCCCCAAAAAAAATTGTATCTGGAAGTGCACATTTAATATTGCTTTTGCAATTCATGTTTGTGCAATCCGTAAGAGGGTTCTTTTATTTAAAAAACCTGTTAAAATACAGCCAACTGTTAATTGAATTGCAGTGGAATGTTCTGGAAAAAAAGACCAACTTTTTTTCTGTCTCTACTCCTATGTCTGACCCAGAAATCTAGCAAGTGAAAGTTTTCCTCCATGCCAGGAAATGCTTCACCTACTTCCTATTAGCATGCCAGGCTGCTAAAGGAATTGAGACAGCCAGGCAGGAATATTCTAAAACCTGGCAACCCGTTTTTCTGAATCAAATAACTAAATGGCTCTAAAGAGGGAAAGCTGTTGGCTTTACATGTGTCTCCAGCATAGTGTAGCTTTAGGTAAAATGCAGCAAAACATCTGAGAATAACCGGGAAAATGTCAAGAAGTCAAACAGCCTAAAATAGAAAAGGGTTTGGAGGTCAGGACAATTTCAGTGAGCATATAAATCCCTCTGACGTAGATAAGAGCTATGCACAAGGCAAAGAGAAAAGCAGGACACTGAGCCTCAAAATATTAAGCTCTGGGAACTCTCTGTGAATGTTGTTCTCTGGGCTCCAAGTCTCTTCTGGGCATATCCTGTTTAGGTTAAATCTTTGGAGCAGGGATGCAGAACCTGTAACCCTCCAGATGTTGTTGGACTTGTGACTCCCATCCCGGTTGACCATCCTGACTGGGGCTGATGGGAGTTGGAGTCCAACAACATCTGAAGGGTTATAGGTTAGCCCCCCCCCCCCCGTCTAAGTGGCTGGGTTTTAGGAGAAACTTGTCAATGCAGAGCCAGCTCACCCATTAGGTGGGGTGAAGCAGCCGCCTCAGGCAGTGGAAGTGCAAGAGGCGGCACCACTCTTGCCCCACTGCTTCCACCACCACTGGAACATCCCCCACTGAGTTCCAGTGACAGGCAAGTGTTCTGGCATGCAGCATTGCTACTCATCTTCCTTGCCCCTGGGGCAGAGAAGTCAAGCACCAAGGTCTTGTGGAACGTTCCCTGCTCTTGCAGAATTCAACAAGAGGGGGCAGTTTTCGGCACACAGTGGAAGCGGGGAGCACAGCGGCAGGGAGGAAGCACATTCCCATTTCACCTCACCTTGTTAAAAAGGTAAAGGTACCCCTGCCCATACGGGCCAGTCGTGTCCGACTCTAGGGTTGTGCGCTCATCTCACTTAAGAGGCCGGGAGCCAGCGCTGTCCACAGACACTTCCGGGTCACGTGGCCAGCGTGACGAAGCTGCTCTGGCGAGCCGGCACCAGCGCAGCACACGGAAACGCCGTTTACCTTCCCGCTATAAAGCGGTACCTATTTATCTACTTGCACTTAAGAGTGCTTTCGAACTGCTAGGTGGGCAGGAGCTGGGACCGAAAGACGGGAGCTCACCCCGCCGCGGGGATTCGAACTGCCGACCATAAGATCAGCAAGTCCTAGGCACTGAGGTTTTACCCACAGCGCTACCCGCGTCCCTCACCTTGTTAATACAGAGCTTTTATTGTCATATATTTTTGAGGGCTGAGATAGTTGAATTCATTTTTTTTAAAACATTATAGAAGCCACACAGAGCCTTAGCTATCAAGAACGTCAGTAAGAAGAAACCTACTGAGAAAATGTCATACAGCAAACTGTTGCTGGCAACACAGAACCAAAAATGAAAGTGCAGAGCCTGAGAGGGGGGTCAAACACTTCTTTGCATGGCAAACCAAGAGGGCCAATATACAGTACATTAGTAGGGCTTGTCTGTGTTGGAGCATTATTTAGCTGTTAATCCGCTCCCCCACCTTCAAATTAGGCCAGTCATCTACACCCGCACATGCTTGGATTTGTATGTCAGGAGCTAGTTGGGTCTTTCTCATTCATACCAGTAGGGGTTACCTTTTGTGTATGTCCCCATCTTCTAATTTCTTTATTATATTATGCTGATTAAGTACCAACAGAGCATGCACATCAATAGCTGTGCAGGCACCTTACAAAATAAAACCCTGCCCAGGAAGTGCACAAAAGCACAGAGTCAGGCAATTGTAAATTCTCAGCACAATCATATGGAGTGGTTTGCTTTGCATTTTTATGATTTCATGCAAATCTGAGGGATCAAGAGTGAGCTCCTTCATTTAGGAGAGCACTGCATATTGTTACAAGCACAGCCAGAAAAGCAATGAAAGCATTGAGGAAGCAGTGGCAGAAAGTGATGACTAAGCCACCCCCCCCAAAAAAACCCCAAATAATCTGTGACCCTCAAGTGCAGAAGTTTAGAGATCAAGTTCCCTCAATTTATTGGATAATTTCCATATTGGGTAACCCCAAATTCACAGGGGAGAATCATCAATATTGGAGTTGTTTGAAGATAATTACTTGTGGACTATGCAAATTAAATGGAAATGTAAAGACACAATGAACACCCAGTGAACTCTGGGGTGGACAAGCCCCTAGTCTTCCAAATGAGGAATAACCAGGGAACAAACAGCAGAAATGAGAAAGGCAAGTCTTTCTAGAAGCCATAAAGTTTTCTTTTTATTTCTCTGCAATATAATATTCTGATTTGAGGAGCAGCCTTAGCAGTACAGAGGCAAGGCAAGTTTCGGTAGCACCCTGGAGAACTCTATGCAGGGCTCAGGCTGGAGAATTTGGAAAAGCAGAGCTCAAATGTTGCTTCAGCAACAGTCGTTCTCAGACTGAGCCTTAAACAGTTCTACTGTCGCTATTAGCACCACTTTTCAGTGAGGCACTTCTTCATTTCAAGGGGCGCTGCTGCCTTTAGTTGTCATTGACTCCCACTGAGTTGGGGCTACTATGGTTCCACTGAAATCTTTTCAGGCTGAGAACCACATTCCTTCTGGGGATTGCATGTCCGTGGTGGGCAGGACTGCAGCAAAAAGTGAGAGAGCAAGATTCTCTGAATGAGCAAAGCAACCGTTGTGACCCCCTTTGACTTTGCAAAAGCCAGGGGTTTAGAAACACACATGCACACACCTTTTCAGCAAGACAAGCAAGAGGCAATATCACAGTTTGAGGACACATTTCAGGCAGCCAAAAGCACCTGGGCTAGTGGTGCAGGACTGGAGAAGGCTGTGACTTCCAATTCAGTACACAAAATTGAAAAGATAAAATCATCCCATTGTGACTTAACCACAAACTTCATGTCCAAAAAGAATTTGAATTTTTAAATAATGTATGTGTGTTGCATGTATTAGTGACCTACTACCCAAGGTTGTATAGAAAATGCACAGCATAAAATAGACTAAAATAATAATAAGATCAACCAGTAGCAGCACAAAAACACAAAAACGCCAAATGACATCAGAGAAAATATTAACACAATTTAACAAAAATTATATAATCCAGCTGCTAGCAGAAATCCACACAGAGCTAAAGCCATCAGCCTAAAACAGTGAAATGCAGATAATTAACTGGCCTTGACAGAGTGAGGGACTTTACCTGGTGCTGAAAATTTGGTGCCAGGTAAGCCATTCTGGGGAGAGTATTCCATAACCAGGAACTACCTCTCAAAATTACTCAAATTCTCTTTGCCACTTTTCATATATTAGCTTATGGAGGTACTGGGAAAAGGGCAACTGATGATCTCAGGATCCAGGTAGGTACATACAAAATTCAATCACGCAGAGGCAATGAATAGGACAGTTTTGAAAGCTGGTTCCAAAACAGGAATGTTCCTGACAAACAAAATATTAATGTGGAGGTTTGTGGAGGGGGGGGGGGGAGAGAATTAAAGAAAAAAACATACCAACAACTCAGACTTTGACTCTTCATCCCACAGCTCATAGAAACTGATTCACTGGCATTACTTATATTGTGAACAAATGCAGAGAGGGATGAACAGCCCCGTTTGAAAAGTAATTGAAATTCAGCTGCTGCCTTTTGAAGCCATAATCTCAGGACTCTTGCCAGTTTCAACCTCCTGATGCTAACAGGAACACCCACTATTGCCTGGCAAGAAAGATAATACACACAGACACACAAATAATTGTTCCGTTTACATAAACTTAAAACAACATATGAGAAGTTTTCCCTTACTGGGTTTGTATAACTATTCCAATCACCTAAAATGTATTTCTTAAAATAAAAAAGTAGTTCAAAGCTTTAAGCATCTTAAATAGAGCTTGACATATTCCCATGATATCAAAGAGCAAGATGACTACAAAAATACCCAACTGTAGTTGCTATATTTAAACTGTTTTATTCTATCAGAGAAATGCAGCTTTACCATCTTCTAATTTTTATGCAATTGCAGGCAATGTTTATAGGCTGCCAGACGGCAACGCAGGCCTACAGCTTTCTAATTTAGCCTCCCAGTCAATCCCCCAGACCCAGACTAGTGTCAGTGGTTGGCATAGCAGGGCAGCTGCACCCCCCTCCACTGATGGCAGCCCTCTTGAATGTGCTGCTGGACAGCAGTGGCCATCTTACTGCTCCTGTTTTGCTACCCTAGCCTACTTACCTACCTGTGAGATGGGATTCACAGGTTCATGTAAGATAAGGCTATCAATGGCTATTGGTCATGGTAGCTAAGTACTAAGGCAGCAGCCCGCCGCTGAACACCAGTTGTTGGAGAACAACAGTGAGTGAGAGCTCTTGCACTCCTGTTCTCCTGATGGGCTTCCCATCGGCACCTGGTTGGCCAGCAGCATAACAGGATGTTGGACTGCATGGGCTTCTGGTCTGATCCAACAGGGCTCTTCTGATGTCCTTATGTTCCCTGGGCAATTTCAGCAACTTTTGCTGCTCCATCCACTCTTCACTGTCACTATCTGGTTCTGCCCCACTGTGGAGAATAGGCAGGTGTCAGTTGGTTAAGTCCAGAGTCCTAAATTACCTAACTACCGAGGAGTTAAGAAAGTGGGTGGGTGGCAGCTGCTATGAGTGGGCCCAATGTTACTCGGGTACATGAGAGCCCACAAAAACAATCAAAACCAGGATCTGGTAATGGATTCCTCCAACAACAGCTTTCTGCTCTCTCCTCCTTCACTTGCTGAGATAGCACCGAATCCTACTTGTCACAGCAACCAGTGGGGGAGACCTGTTTGCGTGCACATGGCCTAAAATGTATGAGGAATAGATTAGTTTCCTCTACCACCATTTCACCATCTATGTTTTGCTCAATAGGAAAGTTAAAATAGTTTTCCGCTCACATTCTTTCACTGCTGAGTTATAGGATAATTGGGAAGTTAATTTCTGTGAGCAGTTATGACAACAGCAACAAACACTGAGAGTCACAGTGGTCTGGTCATATAGTGTGAACTCCACAGCTTAAGAACTGTAGCTAAAATTGGACTGAAATGTAATGGAACTACCTGGTTTCAACCTGGATAGCAGTGAACACTTAAGTATATCCCTATTTATCCATCTGCACACATACAACAGTCTAGGCTATTGTCTGATGGAGAGAAGGTTGAATATTGTCTGCATCTATATGGATGGGGCCCAAACCTGAAATAGAAAGGGCATTGCAGGTCAGCATTTGGATGAACTGGCTGAACTGCATGGGGATTTTGAATGGCACCCTCCTGTGCTTTCCTTAACTCCAGCCAAAGCCATTAAACACTGGCCTGACATTTGAGCATCAAAGAGAACTCCATTGTCACACATATTAAGGACAGCCACCAGCATAACTAACAAATCTGCCACCTTACATAATGTGGGGTGAGTGCATGATGATTTTAAGCAGATGTCCTTCTTGAGACCAAATCTCATTTATGCTTTCATTCATTTTTTAAAAATGCTTTATCCACTAACACATTGTGGCAACGAAGATGGAAGCCCTGATTCATTCTGTATCTACAAATTCTCCAGTACTTCAGTGCTGGGGCCTGAAACAAGCCACACTCTCTGAGCTGAAATGCCTTCCTCCTAATGCCAGATGATTGCAACTCTTTGCTAGTGAAATACCCACCATGATGATGGGCAGGATGTATGCAGAGGGAAAGCTTTTGCATTGCAAAGACCAGAGTGGGAGTGGAGGATGTCCTCTGTCTAAATACCAAAATGAATCTGTATCAGTACCTGCCTATGTGCAGACCCTGAACCAAACCATACTTTCTCCACAGAGAAGAAGAGGAACCCTACTTTGAGCCCCAGCACAGATGGGGACTCTGGGAAGTTAACAACTCCTAAGAAAGAACTGAATTATTCCCCTCTTGAGGAGGCTGCAATAATGAGGGACCAAATGTTTCCCTGTGCTAAAACTCCAAACTGTTTGGAAGACTGAAGCCTCCCTGTCCTCAGTCCTGCTTGGGAAGAGGAGGTAAGTACTAGTGCATGCTCTGGATCAGAGCCCCATAGAGATGCCAGAAGAGGCAGAGCCGGGTCTACTGTAAAACCATCAGTTACTGATTGCAAATTGTTGGTGCAACAGCTGTGAGGGGGAGGTCCCCTGTCCAGCCTTCCAGATCCTGCTGGACAGCTCCTTGGCTGCTCCAACTCCTGTCCCAAAACTTCCTCCTTTGGCACCACTCAGGTTTGGAGGAAATGGAAAATTAAACCCCCTGGCAGCCTTCACCAATCTGATACTCTCCAGATGTTTCAGACTACAAACTCCCATGATCCTCAGGTAGCACTGCTGGAACGAATAGGAGTTGTAGTCCAATATATAGCCTGTCAGAGAGGGTTGGGTCATCTAGTGTCAGAGCAGAGAGAAATGCTACCCTCATTGACCTCATGCGCAGCTTTTTCTCCATAGGAGAAGATAACAAGCAATTAACTTATAAAGGACAAAACAATGGGATCAGTTCCCGTCCATTGTGAATCAAGAATGCTTCTGTCTGACTCCCTATCCTCTTTCACAGGTCCCATATTGAATCTGTGTTTAGGTCAACCTATGACAGAATGTTGGGGTCTGGTTCTAATACAGATAGATGAAGAAGGAATATCAGGTCAATAGACTAGAATAGTATAATCCAAAGTGGAAGGTACTTGTGTGTATATTTTAGTATTCAGGGCTGATTAATATTCTGTCCAGTGAGCTATATTTTGTAATTATTATTATTTCTTACACATTTGGTATAATAAAAAATAAAACCAAGATAAAACTAAACAGAAAAGCTAAAAGCATTTATATGCATAAAAGGCAATTTAACACATTCCACCCATTAGTGGAGGCCACAAAATCTAAAACACTCCTAGTTAAAGGCCAAAAGCCTGTATGAAAAGAAACATTTTTGCCTGGCACCTAAAAGTAACATATTTGGTCGTAATGGAATGGACAATTATACTAAGTACCATTAGCCAATATATTGTATTTTCATAGGAGAGAGAGAGAGAGAGAGAGAGAGAGAGAAAGTGTGTGTGTGTGCGCGCGTGTGTGTGTGCGCGCGCGCATTTATTCAATTTCTTTCCCGCCTTCATATATACAGCGCCATTAACATTGCAGAATAAGAGAAGTGGAAAAACCCTTGCACTATAGGTCTTTCTCACAAACTATATTTGTATTGTGAGGGAGACAAAAAAGGGGGGAGAAAGGATAAATGAAGTTTCACACAGAGAGTAGGTGAGAAATTTAGTTAAATTTTAGACATAATTTTGGATCAGGATGAGAATTATGAGATTAGGCCAAAGGTTTAATGAAAGAGGTAAATCCTGATGAGGAACCTAAAGCAGGAGACTTGTGGGGGTCTGGATACGGCTACCATGAAACAGGGACAATCTGCACATGCTCAGTGTAACTCTTTGCCTTATCACTTCACATGACCTGGATGCTGAGCTTTCAGGTATCCTGATTCAAAGCCTTCATAATCTCTATTAAAATATTCAGGATTACTTTAGAGGTGAAAGGATATCTTGCAGCATGAGTGACAGCCAACTTCATCAGATTAATGAACAGGGATTTTATTCCATTAAAGCCAACAGGATTTCACTGAGAATTAATTTGACCTCTTGCGGTGCTGCCTTTCTTGCCAAGGTCCCACTCTGCATTCACACTGCAATCTCAGCTCCTCAGGAGCAGAGAATTCGTATGTGTTGGTCTCCCTTTTAGTTACATTTTTCTGTAGCTTGCTCCAGCTCAAAAATTAATCTGCCTGAAGCTTTCATGCTTCCACAGTTTACAATCAGCTTTGATGCCTTCTCACAGACAGGCCAAAATAACTTGCTTGCCAGTGAAGAGAGATAAATTGGTCAAGAAAACACCATGCATTTCCAAATTATTATCCCTTCAGGAGAGCCTGATGCTCTCATCTAAATTCCACAGAGGTAAACAGGGGCAGGGAGTAATATTTCAATGTTGGGTTTTAAGGGACAGAATTAGCCTATTTGTAGACCTGTCCACACTTTGATTGCATCTGCATAGATAGTCCATTCTTCTTTCAAGGTTCTAGCTCCTTTCCGGCAAGAGAAGTACTAATTTTAACTCCTACCTGATAAAATGTGTGACCCATCATGCCCTCTCAGACAAGCTTTTATCACTGGATGATAAATCTGGTCCAAAATCTAGGGAAGCATTTTGTACTAATAAGCAGTTTTTCAGAAGGAGCAGAATTTCCTGTTCTAGTACTGCCTTGGTGTGCATACTTTTGCTGGTTAAAAAACATTAGGGGGCAGAAAGAAGGGGTTGATGCGTATTCTCCAACATTTGACGAATGCCAACAACACTTGTTTTATATTAAGATAGCCTATCATGTAGTGCCTTCCAGATGTTGTTAGACTCCAACTCTCATCAGTCCCAGACAGCATGGCCAATGGTCAGCGATAAACAGAAGCTGTAGTCCAACAACATCTAGAGGACACCACTGGCACCAAGTTTTATAGTATATATCAATACGCAGGGGTGGGAAATGCAAGAGCTATTCTTCCTCCCAAATTGTAATCTGATATCCCAAATATAATTTGCTAAAATAATAATAATCTATTTGTTTGCTGTTCATTTGGACACTTAAAATATCATAACCAAATTTTGTATGATGGTTCCTGAGATCAAGTTTTTGTCTATGTTTGGATACAATTAGATGCTATTTTGAATCAAGATGGTGGACTGAACTGTTCAAAATTGCACTTTCTTTTTTAACTTCTTACAGTCCTAAGCAATGCCAGGTACAAGGCAACTAGTAGTAAATAAATAATGTTGGTGCCACCTGCTTGAGGTTGAGGCATGGTCCTCTTGTGTGTTCCAACAATACTTACTGAAGACTGATGATCTTAAACAGCATAATGCACAGTTGAAATGCCTGGGAGTTTGACCTTAAATAGATCAAATCAAAGCACTTTCAGCTCAGGCACACTGAATCTGTTTTATAACAAGTCAGAATCCAGTCCTGTCTACTATCAGCTAACAGCTAGGCAGCAGGGGAAAGACTGCCCATCTTGGAAGACCAAGAAACATTGGAAAGGGCCATTTGGTGGTGACACTGTATGATTGTGGGATATCCTCCCTTTGAAGATCCACTGGGCCTCTTCTGTGTCAGAGTTGCGTTTTTTATTTCACAAAGCCTTCAGTTTTGTATTCCATCCTTCCTCTCTCCTCCCCCCCAAATGATTTTGATCGGTTTTTAATCTGCTGTTTTTTATTTGCTTTTATCTGTGGTCCTTTCAAATAGTTTGCTGTAGTTTATACGACTGCTTATATGTTCCTTGCCTCAACTGCTTTTAATCCTGTCAACTGTTTTTCAGGTCTGCAGGCATAAAAGGGTGGGGTTGAGGGGATAAGAGTAATTAATCAAATCAACAACAATAGCGACTGTACTTCAGGCAAGACTTCGTGAGGTGAACATGCCAAGAGTGTAAAAAACATGTTGTATATTAAAAAGTGCTGTTAGAATCGCGGGGGGGGGGGCGCATCTGCCCTCATGGCAGCTGTGTGGAAACGGCAGAAAAACGAAGCCGTCTCAAGAAGAATGCCTTTTGAGAGGTAGAACTCGTGTGCGCGTTTCAACATGTTCTCACACACATATGTTAACGTGTTTAAAAGATTCGGGTAGGCTCAGGTGTTGGAAAGGTCAGCTGGGCGTGCTGGGTGCGTGTGAAGGCCGGCCACGCGGCCCCTCGACCTGACGGGACCCGGAGGCGGGCGGAGAGGCCAACGGCCGCCCAGCGTCGCCTCAGCTCGGCTCCCCTCCCCCAGCTCGGCTGGAAAGAGGAAGGCGCTCGAGAGACTCGCCTCGGATCCTTTTCAAACCGGTTGACATTGCTTTGGTTTCGACGACCGCCCGCCCGCCCACTCCCTTTCCAAGCGAGGCCATTCCCGGAGTTGTACGGCACGAAGCGTCAGCGCGCGCCGCAAAATCAACCCGCGAGGCGGGGGGCTCATTTTTTTATTATTCGTTTTGTAGACTCCCTCCTCCCCCCGCCTCCCTCCCTCCCTCGCGCCTCTTCCCGGCTTCTGGCGAAATCTCAGCAGCAGCAGCAGCCCGAGGGCCGAGCAGCAGGAGACGGGTTTTCGCGGTGACGTCACGGCGGGTGGGCGGAGCTTCTTTCCCCTCCCCCCTCCCTTCGCTCTCCTCTCTCGGCCAATGAGCATCGTCCACATGCCGCGGCCGCAAGAGGGGCAGCCGCGAGTTGGCTCGGATAAATTCTATTAGAGCAGCGGCCGCCGGCTCAGCCAGCGCCGGGGAGGGGAGCCGGGACGAGGGAGGGCAGGAAGCGGGAGAAAGGGACACCCCAAAAGCCCCGCCGCCGCCGCCGCCGCCGCCACACACAAAAAGGGGGGCAGGAAGCCGGAGAGCCGACCGAGGCCTGCGCTGCGCTGCCGAGCCGGGGAAGAGCGCGCCGAGGAGCCGCCGGTGCTGCCCCGTCCGAGGCGGGTGGGGCGCTTCTGTCTGCCCCCAACCCTGAGGGCGCTCGCACCTCAGCGAACCCGGAGGGAGGCGCCAGGGGCCAGTTACTGACTGCATCTCCGACGGCGGAATCAGGGGAGGAATTCTTTAAAAGGGGGTGTCTCATTTTATAACCCCCCCAAAAACCCAGTTTGCGGAGCAGCCCCTTCACCCCCTTCACAAAACACCCCTCGAGTTGGACCCGTCACCCTGAGGGCGGGCGGAGCGGGCTGGGTGAGGCACCCTTGCCAGTCAAAAAGAGGGGGTGCCTTTCTGAGTTGGGGTGGGAGGAGGAGGGGAAAAGGGGCTTTCTTGCCCCCTCACCCTGGTGGTAGCTGTGGGCCGTCCCTCCCCCCGAAAGATCTCTCCCCGAGGGGGTGCGCGAGCCTCGACTGACTGGCTGGCTTCGCCTTGCTAGAAAGCGCCGGGCGCCCTTCTGGATCTCTTGTCTTCGATGGTGACAAATCCGGGGAGGAGGAGGAGTGGGGATCCGTAGGGGAAGGGAGGGTGGCGGGCGAGGAAAGGAGTAGAGAGGAGGCTAGTGGTGAGCGAGGGTAGGCGCCGCTTTTTTTATTTATTTGCTGCTGCGAAGAAGGAAGAGGAAGAGAGGCAGCGAAGGAAGGCGAGGGAAACCCGAGCGAGGCTCCATTTGCTGCTGCTGCTGCTGCTTCTCCTCCGCCGGCCTCAGCCATGGAGAACGCGCACACGAAGACCGTGGAGGAAGTTTTGGCTTATTTCAGCGTCAACGAGAGCACCGGGCTCAGCTTGGAGCAGGTCAAGAAGCTCAAGGAGAGATGGGGCGCCAACGGTAGGTCGGAGCAGCAACCCGCCTCCTCCTCCTCCTCGCCGGAGGGGAGATGCTGCTGGGATTGCCTCCCCCCTCGCTCCCCTCCGCATTTCTTTTTATCGCCATTCTTCTCCTCTTCCCTCGGCCCCTTCTCAAGGCCTAAACGGGTGGCCAGCCACGCACAGGACACATCCGCAACCCCCCCGAAAAAACCGGCATCTGCTTCAGGAACCGGAATAAAAGGAAAGGGAGAGAGAAGATGGCTGACTCTCGATCCACCTCGTGGGTTCCCTTCCGTGCCCCAGGCTTCTGGGGCTGTTCCAGCGTACAAGCTGCCCGCCCGCTTCCCTTTCCCCTTTAACGAGGGCAGAGCTGCTTCTGTTTTACACGGAACACGTTTTATATCTCTCCTTTCCCTCCCGTTCTTAGCATCTTAGCCTATTGCTTATTTGACCTTTGTTTCTTTTGTTCTTTTCCTTCCGGCTTGGTTCCTCATTCCTGTTAAACGCTCTTGGTTTAAAAAGAGGATTCTGAAGGTGCGGGAGGGGGCGAGAAGGCACACTGCTTTCACTGTGTTGCAAAACCGGCATTTGCATAGGAAATTGTATGACGGGGCCAGAGGTGAGAGAGCTACCCTTGAAAAGTGAAGAAGTATTTTCTTTCCTCTTTGCTTTTTGAAAAAGGAAGGTTGAGGAAAAAATAAAATCTCTTTGTCTGAGGCTTAAGAGAGGTGTGTGTGTTTAAACACCTTTGACCCTGTGTGTGAAGCTCCATTAGAAGTTATGGTTGGCAGCAGTGATGACTTGGCTGAATTTGTAACCTCACCAGCTTGATGCTTAGGGTAAAATGCTGGGAGCATGAGGCCTGCTCTCTGTCTCAGTGAAAGAAGGCACCTTAACCATTACATTGTTTGTGCCTTTGATATTAAGTTAAACATTCTAAAAAACCCTTTAATGCAGCTGAGGCTTCAAGTATGGATCCTATTATACTAGTTTCTAATAATATCTTGTTCTTTCTTCCTTTCTTGGACGTGCTTTCCGGAAATCTTTATCTCTTAAAGAGCTACCAGCTGAAGAAGGTAAGCAAGTTTGTGAGGCATTTCATATTTCTACATGACATTAATAGTGTACATTTGACAACTTATATCTACATTTTTTCTTGGCAGGAAAAACTTTACTTGAGCTTGTTATCGAACAGTTTGAAGATTTATTAGTTAGAATTTTGTTGTTGGCAGCGTGTATATCATTTGTAAGTATCTTATATTTTTTATTTCATATTTGTCTGACCTGCCATGTATATAAACCTGCCATGCAGATTCTTCAAAAGTTCTTAACCTGACAAGTGCAAAAACCATACCTTTTAATTTGCCTTAAGTTTTAGCCTTGGGACCGAATATCATGTTTTCTACCAGAAAGTGTTTTGTCTCTGGATTTTAGTGCAGTTACTTTGACCGCAATCCTAACCATATTTTCTCAGAACAAGTTTGATTTTGCTGGGATACTGCAGTTCAAAGTTGTGTTTTAATATGGGGCCAGGATTGCATACCAGTTAAACCAGATACACACTAACATTTTTTGATACATAGTATCCATGGGATTGATGATATTTTTTAATTTGAAGTAGGATCTCCCAGTTCTTGCCTGTTAACCTTGGCCCCAGTAAGAAGGTGAACTAGTATTCTTTGTATGGTTGATTGTTATGAAACTAACTGAGACTGCTGGAAATCTTTTTTTGGATGCAATGCAAACTGTAAATAGAATTTGCATGGGGGAATATTCCAGTTGCCTTCCCTCGCTGATAATAGCAAGGTGACAGTTGTTGCTCTTGACAGTGACAAGAATGATGACAGCAGTGATGGCACCATTGTTGACCAAATTTGGTAACTGACCTTTGGGAAGCCTCCTGCGTTGCATGCAGAATTGGTAGGATGGGACTGTGAAACCGGTTCTGGATATTTTTACTTCTTCCTTATTTAAAAGCCGTTGAATAGAACATTGCCTGATGCCAGGTCTGTGTTTGCGGAGAAACAGTTAGATATGCAGCAAAGATCGAAACAGAGGGTGGTCATGGTTCACACATTCTGACATGCTGAAAAGGAAGGGGTAAACTATAAAAGCGTTACATGTGGAGATGATACTTAAACAGGTTGGCATGGTGCAAATGGTAGTGTTCTCTTTGCCGAGACTTTAGCTCTAAAATGCTTGGTAGCATTGGGCATGTAGTGCCAGCCTAAACTATGGACAGGGTTGATGTGAGGATGATGGAGATAAAGAATGTACAGCGCTTTGTAACCTGAAAGGTAGGTTAGAGAAGGCTGGGGTTTGTAGGACTGTGTGCACACCAACATGTGCTTTCATTATATATGTCAACTCTAGAGTTCCCCTTTAACTGCAGCTTTTTGTGACATATTAGCAGTTCTGGAGAGCCCCATTATTTCCAGGAGCAGCTTTTCAGGGATCACAAGGCACTGTGGTGGGAAGAAGGGGGTTTAAAAATGGGTTATATGTGGAACCTCCAAGATAGCTCTCCCCAATTGTGGATTTATGTGGCAGTTTTCAGAGGAACTAAATTTAATCTTTGGGGCCTTTTTGGAAGCTATAAGAGTAGAAAACAGTAAATGGTGCAGAGCTCTCTTAAGTGTTTGCAAAATAATTGTGGCAGTAGGAAATACGATCCGGAAAAAACAGGTGAGAGGAGGGTTACCCCTTGTACTAATATGTAGCATAGCATGTTGCTGATCTTGAGCCAGTGAGGGTTTCAGATATCTTGACACTGGCATGTGCTTTCAAAGAAGATGGTCTTCAGTTCTGGTACTTATGCATCATTGCAGTTAGTCAAAGCTTGGCACTGATTTTTCTTGTGGAGATGATTGGCTTAGTCATTCTGGTTTTTTTCTTACGAAAGTTAACTATGTATGACTATGCCACTTTAAAATGAGCGAACATTTTATGTAAAGGAAGTTGTGAGTATGAGATGAGACCAACCCATTTTGGGGTTCACTAGAAGGTATGTTAGTAAATGCGGATAACTTGTGCATATTCAAAATACATTTGCAGTTTTAAAATAGCATTATTGGTTATAAACCTGATTTTGAGTGACAGTCCATTATTTGTGTTTATGATTTGATTAGAAATGCTCAAGAATTATGCATTCTGAAAGCGGACAATTAGTGAGCACTACGTCTGAAAAGTTGTGCACGTTAACAACGTGAGATGACATGCCTTGACTTACCATGCATAGAATTCCCTACAGTTATTATAGCGTGGGTTAGGTTTTCCTGGAAGAATCTTTCCTTAAACAATTTCCAGGAAGCAAACCAGTGAATTTATTTCTCCAGAATATATTCTAATATTTTGAAACTGAATCTGGGGGATGTTAATTCCAGAGTTAAAAGCTAGCACAAAAATGTGAATAATTTTGCTCTCCATATAGTCTTATTTAACTGAATTATTAAAAGTTATTGCTATACAGTGGAACCTCGTGTTACGTACCACCCTCCTTACAAATGCTTCGGGTTACGGGCTCCGCTAACCTGGAAGTAGATGCCCTTTGTTGCGGACTTTGCCCCAGGATGCGAGCATAAGTCGAGCAGCGCGGCAGCAGCGGGAGGCACCATTAGTGAAAACACGTCTCATGTTAAGAACAGTTTCCGGTTACAAACGGACCTCCAGAACAAATTAAGTTCATAACTGGAGGTACCACTGTAATCTTGAGGTTTAATTTTATGCTGATTTCAGTAATGTAGGCCTGTATAGAGTATAGATCAAAGATACTTGTGTTAGTTTACTCACTATTGGCTATTTTATTTTTAAAAATGACTGTAATCCTTGAATAGTTGCTCTTGAACAATTTCTTTGGTTAAGGTTGCATGTGGATGTTGAAATGCAATCCTAGCAGAAGCTTTTGAGATTGTCTTTAGAATTGCTAAGTTTCCATAGGTCCAAAGCTGACAATATTCTAGCCTATAGGCTTTTTGACACCACACATTAAACCATAGTTTGAAGAATAAATTGTTTCTGTGTGAATAAGCTAGTGTGCTGGTGCATGCTGCTGAAAAGTTCACACTGAGTTCCTCTGCTCTGCCACAGGGAACCAAGTAGGAGTCTGGCTTGTTGTGATATCTGAAACCCAGCTCATGGTTTGATTTTCCCCAAACAAACCATGATCAGTATTCTAAAAATAAACCTTGGTTACTACTTGTGGCTTATTTCTCTCCAAACAATGAACCTGGTTTTAGACGTCATGACAAGCCAGGCTTGTTTCCTGGCAGTGTAGCAGGAACTGGGGAGGAGTGGAGCAAGAACTTTGAATGCACCAGCATACTGCATGTTCACATTAAACCTTTTTAGAAGTATGGTGTAGTGCAGTGATGGCCAAACTTGGCTCTCCAGCTGTTTTGGGACTACGACTCCCATTGTCCCTAGCTAACAGGACCAGTGGTCAGGGATGATGGGAATTGTAGTCCCAAAACAGCTGCAGGGCCAAGTTTGGCCATCACTGGTATAGTGTAACATCTGTCATGTCTGCCAGTTGGTTGAAGTGTACAATATAGAAAAAAGTATTGCACTCACTCAGAGACCTGAAAAAGATGCTTCCTCACTTTTTTCCTTGAATTTCTGATGCAATTTGGAATCTTAATGTTGGAACAAAGTATTTAAAGGGCCCTAATAGTGAAGTGCACTTGAATAAGCCTCTTCCCTCCAGAATAATGGGAGAACTGTGCTCCTGAGGAGTTGTGATGATTAATTTACAAAGAGGCCAGGCAGTGCTTAAAAGGACAACTGTGAAGTGTACATTAGGGGAAAACGTGGGCCTATAAATTTTGCATTTCCCCTCTGAGGGAAATAAGACAGTGTCTTTTAACTGTTTCACTGCAAAACAAGCATTTTACTTAAATACAACCTTCCCCAATCTTGGTTCCACAGACTGTAGACTATAGCCCCCATCATTCCCAACCAGCATAGCCAATGCTCAGGGATGATGCAGTTTGGTCCAACAACATCAGAGAAAACAAGGTTGTGGAAGGTTACTTTAATGTGCAGAGAATTATGTATTGTGTGTAATTCTGGATGATTGTATTTTGCTTCTATATTCATATGTTCAGGTCTGTAAGTCTATAAAAATAAGAAGAAGATGCAACTTCCCCTTTCTCTGCTGATGAGTGCTTGCTACATGTTCGTCTTGAACAGTCTTGTTGATGATTTAAAACTCAGAACACCCAAAGTTTGTGTGCATGGTGCTTTGTTTGTAAAACAAGGACAGAATGTGAGAACCACTACCCTATAGATTAGGAAAAGTAGTACATGCAAGAGAAGGAAAATATTGTGATTCCAACAAATGAAATTATAAATATTGGACTCTATGGCAGGAATCTGGTTCATTTTTATGAACCAGTGTGGTTGGTGCTGGAGTAGAACTGGTTTGAATCCCTCCTTAGCTGTGAAGCTCACTATGTCATCTTGGGGCACACTATTATCCCACCTCAAAGGGTTCTTGTGAGGATAAAATGAGGTGAACCTGTGTATTCCACCTTAAGATCCTTGGGTGGAATAGTGGGATAAAAACAATACAATATTCTTTGCCCTATGAAAGTATGATGCCATATTGCCCTGACCAGTGGCCTTTCTTGTGTTGTCTAATTTGACGGGCAGTAGCTCTTGAAGGCCTTGGAGGTGTTTCATAGCTGTGCCACCTAAGATCCTCTCACTACAGGTTGTGTGACTTCTGGAGGTAAAGGATGTGCTCTATCGCTGAATTATGCTCCATTGTCAGGGAGGGCCTTTCTCTAGCACCAGTTCCTACCATATTAGCCTTGATTCTATAATGCAGTTTGGGAGATGTGACGTTACTTATTTTCCTGAACAAAAATGGCTTGCTGTGCTTCTAATAGTGACCATGAAATTGGCATGGGCAATTTAGTACACACAGTTGTTATCCTGGTGCTGGAGAATAACAGATGCAACATAGATAAGGTTAAGTTATTGGAACATGAAGGATCGTCTTACTCACTTGTATACAAAGACACAATCCTTCATAATAAGCATTCATACACAGTGTTCTAGCTTCGGCATTCTCTGACCTCTGAGAATTGGCCTATGTATCTGATGTTGCTTCTTACAGAGTAGGATACTTGTAGCCTAAATTACACAGCCGCTAAACCAATAGCCTCTTTTTTCGTAACTCCAGTAACTACAAATAAAATCCTGCTCTCTGGCAGATTGAACTTAGTTTTGTTAATTTTGTTGAACTTAGTTTTGTTAATTTTGTTAAACTTTGAAACAGGATTGAAGAGAGATTCTAGCAGATGTGATCTATGCTTATGTGTGATATGCCAAATAGCGGAGATTAGAAAATATACGCTATATGAGAGTTTAGAAAGGAAGGTGGCTTTATCATTCTTTTTAGAAATTTGGCAAGCTTTAAACATTGAGTATTTTTATCAAGTATTTGATATGCTGTAAAGCAGGTACTGTATCTTCAACCTTTTCAGACGCAGCACCCACTTTTAACCCAAACATGCATTTGGGGACCCATTTCTTAATCTTTCACCATAATATTTGTGTAGTGGTAGTGCTCCTATTACGGCCCACCTTGGATCAAACTGTGACTGACTAGTGGATCCTGACTCACCATTTGAAGACCAGTGCTGTAAAGAATAATATGTAATGTATTAAGAAGCACTGCAGTAAAAAATTATAAAAGAGGGGTGTTAAAGATTTTACTTGGTTAGTGTAGAAGAGGGGATGCAGCTCATTTTATGTGGCCTTGAAAGCTGGCTTGAGTTATTCATTTCTCTACACCAGACAGATTAAGGGAATGATCGAACATGTTATATAAAATGGTGAGAAAAGTCTTGGTATGTAAAAGTGCTGCCTGCATTCTGATAAAAAACATAATTTCCTTTTATAATGACCTCCTTTGACAACTTGTGGACATTTCCCCTTCAAATTTGTTTTCAGGAGGCATCTGGAAGTCACGTAATCATCTTATTAATTTATTCACTGCCATTTTGACCATGTATTTGTTTGACAGACTTGTAACATAAATTAGCAATTTACCTGACAAAAGTTTTTTAATGCTTGTAGAATACCTAATCCTATTGTGCATCTAGCAGAATGGGCACAGTGATCAACTAAATACATCTTTGGTCCCAAAACTGCTTAGAAAATTATCTTTGTGGCAGTATTTGGCTACTTCACTGTGTGTAGCATTGGATTAAAGATAATATGTAATGGGAAGTACTGTAGAATTTTAAAGAACTCGCTTATCTTAAGAATGTGTAGCTTTCCTCCCTCCAGGATGTTTTAATTAGTTTGAAGAAGCCTAGAACCCAGCCAGATGAGCAGCTAATAAATTATTATTATTATTATTATTATTATTATTATTATTATTATCTGAATTATAGCAAATGGTATGTACAGAAATAACTGATAGAATATCTAAGTGGTGGGTGCTCCTCTATTGACTAACTTTCTGTAACAACTGATAGGGAGAGTTTTTTGGCTGTGAATCATGGAAAGAGTGGAAATAACCTGAACTGATTGTGGACAGTGTCTCTAGGGCAAAATAATTTGTATGGGATAACTTGTTATCAAAACTATTGCAAAGGAATGCTTTATCTGTTTAATTTTAAATGAATTATGGTAAATTAATAAAAACAGTATGCAATAAGAGTCCATACAGCACTCCAGAGAGCATGAGTAAAACAATAGCATTAATAAGGTACTGTGAATTCCAAAAAAGTACTAAATGTGCATAAAAACAACAACTAATTTTAGAGTTGGACAGAGACGTGAATCCAGTTAAATGAGAATGGCATACCGTCCAACATTTCTCCAGTGAAAATAGGGATGTCCTATTCCATAATAAAAATGATAATAAAAATTTGATTACAGTATTTATACCACGCCCATCTGACTGGGTTGCCCCAGCCACTCTAAGCAGCTTCAAACATAGTGAAACATTAAGCATTAAAAATCTTCAGATGTCTTCTAAAGGTTGTATTTATCTCGTTGGCTTGGGGTTTACATAACTCGGTACCTTCCAATGAAAATAGGGACGTCCTAAGGAAAAGCAGGACATTCTGGGATCAAATCAGAAACCAGGGCAGCTTCTGTAAATGTGGGACTATTGCTGGAAAAAAGGGACACTTGGGAGAGTCTGGAATTGAGTGGGATGCATGTTCTATGTGCTATTTTTTATCTAGCACTTTACAATGTTTGTAATGCTAATCTCATTCATGACCCAAAATCAGATCTTTAGGCTTGTGGGCAGTGAATTTAATTCTGCTTTATTTCAGAATTAGTCATTAGGTACAGCACTGGTCCATTAGTATTACCCATGTTTGTGTTTAGCTGATCTTTGGAGGCTCATGGAAGCAGTGAGACTTGCTGTTTTCAAGAACCTCCAAAGACCAACTCAGGATCAGACCCAAGCTGGGGCAAGTGTTCACCTATAGTTTTCACTGGTGAGTTCATTGTGACTAGAGTACAAATCCTGCACAGAAATATATTAAATACATAATGGCATAGTCTTTTTTATGTGTGATGACAATTCTTAAGAACTGGTCTGCCTACCCCCAGTTGTTTTATAGCAGACTGCTTCTACCAAGTCTGTCAAATGCCCACTAGAAGCTTTGACTTTTCACACAGCCAGTAGCCACACAGGAAGCCCAAGTGCTAACGTGCCAAAACGTTCACATTTGTCTTTCCTTTTCAAAGCTTGGGCCTATATCATGTTATACACTAAGCTGAGTCTTACATGGCTGAATACACACAAAATGCCCTGCACATAGAAAGCAGGTTGTCCAGGAGTAGGATTTTAGGATAGCATGTTGGTTTTCTGTGTGTGTGCGAGAGTGTTTCGGGGGTGGGTGGGTTCTGTCATGTGATCTCTTCCCTTCCAACCTGAAACAATCCAAGCTTGCCACCTCAACTGATTGCTGTTTGTGAGAACAAGTGGTCATTAAACGTGTGTTAAGAGTCTTGTGTGGTATGGAAATGTCACACACTGTTGTATGATGTCTGCTATGTAGTTCAGAACTTAAAAGGTGGCAAACATGATGTTTAGAGACATTAAACATTTGATACCAATCTGCATGTACGTTTTCAGGACTTGCAAATAGAACTATTCATATTGGGCAAAAGATTCCTGCATTGCAGAAGGTTTGACTAGTTGACCCTTGTGGTCCCTTCCAACTATGACTCTAGGATCTCAGAGACTCTTGACTCCTATAGCTTACTATTCCATGCCCATCCCTAGTTGGTGTACCTATTTGCTTCAGGTCTCATAATCTTTTGTAAGCAGCAGTGGTATTTTAAACATTTTTGGAAGGTTTATGAAACAGCACATATTACTACAACTCAAAGAACCACTTCTAAAAGTCTTAGCAATATAAAGCCGCAATCCTATATCTGTGTATCTGGAAGTAAGGCCATTGAGCTTGGTAGAACTTCAGAGCAAGAATCCCAATATAAAGGGAATAATGATAATCTAATCAAGATCAGTTCATAGGACTGCTTTGTGGTAGAATTAAAAAAAAATGTTACAAGAAATATCAAGACAGTTATTTGTATTTACTAACGATTTTATGGTTTCAGTGTGTATATTTTGATTGGTTTGCTTGCTTGTGGGGATCTTGTGATGATGTACAACAAATAGTCTAAATAATTAAAATATGCTAAATTTTGTATTTTGCTATAATGCCGGCAAACGTTGAAGTTTGGCTTTAAAATGCAATACATGAGTGACTAGTTTATAATTTGTGAATGTAGAGAAGAGGAAAGGCAGATGGCAGCTACAGTGAATCTTTACATAGAGTTCTCCAGTTTCAACTTTTTCATGTTAATTGTACTAACCTCTCATAAAGGAAATTGTTCATTATAAGGTTGGCACAGCTCATTGTTAAAGATTACATCCTCTTTGGAAGAGAAAAGTGAGATGTAAGATGTGGTTTTTGTAATTGGTGCTTTGTATCTAGCAAGGTGTCTAAAATCAGCATGGCTGCTATTAATGAAATGAACCATTTGACAATTTTAGCATTTATTTTACACAGCAGGTTTCTAGACCTCACAATTCCTTAAGAAAAAGCTGCTGTGTATGGGAAACGTCAGCAAATGCTTATAAGAGTTTAGGATGGGATATTTTGGAACTGGTCTCACTCCCTTCTTGTGGCCTGGAAGTCAGTTATTTGTGTTCTCATCTTCTAGTTCCTCCTCTAATTGATGCCTCTCCGGTGCCCATTGTCTGTGCTGGGTATTGTAGAGAAAGGTGGATCAAAAGATAATCAGTTTATCATGAGCCAGAAATTAAAGACAAGCATGAAACATGTAGATATGTATACAGTGGATCCTCAGGTTACGTTACCTTCGGGTAACGTAACTTTCAGGTTGCAAACGCGGCAAACCCAGAAGTGTATACTTCCGGGTTTCGCCGCATGCGCAGAAGTGCTCTATCGCGCTGCGTGTATGTGTAGAAGCAGCAACTCTAGATGCAGACTTTTGGGGGTACATACGGACCCCCGGAACAAATTAAGTTCGTATCCAGAGGGTCCACTGTACTGTAATATATTCCCTGTGCCTCAGTGGGAGGTAATGTGCCTAAAAATCTGGATGAATTGTATTTTCTTGATTTTCTTATTTTATCTTTTTGTAAACCACTTTGAGAGTATTTTTACAATGAAGTAGTGTATAAATTTTATGAAGTGAATTAATCATCTTAAATCAGTACGAAATATTTATTGTTTTTATTTTATGTCATATTGAGCATGATGGACTTTAAAAAATTGGCTGTCTTAGTGGTGCTCTTATTCCATTGATAGATGCCATTGCAGAGGCATTTAATCTCTTATTTTAGTACTAGGATCCTGAATACTTCAGTCACATCATAGCTGTATAACTGGAGCTCCATCAAGTGGCTAATGATAAGTTGTAGCAATAGCCATTTAAAAGAGCCAAGATTAAATTTAGGAGTGAAATCTAGATTCTGCATTCCAACCCACCAGAAGGTGATTTTCTAATGAAATTTTCCTCTATTTAAGATTTATCATTCCCCTCAATCTAGAAACTGCCTTCCCTATAGCCTTTAGTGCAGTACAGCATTTCCTCCATTCTCTATTTCCCACAGCCTGTGTACCCACCTGGAAAATAGTTCTACTTAACAAGATTCCTCTTCTTTCAGCTTCCTATTGACTGGCTTCCAAGCACTAATGATTTCAGCATTATTAAGTTTGTTGATTTTTACTTCCTGTTGCATAATATGTTGAATATAGTAGTAGATATTTTCTGCATTAATCGTTGCAGAGTTTGATACAGGCTACCAAGTAAGTGTAGATTAAATGAAATTTTGCCTGTGACTCTTAAGTACCCTATTCAGTGACCTGGTTCACATGTAACATTAAACCATGGTTTAGTGGCGCATGTGAACCCAGCACAGCACAAGCCATATTTTGTTGTTGGCTCCCTAACTTTAATTATGTTTCAACATTGTGGGTGACCCCAGACATTGTAATTCTTTCAGTTTGTATAAGGATTTCCACTGCTCTTGCATATTCTTCCCGCTGAAAGCAGCTCTTCATGTTTGTGTTGGAGATGGTTTCTGAAAGTGGTCTGGGATGACTTCTGAGGCAGCACAGGAAACGCTTTGGGGAAAACTAGGGCTCAGGGGCTCAGAAACCTTTTGATAAAGGCATTTATCTACCTAAGATCAAGTTTCATTTTTTAAAGTCTATCATGGATTTTTATAATATCCAGTAGCTATGGGAGCACCCATGTAGATACAATCAAGGAACTACATGTATTCAAGAGAGTACTTGACTGCATTTAGCTGTAAATAATTAGGAGGGCACTTTCCTACGTTTCCTGATATTAAAGTAAATTATTCTTTATGTTGATGAATCTAAATAAGGGGATAGCTGCAAGCTGAGCTTGAGCTCTGTTGGGTCTGACATCTTTTTAAAAAATACACACATGCAGTATTGTATGAAATTTTGCTGAGACATTCCACACTTCTTCCATTTTTATGATTTAATCACTTTGGTTTTTCTAGCGCCCTGTCAGTATTTTAGCACATATGCGCCTCTTAACTGTGTGGCGACCTTATCCAGAAAATGTCAACTACATTCTAGTTCCTGATCACCCTGCAACCAGACCGCTCAGTATTACATGACTTAACCTTCTCTATTGTTAACAGAGAGGAGGCTTGGCTTTAAGGAATGTGGGACTTAGTAGCAGATTATAATGACAGTTTAGAACCTGATAAATATTACCATGTTTCAATCTCAGAATAGCAAACTAACCAAGCATAAGCATGGTAGCACAAAGCTTACTATGTATTAAACTACTAAAGTCTTATCTTTAAGAAACTGTTGCAGATTGTGTCTCTGGATTTTATTTTTTAAGACTAACCTCTAACATTGCCATGTAAGCTACCCGAGAGAAAAAAATACATTATTAAAAAAATTATACACACACACACATACTGTATATGTTTCCTCACTCTAATTTATTTAGGCATTGTTAACAAAGCTAAACTTTGTAATTTGTTTTGAAAATAAAAGCTACAATTCTAGCCTTCTAACGTGCAATGTACTTTCAAATTCAAGCCATTTGGGAAGGTGAAGATGGGATTATTTTTGTAAAATGAAATTTGCTTTTAGCTTCTAATGTGTCGCTTAAGTGACTTTTCTTTTTAACTGGTGCAATAAATCCTAGGGTATATCTAATTACCAATGACTAACATATAGCTAAAATTAAGACAACTGTTATAGAAAATACAGTATATAATATTTGAATATGTAAAATGACCTGTTCTTCAATCTCTCTTGTAGGTGTTGGCCTGGTTTGAAGAAGGTGAAGAAACAGTCACAGCCTTTGTAGAGCCTTTTGTAATCTTACTCATATTGGTAGCCAATGCAATTGTGGGTGTGTGGCAGGTGAGTGAATATTTTGTAATGCTTGAATCTTGGAAAACTTCATAAACATTGTTCCAATAGGCTGCAACTTGTACAGACTAATTTTAAGTAAATTTGCTATATATATTTTTGATTAGCCTGAAAGTAGATGCAAGTTGTGAAATAGTGGAAATAGTTCAGCATTTCAGATTTAGTTATTTGAGAGATGCTCTACATTGTAGAAGTACTGCAGGATCCAAAGAGCCATGCAACTAATTAAGTGAACCCAAGGAAACTTACGACTTGTATTGCTTAAGCAGCAGCCCTCCATATTGTGTAACAAGTTTCTTTTGAAATCAGGAAGTTACAGGATGGATCTGCTGTACTAGAAATTAAATTTTGAGAGTTTGTGAAGAATGCTGAACTTTAGGTCTTTTTTTTTTTTTAGTTTTAATTAAGGTTTTTTGTGTTACAAAGAAAAACAGTGGTACATCTATTGTCTCCATTTAGGTCATTTATGAGAATTGAGTATTTTGGGGGATGAGGTGATACATGTGTTTTTCATAGTTGATGCATGACACTGAAATCTTACTTGCTTATTTAAATCTAAAATTTGAATTGCTTCTGCATGGTGTATTTATGGTAGTTCTAACTTGCATGCATGGACTGACATGCCATTAAGGTTAGGAAAACCCAATTTGCCCTGAACTACTTCCTCAGTATGCTTTTATTGTCTTTTATATAATTATATGACATGTGAATTGGTTGTTTTGTGTATTTGAGAATGTATGTGTTTATAGTAACAGGCAGTGGTAGAAACTGATATATAAAAGCTAATCGCCATATGGCACCTTAAACCTGGGTTGCGGCTGCACTTAAGCTCTTTTTTTTACAAGATAACAAAGCTGAAAATGAATTGTGTATATTGTCAGTTCCAGTTAAAATATTATGTTAATTTTTCATATGGTCTAGTCCTCATCTGAAGACTGCAAAATGCTTCTCCTGCCTACCCTACAGATACTCTCATGTGGGTCCTTTCTTCAGTCTTCAGAGAGTAGCTGGAAATGGGAAGGCCGAAAAAGGTCCCCCTTTCCTTCCACTCTGCATTCAAGCTCTAGATCAGGAGTAGGCAACCTAAGGCCCGGGGGCTGGATGCAGCCCAATCGCCTTTTCAATCCGGCCCGTGGACGGTCCGGGAATCAGTGTGTTTTTACATGAGTAGAATGTGTCCTTTTATTTAAAATGCATCTCTGGGTCATTTGTGGGGCATAGGAATTCGTTCATTTTCCCCCCTTCAAAATATAGTCTGGCCCCCCCACAAGGTCCGAGGGACAGTGGACTGGCCCACAGCTGAAAAAGGTTGCTGACCCCTGCTCTAGATTCTCACTACACCCCCTTTCCTTCATATTACATATATCCTTCTGGCACCACCTTAACTGAAGAGAATGCAAACAACAGCAGACCACCAGGGTCAGGCGGTGGCAGCAGATTTGGGCCACATTCACAGCACACATTAGCAGATTTTCTTTTATACTGCTAACTAGAACCTTGAAAACCCTTTATTTTTTTGACTGTTTCCTTTTGCTGGCTCATCGAACAGCTTGAGTCTTAAATGCACTTTAACATATTTATATTTGTCAAATCAAGTAGTTGCCAGTATGAATACATAAATTGCCCCAATACATAAATGGGTCACCCATTTTGTAGGAAGTTATTTCTATATCAAGCTTATGTATAGTAGGGCCCACAGCCTTCATATCCTGACAGACATGGAGTTCCCTCACCCCCAATTTGTGTATTGGCGATTATTGCTATGCAGGATTCAAGAGAAATCTGGGATCTGAGAAATGTTTGAAAAGGAAAGGCCCCAGTTGGCTATTTCTGAAAGTATGGTGAAATGAGAATGACTGTCCCCTGAAACCATGGTAATAAGATATTGGTATAAAACCACTGCCAAGCCGGAGCTACCAGATTCTGACTAATAACTTTTTATAGGTAGTGTTTCTTTTAGTTGGTTTCAAGCAGCTCATCTGTTTACAATCCAATAATCTGTTCCTGAAGCCTATACCACAAAAATATACCCAGCCAATGTGTATTACAAATCCCCAAATGGTATATGATAGGTGATTATTGAAGTCTCTCTCTGCTTGGAATGTATAAGGTAGTTGACTATTCTAAATAGCAGATGCTATAAGCAGTTGAATGCATGAATTTAATCTGGAGCAGAAAGTGTGAGCAGGATGTCCCTATAGTACAGATCTTTTAATTGCTCTCACAGATGGGATTGTTAAAAATAGTCACTCAGATAAATTCCAAAAGAACATTTTCTATTTAAAGTGGTCTATCTGGGTGGCTTAATAACGACAAGTATGCTCATGTTACAATTCTGAATGGGAGCTGGGAAGGGAGACAAATGTAACTTTTGCCTCACGTAACATAATGTTAACAATATGAACATTTCCCCGGAAAGCTAATTCTTTAGTTGTTGGATTGGCAGAAAAGACACTTGATTTTCAGCACTTAGTTGAAGCAGTTAGATAAAGTGTTTTGCAATGGAACAATATGCAAAACAATTTTTGATATCTGCTAATGTTGAATCTGGAAAAGTTATGATTTGTGGGTTGGGGCAAGTAGCAAAACTGTTGGCTACTTGGAATTTTTTTTCTGTTGGTGACCTATAATAACTTGGCAAGATTTTAACATTGAACTGTCTGGAAATAGACAATATTATTAACTGCAAAGTCCTTATTAAATAACTACAGGCATACACCACTCTTAACATACTCAGATTCAGTTTTTGTGGACATTTATGAGCAGCATTCAAAATTAGCCAGGAACCAGGTGCATTTTGTGACTGGGAATGGCCTGATTGCAAGCAATTTGAGAAGTCTTGGTGCTGCGTATGGTGACTGAGATTCAAGGTTAAAATTGCTGCTGCTAGAAATATCTTCCTGCCTGACTTCAAAGTAAGATCGCTGGCTGCTGCCTTCCATGCTGCTTTGCCTCACCTCGCCTCCCCACCCCAAAATGAGATCTCTGCTAGATCACTGGCTGCTGCCTTCCATATGCCTCTTTTCTTCCCCCTTTACATAATAATGCTGGTATTTGTAAATATTAATTATTCAACTGGCTTATGGTTTTGGCCACAATTAGAGGGGTTGAGCCCCATTCATGTTTGTGGTGTTCAGTTAAGAATTGCCATTAAAAATGTGATACTAACAATGTGTCACTGGTGTGAATTGTGCATTAGTTCATGCATTTCAAACGAATTAATAAAAAGTGCTGCTACGTTTGGGGAGGGGCGGTGTGTGGCTAGCCATTCTGTTTTTGCACCCGCAACAGAGGTTCCATGTGGGAAATAGCTTTTCTATCCCAGTTTCTAACACTGGTTATGAGGTTTTAATATGTTCTTATAAAATGCCAAAAATGTCACTATGTTCAGCTAATAGCAGTTACTTTGTTAGCAAGTCATGCACTACATTTTTCTTTTATAAGTACAAATAGGAGGCTTTGAGGACAATTGGATGCCAGAGTTGTTGTAGTAACTATGAATATATCCAGTTGTAGTTATGAACGCATCTAGCCAAACAGTGGCTAATTGTTGTGGGAGGGATAGAAGTTAATTTCCAAAGAAGTGATTCTGATCTGTCTTGTCAACTGCTTAATCACTAACTATAAGAATTACGCTTTTGGGTTTTAGGCTGCTTGCTCTAAAATGACACAGGATGCAGCCTGCCTGTTTTTTATATGAGAAAAGGATCTCTCTATGATTATGAAAAGAGGTTCTTATCGAACTATCCCCAAGTGAACCTCTTGTCTTAAAACATTAAAACTATCCTTGTCTTTTCCAAATTGTAACAAAACACATTTGCAAGGATATGAAATGAAATGAAGTAGAGGGCATTGGTTTGTAGATTGCATTTGAAAGTGATGTTTTGCAGGCTGCTCCCCTTGTTGCAACAGCATCTGGTAATGTCAGTAAATGAACAAAGATTGTTTGCCTAACAGTATAAACGAGAAAATTGGAGGGTGGCAATTTGGCCAACCACAATAGTAAAAGCAACAGCTTGTGTGCCCTCTAATCTCAGTGTTTATTTCTTGCAGGAAAGAAATGCTGAAAATGCCATTGAAGCTCTTAAAGAATATGAACCTGAAATGGGTAAAGTGTATAGACAAGACAGAAAAAGTGTACAAAGGATAAAAGCAAGAGACTTGGTTCCAGGTGATATCGTGGAAGTAGCTGGTAAGATGCTTTATATGCTACAACATTATGGGTCTTTTTAGTTCTTACAAATTGATTTGCTGTTAAGACAAAGAGTGATAAAAAAAATTAAAAAATAAATATACTCAAAAACAGTTTTAAACATTGTAAAAGGCTGTGAACTCAGGGTTGCCAGGAACAGCATCTTTCAGCCATCAAATGCTAGGGTAAACAGGAACATTTAAAAATATCTCCTGATAGTCAGTAAGGAGGGAGACAGGTGCACCTCACTAGGGAATGCCTGCAACTTATGTAGGGGTTATATTCCAGGGATTGCGCCTAAAGCCAAAAATCATGTATAATCATAGCACATTGGGTTCATTGGTGGGTGGGATTGCCAAGGTCATTTTCTGGGACCCCCTTTCCTTTCTGCCCACCTTTTAAAAAAAATTAGTGTGCATAAAGCTGAATGCACACAAGTTAAATTTGTGTAAGTTGTGGGCTTTACTGCCTTTCCTCATCGACCTCTTTACTGTGAGGGGAGAAAAACTGCTTACTTCTAGAGGTGCAAATTAGCTGTTACAACAGCTGAACTGACATGAAGTGACCTACAACAGAATAATGTCTTGTGTAACCAGTCACCTGCCTGTCAGTCATCTGATGTCAATCACCTGACATAATTAAGACATCTGTCAAAGTTGACCTGGGGTATGGGGGAAAGTTGCCCAGCACTTCCCAGATGCCTGACAGAGAGGGTATTTGGGAAGTGGTGTGCAAGTGCCTTTGCAGGCTTTGCCAATTGGCAGTGCCTTCAAAGCCCCTTTTTCTAAGCCACCATTACATACCCCACACCTGGTTTCATATATGATGGCAGATGGGCATGACTTGTCTGAAACTACCTTATGGACCAAATGGGAAGGATTGGCCGGCCAAAGTCATGTTTACTTGCGTCTTGACTTCCTGCATCAAGCTTCCCTCCCTGTGGCATTATGGTGTTGTCTCTACTGGGGGTGGCTTTCTTCCACCTTCCACTTCTTACTGTTGCAGTGTATTGTTTAGGTATGTGTTCGTGTTAAGATTTGCATAGATGTTTAACTTCTTTATTGTCAAATTCAGAGAGCAGCTATATTGGATTGATGTGGCAAAAACAAAGAACCCTGCTAGATGAGCATTTTGTAGGTAGAGCACTCCTTGCCATATGGTTTAATGAGCAATTTAGGTCTAGAAATGTGTGCACTTAATAGAAACATGGTACAAGCTTCCTGACTTGAATCCAATTTTGGATAGCCTATTCCCTCTCCTCCACAAAGTTCAAGTATTTGTTACTCAGTTTCAGCTTCAATTCCTCTGACATGAGTTTAAGAGAAATGGATGGCTTAATTTTGTTTGAATGTATATCTAATACATAGATCTTGGGCAGTTCATTTTTCACAAGTTCAAGTTTAACATGTCCAAAAACAAACTACTTATAGTTCACATTTCTCCCTTTACAAAATTGAACTAGTTCAGTTTGGTTATACTGTATACAAGTTCATCCAAATGATCCATGGCAAAAAATTTTCAGCATACATAATGAGTTGTACTAATATTTATGCCCTCAGGCTTAAAATCTAATGTTTTCATGTATGTGTTGGGTTTATATACCACCTTTTCTGTAAGGAGCTCAAGGTGGCATGCATGGTTCATCCCCTTCTTGATTTTATTCTCACATCGACTCTGTGTGGTATGAGAAAAAGTAACTGTCCCAAGATCACCCAGTGAGCTTCTTGACTGAGTGGGGATTTGAACCCAGGTCTCCCTGGTCCAGTGCTAACCACTACACCACACTGGTGTAAGCAACACTGGAGCAGCTGCTCTTTCACTGCTGATACATGAAGCCAAGTCTCCCTGTCTGGAGTGGCCCTTGGTCAATGGATTGGGCCAGGCTGTGTGTCCCTTTAGCACTTGCAATCCCAGAGTAACTGGCAGTTGGAGTAGAGTGAACTTTCTGGCAGAGAGGAGGAAAGACTGTTATTTCACAGGCTGATGGATGTTGCCAGCTTGGTTTCCCCCTTATTGTGATATTCTTCTTGGGAAGCATGGGGTGTAACCACCCAGTGACCCATGGTCTCCTGATTTATTTTTGTGGTAGATCATTGTGTTGGGTTTGCTCCTGAAATAGAAACCTGAGTTCCAAAATGCATTGAACTATGCTGAATCTTCATAGTTGGCACTTTCGAGAATAAGTTTATTTCTGTTCTTCCCTCCTGGCTTTTACATTGGGTATAAATACCTTCCTGCTAACATTTCACTCTTGAGGTCCATTTGTGTGTGTACTGAAGGACATTGAATATGTGTATCTAGCATATAACTTGTACTACATATCATACTGATATTGCAGTGATAGATGACAAAAGTTATATAATAGGTGTACTTGATCTTTTTAGTTCAAATTACTGTCCTTAATAAAAAATATTAATACTATGTGGATTGAATTATTTCGTGGTCAAGCTGATGTGCAGATAACTAATAATTCGCAGATTTGCAATAATGCCATTCTTACCCTTGGAAAGACTAAACTTAATTTTTGGAATGACTTTTCAATTAACTTGAATAGACTGTGCTGTGAAATGTAATCCAGTCACTGTAAGTGACTATAGCCAAGCTAAAATTTCAGGGTGGGTGGCAAGAGTACATACACTATGTTCCACAGCTAGTGTCAAAACCTGGAGGTGAGAGAAACTGTGTGCATGCCTCTGTCATAAGTGTAAGCATATTGGATGGCCTTTGACATGGTGCCTGCAGAAACAGGACCATGTAGGGAAGCGACAAAGCACTTGATGCGGGGATGCATATCTGGGTATGGAATTTTAGGCAGTGTGCCAGTGACATTGCATTGCAGGCACCAGTGACTGTCATGAATAACCAGGTGGCAGTTACCTCTCAGATATCAGTGCTGTCTAATGTTCATGGATGTTTTAGGATAGGTGGGGGTTTTTTTTAAGCAAAGAAGGCATTGAGGCACAGTCACTGGCCCTTAAATAAGTGTCCTTTTTGTCAACACAACTTGTTTTGGGGGGCGAGTTGCTTTTCCAACAGCCATATCTTGCCTGGAAAAACATTAAGCAAACGCCGAGCTTTCAAAGTATGTAAAGTACTTGTTAGATGATGAATTAATAAGTACAATGTTGTAGGAAGTTGTGGTTACACTGGAGCTTGTAATTATTAAATATAGGTTGTTTCCCTTCAAAGGATATTGCTTACAGCTTAACAATGGAATATGCATAATAATAACAACCACAAACAGAACAGGTAGAATGTGCCAATTAGCCACCTTCGTGCTTTTGCTGCCACTTGTAAATGTGGGATTAATAAGGTTGCCTTCACTAGGAGGCTGGTCACTTCACAGGGATAAATGCTGCTGCCTTTTGAGGGGATTTTATATACAGTGCCACCATGCGTTACCTGAAACTACCTGGTTGTAGCAAGTTGATGCTATTGCTTACTGGTAAAATAACTATACCTGCCATTTGTGGGTAGTTTTTGCGGCTGTAAGTTGCTGATGAAGATTTGAGCAAAGATGCTCTTAATGGATCAAGACTACTGAAGAAAGAGAGGTAGTAGAGGAACCAGCATAGGAACCAAAATACAACAGACATTGCAGTCAAACAATAGACACATATTTTGAAACTTCTCAGCATCTTTTACAAGTGAATTTGCTGGGGGAGTGACTGTTGAGGACATATCTAATTAGAACTTGTGATAATCACCTTTTTCTAAGAAAAGATTCTGTTCAGATGGGAGACTTTACTGTAATACTGCTTTATCACAGTGTATGAAGATCAGCTATCAATAAGAAGCTTATTTTGAAAAGTAGAAAATAATGTTCTCGCAGTATAAACCTTTAGGAACTTTCACTAACCTCCACAGGGTTCTAGGTGTTGTTAAACAATCACAATGTACCGTAGTTTGGTAACCTACATATGACAACCAAAGAATACCCAGTTTTTCCTCAAATGACTTTGTATCTTACTCATCTGATTCAGATTTTTACTGGGGAGAATCAACTTCTAGGAATTTTTTTTATTAATCTGCAGTTGTTTGTTTTAAGCTTTATTAATCAATTGTACTAAAGTAAAGGTACTTACTTACTGCTTCTTCTGAAACTACTGCGTGCTTACAGAACTGATGCCTGCTTTTTGCGGGTGGGGGAGAGGCACATTCATGCAGTTTTCAATTATTAGTATTCCCTTATTCCTTACACTTTGGTCATGCTCTATACCTCATGCTCTATAGTTCCATAGTATGTGTGTTTCTGAAAAGGAACTGGTATCAGTTTTGTGTTGGATAACATAGAAACTTGCGTATAGTTCAAGCACACAGTTCACATACTGTAACTGTTTTAAATTAAGTGTTCAAGTCCTGTATAATACACATCAGTTTTGTGTGATAGTCTTCTAAATTTTTATAGGTAGAAGAGTACAGGCAGTATGTACTCACAGACTATAGAAACCTTGCATATTGAGGAGCACTGCTGAAGTACCACTATTTCCTCCTTTCATTACCTGAATAATCCAGTAGTTTGAATGTTCCTGCTTAGCTTGGCATGCTTGCCAGAATCCTCTAACATGGCAAAAAGTGAATGTTGATGGTCTTCCTTTCCAGACACTTGAGCAGAGAGGCTGCATTTCTGCCACTAGTTATGTTGACTGCACTGCTACTGCTGTTTTGTGAATTGCTTTTCTTGTATTTGCTAAAGCCTACGCATTTAGCTATTGCTATAATTAAGGTCTCCTAATTATTTTCAACTAATCAGTTTACTACACTATATTCAGACAGTCATAATTATCTCTATTGGAAAAATCCAGAGTAGCAGCATTTATAAAGAAGGGTAGGGAGTTTACTAATGTTCAGAGTACTACTGCAAGAATTGATCAGTGAGTGATTTTTTCATTAGCTTGCTGAAGCCTCTGGCTTTTTTTAACCCATTCATTTCCCAACAGACTTTCTATGAGCACCTCTGATGTCATAGTCCTTAAGTAAGCCTGAGCAGGAATTTGCTGGTGTCTGGCCAGGGTCAAATTGCTAATTGTGTGTTCTCTAAGCAAATGATGGGGAAGTTGAAGAGCAAATAACAACAATGTGCTTGGCTATTAAAAGCTGTCTTCTTTGATTTTTCCAGAGTTGTTTCATTGGGCAAACTTTCAGCCAGTTTTGTTGGTGGTTGTGCTCATGGAAAAGATTGGGGGGTCCATAGAATCCATAAACCTTTTAATCATGAGTTTAGTTGACTTCGAAAGAGAAACAAATTAGATAACGAAGAGTAGAATTTATAAACTAGGTATTAAAAGAAGAAGAGAATGTTACTAATTTGGAATTATGGGTTGGCAGAGGATATTAAATAAGAATCTATGCAATTCTTTCCACAGAGCATCTCAAAAGTGATTTTGCAATACAGTAGAAACATATGTAGAATTTTAAATCCCATGCAGATACTGATTGAGATAAAAGTCTCCACTTTGGAAAGCTTTTTGAAAGGGGAAGTCTTCAACATATGGCAAAAAGACTACAGTGGAGCTTTCCAAACTGTGTTGCGACATGTTAGTGTGTCAGCTGCAGTGTGTAGGTGTGTTGCGCAAATGCTCACCGTGCTCCTTCCAGGGCTGGAAAGGGGTTAGTTTAACCTCCGGTTGGCTATTAAAACTGAATTGCTGTGTCATGAAATGATGCATGTCTATAAAGTGTGTCACCAACATGAAAAGTTTGGAAATCTGGACTGTAAGATATGGGACTTTGAACTCTGATTCATCTAGGGATGCCATTACACATTGCTGGTTCAGGTCAGATCTGTAACGCCCCCAAACATACAAAATTTTAGCAGGTTGCAGAAGAGTGTGCTTCTGGATAGCTTAATATTTTATAACATTTAATCACTGTATTACAGAATAGCTAACATTCATAAGGGCTTTTTCATAAATACCAATATCTGAATATTGTCTGGATAAGGTATGTAGCTCCCTGCAAAGTAAAGTAGAGCAGTCTTTGAAAACTCTGATTCCAGGTTTATTTAAGAATCCTATCCTTTATAAATGTCTACATTTGTATGGCAAAGGTCTAGTATCTATACTGAAGTGGTTGAAAGAACAAATTTGAGAGCACTCAACAGTTCATCTGAAATTCTCCTTCTGGAGAAACCTCTCACTAAAGTTAAGCCAATTTGTGTTATGAAAGAGCCATTTTCCCTAGTAAAAACTGGATATTGTTTTGTGCCATCTCTCCTATCATCCCCTTTCCATCACCACTGTTACTTTTTATTTGGACAGACACTGTTCAGCTGTTTATGGTGTGTGTAGTCCAAAAGTAATATATGTATTTAGCAAGTTTCTCTCTCTGGATTCCCTTTATTCAAGTTTTTACTGGTACCATTATCTTTCTTGCTCTGAACCAGTGATGTGGTATGGACAATTTTCCAAAACAGAACCTTTCCTATTTCATAAGTTCAATAGTAACAATGAACTGATGCCTATTATGAATATATTTGTTAGGCTAGCTTGGCAGTTTCAAGGTTGTTAGCATCTCTTACTACTTTTGTTATCTTGTAACGGTCAGGGGTCCCTTTACCATTAATTATGTATTTATTTCATGTTGTAGGCTGTCTTGAGCATGGCTTGAATTATGGAAAGGCAGCATACAAGTAACATGTATCTATGTACCAAATACAAGTAAAATAATTGTGGCAAATTAGAGCATTCTGTAGGGCACCATAACATTTTCCAATGCAAACTGATGTAATTTTTTCTAATTTGCATAGCATTTTTCTGGAAAACCACATCACTGTGTGGGAAGTGGGTACATTTGAGCAAGAATGACATGCTCAAGGCTCCATCCAGTAAACTGCATGGGGGGCAGTGTGTGACTGGATGAGTAATTCATATAATGGGAATATAAACCTACATTAGCATATATGGCTGAGGCAAAAATCTATAAATTAAATAGATGCTTAGTTCATATTTTGCTGTGTTCAAAGGTTTGCTTTCACTTTATGCAATCAGGAGAATAGAATGCTGTCACATGCCAGTAGTGTATCTTAAGTTAGGGGATAAGACAAAGTTTAGAAATATTTATTAACCCATTTTTTTTTCTTCCTTATGAATTGTTTAGATGGTACAGAACTCTGGGAAGGTGCTAGGCTTTGAAGTGTGGGAAATAAGATTGCAAAATAGCCCCCCCCCCCCCAGTTACTGGAATGTCAAACTTTTGTCCTGTACTTTGGCATTGGAACGGTCACTGTGTCTCTCTATGTGCTACCCGAACTTAATTGTTCACTTTGGATAGTTAAGCAAACTTCAGAACAATGAAACTTCAGCTTGGTTGCTATCCTTGCTGCTTAAAACAATTGGCCGCAATTACTGGGAATAAGTATACATTTTGTACAGGGAATTTACTGAAGCCACAATAATTTTGTTCTTATTTGGGCTCATCAACTTTTGACTGTCATAACTTTTACGGAAGAATTGTTAATAAGATTTCAGAACACGCTGTTGAGGAACAAATAAATAAATAGTGGTGCTTTTTCTAAATACTCTGCTGAAAGGCAATGAGCTGTGGTGTTCACTTGGCTGTGTTGAAAGCAAAGTTTGTTAGAATAATATTTCAGTGCTTTCTTCCAGTAGTCCTTACAACCATTTTTAGCAGTTGTGTGTAGGCTGATCTATATACATTTCAGCAAAGAGATCCATTATTTTAATATGCCTTTGCCAAGTGGGGCAGTACATTTGAGATGCTCAGCTGTTGAAAGCCCAGCAACCGTGTGTGCCTTTACAGATTGATGAACTTTCTCCTGCATTGTGCTGAGTCTTAGCCTGCTGTATGGTGGAATTGTGATAGATGAAAAAGCAGCTGCTCTCATGTATCTACATATAAACCTCGTCACAACACCAGGGGACTGCATTCAAATAGTTTGCCCATTTTTGGCCTTGGTCATTGTTTTGTACTATTTTCTCTTCACTGCTGAAGGGCACAGCGAATTTGGTTTTCATGTTGTAATGACAGAGCAGAAAAGAAAAAGTCTAGCTGGCTTATTGGCCTCTTTATTCTAAATAGAGAGTGGTGTTAGTTACCTACCTAAGACTCTGCCCAAGAGAACACTATAATTTTAACCTCGTGAGAAATGTTGCAGAAATAGTTTTTCTAAAAGAGTATAAAGCTACAAATAATATGTGCTTAATCCTCTGGTATGGTGTTTGTACATCAATGACCTAGCACATAGAAGTGGCAGACCTACCGGCAGACCTAACTTCCTCACAGCGTCATTCTCTCCCTCATGCACGATTGCTGCCAGTTGCATAAGCAGTTCCTGTAGGAATTAGCATTTAGTCTGTGCATCCCTACAGTAAAACTAGAGGGACTATTGTGTAACAAGTCCACATATTCTGGCAGGATTAGTAATTACTGGCTGATGATGCAAGTATTTTCAGTACCCTGTTTTAGGGTTTTTGTCATGTGTTGGCAAAATAGCGTTTTATTAGTTCTTCCTTCGTGTGTGTGTGTGTGTGCTACTTTAGAAATGCTTATTAGATGAAATGTAGGCTAGTGCAAAAGATGTTGGATATGGCAATTTCCTGTCCAACATTAAAGAGCTATGCTGGTCAAACTCAAAGACTGAGGTCCTAGGGGGAACATCAGACACCCATGTCATAGTGCACACTCTTTAAAATATTATCAGTTTCAAAAGTTGTTTGCACTGATATTTGAGAAACCCCAAGTCCTATTGACTGTTCAAAACCAGTCGGATAGTATGGATTCTCCCAATTGTCAACATCTTAATGGGCAGATGGAGAATTCTCTGAGAATGTACAATAATGATGTTAACCGAAATAGATACTTCATTAAAGGTAACAGGGTTTAAACTACATGAGGAGAAATTTCACATAGCAAAATGTTCCTATAAACACTTGGACAATGAGATACACTTCCAAAATAGGTTATGGAATTTCTAATTGTGGGAAGCTCTGAAAAATGGGTTAGCTTCCCTCATTTCAAAAGTGAAGTGAGAGATATTTTGAATAAATGTATGGTTGATGTTTGCTTTTTCTGGTACTACTTGAAAAATATTTGCATTCATTAACATCTGGTCAAACTCAAATACTCTCCTCTTAATCCACAGTTGGTGACAAGGTTCCTGCTGACATAAGAATTACTTCTATAAAATCGACAACTCTGAGGGTAGACCAGTCAATTCTCACAGGTAAGTGTTTCTTGGCAGTAATGATCAGAAAATCTATTGGTTTTAAAAACAAATGGGAAACTGTCCTGATTACAGCAGCAACCTCAGTTTTTAACAGAACTCTTAGGCATCATTGTGGTGAATGAGAGCCATCAGTGTTACACTGGGTGCATGCCATACTTACTCAGTGGATGCCATTAGTATATCTTGGCATTTGTTCCCTTCCAACTCTGCAATTCTATGATTCTGTTATTCTTTCTTTAAACTAAAATAAAGTACCCAAAATAGGAGGTTTGCTTAGAAGCTGGAGTGAACACAATCTTATCTGCTTCAATAATCTTAGCATGATCTATTTTAGAAAGGTATATTTCTGCTGCGTGGTTGAGTGAAGAACTTCACTCGTGTTTCAGGTTCCTTCTTGTCTGGACCAGGAATTGTGATTTATAACCAACTTCCTTAGAATCCTGGACAGACTGAGTAGAAGATAGAATTCTCGTCTTTCACTGCTCTCCCCTCTGAACCACCAATACTTTTTTGTTTTCTTTTTTCTTTCCTTCATAATTTTTTATTAGTAACTTGCTTGAATAGCCAAATCAGTATATGTATACATGAGAGCTGTATATTGTTTCATATGTAAGACATGGAACATACAATTCAGTGACTTGGCATTGGAGGGGAGGGAACAATGGAAATAAAGATTTAATGTTGTACCACCCAATTGGTTTTGAAGCTGACTTGTTAAACTAACCAGAGCTTGTTTTAAACCACAGTCCTTGGTCCAGATAGCATGACAAGCTAGATCCTGGAGGAAAATGAAAACTAAATTTCAGCTAATTCCTTCTTCCTATGCTGGTGGGGAGGGAGAGTGTACAAGCCCAAGGCTCCTCCTACATTTGTTCCAGATCATGCACAATGTGCTAAAGTTAATAATGGCTTAGTGTTACTTGTGAATGTTTCCAAAATCCAAATGGAATACATACTTTTAATGCGGAATATCAGAATTGAACCTGTGGCATCTCCAGGGAGGGTTGTGGAAAACTCTTGTTTGAAATACTGGAGAGGCACTGCTAATCAGTAATCAGTGTAGATGTAACGGAGGTCAGTGGACCAGTGGTTTGACTTGGTATACAGCAGCTTCCTGTGTTCCCTTATACATACTCAATTGGGTTTATCTTTTCCTAGTTAAGTCAGCCATCCATCTCTCTTCAGAAAGTTATATTTCAGCGGAAATGTTAGAGAGGGAACTCTTTGTACTGTGTCCTAGTTATGATTTTTATTTGCCAGTTTAAAGGCTAGAGTAATGTGCTTGCTTTGTAGAATCTAGGTTAGATTAGATTCTCAACGGTTCTTGTCCAGATCACAAAAGGTACATGAATAAAAGGCCAAGAGAGATGTCTACCTGTTGCTTCTTTCTCCTGGTCAATAGGTCTAACAAGCTTGAAGGGTATCATAATGTATTTGGTTGTATATTTGCAGTATAACCAAACAAACTGGGTGTCAGGATTGGAATATTTTTCCAGTAATCTGATAGCTCAGTCTTTGAGCACAGTTCTGGAGATCAAATAAATGTTGGTTCAATGAAAAAATAGGTATAAAAGGAAAATTCCTAGATGCCAAGATCCAAGTTTTAGGCTAGTACTCTTGGGTGAGAAAACTCCCGCAGAGATTTAAAATAATAAAATATGCAGCAAAGTATAGCATGGAAATATAGGCTGTTCGGCCTTTAAAATATGTGCCCTTTAAAGTAAGTTCCAAAGTTCACCTCTTCCTCTAGCATAGAAAAAGACAACGGGTTTGGTAAGTTAAAAATGCTTTTCAGACAACAACCGTTTTGCACAAGGGTTACATTTCTGATCCCAGTGCATGTTGGCCTACTCTGCCATTTTACAGCTCCTGCCCTCTTTTACAGCTACCTCCAGGTCACTGTGGGGTGTGTGTGTGTGTGTGTGTGTGTGTGTACAGTTGTGCATCAACTGGATGTGTGTAAATTGGTCATAGCCTGCACTTACAAACTCTCCAGATTCATGTGCTTTTCCATACAGCATTCAGAAAAGGTTGCACAGGCAGTAAAACTTGGCTTTAGTTAAAGTGGAGAAGGTTCCTAAATTATTGGTATAGGAACTCTAGAGTGGCTTGTAAGAGCCATGCGGTTTGGTTTGCACCAACCAGTACAACCAACTGCACCAACTCACGTTGAGCCTCTCTGGTAGACTGGAGGGGAACAGAGGCTTGATTATCTAGTTTCACAAGGTGTGCTAATTCACAAGGTGTGCTAAGCCTGGCGTGATGGTTTACTCTAGGGTCTTAAATGTTTCGTGCATTAATTAGACCAGATTGGTGGGGTATTATTGTTGTTGTTGTTGTTGTTGTTGTTGTTGTTGTTAGTGTTGGTTATATGAGGCTGGCTATCCCACAGTAAATACATACTCACTTAATTGGGCCCACGTATCATAAGGCCTGTGGATTGATTGTGGCCCCCTCGTTTATATGCAGATCCCTGGAGGCATTCGAAGTCTGTTGGCCATCTGTCTGTTCCCCTCATGTTCTTGGAAAGTGTGAATGGGTACTGGGAGAAAGCCTCCAATGCAAATTCTCCATTTTTCCTCCTCCAATTTGATTCAGAGGCACTTGGTATAGGAAGAAATTACCTTTATGTCAAAATCAGACACAAAATCTAAATTAGAAACTGGTTTCTGATCAACTGACTTGCCTTTTTTTGGTATATATGGAAGCTTCTTACATGTCCAGGCTTTGTAAATATTTCTCTATTTACATATGTTGAATGTCTTTCTCTAACTCTTAATTGGAGGATTTTCTTTTAACTTACCTAGACTATCTGTTATTGCCTGGTTTTCTCCTGGCAATTATTTGCATCAAAACTATTTTCAGGTGGTGTTGGTTTTTTAATGGCTACAGTAGGGTTGCCATATTTCAAAAAGTGAAAATCCGGACACAGAAGTTGTTGAACTTTTTTTTTTTTTTTTTTTTGCAAAATCTAAAAAAAAAAAATGTTTTCAAGATATTTTTAAGGAAATTTGTCAAAATCTAGACTTCTGAAACAGGTTGACATATCTCCAGATTTTCCTGGACATCTGAGCATGATTTCCATCCAGACACTGTTTACGACTGCCGTATTCTGGCTATGTCCGGAAAATTCCAGGTGTATGGTAACCCTAGGTTACAGCTTTAGCGTAGTGGCTTTTTCTATTAAAAAATGCTTTTCATCTATGTAAACCTTGTATTATGATGTAATGGCTTTCACAGGTGATGTTCTGCAGATGCAAAAAGGTGGGAAATGGAGGCATTAATGTCTTACTAAAGCTGTAACCTTCATCTAGGTGAATCTGTGTCTGTAATTAAGCACACGGACCCTGTGCCTGATCCTCGTGCAGTGAACCAAGACAAGAAGAACATGCTCTTTTCTGTGAGTAAATTGGGGGGAGGGGATCTGTTTGTGCGTACTGATTATTAAAGGATTGTTCTGCTGTTTCTTGACTTACTTCCTATGGGTTCCCTCCCCCCCCCCATGAGCCATCACTCATTTTGTTTAGGGCAGTTCATGTGTAAAGAATTAAGAATATCTTGGACATCTAAATGGTAACCTTGTATGGAACTAAATGAGCCTTAAAAAACCTGATGCATATAAACACATTGTCTCTTCAATCATGGTAAACATTGTTTAGCTACACTTGTACATGCAAGGCAAAAATGAAGAGCAGTAAAACAAGAAACCATTGGAAACACACAGTTGCCCAGGGGACGTGTTGGGCTTGTAATCCTAGGTTTTCAGGGTACATGTTTGAAAGGCAAGTGTGAGGGCTATGGTTATAAAGCAAGGTGTTTCTGTCATCTACCAGTTCCTGCTAAGTGTTTTTTTGTAACTGGAATGCTATTTATTAAGAGAGCTTATCTTCCAAGTTTCACTGATACCCCAGTTTCTTTTTTTAAATCTCCTGTAATGTGCCTGGCAGAAAAGCTTAGAAAAAGGGCTCAGCTTCTTTTTCATCTCTTCCAAGTCAGTTGCCACATTTGACCATAGGACGTCCTGTTCTTTGTTGCATTTGTTGGATGAGCGTCACTTGAAGATGCAAAAAGTGTGCTTGACCACATGTCTGCCCAACTCTTGCCCATACTGGCAAGGCTGGTCTAAGGAAGTAGTCAATGCTTCTTTGTGGGAAGGAGTAGTACAATTGCATTCTTCAAGAGAATGAATGTGAGGCCTTTGATGGATTTAAGAAAACAGTAGGTGAATGCTTTCTTGCATTCAAGCTCCCTCTACCCCAAGGTCACCCTGCAGGAGGCCATGATTTCATCTGCAAAGGAACCTTCATCTGGGATCTCCCTCCCACAAAGAAGCATTGACCACTACCAAGACCTGCTCAGTCTTTTTTTTTCAGAAGATTGGTAAACTCTTGTTTCAGTGGGCCTCTGAGAAGTGCAGCCTTACTGGTTGTTAAGCAGGCACATGTTTTTCGGTGTTTGTGGAATCTTTGGAAGGGAGGTTCTTGGTAAACTGCTGCTGCTCATTTGTCACTTCTATAAAGATTGCTTCAGTAATCACTTTTACTTGATGCATCTGTTTGGTTGGTGATTTTAATTTGATGGTAGCTACCTTCAGAACTCCATAGAGTACAGCTCGCCCAGTGTATAACTGGCCAATAAATACTTAGAGGCCATGGGCAAAGCCATCTGCCTCCTTGGAATGGGAGTAGTAATGAATCCATCCATGACTAGTGAGAAGATACACAAGAGAGGGATTAAATTCTTACAATATTGGACACTCACTGTGATTGTTTTTTTCAAAGCTGACCAAACTAGAGAGAGAGAGTAATTTATGGTCATAGTAGGGCACGTAGTACATACAAATACACATAAAATACACATAAAATAGGCCTGTGTATATAAAAACCCAGTTCAAAGACAGAATGAAATCTGAAGTAACTTCCAGAATGCTGATAGCTGCATTCATGTATTTTATGTTGCTGTTAACTCGAATTAGCCAAAATAAGACTACAAACCTTGCAGTTTGGCTATAAGGTATTGGTGGAAAATAGTATCTGAAAAAGCATAACCTAGCTTTATGTGCTAGTGATTAACCACAGTTCTCCAATTCCCTTTTAACTTCTTGATTTAGGGTACAAACATTGCTGCAGGGAAAGCTATGGGTGTGGTTGTGGCAACTGGCGTGAACACCGAAATTGGCAAAATTCGTGATGAAATGGTGGCTACTGAGCAGGAGAGGACCCCGCTTCAGCAGAAGCTGGACGAGTTTGGAGAGCAGCTGTCAAAGGTCATCTCCCTGATATGCATTGCGGTGTGGATAATCAACATTGGTCACTTCAATGATCCTGTGCATGGTGGCTCCTGGATTCGGGGTGCCATCTACTATTTCAAAATTGCTGTGGCACTTGCTGTGGCTGCAATCCCAGAGGGCCTGCCTGCTGTCATTACCACTTGCTTGGCTCTGGGTACTCGCCGAATGGCAAAGAAGAATGCTATTGTTCGAAGCCTGCCATCTGTGGAAACCCTGGGCTGCACTTCCGTGATCTGTTCAGACAAGACTGGAACTCTTACCACCAACCAGATGTCAGTTTGCAGGGTATGGTCAATTCACTTATCTAGTTTCTTCTTAACTTATGTAATTTGTCTGGGTTTCTGTCAGAACTATGAAATAGGCCGGTTTTAGTGTCAGAACAGCTCTGTCACCAAAGCCTGCTTCTAAACCTTTATTTTATTAAAATGTGATTGCAGATGCTTTATCAGCAGAAAAGATAATTTAAGTTAATTAGAAGGATAGTGCTTACCTCTTTGTAACTTGAATATTACTCTGTACAGTGGTGCCTCGCAAGACGAAATTAATTCGTTCCGCGAGTTTTGTCGTCTTGCGATTTTTTTCGTCTTGCGAAGTATGGTGTCGGAAAAGTTTTGGAAAAGCTTCAAAAATCACCAAAGTCTTCAAAAACCTCAAAAAAGGCTACCACACCGCGTGCTATGAGTTGCTCCTCGAAGTCAAGTCGCAACTGTATTAACGGTGTTAAGAAAAAGGAAACAAACTTGCAAGACGTTTCCGTCTTGCGAAGCAAGCCCATAGGGAAAATCGTCTTGCGAAGCAGCTCAAAAAACAAAAAACCCTTTCGTTTTGTGAGTTTTCCGTCTTGCGAGGTACCACTGTACATAAAGAGAAAAATACATGGCTTGGTTTGAGACAAAACTTAACCAATGCCTATCCCTTGAATCTGTTCAGTTCCTGAGCTCAACTCTAGGAGAAAAGGTGCCTTGAGAATAACTTTCCTTTACCACTGATGCAGTCTTGATAGGGTGAAGATAAATGTGCCCCAGGAGAGATGGAAAACGAAAATAAAACTTTTTGCCATTTATAGACTCTTCCCAAGTTGATGGCTTGGGAATTATTCTCCTTGTCACAGGTTTTTTAATGGGTTTATTACCCTCTTTAAAACAAAACAAAAACACCTCAAATTTTGAGTGAACAAATTCCATTCTGTATTAAATTGCCTATGAACTTTGAAGAATGACCCATGATTACCATTTCATTGAAGGTAGGCCTTGGAGACACAGAATAGATAAGACTTATCCCATGTTGTCAAACTTCTGTCAGCCTTCTCCACTTTTCTCTATACCCCACACATGGGTGGTCCACAGTATTTGATAGTAAATTCAAACTGGAGTAGATATGGGAGGCCCTGGTGTAAAATTTGATGCATAATCTGTTATTGAGTAGATTACCAGAGTTACCTCTGATGCTAGGCACTCTCTGTAGAGTAACCAGCTGTGTGTGTGTGTTTAGAAAGTTGATGAATGCTGATCTAGGTATTGTCCTGTTATTTAGCAATTATGCCAGTCTCTTTATTCAGTTGGTTGTGCCTCACTTGTGATTGATATTCTAAGCAGGAACTGAATAGAAGCACAAAGAAAGAATTTTAAATCAAATTAAGGCACTTTTATTTGTGAAGGGTAATTGCTGGAAAGACTTAAGGGGCTAGAGCTTCTCCTGATTGCATTACGTGGCTGCAAATAATTACATTCAAAATTATTGGGCCAGGGTAAGATTTCAAATAAGTAAACAGTAACAGACCTCTTCTTTTTGAATCTACTTAATATTTGTGTGACTGTAACAGACTTTGGTGCCCCTGTTTAACTTGCTGTATACTTATTTGTATTACTTTCCAGTCTTGTCCAGAATTTTATGCTGAAGTGTTTGTGCCTGTGGAACACAAAGCAGCTGCTCATCTGTATTCTAGAGAAGGTTACTTGCAGAGTATTGCATAACTGCCAGTCTCTTAAGAAGTCAGATGCCAAAAAAACAGAAAGGTTCCTTAGCATAGGAACATCAGACTCTTTTGCCTCAGAAAAAGATTTGTTTTGAAGTAGCAATATTGAGCTCTTCATTCTTTTAGATCAAAATATTTCTCTAATCCTATATAGCTGGGAGAGGGTGTTTTGTTTTTTGTTAGTGTCAAGTCCATTAGGTAATGCAGAAAAGCGGTGTCTGTAAGATTTTGGAAGAAAGCCTTTGCACATAAAAGCAGTAAAGCAGGATTTTCCTGTAGAAAAGAGAGAGAGTCTCTCTCTTTCTCTTTAGGAAGTTTTTACAGAAGTAATCCTTGGAGGTTATTTTTCTGCATTATGGTCTGTTGCCAAATATCCAGTCCAAGCCGATGTGAATTTACTTGTGTTGCTTATACACAGCAGGCTTGAAAGGAAAGTAATTGCATACATTTGAATGGTGGGTGTTCTTTTGAAAAAGGTTTTCCTTATGGTGGGGTGGTGGTGTTTTTCCTTGGGGATTGGAGTTCAGTCTTTTGCTCATCCCTTATTGGTAAACACTGTCCTCTCTTCCTGCTCCAATCTCTATTTAAACTATAGTGCTCCTTAAAAAAAAAAAAAATTTCCCCTGCCTCTTCAAGACCCTCGTTCAGTAAAAACCTACCTTGTCAGCAGTGCCGTCTCCCCGGCTCTTTCTCAGTGCTCATGTTAATTTCTGAAAAATTATCCCCTCCCCAGCATGCCCCCTAAGTCTTTTCCCTTCACCTTCCTTGTGTTCTGGTCATGCTAAATGAACATTGACTAGCATATGCCACATTTCCATGTCTGAGGCTGCATTCCTGTCGCTCCAGGTTCAAAAAGTGGCATCAGGCTCTGCTTCTGAAGCATTTGCCTGATTCTAAAACTCCCCAACACCTGGCAATGAAGGTGAGTGTTCTGAAGTCAGTATAGCTGTGCTTACCTGGAGTGGACTAAACATTAAACTTTGGCTGATATAAACTCTTGATTAAAATGAATTCCTGGGAATAAAATGAATTCCTCCAGAATATAGAGGCAAAGATCTAAAGAAAGGTATGCGGAAGAAGCCCATATTATAAAAATCCTGAAAAATAAGTGCTAGTTAAATGTTATAATTATTAATGCCACTGATATAAAGTCCTGCCTGCACTTCTATCTTGACGTTCAAGCTTTAAGTTACCTCAGTTGGTTGACTGGATCTGTACCCTTTTCTGTCTTACAGATATTCGTTGTGGACCGAGTGGAAGGAGATAGCTGTTCTCTGAATGAATTTACAGTGACTGGCTCAACATACGCTCCCATAGGAGAAGTGTAAGCTTGATTCTTGCCAGCTGAACCATTTACAGGTCTGGCTGTGTATGCACAGCAGCACTTAGGGCTCGAATTTAACAGCCTGAAAGAGAAGTGGATAATGTAAAGCGGAACTGAAGTGCAACCTCTTGATTTGTAGATTACCAATTTAAAACTAATCTTTTGGAATAGTTAATTTTGTGAGGAAATTGCAGGCTTTCCACAAGGTTATTGATATTTCGCCCATCTTAGGGAGAAGAGTGTTACTGGTCTCACTTAATAAGTTATTTACTGTGAGCACTCCAAGCATTATAAATATACTCTAGATCTGTCCTTCAGAATTACATTGTTGTCCTAGAATATATTTCTTATGTGTGCAATCTTTCATTATGAATACTATTGTGCAGGCTTGTGTTTAAGCACTTGCCTGGCAGCTTATGGGGACAAGGATTTGCATGCAGGTGAGTGAGTAACCTGGTATAGAATGGGTAAAGCACAGTTTCCTCCTTGGAGCCCACCATCACACACCAGGGTGCTAGAGGAAGGACAGACGTCTCCATCTGACCTCTACTGGCTCCCAGAAGGCTAGAATTTATTATTATTGTTGTTGTTGTTATTTGGCAGGCCTATAAAATTACAAGACTGCTATGCTTTCCCTCCTTCAAACCTTAATTTCTCCAAATTGTTCTGAAATGTTATGTTTTTTGAATCTACATATCATATTACCACTTCTCTTATGCCTTTGTCTCTGCTTTCCATATAAAGAAATGTGCACACACTAGTGTCTTTTCAGTTCTTCATAGCTCCAAAGAAAGGCACAGATTGTTAATGTTGAGATGATGACTGGAAAAGACATAACATCTATTGTCATTTCCTAGTTGATGTCTTTGTTTACGTAGAGCCCTTAAGAGGAGCACATGAGGTGTCATGATTCATCAGTGCGTCAGCAAAGCTAATTTCCCCCAAGTAGAGAGAAATCTCAATTTGTTCAGTCTTTATAGTCATTGATGACAAGCTTTTGATGTGAATCAATCCCATGATGGGTCCTTGCTAAATGTTCTGTGTGTAATATTAATTTCATTTACCCTTGAACAAAATTCACTTAGGGCAAAAGTGAAATACAACATCTTAAAAACATGCAGCACACTTGCCTCATTGATCATGGTTCCTTTTCGTATTTGAGTGGGCAAGGATGAATTCTTAATTAGGACACAGGAACTTTAAATGCCCATGTTTTAAAAGACTACCTGTAAAAGTGAGTTCTGCTGTTGATTCTGACCTTGTAAACATAATGCAGCATGAAATGTCCATTCACATTCATGTCAATGTGATTTATTTATCCCAAGCCCAAGCTGCAGGGGGCTTTCCGGATTTCAGCATATGAAGGATGAGAATAACATGAACATGCCAGAGAGGGAAGGATCCTAGCCAGTGGTTTACTCTGATACAGCACAGACATTGGGACTGAAGTCTCACCATCTATTTTTCTCTTGAATATTTTTGACAGGCATAAAGATGAGAAACTGATCAAATGCAGTCAGTATGATGGTCTTATAGAATTGGCAACAATCTGTGCCCTTTGCAACGATTCTTCTCTGGATTTCAATGAGGTAAGTATCTCCTCCTAATTCAAGAGAGGGAGCAAAGTGGTTGCTGTTGCTCTCCTATGTTAGAAAGGGCTGCAGCACAAGTGTCAAGGTACATTCCTCCCATCCTCTTTGATTAAGGGTATTTATCTGTTCACAGGAACAGATACTTTTCCTCAAGGGTGTGTTTGTTTAGTCTTTTATGCACCTCTTTTCCAGCAGTTGTGTCCAAGACGACTTTCTCAGTTGTTTTCGGTTATTAAATCTGTACAAATACATAGCAAACGAAATAAATAAAAGTATACAGCAAATGAAATAACAATTCAGCAGCAAGATATCCAAACCAAGGCCTCAAGTGAAAACAACTAAAAACAGCCACAGACTGAATCAGATTTTAATGTTGCATCTAAATATCAACAATGTAGGTCTTGACCAGACATCCCCACTAAGGGAATTTAAGAAGTGGGGTTGCCACAATCCAACATATTTATACTTTCCTGATAGATGCATTTCTGACACCTGTAAAAGAAGCCTTGTGTGCATATCTACTATCTAGGTATTTTCCTGAATCCTGTGAAAAGTGACTGTGCCTGCACCAGTTAGTTTTTCATGATCTGGGAAACGTATAGTTTTATCTTGGCGCTGAAGAGCTTTGGTGTTGTATGAAACAATGCATACATGAATTCATACAAAGGACTCAGTGACAGATATGAGAGCACCTAAGTCTGAAGCTAAACAGGTGTTAACTTGAACAGCCCCTTGAATTAGTCTGGAAGCTCCATTTTACAGCCAAATGGGGGCTTTGCATCGAGCGGGAGTGCAGGAGTAAGGAAAAATATGGGGAAAGAAGGCCAGAAGAAAGAGGCGCTTGTACACATGGTTGGTTATACAATATTAGCTTGAAAAAGCACTTCCATAATGAGTGCTGGATGAGATGCACCTTTAAAATAGTTAGGCGGAACAGCCAAGGGAAGTGGGCTTTTGAGACAAGGTAGTGTATTCTTCTAATTAACAAATAGGTTTTCTTATGCTGAGCCTGTGCTGATAGTCCCCATACCAACTGCAAAGAATGTGACTTACACATACAAATAAAAGACAGTGACCTTTTTGGTACTGAGCAGGACAGAGGAAGGTAAAACGTTTGGATAAAGGAGCATAAATAATAGGCAAGGGTTAACATAGCAGAACATGCAGGACAGTTATGCTTCTTTGGGTTGTTTATGCAAAAGTTGATCTAGAAGGAAGTAACTTGATAGATGCAGTGGGGAGAAAGGTCACAGACATGAGTGGAAGAAGTCAAAGTGTAAGGCTGCAGAGTGAATCAAGAGAAAGTAGTAGACTGCCGGGAACGAAACCCTTAGAAACTAGGGCTTGAAGTGTCATTAGAAAGTATAGACAAGTATGAGCAAACACTTGAAAGGGCTGATGTGGCTTAGACTTATGTTCTCACTGTGCCAGTCTACTTACTGCTACAAAATGGGGGCCTCTTATGGCACTTAAGGTACAAATGCAAGTCAAGGTAAGCCCCCCCCCCCCCCCCAGGTCTTCGTGCGCTGGAAAAGGAAGCAATAATTGATACAGTACAAAAATATATTTTCAATAAAATCCATTATTGCATAAATAGATTTTATTACAAATTCTGGTTTTGTTTTCATTTTAAATAAGAATTTTTGGATGTCTGTTATCAAGAAGACTCCCAAGATATGTAAGTGATAGGCAAACTGTGATACTAATCATGCTAATAACATTTTTGTTAAAGGCTAAAGGAGTGTATGAAAAGGTTGGTGAAGCCACAGAGACTGCCCTCACGTGTCTGGTGGAGAAGATGAATGTGTTTGACACAGAGTTGAAAGGACTGTCCAGAATTGAACGGGCGAACGCTTGCAACTCGGTCAGTACTTCTGAAGTAATACACAGCAGAGAACCAAGTGAAACTCTTCTCCTTTCATGCAGGTTCATTGCACTGCAATTCTGACTTCTCCATCTTCCCACCTCCTTCCTGCAGGTGATAAAGCAACTCATGAAGAAAGAGTTCACCCTTGAATTCTCAAGGGATAGAAAGTCCATGTCGGTGTACTGCACTCCAAACAAGCCCAGCCGGACTACTATGAGCAAGATGTTCGTTAAGGCAAGTATGCTTCATGGAAGCAGGCAGTTGTACTCAGCTGCAAGGCAGCATGGCTCTTGAAGTTGTGCCAGAACAAAATTGCAGTGGCGTCTCAAAAAATAAATCTGTGCTTAGTAGTATTCGACCCCTGCAGTTGAGTGAGCTGCTTTAATTTTATTTTAATTTTTTCCCCTTGATGGCTTTGTGGTGTGAAGGCAAGTGATTGTGATTCTGATCTTTCCTGGAAAGCTAATTGGCTCCCACTTTGTGCTCCTGCAGGGTGCCCCCGAAGGAGTAATTGACAGGTGTACACACATCCGCGTTGGAAGCACTAAAGTGCCATTGACACCAGGAATTAAGCAGAAGATCATGAGCGTCATCCGAGAGTGGGGCACAGGCCGAGATACCCTGCGCTGCTTGGCTTTAGCAACACACGACAATCCACCAAGAAGGGAAGACATGAAATTAGAGGATTCTGCAAATTTCATTACTTACGAGGTTGGTTAACTGTCAAATTGCAGCTTGAGGAGAATGGCAGACGTTTCCTAAAACAAAGTGAGTTTTGTCTTTGGATGGAAACACCAAGTGTGCCACTTGAAGCTCCTTGGAGGAAGGGATGTAGCTGATGTTAGTTTGTAACATTTAGCATCTCCATCCTAGTACCATCCTAATATATTGTGCATTTATCACTAGGCATCCTGCGTCGTGTTCATGCCCTTGCAACTAACACAGCTGGTGATAAACCCCACCTAATCCTAGGCTACAAAAATTTACCTAGGGCTGTCTAGTCTCCATTCCTTACCTATAGAATGGGAACAGTAGCAACTGACCTCTGTGGATTGTTGGGAAGATGAACAAATTAAAACAAAAATGCTGTACAAGCAGTAATAGCAGTGCCTTTTTCCTAGAAAAATAGGTACTCATCATGAAGTTGTTACAGTAAGTGCCACACTCTTTAACCAAAAAAAGAGGCTTCAGTACTGCGTACCCTTGAGTACCCCCTCAAAAAAAAAACACCTGACAAGTAATAGTATAACAATGGTAAAAGACATATTAGTTCTGTTCAGCAACTTAAGGATGTGTGCCTTTTACCTTGTTACTGGAAAATCTGAATGCTTAATGAGGTTTATTCTTGTTTCAGACCAATTTGACATTTGTTGGCTGTGTGGGGATGCTGGATCCCCCACGAATTGAAGTGGCATCATCCATAAAGTTATGCCGGCAAGCTGGTATTCGTGTGATTATGATAACAGGGGACAACAAGGGGACAGCAGTGGCCATCTGTCGTCGTATTGGCATCTTTGGGGAAGAAGAAGATGTCACCACGAGAGCCTTTACAGGGCGTGAGTTTGATGAACTTTCCCTGGCTGCCCAGAGGGACGCTTGCCTAAACGCGCGCTGCTTTGCCCGTGTGGAGCCTTCCCATAAGTCTAAGATTGTTGAGTTTCTCCAGTCTTTTGATGAGATCACAGCTATGGTAAGTGTGAGAGGTGGGGCATTAGATAGACGGCAACTTCTTGTGTAGAGAAAGATCTGTGTACTAGTTGAGGGGAGGGGTCTTTATGCAGTTGCATTTTACCGAGGTTCCAAACAGTTCTCTCCCAGCATGAAGGTGCAGAATAGGCTAGAACATACATTAGTCCGCCCTAACTTGCTGCCAAGTTATCAGATGATGAAGATGGGGCTGTGCCTGGAACCAGTTCTGCTGTATGCTGGCACAATGGGCCATGTCAGTGCCCCCGCTTTTCAAACTTTCTCTTTCAGACTGGAGATGGTGTAAATGATGCCCCAGCACTGAAGAAAGCAGAGATTGGCATTGCTATGGGGTCAGGCACCGCAGTGGCAAAGACAGCTTCAGAAATGGTGCTGGCTGATGACAACTTCTCGACCATTGTAGCAGCTGTGGAAGAAGGACGTGCAATCTACAATAACATGAAACAATTCATTCGCTACCTCATCTCCTCCAATGTCGGAGAGGTCGTATGGTAGGTGTGCCAAGCAGACTCAACTCCCCTCAAGAACTGCACAAGTGAACTTTGTTGATATAAATTGAGCAGGACTGGCCTCCTGGGACAAATTCAATCCAGAGGTGGCTAACAAGTGACTTAGGGAACCTTTCCCATCCCCCCTTAAACAGAAGAAAATGTCAGAGGATGGATTTGGAGAGTTCTTAGTGGCAACTCAGCTCTGGACAGTTTGTTAGCAAAGACCATAGATATGCCAAACCAGAGAGCTTTTAAATGCAAACTAGAGCTTTAAGTGTAACAATGTATTCTTTAGAACCACTTCTGCTATTTTGGGTAATGAAAAAGTGATTTGCAAAGACACACTGAATGTCCGTAGTTACCAACGACTATCATTCTCATCCCAATTTCAATGCAGCACTCAAGTTCTCCTTTCCATAGGCTGCATAGGACTTGCCTTGGTTGTCAAATAGCGTCAAGAACTGTTAGGATTGCAGCCAGTTTGAATACTTGACTCTTAAATAGTTGTAACCCAGTTTCCTCTCATGCTGTGAAAACCCGAAGTACAACATATCCATTAAATCCTTCAGTTAACATGATTAATCTTACTTCTGCTCTTTTTTTGACAGTATCTTCCTGACTGCTGCCTTGGGTTTCCCTGAAGCTTTAATTCCTGTGCAGCTGTTGTGGGTAAACCTTGTGACTGATGGACTCCCTGCTACTGCTCTGGGATTCAACCCCCCTGATCTTGACATCATGGACAAACCACCTCGTAATCCCAAAGAGCCCTTGATCTCTGGGTGGCTCTTCTTCCGCTACTTGGCCATTGGATGTGAGTGTTGATTTTGGATTTCCGAACCCCTGGATAGAACAAGAGGTTTTCTGCTTTCCCCCTTCCCTCATTCCCAGTACCTCCCTGTTCCCTTCCCTTCTCCTCTTGGCTCTTACACAAGTGAGTCCAATTAGGGCAGCAGCATGGCATCAGCCGGTCCGCATTGCAATTCGGCAGAATGGTAGAAGTTAGCTTAAAGGTACTGAAACTTGTTATCACATGCTGTTGCTGCATCCTTTCCTCCTCACCTTCCTTTCTCTTGGCAGTTGCTAATCTTGCAGAAGATGGCTGCAAAGTGCCACTTGGACCAGTGTCTCTCAAACTTGGGTTGCCAGCTGTTGTTGGACTGCAACTTTCATCATCCCTAGCTAGCAGGACCAGTGGTCAGGGGAGATAGGAGTTGTAGTCCAACAACAGTTGAGGACCCATGTTTGAGAAACTCACTTTGAACAGTTTACCTACCAAGCTAAATCTACTTCTGAACTCTCCATTTTAACTAAGCACCTAAAATGTTTTTTTAAAGCCAGCATTGCCTTGGATTGAATTATCTGATAAAATAATTTGTGTGTGTGTGTTTGTAGAAGAGTTAACTTCCATTAGGCAGGTTTTCAGTGAGGAAAGTGTAAGTGTGTCTTGCACAGAGCTCTGGCCCCATCTCTGGGTCTGTTTTTAAATGAGATATGTGGTGCTGGAAAGAATCCAGTTGTGGTTACTTGGCATTCAAGATATGAGCATGGATAGCAATTGCAGGAAATGGGCAAGGGTTACACAGTAACCTATTGTACAGAGGAGAGAAAGTTCAGGTGAGGTGAGCAGGCAATACAGTTGGCCCATTATTCAGCCTAGAAAGAACTAAAATTATTTATTTCCCCCCCCCCCCCTTAAGGCTACGTTGGAGCTGCTACGGTGGGAGCTGCTGCTTGGTGGTTTATTGCTGCTGATGGTGGCCCAAGAATTACCTACTACCAGCTGGTAATATTTTCTTCTCCATATTTCAACATTAGCATTATTTGAATAAGGCTTACATTTTTGTAGTGCTGTTGGCTAACTATGGTGTTTAAGTGGAATGCACTGGTATCTTTTCAAAATAACACCAGTTCTTATCTTTGGAAAGATCTTACACATGTCAAAAAACTAATTCCAGCTTAAAATAAAGATCAGATTAGAGTGTTTAAGGAAAAGCTTTGGTTTGTTCAACTTTATAGCTGAACAACAACAAGAATTATAATGATGGTTGATAGCACAAGAGTATTTTGATGAGCTGCAGCCGGGGGACGAGGAGCAGTAATGTCATGAGTGTACTTAACTAACTTGTATTTGTGTTCACATTTTCCAGAGCCATTTTCTGCAGTGCAAAGAGGACAATCCAGATTTTGAAGGTGTTGACTGTGTGGTCTTTGAGTCTCCATACCCTATGACAATGGCACTTTCCGTCTTGGTCACTATAGAGATGTGTAATGCACTCAACAGGTTGGTGTGCTTGAAATGGATGCTTTCATGTGCCGTGTGTCGGTGATGCGGTGATGGGAGCACTAGATTGCATCATGCTATTTGAAGAACTTGCCTTGACTGCAGAAGTTCTGCATTTGGGTGATTTTCACTGTGTTTCTGGAATTCAGTGACTTTAGGGATTCAGCTACTTTTACTTTTTTTAACAATGGATTTAAATAAATCAATGAAGGAGCAGTACACAAGATGGGGCAGAAGAAGTGGCTTTTTCATCTGCAGAAACTGAAGAGAAATATTGCCTGCCTTGAGCTTCACAGGACATCTGTCTCGGCACCGTCAGAAGCATTGCAACGTTAGACAGGCTTGATCCAGTGTAATGTAGATATATGGAGCAGGATCTGGGTCAGCAGTTTTTGCAGAACATTGGCAGGGAGCTATTAAAGCAGGTGGACCTTTCACTAGAGAGCTGCTGATGGGTTGTGGGCCTACAAAACTGGGCACTAGGAGAAATGCCTTGTGCTGTAGCACATGCATGCACTTGGTATCATGGCAGCCAGAACTGGAAAAAACAAAAGAAGAGTTTTTAAAGCTAGTGGAAGGGGAAAGTAGAGTGGCAGACTCTCTGAGCCTGCCGAAGATAAGAGCTGGTGAAGTGCAGTGGCTTTGAGCAGGAGCTGTGAGCCCTGGGTCAAGTCACACATAGATGGCCTTTAGGCAAGCTGCTGTGAACTGTGAAGCTTTATGTACGCCTTCATTCTTTTTTTCAGCCTGTCAGAGAACCAGTCCTTGTTGCGGATGCCTCCTTGGGAGAACGTCTGGCTGCTGGGTTCCATTTGCTTGTCCATGTCTCTTCACTTCCTTATCCTCTACGTGGAGCCACTGCCAGTAAGTTTGCATAGCTCATGTTCCAGGACAAGTCTTGAACCAAGCAAGAAAAGCTCTTGGTCATCCCCAGCTCTCTTACCCCTCAGCTCAGTCAAAAGGCTTCACCAATAATGCTATTTCTCTTCCATTCCCCAGCTGATCTTCCAGATCACACCTCTGAATCTGACCCAGTGGCTGATGGTGTTGAAAATCTCGCTGCCTGTCATCCTGCTGGACGAGACACTTAAATTTGTGGCCCGTAACTACCTAGAGCCTGGTAAAGATAGTGTGCCACCTGCCACCAAGCCACGCTCTTTGTCCGCATGCACCGAAGGGATTTCCTGGCCGTTTGTGTTCATTACCCTACCCTTGGTTATTTGGCTGTATAGCACAGACACTAACTTTAGCGACATGTTCTTTTCTTGACCTGAAGAGATAACAGTTTGACAGAGAGATGTTTAACTTAAATCAATTTTTTTATTGTTTAAAGCAATTGTCTTATTCTGCTGAATTTTCACATGAACATATTTGCCAGTGTCTGAGGTTCCATATTCTATGCCAGCCCTTCCCCATCCCGGCGTCCTCCAGATACCTGCTGTTACAACTCCCATCAGCCACAGCCAGCCCACCTGTGCTTGCGAGGCCCAATGGGAGTTGTATCCCAGACACCTGGGAGGGGCACCAGGTTGTGGAAGGGCTGATCTAGACGTTTTGGGTTTTTTCTTTTACTTCCCCTGACCCGACTCCTGTGGAGGAGTAGCATTTCTCCCCACCCCCTTTTATACACATCTAGGGTGTCCATTGACATGTACAGAGAAATTTAACACTATTTTATGCAAATATTTTTTGTAGAGGAGAAGCATGTACAGTGTTCTGTTTAATAGTCAACTCATCCTTGTAAAAACAAACAAAAAAGTGCTTTGCGGGGGGAGTGCCAGTGGACACTATATTGAGCAAACTGTAATTGGTAGCAGATTTTAGGGAATGAATGTTTTTGTGTGTGTTTTCTTAAACTAAAAAGCATGCAATTGTTTATGTCTTCTGCATGGTCACCTATTCTTAATTTGTCATTCAGCTGGTTTTTTTCTGCACTGGGCAGATGTATACTGCTACCTCAGTATCTACCCCCCTTTTTTGCCCTTTCCAATATTTTTAAATAACAACTGAATCTTGTTTACACCTGTATTTGTAAGAGGTATGCTTATTTTTGCTGGTGCAGAAAATACCACTCCAGGGGCAACCTATTACTGTTCTCCTCCTCAACCCCCCCATCACATGTAGATTTTTTTAAAACAAAAATATTATTTATTTAAATATCTTATGTATTTTTATTGTAACAGCATTTTCACCAGCATTGCCCACTTTGGGATGGTGGGGAGAAGCAGGAAAGGTAAAAGGCTACCTGGATAGACTTCAGGCAAAGCAAAAAAATAAAAAAAAATAAACTTTTTTTAATTGAGAAAATTTTGTTTCTCATTTCATTTATACCTTGGAGGCTGCTCCATTTTAATTAGCAAAATCCATGCGTCAATATTTTTTGTGTTCTTTTTTTTTAAGTGGGGGCATTCATAATGGGACCTGGAAACAAAGGACTTGCGTTTGCACAGCTGGAGTTCTCACAGGGTCTTTTTTTGGTTAGGTCTCTTAACTCTCAGTGCCACATCTTGGGATATAGTCTGCTGGCCACATCTTACCCTGAAGTGGCAAAGTAACAAATTTGTGTGTGTGTGCGTGTGCGTGTTACGTCTCTGTGTGTGTTTTTGTAAAATCTGTAAATACCACATGACCAAATGAACATATTGTATAGAACTATTTTTATTTTTAATGTGGCACTAACCACCATCATTCTATTGCGATAAATGTTACCGCATGTTGTGTTTCCCCCCCTCCAAATTGAGTCCTGTATCAACAATGTGTAAGTTCATTAACAGTCCTAACTGTGTGGTGTTTCTCTCCAATGCCTTCCAACATTCATCGACTGAAGTGAGTATCTCTCTTCCATTTCACCATTCCAGTGGTGATGTGCTGTGTTAAAAAAAGATAGCATATGCTGTATACATGTCAAAGAATAAATGCTAATTTTCCCTTCATTCCATGCTGCGTTTTGTCAGATATTCTGCTGTGCTACATTATTATCACCACTCTTCACATTCTGCCTCCAGTATCATAAGGCTCAGATGTCTTGAAGAACAAGCATATTTTGCGCCCCCAATTTCTATCGGGTTAAATCTTTAGAACCAAGCTAGCAAGACCTGTGCCCTGAAAGTATTAGAATTAACAGCGTTTCCCCTTCCTAAATTCACATTAAACTCTTCCTTAGCAACTGTCAGCACCTCCAGGGTGGCTTTGCTGCAGTGGAAGCTTTTTTAGATAATCTAATTTGTCTTCCCTACATCTCAAAAGTAATAGACATCCTTGAACATGGGTCCCAATTAGCTGGTTGTAGTTTTCATACTGTACTTTGATGCTCTTGGACGACTTCTTTGTTTTGTTATAAAGGTGTCATGAACCATTCCAGATAACAGGTATTAACTTCAGAAGGCCAAAGGTCTTCCAGTTACATTCTCTCAGGTATTGTGTTTCTAACAGAACAGTATCTTGATAGTTCTCAGTAAGTAGAGACTCTTCTTGTTTCCCACAAAAACAGCAACGGAGCAGTCAAATGAACATAACACGGTTGAACGCCGAGGGACTGGGGGACATGTTCTGTCAAAACGGCAGAGAGCATGCTGGCTTTGCAGTGTTTTCAGTCACCAGCTAGGGCACTCTTCGTTTAGGAGCTGGATGGATTAAAATTTGGCAAGAGTCCTTTGAAGAGTCTGTGACTAGCACAGAATGCTTAGTGATGGGTAAGCTCAAAGCGCTCTGGGGTGTAAAGTGAAATCCCTTGCAGATGGAAGGTTTCACTAGCAGACATGTTAAAAATGTGGACCTTGCAACTCAGGAGTGTGTTAGGAGCACAGCAGCAAGCAGTAAGCAGCCTTCTTAGGCAAAGTTTTCATGTCATCCTAAATCTAGACTCTAGTGCTGACCTTAGTGCACATGCTATCTGCACACCTCCTTGCCTTGGTCTGGTTTTGCCGCCAGTCTACTGAGCTTGGAAATGGGAATCAGCACGATATTATCAGTGCAGGCTGACTTCTGTGACAGGGATAGCTAATCTGTGACCTGCCAGATATTGCTGGACTACAACTTTGTCTCTGACCATTCTCTGCTACTCATTGGGGCTAAAAACACTGCCAAAGGTAGCTCAGTTAAGTAGAGCATGGTGCTGATAATGCCAAGGTTGCAGGTTTGATCCCTGTATGGGATAGCTACACATCCCTATGTTGCAGGGGGTTGGACTAAATGATCTTTGGAGTCCCTTCCAACTCATTGGGCCTAATGGAAGCTGGGAGTCAAACAGCATCTTCAAGGCCACGGATTAGCCATTCATAGGCAGGCCCAGAAGCATCAGCTTCTGGCTTCTTGACACCTGCACTATAGAGTGGCCATATTCTGTCTAGCTGTAGGTCTCATTTCCTTCAGCTGTCCCTTCCTTGCTCCTCACAAAAGTGAACACAAAGACAACCCCAATGTATCTCAGTATTTTATTTAACATTCTCAAAGTAAAAGAGTACAGGTCCCTTTCTTGATGGGATTACCGGTATAATCTCAGATTTGACGGGGGGGAGGGTTCAGCAGAGAAAACTCTTTCTCAGTTACATGGATTTAGGAGGACTAAGCAGGTATGCCAAAGACCTCACAGGAGGCTGGGGGAGGTTTTGAAGAGGAAGCAAGAAATGGCATTGTGCAAATGTTCTAGGAAGTAGCATCACCCATGAAGGTCTGGAAGGGAGAAAGAGCAGAGTTAAGAGGAAGCTAAAACTTGCAGAGGTCCCTTACTAAACACTAAGCATATTTGGGGAACAAGAATCCTTTATGTCTGGAGTCTTATGTGTGTGAATGTTCACATGAAAAGCCCAGCTTAACCAAATGAAAATCGAAACCACGGTGGAAGTCCCTATTTCAGTTACTCATCTTTACAAGTGGCAGTGAGCTTGATGATGCTGGTGGCAGAGGCTGGTGGCAGTTGGAATGCCAGCCACATTTGAGGGGCCACGCAGGTAAGGGCAGGTTACCAAAATTGCTGTTTCTGAAAAGCAATGGAGCACACCAGTAACTTTCAAGCCCACTTGTAAGAGGGTTCTTGCACGGATATCCATTTAGCCCAAATTGTTAACAACTTGGAGTGTTTGTAAAGGTAGACAGTTCTTTATTTTTTTATTTAAAAATCTGTTGTGTTTTGATCTGCCTTCCATTTCTCACTGTGCTTTTCAGTTGGTTTAGACTGTTCTTGTCTCAGTGTTTCTCACCCAGATGAGACATCTGCATAGCTGTATAGGGCAGTGGCACAGAATCCTGTGATCATCCCAATGGTGCCAGACTTCAAATCCCAACAGTCCCAACCACTATGGTCAAAGGGAATGATGGGAATTGAGGTCCAACCACATAGGATAGGCACGGCTGGGGTAGATGAGTCAATAGTTTAATTGGTATAGGATAGCTTCAACGTTAATCTCTGAAGCACAGCTCCAGCACACTGGACTTGCTCCTTCGTCTCTCATCTCCCTTTTAACTGAATTAGGGAGATAATAAGACATACATTTGTGGTATAGTAAGCCATCTAATTAAATGATATTTGCAATTCACAATGCCAGTTATGGTAAGCAATATATTTCACCAAGGGAAGCACACATTCTGCCAGGAGGTGAAGCCTTGTAAGATGGCTAGTCATCAACTTTTCCATTAGTGGAAGGAATTAGTGAAGCTTTTTCAAAGTGCTTTGAACCTTGCAGTGACCCCTTTGGAAAGGGGCACCGGGTGCCTTCCCCTTCTCACTGAATAAGGAGTTGTTGTCTTTCCAAGCAGAACTTAACCCTAAATCTCTTAACTCTTAAAGCCCAGTGCAACCTTCGGTGGTTCTCACACCACCATGGGTTGGGTGAATATGGTAACTTTTCTAAGGCCATCCAGTAAGCTTAGAATTGAACCTGTGGCTCTAATGTTAAAAACCTGATGGAGCAGAGTCACAATTCAGGGAGGACATACTTTTCCTCCATAGGATCCCAGGTTCAATTAATGCCCCCTCAGGTGCAGTAACGATGGGAAACACCTTTGCTTGGAACCTTGTACAGATGCTGCCAGTTGAGGTTGACCAGCCTTCCTCCAGCCTGGTGCCTTCTAGGTGAGGTTGGATTTCACAACTCCCGTCCGCCCCAGCCAACATGGCCCATGGGCAGCGGGGATGGGAGTAGCAATCCACAAAGCATCTGGAGGAGGATACATTTGATTAATAACTTGACTTAGTCCACAGCATTTTGGGGGTGAAGCTTTCTTTTCTGATAAACATTCAACAATTTAGATGTTAAAAGAATGGCCAAATAGTGTTTATTTTCTCCCCGTTTGTTTACCAGTACAAGTGGTGTCTTAAATCAACAGGGGATTTTTTATTGTTTAAACTGAATGCAAAGCAGCTTTGTGGCAATTCGCTTTTTTTATGCTGTAGTTTTGCTTAAATTAGTGTTTAATATTGGGGAATCTTAACTCTGTGGTGATAAAATGCAGTACAGCAGTTCTAGTGTCTCCCAAGGACGCAGCCAATAAGAGGCTTGAACGATGAGCAAACTGGATGGGTGAGGCGTAGGTAAAAACAGCTCAAGTTGTCTGTCCTTGCACTTGTCTTGTTTTACTTTTTGCACTTCTTAACCATCGTTTCCCTAATTTCTGCTTATTGCATTAAAACAAACAATAATAATAATGAAACACTAACACAGAGAGTAAAAAGATCTGCATATTTTCTAACACAAACTCTGTGGGACAGGATACTGCAATTGTACAATAACGGAGTTGAAAATTGCTATAGAACAGCAGAGGCAAATAGGGCAGGGGCTGAATCATGATGCAAGCTTCATTCTGGACAAGGCAGGTGTAAGGATTTGGGGTACATGCCCAGGGCACCAGTTGGCGCAAAATGTCCACGTGCAATGGAGCTGGCCAACCAGGCAATGCTCCAGCGATGTTGGTGTGTCTTCAACCAGCCTCCACCTGCCAGCCCTCTTACTCAAAGAAAACCAGGGAGCGGGGGGGGGGGGTGCTGTTGTCAGCTTCCTCCTTCTTAGTCTCAGTGTTGATGTTGCAGAAGAGGAGGAAGGGGGCAAAACGAGAATGAGTTGGTGCTGCACGTCACTGGGTCAGGCAGAGGCAGAGGCCATCGCTGGCTCTAGTTCTCCCTATTGTTAGGGATTTCTGCCTTCCATTCTGCCAGCCATCAATGTCCACATGTTAACTCTGGGCAAATAAAGTTGGTGGGTGGGGTCTCAACAGGACTCTGCCTTGTAAACAATCTCTTTTGAAATGAAAGGAAACGAAAAGGGCAGGAGGTGTGTCACCCATCCCGGACACCACCCCTGCTCCTGGTTCTTGTATGTCTCCATGAGCACAAGGCTGGCATGCCAGTGGTTCTGGTGGCAAAGCTTTTCTGGAAGGAAGAAGGTTTCAGTAGATGGACTAGCCCTGCAGCCTTTATGTTGGCTCACCTTTTTAGTGTATTTGGGGGGTCAGGGAGAGACAGGCTAGGGAAATAGCTTAATTCCTTATTGTACCTATTTCCTTTTAATAATTTCCAAGGTACCAGTTGCATTCCAAACTACTGGGGCATCCTAGACATCCTATGCTAAGGGGACTTGCAGTTTAAAGACCTCCACAAAATACCACAAAATTATTAGAAATTGAGAGAAAGTTTAAAAACAAACATTGAATGAGAAGCAGTGCTGTTGCCTGGGGAGAATCTGAAAGGGAGACTGGTTGAATGGACAGCCAGACTGACCTGTTTGCTAGGTGGAAATACGTAAAGCAAGCAAAAATGGATTAACAGAACCACTTCTCTTTTTGCTGCAAAGTTAATTGCACACTAGGAAACTGAATGGTAGGAATTTGTTAGGGCCTGAGAGCTCCAACATGCTGTGGCTAATCTGTAACTCTTAATTCACCGCAGACAAGCCATTAACATCCAACAAGTGATGAAAAAGGATGTGTGAACATATTTTGGTTACTCCTCAGGGCTTTGGCAACAGCATTTTTTTCTCACCTCACTAAAGGTTTGGGAGGGAAGGGCTTGTGGAAGGGATGGGAAGCATTCAGAGGCTGTTGGACCACAGCTCCCTTCCTCCTTGGGCACTGGCCTGTATGGCTGGAGCTGATGGGAGTTGGAGTACAATAGTATCTGGCAAGGCCGCAGGTCCCCCATCTTAGTAACTTAACAGTGAAAGGGAAATTTGTCCCTGTGTACTGGAAATGGACAATTTTATGAAGTACAGTATCTTTAGCCTCCCTTGTACAACAGCTACTAAATAAAAAGATTTGGCAGTTTGGCTAAAGTTTTTAAGGATTGGCTTATGGGGCAAATAGCGAGTGGAAATCTCTTAACTAGATGTCCTTCCAGCTTTTAATTCTCTGTCATACTTTTCTGATTAACTTGGATTCTCCCATTTGAAAATGAGAGGATGCTTATCAGACTGTTAGAATTTAATTCTATCGCTTTTGAGCCTTTTAAAAATTACAATAATGTCCTTGCTTTTATTAAGCCTTCTTTATCCATCCTTTTCACTAACGTTTTCTCTCTCTCTCTCTCTCTCTCTCTCTTTTTATTTACAGCAAAACTGGAGTAATCACTTAGTCCTAGACAAATTTTGCAGAATTGTAAGGTTAATTTTCTTGCATGCGTCTTTAGGAACGCATCTACCGAAAACATCTGCATGAGTCTTGTAAATGGGAAAATAAAAATCTCTCTTTAAGGAGGGAGAAAAAAATAGAACTGAAAACTCGTGTTCCACGAAGGAAGTGTGTGGTGCTCTTAAAAAGCTTCAGTTTATATACAGATCTACCAATGTGCAATATGGTTTTTAACTGATAAAACAGACCTCTGCGAAGAAGTTTTGGGGTTGCATGAAGACAAGTCTCCCTAAACTGCTGAGCAAGAATTAATGAGTGGTGATTCGCCAAGTTTTATCTTTTTTCTTTTTCTTTCCATACTTCGTTGTGTAAAATGTCATAGTTTATAAAATGTACAATATTGGACTGTAATGCATGCTTTCAGTTGTAAGTAGCTGATAATCTCTATTGTATCTCAACATAACACTTAAAAACAGCTCTGTACAATATGCAATTCTATTTATACAGGTTCGTTGACAACGGTACTGTTGCTGAACGTTTAAGAAACTGTTAAACCTTCAATTCCATAACTTCAGCTTAAAAAAAAATATCTTGGAGTGTGCAGATAGGTCTATTTTGCACTGTAATAATGTAACTTATTTAAATCTAAAGCCGTAGACACACACCGGTGCAATACACATGTTGTGGTGCATTTTATCTTAACAACAAAAGCCTAATAATGAACCTAGTTCATAAAACAGCATGTGTGACCTTTTTTCTTTGTTAGAAGTTGTAAATAACATTGTCTGATTCAATGCTGATGGTGACAAGCATCACACCTGCCATCCTGGTTTCGGGTAAAATAAACTTATTCTATGATACATAGTTTTTGTGTTTGTTTGGATATGCGTTTAGGAACACACAAGCTTCCTTGTAAGCTAATTCTAAACACGTTTACTGAGAGCCTGTCCTGCACATGATGCAGAGTAAGGTGGTAGGATTCTGGACTTCACTGCTTCAAACTATTAGAGAGTGCGCATTTTTAATGTTCCCTGCATACTAAAGCAAAAAATGTCTGCTCCTTTTATATACTGAACTAGAACCTCAGAAAGAGAGAGACCAGCCTGTGGGATCAGGCCAGTAACCCATCCATCCCACCAGCCTGTTCTCTCAGTGGCCAACCAGGTTCCACAGTGGGAAACTGGCCAGCAGGGCCTGAGTGGAGCAGGACTCTTCCCACCTGAGATTCCCAGCCTTCAGAGCCAGTCTGCCTCTGATCCTGTAGGTGGCATGTAGCCATTGTGGCTGGGAGCCACTGAGAGCTCTATCCTCTATGACAGTGATGGCCAACTTGGCCCAACTGCTTTGGGACTACAATTCCCATCATCCCTGACCACTAGTCCTGTTAGCTAGGGATGATGGGTGTTGTAGTCCCAAAACATCTGGAGGGCCGAGTTTGGCCATCACTGCCCTTTGAGAGAGTGCTTTTCTTTTCTTTTTAAGTCGAGCCCAGTTCCCATTTTAGGGAGCTTTTCTTACATGGGAGAATATTCAGAGCTATGAAATCCCAACCACAGGCTCAGGTGGGAGAGTTCAGAATTCTGCTTTTCATTCTATGTAATGTGTGGATTGGCTGGCTCTCAGGAATAAAAGCACATTTCACTGGCTGGGATCCAAAGAACCAAAGAAGGAAGCTTTTGAATTGGGCTTGTTAGAACGGCACGTTGCACAGAAAATGCCCTCTGAAGCTGAAGAGGACTTCAAACCCCATTTGTGATATGGCCTGTGCACATGTCATTCAAAGGAAAGAGAATGCCACTTAACACAGTCCCAAGCCCTTGGGTGCTGCTGCTTTGGATCTGTGACATCAGTTCCAGTGAGATTTCCTTCCAAGCTCTTCACACTTTTAAGTTTGTGGCATTACTTGCGCACGATTTCCTAGCAATGCCAGGGCAACACTTCTTCCTCTTAGAACTACATAGCGTTCCTCTTGGAGTGTGGCATGACTGGGGTAGAGAGTGTGTGTTAGAAGACAACCTCTATATAATCACCTTTTTCAAAACAAAACAAAAAATGTTTTCCATTGTTTGTATAAAAAAAGTGAGAGACACAAACCATCTTGTGTCCCAACTGAATTATTTATATTTATATTTATTTAATTTTCTAAAGGGTTCATACACAAGACGTTAAAATCTTTAAAGCACAGGAAGTTTTCTGTGTGGTGAAATAATCATCCTCCCAAGTCAGAGTACTTAACCTGTAAAGTGCTTTATGTAGTGGAGTCTGGTCCAGCAGGGTGAATGGCCCACCAATCTTCTGCCTGCCTCCTTTCTCCAGGGGGACGTCACTCCTTGTCAACTTCCTCCTCATCAGGGATGAAGGGGCCAAAATTAGTTGGTTCTGGTGCCGTCTACTGTCAGTCTCCCTATATTCTGCCCTACCAGTCCCAATGGGCACCAGCCACTGGCTTCATAGAATCATAGAGTTGGAAGAGACCACAAGGGCCATCGAGTCCAACCCCCTGCCAAGCAGGAAACACCTTCATGGTAGAGCTCACACGAACAAAATAATTGTATGAGTTCTACCCACTCAATTAAATCTCCATGATTTAAAGACATCAGAGTATTTTCCTCTCTCTTCCTGGGCTATGACCTTCAACAGGAAGGAGTGATGAAAAAGCCACCTGTGGCCCAAGTCCCTTCGGCTCCCTGCCCAGGGTCTCACGGTCCCTTGCTGTGCGTTGCAGGCTGTGTGTGGCAGTATTATTTGTACCCACATGAATCAAGGAATTCTTTTTTCTTTTTTGCAGCTGTATTTTAACTGTTTGACCAAGACTTGCTTTGTTAGTTTTAATAATTGCAAGCCGTATGAGGGATGGCCACTGTAACCTGTACATCCACCTTGTTGGATGTGCTTTAAATGGATCTGTTGTTAACACTGTAGAACTCTGTGACCCTGGATTCTAGTATTATGCAAATTGGAGGAAAACTCACACCAGAGCGGTAGTCTCATAATCTGGGGAACCGGGTTCGTGTCTCCGCTTCTCCACATGCAGCTGCTGGGTGACCTTGGGCTAGTCATACTGAAGTCTCTCAGCCTCACTCACCTCACAGAGCATTTGTTGTGGGGGAGGAAGGGAAAGGAGAATGTTAGCCGCTTTGAGACTCCTTAAAGGGAGTGAAAGGTGGGATATCAAATCCAAACTCTTCTTCTTCTACCATGCATAGCTTTCTATCCCTCTTATTAGTCAGAGAAGAATTGATGGAGGCAGGAAGCAGTCAAAGCAAGGGAGATACTATTTTTTTCTGCTGCAATAGAGTCCCCGCCACCGCTGCGGGTGAGGACCCAGAACAAAGGTGTGTAACATACTTTAATGGCTTAGAAATTGCCCAAACCCTTAGCCAAAGACCACCCAAAAACATCATATAAATGTCACAGAAAGAGGCAGAAATGCGACAGAAATTTGAGTGTGTGTCTTGTCTCCTGTCCGTCAAGCAAGATACCTGATAATGTTTCCTGATTGCCTTTTCTTGGCCCGTCTGGGTCATTCTTTTGAAAATTGTAACTACCAATTGTTTCTGAACCTCCCCTGCTCATACACAAAACGTGCTATTTTGACTGGATTTGAAGGATTTGTAAGTGAAAATAACTATTGGGAAAGGTTCTTCCCAAGATAGTCCTTTCTACAGCAGAGTAAATATTTGGGGTCCTTAAGAAAGTCTAGATGGTTTCAGGATTGCTCTCCTGTAATATTTAAGATATGTGGTTTATGTACTTATGTGTGTTTACATTGTGCACTTATGAACATTCATTTTGTATGCATTTTCCATACATGCACTTTAGAGCGATCATCATTCTTTGACTTCCCCACACATCCCTCCATGGGTTCTTATTTAATCCTTGTTTAGCTGAATTTCCTTCCTTACTGCCCCTCTTAATTCAACTTACACTCTAGTTGTTTTTAACTGCTGCTCATATGTCTAGCCCCACTTGGAAATTTATCTGACTGTTGTATTGCTTTAAGTATTCTTTATGAACATTCATTTTATTTATGACACCTTATAATTTTTATAACATGGGGAAGGGCATAGCTCAATGGACAGAACAAACATATACTACTATATATATGTATACTACTGGATACATATACTACTGTTTAATATTTATTGCGGTATTCATTGTTGTAAAAAATAACAACAAGAAGGTTCTGGGGGAGAGAGGAAAGTGGGCAGTGGCAGCAGCAGTTCCCTCTTTTGTCTGGATATGAGGGCAGTTGCATAGAGCCCCCCTCACCCTGGCAAAGGCAGGCACAGAAAATAAGCCTCCATCCTGCAGCAGTTGCCTGACCAAGACCTCTGCCTCCTCCTCCTGGTTCTCCTCCTTGTCATCTTCATGCTCTTCATCCTCCTCACTGTCATTCTTGTCCTCCTCCCACCAGCAGTTTAATTTCAGGCATGGCAGAGGTGGGGTACCATTTTACTGTCTGGGGAGGGGAGAAAGGAAGCAACTTAAAGGAAGCCGCCATTCCACCAAGGTCCAAAAGAGGAAGAAGCCAATGGGGGGCAGGGGGCTTTGACCCCTCCCAGATCTTAGGAGGAGGGGGAGGAGGGCAGGATACTTCCATCATGCCTTGCCACCCTCAAACTTTGACCACTGAGGCTGCCACCATCATCACCCACCCGGCCACCTCCAACAACTCGCCAGGAGCCCCACTCTAGCGCCTTCTCCTTGGAGTCACGGGAATGGAAACAGCATGATGTTGGACCAGCACCAGCATCCTAAAAAAGAGGAGCAAATATGTCCATTGGTGGAGTGTGTGGTGAGTTCAGAAGGAAACATCAGGGGTGGAGGTCTCCCTCACCTGGAAGGTGCAGTTGGGCCTTGGGGGGGGCTGCCTGCAGGTGTTCTTTGTGACCCCCTCCAGATCCTCCAGCCACTTGCCAGGAAAAGGGAGGGGAAGAGAGAGAGACAGAGAGACTTTCTAAAGGAGAAGAGCTGAGTGGCTCTCCGGCAGCATCTTTCTCCAGGGGGTTCCAACACAACTCTGAGCTATTGTGGGTAGCTATGTCTTTACCTGGGCTGTTGACCCTTAAGGTGTTTCATAAACTATGCATCCCGTTTCTGTGCTAGTAGGTTGTTTTAAACTAATTTAATTGCTGTAACCCAACCTGGGAGCAGAGGCGGAGCTACCTGCTCCAGCACCCAGAGTGGACCGGAGTTCCCTAGCTGCCCGCCGCCCGTGTGGTGAGTGTTGGGGTGCTGCTAGCCTCCTGCTGCCTGCGATGAGCATATGGGGGGCGCAGTGTGCATGGGGGGCTGCGGCGATGTCCCCCCCCCCAGGATGGCACCTGGAGCAGACCGCGCCCCCCGCACCTCCCTTTCTCTGCCCGTGCCTGGGACCTGTGAGTGAAGGGCAGGTAGTTAAGAATGATACACACACATACCAGGAGTGTGGGCCCAGGTACAGCAATGCAGAGAAGAGAGACAAGATGGAAAAAACATCCACACAGCAGGGCTGGCCTGTGCAGCTTTGCATCTTTAAGTGAGGAGGAACATGGTTGTGTGGCTTCCCTACTTACCTGTGGCCGTGGGACAGAGGAGGACCTCATTCAGAGGGAGGATGGGGCTGAAGGAGGGTCTCTGTGCCCCCTCCCTGTGGCATTCCAGAAGAACCACCAGGTCCATGAAGAGCAGCACACGCAGGCCTAAGAGAGAGATGGTGGTGTTTCCTGGCTACCCTTCCCTTGGTGCACCCAGCTCCCTCTCGCCAACTCTCCATTAAGCCACAGCCCCTCCCCTCTTTGATTCCTGTTCAAAGGAAGCGCATCCCCCTCCCCACCAAGAGGGCTAGCTTTGGCCAGTCACTGACCCACAGTCTTCCTCTGGGTGGTGTGCAAGCGAAGATGCCCCTCATGGATCAGCTGGTGGCCCCCCAGATCAAGGCTCTGGACAGCAGGGAGGAAAGACGCGGCATTGCAAGTAGGGGAAGAGCAGGATAAAGACAGGCACTCTTTGCATAGCTGTCAACTTATAGATTTAAAAATAAGGGACCAGCAGCCTTGGAAATAAGGGATCAGCAGCCAAAATAAGGGATTTTCAGAGCGCAGGTATGTTCGACTTCTGAGCCCCTCCGAGTCAAAGGCAGAAAGCCCAGCCAGAAGCCAAACGAAGCCTCAAGCGGTGGTTCCCACAGCGCAGCAACCCGGCAAAGGGATACAGCAAGGAAAACCACCGTCACCTCTCCGCTGGGAAGCGCTGAGCAAAGGTGAGTCCCCAGCCAACGCGGCCAATTTGATTGGCACAAGGCATGCAAGCTCCACCCCCCAGTCGTTCTTAGACTCTTTATTGGGTGAGCAACGCAGCCAAACAACACAGTTGGAGCCTCCCTCCTCCCTGGCCGGCAGGGAGGGAGGGAGAGGAGCTGCTTCCTTTGAAACCCGGGAAATTTAAGGGACATCATCAATAAGGGACAGCAGCGGGACACGTCGCTGGGATAAGGGACTTTCCCACCAAATAAGGGACGCTTGACAGCTATGCATTCTTTGGGTTCAGTCAGTCAACCGGCTACAAATCCACCTAGTAGTTACCTTGTTCAACCCACGTTTTACCGGCTTCCTTGCACAAGTTGTGTTATGCTTATTTATTACATTTCTATACCATCCTTCACCCAAGGATCACAGGGCAGTTTAGAATATTAAACACAAAAATACAGAACACAATAACAAACAAAACCAATACTCCCGCGTAGAAGATATAAGGCATACCAGACTGTTCAAAGCAATTCACACATTATTGTCTAATCCTTACAATCAGCTTCCTTGTGATTTTATCTCCACCCTGTTTCGCCATAGGAGATTTGCTTCAGACCTTCAGCCATTTTATATACCCTTTTCTACCTTTCCCAGTTCTGAAATATCCTCTTTGAGGTGCAGCGACCAGAACTGTACATAGTATTTCAAGTGTGATTGCATTAGTCATGGCATTGCAACATTGGCAGCTGCGTTTTTCATCCCTTTCCTAATGATCCCTGGCATGGAATTTGCCTTTTTCCACAGCTGCCTCACACTGGCTCAACACTTTTATTGACCTGCCTACCCTGACCCCACAATCCCTTTTGTGCTCAGTGGGAACCTGCCTGCTCAGAGCCCCATTGTCATAGACGTCATTTATATTTTTGCCTCAATGTGCATAGTTTTGCACATACACCCAACTACATTTGTAATTTTCTCGTCCTTTTCATTGCTGCCAATTATGACAGTTAGGGGTTAAAGGATCAAATCTTCCTGGCCCTTGCAGCTAAGAAGTAAGCTAAATTATCCGAGGTGATTCTCACCATTGTTGTCATTGTCAATGATAATCCTTGGCAGAGAGAGCAGCAAATGGATATGGAGTGGGAATAAAGCGTTCCCAAAACATTCCCTCCTCTAAACATACTGCAAAGTTAAGTTGGTGTTTTGCAATTCAGTAGCCAGAGAGGCACTGAAATGTTAAACACTACCCCCACCCCACCTTGATTTGCAGTTTTCCTTTTTATGGTATTGTTGTTCCATGGAAAGGGATCAAATTTAGAGGTCATTTGGCTGATGCTAATTCTTAATTGCAAATAGCTTCATCTTTCTCTCCTCTTCCTTGGATTTAAATGTTCATTTCAGAGAGGAGAACACCATGGCAACCCTTTGGACAGTCTGCTTAGAAGAAACCACACAGCAGGAATTATTTAATATTGAGGCTCCCAATCTAGATACTTCACACCTTGTGTGAACAGAGAATAAATGGAGGCATTGAGAATGGTCATCACAGTAGCAGAACAGGCTCTTGCCTCAGGCAAGGCCTAAGATTGGATCCTAGACTTTTACAGCCATATTGTTTATGATGGCTGTCCTGGATATTATCCAACACTTGCTTGTAGCCCCTCTATGTTAACTCCACCCCTAAAAGGCTGAGCCATTTTGTGTATTGTTCTCTCCCAACTTGTTGAGACATGTCTACTATTTTCTTCTTGTTGTCTTCACTTAGCAGTGGCGGCACATTCTGTTTCACCACTTTAAGTGAAACAGGAACATGCTGGCGCCCTCCGCTATCATCACCCTTCACTGCCACCCTGCCACCTTACCTGTCTTAACTGTGCTACGCAGAAACAGTTGTGAAACACTAGCAGTGGCACTGGCTTCCAGCTAGATATTGAAAGATCTCTTCAGAAACTGGTGCCACTACTAGCAGTAGAGGCAGTGGGGTGGGTGGCAGAGGCAGGCACCTCACCTTGCTTCCTCTGCTCAAGGCGGGCACCTCACCTTGCCTCACCAGTGGGCCTGGTCTGTCACTTATACAGTAAATAGTTCCTGCATGAATAAAGCCTTTGACCTCCATAAACTGTAAGTGATATTTTCAAGGTGCGCATAGTTGACTCTGTCTTTCATTGGCTCTGGCTCCACCTACCATTTGGGTTGCCTGCCTTCTGCCCTCTTGATTCTAACATGCACCAGCTACCATTGTTTCCAGCACAACATCCTCAGTGGATCTTCCCAGTCAATCTCTATGCATAAGAAGCTAATAAATTACTTAATTAAATTTCTAGGTGGCCCATTCCCCAGGGCTTTTTTAATAACAGGTAAAACACACGCATTGTATCCTATAAACACCTGGTTATACTTTTTTTTATGCTCAGCCTCCCTGACTTTAGACTTCTGAATGCCAGTCTGGAAAGTAAATTGTATGCCCCCCCCCCCCCCGTTGTTGTTTTTTACTTGGGCAGTCCTTTTGAAAGGAAGGGAGTACCACAACTGTGGAGCAAGAACAGTGTATACAGTGGTGCCTCGCAAGACGAAATTAATTCGTTCTGCGAGTTTTTTCGTCTTGCGAGTTTTTTCGTCTTGCGAAGCACGGTTTCAATTTTTTCAAAAAAATATTCAAAAACCTCAAAAAAGGCTACCACACCGCGTGCTACGAGTTGCTTCCCGAAGTCAAGTCGCAACTGCACCTCTTCAAGCAATGCACCCTGTATTACTGTAATGGTTTTAAGAAAAAGGAAACAAACTTGCAAGACGTTTCCGTCTTGCGAAGCAAGCCCATAGGGAAAGTCGTCTCACGAAGCAACTCAAAAAACGAAAAACTCTTTCGTCTTGCGAGTTTTTCGTCTTGAGAGGCATTTGTCTTGCGAGGTCCCACTGTAGAAGGTATTTATTATGATGGTATAGTCAATAAAGTGCTGTCTGTTGATTGACAAATGGGGCGGTTGGTTATGTTGGGATGAAAAGAAATAGCTCATTGAGGCGATAGCATTTCTTAAAGCTCCATGAAACTAAATCCCCTACCTGATCTGGGCTTTTGCACAGCCTCTATCAGTGCCAGGTTTCTGGATTGGCTGCCAATAGAATCATCCAATTCCTGCCAGCTGCTAAACTCTTCCTAAGCCTGGGATCCCAGCTGGGAAATGTTCCAAACTCCTGAAAGCACACTGTGGGTTGCTTGCCTCTGTCTGCTAGCCAAGCTGGCTTTGATGCAATAGTACTTTCTGTTCTCTGGTAAACTCTTAGAAATCTAACCGGTTCTCCTCCTCCTCTCTCACTTTCTATTCAATTTTTCTGGAGTCTGGCCCACAGTTTACCAGCTGTTAATCAGGAAGCAATAGAAAGGAAGATGCGTACTTACCTGTAATTGTAGGTGGCAGAAGGAATTTTGAAGTTTGGGTATGTTTTTCTCTATCTATTTTATATTATAACAATTCAATACATGTAAATAACATAACAATTAAACATCAAATTACATAACAGAAGTGGCTATATTTTTCCATTAATGTCATTTCAAGCATTTCAGTGGTTTTTCACTCTTTAAAGCACACACGTGTGTGTGAGCACGCACACACACACACACGCACGCTAACACTTAAAAAATAAAATAAAACCAGAGTGCTAGAATAACATAATGGCTAATTGTTGTGAACCGTATCTTAGCTCTTCTATTTATTCAGCAAACTGCCACAGTCTCAACATCATCCCGTCATAATCATTCATCACATTTATATCCCAACTCTCCACCAAGGAGCATAAGGCAGCATATGCCGTTCTCCCCATCCCTGTTTTATCTTCACAACAACCCTGTGAGACAGCAGCGTAGCAACCCCTGCCGGCTCCTGGGGTGGAGCTTTTTTAAGCAGTGGCGTAGCGTGGGGGGTGCAGGGGGGGCCAGCCGCACCGGGCGCAACATCTGGGGGTTAGGGTTAGGGGGCGCAAATCCACGGGTTAGGGGGCGCAAATTACTTGCCTTGCCCCGGGTGCTGACAACCCACGCTATGCCACTGTTTTTAAGAGACTGCCAGCAGCATCTCTCCAGGGTTTCAGGCAGGAATTTAGTAAGAGCAGCTGCCATATCAGCCAGGGATTGATCCCAGGACCTTGTATAAATAAAGCCTCTGCTCTGTTACTGAGCTACAGCCCTTCTCTCCTGGTGGATTGTAAAACAGAAATGCTGGGTATAAATGCATTTTTCAAACATTAATTCTTTTGAATAACCCCATGTACCTAATTCATTTCTTATTTAGATTTAAAGTGACCGCAGTTGTGTACATTCACAATCTGTTCCATTTACCTGTCCCAGGTTCAGTGGCGAACCTTGGCATCACCAACTCCAGCGGCACCCTGTGCAACGCCAAAATCTGGCAGCCCTCTTGCCTTCTGTTGGACTTCATGGTTGCAGTTCCTGCTGCGGCATCCCAGAATCACTGTGCCTGGTGCACCCAAACAGGTTGTACTGCCTTAGATCCGGCTTTGGCAGGTTACTGTTGGAATTAAGTCCCATCAGTCTCCCCGCTGCTTCTCTGAGCTCAAGCAAGAAAATGAAACCAGGACAATAACATGACAGGCAAAAGCACCCGATGAGAAGGTGAGAAGCAAGGCCTGTTAGCAGCGGGGCCCCGAGAGAGAAGGTGTGGGCCTTGGGAGACAACTTGTAGGGGAGCATTTAGTCCTAGACAAGAGGTTTTCCGCCCCTATCTTATATAGAAAGGTTTCTCTTTAAGGTTCCAATAAACACAGCCAAGGATTCACATTTCTTTGCTGAAGGAATATATACATTTGTCATCAGTAGGTGTTTGGTTTTGTTTTCTTATTAGCTATTTGGCTTTGGTTTTGGGAGGTTGTTGCTTCTTTTGACGTGGCAGTGCTCAGACAGTCCTGGAGCAGGTGTCCATCTTGGAGCCTTATGGAAAGATTTAGAAAGCCGCTGATTCTGCGACAAGGGAAAGTGCCTTTGCAAGTCCATTAAGGCCCTTTCTGCTGCTGTGCTGGAGGGAGAAGGGAAGGCTGGCAGTAATTTTAATGATGGATTTCATGATATAAACATCCGTCACCAGCTGCAGTGAAATTTCCAATGCTTCTTCCGTGTAGAGCATTAAAAAGCTATTAAATCCATCATTAGCAGCTCTGGAGGCAGCTAGTCTAGAGACATTAGGAGCAAGTGCTTATCGACAGTGCAAACCACCCACCAGTATTGTATTGTTTTTCAGGAATATTAGCCTCAAGGGAGACTTCTATTAGCCTCACCTGTTAGTTCTAAAAGGCTTACGGAAATCGAAGATCCAAACCCAGCTCCCTGGAGAAAGCCCAGCAGCCTGCAATTCAATTAATATCATTTGTTTTAAGAGCAGACTCAAGACACATTAACCGTTGCCCCTCCAGCAGCATTTCAGGTTTCTTTTTAGCAGAGTGTTGTGCACCCAAGACGAAGGCAGGGGTGATTGCACATGACCTGCTGTGTTTTTCCATGCCAGCAACCCCTAGCCCTGAACACATTAAATGTATTTATGTATTGAATTATATCCCACCATTTTCTCTAAGGAGCTCAATGTCATTTATGTGGTTCTCCCCCACAACCACTACCCTGTGATGTAGGTTAGGCTGAGAGGCAGTGTCTGGCCCAAGGTCACTCAGTGAGTGTCTGAGTGAGGATTCAAACCCTGGGCTCCCAGGTCCTAGCCTGACACTCTAACCACTATGCCACACTGCCATTGCACTGTGCAGTGGTTGCATAAAATGCACACGCCAGCTTAACTACAAGCTTGCGTTTTCAAACCAGAGGGAGGCTGGTTTGAAGGAAAACACATCAATCAACAGCAGTTCTCATGGAACTATGGGATACAGATGAATTGTGGCTAATATCTTGTTCTTTGCCGCGTCAAACACCTGCAGTGGGAACTCAGTTGCACAGCCAGCAGCTCTGGCGGCCTGACACCTATGACTGTGCAGTGTGGTTCCCAGGCTGGCTGTCAAGGCACTTAAATATCAGTGCTTGAAGGCCTTCTTACATGTGAGTGGGCTTAATCTGCCAGACAATCATCTGGTGTCACTAAGTCAGGCCAAAGACAGGTGGGTTGTCCCACCCATCAAAAATAGGTCTGCAGGGGGGGCTGCTCATCCAAAAAGGTTCCTTGTCCTTGGTCTAAGTGTCTTCTGGGTCTCCACAGTCCAGGACATAGGCACACTCCTTTTTGTATGGTCTCCTGCAGGTGAGCTGAAAGAGGCCAGAGTACAAGGCAGCTGGATGCATAGTCCCTCTTCCACACAACAACTATGACGGGAGCAGGAACCCTGGCCTCGTCATTCTTCACTAGCAGCAGTCCCACTAGCTGAATTCCACTCTCCCCAGGACCTCTCGGCAGTCCCTTTTATGTACCGTTTTTCTTAAGAGTCTTCTTCCAAAATAATGTGATGAGCTGTCTTCCTCATCCTCCTTTCACTTTTATAAAGACTGATATTATGAGAGGGTGTGTAAAGGGTGGCACAGAACTTACTGCATTTGCATGTATATTCATTACACCACTAGCAAAATTTCAACCAGCAAAAAGTCTAGCTGGAGCTCTTTATCAGCATTGGATCTGAATTGATTTGAACTATGTACTATTCTTGTTTTAAACTGTTTTCATTTCATATATACAATTAATTTTAAAGAACTGTTTTTACATGTACAACTGTTTTAAAATATGTTTTTTTGTTTTACTGTGGGATGCCTCATAGGAAGTAGTTCATAAGTGAAATAATTTTTAAAAATCACAAGCCAGGGACTAGGGTGCTTTCTTCCTTGTTTATGAGTTTTATGAACCATTGTAATGTAATGGTACTATATAAATAACAATGGACGACTAATTTACATGTTCCAGTTAAGATAGTTCCCCCCCCAAAAAAATAAGAATGCCCACACATTGAAAATCAGCAGCTTGTCTAGCAAATAATTGTGTGCCTGGTTTTACTGGCGGTGGGTGATTACAAGAGCTGGAGTGGCATCACAAACAGGGAAAGGCCCCAATTCAAATCTCATCTTAACCACAAACTGATTTTGACAAGCCATTGTTCCCTTTCATTTATCTACTGGGCCTGGAATCGTGAACCAACTGTGTGAACCAAAGGGTGATTTTAGACATTCTCCTCCAATTTCCAAAATGGTTTGTGGAAAGGCGGGGAAGAGTGGTGCTTCTTCTGTTTAAAGAGAAAGCAATACATTTCCATTGTACCAGCACTATTCCCTTATCTGAACTAAAGTATCTCTTTGTATCAACGTGCATCTGGCATCCTGTGTTCAAGAATGTGTACAGGTAATGTTGTATCTCCATTCACAAGAACCCTATAACAGTATCAACAACCACTAATTCATTACCTTTATGTTTCCTTGAAGGCAACTTACTTTTCCATCCTGATCTTTGGTAGTATTAGTTTTCAGCAGACGATCAAGACACATTGGGTCTTTAAAATTCTTCTGCGATTCAAAAGAGGAGGGTGGGGACCCATGGCTCTCCAGATGTTGCAACTTCCATCTGCTTCAAGCTGAAGGAGTCAATTACGGATGATAGGAGTTGAGAGTGCAACATCTGGAGGGCTGCAGGCTAGCCACCCTTGTGAAAGGGAAGGCCACATCATTAAAAAAAATAATTACTTAACAGAGAACACAGCACTGTGGTCTTGTGCAGATGGGGCACCCAACAGAAGCTGCTGCTGGACTGTGCTTTGAGGAAGTTATTTAATGCAGCCAAATCAAAGTCAGAAGCACAGTATGTTAGCAAGGCTGCTTTTAATAGTCATGTATGCAGGAAAGGATTATGTGGTTTAGATATTGTTAATTGGTATTACCCAGTAAGAAGTAACCTTAAGAACCTTTCACTGGCTGTAATTTCCTCAACGCTGCTCCATTTCACTTTCTCTAATATCCTTACAGAGGCTTAAAAGGAGTGGCACTTGTTAGCACAGAATGTGAAAATAACCAACTATTTCACAGGCCACAATTTCTTGTGCATATGGATTCATCAGCTATAGAATTGCTCATCAGTTAGGAGCCTGAAGCAGCATGCTTCTATTTTAGAGTGTGCTTGCTAAATATCCTCCACAAAAAACACTGGGGAGGCCAGGAAAAGGCTGGAAAGAAATTTACTGCCCCTGTGTGAGATTCCAGCAGCTTTCTGGAGGAGTTTGTGTATCTAAAGACACCGTACAGGCTTTGCGAATAAAGCCTCTTTTATAAAAGGATATAAAAGCAGCCTACATTTATGCACCACTGGGGATCAAGCATAATGAGTTTACAACATGATTCTGACATCGTTTCAGTCATTAACAAATGTTTGAGAAATGCTTTATATCATTTGAAAGCTTCTAATTTTAGAAATAAGAACTCAAAATTGCTGCTTGGCACGAATGCCTCCCCAGCACTTAAGTTGCTCAGACTTCACCATGAAATAAGGAGCACTGAGAGCATAACACAGAAACAAAAAAGGGGCAGAAGGGGCTGCTTGGATCTTGCCTCAGTCCAGTTCTTGCAGCAGCACACAATGTCCCCTTGGCATTCTTCATTCCAGGGAGAAGAATGTCTTATTGGGCGTCACTCATCAAGGGCTATGGTCCCAGGTTAGTTCAGGAAGGCGATTTTACTGCATGCCAAACCACTGTTCCTGATCAGCCCACTGGGCTGCCTCACTGTCACTGCCTTCTAGGTCACCTTCCTCTCCACTCCCCTCCATGTCATCCACATCTTCCTCCTGGGTGGCATCCGTTGGACTTTCCTCTTTTTCCATTTTCTGCATTCCCTCCAGTGACTTTTGATCATTGGGATCCAAACTGGGGGAACAGAAAGTAAGAGAAAGACATCCTGGAGTCAGGGAGCAGTTGCAAAAACAGGACAGGCTGGCTCACACACATCTCCATTTCAGCTCAGTGACATCTATCAGCAACCCACAGACAAAACACCTACAGCCATCCTTCAACTCATGGCCATCACAACAGGATTTCCCAGAAACTTACCTTAGAGCAATACTGTACTGGTCCATGGCTTCCTGATACTCATTAACAGCCACAAGGAAGTCCCCTAACATTCGATGGAGAATGCAATCACTCTGGTTGGCAAGGGCATTCCTCAGCAAAGCTATTCCATCTTCATATTTCTGTTCTCGGCCTGTCAATAAGAAGGGTTATTTCAAGCTATTTATGTTGAGGCTATCACCCGAAAAAGAAATCAGAACTGATTAACTGTATGAGGCTTTATTTTAATTTGCAGAAGTATAGATGCCTCACAGCCAAAAGCTGATCTTGCTTTTTTATCTTGCACAACAAGATAAAAATAAGAAAAAACACAGAAGTCTATGCACCCAGCAAACTAAAACCATTTCTGCAATTATGCATTCAGATACACATTTTTTGCAGTTAGGTTTTCAGAGGAGGAAACAGTTTGTTTCAGAGGATGCTGAGATTGTGTCTTCCTGTGACATATACAAGAAGTTGCCATCGTCATCACCCTTCTCCTGTGACAGAGAAGGAAGAATGCCTATTCTGAACCACCTTATCACCTATGGATTTGCAAACACTTTGAATTTTAAAGAGACACGTTAAAAAATATCAATTTAAAGAAAATGACAAAAACCTGCATCTCCAGTTCAAATGACTTCTTGCCAAAATGGAAAGCTCGAAATGTAATGAGTAATTCAAGATGGGCATTTTCAGCTGGTTGTTCGCAACAGGAGTGAGAGGGTGCTGTAAGTCTGATTATGGATATAGTATGGAGAGATGTGGGTGAAAATTGCTGCCTTCCACAATCTTCAAGACTTGGTGGGGGTTGCATCTGCATACATCTCTATTCATGCTGAATAAGACTAGCACACAAGAAAAGAGGAGGGGGAAAGACTTACTGAGAAGTTCTGCCTTCTTTACCACTGCTTTGATGTAATCAGGGCGCTGTGTCAGTGCTTTGTCCAGCAATGTCTTTGCTTTCTCCTGTGCAACAGGATCTTCCAGACAAACAGTTGCCAGGAGGGTAAGTGTCTGTGCGTTGGCTCCCAGGGTTTTGTAGACATTGTTAGCCATGACTGTGGCTTCACGAAGACCATTGGATGCTAAGTAGCATTCAATGAGGCCTGAGGGTCAGAGACAAAAGTCATATTTGAGAGAATATTTGCTTTTTTTCAAAACCAGCGCTCATCTAAACAATGGTCACCGAATTTAGCACAGTAGGCTGACAGTTCACGACTTTAAGGTGGGGTCTTGGCATGTCAGAAAGACATCTTAGTGGTGACAGTCATATGTGGGCCTATAGAAATTTTCATTTCACCAGCAGGTTTAACAACTCCTGTTTGGAGAAGTCCGTCCTTTTTACTTGCCTTCATAGCAGTCCAGCCTGCAAGGGGCAAGCCGTATCGCTTCACGGAAGTGGATGATTGCTTCTTGCACTCTCCCCATGTTCCGAAGAGCAGCGCCTTTCAGCAGCAAAGCCTGCACACTATTGCTGTTCAGCTGAATGGCTTTGGCTCCTAAATACAGGGCACGGGAATAGCGCTTGCTGTAGAAGCTATGACACCTGCAGAACGAAGGGGGAATTGTGGTTAACATGCTCAATCTGTTCCACCTCAAGAGGACAAGCAGAGAGTTTTTCAGCCATGGCAGCATTGTCATTGTATTATTAAAGGGTGTGGGCAGAACACCTTGCCAAAGTAGGATGGGCTATTCTGTTATAGACCCACAGCACCCCCAACTCCTACAACCTTCCATTTCAATTACTTTTGATGATGGGGGGGGGGGGGAATATACTCTCTCTCTCTCTCTCACACACACACACACACACACACACACAGGAATAATGTGTTCTATCTAGTGAAAGTGGAAATGCCTATTGCTATCAGGAAATGTAATTTTAGCTTCAGCATTCTGAAATGTGACCTACTTTTTAGTGATGCCTCCAAAGTAATGAAACACATTAATAATTTTCTACTGTAGACAACCAGCTTTTAGACACCACAACAAAGTGTTTTTTTAAGGGAAGATTTTAAGTAGGTTTTGTAATTTTTGTAATCTGCCTTGAGCAGTGTTGCTGAGAAGGCAGTGTTACAAAATATATTAAAGGCTATTTAGCTCCCTGCAGAATTTTATTTCAGACAGTGGCTTTGGATATTTTTGGATCCAACACCTCTTCGAATTTCAAGAATAGCAAGATGTGCTTTGAAAGTGGCATTTCAATAGTATGCCAGTTAGGGAGACTCCTGGACATCTTACACAAAGCTTTGGTCAAACTCCCACAGACTTCAGTGAATTCACCAACTCCATGTCAGTCAAGATTTTGCTGCCCGACACTAAGCCATTAGCAATAAACCCAAGATCATCTGACTCTCCTCATTAATAGGGTAGATTCTGCCTTCAGAAAGTTCAACATAAAAGCCAAACAGGAGCAAAAAGCAGCCCATTACCCTGATACCACCCACGGCTCAGCATGCTGGTCAGAAATATTGAAGAGCCGGCAGCCGAGATTCTCCACATCCTCCAGGCGACCCTCGCGGGCTAACAAGTAGCCATATACATCCATCCCTAAAGACAAAGCATGAAGGAGTTGGACACACACACACAAAAGCTACAAAGGAAAAAAGATCAAGGAAAACTAGAGGACAAGACTGTTCACATCTTTCACCTAAAAGGCAGGAACAGTGCTTAGATCCAAATGTTTTCTCAACTTCTATATTCTATACAGGTATTCAAAATGAAGATTCAAAAATATTTTCCATAAAACTGGTTGCTCCAGTTCTAATCAGTTGTCATGTATTTTCCACATTATTTGGAGCTCCACAGTGATTCAAATGTGCAATTTGTGGGGGAAACGAACAGCAGACCTGCCATTCAAAGGAATCCCATTGTATTTCATTGACGTAACGCTGTTGTGCATCAGCTGTTTACAATATAAATGTGTCTTCAACCAATTACAAGTGTTTTTGAGGTTTAACCATTTCTGATTTTAGTTAAGTGTAAGGACAGAAGGAAAAAATCCCTCTCTTTGCCTCATTTGTACTAGTTTTTCTTTCAATCTTACCAACAAAAAATAAACTAGTGAGAATTTTTTGCTCTGTTAAAAATATAGTTAAGGTTGCAGTACTACAAATACCTACATGGGAATTCAGTAGGATGTTTTTCTGAATAAACATGCATAGCACTGAACTATAAAAGTTGAATACAGAATACAAATTATTCTAACAAGCTCTCCATATTTTCTAGAGACTTACCTTTTATCAAATAAGGATCCAACATTTGCGCCTGTTCAAATTTTAGAATTGCGTTCTTATTGTCACCCGCTCTGAAATAAAGATCAGCTAAGCTCCCTAGTATATCCACATTGTCCCTCAGCAGTGACTTTTTCTCCAGCGAGCTTTTGTGGGAAGAACAAATTGAAAGAGAAGATCAATATATTGGAACCTCTTGGAGCATTTTTATTCTATTTTATGGGGAAAGGTACATTTCCTTAAGGCAAACATATCTACATGTCACAATCTATCTTTCTCTACTACAGCACCTCTAGAATCAGAGCATCTTCCACCCAAAGAGGATTAAAAGGAAGGGCATGAGACAAATCACATCAGGAAGAGAAAGGTGTACGCTTTGCTTTCTTTCACAGTGGAACATCTCCAAATAATACTTGGACTGCACACACTCCTCTAACAACATTAAGAATGCAACCACAATCAACTTGTTTCTAGGTCAGCTTGGTGCCCATGGGGTATAGACTTCTTTGCCCATGGTAGGAGGGGAGGGGCCCCCCGCTGCTGCAGCTGTGCAACCTGGTAAGCCATGCAACTCTGGCTTTGGGGGGGGCATGGGGGGCAGCGGCTGTGGCACCTTCAACAGCATGGCTAATAGTTGACCACAGGTTCCCCATCCCTGTTTTAAAAGACACATGTATGTGGGATTTAAATTCCATGAGCATTCAAACACTTAGCATTGTAACTGTCTAGCTGCAAAGGGGAAATAGCCTTCAATACCCAAGTAGTATATCTTACAAGATACCAGGCTAGAGGTTCTTTGAGAAAGCTCATTTGCATTTGCTCTAGATTCTTACCAGATGGTGTTGATTGCTCTGGTATTATCACCTGTGTGCACAAATGCGTATGCCTTGATCCAGACTGAAAGCCAGTCCAAGTTTGGGACACTCTGGATTACATTCATTGTCATGGAAGCGACTTCTGCACCTTTCACTGAGAGCGACAGCAAGCCTAAATGAGAAGCAACAGCTGTTGTGACCACCATTTTGACAAAATGTTCTTGGTAGTTGCAAGGAAATTAAGTGCTCAGGCACCGACAACAGCAGATCATTGACCAAAGACTGGAGAACCTGTGATCCTCCAAATGTTGCTGGATCAGTGTTAGAAACTGAGATATGAAAGCTAGGAGCTAAATGGCACCTTAAACCTAGGCTATGTGTGCAACAACGGAATGTCTAGGCAAGCTTTTTTAATAAGAAGAATACAAAGCTAAAAATGAATGAACTGCAACTAAAATATTTTGTTCATTTTTCACATGATCTAGTCCTTCCCCTGCCCACCCCCCTAATATTCTTAAGAGGATCTCTTCTCCAGTCTTCAGAGAGTAGCTGGAAATGGGGAGGCAGAAAAAGGTCTTCCTTTCCTTCCACTCTGCAGTTTTAATCTGAAATCTTAGGTGCAGTACTGCGCCCAGAGCTCAGAAACTGCTTGGGCTAATGAAATTCCATGTGGCAAAAAGCACCTAGAACAATGGGAGTTTTGAGCAGTGCTGGACTACAACTCCTTTAAGTCCCAGCCAACATGGCCATTGGTAAGCGATGAGAACTGAACACCAACAACATCTGAAGAGTCACAGGTTCCCTACTGCTGGATTACAGTGATCAAGTCCTGCAGACAGGTGCATTTTGTAAAACTTATCCACACCAATTGTCTTGCCATCTCTAGCACCACACTCCTCCCTCAGATCAGAAAGAGCATTGCAATGCTATTGTTACTGCCTCTCCCAGCCCTTACGTCTTCTAAGACACAATATATGCAGTCATAACAAGCACCCCTTTAATGTTGTAACTCATGAGGAGGCCAATGGCGGACTGCACTAATTCATATTTTGTTCACCTGCCCATGCTAAGACTGTTCAGATATGCCAACGTCTCAATCACAATTTTCAACAATAATCATTGATCAGAAGAAAAGTGGCTACCTAGGATGGCATCAAGGGCTAGTGGGCACTGCCTCAGCACTTCTTTGTAACTCGTCACAGAAGAGCGTTCCTGACCTGCCTTCTTGTACAAATTTGCCAGCATCATGTTAATCTGCAACCCACAGAAATCCAGTGATGAGAACAATCATGTTTTAATGTTGACATAAGACATAACATTTTGCACCACTTTGGATCTGTTAATTCCACCTGTTGATGCACAACTCTCTGGGCTTGCAGTTATTAACGGCAAGTTTTTACCTTTATTCAAAAAACCTGGGGATTTGTGTCAGCCAAAGGGTGTTCGAAGAATGGGTTGTATTCCGTATTAGTTTTCCTGAGGGTAGATCCACTGAGGCACATGGCTGTCTTAGGTCCATTGATGTCAATGGATTTATTGAGTAGGAATAGCACTGGTTACAACCCTATAAATTGTATCCATATCTCAGCCAAAGGCTCCCAAGGAGCATAACTTAGCTAGGAAAGTACTACCTTTGGGGTTCTCTGTCTTGAAGGGATTCCATCAAGTATAGCAATAGCATCTTTGTCTTGCTTCAGCATTGTATAGCACTCCGCCATTTTGTACTTCACTTCAATTTCAGAAGGCAGGCACTAAAAAGACAACATACAAAATACAACAGTGGTCCAATAACATCTGGAGAGCCACAAGTTCCCCACCCTGATATATGGAGAGGATAGTCAAGATCTAGGAAAGACCAAGTTGTGTGTTGTAGGGTGCTTGGGGTTGTCAGAGGTAATCTGTACTTTTCAGGAGTTTACTCCAAGGCTGGGACACTTTCCACATACGTTATGAAGGAAAACTACAAGACCATAACATCTTTCTTAGGCTTCCAAGTATCTGCCACCCCATTCTGTCTATTCAAGGCGAGTGTTAAATCACATTCAATTATATATTTAATTTCTCCCAGAACTCACATAAGGAGGAAAAAACTTTTCAGATATAAATGAATTCATATCTTTTGCCATGTATAATAAACAGTGAATGCAAGACTCTTGCACTGAGGCACCAAGCTATAATCAGAATTTAAGCTATGAACACCTGGCTCTGAGGAGCAGATGCAGCATTCCCAGTTGAGGGTCTCACTTTTGAAGTTTTACTCAGTGCTTTCTTCTGCTGCAAAGCCATTGTATACTTGCTGACAGCATTTCTATATTCCTTGTCATGGAAGAGAGAATCTGCGTGATATACAAGAAGCTGATACTTCTGCGATGGAGAAAATAACTCACTGTAAGAAACACAAGACAAACCAGTGTTAGCTGACCACATGAGGAAATCCTGGAGCAAACATCCCTGAACTACTGAAAGGTGAAAACAATAAACAGAAACGAGTCTGTATTCAGAAACCACCTGTCCATTCCATTTTCTGACTATGCAATGCTATCCTACAATGACAGCATTAAGCATCCCCAAAATCTATAAAGTTGCTAAACTTTATCTGTCATCCAGGAAACTATGAACTTACCAGGTGACCTTAAGCAAACTATTATTTCAAGATACCTCTTCCAACTATTATTATTTATTAAATTTCTATACCACCCTTTATCTGAAGGTAACAGAGCAGTTTATTAGTAGTACTATTAGTATTACAAATAGGGAGGGACCTACTGTGGTACCTTGGTTTACGAACTTAATCCGTTCCAGAGTCCCATTCTTAAACCAAAGCGTTCTTAAAGCAAGGCATGCTTTCCCATAGCAGTGGGGGACTCAATTTACAAATGGAACACACTCAACAGGAAGCGAAATATGTTCTGCTTCCAAGGCAAAGTTCACAAACCAAAACATCTACTTCTGGGGTTGCAGCGTTCTTAATCCAAGTTGTTCATAAACTAAGCTGTTCTTAAACCAAAGTACCACTGTACTTCTAAAGCTTTTGTAAGATTTACTGAGATAACAACTATAAAGAGCTTTGATAAAGCATCACATAAATGCTATCATGCTTGGTTGGCATCCATCTGTCTCGGGAGGCAATGGAGGAGTGAGCCTTTGGGGGTGAGGTCAAGCTGCTGGAAGGTTGCAGTGCCCGCTGTGGCTGTAGAGACAGATGCGGGAGACACATGTTTTGTTGCAGTTGGGGCAGATGAAGGCGTTCAGTTGTGATGCTGCAAATGCACCATGGCGTTTCTTTTCTTTGCACTCCTCCAAGTGGTCATTTCTCCTCTGGTCACTGCTATGGATACACAACATGACTGCCTGTCTACTGTGAAGTTCACTGGATGACCATGGGTAAGCCAGCCACTCGCTCTCCACTCTCTGAGCCTAACCTACTCTACAGAATTCTTGTGAAGATAAATGGAAAGGTGTGTGTCCCTGAGACAACTGTCCCTGTCGGTGCCTTTTGCACTGATGCTGAAGATGCCTTTTTAAAATATACTAGTATTCTATAGGATTCAACTCATTTCCAAGGTCTCTTGCACTTAAACCCGTGAGAGGAGAGAAGGGTGAAGCACATGTACATTGAGATACCATGCAGTGCACAGCTTGCCATTTCACACACGCCACAGGCCTTCAAATGTATTGGAACTACCAATAACCCACGGTAGGGAAATTATGTTTTTGATGGTCTAATTCTTAACCCAAAGTACCAGCGCCCTCTAGGCTTTTAAATCAGTACAGTGGTGCCTCGCAAGACGAAATTAATCCGTTCCGCGAGTCTCTTCGTTGTCTTGCGAAGCACGGCTATTAGCGGCTTAGCGGCTATTAACGGCTTAGCGGCTATTAACGGCTTAACGGCTTTAAGAAAAAGGAAACAAACTCGCAAGAAGTTTCGTCTTGCGAAGCAAGCCCATAGGGAAATTCATCTTGCGGAACGACTCAAAAAACGGAAAACTCTTTCGTCTAGCGAGTTTTTCGTCTTGCGGGGCACCACTGTATGGGTAGGTGTAGCTAGCATGTCAGTTATTTCAACAAAAATCAAAAAGTCTTGTAGCACCCTAAATTCTAAACAGGTTGATTAAATGAGCTTAATCTTTTGAGAATACATTCATTTGTGCTTCGTTAATGTAAAGATGCCCAAAAACTGTTTAAATACATGCAGCACAGGCCTATGGATGTTTACTGGGATTTACTACTGTGTTTAGGAAGTGTGCAACAAACTGCAGCCTGAACAGATTTAGTGTAGTCCTCTTAATTAGCTGCGTGAAGTATTATCAGCAGTCATTGGGTATTAGAATTGGCACTACTGCAGGTGCCACATAATACCTGTTCTTCTAACTCTGGTCATTTAGTGTGGCAGCACCAGCATTTTGGATCTCCCTGCCTATTAAAGTCAAAAAGGTGCCATCACTGTTCGCTTTGCGGCACCTGCTAACAACATTCCTGTTTAGACAAGCCTACCCAGATGCTTAGAAAGTTGCGGCAATTTTAATCTGCTTTAGTATTTTAACCTTTGTATGTTTTAAAGTCTGGTTGTGAATTTTTCTTGATTTTACTGTTTTTTCTTCCGTAAACCACTCTGAGGTTTGTTTTTTACAATGACGTAATGTATAATTTTTATGAAATAGATAAACACTATAAAGAAAGATGGAAGAGGGAAAATGGGGTCAAACAATTGAAAAAATGAAAAAGCTACCATCCATGAAGATTCTATGGAGTTCTGGCAGAATTCGAGACCAGGGAGAAGAGTCGGTGGAAGAAGATTGGAAAAAATTTAAAGTATATTTACAGAAATATTGTAAAACTAATGAGTGTTAGAAGGATGCGGGAATGAATTAACATGGTTTTAGTAGAAATGCAACAAAGAATTAAGTAAAAGTTGACTGACATTGGTTAAATTGAAAAAATTTAAGGTTAGATCGTTAAAACTATAGAATCAAAATTGAGAAAGATGGGAAGAACTTGCTGAAATAGTGAATTGAACTAGAAACAAAAAAAGGAGGTGTGAGGAGGTCGATGAAATAAGTTAAGGAAAGGTAAAGATATGGAATATTGGATGTGTTTTTTAGTTTCTTTTTTTGTCTTTTTTTTGCTGTACTATTGTATGGTTTTTATATGTTTTATGTTATTGTTTTTTTCTATTTTACTGTTATTTCCTTTTTTCCCCTGTAATTCTTAAACTTTTAATAAATATCATTTAAAAAAAAAAAGAAGATGATTCTATGGAGTTCTTTTAATAGTGCGATCCTAAATGTGTCTACCTAGAAGTAAACCCTGTGGAATTCAATAGGGCTTACTCCCAAGTAAACAGGGTTAGTAGGATGGAGCTTAACTCTCCTCTGTGTCTGCAGGCAGGTCGTATTTCCTGCAAAAAATGATTGCAGTCATTCATTACAGACTCCAGGGCTAGGGAGACCTGGGTTCAAATCCCCACTTGGTATCCTGCTCACTGGGTGACCTCAGGCCAGGGCCAGAGAGCCTATGGCCCTCCAGACATTGCAATTTAATTTCTGATGTGCTTTTTTGCTGTTACTGGTGTGTGTGTGTGTGTGTGTGCATCTTTATCACTAAAGACCTCATTGTGACTTATGTGGGGGCTGCTTAAATTTTGCTGCATACTTACCAAGATGGTTTTAATTTACTTCTCATGCCTACTTTCTGTTATATTTTTGCAGTTACATAAATCTTGAGCGCGGTTTTAACTATGGGAAGGGCAGCATGCAAACAGAACGGTGATGAAGATGCTGCAAGGCTCCCTCCTCTCTTTTTCTTCACTTCATTAAGTCAAAATGGTGGGAGTTGGGGGCCCAGTCGACATTTGGGGAGCCACAGGTTCCCCACCTCACACTCTCAGCACAGCCCCAGCCTACGTCACTCAGCTGCTTTATTATTATTATTATTATTATTATTAAGGATTTGACTTCACTCCCAAAGGCAAACTCTTCCATTGTCTCACAGGCAGATGGATGCCATTGCCAACAATCTATTGTTAACAATTATAACAAAAGAAAGGGGGGAAACGAAACTATAAGGAGGGGGCACAAAATGGGTGCAACTGCAAATGGGTTTTTGTTCTTGTCATGTATTTTGTGTTTTTATTTTATCTCGTATTTTTATGTGGCGAACTGCCCTGAGATCTACAGATGAAGGGCGGTTTACAAAAGAAAGCAGAGTCCCGGGCGTGTGACGAGGGTTGCCCTGAATGTCACATTTAAAAAGGGACAGGAGGCCCCGGCCCTTCCCGGTCGAAGCCTCTGGTCCGGCGCGCTTTCGCCCAACCTGGCCGGGGTGTCGTGACGGCGGGGGAAGCGAGGGAGCGGAGGCGGAGCAGGATGAGGCCGCTCGGTCGGGGGGGGGGAGTTCGAGGACGGGGAAGCGCGAGGGAAAGGAGCCCTTTGGGGCTGCAGTTACGCTGCCGCCTCCCTCCCACCAACTCACGGGTTGTTGCCGCTCATGGTGAGCAGAAGCCCACTGAGGAGCCGCACGTTGGAGTGGAGCCCGGCGGCCGCCATCTCCCGCACATGGTCTACCACGCTCATCGCCGCGGGCGAGCCGAGAGAAGGGCGATGGAGGAGGAGGAGGCGGCGGCGGCTGCGGCAGCTACGAACTCGGCGGCAGGGAAAGCTCCGGGTCGCCTCAGGAACTCTAAAATGGCGCCTCTCCGAGGGGTCCTCGCGGAGAAGGCAGCCATGACACCCGCGCAGAAAACGCCATTGCACAAAGCGCCAGCCCGACGGGGGGGGGTAGGGGCTGCCTGCGACGTTCGCCTGCGTAGAATATGACCCAGTTATTCACCGCGGGAGCCGCAGCTCTAACTCTGGACTCGCTATGCGCTTTTAAAAAAAGATATGCTGTATATTCTTGTTCACGCAGAAAAGCGCGATAAGAAATATAAAGAAATGAGGCGTTACTGTAGACACCCTCCTCTAGCTAAGACCATTAGACTAGAGAGGAGGCGGCGAAAGAAAGGCCTGAGCATGCGCGTTAGGCGCCACTGCTGTACCTCCAAGGCCACAGGCAGCCCAGGCAGAGAGCGAGTGAGAAAATATCTGAGCATGCGCGTTAGGTACCCCCAGCTATGCCTCAGCTTGGTACAAACCCCTTTGGCGGATTTTACCCACATTTCAATATAAAAGGCACGCCATTGGTGAAGGGCAAACACTGCTCGTCTTTAATTTGATAAAGCAATAGGACTTTCTCCTAAGATTTCACTGCTAAAACACAACTGTAGAACATTAATAAGTAAAGGGGAGACGTTAATATAAAACAAGGAACCATAGCTGTCAACTTACAGATTTGAAAATAAGGGACCAGCAGCCAAAATAAGGGACCTGCAGCCTCACCTGTTCCAGGCTGGAGTCTTCCTGTCCTCCTGCAGGCTGGTCAAACTCATGCTGGGTAGCTTCGAGAACCAACTTTGTAACCAGAGGTTCAACTGAATAGAATCTGAATCACATGCACCACAAGGCCTATGCAGCCTCAACTTAAGATGGCTCCCCGGCCTGGCTTTGCACTGCAAAGTTTGCAGCAGCACGTGCAACAAAATGGCGTCCAGCATTCAAAACTCCCCTCAGCTTGCATTAACTAGCCACACACAAGGCATGCAAGCTCCACTCCCCAGTCATTCTTAGACTTCTTATTGGGTGAGTAACACAGCCAAGCAACACAGTTGGAGCCTCCCTCCTCCCTGGCCGGCAGGGAGGGAGGGAGGGAGAGGAGCTGCTTCCTTTGAAATTTAAGGGACATCATTTAAGGGACATTTAAGGGACATCCATCAATAAGGGACAGTAGCGGGACATGGCACTGGAGTAAGGGACTGTCCCTTCAAATAAGGGACACTTGACAGCTATGCAAGGAACAGGAAGGTAAAAATCAGCTACTAAAAAGCTGCACAAATTAAAAACGTTGAAAAGATAAAAATTCCCTGAGACAAAGCCTCTTGTGAGGTGGGTTCCTCAAGAGTAAGAACATCAGAGTCCTGCTGGATCAGACCAAAGATCCCATCTAGTCTAGCATCATTTAAATATATGTGGTTATGGAGGCACATTTCTTGCTTAGCTTTGTTGCAGGATTTCACTACATTTATACCCAAAGAGCTCCATCTGGGGTGCATGCTTCTCTTTTCCCGTTTTATCCTCACAACCACCCTGGGAGGTAGGCCAGGCTGAGGGTCTGTAACTGGCCCAAGGTCACTCAGTGAACTTCACTGCCTAGTGGGGAATTAAACCTTGGTCTCTCCCAGGTCCTAGTCTGACATTATTCACTGCACCTCGCTGCTCTAGCCGATTTACTGTCTTGTCAAACAACAAACTGGCCTGAAAAGCTATTCAGCTCATTCCAAATTTTATGTTGTTATGAGTTCAAGTCAGGGGTCACTAGCTAGGCAGCCGCAGCATGTTTCCATAAATATCCCCTTAAAAAATCTGTGGTGCATGAGAAGACACAGAGGATGCCCCCAGCAGATTGTGCACTCGTCTTTTTCTGCTCTTTTAGATATGGCAGCCTTCTTGCATTATGCCACACACCCTGCAGCTGCCATTGTGTTATGCCATATCCCCCCGCCCCCCACAACAGCCATTTTGGGACTGGCATCCACACTCATGGATTTCTAAAAATGCCCACTTGCTGAAAAGTTTGGCAACCCCTGAAGTAAATTTACCTTGCTCTTCTTAAGCAAGAAGAGAATCCTTTGCCCGCACTTGCTGGTCTGTTTAACAACCCCCAGCCTGTCTCCAGGGCTGGCCCAAGCCATTTTAGCACCCAAGATATGGGATCCTCTTTACCCTGCTGCAACTTACTGCAGGCATTGCGGAGAAGCTGTCACACGGCTTGTGTGGCTTTGCCTGGCCACAAAACTGCCAGCAATGGAAGTTCAAGCAGTGTGACAGCAACAGACAAACAGCCACACTCCTTCTGACACACAGGTGGTGTGCACTGGGGTGGGTGTCCTGATTTTGTTGCTCCTCCCAATCTGCCAACTGAGATAAGCATTTGGGATGGGCCAGCCTGTCTCCCATAGAACCCAAAAGATCCTGGGATGTATTCTTGGTCACACAGTTCACTGGTGTGTGGGCTTTGCAGCCAAGCTCACAGCCCAACTGAACATGTGCCCCAGCTGTGCTGGGAGATCCGCAGTGCTGGGAAAGCAACTGTCTTTCAAGGAAACTTGTTGGTCGCTGCTGATCTTCCAACTGAAAACCTCCCCAATAAGTTTCTGAAGGTCTCCAGGGTACTCCAGAACCGTCTGAAAGGGGTGGAGAATCTTTTGCAGCCCAAGAGTCGCATTCCCTCCTAGGGAACCTTAAAGGGAACAATATGAAAGCAGCAGGCAGGGCGGAAGTGGGCAAAGCAGGGGACGTGGCTCTTACTTTTGTAAAGCAGCCACATAAAAGTCAGAGGTGTTATCACAGTTGATGGACATACTCCAGCCAGGCAAAAGCAATAAAAAATACGGAGCAGGCCAGTGAGGAGAATCTTAAGGGCCAGACAAAAAGGCTTGGAGGGCCACAGTTGACCCAGGGCCTAAAGGTTCCTCACCCATTTTTGTCAAAGACACAAGAACAGCCCAAACGATGCTAGAAACCACATTTTATTCCTCATCGTCATCAAGCTCCAGCTCAGCAAGGTTTGCACATGATTTTAGCTCCACCTTTTCATCCACCGGTGGGTATCTTTCCCCCACAGAAGCGCTTATTCTCTCTCTCGGTAGAAAACATATATTAAAACAGAGGCAAAATTTTATACATCTGGCAGCAAAGTGCTTTGGCGAGACAGCCACGCGCCGCTCTTCACTGCCCTGGTCCTGACAGGCTCTTGTTCATGAATTGCCTTTTCACAAAACACATCCACCACTAGGAGACAAAGGGAAAAGAAGACAAGGTGTGAAAATGAAGCGAAGAAGTGGAAATACACCCGTTTCCACCCTGCAACTTGTCTTCAAAGACATCGCAGTGAAAAATACATCCCTGCACTCCCCGATCTCTCATTAACGTCTAACAAAATTCATGATGTGACATGACATTGTCACACCAGGAGCACGTGATTGGCTGGTGTAACATCTCAGTGAGATGACATCACATACTGTGGGTTTGTATTATCCATGCTTTTACTTCACAATGTTTTGTAAATTACTTCACAAAATAATTAATAATAATAATAATAAATTTCTATACTGCCCTTCATCCGAGGATCACAGGGCAGTTTAGTTTTAAAACACAGGCATACTTAACATAATAATATACAGAATAATAACCCCCTCCATAGTTTAAAAGGCCATAGATTGTTTAACCAGCCAAAGGCCTGGGAGAAGAGGAATGTTTTTGCCTGACGCCTAAAGATATGTGAAGAAGGTGCCAGGCGAACCTCCCACAAATGGGGAGCCACCACAGAAAAGGCCTGTTCTCATGTTGCTCCCTTCCAGACCTCTCATGGAGGAGGCACACAAAGAAAGGGCCTCAGATGCTGATCACAGGGTTGCTGATCACAGGGTCCGGAGTTGCTCAGGTGGGGAGAGGCAGTCCTTGAGGTATTGCGGTCTTGAGCCACTTCAGGCTTTATAGGTCAAAACCAGCACTTGGAATTGGACCCATAAACTAATTGGCAGCCAGTACTGTTGGGCTAGATTAGCGTTATATGCTCAAACTGCCTTGCACTGATCAGCAACCTGGCTGCTTTCCAAACTGAGGCAGCCCCATGTATAACTGGACTTGATAGCAGACATGAGGCTGCTGCGAAAAACTGAAGCTGTGTGCCACGTTCCCCTCTGATCTCCCACAAGAGACTTTCAGGAAAAACTAAACACACAGCTTTTGTTTGGCAGCCATCCTGGGTCTGCAATCAAGTATGGTTCTGCTCTAGCTAGATGTTGTAAAGTAAAAAGATAGTCATACAAAACACACCCTGATTACTGATAGACTCTCTGTATTTATTTGGTAATATACCACACCCTATCAAATTGGCTTAAGGAAAGGTAAAGGGACCCCTGACCATTAGGTCCAGTCGTGACCAACTCTGGGGTTGCTGCGCTCATCTTGCTTTATTGGCCGAGGGAGCCGGTGTACAGCTTCCGGGTCATGTGGCCAGGATGACTAAGCCGCTTCTGGAGAACCAGAGCCAGCGCACAGCTTAAGGTACAATGCCATAAAACAGCCTGCCCCAGCCTGGGGCTCTCCAGATGTCCTTGCACTGCAACTGTCATCATCCCTGACCAGTGACAATGCTTGCTGAGGCAGGGGAGTTGGGAATGCAACACCCTGAGGGCATTGCCATGGATGTACACAACTAATACGTAGATATGAACAGAGGATTTTAATTTAAATATATGAATTATTTGGCAAATTCCACTGGTCCTTCTAAAAAACCCAAAAAACATAAGGCAGAGGTGGGGAACCTGTGGCACTCAGAAGGTGTTGGACTTTATCCCCCATCAGCATGAGCCAGTGTGGTGGCCAGTGATCAGGGATGATGGGCTCTGTAGTCCAACATCTGGAAGGCCACTGGTTCCCCAGGCCTGACAGAAAGGAAGCACTTCTGTTCTGTCAGGAGTCTGCTGAGACTTAAAGGATGGCTAACTTGGCTGGGACTGAAGGGAGTCCCCACCACCACCACCACAGGTGAGCCATTCCTAGCTTAAATAGAGCGAAGTCACAGAGGAGATCAATATCTGACCTTGCTTGGTTTGTCACTCTGGGGATCAAAGACCTTTTCACAAAGCCTCAGGCCGGTTTCCTGCCTCAGCTGCTGCAAGTAGGCCCTCATAATCTCTGAAAAACAAAGACGTACACTCCACAACCAAGGCCAGATCATATTATAGCTCCCATTCAGTCACAGTTTTGATGAATTAAAAAAATATTAATTTCCATTTATCTGTTGATCCCAAAAGTTTACAGTAGATATAAACACATACAGTAGATATAAACACATTAAATAAATACAAGTACAATAAAACCATGTTAAATGATTTTCTCCCATTCTCATACTAAACAGCCTCGTTGTGTCCTTCTTTCCCAAATAATACGGTATTTTCAACACCTTGCAACTAGTTTTGCTATGCCACCTCCCAAAAGGTGGTTTCGGCAGCCAGCCTGCAGCTGAAGCTGGCTTTGCCCCTCTCCTCTCTTTGAAAGCTGCCTACAAAACAAGCTGGGATGTTCTCTGCTGGACTAAGTGAACACCTGAAGCCTGTGGTTCCTAGGAACGTGATGCTGGTTCACATGCAGCAAGCTGCCATGAATGTCTCCCTGATCAGATGGAGAAAGCCCATCTGCCCATTCTGTTGCCCAGGCAGAGCTGCTCTCTCCATCAGACTGCAAGGGGCACAGGCACACCCAGACCTCTAAATCAAGTTGTAGGTTCGCAAGATTGAAAGAGTAGGAGCTTGAGGAAATGCTACACTGAAAATGAAGTTGTGGGGAAATGGGGGCAGAGGCTGCTTTGCGTCCTACTCTAAATGCAATGAGAGGAAGGATCCAATCCTATACTATACACCCTTAATCCAGAGGTAAGCCCCCTTTAGTTCAGTAAGGCTGATGAATGAGCATCTTTAAGATTCAGCTGTAAGTGGATTAAATCCACCAATTCAAGCTTGCAGTCCGCATTGTTACCTTGCCCTTACCTTCTTCCTGTTTGCTGCTAGGTCTGGCATAGAGAGCGTTCAGTGGAAATCCTGGCTCTCCAGGGATGGGGAAATTTGTTATTCCTAATGTATACATTTCTTTTTCTCCCTGGCCTTTGGAATTACACTGGAGGAAAAGAGAGCACAAGGAAGCATGAGCCACTTAAGATAACACAAAACGTAATGTACACGCAACACACAACTGGCAGTATTACAGCAGGATCCTATGTGTCTTTACTCAGAAGCAAGTTCTGCTGTGTTCAAAGGGACTTGCTCTGCAGTATCCCCATACCCACTGTAATCCCTAAGAACGGTTACAGTTTTATTTTAATTTTCAACCCCACCCCCAAAAAGGACAGACATAGGAAAATAATACATTTATATTTTCTTGTTTTTAAACTTTTATTTCCTTCGGCTTAAAAGCAACAACCAGCTCTCAGCACATAAGGAACATCCTCCTGGCTGGGTCTGAAAGCCAGTATTCTGTTCTCACAGTGGCCAACCATTTACTCCTGGGAAGCTCACAAGCAGGATGGGGGCCCAAAGGCATTCTCCCCACCGGTGCTTCCTGGGGATGAGAGCAACATCCTCATTACCCTTGGCAGACAAAGTTCATGGAGGCAGACAAGGCTAGTGCCCTTTTCAATGCTGTTACCTTCTGCAGCTTTTTCAAGCACTCCGTAATGTAGAGTGTTATGTAGATCAAAGTTCTGTCGGCCTCATTCTAAAAATAAAAATAAATCCAAGTCATCTCCTGGGAAAACTTAATATCTCTTTTCTTCACCTCTTTCTGCAATCTTAGTTTGCCCAAACCAACTGGCACCTCCTCATTGTGTTAAGATGGCGCCGTAGTCTCTATTTGTTTATTTAAAATCTGTAAGCAGCATACAACCCTTTTTTTAAATAAAAAAAATAGTTACTAAAAATGCAGCCTACAGCCAATAAAACAGCAATATGAAAGCAGATGAAACAGACCAAGTGGGAGTAAGGGGAATCAAACAAGTGAACCATAAGCATTGCCACTCATCGTGTGAATGTCATGCATGGGGATTATTCAACACACACACTGTTCCTCTTCTATAATACTAGAGCTGATTGAAAATCATTGGGAATGTCCTTGTTCAATACATGATTAATGCATCAATATTTTAAAAGACTTTAAAAAGGGATCAGACAAGGGGGGACAGGTTTATTAGCCAGGATAATGGAGCCTCCTTATCCAGATGCAGTCAACCTCCGCACACCAGCTGACCGGGGAAATTGCCTTCATCCCTTATTGGGGGCCTGCTGGAACCTTCTGGCTGGCCTATTTTGAGAAAAGAGGCCCTGGATAAGGGGAACCTTCCAGCAGGGCTGTTCTAATAGCAGGAGCAACTGATCCCTTTAATATGCAAATCACAGGTTGTTTTGTTTTGTTTTTGGGTACTTAAGTCACTCTTATGTCTGTATTTAATTTCTTTGGGTTGTGTCCATTTAAGTTCTACTCAGAGTAGAACCACTGAAATTGATGGATCTAAGTTAGCCACGCCCATTAATGTCAATGGGTCAGCTCCAAGTAGATACAATCCTATGTTTCCGAAAACAAGTCCCTGGCCCTCCAGAATGCACAGCAAGCATTTTAAAGCAGGTTTTTCCATCCTCCTTACCTTGATTTCATAATTTTTAAAGAAGACATTTGCTTTGAAGTAGTAAATGGCTTCATCTATGATGTCTGTATCTTTTGCTACCAAGAAAGAGAAAGAAGATAGATGTACTTGGAATATTATAAGAAAACAAGGTATCGCAAGAAATGCAAGCTGACTCCTGAAGATGTCTGATTGACAATGCAAAAGTAAGCCCCACCAAGTTCAATTGGACTTACTCCCAGCTAAGAATGCATTTAAAGGATTGCAGCTTCAGTTTCTAGTACTGTACTTTAAATAATATACATAAGGTTAGGGTGGCGCTGTGTTCCAAACCACAGAGCCTAGGGCTTGCCGATAGGAAGGTCGGCAGTTCAAATCCCTGCAATGGAGTGAGCTCCTGTTGCTCAGTCCCTGCTCCTGCCAACCTAGCAGTTCGAAAACACGTCAAAGTGCAAGTAGATTAATAGGTGGGAAGGTAAACAGTGTTTTCATGCGCTGCTCTGGTTTCGCCAGAAGCGGCTTAGTCATGCTGGCCACATGACCCGGAAGCTGTCTGCAGACAAACGCCGGCTCCCTCGGCCAGTAAAGCGAGATGAGCGCCACAACCCCAGAGTCGTCCATGACTGGACTTAACTGTCAGGGGTCCTTTACCTTTACCTAGGTAGAATACAGAGCTCAAGAACCTACCCATGTGAAATGCATGCCTACACAGAATGCTTTGACATGCACCCTAAACCTCATTAATGGTGCTGCTTTTCAAAATATGTTGCTTGACAACAACACAGAAAAGGACTTCTCTGTAGGGGAGTCCCCTCTTAGAAATACCTCTTCCTACCCCACTATCAGGGTGCTTCCGGGAGCTATTAAGAACACTTTTGTTTACATAGGCATTTTTTTTCTAGACCCAATTTGCAGTGTACATTTAAAGCAGTACCATAACACTTTAAGCAGTCATGGCTTCCCCCCAGGAATCCTGGGAAGTGTCGTTCCCAAGCAACCCAGAGTGGCTGGGGTAACTCTGTCAGATACAAATAATAAACTGCTTCAGGATCCTAACATAGGAATCTGCCTTATATAAAGCCAGGCCCTTGGTCCATCTAGATTAGTACTGTGTGTACTGACTGGCAGCAGCTCTCCAGAGTTTCCGGCAGGGAAACCCTTCCAGTCCTATTGAAAGATTGAACCTGGGGCCTTCTGTGTACAAGGCAGATGTTCTACCACTGAGGGACAGCCCTTCCGTGTTGCGGAAAACACCCTTTTGAGGCCTGCTGTGAACTTACTTTCCCTGGGTGCCGGCCCTTTGAACTGACTCCTGATAGGCAACAACGCCATGTTCCCAATCAGTTTGGTGTCTGGGTCCATAAGAGTAGAATGATAAGCCTGTAAGAGGGAAGAGAAGGGATAATCAGTAACAAAAAGCCACAGGCACACAGAAAAGCTGTTTCTATGCTTTCCCAAACATGTACAGAAGAGTCAGAGTTCCCCAGTCCCTGGAGGCTCTTTAGCCGGTCACAGCACCCAAAGGCTAGAATAGGGGTTGGCAAATATTGGCCTCCTGGCCCACAAGTCATGTGGCCAAGTGGAAATGAAGGCAGAGCTCCTGCACCTTTACTAGTTGTGCAGAAGTGGGGATCGCAGCAGGTTCAAGCTTGCTTCACAAAGCAACACCTGTTGAAATCCCCTCTTCTGCTGCACAATTATTAAAGGTGCTAACTGAGTGCCACCTGGGTTAACAACTGCCAGGTCCTCCAATAGATCTTCTTTCTCCTTTTTTGTTTCTGTCTGCTTCCAGCAAGGGGAGCAAATGGGAAAGAGGCAGCGACAAAGAGCAGCATTCATGGGAAGAGAAGCTCATTGGCAGAGCCCCTGCTTTGTGAGGAGCAGGGTCCTGCTACAATCCTTGACATCTCTGGGTAGAACTAGGGGTGTCCCCTGCCTGGAACCATGGACAGCAGCTGCCAGTCGAGCTGGGCCAGGGACAGTGGGACCTTTTTTATCGCGATGGCTGCATTCCTTTGTGGGGGAACTTTCCAGGGGCCACATACCAGCAGTGGGCAGAGCCAGGGGCAAAAGTCTGCAGGGCAGTGGAAGCCCCTCCTTCCTGCGTCTGGCAGGCTTCATTTTAGCCACACACGAGTCAGAGGGTTTCTCCATCCTTCGTTAAAGTCAGGCACTTTTCAGCCAAGCAAATGTACTCAAGGAGAGTATGAAGACGGTCCAGTGAGGGGTGTGGCCTGAGAATAATCCTGAGGGCCGTGGAGAGGGGCCTGAGGCCTGTCTCTCCCCAGTGTAGACAGTACAGATGACCCAATGATCTGACCCAATATAAAGCAACTTTTAAAGTAACAACCACCTAAGCATTCTCCTCCTTGTGGTGCAGCAATAAAACTGCTAGCATGTTTGCAAAGCTAAGCAGGGTCCGCTATGGTTTCAAATTGGATAGGGAACCACGTGCCAAAATTCCTGCATTGCAGGGGGTTGGTCTGGACCCTTGGGGTACCTTCCAACTCTACAATTGGAATTATTATATTATTCTTGCTCCAGGTCAGTGGGTAGTCAGTGTGGGACCCTCAATGCTGTAGCCTACAACTCCCATTATTCTCTGGCACTGGCTAAACCAGTTGATGCTAATTGGGTTGGTAGTCCAAAATATTTCAAGGGCTACCCCTGTTCTGGGATGGGCTTCACTCCCTCAAATTGCTTAGCTGCTCAGTGGAATAGGTAAGTCGTGGCTCTCCAGATATCCTTGGGCTCCAACTCTGATTAGTCTCAGCCTTGTTGCTGGCATCTCGAGACAATGGAGTGCACCTCTGGGGGTTAAGACAAATTGCTGCAATCGCAGCACCAATGTGACCTCCCTGGGGTGCAAGCCTGGGCAGTGTGCATGGAGGTATTGGGCTGCCCAGACAACAGGACCCCCCTCTCAGCCTCACTGATGTGGTCCAAAGGAAAGCAGAGCAAGACGTTTGGCATCAGCTTGGCTGCAGGAGTTGCTGGAAGGAGGCGTACAAGGCGCCATCCAACCACCTTTGGGACTCCACTCTGGATTCGTGTAAGGTTTACTTACTCCTTAGCCTTTGCTTCCCCCAAAGATATCCCGCAAGGCAGCAGAGGTTTCATGTCAGTCTACAAAACCAATAATTGGGGATGATGGGAGTTGGAGTCTTACGACATCTGGAGACCCATAGTCAGGTTTCCCACCCCTGGGTGAGAAGGTCAACAAATCCAACCTCTGCTGCTAGGCAGGACCAACCCACATAATACAGAAGTCAATGTGTCTAAAGCATGGAGGGGGGGGACTTTTGGGTCCTCCAGATGTTGCTGAGCTACAACTCCCATCATCCTGGGCAATATGCCTTGCTTTCTGGGTCTGATGGGAGTTGAAGCTCAGCAACATCTGGAGGACCCAAAGGTTCCCCACACCTGGTCTAGAGTGAAACATAAGGTGTTCATTAAAGTACAGTGGTATCTCAGGTTACATACGCTTCAGGTTACAGACTCCACTAACCCAGAAATAGTACCTCAGGTTAAGAACTTTGCTTCAAGATGAGAAAAGAAATTGCGCACCAGCGGTGCGGTGGCAGCGGGAGGCCCCATTAGCTAAAGTGGTACCTCAGGTTAAGAACAGTTTCAGGTTAAGAACGGACCTCCAGAACGAATTAAGTTCTTAACCCAAGGTATCACTGTACCTGGTGCTCTGGTCGATGTAGGTCATTTGGGGCAAATGAGTACAGTTAAATAAAAAATAATAATAATAAGCCACTCTGGGCACTTTACAAAATAGATAAAAACATAATAAAACATCAAACACTAAAAAAATTCCTGATACAGGGCTGCCTACAGATGTCTTCTAAATGCCAGTCTTTTAAACTCCGAGAAATGTGATAAACGGTACTGATTCACAGGGGACCCAGCAAACCAGGGATGGATCAAGCGTCCTTTTCGTAACCTCCAGCCCACAGGTCCAGACACAGGACTACAGGTATCAAAAGTTGTATTTGGGTCAATGTTTTTCAAATAGCAACTTTTAAAAAAAGAAAGAGCAACTGACGTTTCCTTTGCCCTGCGAATTTACTGCTGCAAAGTGTAATTATTTGATGCACATTAAAAACACATCCCTTATTTTTCAACAAGGATGTTGCAGTGCGAATCATCCACCGCAGAGAGGATGCTTTTTTTATAGAAAAGAAAAACCCGCTGGCCATATAAGGAAGTTCTTCTTTCCCCTGACATCGCCAGCAATTCACAACACAAGGCTAATCCGGGCGTAGAGACCCAGAAATTAGAAACCCAAATGGATCTATACCCTGAGTGGGGAGGGCAGGGTTTTAAAAAGACACCCCAGCTTCCTTGCGCACCTTCTGGATCACAGGAATAAATCAAAGGGGCTCAATTAACAGAGCGCCTTCCATCTCTCCCCGGGCCCAGCATCTTACGCCCACAGTTCCTGTTTTTAAAAATTCCTATGAACTAACATTTAAAAGAATAAATAAATGCTGTTTTAGGCAAGTGGACCAGCTGCAGTTCTAAAAGGAACGCGGATCTTTCCCCTTACCGGCATATTTGGGGCGCAGCAAGGCAAAGCGACCCAGGAAGGAGAGGTGAGAGGCGTCCTTCCAGCGAGCAAGGCAGCGAAATCTTGCAAAATGCAAAGCCCTTCCTGCTCCACCCAGGCAGGAAGTGAGAGGCAGGCGAGGCAAAGGCAGAGGGACGCGGAGAGCCAGCAGGGGGCAGCAGAAGCCAAGTCCTATTGAATTCCATGCCGCTTACGCCCAGGTATGTGCGGTTGTTAATGATTGACAATAATGCAGGAATTAAAAAGGCAACCACCTCTTTTAAATCTCATTGAACTAAATTAAGCTTGCTTCTGAGAAACCCAGTTTAGGACTGAAGCTTCATGACTAAGTCATGTGTAAGTCTTCTGGTGTGCTTACTTCTGAGTAAATGTGCATGAGGGTCAGGCTCCACATTTGTTTTCCCCACAGAAGCTTACATCAATATTTGCTGTTTCTTTCTTCTTCTTTAACAACACAGAAAACTGTACATTACAGCAATGCAAATAGGATTTAATATGTACAGTTCTGAGGCGGCAGAGAGAGTTGGACCATCAAAACATAGCTGTCAACATTTCCCATTTTTTAAGGGAAATTCCCTTATTCCAAATAGGATTCCTCGCAAGAAAAGGGAGAAGTTGACAGCTATGCATCAAAGAGCCAGTGCACGAGGAAGCAGGCCTTAGCCCCCCTTTATCTATCCCAGGGGTGTCCAGCTTCCAAGAGACGGCGATCTACTCCCACTATAAATAAACTGGCAGTGATCAATCCATTGGATTGACCAGAGTTGTTGAGCTGTATTTGAGAGGGGTGAGCCAGTTTTTTCGGGGTGGTGGTGAGGCGATGGCTGGAGATCATGTAACCAACCAGGATCAACCAGGGACGGCCCATGATCGACCGCCTGATCTCTCACATTGGCATCATACCCTTTTTCTAAGTAGCTTTGGGGAGTGTATGTGATATTGCTCAATTTTCTCCTCACAAGAAGCCTGCAAGGTAGGCCAGTATCCAAAACCAGCTACTCCTGCTCTACACATCATACTTGTCACCAAAACACTTCTCAGAGTCAGGGCTGGTCCTCCCCATTCCTTGTACAGAAGCCAACTAGACTGGTGGCTGGATCTTATTTCAATGATTTTGAAAGGACAGCATCCTTCATCACACCTGAGGCTGTACAAGTTTGGGGTGACTCCCAACACCTGCCAGCTCACTCTGTCTAATGGTAGGGCTGGCTCTATTCATATCTATCTGAATTAAACACGAACAGACCTTGTCCATCAGGAGGGAAGGAGCAAGGAATCTAGCAGAGAAAGTGGGCTGGTAGTGGAGAGCAAGAGGATGTGTGACTGGGGGTCCGGCAGTGCAGGTCTACTCAGAAGGAAGTCCCAACAAGTTGAGTGAAGCTTGCATGCAAGGGGTTGCTTGCTTAGACCCATGATATCTAAAGCAAGGTCAAGGAGGCTGTGGACTTCCAGAGGTTGTTGGGCTTGTGTCAGCCCCGGCCAGCATGGCCAACAGTAGTTCAGCAGGATAGGGAGGGTCACAGGCTCCCCCTCCAAAGGACCAGCTCCTCTCACATGAGCCTGTCTCATTAAGATCTAAAAGAGAGGCTCTCTTTTGAGTCCCACCATCGCCTGAACTGGGGAAGGTCTCTCCATATATCCACACAGTGACCCTGTAACAGAGGTGTCATCCTCTGAAGCAGATTGACACCGTGCAACATCATGACGTCATGGCATAGCCACCTTGACATCGTACACCGCAAGGAGCCAGGTGGCAGAGCTAAATGCCTCAAAAAATACAAGGGGGGGGGCTGAAACTGTATTGGCCCCTAGGAGTTGGCGTGCCTGCGCTATAAGGTAGGGCACTGTTATTATTCCCCGCCCATCTATAAGTGAGGAAGGAGGTGCCTTGAGGTTGGCAAAGTGGGGCTTAAAGGTAAAGGTAGAGGGACCCCTGACCATTAGGTCCAGTCGCAGACGACTCTGGGGTTGTGGCGCTCATCTCGCTTTATTGGCTGAGGGAGCATGTGGGTCATGGGTCATGTGGCCAGCATGACTAAGCTGCTTCTGGCAAACCAGAGCAGCGCACGGAAACGCTGTTTACCTTCCCGCTGGAGCGGTACCTATTTATCTACTTGCACTTTGAGGTGCTTTCAAACCGCTAGGTTGGCAGGAGAAGGGACAGAGCGACGGGAGCTCACCCCGTCACGGGGATTTGAACCGCCGACCTTCTGATCGGCAAGTCCTAGGCTCTGTGGTTTAACCCACAGCGCCACCCACGTCCTGCCCTGTAAGGTAGGGCACTGTTATTATTCCCCGCCTATCTATAAGTGGGGAAGGAGGTGCCTTGAGGTTGGCAAAGTGGGGCTTACTGAAGGCCATTACAGCATTTCTGACGTATCTTAGCGCAGCCCTTCCTGTTCCAGAGTCCAGCCTAAGATGCTACTTTACACTGACTTCTTTATTGACTTAACAATGCAGCCTTCTGGGTCTACTCAAAAGAAAGCCCCATGGAGTTCAATGGAACTTACGCCTAGCTAGGCGTGCACCAGATAGCCTAGGATGCAACAACTTATTCCTGCTTCCCAGGCATGCAGAAGAAGCAAAGATAGTTAATGCAAGAACTGCTTCTGCTGGATTATGGGAAATAACTTTTAGTGCAGGCATGGAAAATCTGTGGTCCTCCAGATGTTGCTGGATTCCAACCCCCATGAGCCCCAGCCAGGATGACCAGACCAGGATGATGGGAGTTGGAGTCCAACATAATTTTTAGGGCAACAAGTTTCCTCCACCCCTGTTTTACTGGAGACTAAGGAGAGGGAAAGTTCTGTCTTAATTTTCAGCATGGGCCATGGAGGGAATGACCTGAAAAGACATGAGAATTCTTTTGTTAAAAGCTGCTGTCCTTCACAAAGCACAGAAAGGCAGTGCTGAGCAGCCGTACCACAACACCACAGTTCAGTTCAGTTTAAACACACTCCCAATTTATTTGTACATACTTGCTCCGGTTGCTTAAGTAAATACCACCATCAATGGTTACAAGGCTAAAATGAAAATGCTCCATCTTTTTTGTAGCTCAGAAAGCAACCGTGAAATGCAGAGTGTCAATAATTTATTTCTCATGATGCCCCTTCTTTGCCTAGTCACTTCTACAAATAATACAACTGTGTGAAGTGGCATTATATACACTTAATGTATTACACACACATACACATATTAAAACGCTTTGCGGTGGGGGGAAATGCCCCTACTTCAATTGCTGCCCAAGATTTATCAAGCAGTTTGTGGTTTTCAAAATACAATGCATAGAAAATCTGAAGAGTCCTTTTTCTTTTTACAAAATAAACCCTTAAATCTTTATTCGTCCACTTGATCTTGGAAGTATTCATCAAAAGCAGATGATTTATCTTCCTCATTTTCCTGTTGGGGGAAAAACACACACAAACCTTTAACATTTTGAGTAGTTCAAGACAGCAAAAGATACACACACTGTCAAAAAAAGAAACCCTGTTGTAATCTTTCCTCACGAAAATAACAACCCCGACCACACACACAAATTTTTTTATGGTCCATAATCCACAGTGAGGACACCAGAGTAAATATTTCTACCTGAAAATGGTGATAGGTTGTCTTTTCTTTTGTCTCTCTTACCCTTTGACAAGATTTAAAGAAGATGGAGAACATACTGAATGGACCCCAAAGTAAGATGCAACACCCACAATTTGGGCCAGCTTTCTTTCATGGCAACCCTATACATGCATACCTGGGAATAAACTCCACTGAACAAAATGGCACTTCATGCATGAGACTATGCTTTTTAGGGGGCACATTCAGGGTTATTCTGGTTAACACCCCCGCAACCGAACAGCAGCGAACCCTTCTCAGACTGAGGTCTACCTTGACACAAAGGTCACCCCTCCTGGGCGTGGCCAGTACTGGAGGGAGATCATATCAATGGCTGCTAGCCACAATGGTTAAGGGCAGATTTGTGGCCTTAATGTTCAAGGCTGGCTGAAGCCTAACTAATGTTGCAGGAGGACCTTGGAACTTTTTACCTTTGGCTCTTTGAACTCCAGATCCTCCCCATATTGAATGGAGAAGTCTATGTGCTGCAGTACAATATTAATGCTTTCCTCATCGGAGCGATCAAATGGCAAAAAACGGACCATGCTGTAGTCGTCAATCTAAAAAAGAGGCAATAAACAGATATGGAGAGAGTGAGTGGCAACGAATTCAAGCAGCAACAGTTAACAAGCAAAACACTTAGCCCCCAGAGTGCTTTACAAGTGGGAGAGGCAGCTAATGCTGATACAGTCTGCTTTAATAGGCAATGGACCGACAACTGTACTGTGAATCAAGCCAGGTTATGAATGACCCTTGTGTCTGCATATCCACCTTCTTCTCTCCTCCCTTTGCACCACACCAGCATCTGTGCAGAAGTCTCCAATTAGCCACGGTTTCCTGTTTCATCAAAACCAGGACACTGTGGTTACTGGCTATGCAAAAATACCAGATCTCAAACCAACTTCAAACCACAGTTTATGATCCTGGCTTGTTCTGAAGCTGGGAGTTAACCACAGTTTCTTGGTGTGGATGAAACAGGAAAATTGTGAAACAGGAATCTTCCATTGTAGCTGTAGCTTAAATTAAAGCCAGAGCTGCAAAGGAAGAACTAGAAAAAACAACTAGAAGCTACTGCATTGGGTTATTGCAGGTGGCAATTTTAAGGTATAACTGTACTAATCTCCACTGCTGGATCTTAAAACACAACTTACCAACCCACAGATCGCCTGAGTTAGCTTCTTAAACCGTTTGCTTTTGAGCAAATCTGTAGAATCTTCCAGTGTAGAATACATGTCAGGGTCCAGATACCTGGAAGGTGTTGGTTGAAAAGTTAAAAAAACACAGCAGTTTGAGAAGATCTTCATACTAACTGTCCATTAGCTGCGCCTTATACTAGTTACTCCCCACCCCAAAATTTCTGTTTGTGTTCCCTGACACAGGGGAAGAAGTTGATGAGGAGCTTTTGGTAGATCTCTGGGTGATTTGCAGTTTATCAGCAAGTGTTTACAACTCCCAGCAGCTAACAGAACAACTTTCCCCACCTAAATCAGGCAGCTGAAATGAAGAATGCTAGTCAAGAGTGGATTTGTGTGAATGTGTGTGAGATGGAACTGCGAGCTCAGCTCAGTTCTGATACCACAAGCAATCTGCTTGGATTCTAACTGTACATCTTTGACAAATGGCTCTGCTTCAGCAGATCTTGGCGTTCGAGTAAACGAACCAAACAACCACAAACATGTAAGTAGATCCCAGAAGTTCGTCCCTGCCCTAAGCTGCAATCCAGGGCTGTTTCCCCTCACAAATAACTGTGCACAGGATCAGGTACACAAACCACTGCAAGCTGTCACAGGGTTAGAACCCAACCCTGGAGGTTTTGTGAGTGGCACCAGATGTCAACCTCCACCACATGTACAAAGATGCTCTATATCTCCAGGTGGCTAACCTGTTGCCCTCTGGACTCCAACTCCCATCATTCCCAACCACTGGCTATGTTAGCTGGAGATAATCCAACTACATCTGAAGGGCAAGAAATTAGCCCTTTCTGCTCTTCCGAGACTATTTTTTTAAAAATCATTTTTATTTTGGGGGGGGATATCTTCACCCCTCCTTTCCATTATTGCATTTTCCTCCCTTCATTGGAAGCTGAACTCAAGTCTTCTAGTGTGGCTGACTTTATCCTGGACAGTTCTGAAAGGTGGAGCTGATGGGAGTTGGTAGTGACAGGTTAGGAATATGCTGTCATATGCTAAGACAGGCTCATTGGTGCGTCTAGCTTAGCACTGTCTACACTGACTGGCAGTGTCTGTCTAGGGTTTCAGGCCGGGGCCGTTCCCAGCCTGACTGGGAGATGCCAAGAATTGAACTTGCTCAGGACTGGAAACTGCCACTTAGTCACTTCCTTCCCAGATAGGTCTCAATTATATAAACTTTGCTATATACAAAGAAGGATGGGAATTACCATATTTTTCTGTCTATAAGACACCCCCATGTATAAGACGACCCCTATTTTTGGGGACTCCAATTTAAGAAAATGGAGGGAGATGCCCCCTCTTTATAAGACACCCCCAAATTTTGGACATTATTTTTTAAGAAAAAAACCTAGTCTTATACACGGAAAAATTCTCCTCCTCATCTCATTCCTTTTGCCTTTTTATTATTGCATCGCTTAACCATTAATTTTTTTCCAGTTAAGAGTCACCTTAAACACTTAGCTTTTCTGCCAAACATGTGGTAAATAGGGCAGCCTGAGCCTCATGCCAGGATTTCGTCCAGAGCATGATGAGGGATCCAGAGTGAGACCCCAGTGAAGACCTGAAAGCAGGCTTTGAGACTGTGGCAGAACTGAATGTGCTGCTGCCACTACCTACAAACAGAGTCTTCTCTATTTGGTGGGTGGTTGTCTCTGTGGTATTCTGGATCTGCTAGCTGTTACTGTGTTCCCCATATCTTATTTGTTTCATCTTATATTACTATTTAAGAGGATATTTTACATAACTGATATCTATGCTGCTGTAAAATTTCATTTTTACCCTGTATTTTGGTATTTGACTTTTATTTCTGACATTTTAGGATGTTACAAACCACTGAGAGATTTTCTTTGAAGGCAGTGTGTAATTTACCTAAATAATAATACATGAGATCCAGCCCCACAACATTGAGGCAAAAAGCCTGCATTTCCACATGCTTACTTTTCAATTTCTGCTTTGGCTTTCTTGCTCAGCAAGTCCATCTTTGTCATGACATTGACTTGGGGAATCTCTAACGATATCATTGCACTCAGGGCAGCCATGGCTCCGGAAATAAACTAGCAAGAGGGAAACACACAAAAACGAATGGAATTTGAGAAGAGATGTAAGGGTGCCCCGTTCCAAAAATGCCACCTGTTTAACTGCTGCTGCAGGGATGTCTCAGGCCAGCCATTCAACTGGCCATCTTTAGGTGGCATCTGGAGGTCACAAGGGATAGATGAAGGCAGGGATATTGTAGAGCTGGAAAGGGTGAAGAAGAGGGCAAGCAGAAAGATCAAGGGGGTGGAGCAACTCCCCTTTGAGGAAAGCTTACAAAAATTGGGTCTTTGCAATTTAGAGAACAGATGATGATGATGTTATTATTATTTGTACCCTGCCCATCTGACTTATGCATGATGTGGAGAAAGCTGATAGAGAAAAGTTCCACACTTTCCCATAATACCAGAACCAAATGACGCTCAATGCTGGAATATTTAGGAGACACAAAAGAAGACAATGGTTCACAAATAGTTACACTATGGCATTCACTCCCCAAAAGTGGAAGTGATGGCTATCAGCTTTAAAATGGGGTTAGGCAAATTCACAGAAGATAAGGTTATGTACTACGTCCAATATCAGAGGCGGGATAGCTCAGTTGGTTAGACCAGGGGTAGGCAACCTAAGGCCCATGGGCTGGATACGGCCCAATCGCCTTCTCAATCCAGCCCGCGGACAGTCCGGGAATCAGTGTTTTTTTGTACATGAACAGAATGTGTCCTTTTATTTAAAATGCATCTCTGGGTTATTTGTGGGGCATAGGAATTTGTTCATATTTTTTTTCAAAATATAGTCCGGCCCCTCACAAGGTCTGAGGGATGGTGGACCGGCCCACTGCTGAAAAAGGTTGCTGACCCCTGGGTTAGAGTGTGGTGCTGATAACACCAAAGTTGCAGGTTCAATCCCTGTATGGGCAGCTGCATATTCCAGGGGGTTGGACTAGATGATTCTCAGGATCCCCCCTTCCAACTCTATGATTCTTGTTGCTGGGAATCCCGTATGGAGAAGAGGGCTGCTGCACCCAGGTCCTGCTCGCAGGCTTCCTTCCCATAGGCATCTGGTGAGTTACTGTGGGAAAAGGATAGGACTTGGGGCAAAACCAGTTGCATTGCTCTTATTTATGTTCTCATCAACTGGTGTCTGAATGGTGCAGCGAGACTTTTCGTAGCACTGGCCCAGTGGTGGGAGGGGATGGAGATTGGGGCTCCACTTGAACCAGCGCCAAGTCTTAAGTCTTCCACTGTCCAGAAATCCAGTTGCTACAGCAATACAAGAAAGCAAGCAGCCAGATGGTTAAGACAGCAGGTTAATTTGCCTCAGAGTCATATTTAGATGCCAAATTGTGTTAAGACCCTAAAAAGAAAAAAAAAGGGGTGTGTGTCTAGATTTGTGACTTGTTGGGGGTGGGCAGAATTATAAGTTACCTTGAAGGATTCCACCATAAACTGAGAATCAACGAGAAAAACGCCACAGACGCGGAACTCCCACTGCTGAAGCTGTTCGACAAGCTGCCTCATCACTGGCAGGTGCGTGTAGAGCTCAATCTGACCTGAGGAAGGGGTCACAACTTTTAAGAAATGTATTCGTTTCATGGACTTGCACCCTGCCCTTCCATAAAAGGTTCAAGGTAGCTAAACTTCTTCACTTTTTAAAGAGCCAATCTATTTGAGACCAATAAAAACAACAATATATAATTAAGAACTGAAAACCGAAATAGACAAAAACGACAGTGGTTTAAAGACAAAGGCGAAAGCAAGTGGGGCCCAGACTCAGAGCAACAGGCATGAATTTTACCCTTATAGAGCAGGTGACATTCTAGCCACAAAAAAGCCAAATTGGGTTTCTAAAGCCCCTACACCCGCCGCCACACCAGATCTTTTTCCATTCAGGCAAGCAAGAAGAATGATCACAATTCAAGGCCAGATTCCAGCCAGGTAAAAGCACCTAAGGAGGGTGCAGAACAAAGCTGAGGGAGGGGTTGCGCTAGTGGAAGGAAGCAGGGCCTGGAGGGGGTCCCAAGGGCTCTACTGCAAAGCAGTGGTTCCTCCCCCACAGTGTGTGTACTAAGGCTCCCCTCACAAATGTACTAAGCTTTTGTTTCCCTTTGTTATTTTAAAATTCTTTGCTCACCTGGGCAATCAAAGAGTATATAATCGTCTTCCACGTGGCCAAGACATCCTTCCAGCCAGTCAAAGTTACTTGCAAAGTATTCCATACAAAATACTAAGCCACCATTGGGGCCAAACCTTAGAGAATCGTCTTCCATGACATCGTCCACTTCAATTAATTCCCGGATATCTGAAACAAAAACAAAAAAGGGAGGGGGAACACAACAATTTTGCTTGATTTCTCTCTCTCTCTATCTATCTCATGTCTGTGTGCGTTATATTTTTTTACATCCTGCCTTTTCCCTGGACCAGAACTCAAGGTGGCTTACAAATAAAAATACAAAACACAAAAGGCAGGGGCAGGAAGGAGGAGGAGGAGCCTCATGTCTGTAGTAAATGACTTGGGAGAAGGGTTTCTCTGTGCATGACAGTTTTAGCCAGCTGGTGACTGGGGAAGAGAAAGGAGGAATGGGGGAAAGGGAAGGTGGAAGTGGTTAAAGAAACATGTGGCATTTGGCAGAATGAGGGGGCATGTGGAAGGTAGGGAGGAAGGTGTGTGTGTGTGTGTGTGTGTGTGTGTGTGTGTGTGTGTGTTAGAGAGAGTGTGTTTTAGGGCTCTGTAGATGGGGACGAAAGCTGAAGAGAAGGAATTGGGGAGGAGGCAAGTGGAAGTGGATGGGGTTAAGGGGGCATTTGGAGTGCTGTGAAGGAGCAACAAGGGGGCATTAGGAGAAATGAAGAGTAATACGTCAGTGTCCGTCCCTTCTGGTGGTTGTTGTTGTTAACAACAACAACAACAACTATTTTATTATTTATACACAGCTTACAACAGATCTAAAATATAATAAAAACATCAATCCTTATAAACTTCCCTAGACAGGGCTGCCTTCAGATGTTTTCTAAAAGTCAGATAGTTCTAAAAGTCAGATAGTTTTCTAAAAGCCTGAAGTTCCACAGGGAGGGAGCCACTACCGAGAAGGCTCTCTGCCGGGTTCCCTGTAACTTTGCTTCTCGCAGTGAGGGAACCAGCAAAGACCCTCGGAGGAGGACCTCAGTGTCCAACCGTACTCAACCGTCTCCCCCTGCCATTTCTCAGCTGCCTCATATGAGAGAGATAAAGTATCTGAAGCCCTCAAATAGTACCTTCACACAACACATTTTACTCCTGATACCATGTGTTATCTTCAACATGCAGTTCCAGATTCAATGAAGTGATTTAGCAGAGATATTTCATTAACAACCAAACACCTAAACACGTACATCAACTAAATTTAACCTCTAACTAAACAAGCTAACGGACAGGCTTGCACTAAAAACTCTATTCATCTTAAATATACAATAACGTGTATCATCATGGGTGTGTGTGCAAAAGGGGACGCAGAATAGGAGAGAGTTGGCAGCATGGAAATGGTAGTGGTCTGTGTACAAGTTGGAATTGGAAGCAGCAGAAGCGAGAAAAAAGGGGCTGAAGGTGAGAACAGGGGTGTGCAAAGGGGAGTTGTGAAAAAAAGGAGGCATGGAGGTGAAGATGAAAGCAAGAGTATTAGACGGGCTGTAGAATAAGAGGGGATGGTGGCTTCATAATTGGGCAGAAAAAGTGAAAAGGGTGCTCAGTAGCTGCAACATGTGGGAGGTGGAAGATTCCAGCGATTCCCATGTGAGTGGTCTGTGTGCAGGGAGGGGCATTGCAGAAAATACCAGTTGTTGGGGAACTGCTATTGTGGGAGGCTGCTATTGCACTCATCCTGTGAGAACAGAATTCAGCAATCCTCTTCTTATCATAGAACCATTAGTTCAACCCCCTGCAATGCAGGAATCTCAACTAAAGCTTCCATGACCTGCTGCATCCCCATATGCTTCAAGCCTTGGCCTTACCTGCCATGACATCATAGTCAAAGTGTTCTGCAGCGGGATCAAGGTTCACTACCTGGACCGAGCGATTCAGTTCTTCGCAGTGTTGGACCATGGTGGAACAGTAAGTGCTCTGGAATTTAAAAAATCCAGAGCATTAACAAACTAGCAAAAGCCACCAGGAGAGTTTCTATCAGTGGGCAGGAATCCAACATCTGAGGAGAGGAGATAATTGAGACATCTCTGCCGACAGTCTCCTTTGGAACATGGGGCAGTCATTTGCTTTCCATCGAATAACATTGAGCACAATCTATCTGGGTCCCTAATAGGCATGATCAGACGGTTTTACAGGAATCTTGTTTAAATTTTATGAATACCACCATGGTTATTAATTTTACAGAGAAAATGGGTATTCTGAAAAGCTCTGAAGAAACAGCTGCCTCTACATCAGCCTGTCCATGTGACAAGATCATCCAAGGCCTCATCTGTGTGTCTCTACCATGTGAGGCCAGATGTGTGAGGAGAAGACCTCCTCAGTGTTGCCACCCCATTTACGGAATTATTTCCCCCAGTTTCGATTGCATTTGGCTATCTTTTTAACACCAAGTTTGGACTTTAAAAGAAAAGATTCTAGGCGTTATTATTTTTTCTAGGCAATGATATCGCTGCCAGTTTTTTCCCCTTTCATTCAGTTTTATCCCTTTAAAATTTTGTTGCTCTTATCGCTGCACTGTTCCTTTTTTTATTTTTACCGCCAACCCCAGCCAATGAGAGTTGTGGTCCAAAACATCTGAAGAGCAGCAGCAGGAATAAGCAGCACTTAAAAACCAAAGTATGCTAAGAAGCTTTTACTTTGGTAAAATCGATTGAAAGTGGTTTTCGTCTGCCATCAATACTGTACATGCAACTTTTTGGAACGGTGATTTTATTTGCCAAGCTCTGTATTCCCTTTTTGACGACTGTTTTGTTAGCTTCTTGTTAGCTTCCATATTGTTAATTTAATTGATAATTCAAAAATCGGTTAACGAGGGGTAAAACCCCTTAAACAGGCAGAAAAAGAAGAATAAGCTTTTAAGAACCTCGGTTATAAACTGCGTTGCTGTGCATAGTAAGGACGGCAATTTTGGGCAGCTGGAGAGGATAATTTAATGCAGCAGCAGCAGCAGCATCCCTTCCAGAGGCCCCTTTGCAGGGCTCGAGTCAAGGCCAAAGTACCCACAAGGCCTCGGCCCGCACTCACCTTCCCGCTCCCCGCGGGACCCATAACCAGCTGCGCATAGCGAGGCATCTCGGCCTCCTTCCGAGCGCAGCGCCTGGAAAAGACCGAGCGCCACTATTTTGGCCCAACGGGCCATCCGTAGCGCGCACGCACTTCAACTTCCTACCCTCGCGTCACCCGGCTCCACGGTCTGCACGTCACTTCCGTAGATACGGCAAGCCCAAGGGCCCAACTGCAGAAAGTCAAACTTGGAGCCTTTGGGCAGGTTTAGTAACTGTTTGAAGAGCCGCCAGAGCCCGATCTGTCTTCTGAAGTGTTGAAGAGGGGGCGGGGCTGGGTTTCATTTCATGCCTTGGCCCCGGAGGGTTGGAAATGTGGGGGGGTTTGAGGGGGGGTTTGCAAATGAGGCTCCAGTCCTTAAAAGGGCTTTCTGATTAAGTAAAAAATATTTTTATTTTTTATTTTGGACTCTGCCTTTCTGTGATAAAACCAAACTCATGATGGTTTTAGAAACACACACACACACACACATGTATCTTAATCTTTAAAAAAATGTCCTGTAAAGCCCCCCAGAGCTCACCTGCACTTACTCTAGGGTCAGGGTGCATCATAGGATTGCTGTATTGGGCTTACCTGGAACTAAGTTTCATTAAACTCGACACATATTTAGAGTTGAATTAGATACAGTACATATGTATGAAAGTGTTCATCAGGGCATATACAGAGCACACAAATCCAAATGCCACAGGGTTAAATGAATCCATAGGTCTTCTAAGGTGTCCGCAATTATTTTTTAAAAAACAAAATTATTTATTTTACATATTTTCCTGCTCGTGATAAAACCTTGCAAGCGGCTTGCAAGAAATATTAACATTATTGGTTTGAAAAAAACTGGTTTAAAACCTTTAACATAATTAAACCCTATAAAAATTATATATATCTAGATGCAGAATAAAAAAAATGTCTGCAGCAGTGCAGATACAGTATTTGTCATTTTTGAGGTTAGTAAGTAATAGGAAAGCAGTGCATCAAGTAAGCAATGGAACAAATAATAATTTACTGCCCCACAAAAGACCCCCCATAAAATAAAATTATTTTTTGTTTTGTTTGTTAGCAACCTACCCAACAGTGCATCTGCCAGAACAACATTTTCAGCAAAACTCTTTGTTACAAGTGGGAGACAAAGAAGATAAGGCCAGAAGATAATGGGGGTGTTGTGTCTGTTATCCTTATTGGGAAACGGCCCGAAGTCACCATCAGATCAAAAGTGTCCAGATCAATAGAAGACAATATATCTGGCAGATGGAGCCCTACACAGATGCAGAGTGGAGCCCCTAAGATGGTTGGGTGGCATTTTGTAGGCCTCCTTCTGGCAAAAGACAGGGCAGGGCAGGGGACAGAGAGAGATCTGAAAATTGTTAACATTATTTTGCCTCAAAAGATCTCACGGAAATTTGGGTTTTTCCATTCCTTAGGATATATGATATACTCTGTGTAACTCCACATGTCAAGAAGAAAAAGAACTGGAAAAGAATGGAATAAAAATTAATATTTTTTAATGGATTTTGAATAAATGCACAATAAATTGTTACTGTTTTGAATTTAATTGTGTTATTGTCTTCCATTGATCAGCACACTTTTGATCAGAAGGTTATTTCGGGCTGATCTAGTGCAAAAATAATGAGGATCTGTGTTTTTTAACCATGTTTTTGCGCCACTGCAGCCCCACGAAACAGTGGATGCATGATTTTTTTGATGCTGCCTACAGACTAAGACATGGTCTACAGTATCATGGCAGCTTTATTTAATTTGAATGAAAAAATCTCATGAATTCATGAGGATCCGTTTAAAATCAGTTGGATCCGCCTTTTACCCGTTTCCAACCGATAATACAGCTCCCTGCAACATAAAACATTTTAACCAAAGATGATTAAAGTTCATTTCAACATAGAACATTTTAACCACAATAAGAAGGTACAGCAACACGATGCGGGGCTCGAACCACCAAAGCGCAGCCCAAGGTGGGCGGGAGAGGAGGGAGGGAGGGCGGGCTCCGCGTGACTACGGCGGCCGGGCCGGCCCATTCCACGCAGTCGCAGCGAAGGCGGAGCCGCTCCTAGAACGAGAGTCATCGCCAGCCCGGGCGACTCTTCGGAAGGAAGCTCGCGAGAAGCGGGCGGCTCTCGCGATATCTCCCTGTCCCTACCTGAATCTGCTGCTTGCTGCTGCTGCTGCATGTGCCACTCAGGAGGGTGGGAACGGCAGGAGGAGGAACCACCGCCCCCTTCCTCCCCCCGGACCCCGGCTGAGGGCCCCCCCTCGGGTAAGAGACGCGCCCCCGCCCCGCCGGCTCCCCCGTGGCACTTGGTGGGCAAACTTCGGCTGCTGCCCAGCCCCGAGGCTGGCACGGCTCCCTCCCCCCATGCCCTGCCCAGCCCCTCCCTGGCATCTCCCTTCCTCTTCCCCACCCCCCCAAAAGTTGGCACTTGCAGCCAGGCCTGCATCGTGGCCCCCCACCCCTTTGGGCGACACCCCGTCCGCAAAAATGGTTCTGCTGGTGCCCGGCATTCAGGGCTGGGTGCTGCCCCCCCACACCCTGGACAACTGTTCCGGTGCCAGGCTCCCAAAGCCCTGCAGGGGGCTGTGGAGAATGGCCCCCACCCAATTCCTGAAGAGCTCAGTATGAGAGAGGGGAGGTGGGCAGAAGTGAAGGAGGAATGAAATGGAACCTAGCATAAATCAGTTTAAAAATATCAGATAACAACAAGAAGAAGCCTAAATTAAAACCACTTTGGTTGGTGGAATTGGCATCACTGAAGGTGCCACATAATACCCGTTCCACTTTTGTAAGAACTTTGGAACTCCCTGCCTATTGAGATCAAGCAGGCGCCTTCAGTCTACTCTTTTTGGTATCTGCTGAAAACATTCTTCTTTAGACAAGCCTACCCAGCTGTATAGAAAGTTGAGGTGATTTTGGTCTGTATTTTTAACCTCCGTATGTTTTAAAATATGATTGTGAAATTTTCTCATTTTTGTTGTTTCGTCTTTCTGTAAACCACTTTGAGGTGTTTAACACTCAAGCCATGCATAAATTTTATTAAACAAACAAACAAACAAACAAACATGACCTTACACAACGACTTGATGCTGTAAGCCTAGTGGCATCTGCTCAGAAGTAAATCCTGTTGAATTCAATGGGGCTTACTACCAGGTAAGGGTTTAGGACTGCAGCCTTACTCTGGCTCAGCCAGTTGTTTGCCTAGATTTAGACTTAATTTAAGAGTCGTGGCACTGTGGGTTAAACCACTGAGCCTTGGGCTTGCCGATCAAAAGGTTGGCAGTTCGAATCCCCGTGACGGGGTGAGCTCCCGTTGCTTGGTCCCTGCTCTTGCCAACCTAGCAGTTCGAAAGCACGTCAAAGTGCAAGTAGATAAATAGGTACCGCTCCAGCGGGAAGGTAAACGGTGTTTCTGTGCGCTGCTCTGGTTCGCCAGAAGCGGCTTAGTCATGCTGGCCCCATGACCTGGAAGCTGTATGCCGGCTCCCTCGGCCAATAAAGCGAGATGAGTGCCGCAACCCCAGAGTCGGTCACGACTGGACCTAATGGTCAGGGGTCCCTTTACCTTTACCTTTAAGCTTCCTGTAGGGATATTAAAAGACAAAACAGTCCCTGTTTGCAGGCCCCACAGTGTTCATTGCTTGCTTATATCCTGCTTTTCCTTTCTGAGGCAATCCCTAATAGACATGATGCAAAAAGGAGAGGAAAGAGGAAAAGTATCATATTTGTATCATATTTATTTACTTATAGAAAATTTATATAATGCTAATTCTCCCTCCTGTGCCCCATTGTGGCCCATTTGCTCTCTGTTCACTTTGTTTATTGCATGATTTCTTTCTTCTATGACTTGATTTGTTGTAATGCAGTTTGGAAAATTGTTTTTATCATACTCTATTCTGCTTTACTATACTGTGTGAAAAGTGGTATATAAAACTTTTTATAAATAAAAAAATTAAAAACCTAGCGCCCACACACCACCCAGATCCTGGCCCAAGCTCCCTCATACTGTAACAACCCCACACCCCAGTGCCCAAACCTCCTTGTTTTGCCAGGACCGTAGCTTGCTTTCTTTTAACTGGTTCAGTTGCCACACACACTCTTTTTTGGTTCACACTTGGTATTTGTAATTAGTAATTATTGTTCATCTCCCACCACTGTGCTTTGCCTGCCTCAAGATTGGTACCCAGATTTATAACCACTACTTTCACATTCAGTATCTCTCCTCCTTATTCAAACTGGTACCTTGGGCTGTTCCTTAGACACACAAATGCCAGTCCTTTGGCTTTCTCTACTGTCTCTGCCCCAAAAATTCAGATCCATCTCCCCATTCCCACATCTGTGCTTTGCTTCCTGGTGGTAGTAGCAGCCACAGTAATCTCACTTTGCCTCACACACTTACATCTATACTGTCATCGCTCAATACTTTCTCCCTTCACCTTCTCTTTTCGGGCCCAAATCCCGTATACAGGATTGCAGAGTAAACCAGCCATCTCTTACCACACCTTTGGTCTTGAGCAGCCTGTTGTTGGTTATTACATTAATTCAATTTATATCCTGCCCTTCCTCCTGAAAGAGGCCAGGATGGCAGTGCCATGCCAGCTGCTGCCCCTGGTTTGCATTGGTTTCTAAGGCTGAGATATGTACTGAGCTGCTCTGCTTGTGTGATTCCTAGACTTGTGATATGGCAATGGATGCACCTGAGTCTGCACTTCTTGATTGTAAAGGAGACCAAAGGTGCCACGCGAGGCCAGACGCAGACTATCCTCTCCGAGTTCTCTACTGTGGAGGCAAGTACGAACCAAACTGTTACTGTAAATAATAACAGCTCAGGGTAGTTTACAAAAGAGGGCAAGTTGTTGATTATTTAAAAAACAGAAAGGAGTCTTGTGACATTTGAGAGCCTAACTATTTTTTCACTGTGGCTTCTGTATATTTGATCAGTGATTTGTACCCCCTGATTTGTACTCAATTATGAAGTTTGCACATTTGACTAAATCGTGATTTAGCATAGTGAGGACTGGCTGCACCAAAGCCTTGGGATTATCCTCTCCCATCTCCTTCTCCCCCCCCCCAATAGTTTTTATTAAAGTTTGAAAAAAGATCTACAAAGATTAATATCAAATACCCAATAAATGAATTAAATAAAAACACAAACCAACAAGAGGAAAAGAAAAAATAAAAGAAAAAAGGGGAAAGATAAAAGAAAATAATTTGTGGAATGCCCTCCCTGGTGAGGTGCTTCTATCTTCCTCATTATGAACTTCTCAAGAGGAATTTTTAAAACATTCCTGTTCACCCAGGCATTTGATCACTGAAATATACTGTTTCCTGCAACCTTGAAGTTAGTAGTTGTGTGAGGGTACGTTGCTGATAGTTTTAAACAAGTATCTATTTTATTTTAATGGTTATTGTTTTTACTGCTTTGTTGTTTGCTGCCCTGGACACTCTTATTTCCTTGGTCCTTTGCTATAGCTTTGGAGGAAGTCTGTGGCATCATTTTGTCAGCTTAACTTGCAGTGTAAAATGAGTAACAAAGGAAGCTGTAATATACCAAGTCAGTCCATTGGCCCATCTAGTTTAGTATTGCTTACACTTCCTGGAAGCAGCTCTCTAGGCGTTCAGACAGGAGGAGACACTGCTAGCCCCACTTGGAGATGCTGGGGACCTTCTGCATGTATAGCAGGTGCTCTTCTGTTAAGCCGCAGCCCCTCCTTGATTTTTCCTTGGAGAATTCCTCTTAGTAGGAAGAGGAATTCTCTTTGGCCAGGGCACAGCCTGACTCCCTCCCTCGGCAATCTTCGCGGAGCTCTGGCCCAATAGTTGCCAGTGGCCTGAATTAATTAATTTTATAATGAATGATTTTAGAGTGTTGTTTATGCTATACTTTTATACTGTTTTATTGTTGTTAGCCGCCCTGAGCCCGGCTTTGGCTGGGGAGGGCGGGATATAAATAAAATTTATTATTATTATTATTAGACTATTTATAAGTGTTTGTCTTAAATGTTAATTTTTTAAAAATATGAAAACTGCGGAGAAAACGAAGAGAAAAAACTCCCTTTTCTTTTCTTTCCACAGTCTGCTCGTTGCCAACAGAGGTGAGTTGCCTTAATTTTGATTGATTTAGGCCTGGTCTACCTATGGAAGCAGTGGAATGAGGCAATTGCCTGGAGTGTGTGCCACTTCTTCCCAGACTTGTCTCTTGTTCTAGACCCTTGCTCTTTTCTCTCTGTGTCTTTCATCATTCTTCAACATGATGCCCTTAAGTGGTTGCTGGAATACAACTCCTATCATCCCTGACCACTGGCCATACTTGCTGTGGCTGATGGGAGTTGGAGTCTAACAAATACTTGGGGGGGCATAGCTTACCCCCCCCTTTAGATATTCTGGGTAGTCCAAGACTTTACTGATTTTGGTAGTGAGCAGTGGCAAAAAGAGAGGGGAAAATTACAATAGACACAGTGCTGTCAGGTGCAAGGACAGGTGGGCATGTTTTGCTGGACTTAATTAGACCTGCTCCTGGAGCTTTCCCTCCCTGCACGAAAGCCTTTTAACTATATATATATGTTGAATTTTACAAGGATAACAAAACATATATCAAGATGTGAGTTATGCCAGGCAGGGAATTCCACAAAGCTGTGGCCATTACTGTAAAGCAGGTGTGGGGAACCTTCAAGTCCCCCAGATGGTGTCTTAACTACAACCCTTACCATCCCTGGCCATTGGCCATGCTTGCTAGGGTTCTTGGGAGTTGTGGTTCAGCAAAATCTGGAGGACCAAAGGTTCACCATGCATGCTGTAAAGCAGGGGTCGGCAAGGCTTGCCAAGCATGGGCCGGATCACTCTCACGGGGCCGGATCCTCCGTGGGCCGGGCCGGTGCAGCGTGACACCAGAAATCGCATCTGTGCATGTCTGTGGTGCTGGAAATCGCTTCTGCGCATGCCCAGACGCCAAAAATTGCACCTGCGCAGAAGCGATTTTCGGCATCTGGGCATGCACTGAAGTGATTTCCGGAGCCGTGGGGACTTGCCGAGCGAGCGGCTCGGTTCAGGGACCAGTTAAACGGTCTCCATGGGCCACCTCCGGCCCATGGGCCTTAGGTTGCCAACCCCTGCTGTAAAGACACTTCCCCCCGCTGGTGGGGAATTGGCACCAGGAGCAGAACTTCCTTTGATGGTGCTCAGGAGTGGGAGAGGCACTCTTTAATAATATGCTGGACCCAGGGTACTTGTCAGCCCTTATTGTACTATCATCAATGCTACTATTATACCCTGTGAAAATATGTGTGTGTGTGTGTGTGTGGAGGGGTTCCCTCAACTAACAAACTTATTCTGTGTGCTTTTTCCTCAGTATTGCGAATACATGCCGGATGTGGCAAAATGTAGGCAATGGCTAGAGAAAAATTTTCCAAATGAGTTTGCAAAACTTACTGTAGGTAAGAAGATCTCTGTACTGTTTTTAATGTGAGATTGTAGGACAATGAAAAGGGTTCAGATGCTCAAGAGAGGATAAAATCAAGGGAAATTTTGCCACAGATATAAAAAGGAGCAGGATGTGCGTCTTTACGTGTAAACTATCTGTAATTATACTACCTGTAATTAGAACTGAGCATAACTGCACAAAATTCTTCCAGGATAGTGTCCCTAGTGCAGCAGGGGCAGGGAGACTTGTGGTATCTATGCTTTCTTTTACTAGAACTCTGAGATCCGCCAAGCAGAACCAGGTGGAAAATACGTACACTTGGGGCTGAAAAATTATGATGACAGGAGTATGTTCTGAATACCAGCACTGAACTGAATCCAACCCTTCCACACAATCATCCAGTGATGGAGCCTTTGCCAACCAGGTGCTCTTCAGATGTTGGTGGACTACTGCATGCTGCGCAAGGCTGATGGGAGTTGTAGTCCAACAATGTCTTAAGGGTGCCAGGTTGGTCAAGGCTGCACTACTGGCTGCCTCACTTCCCTTCCAGCATTCTACATTTCATGGTATGATTCCCACCCCCAGGTAGGATAGCTATTTTATTTTGGCCATTGATAAAACATAGGGCGTCAGAAACCCACAGTGGGCTACATCTCACTAGTAGTAACTAACTGCTTCTTTCCAAATTTCATATCCCCTTTCACTCTGGACATAACTGTGTATTACTCCTGGATTTGCTGATACATGCCTCTTGTATCCCACAACCCTCTGCTTGGATTACCGACAGACACAGAAGGTCTGCTAAGCACAACTAACCTGGACCAAGGCTTAAACAGATTATCTACAAGAGCTTGTGTCTTAATTAATTAGCTAGTCTTGAAGGTAGCCCAGGACTCTTGTTTTTGCTACAACAGGTCAGCATGATTACTCTTCTGGAATATGTTCCATGAAAGCTGTGTTACACTATCCCAAATGTCTCTTCAATTTCTAGAGAAGAGGTAGTCTTCCTTTCTATGGCGGATGCTTACTGGGGAGTAAATCCATCATTTTATTTGTATGCCACCTTTCCAAAGTTAAAACTGAAGGCGGCTTACAACAAATAGGCAACCCCTGTTTTGCATGGGGGTTACATTCCGGGTCACAGTGTGTGTCTGCGGAGCGTGCATAACCCGTTCCACCCCATTATACCCACTTTTCCTGCAACTTCTGGGTTTGTGACAGTGGACATGTGCTCATTTGCACATTCTTTGAACACACGCAGAATGGGAGTTGCCTGTATTTAAAAATTTCATAACTACAAACATAACAAAAGTTGTTGTTGTTGTTTAGTCGTTTAGTCGTTTAGTCGTGTCCGACTCTTCGTGACCCCCTGGACCAGAGCATGCCAGGCACTTCTGTCTTCCACTGCCTCCCGCAGTTTGGTCAAACTCATGCTGGTAGCTTCGAGAACACTATCCAACAAAAGTAGTCATAAGCAATAAACAAATCATCAGAAAGAATATAATCAAACTGAATAATTTTCACTTAAATAATAAGATAAAAAATAAAGCTACAAAAAATTAACAGCAGCAACTCTTCCCCCGCTAAACAATACCCCAGCCCAAGATTCTGTTCAGCCGCCTCAGCTTTTATAGCTGGAGTCAGTCAGGGACCTGCCTTGCCAGGCCAGGCGAGAAGAGGTCTGCAAAGGGAGGGAGCAGGTCTTCCAGGACTCACAGCCAAGATGGTCACTGTTGATGCTCCACTGTTGTGGGAGTGTGTGTGTGTGTGTGTGTTTAGTTGAAGTACCATTATTTGCAAAGTCACTTTGCACTCAAATTTCTTTTCTCCCCCCAAGCTCAATTAATTAATACCATTTTGTTCTTCATACAGAAAATTCTCCTAAACAAGAATCTGGTGTTGGAGAAGGACAAGGAACAGTGGGTGAAGAGGAAGAGAAAAAAAAGCAAAAGAGAGGCAAGGTCTAAACCAGGGGCAGGGGATTTTTTTCAGCCTGAGGGCATCATTTCCCTCATGGACACAGCCAGGGTGGTGTAGTTGTTAGAGTGTCAGGCTAGCACTTGGGAGACCAGGGCTTGAATATCCACTTGGCCATGAAACTCAACGGGTGACCTTGGACTAGTCAATCCACTCTCAGCCTTACCCACCTCACAGGGTGGTTGTGAGAATAAAATGGGGAGGAGACCTATGCACACCACCTTCAACTCCTTGGGGGAAAAGGTGGGATATAAATACAATAGATAGATAGATAGATAGATAGATAGATAGATAGATAGATAAGTAACCTTCCAGGGTCTGCATGCTAATAGTGGGCAGGATGGGGGGGCAGAAATGGGGAGGGGGCTAGAGACAAGTGTGGCTCATGCAAAGAGTGTGGCTCTTAACCTCCTTAGGGTAGGCTACATTCGAGCCAAATGAAAGTCAAATTATCACACTTTAAAGAGACATGCCTGGAGAAAGAGTGAGTGGCCTGGGGGAAAAAAGTTTTGGTATGTTTAGCCTGGAGAAGAAAAGACTAAGGTGATATGATAGCTGCCTTCAAATGTCTGAAGGGCTGTCACATGGGAAATGGAGCAAGCTTGTTTTCTGCTGCTCTGGAGGGTAGGACACGAACCAATGATTTCAAGTTAAAAGCAAGGAGATTCTGATCAAGCATTCTGAAGAACTTCCTGATGTTAAGAGCTGTTCAGCAGTGGAACAGTCTACTTGGGAAGGTGGTGGACTCTCCATCAATGGAGGTTTTTAAACAGCACTTGGGTACTTGAGATTCCTGCATTTCAGGGGTTTGGACTCTTGGGGTCCCTTCCATCTCTCCAATTCTGTGATATTCCTGAGGGTCAGATGAAGAGGTCTGGAGGGCTGCATTCACCTCCTCCACCCCAAAGGCCTGAGGTTCATCTCATGAAATCTTGGTCTAACTAGCTGGTGATTTATGAGTTTGATAGAATAGTAATAATAAGGGGAACGTTAAAAGAATAGCTGGGTCTCGGCTATTTTGTGTTGGGGTGGTGGACAGCAGTGCTGGTGGAGGGATAGGAAACTATAAAACCCAACCAGTCCCTGACGCTTGTGTTTCTGTAGTCTGAAGAGCAAAGTGTGGGTTCTGAGGTGTTTATCGATAATGATGTTATGTTATGTTCCTAGGTGGAAGAGGTCAGATAAAACAGAAGAAGAAGACGGTACCACAAAAAGTCACGATAGCGAAAATTCCTAGAGCAAAGAAGAAATACGTTACAAGAGTGTGCGGTCTTGCAACTTTTGGTGAGTCAAGAAAGGGCCTTGTTCACACGGAGGTATCTGTGACATTTAAACAATTTTTTCATGCAGAGCATAGTTAACAATGGAACTTGCTACCCCAGGAGGTAGTGATGGCTTTAGAAGAGGATTAGACAAAATAATGGAAGATAAGGCAGTCAGTGAGCCATGATGGCTTTGCTCTGCTTCTGAATACCAGTTGCTGGAAACAGCAGGAGCAGAGAGGTGGTCTTGCTTGTGGGTTTCCCAGAAGAGGCATTTGTTTGGCCACTGTGAGAACAGGATGCTGGACTAGATGGGCCGCTGTCCTGATCCAGCAGACTGTTTTTCTGTTCTTAGAAGAAGCAAAGATGAAATCAGTATTGTTTTATTTGTGTTCTTTTCTACAGAAATAGACCTTAAGGAAGCACAAAGGTTCTTTGCTCAGAAATTCTCCTGTGGTGCCTCAGTAACAGGAGAGGATGAAATAATCATTCAGGGGGACTTTACAGACGACATCATTGACGTCATCCAGGAAAAGTGGCCTGAGGTAAATAATTTCTCTCCCCATGTATTTCCTTCCTTATCCACTTGCATCCAATTGAACTTCTGGTCACTGTGAACTTTTAGGTTTTGCACCACCAAGACACTTCAGGCAACATTTTCAGGTGTCTGTGAGAGGAAAAAGAGTAAGAGTTGGTGAGAGGAGTTGATGGCTAAATTAACTACAGATTTAGACCTCATGAAGACTAATAACTCTGCATGACACTTTCAGCAGGGTTGCCATATTTCAAAAAGTGAAAATCCAGACACAAAAGTTGCAAAATTTTTTTTTTGAAGTTTTTGAGCTAGTTTTAAGGGAAATCACCCAAACCAATGCTGCTGACATGGGTTGCCATACGACCAGATTTTCCCAAACATTTTTAGCGGTTTTCGCCCGGACACTGCTTCTGACTGCAGTATTCCAGCTATGTCCAGGAAATTTGAGACGTACGGCAACCCTACTTTCAGGATTCTCTGGGTGTGGAGCCACCATAATTTTTTGCAGCCTAGTTGTGGTCATGCATGTTCCTAGATGGGCAACACTCCAGAGTTTCTGACTGGAAGCTCTGCCGTGTAGCTGATCCAAGCAGGGCTTGGAAGTCACTGCCAGTCAGTGGTGCTTGGCTTCCTTTGAACCCAAGCTGTGCTGCAATGGGGAAATGGGTCTCCTGACATCATGATGACATGGGATAAAGCAGTGGTGAGGGACCTGTTTCCAACCTGCTGGGCTGAAGAGGCTTTCCACCCCGGCTCGAAGGAAAGGTGCTGCAACTTCTTTGTGTGTGGCCCCAGAGAGGCTTGCCAGGTGCCTCCATGTGGTCTTTTAAGCACCAGCTGACCTTGTTACCTTAGGCCGTTTTAATTACAATCCATTGAGTGCTTTAGCATTTGCACCAACTTCTCTCTTGTTGGGTTTTATACTGATTTTAGTTGCTTTTTGATAACAGAATTTCGTATCTTGCAGGTTGATGATGATAGCATTGAAGATCTAGGAGAAGTAAAGAAGTGATGCTGTTTTTTTAAAAGAAGAAAAACAACACTGCCTTCTAACAAACACCAAGTTCTAGTCAACGTAGCCAAAGCAAGGCTTCTACGTGTGTTCGCCTGACAGCAGAACTGTTAAAGGGGCACCCTTATTACTGTTGGCATTTTCACTGTTCTGTATTGGCTGCTTATTTTCTGTTTGTGATTTTTGCCAAAGTTTAAACCTGGGGGAAGTGAGACACTCATGCCTCCGCATGAAGTAGAGACTTAAATAAAGAAGTTATTGTTCCTCACCAAGTGAGCGGTTCCTTTTTTCCTAACACAATTCTCAGTCCCTCAGAAATACTGAGGTATTCTCTCAAGGCTCAATCTACTAGGTATTTAAAGTAGACTTTAAATCTGGTTTTTGTCTTTGAGGTGCTGCAAAGCACTCTCTTTTTTGGGTCTGTGCTGCAAGAGGCTAACCCAGTTGTTCCTTCCTGGGTTTGTAGGTGCAGAGTTTGCCTTCAAGGTGCTTGGCGTTTTGCATCTGTACAATCACAAGAAGAATTCTGGCCTTCATGGCTATGGAAAGGAACTTTTGAACATGGGTTCAAAAATCATCTTGACAGATCTGTGTTGGTTTAGGGAATGGGTAGTGATGAGGACTTACTACATTGGCTGGCGAATCAAAAATCCATGTCACAGTAGGGTAATACCTTTAGACCAGCTAACCTGCCACAGGATGTTAAGCAAGATTTCGAGTTCTCCATAACTATTGACATCACATGGCTTTTGAAAATAGGTAATTTTGAGAGGTTTGCAGACCTGAGGAGGGCTTCCAGCAGTAAATGAATTGGGGTTTTCACACCATGCTTACCCCTTCATTTCTGTCCACAGCTAGTAGAAGGAAAATGAATTATTCCAAATAAGCACTATTGCATCCCTGTTCTTGATATACAGTAGTACCTTAGTTTTCAAACGTAATCCGTTCCAGAAGACAGTTCAACTTCTGAAATGTTTGAAAACTGAGACGCAAAGGGCGGTCTGCCAATTCAATAGAGAAAATTGTGTGAAACAACAGATACACGTAGTGGAACCCATTCAACGTCCGAGGCACTGTCGAAAACGGAAGCATTTACCATATTTTTCGCCCCATAGGGCGCACTGGCCCATAGGGCGCACCTAGTTTGGGGGGGGGGGATAAAAAAAAATTATTTCCCCCCCCCAGGTGCGGGGCTGGGGCGGGAGAAGCCCAAGCTTCCCCCGACCCCAGCCCCCAGAACAGGCTGCTATCCGCAAGTTTAGGGAGCCCGGCGCGACATCGCGCCGGTCTCCTCAGGCTTGCGGAGAGCTGCCAGAAGCCTGGGGTGTGCTCCGCTGCACGCCCCAGGCTTCGGGATGCAGGCAGCTCTCCGCAAGCCGTGGGAGCCTGGCGGGAACTCCCGCGGGCTCCCAAGGCTTGTGGATAGCTTCCTGAAGCCTGGAGAGCAAGCGGGGTCGGTGCGCACCGACCCCTCTCGCTCTCCAGGCTTCAGTGAAAGCCTGCATTCGCCCCATAGGACGCACACACATTTCCCCTTCATTTTTGGAGGGGAAAAAGTGCGTCCTATAAGGTGAAAAATACGGTATTTCCGGGTTTTCAGCGTTCAAAAACTAAAATGTTCGCGAATGGAGACGTCTGAAAACCGAGGTACCATACTATGTTTTTGGTGCCTTTCATTTTGGATTTTTCTTGGCATGGAACTTTTGGGTGCTTTCTGGTATTGTTGTTTACTATCATACATGGATGTGCTTAATGATTATGTTTACAGCTGCTTAAAGTGTACAGCTGCAGTCTTTCAGTATGCCATATTTACCCACCCTGCAGAGAAGAATTAATTCTCTTTACATTTGGTCTGATAAAGAGTTGTGTATGAACTGAAAGTTCGCATCCTTCTACACTGTGACCAAAAGCTGGTCAAACAAAGGATTATCTCCATCTTTAATTAGGACCTTGGAAACAAAATTTTAATATATAGATGTTGTTAATCTCTGTGTTTCATTTCATTCTCAAAATAGTAGTTTTTGGAAATTAAATTCCAAATATATTCAGGGAAAGTTGTGTGATCCAGCTGCCACATAATACCTGAACTGTGTATTGCCTTGGACAAACACAATTCACAGAACAGTTCTACTATCACACCTTCCACCAGTCTGGTGAAAAATGTAGCTATTTGCTCTGTGACTTGAGCTATTTGGGGAGACAGCTGCTATGCTACCATGACCTGTTTAAAGAATGCAGTTCTAAACAAAAGTAGGATAAATCAATTTGGTTAAGAAATGTTTGTTAGGAAAGAAGTGTGTAGTGGGAAGGGGTGTGCTATACCTGGGATGATTTTAACACAGGGATAGGAAACCTGTGGTCCTCTGGATGTTAGGCTACAGTTCCAATCATTCTTGACCATTGGGCATGTTAGCTGAGTCTGATGGGAGTTGGATTCCAGCATCATCTGATGGGCCACAGGTTTCCCACTCCTGTTTAAAAACAAGTAGAATCTGGGGTGAATTTGTATTTGTGCTTATGGACAAAGTGTGGATTCTGACCTGTAGCAGTCATTTTGAATTAATTTGGAGAAAAATATGGAATAAATCAGTGTGGGGTTAATGCATGTTTTAACATTCAAGGGCTTGGCTGTTAGGAATAAAACCTGATTCTGTGTAAACAGCTAAAGCGTATTTGGGGGAGGAGGAAGCAAAATTCTAGTCTGCAATAGTCACTCCAGATTATGTTCTACCTCTGCTTGTGGAGGCAGCACACCTCTGAACACAAGAGCCCATCTATGCCAGCATCCTTTCCTCACAGTGCCCAACTAGGTGCCCATGGAAAGCAGGGCCTGAGTGTGACAGGATGCTCCACTGCTGTGTTTTACAGCAACTGGTATTCATAACCATGCTCTGAATACTAGTTATTGAAGACAGCCCTGTTGAGGGAAGCTTTTAATGTTTGATGGATTACTGTATTTTAATATTTTGTTGGAAGCCACCCAGAGTGGCTGGGGAATAAATAAATTATTATTATTATTATTATTATTATTATTATTATTAATTCAAAGTGGGCTTCCCATGGGCCTGTGGTTGGCCACTGCAAGAACAGTGTGCTTGCCTAGATGGGCTCTTGGCTGCATCCACCAGGACTTTATTTTGTTCTTACTAATGAAACAGGAGTACAATCCAATGTGCTCTGGTGCTAAAACACAGCTGTGGCAGAAGAGGAGATTCTAGTCCAGGATAAAACACTGGGAAACAAACATACGAAGAGCTCTGCAGCTGGATCAGGCCAGTCGCCCATCTATCCACCCAGCCTGTTGTCACAGTGGCTGACCAGTTGCCCATTACAGGAAGTCGGCAAGCCGGGCATGACCATCCCAAGCTGTGTAGCTCAGCACCTGGTATTCAGTGGCAAAGAAGAGCTGGGTCTCCAAGACCTAGACCCTGCAATCATTTCCCAAACTTGGGGTCTCCAGCTGCTGTTGGACTACAATTCCCATCATCCCTGCCCATGGATCCTGCCAACTAGGGATGATGGGAGTTGTAGTCCAACAACAGCTGGTGACCTAAATTTGGGAACCCCTACAATGGGGTTTTTCTTGCTGTGCCTCCTCCGTGAGGGGCCCAGAGGGTGATATCATGAGAGGGGGCCTTTTCTGTGGTGGCTCCCCGTTGGTGCATGTGTCTCTTCCACCAGGTCTCAGGCCGATGAAGGAATGTGTGGAAGGGGGTTGTGGGTTTGCTTTTCTTCTATTTTGGTATCTTGATGTTGCGGGCCGCTCTGGGGTCTTTGGATAAAGGGCGGCACACAAATTTAATGGACGCTAATCGCAATGATCATAATAATCGTCTGTGCGGCGGCGGCGGCCACTCCGCATTAAAGAAACCGGAGTAAGAAAACAGAAGCAAAGCCAGCCTGGAAGGCGGATTAAAGAGCGGCTGGCGCGGGTCTGGGGGCAGAGCAGCCGTTGGAGGCGGAGCGCGGAGGAGGAGGAGGAGGAGAAGGGCAGCTCCGAGGCCGCTCCGTCCCCCTTTGCCCCTCGCGGTGGACGCCGGAGGCGGGTAAGCGGCAACTTCGCCCGCCGCCATTTCCCTTTCCCTCAGAGAGAGAGAGAGAGAGACGCCCCCTCCCTGCCCGCCCCCTCAGTTTTCCAAAGTTAGGGTCGGTCTCCCGCAACCCCCCCCGGCTGACTCCCCCCCCTCCGCAGCACCCACTTTCTGGGGGACCCCGGCTCCCTTGGGTGCTCTGTGGGTGAACTCTCTGCCCCCCCCCGTATTCAGAGGCCGCGCATCGTGTGGTGCGCACCTTTAGAGCGCGTTATTCTCTCCCCCCCCCCCGGTATCCTGGGATCTGTAGTTCACCCCCCTCACGGCGCTGCCATTCCCAGCACCCTCAGCAAAGCGCCGGTTGCGGGGGGGGGGGGGAGATACTTTAAATCCCCCGGGGCCTTCCTTAAATCCTCAGGAGACAAAAGCGTGCACTGAATATTTCCTCTGCTCCTGCCTGTCATTTTAAAAGATGTCTATATCAAAAGATTTCCATAAGTCACAAAAGTACATTCAGTGTCTCTGCTTTCAAATCGTAGAATCTTCCATACAGGTCAGTTACAGTCCATTTGAAACATTTTTTGGTGTAGACAATGTGGGGGAGTGGGGGGAGGAAAGAAAGAAAGAAAGAAAGAAAGAAAGAAAGAAAGAAAGAAAGAAAGAAAGAGGAGAGTGAGAGAGACACTATACTTTCATCCTTTACAGAGTATTTGAGTGGTGTGCCTGTCTTATCTTTCTAAGCCACCTCCCACTTTTCATCTCACACGTCCCTGTATGTAATCGATTTACTTGGAAATTTCTTCTATGCCCCTTCAGTTAAAAACTTGGGGTGGTACACAGTTACATGTATAGGTGGGAATATATTATGTGCATGCATTTGGTTATAATACACACGCACTGCATTCAGAATGTCTTTCACTGTAATCTACTTTTATATGTTTTTAATTGTGTGTTTTAGAATGCTTTAGGTGTTTCATGTTGAATTTTGGATGTGGCCTATAACAACAACAACAAAACATTAAAAATGAGCAACTGTTAAAATTGATATATCTATATTTAAAACAAATTAGTATATAATAAGGCAATAACAAACAAATTCAGCAAACATTTAATACAACTCAGTGTCTCCTTCCTCATGAGTAATTAAAATTTTCCGTAATGTGAGGTAGCCTCTTACTATTAACTTACTTTAAGTTGTTTCAACAACACTTTTTGATGTATCCCCACTCAATCTCTGTTATGGCAGTTACCCTCTGAATTGCTGAGTTGCAGGGCACAAGAAAAGGGTTCTTCATTGCTCTGGGAGAGCTGAACTACAGTTAGAAATTGTCCACACCACTTCTGCAACAATTGTACCTGTTACAGTCCTGACCCCAGCACAGTCCTTATGGAATCATCATTGCCTCTCTCCACTCCACAGCAGGTAACAAAACCAAGTTAAATCTGAAAGCAGTATTTAATACCTCACATTTCACTAAGCACCAAAGACTGATGGACCTAGATGTGTATTCTACTTTTTTGTTTCAAGGTTATAATAATAATAATAATAAATTTTATTTATACCCCGCCCTCCCCAGCCGAAGCTGGGCTCAGGGCGGCTAACAACAATCAAAATAATCCAACATTCCAACTTCTAGATTAGAGTTTATGTGGTGCTTGTATGTTCGTAACAGCTTGCTGTATGAGGCCACTGGCCCATCTGGTCAGCATCCTGTTCTTGCAGTGGCCAAGCAGGCCAAGACCACAAGCAGGACCTGCGTGCAACATAACTCTCCCCTCGTGCAGCTTCCAGTGGAGGTAGAACATAGCTACTGTGGTTAGTCACTATTGATAGAATTACAGTGGTACCTCTGGATGCAAACGGGATCCGTTCTGGAGCCTCGTTCGCATCCTGAAGCGAACGCAACCTGCAACTGCGCATGCGTGGGTCGCGATTCGCCACTTCCGTGCATGCACATGACATCATTTTGAGCGTCTGCGCAAGCGGCGAAACCCGGAAGTAATGTGCCCCGTTACTTCCGTGTCGCCGCGGAGCACAACCCGTAAAGGCTTAACCTGAAGCGACTTCAACCCAAGGTATGACTGTATTTTCCATGAACTTCTTTAATCCCTTTTTTAAAACATGCAAGTTGATACGCAACTCGTCAGAGTGAATTCCATAGTTTAACTATGCACATGTCTCTGAGCTTTCAATGAAACAGTTGCAAGCTTTTAATGGAATAGAAACAAGCCACAGCGCTGTTAATAAATGCTTCGTATTTCGAACTGCATACTTCTGTAACAGCTACCTAATTTGTGATGTGATGTAGGCGGGACTGTTTTCTCCCCCCTTCCTCTTGTAGAATACAACCTCTGAACTGGAGAGCAGTACCATTCAGAAGCAGAGGAAAGAACTTCAGCTGCTAATTGTGGAGCTGAAAGATCGTGATAAGGAGCTCAATGATATGGTTGCAGTGCACCAGAGGCAGCTGCTGGCTTGGGATGATGATCGTCAAAAAATACTGACGCTGGCAGAACGGTGCAGCAAATTGGAGAGTGAGTGCCATGCAGACCACAGGCTGAAGTATTCAGCCAGTGCAGCAGTAAGAGTATTGTGCCCATTTTGCAGATGGAGGAACTGAGCCTGACAGCGGCTTGAGGGCACTGGTTAGTTTTTTTTGAACTGTGATTTCCTGGTTTACAGCTCCGTCCACAGCTTCATGGCAGTGGGCATGGCTCAGTGGCAGAGCACATTTCACATGTAGATATCCCCAGGTTCAGTCACTGGCATCTCCAGTTGAAAGGATCAAATAATATCCCAGAAGAGGGAAAATGTCTACCTGTACCTGATCATCTGCATAGCCACTGCCGGTCCAAAGTAGAAAGCAGTAGAGAAGATGGATTAATTGACTGACTCTCTGTAAGGCAGCTTGATATGTTCAGTCCCTTGGCGGTTACATTATGATTGTGCTCTGGGTTAGAGACAAAAGACATTAAATAAAAGGTAATAAGCCCAATTAAAGCATATGATGTGCACCTCTTCTCATATACGCCCTAAGCTGTTTGTTGGAACTTTAAAGATGCTGCAGTCCAGGGGCTTGGAGAATCTATTTGGCTGGTCCCACAGGTGCTGGCTGGCTACAGAATGGTGATTTTATCTGAACAGAAGCACCATGGAAATGCTAGAATGTTGTGAATGGCAGGAAACATGTAGAACCTTTCGTAAGTGATGCTGTAATAATAGCAAAATGCCAGTAGTTTTCTAAAAGGACTGATATCACATAAGATGGATGCTGTTCAAAAAGAGCTTCATGTTTTTGTATTGGGTTAATTTTTATATGCCCAAGATCTGTATGTAAAACCTTCAAATATAACCCCAAAGATGTGCTAAGAATTCCATTCAAACTCCCAAATTGTGGAATTTAAAAGGGGGAAAACATGGCAGGTAAAAAGATCCAGGAGAACATAAAACATTTTAGGATGACTCCTAGGTAGACATTCCTTTATAGAATTAAAATATCTGTACCTATCTGTACCTCTCTCTCTCTGCCTTTTTTTAACATTTCAAACGTCAGCTTAGTTTAAGGAAGTTTTGTGTGTGCATCGTTGCTCTCAGTTGCTTTCCCAGAAACAGTACCTGTCATTTATCACTCAGAAGAGCTGCACAAGAGAAATGAGATGATTAGCACACTGACTAGAAGGCTAAAGCACCTTGAATCCCAGCAAAATGACCGCAAGATAACACTTGAGAATACTCAGCAGAAGCTCCAGGAACTCTCTCGGAAAGCCTCTGATACATCACTTCACTGCCAGGCCCTCGAGGTAAGCTTTAGTTCGTGGCTAGATTCTGAATGCTTTGGGTAGATTTGAATGTAACTCTGAGTAAGGGACAAACTTGACCTAGTGCTGCTCCCAGGTGTTTTGTGGGTGGTCCCTTCAGCAAGATGCTCTCAACATGCCTCCCTTCCCCAAGAGCACCCACTTCCTCTCCCTCACTATCATTGCACCACCCCACCTCCCATAGGAGAGGATAAAGTCTATAGTGGTTACTGTTCTTCTTGCTCAAGATGTTTGAAGAAGGATTGAAGAACGTAGATCAACAGATAGGAGGAGGAGGAGGAGGACCAGGAGGCTCCAGAGATCAGCAGTGCACCCCATACATGAACTTAGGCCTTGGAAGGTGCCCAGAAGTTCCCGCTGCTAGCCCTGACTAGGCCTGACATTTTCTATGACTGACACATCTCAGTTTCTTTATTTGGCTGAAGACCGATGCAAGGGGCATGTGTGTGATTGGACTGGACCATAGACAGGATAGTTTATGAAATAAAACATTTGCCTCCACACAGATTCCCCTATGAAATTTCTTATATTGTAGGTTTCATGTGTTTTCTCCTTTGTGGCTCATGCCAGCTTTAGGGAGGAGGGGAGTAGAATTCCAAACCCAGGGGCCCTGCAGCTGCTTTTAGCTAAAGGACAATACTTTGGGAGATCTGGCCATGGATATTCCACTTCTAGGTTAGTGTGCTAATACGATTCCGGTGAAATAGGAACAGCAGGTGCAGGTTACAGTAGGTGGATAGGAAGAATGGAAAGTGAGGGGGAGAATTAAGAGCTAGTTCACATTGAACAGTTTGGGGTTGTTGTTAGCAGACCCTGCAGCATGGGTGCATTAGATTGTAATAATCACTTACAGTTTCTGGAGTTCCAAGGCTTTATTTATGCAGAAACTCTTTGCAGGATGAATCATGATAAGAGAGAGAAACAGCAGGCGTTGTCTAGACAGGTTGGGAGAGAATAACAAAATGGCTCAACTTTTAGGAGTGGAGTTATCTTTGACAAACAAGCTACAAACGGGGTGGCTAGATCACTAGACAAACAGTGCCCTTGTTTGGTCTAAAGCAGGGGTCTGCAACCTTTAAGACAAAAAGAGCCACTTGGACCCATTTCCGAAGAAAAAAAAACTGGGAGCCGCAAAACCATTGCGACATTTAAAACAAATATATCTCCGGAGCCGCAATCTGACAGCGGGCGGGAAGGTGCCGTCGGGACGGTGCGTGACTAACGCATGCACCGCCCCCATGCGACGTCACAGCCAGTACAACGCCCGCCACAGTGGGGAGTGTCGGGGCACACAATGCGCCTCCTCCCCTCACTAGTATCCATCCCGGAGCCGCGGCAAAGGTGTAAAAGAGCCACATGCGGCTCCGGAGCCGTGGGTTGCTGACCCCTGGTCTAAAGTAACACATGCATTAACCACAAACTCAAAAGAAGGAAATGTATTTGTTTTTCTCCATCAGATGTTGTGAGCTAAAATGCTGCGCTCACACCAGTGTGCTGAATTTGCAGTAAGGTGGCTCTTCTTAAGTCATCCTTAAGTCATCCTTAAGTGATCAAGGATCTGGGCTGCTAGGGTAGCTTTCTGCTTGTGGTGCAATAGGGCTGGGAAGGCCACACAGGGCACAGCGTTTAGATTTCACTGTCAACACTTTTTCCTTTCTTCTCTGTTTCCTAGGAGAAAAATCAAGCCCTCAGTTGCTCAGTGATGGAGCTGTCCAATAAAGTAGGACAGCTGCAAGCCAGAGAGCAGGAACTGCTTACTATGTTAAAATTAAAGGTACAGTAATTTTACCTTAATAATAATAATAATAATAATAATAATAATAATTTGTTATTTGTACCCCGCCCATCTGGCTGGGTTTCCCCAGCCACTCTAAATGTTAGGAGCACCCCTATTTCTGGGTACACTTAAATAAGACAGGGGCAGGGCCCAAACCAGATGCTGCTGATTTCCTTATAGAGCAGGGGAAGATGACTGGTATTTAAAATGTAGCATCAGTAGCAGGGAGTAGAACCTTTCCCATCGCCACCCACTGTCTGCAGTTCTCTATCCAAACTGATTTTTAAGCTGGTTTCCCACCTCTGCTAGTAGGAGGTTACTTTCAATTACGGGGCTCTACATGGAGAAAAGGGAGGTAAGAAAACCCTGAAAGAGAGGGAGGTGTTCAGTGGGACATGAAATCCTCACTCCCAATACGAGGTTTTAGGTTTCTTGGTAGGGATTTGGTGAAAGGCTTGGTTCTGCTCACAGGTCTGCTGCCTTCGGCGATTTCAGACGGAAGTCTCTCCTGGCCTTACCTGCAAATGCTGGGGTTCCAACCTGGGACCTTCAGCATGCAAAGCAGTGTTCTTCCACTGAGCTGGGGAAAAGACAGCAATTTGTGCTGTAAATATTCTCCTTTGGGAGTTTTTAAATTCTTTGTTTTGTTTTCGAGTCCTGTATTTTAAATGGTTTCCCTCTCCAACCTGTTCTCTTCTGGTCTCCCCATTCCTCCCCATATATCTTCATTCATAGATCTATTTCTTTCATGGTTTTAATTTTAGAAGAATTTTTTTTTTAATGGAACAGTTCTATTTTGTGAAGGTTGTGAGCCAATTTTGGGGACTGTGGTCAAGAAGCAGGATACAAATCTGTTAAATAAATAAAATGTGATAGAGTTCATTCAATCAGATGAACACTGCCAAGCTCTGAGCTAGTTTTTGAAATGAGACTAATAACTTTCAGCATTCAACATATAAAATGAAAGAGGCACAGATGGCAGCAAACAAGGCAAAACAATGGACCAAATTGTTTTTGTTTTTGTTTTGGTTAGGATAATGACATACTTGAAGCAACGAATCATATTACTGAATTTACATGTAAATTTAAAAAATTAGAAAACGCTCTGCGTGCAGCAAAGATGGAGGAATCAAGCGTCAATAGGGAAAAGCAGGATTTTAAACTCAGGCTGAAGGAACTTATGTTGGAAACAAGCAAATTAAAAGGTAAACAATGCTTAGAATTTGATATTCATAATCTAAAAACTGAGTTGGAGAAGGACAGTGTTCCTGTTTGCATTTGCTCCAGCCAAATGAATCAGGCTATCTATCAATCAGAGAATTTTCAGTTCATTAATCACCTGCCTTCATATTTAAGTACATTTGCAGTTTTCCCCTAAACTCAATATGTAGGTGCCTTTTTTCAGATATTGAATATACAGGAACTTAGAATTTAAAGAGCAGAAACTACGACCATTTTTTTAAAAGGAAAGGGAAGCATTTAATAACTTTCCCCCATTCCTTCTTGTTGGAATGCATCAGAAGCAAAAGACCCCCCTCCAAAAAAAGTATATGCTATTTTCTATAATCAGACTTCAAGTTAACATACATTTATTTTATTTAAAACCTCTGTACCCCACCTTTCCACCAATGTTGGCCCCAGGCCAGCTTTCAACAAACCTTTTACAAATAGCTAATTGTATAAATACAATCCATCACAACAAAAGAAACAATAGATGCAGGAGCAAAATAAGACAGCAGATTAGCTGGAAATCTGAGTGCCACTCAAAGTTCAGGCATTATTATTATTATTATTATTATTATTATTATTATTAGGTGTCCTGAATGATAATATCATGGGTTCTTGACAGATGTTCCCAATGAGTGTTTGACCACAGAAAAGGCCCAGTGTCTGGTCACGACCCCCTCACTTCTGACGGTGGGGTACCCAGAGCAGAAAACCTTAATGTGTGTGCAAGCTATTATGGCAGCCTGCTGTCCTTCACATACCCTGCAATGAATGAGCCAGTTATAGTTAATGTACAATTTTGTTGGTAATAATGTACAATAAACTGCTAATGATAAACTATATATTCAGTTTATAGTTTTAATCCTTGTTGCAATGATATGAATTTTAGTGTTGCATTGCAACAAAAAGTTCTTGCCGGACATTTGGTTTATCACCTCATGCTTATGATAATTTAAATAGATGTGAACTGTCTTTAAAAGATATTTCATCTCAGCAACACTCTCTCTTTTTGTTTTATAGGTGACCTCAGCGAGAAAACAAAAGAAAACAATGAGCAGAGGGAGGAAATCATACGCCTCAAGCAAGAAAACAGTTATTTGAACAATGAATTGATGCTTAGTGGTGAGTAGACGAAAACTAATGTTTGGACCTTAGCTTTTGAAGGGAGCCTACAGTCCATCTGTCTCTGATTTAGCAAATATGGTGTTGGATCTTTTGCCTGTATTCTTTTTTTAGGTATCAGCTGTTGATCAAAAATACCCGGCCAGAAATCAGGACTAGTTCCCACATGGAGTGGAACCATTCCCTCCAACCTTTGATCGGATGTAGGTGGACTCCAACACCCTTCAACCTGCATGACCAGTGGTCAGGAATGATGGGAGTTGTAGTCCAACAACATCTGGAGAGCCACAGAATCCCCATCCCTGCTTCCCAAGAGGGGAAATCACTCCCCTAAGGACCTGATTCTAAAGAAATCCCTGTGTATAAAAAAAGAAAATGTTAGCTAAATTAGCGTTCATTTTCTTTATGATTATTACTTATTTATTGTTTCTCTGTGCAATTATTTGTTGTGGAAAATCACCAACCGTTCAACCCCTCTCTCCTAACAGCTGAGAGAGCAAACAGAAAAGACCAGCTGCTTCAGTCTGCTAAATCTAAACAACTGCGAACTGACACAGAACTGAGCAATTTGCGACAGGTTTGACTCCAGTTTCTGGGTGGGGGAGGGGATTGCACTTGTTTTTGTCCTTTTATGTCGCAATGAGGAACATAACAAATCAAAGGTGAACAGGATTGGCTGTTGCAATAACTTGTTTGAAGAACCTGTTTTTGATACTGGGGCTCAGTCTTGGAATATGTGAACTGAATAGAAAGGATGAACGTCTCTAAAGCATCACAAGTGAAATATAGTAAAATATTTTAAATTCATATGCACTGGAAGATATCTCCACATGCTTGTGGTTAAATAACAGCTTGGTATGGTTTATTCACCAATGACACGGGTGGCGCTGTGGGTAAAACCTCAGTGCCTAGGACTTGCTGATCGCAAGGTCGGTGGTTCGAATCCCCGCGGCGAGGTGAGCTCCCATCTTTCGGTCCCAGCTCCTGCCCACCTAGCAGTTCAAAAGCACCCTTAAGTGCAAGTAGATAAATAGGTACTGCTTTCTAGCGGGAAGGTAAACGGTGTTTCTGTGTGCGGCACTGGTGCTGGCTCACCAGTGCAGCTTCGTCACGCTGGCCACGTGACCCGGAAGTGTCTTCGGACGGCGCCGGCTCCCGGCCTCTTAAACGAGATGAGCGCACAACCCTAGAGTTGGTCACGACTGGCCCGTACGGGCAGGGGTACCTTTACCTTTTTATGGTTTATTCGTACATGGTGTTAATTATCTGTATGCTGCCCTGAGAGAACAATAAAGTAGCTAGATAGTCCAGGCCAAGGCACAGCCATGAATCTTATTGGGAAACCGTAGTCCAGTCACCATCCTTCAGCCTGATCTGATCTTAAATGGAGGCTAAGAATGGCCAGAACCATTCTGGAGATCCTTGAAACAGAGTGGGATACTTAAATAACTAAAATTGGAGCACTACTTTTTACATGTACAGAGGAATTTTGTTTTCTTTTAGTCTTGTATTCTCTATGAAAACAAAACAAAAAATATTTTTCTCTTATTTTTTTTAACACAAATCTTTACTATTGTTATAGGAGCATGTACTGAATATGGAAAAAATGGAGTGGGAGGTATTTCCGATAGTTCTCTGAAATCTTAAAAACAAACCATTTAAAATTTCTACGAACTCTAATGCCCTCGTTATTATTCTTTTTATTTTAAATTTCCTGCTTTGTGTGTCCGTGAAGAGAAAAACAGGGCAAAAATAATGTATCAAAGTGAGCTGCTTGCTCTTCTGAGGCTTGTTTGTTGTTTTGTTTTCTGCCTTCAGATCTATGTGAAGCAGCAACGAGATCTGCAGTTTCTGCATTTCAACTTGGAGAGTTCCCAGGAAACAAAGCAGAAACATAAGACACAGGCACACGAGGCCAGGTAAAAGTGGCAAATGGCTTTCTGGAGAGAAGGTTGCTTTTAAAGGGGACTTACATGTTGCACAGAGGCAGGGTTAGGAAAACATTTCAAAATCCTAACCCTGGTTCTGTACAGTGACTACTGTATTTTAATGCTTTGTTGGAAGCCGTCCAGAGGGCTGGGGAAACCCAGCCAGATGGGTGGGGTATAAATAAATTAATATTGTTATTATTATTATTATTCCAGCCCTGCATAGAGCATATTTAAACACTAATACATCAACACTTGTTAAGAGGAAACCCCTAGAAATGCACCATACCAATCATAGCACAGCCATAGGGGTTGGGAGAAACAGAATTTGTTGAAATGCTGCCTTCTGCTCCATTCTTGGAGTGTGGTCACTTAGCAGCTGACTATGCTCCTGCTCTTGGTTCGACACACAACTTGGAGCAGCCTTGAAAAGACCAGCAATGGAAGCTGCACAGCCAAAAGACTGAATGGGGTGCCCCAGCTGTGCCGTGTTAGAAAGACTCTGTTCTCCTAAATTAGAGCCACTTGGCATTGCCTGCATTGAGAGCCACCAGGTTGCTAAGCTGTCTCACAGCATGTAGTTCAGGACAGTAAAATAACAACTTTAATTAGGGCTAACTGATGACATTACAAGGATTTTCCCTTGGGCTCAGCTTAAAAAAAAGATGGGGGCTGATGTTTCTGTTAAGTCCTGTAGAGTTTATGCCAATCTGAAGAGGAAACTCCTGCAGGCTAAATAGGCATGCCAGGGCAGAGAAACAGATAGAGGTTGTCCCTTTACAGATCCAAAAACCAGCAGTTATTTGATTATGTATTTAGCAGTACTCACAACTCCCAGTTCCCTTGAAACTTATTGTGAAGCAACAGTAGAAGCCAAGTGGGGCAAATCCTCAAGGGCTGGAAGATCCTGGATGTCTGAAACAGGAATGACACACCCTTGGGTGGACGAAGTGTGTAGAGATTGATGGGTGCAGATCAGATAATGTATAGGTTTAAGTTGTTAAATGCAGTCTTGATAACGTGAGTTCCTTATTGTGCCCTTTATATAGCACAGAGATAGTTTTGTCAGATCCTGGAAGTAGCGGCAACAAGGACACAGTGTGTAGCGAAACCCATCAGAAGATACACACCCGGTTTGTGCATTCTCCCAGCTGTAGTTCAAAAAATATCTGCGAAGCACACAGAGCCGAGAATAGGCAGCAAAAGGGCCCCGAGGAGAGACAGCCAGCAAGCTTGGATCAGTTTCAGGAAGGGCTGTTTTATGGGCCAAGAACTATGCATAGGGAAGAGCTGGATCAGAGCGGATCCTTGAGTTCTGGGGAGACAGACAGCAGACCTGCCTCCCAGACAGACAGCATGTGGAAGGCAGAAGGCAGGGAAATGGCCCGGGCGCCGGAGCAAAGCTTTGCGGCATCTTTACCAATTCACGAGCATTGGCTCGACCTAAATTGCCACACTGAGCCCACAAACTGCCAGAGTCCTGGGTTGAAGCTGTCTGACAAATCCAGTGAGGATTGTAAAGATAAGGAGATGGGCACATGTGGGCTGAGTCCCGGCAAGTCTCCTAGTCCATTTAAAGGGCTGGAGTCGGGGTACTGCTCCCGCAGCTCCATAAACAAAGTCGCCCTGTACCAGCCTGTAAGTGACCAGCGGTGGATGCAGATTTTCAAGCCTGCGAAGGGAGAGGCAGGTTCATGGCACGGAGCTTTTCCCAACGGTCCTCAGGCTGCGATTAGAAGCGGCAAGTCAAAAAGGTTCAGTATTTTGCTAATTGCCTACAAAATTAGTCCATTCTCTTGTTAGCTATGACTGTCCCTACTCCAAATGAAAAACCTATGAACAATCTTTTAATAAACCAGCTAGCTAGTCTTCATCAGACTGTTTAGAGTAGGGGTTGGCAAACTTTTTCAGCGGGGGGCCGGTCCACTGTCCCTCAGACAAATTCCTATGCCCCACAAATAACCCAGAGAGGCATTTTAAATAAAAGCACACATTCTACTCATGTAAAAACACCAGGCAGGCCCCACAAATAACCCAGAGATACATTTTAAATAAAAGGGCACATTCTACTCATGTAAAAACATGCTGCAGGCCGGATTTAGAAGGCGATTGGGCCGGATCCGGTCCCCGGGCCTTAGTTTGCCTTCCTATGTCTTAGAACAAAAAAGGGAAGGAAAGGACACAAACAGGCAGGCAGGTCTAGTAGACCTGGCTAGTCTGCTGCTAGACATGGACAAAGGCTGTTTTAATCAGATTAAACTGACAGGCAGCACAAAGCTTCTGGTCCAGCCAATCTTGGTCTGCATCTGAAGCGCCTGAGTCTTTGTCACTGCTTGCTCAGCAGAATAGTGCCTTCTGCCTGCTTCAGTTCAGGCAGCAGCTCCAGCTCAAGTCCTCCGCTCCTCTGGTCTTCTCTGTCATAAAGCATTACTCTAATTACTGGGGGACTGGGCGGAGGGGAGAGAGTCCTGGATGAAATCCACAGGCCTCATTCTGGGACCCCCCCCCCCGGTTTTGGTCAACTCCTGCCCCCCTTGACCAGAAACTAAAGGGGCAAAATCACCACCCTGTGATTTGAGCACTCTTATAACAAACCCGTTGCAAACATGGCCTGCAGTTTTAACCTTCACACAGTTCACTTTGCACTTTTGATATGTGTGAACTTCTGCTGGCCACTTTTTTGCGGGGGTGGGGGAGAGAATCAAGCTGTGCAAGGGGCCTGGGGCTGGTCACAGCAGCATCGGTCAGCCACATAGCTGCTTTCAAGGGCGCATGACTTAAAATGGAATGTGGATCTGGAGCAGCCCCATCTAGCTCACCTTGAAATTCATACACAGTCCCCTCTGGCTTAGTACACCAGCTGTAAATAAATCTCTTCACTTTCTTCCAAAGCCCATAAAAAGAGCTGAGACTTCACATTGCTTGTAATCTCCTTTCATCACATGACCCAGCAGCAGAGCTGGTTTGTACACCTGGTTGAGTCTGGCCATTCCCCTTGCACAGTTGCAGACCTGCGTCCCACTGAAAGCTGTGGCCCCAGGCCCCAGCAGCTCCACCAGCGTGGACAAAGGTCAGGGACTGGAAGTTGCAGTCAAGCAACATCTTGGGGGCAGGGACCACATTGGCCATTATTGGAAACAAGGTGGTAGTCCACTAAGTGTTACTCAGAGTAGACCCATTGAAATAATTTTTTTTACTGAGAATTTTGTTCTTTTTGTAAACTGCTTCAAGGTTTTATTACAGTCAAGCGGTATATAAATGTGAATTAAATAAGCATGTCTGAGTTAGGTTCCTTTATTTCAGTGGATCTGCTCTGAGTAAAACTTAGTTGAATAGCACCCATATCCTGCAACTACTGCCATTCTTCATGGTTCAGCTCACTCACCAAGAGTGTGTGTGTGTGTGTGTGTGTGAGAGAGAGAGAGAGAGAGAGCGCGAGAGAGAGAAGCAGGCATCTTGTCCCTTTTTGGCCCCCTCGGGGTTATGCAATGGGGTGCCACAGGGCACTGTTTTATCCTCAGTGCTATTCAATGTCTATATGAAGGTGAATGAATGAATGAATCTTTATTTGCATCAGCCATTGGCCATAGCAATAAAACAACAATACGATATAAAAATAATAGAAATACAAATAAAAAGTCAATTATATAAAATACATTTTAGGGTTTTGAATCAATAGTCAAATAGTGGATATTATTCTGATTGCCCCAGCTAAAAACCTTGCAACCTTTGCTCATCTTGATCTGCCAAGAGAAAGGACACTGTGGCAGTGGCTGGGCAACCCGGAATGGACAATACAAGAAGGGTGATAATCTCATTCCTCAAGTCTTTATAAAGAGTGCAAGCCAGAAAGGCATGCGCCACCGATTCAGTACTGCCATCTCCACAGGGACATAAGCGTTTTTCGTGTGGAATCTGTTGGAATCGTCCCTCAAGTACAACCGAGGGCAATACATTTAATCTTGCGAGAGTAAAAGCGTGTCTACCTTTTAGAATTGCTAGGTTATGCAGATAGGGTGCCAGAGAGTCGAAATGGGAAGGTAGAAAATAGTCATACCATGGACAAAATTTCCTTATTGTGGCCAAGTTGTTCTCGTGCTTGATATCATTTAGGCGCTGACAAATTAGACTATATGAAGCTGCCAGGAGCAGTCACTGGGAATTTGGGGACAAGGTGCTATCAGTATGCTGACGACACTCAGCTCTGTTTCTGCATAACATCTGAATCGGAAGAGGCTGTGTGGAACCAGGACACAGTGCTGGGAGGGATGAAGGAAAATAAGCTGAGCTTGAATCCTGGCAAGACGAAGGCACTGTTATATTTCTTTGCTCCCAGGCCTTTGGCTAACTACACAGTCTCTGGCCTTTTAAACTCCGGGGTGTGGGGTTGTTTTTGTTTGTTACTTTGTTGTGTATTTTTGTGTTTTTATATTATAAACTGTCCTGGGATTCTTGGATGGGGGGTGGTATAGAAATTTAATTTAATAATAATAATAAAGGTGCCACACACTACTTGTTCTGCATTTGTCATAAATTGTTCTTTTAGTATGGCAGCACCTACACTTTGGAACTTCCTGCCTTCTGACCTCAGGCAGGAGCCTTTGAAATACCCTTTTCAGTAGCTGCTTAATGCATTTTTGTTTAGGCAAGCATTTCCAGAAATGTAGGTGTTGATGTGTTTCAATTTCTTTCTCTTTTTTTACTGGTGATTTTAATTGTCTTTAAAATGTTTTTAATTATTTTTAATTGTTTTTGTTGATAATTTAAATACTTCTTGTAAGCCGCTTAGAGGTTCTGTTACAATTAAGCAGTATGCACATTTGGTAAATGAAATAAAATAAATACAGGGCCCTGGTTCCTCCGCTGCAAACCAAGTTTCTGCAGTCATAAGAACTAGAAACTTATTTTTCTTTAAAGGGAGTTTAAAATTAGATTCCACCAGTCCAGAATTGCCTTATCAACCTGCACGTCTGTTGCTTTCTCATCCCCTTTATGTTTTAAAAAGCAAGGTGCTGTACCTAACCCTCATATTTATACCCTTTCCTTACAATGTGTGCTGAAGATGACTTTCTAAAAGTATTATTTTCAATATTCACAGTGACCATGATGTGGACCTGCATTTTTCGGACTTGGGTGCTCCCTGTCTGACATCCACCCAAAAGACAAGCGGGAGCAAGGGAGACGAAAAGTTGTTTGAAGGAGAGCTGCCTTCGGAGTTCATGAGCTTAACAGACATCCAGGCAGCCAACGGATGCTGCCATCTGACCATCCACAAAGTGAGTGTCTGGTTGGGTCCTCCCTGGCTATTGTAGCACCCTTGATCTACAGCCATCACTTGTGCAGAAGTCTCACAGCTGCCCATTTCCCCCTCCGGCTCCTCGCTAACCTTTGGCAGAGCTCCATCCTTGGGCATTTTGCTGGGTCTGGGGCACAAGGATGTGGGCATGTGACGACTAAGTAGCTACACCATCTGCAGTGCAATTAATAATTTTTGGGTTACAGTCCCCATCTTGCCCTGAATCTGGAACTCGGAACCTTAGGTTTCATTGCTAGGCTTGGTCCAGGGCCGGCCCAAGTCATCTTGGCACCTGAGACGAACCACAAAACGGCACCTCCTCAACCAGGGAAGAAGAGGTGAGTGAACAAAGGTAGAATAAGACAATCTTACTCGGCTACGAGTGATTGCCAAAGAAAAAGAAGGTCCAAGGCTGCCACAGGTTCTTGATCCTGCTAATTCTGCTTCCCATTGCTGCCTGCTTCCAGAGTACCTGCTAGCAGCCCTGAAGGCATGTAGAAATATTCCAAAGTTAGGCTGTCTCTGTGATTTCCTTCCCAATGATCTCTGTGTTCAAAGCCACCTTCTGTCTCTGGTTCCAGGTCTTCCTTGACGCATTTTGTTCTGGTTCATCCTAGGATTCTTGCTCGCCCACCAGCAAGCTGCAGCGGCTGCTGGCAGAGTCCCGCCAGATGGTAGCAGACCTGGAGCTCAGCAACCTGCTTGGTCCCAGCCCTGGATGCAGTCCCAACAACAGCCTTCATATGGTAATTTCTGGCTTTCCAAACAGTTTTGGTGACAAAGAGAATTGACTTAGAACAGAAGTATCTATCATCTATCTATCTATCATCTATCTATATAAACTATACTAATTGCATACTGCAAAACAAATGTATTTATGAGTAGTTTTTAACCTAGCTTATGCCCTGCAACCACACATTTGTTTTTCATGGTTATTTTCTTAAGGATGTAATACAGATGTTAATATCCTTTGACAGGCAGGAGAGTATAGTGAATCCCTTTGCAAAGGGCGATTGCCAAGTGCGGAGGAAAGCGAGATGAAGCTCTCCCTTTTTTCTTTATGACCTCAGGTCAGTCGTTCTGCCTTTCCTCTCCATATTTGTTGACTTTGCACAACACAGAGCTGAAGAGCACAGTAAAAAAATTATATGAACACCTGCTGGTATAAAGTTCCAAGTGCAATTGCAAAGCAGCACATTTCGTGCGAAAAACTGTTGTGCTAAAGTTATCTCTAAATTCCCTTTTGTGTTTTATACATATGTTCCCTACTCATAACAAGTTATTTGTTTTTTGAGTATTTGCAGGTGAAGATGTGATATGCAGAGAGTAATGCGTGTTGGTTGCCACAACATACATTTAAGGTACATCTAGCACACATTTAAAGCACTAGAGTTAGTTCCTGAACTGTAGTTTCCCCTGCACAGAGCCACATTTTTCTGCATCATTAACAACCCCAGGATGCTTTGGGGAAAGTTATGTGCATTGGATGTGCTTTCAGTGTATGTTGTTGAAGTTTGCCCTTAGGTTCCCCAAAACCACAGCAGCAGTATTATGGCAAGCCTGTTGCTCCTGGGCTGCCAAACCCTCTGAATTTTGTTAGTGTGATCTGTGGGCACTTAAATGCCATGACAGTGGCAGGATTTCCTTTCTGCAGAGGCTGGGAATCAGGTTCCAGTGTGCATACAGCACTTGTGCCCAAGATTTAAATAATTTTAGCCATATTACCTAACTGCACTTCTCCAATGGAGCACTGCCAAGAGTACTGCATGCCCCCAGGGTCCACTTAGTATGCACTAGAAAACAGACTTTTAGTGATGCAGCTGCAGCCCTCTGGAATCACTTGCCGACTAAAATCTGGCCAGGACAGGTGGGCTGAGCTTAAGAGCAGACCAGTGTGGAGCAGGCTTTGCTCTGGTCTGCCCCCAGCCAATAAATGTCAGCTCCACCTGACCTCAGGACTGTAGTCAGCTGAAGACCAGATAAGGCATTGGGTGGAATCCTTTAGCCTAACATCAGGCAGCGGGTGAAGTGGTGCGTCACTCCAACCTCAAAAGAGGTGTGTTCACTGGGTACCCTGTTAGAGGGGTCTAGTTGGAAGTCTGTCCAGAAGCTGAGGTGTACAGCTGATGGGCCTTAGAGTTGCCTTCAGCGGCTTGGGAGTGCCACCCATAGAGTCTTGCAGTTGACTCACTAATCCTAGGCTCGAAACAAAATAAAAAAATTCCTTCCAGTAACACCTTAGAGACCAACTAAGTTTGTTATTGGTATGAGCTTTTGTGTGCACGCACTCTTCTTCAGAAAGCTCATACCAATAACAAACTTAGTTGGTCTCTAAGGTGCTACTGGAAGGATTTTTTTTATTTTGTTTCGACTATGGCAGACCTACCTGTAACTACCGTAATCCTAGGCTTGACCCTGTCATTCCTCAGCTCTCCACCAGGAGGCTGGGAGTGCTATACACCCAATGCCTAAGCCAAATCCTATCTACAGTGGTGCCTCTCAAGACGAAATTAATTCGTTCCGCGAGTCTTTTCGTCTTGCGATGTTTTTCGTCTTGCGAAGCATGGTCCGTCGCAACTGCGCCTCTTCAAGCGGCTTTAAGAAAAAAGCGCAAGACGTTTTCGTCTTGCGAAGCAAGCCCATAGGGAAATTCGTCTAGTGAAGCAACGCAAAAACCGAAAAACCCTTTCGTCTAGCGAGTTTTTCGTCTTGCGAGGCATTCGTCTTGCGGGGCACCACTGTACATCTGGAATCAATAAAGTTGTGACCAGTTTTTTAAAAAACCCCAAACGTTGTCTTGTCCGGTTTGTTCACTGTTCTTAGGTTAGGCCTTGCTCCCTGAAGAGCGGTCGCTGCAAGTAGGTCTGCCAATGGTTTTATTGCTTTTAGCTTATTGAGTCAGTAATCCTTTGTCTCTTTATTTTATTTATTCTTATCGTACACTGTTTAAGCAGCTTTTGGTTGTGAACCATTTTATAAATGTGCAAATAAAATAAACAAATAAGACGATCTGCCACAGCCTAGGCTTGTGTTGGAAAGGAGTTTAGACAAATGTGAAAGAAATTAGAAATATGTTACACTGGAGCCCTTGGCATCTCTGGCATGCCTCACGGCTTGTAAATGCTGATGAACCTGATGTCAGCCGTGAAGGAAAAATATCTTTGTCAACATGGAAACTCCTGAACTGCCAGCTGTTTGCGGAGCACTGGAAATGAAAGTTTCCGGCAGTGACACAAAGGCAGCTTTGTGGCAGACAGTTCATCCCATGAAGTAAATACACCTTTAAAACAAACAAAAAAACCCTCCAGGCGTCACTGAGGTTCTAACTGGCTGTGTTTTTCCATATGCTGTCATAAAACTGCAAAGCCCGGAACTGAATTGCGGTGTGGAGTTTCAGCGTATTTTGCTTCTTCAAAACTTTCCTTCTCTTTTCAAAGCAGGTGTCTCCCATGTTTTGTCCACAAGAGCAGAGAAACGCACCCTTCCTTTCAAAGACAAAGATAATCATGGTGTGTTAAACTCAGTGGGCAGTCACTCAGCGTTCTTCTACAGCTCAGTTCATTTAAATCTCTGAAAAGCTCTCAGTGCCAAAGACCCGTGACAAAACGCTGGGATTCATTCCCTAATTTTTATTTAAAAAACTAGAATTATGCTGAATGAATAAAAACAACTTCATATGCTCAGATTAACTGCCAGTATATTTTTGGAAGGTTATTTAAATATGTAACTGGTCATTAATAGGTGATTTTTAAGAAAAGAAATAAATATGTGTTTGTGGCTTTTCCTTGTTTTTGTACAGATATTTTGCATTTACCATATGACTACAGTTAATTTATGCTCAGTATTTTTAACACCAGAATCTTTCATCCCTTATATGAAGTATTTCTAACTAAGGTCACATCCACATCATACATTTAAAGGACCTTTAACACACATAGTTTCTCTCAAAGAATCCCAGGAACTATAGTATGTTGAGGGTGCTGGGAATTATAGCTCAGGGAATGTGAAACTACAGATCCTCTATTGTGCTTTAAGTGTTTGGTGTGGGTTTAACATTTGTATAGTAACAAAGGAACGCTCTGTACAGTTTTTGGAATACATTTTATATGTATAAGTCATTATCCACAATGTGGAGGAAATATTTTAGCCACAATCCAGGAGGAAGTTCTCTGATACAAAGCTAGGGCTGCCATAAGTCCAGATTTTCCTGGACATTACTGGGATTTCAAAGGCAGCATTGACATCTGGGGGGAATTTCCAAAAGGCAGCACTTTGTCCTGGATCTTAGGCAACTGAATTGAAAAATTTGTGTTTTTGTAAAAAGTTCAACATTAATTTTGGGGGTTTCCTAAAAAAAAGCTTTTTTAAATATGGTAACCTTACACAAAGCTCCACTGAAACCAACATGACCTGTAGACTTCAATGGGTTTTGCTCAAGGGAACCTCTTGTGGATTATGCATTTTTGCTGCTTCTTCTTTTAATATGATTTTTATTAAATTTTTCTGTATTACAATTTAAGATAAATATTTTACATAAGATATCAGTGACTTCCCTTCTCTTTCCATGGTTCATTTTACATATCTTATATCCCTGCATATTTTACAAAAACTATACCAATTCATTTTCCATTATTACATCCATCAAAAATTATTTATACTGTTGAATTTATCTTAATGCTGCCAGCGTTTTCAGCTGTACACAATTATTTTCCATATATTCAATAAATGTTTTCCAATCTTCTTTAAACATATGTTCTTCTTGTTCTCTTGTTCTATATGTTAAGTCTGCAAGTTATGCATATTCTGTCAACTTAAGTTGCCATTCTTCTTTGGTTGGGACCTTGCTCTTTTTCCATTTTTGGGCTAACTAAACATGGGCCACAGTTGTTGCATACATAAATAACCTTTTCTGACACTTGGGAATTTCAGACTGAATTATCTCCAACAGAAATGACTCTGGTTTTTGGGGGGAAAGTAGTTTTAAACATTTTTTTCCAATTCATTATAAATCATTTCCCAATACTCTCTTACCCTTTTCCATGTCCACCACATATGAATGAATGTTCCCTCCGCCTTTTTACACTTCCAGCACTTATCTGATTCTGTCTTGCAAATCTTAGCAAGTCTACTCTGAGTTAAATACCATCTGTGAATCATTTTCAGATAGTTCTCCTTCAAAGCATAACATGCTGTAAATTTCAAGACACTTTTCCAAAGTTTCTCCCAGATCTTAAAATCTATATTGTGTGCTATATCTATTGCCAGTGTATCATTGAGGCTTTAACTAGCTTGTCTTTTGTTTCCCATTCTAATAACATTTTAGACAAAAGTTAATATTTGTTTTGTAGGAGTTATTTTTTGAATTGTGAGCTTTGGTCCAAAAAACCATTCTTTCTATCTAGTTTAAACATAACATGTATCGCAACCAGTTTGTAACATGGCTCCTTACGTTTTCCACTGATTTCAGTTTGGGTTCTGCCCCTATGAAGTGCAGCAATTCCCTGTAAGCTGCACAGAGTCTAGCCATATTAACTCTTTTAGATGCCTTTCTGCTTTTAGGCCTTGACTTGGACCACAATGGGAGTAAGACCATAGTATGCAGGCTGTACTTATCTTGCTGTGCCAGCAATAGTATATACTGTCTCTCTTTCAACAGCACCCTGTTTTTCTGTGCATTTGAAAATATTTTGAGCATCATATGGTGCATACGTTAATAAACATGATGTTTCCCTTTAGACTTCTTTGTGCAGCCTCCAAAATAGCTGATGTTTAGTCATTAATATGTGTTTAAATTACTTCTAACTTCTGCTGTTTGGAGAATTGTTTTTGGCCGCCTTGTTTTCACATACTCAAGTCAATAATGTTGGCAGAAGGAATTGGGATATGGGCACCTCCACCTGCCAGGAACAGCAGAAATTGATGGAAGTGGACAGTCACATGGCAAGGCTCACCTGCGTGGAGGAGGGGATGTGGAACTATCTCTTGACAGAAGGGGAGGTGATGGACTCTCCTTCCTTGGAGGTTTTTTAGCAGAGCTGAATGGATACCTGTCATGTTTTTGAGATTATTGCATTACAGGGGGCTACACTAGATGGCCTTTAGGATTCCTTCCAACTCTACAGTTCTGTGATAACCAGTGCAATTTTTCTAGAAAAACAGGTGCCAAAGCTCACCATGAACACCTCTCTCATTCTCTTAGAATGGCAATGGTGCCCACCTGAGAGATGCCAGAACTGAGTTCCACCATCTGATAAAACTCCTGATGATAACCATTTGGGGCCCATGTATTCCAGGAGTCCTACCTCCAGCAGAGTTTGAGCGGCATTGGTCTTTTCCAGGTGAAATGTGGCCAGCAATTCCGGGTGCTGACTAATGCCAGGCAATTGGGTCTTTTCCCATCAAGATGCAGCGGTCGTGCTTCTTTCGCCACCTGCTCTGTAGCCCAGTCACTCAAACAGCAGCTTTCAAGTTGGAACTAGAAGCCTTGAGAGCTGTTTGCCAGCCAAATACATTTTAGTTCTGTGCATGTCGCACTTCAGGTGAGGATAGTGATATGGGAGAAATCTGGTACAGTTTGCATTTTAATGTGAACGTACCTAATCCCCACTTTGCAAAACAATATGCAGACCCAAACACAGCTGTGCTTCGAATTATGCACTTCTCCAAATTTTGTGATGCAGTTCTTCAACCCAATAACGTCACGTTTATGTTAGGGGAATGTCTGCATTCATGAAAATAACACAAAAGAACATTTTGTTACGGGAAATTGCTTGCAGAAATGTGTATATTCGGAAAAATATGCACTGAAAGGCTGGTGAATTTTTCAATAGGACTTTTGGTTTTTTGCAAACTGATAATAGAAATGTTGAGTACTGAAAAGACTGGAGAAATGAGAGACTGAGAAAAACCAAAATTCTGCATCCCTACCTGCGGCTCACACTGTCATTCTTGCGTGGACTTTGCGTGAGTTTGCTTTCAAACTTGTCAGAGGTGTCCCAAATGTGTCCTGCGATGTGCTTCAGCTGGCTTAGAATGAGGGTGTTTTCTGGGAAACGCAGTAAATGAGGGTAAGGCTGCCTGCCTTGTGTTCACATTCTCTACTGTTATTCGAGGAAAACAAAGCTCCCATTAATTCCTGCCTGCCTTCAGCTTGGGTGTGTAGGCTTCCCCCGCTCCCTGTCTTGTGTTTAATTAGAGGGTCAAGACACAAGAAGGCGGTAGAATAGAGTGGCAGAACAGAGCTGGATCAAATATATTCAATCGTTTCTGCGGCAGAACGAAGCTGGTGATTAAAGATCCAGGGCCAGTGCTAGCAATTGCATTAGCAAAGGGAAGCAAGGAAAAGCAGAATGGGCACCGCCTTTTCTTTTAACAGCTAAGCAAAAAGTAATAAACAGTAATAATATCAATATTTGGGCAAAATGTACACTGTTGAAATGAGTTTTGCTGCCACTGCTACTATTTATCCTGCACCATCAATGCGCACAGCATTTACATAGCGGGATTAGATAGGCCCTGCCCTGCCACAAAGAGCATAATCGAAAATCTGAAACGAGACAATAGAGGGAGGGGATGTGATGGGAAGGAAGAGGGGAAAAGTGCACTTGGTTCAGTTGGACATACTGAACCCTCATCTCCTAAAACAGCCTAAAGTTTGTGCCAAAGACAAAATTCCAAAATACATGTACAGTATTTACAAGGCTCCTAGAGCAACTGATGGTTACTGCTTCACGTATGGCTTAGGGCATTCCACAGCCCATGGAGGATTGACTGAAAACGCCCATTTTGAGGTCACCGCCCTATAGTATTCTGTAGGTTTGCAGTGCCATGAGTACAATTTCACGGAATTAGCTAAGTGATCCTACAGATCTCTGTAGGGGCAGACAGCCTTACAAGGTACATTCAGACTCACTAACTACCATTTTAGAAATACAGTACTTTGCTGGTAAATTACTGCTGGAATATTTGGGACTGGTTTTCCACCCCCAGCTTGGAAAGCTTGATGGAGAAAGTGTAGTTCGGTTTGGGATTAGGTTTGGAATTACTGCTGTTCTTTTGGCCAGAAATAGCTGGACAGAGTGACATGATCAAACGCTTTTAACAGTTTATTAAAATGATTTCTGGACCATCTTACAGAACACAAAAGTGAGGTGAGAATCTAATTAATGAAATCTTAAAGGCTGCACCCTCCCATCTACAAAAGGAGAGCAACATGGGAAAACCCTCAGCAGATGAATTTTTCATTTGCATTTCATCAAATGCCATCTGCTAAAGTTCACTGTGTGTGTAAAATACTCATTTTTGCAAAAATAGTTATAAACATACCATCAAGTTAGGTGTGTTTGTATCTCTTATTAATTTCCTTTAAATTGGCAGTGTGGTGCAGTGAGCAGAGGAGAGAACAAGAAAGAAGCCATAGTGCCGATACTATCTCTTAGGCCTATGGGTGTTCACAGTGGGGCCGCCTCCCCTACCCCAAATGAACCACAACCCCCAGATTTGCTGCTTTTTCTTTTCTTGAGAGAGCAATTTTCTAGTGTGTATAGAACCTGGTCTAACCCCATTTAGAAACCTCCAAGGGACGTGGGTGGCGCTGTGGGTAAAACCTCAGCGCCTAGGACTTGCCGATCGCATGGTCGGCGGTTCGAATCCCCGCGGCGGGGTGCGCTCCTGTCGCTCGGTCCCAGCGCCTGCCAACCTAGCAGTTCGAAAGCACCCCTAAGTGCAAGTAGATAAATAGGGACCGCTTACCTAGCGGGAAGGTAAACGGCGTTGCGTGTGCGGCGCTGGCTCGCCAGATGCAGCTTGTCACGCTGGCCATGTGACCCGGAAGTGTCTGCGGACAGCGCTGGCTCCCGGCCTATAGAGTGAGATGAGCGTACAAACCTAGAGTCTGGCAAGACTGGCCCGTATGGGCAGGGGTACCTTTACCTTTTTAAGGAAGGAGAGTCCACCACCTGAAGTTGTGTGTTCCACGGTCCAACAGCTCTTGCGCTCAGAAAGCTATTCCTAATGTTTAGTTGGAATATCCTTTCTTGTAATTGGAATCCATTGGTTTCAGGGCCATCAGCCCAAGGCATTAGGGTACCCACTCGCTGCTAGGGAAGAAGGGGCAAGGAAAGGTCTGCATCAGGAACAAGGAGGGGGGAGACTGACATTGGGATCTGCTGCCCTGGTGGATCCTGCTGCCTGAGGCAATTGCCTCACCTTGTCTCATGGGTGGGCCGGCCCTGACTGGTTCAAGTCCTGCCCTCTGGCTCTCTGGAGCAGCAGCAAACAACCTTGCTCCATGTTCTGTGTGACATTGTTACCAGAAATTAGCCTGCTCTTTCCCCAGCCCCATAATAATCCTTGAGGACACCCGTCCCCTTGGCTTCCATCCAGAAGGAGCTGCATTCCAGTGATGGGTGGGGCCAGAGGCAAAAGTGGGTGGGGCAACAAATGCAGATTTTGACCTTTGTACACTAGGCTAGCGTCTACACAGTCCTACACCCATCTCTAGCCTTCCACGCAGGCAGGTGAGATTCATCATCAGAATTCAAGGACACATTTCCAGCAGGCGAAAACGCACAAGACACAAAGGTTCTGCGAGGGGATAATCTGACAAAGGCAAACTTCACCTTCACAAGTGTACACACTCTCATTACTTGGCCGCTGCAGCTGAATGTGTTGAATGAGATTCCATTGAGCTTGATTGGATAATAAAGTTCTGCCTCTAATATTGTCGAGCAACCAACGTTCGTGTGTGTGCAACCCACCTTTAGGAAGGGCAGGGCCAGGCAGGTAAATTATGTGATATCTATTTGCAGCCAAATCCTAAACTTGTTTGATTTGGTCATGATTTAAGTTGTTCTAGATGGTTTTTAACATTGTTTTTAATGCTGTAACCTGCCCTGAGACCTTAGTGAAGGGTGGGATGCAGTGAACTAAGTAATAATAATATTAATTAATAATTTGACTGTGACTGTCAAGCTACAGTTTGCAAACCCCACATTAAAATGGTCAAGGAGCTTAACCAGTAAGGTCCAAGTAAGAGGATTTGGCTGTATTTAAAAAGTCACTTAAGCGGTTTTTTAGTCCCACTAATGGGTGGCAGGCAGACTAACTTTTGAAATAACAATGCGGGCTATTAATTTGCCTTCTGGCCTCATGCCCTGGAGGTCTGATAGAGCCATGAAACCAAATAATATCTTATTAATGCATGCACATTGCAAGCTTTTGAATATCACTAAGCTCTTCTTCAACTGGAATGGAAAAAAACTTTAGGTCATTAACTACACTCAAATTAAACTGACACCTGTAGGCATGTAAACAGGACTTCTAAAATTAATACATCCACAGAGTTTTATTAGTCTTGAACACAAGCAGATACTATCAAATGATTAAAGTTTCATCTTGTCCAGCATTTTGTTTCCCATGGTGGAAGTCCACAGATAAAGGCAACAGTCTTCGCTTGTTTGCCCCCAGCACCGGATATTCAGAGATATATTACCCGTGAATATGGATGTTTGGGTTTGTCATTCTAGCAAATAGCCATTGAAAGACCTATTTTATGCAGAGTTTGTAAGACATTGCACCCTTGTTTTGCTGTGTAACTTTCTTTATAGATGTCCGGTTTACTTTACTTTTTTTAAAATGAAAGCTAAGAGTCCAGGCCCCATGAAGATGAATTAGAAATTGTTCCAAGTTCTACCCCAGACTGAACTTAATTTACCATTAGTTCACTTGGCAATTATGGGAACTAATTTCAGGTGTAGTTCGGAGATGTTTGAACTAGTTTAGAGAACTTTTGTTCAGCCAAAACCTTCCAAGTCCTGGCCCCCATGGCCAACATTCTGGGATTATGGGAGTTATAGTTCAGCATATAAAGCGTCAGCGATTTTCCACCCCTGTCTGTAGGCAAAGACTCCATCAGATACAACCCTTATAAATTAAATATAAGAACCAGAACATCAGTACCTACAACATGAAATTCTACATACCCACTTTTCCTTGCTCAAGTAATGTTTCCAGTTTTTTTGTGGGAGGCTACTGCAAGTCTAGGGGACACGGGTGGCGCTGTGGGTTAAACCACAGAGCCTAGGACTTGCCGGGGTTCGAAACCCCGTGACAGGGTGAGCTCCTGTTGCTCGGTCCCTGCTCCTGCCAACCTAGCAGTTTGAAAGCATGTCAAAGTGCAAGTAGATAAATAGGTACCGCTCCGGCGGGAAGGTAAGCTGTATTTCCATGTGCTTTTCTGGAAAAAAGGTGGGGGAACTCAGCACAAAGTTGGTTAGTTTATTGCAGGCCCAGTTGCAGTGCTGCCACCCCACCCTGGCAGTGGCTAAATGTAAAATGTAATAATAAACTCAAGCAGGCAATGATCTGGATTAGAAATGGTCACAACTTTAATGATTATATATATATAAACTTTTAAAAACAGGAGCGGGTGGGTATCAAGATCTACATGCCCTGCGCTCCTTGCAGGCCGGGCCGGATCCCGCCGCCAGAGGCAGCCGCCCCACCTGGCCTCCAGGAAGAAACCTGCGCGCCAGGTTTGTCCGCCTTCCTTCGCGATGAGGCAGCTTCCGAGGCGGCGCCGCTGCGCCCGGCGAGCCTTTTGCAAGGAGGCGCCTCCTGGCAGCCCGGGGGCGGGGCTCGGCGGCGAGGGGAGGGCGCGGATTGGCTGCCGCTCGGCCCGGGGGCGTGGCCCGCTTGGCCTTGTGAATGGCCGGCTGCCGCTCTCGGCCAGAAGGAGCGCCTCGAGGAGGGAGGAGGGAAGAGGCGGAGCGGCGACAGCAGTTCTCCGTCCGGCCAGCAGGGGGCGGCGTGGTGCGAGTGCGCCTTGGCATTCCCCACCCCGGGAATAATCCGGCGGAGTCTCGCGGGCCGAGCCGGAGTTGCTGCTGCTGCTGCTGCTCGTCTGGCGGGCGGGCGAGGAAGGGAGCGGGGCCGCCGAGAGCAGCAGCTGCTGCCAGCCCGGGCCCAGGAGGCTTCCTGCCGCCTGGCACCATGAACACCATCAAGAACGTGCCGGCGCGGGTGCTGAGCCGCCGAGGGGGGCACAGCCTGGAGGCGGAGAGGGAGCAGTTCGACAAGAACCAGGCAAGGGATTTCCTGGGGCTGCTTTTTTTTGGGGGGGGTGGCCGGGTGGGGGGCGTGTTTGTGCCCTGGGGGGGGTGGAACTGCATGGCAGACCTGGAGGTTGCATCGAAAAGGGGGTGCAGAGTGTGTGTTTGTGTGAGGGAGAGACGGCGCGTGCATGTGATTTGAGTGGGGGGCGAGAAGAGAGACACCCCCCGTTGCATGCAGGCACCTCTCTCTCTCCCCTCCCCCACTTGACCCTGTGCAGGATCCGTCCTGCTTCCTGCACGGCTGCCCCCCTCCCGCCGCCACCCAGTGAAATGGATCCTTTATCTTGACACACACGACTTCTTCCTTAGCGGGGGGGGGGGGAGTCTTGTCAATAGGAAACACCCCTCCTGCTTCTCAAATATTGAATGCACCCGGTGTGGGGGGGGGATGGAGAAGATCCGTGCACTGCGGGGGTGTCTCCGTATAGGATTTGAGGTCGATTTGCTACGACTATGCACAGGATTTGAAACATGCACGGAAGGTGGGAAGGGAGGGGGCAGGAGAAAGGCAGAGCGCGCGCGGGGGGGGGATCACCTTGATCAGAACTAGGTGAGAGAGAAGGAAGGGAGCAGGGAGGGAATCCTAAGAATAGCCGGAATCCCAGATTTCATTTAAAATTATTATTATTAAGGTTGCAGTCCTCGTGGTAGGGAGAGGAAAGAGAAACAAGTCTCCCACATCCTGGGAGGAGGGCAAGAAAATTATTTTTTTCTTCTGAGGTGGCAAAAGGAAAATTGAGAGGCTATTCATTGAAACATACGGTGTTAATTACTCATAATAATTTTGTAGCCCTCTTGGTTACAAGGAGGAGAAAGGAGAGCAATTTTCGCATGTCTTTGATGTTGTAAGGGGGAAAATGCTTCTGAGGAGTCAAAATAAAAATTGAGGGGCATTCATTGTTGTTCTGCATGACTGTGAGTTTTTGAAACTTAAAAATTAACAGATGCACACGTTTAAAAAATAGTGTGAGGAGGTATTGGTTGGAACAGCATGTGTTTTGGGTATACATAAGGCTGAATCAAGGGTGCTCTCTAAAGAATGTATTGGGGATTGAGTGATACTTGCAGACAGGAGTTTCCGAGAGGGAGCAAGAGACTGTCTATCATGACCCCCAAATGTAGGTTTGTGATTGTCATCCACCTCAGCCCACCTGCAGTCTCCATGCCCCTCAGCGGCTTGCTTTTTGAAATATAGAATAGTTCAATCGTCGAACCATGGAGTTGGAAGGAGCCACAAGGGTCATCTAGTCCAACCCGTTGCGATGCAGGAGTCTTTTGCCCAGTGTGGGGCTTGAACCCACAACCCAGAGATTAAGTCTCTCTTGTGGCAGAAAAGCATTGGTGTGTGTCTTCCTCTGCTGAGGATTGGGGTGTCCCCTTGCGCAGCAATGTGTTAATCGGTTCTGTGTTTGTCTTATCCGTGTGTGTATCGTCCAGGACATGCAACCCTGATGGTTTGAGGTGGGAGGCTAGATTTATAATTTCCAAGAATGACACTTTTCTTTTTTAAAGGGGGATGGTGAGTGGAACAAACACAAACTTGAGTTGTGATTTTGACTTTCCCCCCATTTGTAGTACTTTGCCTCTGGCCTGGCCTGTTTTTTTTGTGTGTGTGTCTGGGGATATTACTAATAGCTTCAGCCTGTACATTTCTCTTTGACATTCTTGGGCTATCGTGTTTGAGGCCGGGGTGCAGCTTCTCAACTTTAGAGGAGGTTCTGGGGTTCCTACAAGCCACACCCTGTGAACCGGAATTCCTTTCCCCTGGTTCTGACTGGGTATGTGACTAGTGTTTGTTTCAGTGGTGGTGAGAGGGGAAACAAGGCACTCTGCAGATGCTCAGAAATGCTGGTGTTCCTTCCGACAGAGCCTGACAATTAAAATAATGTCTGGGGCCTGAGTCCTTGTCTGTGTGAGATTCCCATGGCTTCCTTCGTTGCCTGTATTGCCCTGTATGGCCTTTTTGATGTTCTGTGCATGTGTAGATCAGGAATGTGCACAATCTCTCTCCTACCCTGTAATTGAATTTTGCATGTATCTGCGGATGTGTGTATGTTCTTACATACAGTGGTACCTCGGGTTACATACGCTTCAGGTTACAGACTCCGCTAACCCAGAAATAGTGCTTCAGGTTAAGAACTTTGCTTCAGGATGAGAACAGAAATCGCGTGGCGGCGGTGCGGCAGCAGCAGGAGGCCCCATTAGCTAAAGTGGTGCTTCAGGTTAAGAACAGTTTCAGGTTAAGTACAGACCTCCGGAACGAATTAAGTACTTAACCCGAGGTACCACTGTATATACTACTGGGATAAACAATATGGATTTATATACGGTTTGGGTAATGAGAATTTGTCTATTGTTTCAGGGTTTGTAGGGCTGATTCTGTGTAGGTTATCCTGTGTACACTTTTTTGTGTGTGGCTTTTCCTAGAGACAAACATCTGGTCCTGTTTCTATCATAGGCAGAAGTTGCTTAGTTTTTCTGAAAACAAACAAACAAACAAACAAACCAATAATGTTTTGTTAGTTACCTGTGCGGTCTTGAAGAGGAACATATTTATTGAGGCAGAAGTTTGTGCAGCCTGTGCAGGAACCTGATGAAATGACCCGTATTCCACAAAAGCTTCCAACATGCCATGTCTTTTCCATATTACCCTGCCACAATGAACCTGCTTCCCCAATCTGGAGCCTTTTCTGCTGGTCTAGATCTTTTCCCATGCCCCAGCTTTAAGGAAACAGGTGTGAAATAAAGTACAGTGGAGTGCCTCTGAGCATGTGCAGAGTCCCTTGCCTTCACCAAAGACAGCCTTTCCTCAAACACATAGAATGAAGGAAGGCCCCTCTGAGGCAGATGGCATCTCAAAGCAACAGGTTCAAGTCACCAGGCAAGATGGCAACCCTTTTCTCTCTTCCCCTCTCAGTTCCATATACAGAAATGGACCATTGCTTTTTCTTTCTTTTTTAAAGCGTTTATTAATTTTCCAATAAGAACATCCAATTAATATATCAAATCAAATCCAATAAAAATAAATAAAATTAAAAAGTCCATTTGTCTTCCAAATTGTAATAATTTTTTGTTTTGACAAATGGGCCATTGCTTCAACCCTGGCAGCAGGACATACCTCTGGGACTGGCAGCAGTTTTGAGGGTGCAGAAAGCAAAGGCTGAGGGGCTGTTGAGCTCTGCCCCACCTTTTCTCACAGCAGAGTCGAAACACTTTTATTTCCTCCTTAGAAACTGTTGGAAGCAACTCCCCTCATTCCTTGCTATATTGGCCCTGCTGGGCCTGGCAGGGGCTGATGGGAGCTGGAATCCAACAAAGTCTGGAGCGTTATAGGGTCTCCAGACGCTCCAATGTCTCTTCTTAAACTTACAGCCACTGACTTTCAAGGAAGGTCATTTACGTCCATTTCCAGGCAGGGAACACCAGTGCTTTTTGGGTGTGAAATGCGCTGTGTTTATTGCCTCAAGGTATCTTGGAAAATCCTCCCTTGGAAGGATAGGGAGGGTGCTTTGACAGCCCAGCAATTTTTCACTGCAGCGCACCTGTACGCCACAGGTACTCAGTGAACAGCCTGTGTTGACTCTGTCCCTGTACGTGTGTGTGTGTGTGTGATTCAGTGTGTGTTTCTGAGCGTCGAGGAGAAATAGCGAGAGTGTTTTTGGGCAAATGTCAGGAAGTGTGCGTGTGTGTCTTCCTTGAAACTCCCATCTTCAGTTGTCAAAAATGAACACTGGAAACACTTTTTCCTTCCTGGGTGTTTCTTTTCCATTTGTTGTGCAGTTTCTCTTTCCCTTTCTCACATATGTTATGGTCCCAGAAACCTCTCTTGCTTCCTAGTTCGTCTGGTCTTGATTCCAGTTTGGCATTCTCCAAGACTGGAGAGGTGAAGAGTTTGTCGAAGGTTCTGTCATTGGGGCCCAGTTAAGCGGTGTACTTATTGAACCCCATAGCCTTGCTTTGAACAGTTGGGTGGCACAGGTGTTTTGCATTTTTTTAAAAATCAATTTACATACACTTTTTTTAATTAGCTGCTTTCTTTGTAACAAATTGGCTGCCCTCTTTTTAGGAGATGAGAATAATTTATATTTCATGCATAAACCTCTGGGCAAAAAACCAACTCTTACCCAGTTATTTATTGCTTTTATAGTCTACCTTTTCCTCAGTGAGTTCAAGGGAACCTAATTAGTTCTTTCTATGCCCTTAGAATCTTTGCAACAACCCTGTGAGGTAGGATAGGTCGAGAGAGACAGGCCTAGTTTCCACAGAACACTAAGCCATGTTTAATGCTAACCATAGTTAATAAACATTTGTTAAACCTGGGACTCCTGGCAGTCAGTCACTTAAACCTCATTTCATGAACCCTTCCCCCATTAAAGCAGACACAAGCCAGGAAGATCCACTCTTCAGCCATGGCTTGGCTGCTTTTGGGTGGTGACGGTTATTTATATAGGAGGTTCAGGTTCGTACCTCTAAACTCTGGTTAACTGAGGTTTGCAAACCAGCTGGGTTAGGTTCTCACTTAATGCTAAGCCACGGTTTGCAAAAACATAGTTTGGTGCTCTGTACAAATCTTTTTTTATATGTATATACCTTTTTACAAAACAGGCCAGTCATTGGCTTAAGGTTCCCAAGTTAGCTTCATGGCTGAGTGAGAAATGGAACCCTGTTCCTCTGCACTGGGACTCAGGGGTGTGGGTGTGTGAGATATGGCTGATCTCGAGCCGCTGTTGATGGGCCTGTCTGTGCAAATGATATGCAAATGATGCAAGTTATTCAAATAGCAAATTGTCCACAGCCCTATAGCTTTCAGAGTGGTAGTTCTGGGTGTCAAGGAGGTTGTCTGTTGAAGCTGCATTATGGTTCTGGGTGGTGATGAAGTCCTGGTAATGATTTGCTGACCTGCTCTGATGTCAGAGAAGGACAAAAGAAGGAGGGCCATCAGACACCAGGATCCTAGGAAACAAAGAGCGGAAGATGAGTGTATACACAGGAACAAAGGTAAGAGGAGAAGATCAGAGCGAAGAAAATGAGGGGGTGATTTTGCTGACCTATGCTTACAGCTTTGGGCCTCTGGTGATAACAGTAGATATTTAAAGTTTAAAATGTGCTGCTTTCGTCTGCCACCTTTGAGCCCCATTTAGTCACTGAGTAAATTGCCATCATGTCACGAAATCTTTACAAACAAACATTTAAGGAGGATGATTTTGACAGGAAGATTAAAATCAGTGCAGCTGCTGCAAAGGAAGCAGAGCATTCATCTGGCAGGGTGAAAACCTTGCATGGGGCCTAGAGATGGAAGGGACAGGGTGCTCAAAGAGAAAACTAAGGAATATGGCGTGCCTGTAAGGCCAGGAGAAAGATGGACTTAAAAAAATAAAGTATTGGTCAGCAACTGAAGTCACCTGTTCTAGATGTGGCCCACCACGTCACCCCTTTGTTGATACCTGAGAGGTGAAAGAGAGTTGCCAATATAGTGGCATCTGTGGCAACAGCCACCTGAGGGTGCCCCTATGGAAATTGGAAGTTGAGGCCTTGGTCTTTCAGCCCAACTCCATTGTTGAAGTGGTTCTCTGAGAATGAGCACACATGGCAGTCAGGGCAGCTATCAAGACAGACAACTGGTCCATCTTACTAGCCCAAAACTGATGACCCCCCACGTCCAGGGGTTCTGCAAGATCTCAACCACACATGCATCTTTCTCAGCCCTCTCGCGAGCAAATCGGCTTGAGCTGGAGTGACCTAGAGCTTTCCACGTTCAAAATGTGTTCTCTCTACTGAGTCCCTGTAGTTGCTGACCAGGGAGCAGCAGAGAGATGAAGAAGAAGCTGAATGCTTATAGGCTGTAAGGAAGCTGGGGGAATTGGGGTGTGAGGGCATATGCAGGGTGCTTTGGGGCAATAACGGCCTGCGGAGGGTCGCGAGGATCAAATATTCTGTTCTTAATTGCTTCTTAGAACGAATCCATCCCCGCTGAGCAAATCTGGATTTATTCATCTGTTACAATTAGCATTTTAAAATACCCATGTGAGTCTGGAAGATTTGGGTTTCTCTGGGAAGATCTTCTGCCTGTGGGGTTTATTAACTGAAGTCCAAGGTAGTTGCTAGATTTGAGTAATGGAAGCAGTGGGCAGAGGGGGATATGTGTTGCCGATTGGTAACTGTTTCCTTAAATACCTATTCACTTGGAAGTAGGGAAGAGGGGTTTGATTCACTTCTCATTTAAACGTGAACCTACCTTATATGCTGTTTTCAGAACAATACAGGAACTGAAATGCAGGCACCTTTCAAAATCTGCTCTTCTCTGAATTTTTCAGTGCTGTTCTGCACCCAAGGAATGTGTATCAAAATGCATATACAGTGGTATCTTGGGTTACAGACGCTTCAGATTACAGACTCCGCTAACCCAGAAATAGTACCTTGGGTTAAGAACTTAGCTTCAGGATGAGAACAGAAATTGCGCACCAGCAGTGCAGTGGCAGTGGGAGGCCCCATTAGCTAAAGTGGTACCTCGGGTTAAGAACAGTTTCAGGTTAAGAATGGAGCTCCAGAACGAATTAAGTTCTTAACCCGAGGTACCATTGTACTAGGACACAGTTTGCACCAACAAACATATATCACTGAAAATAACATACAAGTATGCATTATATTAGGAGAAAGGGCATACCAAAACTTGCATGTTATGAAAATTCATCAGCAAATTTCTCCTGAGGATTTAAAAATATGTATGTTTTCAAACTGATGTGAAAATGTGGAGAACTGAACCTCAAGACAGGAAACATAAGGAACGTAGAGAAATCTAAATGGAGAGATTTGCCCCACCCTGCGTGGATGTATACAGTCCTTGTCTCCCTGCGAATAACTACCCTGCCTTGTCTGCCTGTCCCCCTCCGGTTTTGAAATGCGGAGAAGATTTAGGAGTCGTAATACAGTGGACAATCTCCTTCATCCCAACCCAGTTTATCTGCTACTACAAACATGCCTCCAGTGTTTGCGGAGAAGGGATTAGAAAGTTTTATGGCAGTGTGCTAAGAAGGGAGAAAAGAAGTGGAATCTCTCCCAGCTGAGAAAGCCCTCTGAAGGTTACAGAAACAGCAGCCCTGGCAGCAAAGAATGCTGAGATGGCGGTTTGTTTGCCACACGCCCAAAGCACAATTCGGGCAAATCCCTGCCCTCCCACTGACCTGACTGCTATTGCAGTTCATAACCCTGGCTGGAGATGAGGAAATCTCAGCTGTTTTTGTCCCAGCAACATATTAAAAGATGTTGTATGGATTTTATGGACGTAAGAGTAATCGGCAGTTTATAAGCTTCAGGCACAATCTGGCTGGAAGCTTTCCTGGAAAAGGTCTATTAAAATGAATGGTGGATTCCTGATGGACTTTTATCCATAAGCCACATTGAGTCACTATCAAAGAAAAAGCTTGAGTACAAATAAATGTATAACAACAACAGCTCCCTGCCAACACACAGGTATTTCAATCCTGCTTGATTTGGGTATGCAAGCAAGTTTCCTGCGTACTCAAACTGAGCAGAAAGCAGGATTGAACTCTCTGCTCATCGTCATCTTATGGGCAGAGAGGTCAATCCTTCTCAGGACTATCCCCCCTACTCTCCTTGGGCCACCTTGGACAAGATAGTGTGATAGGAATTTTATGGTTTTAGATATATGGCAACGTTCATAACCACACGTACATAGATCAGCACAGGAAAGCCAACCTGGAACCATTTTGATTCCTAAACTGAGCAAATGTTTCTCTGCATGGTAAAAATGGAAAAGCCTCCCCATTGTCTCTTTCCTCACAAATCGTGTCTCAATGATATGTCTGTATGAATAAGGTGTGAGCCTGTGACCTGGCCCAGGAAATAAGTATTTTACCACTACAAAAGAATGGCCAGGCTCCCCAGGCAATCCAATCAAGTAACTTGCCAGACAGGAGATAAACTGTGACAGGAGAAAAACAACATTTAAATTTCTGTGATGTAGGTGGGATGTATCTGAGGGGTGGTCTTAGGTTACACCCTTCTGTGATGTATGCATAATGTTTCTGGGGGTGGTCTTGATCTAGAGGATGGGAATTTCAAAAGTCTTTATAAGCCCTGCATAGCATGTTGGGGGTCCTCTTCCTCTCCTGCGTGTGAGGGGAGCACCCTGTTGCAACAGATCAATAAAGATCAAGCTTACTAGCTGCTTTGCTTCTCAATATTCTCTGGTTGGCCTCTGTTATTTTCTCCTACCAATAGGGAACCTATGTAAGGACTCTATATGGGCTCTTGGATACCCCATAAGGGAAAAGGGCATATTTTTATTTACAACAATAGTCATTTGATGCCTTTATGACATCAGAAGAGTGATAGATTTGACCCCCTCTCTAGGGCATTAGAGGAGAATCTTTCCCAGCCATATTTTGAGATGCCAGAGGTTGAATCTGGGTCTTTTGCATGCAAAGCATGCACTCTGCTGCTGAGCTTGGCCTCCCCAGCAAAATGCACAATTTTAAAATGCAGTGGAGCAGGATATAAATTAAGCAAATTATGTAAAACAGAGCATGCAAGGGATAGCACTGGGAATCCCAGGAGCAGATTTGTCCCTATGAGTGCTGCAGCTCCTACCTGCTTGGCCTCATTACAAGGCCAAAAGAAGTGTGGAGAAAACTGATTACTGAACTGGTAGGCTGCTTTGGCTAGTAGGGTTGACATGTAAGATCCCTGACCTGTGAGCTCATCCTCCATGGCTAGTAAAATATCTACCATGGAACAGGGACAGGCTGCCAGTCTCTTACTTTCTGAGAGAGGAGAACCTGCTGCCAACGTCAGAGGTGGAGCACAAGTTACAGGCAAATTTGAGGGGACGAGGTCTAACCACCACTACTAATAATAATCTGTAATAATACTAATACTACTCTGCCCACCTGGCTGGGTTTTCCCAGCCACTCTGGGTGGCTTCCATCACATATAAAAACATAATAAAACATCAAACATTAAAAACTTCCTGATAAAGGGTTGCCTTTAGATGACTTCTAAAAGTTGTATAGTTATTTATCTCCTCAACATCTGGTGCGAGGGCGTTCCACAGGGAGGGCACCGCTACTGAGAAGGTCCTCTGGCTGGTTCCATAGCTTTCAACTCAAACCAAAACTGGCCCAAGCAATTATTTTTGTCACACCAGCAGCATTATTTGGAAAGCCTAAGCTAAAAACGGAGGGACACAGGTGGCGCTGTGGGTTAAACCACAGAGCCTAGGACTTGCCGATCAGAAGGTCGGCGGTTCAAATCCCCGCGATGGGGTGAGCTCCTGTTTCTTGGTCCCTGCTCCTGCCAACCTAGCAGTTCGAAAGCATGTCAAAGTGCAAGTAGATAAATAGGTACCGCTCCGGCGGGAAGGTAAACGGCGTTTCCGTGCACTGCTCTGGTTCGCCAGAAGCGGCTTAATCAGGCTGGCCACATGACCCGGAAGCTGTACGCCGGCTCCCTCAGCCAATAAAGCGAGATGAGCACCGCAACCCCAGAGTCGGTCACAACTGGGCCTAATGGTCGGGGGTCCCTTTACCTCTAAGCTAAAAACAAACCTGTTTGCTCCCTTATTCATCTCTGTTGTTGGTTCTCCCCACTGTGACCATGAGGACTATAGGCTTTCATTGATGCATACTGAAATCTGTGATTCTCGTGGTTTTTACGTTAGCTGGTTTAGTGCTGGAATGGCAAAGCTGCAGAAAAGTTATAATAATAATTTTAAAAACTATGAATTCAGCCTAGATTGGGTGGCTACTGTCTGCCAGAGTTACCCTGGAGACTGCCAGTCACAGCAGACGGTATTGGGCCCCAATGGACTAATGGTCTGACTCAGTTTGAGGCAGTTTCCGGTGCTTGTAACTAGTACAACCTGCTGAAGACTAGAACTCGCAGCTGCTGAAGAATGTAACTCAGCACGTGAGTTAACCTCTGTACTCTTTGCAAGCTTCTTAGTCCGCAAACGTTGTGCAATGTTTCGTTATTTGGAAATGGTATCTATGAGCTAAGCATTGCTCATTGGTTCTCCTTCACCCCTGTGCCTGTCGCTTAGTGTGCACACACAACTAGGTTTTCCATAATTGCAGGTCTAGTCAGTCTTAATTGTACCTGTTTTAACGGCAGGAAGGCTGGGTGTTGTGGGGGGCGGGGAGACACAAATTGACTTTTTAAACCAGAAGTGGGGATCCAGATGTCCCTGACCGTTGGCCATGCTGGCTAAAGGGGCTGGTGGGAGCTGCTCTTGCTAATTTATTTACCACATTTTCTCCAAGTTTATACTCGGAGCAGTTTACAATGAAATAACAGACCAAAACAATGCCACAATAACCACAATGCACACAATTAAAATTATAATACAATTTACAACACCAAATGAACAGTTCAGTAATGACCAATTATTGTTGATTCAGTTAAAATGCATCCAGAAAATGAAACCTTAAATGACACCAACAGGCCAGTTAATACAGCCCCCAGTGTATTACAATACAAAGCTGATGAAAGTGGGAACTACAAGAGTCAGATTTCTCTTCAACAGATATATTCACGAAAGGGAGCACCATGGATGGCGTTGCCAATTCTTGTGGGTAGCCTTGCAAGATCGCTGAGCCAAGTTGTAGTTCAACAAGAGCTGGAGTGCCTCACGTTCCCCCTCCTGCGTTTGGGGCTGCAGCTCAGCTGCTGAGGACAGGCGTTGCACGCAAAAGGTCCCCTGTTCCGTCCCTGCTGCCTCCAGCTAAAAGGATCTCCAGTTCTGAGAAAGGGTCCCTCTTGGGAGAGCCACTGGCATGAGAATTGGACAGCAGGCAACTAGATGGACAAGCGTCCAGAACTAGCATTCGCTTGTAGCTGCTCAGGCTGACTGAAAGCTGTGATGAGGCCTGGTCTGGCTTTGGGCAGATCCACACCATACATTTAAAGCATACCCCAGACTTCCGGGGTGGCGCCTCCGGAAAATGGCGGAATTCCCTTCGGACTGAAGGGAACCCGCTACACGGAGGCTTGGGTCCTGCCGCTACGGCGCAGCGGGGACCCGCAAAAACCACAGGCGGAAGAAGCCTGTGGACGTGGGACTCGGCGGGCACCGAGAGCGCTCTCTCCCCTTGTACAGGAGCCCGGTAGCGGGCTCCGGAGTGGAGGTGCGTGGTGCTGTGAGTCGTCTGCTTCCTCCGTGCAGCAAAGCCGCACTGCCGTTATCGGAGAGCGCTGCCTTTTCCTGGACAATTTGGCATCTAAAACATCTATCCGTGAGTACCTGATCTTGGAAGAGCTGAACCACTTTTAAGACTGGTGAATAAACAAATAATATTGGACTTGAAATTGAACTTAATTGGGACTCGGAATGGGAAGGTCTAAACAGGAAGTCGCCTTCCGTTCTTTTGTTATGTGAAGAAAGCAAAGACAAAATATACTAAAGCTTGAAAATTAAATTCTAAGAGAACTAGAATTCAACATCTAAGATTTCTAGAACCCCCTTTGACTGCAGGAGAAGAAGGGGGGTTGTATTTGGTCTTTTCAATCCTGCGGAAGTGAGTTTAAAATAAAGCAATTTTCCACCGCCCTGAACCAGGAGCGGGCTGTCAGAATTGACGTTCTGAAGTTTATCCAGCTCGACAGTTAGTTAAAAGAAGGGTAACATTCTGATTCTACTGTTGCCTCTTGAATTTGGAAGGGGGAATTTTGGATAAAGTGTTTCTGGAAAAAGAAAGATTGTTGCTGTTGCTCTTATTCCTTTAAAAAAAAAAATTCCATCTAGTGGAATTTAGTGAAATTGCAACGCAGAGAGATTAAAGAGAAGGACTATTGGACTATTCTCGTGGGAAAGAATTTTCTTTGACCTTGAAGGACAATGCTAGTACAAAGGCTTGAACAACTGTTCCTGGAAGGTTTTTCAAAACTAAGTGCCCAGCTGGACCAGATGCGTCAGGAGACGACCTTGATGATGGAAGTTACCAGAGCACAGCAGCAAACAAATGAAATTCAGTTAAAGGCTATACAAGCATATGAACCTGCTGTAGTGATGGAGGCTTCAGAGATGGAGGGACCTTTGGACGGGCAAGATCAGCCTTTGAACTTGATAAATGAACTTAGGACAAACCAGATTCGGAAAGATGAAATGTGGTCAGATTTGGAAATGGGGGGATGGATCGACCCCCCTCCATATGGTTATTTGGACCTTCCGAGTCTGGTGATGGGCTATCAGAAGATTGGAGTAGCCGAAGTCTCCAAGCTTTGCGGAAATTTGAAGTGGTATTATTTGCTGTCTGGCTTGGGCAATGGGTTTGGGATGGACTTGTTGCAAAGGGTCAAAAGCATTTTCTTGTTGGAGCATCCACGACTGGAAAGGAATCATCAACAAGAGTGGCGAAAGGGGCAAGAAAGAGACTTGAGGGCCTCGGATACGAGACAACCAGGTTAAGGAGCCGGACTATCGAGGCTAAAAGGACTGACAATCCCGGGTCCAGGGAGGGGAGGTTGGAAGCTGACTGGACTGAATTTGACTTATTATTTTTCCTTTTTATTTTTTAATATTGGGAATGCTTACAAATGTTTGAAGGATGTTGAATGAAATTACATGGCTTAAGTAAGGATTGGTAAATGATTCGTAAAAAGGTAATGATGCAAGAATTTGGTAAATATTGAATATAAGCTATGAATTTTAAAGTTTTTATATGACAAGAGGGAAAATAGAATAAGGAAACGTAATGACAGATTGTTATGAAAAAACAGAAAGGATTTGCTGTAGAAATTAAAAATTAAGAAACAAAAGAGGGAGGAGGAGGAAGTCTAGAAAGGAAGTCAATAGAGATTGTAAAGGACTTTATATTTTTGTTTTTCTGTTTCTCCTTTTTTTTTTTTTTTTGCGGCTGGGTTTTCTTTTCTTTTTTGTTTATGTACTATTTTTGTTTTTTGTATCCTTAAATTTTTTTTCTTTTTTTTGGAAATTTTTGTTGTTATTTTTTGAAAATTCAATAAATATCAATTATAAAAAAAAAAAAAAAAAAATAAAGCACACCCCAGACACATTTAAAGGATATGACTTCTGCCAAAGAATCATGGGAACTATAGTTTCCCACCTCACAGATACAGTTCCCGGCACCCTTAGCAACCGAAGGATCCCAGGATTATAGAATCATAGAATTGTAGAGTTGGAAGGGACCCTGAGGATCATCTAGTCCAAACCCCCTGCAATGCAGGAATATACAGCTGTCCCAGACGGGGATCGAACCTGCAACCTTGGCATTATTGGCATTGTGCTCCAACCAACTGAGCTGTCCAGGCTTTAAAAGTGTGGTGTGGATCAGCTTGGAAAAGTTTGAATGGCACTGCGGGAAATTTTTAAAAACAGCAAGACAAAACAGACTTATTTACACCCTCATTCTTTCTGTTGAACTTTGAGTTGGTGATCAGAAAGGAAATGAGGTCACGTTGAAGGAAGTATCCTTTTCTTTTATTTGCAATCAGGAAGGCTAAATGAGTTTGCCACCTGCGAACCAGAAATACCAGTTTAGTTTTGAAAACAAAGCAATTACATCCTTGCTTCGTGACTGCATCACCACTGTGGTTCTGAGCTGCTTCTGAGTCACTTCCTTTCCCTGGGTTGGCTTGGGAGAGCAGGGTGGGCGGACACATTGGCATCTCGGAAGCTGTTGCCGGCTGGCAAGGAGAGTGGGGCTGGCACAAGATTCTTGGACCTGGGTAACACATTGCTAAAGAACCGGCCAAGCGTCTGGATTGTGTTCATGGAGGAATAAGTGGCTGTTAGCTTTGATACTGATGCAAAGTTTAAGAAGGGACAAATCGTTATCCAAATGAGAAGGTTAATGCCCAGATCCTATTTACCATATTTACTTGAATCTAATGCTCACTTTTTTTGGCTAAATTATGTTGCAAAAATTTAAGGTACACATTAGATTTGATGTCATATTTACATTCACCAGCAAATACTTTTTTTTGTTTCACATTTATATCCCACCTCTCCTCCAAGGAGCTATATACAGTGGACACTCGGGTTGTGAACGTGATCCGTGCGGGAAGTTCGCAACCCGCAACGCCGCATGTGTGCATGCGTGGGTCGCGATTTGGCACTTCTGCGTAAGCGCTGAAACCTGGAAGTAACCAGTTCCAGTACTTCCGGGTTTGGCGCGGTGTGCAACCCGAAATCGCGCAACCTGAAGCGTCTGTAACCCGAGGTATGACTGTGCATAGTTATTCCCCCAGCATTGTATTACCACAACAACACTAAAAGGTAAGTTAGGTGTGTACACACACACACACACACACACACACACACACACAGATTCACCCCGTGAGCTTCATGGCTTGTCTAAGTGGCAATTTGAACCCTGGCCTCCAAGGTCCTAATCCAACACTCCTCCACTGCACCATGCTGACTCACTTCATTTGGATTTTATTTGAGTTTAGTTGGATATAAGTGCCCCTTTTGTGTGTTCTACTTGACTTGTATGCAATGCTTTGCCTAGTATGCCTTCAGCTGGGGACTTTCGAAGTGAGCTTTGGGGTGTCCTGTGGTGCTGTAACAGCAAATTCGTCTACACAGGGAAGCGTTGCCTGCTCTGTTTGTCTTTGGAGGCTGTGTGCCAGGGAAGGCCAGTTGCCAAGGAGCCACAGCAGGAGAGGGCTTTTGTGCCCCGCTTGTGCGCCTCCAGGCAGCATCCGGTCGGAAAACAGGGATGGAGCTAGCTGAACTTACACTAGGAGAGCGTGCTGGATCAGGCCAGTGGCCAGTCCAGCATTGTGCTTATTGTCCCTGCCACATCCTGTTCTCACAGTGGCCAGCCAGACGCCTGTAGAAACCCGCAAGCAGGATTCAAGCGTAAGAGCACTTGCTCCTTCTGGGATTTCGAGCAACTGGTTTTCAGAAGCAGTTCAGCGGAAGGCAGAGCGTAGCCACCTTGGCTGTTAGCCATCAATAGCCCTGAATTCACCCAATCTTCTTTTATTAATATATGTTTTTATTGGTTTTTGAAAATACAGCTGTAAAAAGATGCACTGATCAATAAAAGGAGAATAGAAAACCATAGTTGTAACTGTGTCCATTATTCTTTTAAAGCCATCTAGATACGGCCTATACAGCCTAGGACCCTCGTACCTACGGGACTGCCTCTCCCACAGAGGAACTTACGGTCTTCAAATAAAAACATCCTGAAGGTCCCGGGCCACAGAGAGGTTAGGCTGGCCTCAACTAGAGCCAGGGCTTTCTCGGCTGTGGCTCCAATCTGGTGGAACGCTCTGTCACAAGAGACTAGGGCCCTGCAGGACTTGACATCTTTCCGCAGGGCCTGCAAGACGGAGCTGTTCCACCAGGCCTTTGGTCAGGGCACAGCCTGACTCCCTCCTTTGGCAATCTTTACAGAACTTTAGCTTATGGTTGCCATCAATTTGATTTTAATTAATGTTTATAATGCTTTTAGAATGTTGCACTATTTTATTGTTGTTAGCCACCCTGAGCCCAGCTTCGGCTGAGGAGAGCGGGATATAAATAAAATTTATTATTATTATTATTATTATTGGTGGCCACCACTACCTCTGCGTGAAGAAGTGCTTCATTGTGATCTGACCCACCAGGGCTCTTTGTATATCTTTCCCTATTCCTTCCACTCCTCCCTCGCTGAGAGACCTAGCATTCGGAGCCAGTTTGGAAATAGTTGTGGTACTTTAAGGCTGCTATAATCCTAAGTCTTCATATTTGCTTTTCAAATAGTATTTCAAAGGCTGGAAAGGCCTGGTTGTGTTAGGTGGCAGGGACAATAAGCACAACACTACTCTGCCTTGCGTGCTGCCCTTGCTGAGCCTCTGATCTAGCTGTCATGGAAACCTGCTCATTAAAGATACTGAGCAGCAAACAAAGCGTAACTTTAATAACGATCAGTGTATTTGCATACTCCGTGCACAATTTGTGTCGCAGTTGAACCACCTTAGTTACGCTCCTGGCACACTTATTCAACAATGTACAGTGGTACCTCAGGTTACATACGCTTCAGGTTACAGACTCCGCTAACACAGAAATAGTGCTTCAGGTTAAGAACTTTGCTTCAGGATGAGAACAGAAATCGTGCTACGGCGGCAGCAGGAGGCCCCATTAGCTAAAGTGGTGCTTCAGGTTAAGAACAGTTTCAGGTTAAGTACAGACCTCTGGAACGAATTAAGTACTTAACCCGAGGTACCACTGTAATGGAATTTAACACAAAACTGAGGCCTTTTCAGTATCATACCATATTGTACAAGGGGTCTGGCAACTTTGTTTTCCTCTTAGAGGCCACACTCCCAGGTGTGTGTGTGTGTGTGTGTGTGATGCTCCTGCTGATGGACAGAGAGGCTAAAAATGTCCTGGATTTTCAGTTTTCTTGATGCCAGTTTTCTCTGTGACTACCTCATATTAGTAGGTGTCTTTGGGGTGAGGTGGTCTTGATACTTTTATATTTACTTTGTGGGAGCCTATCCTGGCCTAGCTGTTGAAGCAGGACATGTTTGTTAACGGATCTTAAGTTTACTACTTTTTTTTTTTAAAGCAAAACACTGGTGTAAGTTTAATTTCAAAATTTACTACAGGATAGCTGCAGATCAAACTCCTCCAGGAATATTTGTTGTTTGGACATATATATATATGTGAAGAAGGGAGGGGTAAAAGAAAATAATGCACAAGGCAGTTTGTGTGTTTGCTTTAACAATCACGTGAACGAAAGTAGAGATGCATGTGGGGCCCAGTTTTAAAGTTGATGCTGAGTGCATAAGGGGGAAAAACAGCATCTTCATTCAAGATCCTTGTTCTGGGCTGATGACCTATCCTGGCAGTGGCTGAGGGCCTAGTTTTAACTGAGTCACCAGCCACATGGTGGTGGGGTTTTAAACTTATGTTGTAATCTGTCTGGAAAGATGCGCAGGGCCTCCACCACCACCCCACTAGTGGGTGTGGTGGGTTGCTCTGTTTTTCTTTTATTTGGTGCTAAATCAAGCTTCAAACTGTTCACTCCTATAGCTTAAGGGGTCAATATAAATGCTTGCCAGATGCTGCTTATTACACAGAGAACATGATGGATCATGCATGTGTGTGTCTGCAGAGGGAGGCTGCCTTACTTCCCCTCAGCTGAGATGCACTGACTGCAAGACCTTCCACAGAAGCATCTATATTAGTATATCTAGTCTCTGTGCTGGGAGTGTTTTTTGTTTTTGTTTTAATTACCCACTCAGCGAGGAGGTTTACTGGTGTGTCTCTGCACAGCCTATACCTAAGGTGTTGCCTTCTTAATGACCCAGTTCACACATTAATGGTTTGCTGTGAACACACCTCAAGTGGACTGCGTCTTTTCTGCACTTGTGCTGGGAGGAAACAAGCCATGTTGATCCCTGCTAGGAAGGGCAAATATGTCTATTTTGGCTTCTCTCACTTCCTCATTTTTCCAATATGAAGTTCAGTTCTCCACATTTCCACATCAATTTGCCATAACAAAAGAAAGAAGTATTCATCAGCATTTAAGGGTGAATTTCTCCTAAAATTACATTTTTTGCAGAGCAAATTTCCCCAATGCAGTTTTGTATGCCTTTTAAACAAGTATATGCATTTTTTTCACACTTCACCTCAGTAATATGCAGTTCTGTACACATTGCTTGGCTGAGGAATGGCCTTGCTGAAGTTTGAAAATATTGAAGGATGGTTGTGCTCCAGTTCTTGAATTTGTTTTGGAAAATGCAAATTGCATTGGATTGCACATTACATTGCAAACTGAATCAGATTTCTTCCCCATCCTTATCCCTGGTGTAGCGTTGTGTTCCAACCAGGGAGCGTCCTTTTATTTATAAAAGTATTTTTGTACTGCCATACCATAAAGTAGAGTGGTGTGCAACAGTAAAACATAAAACACCATTAAAAACAATACAGACCATCAAGTGACTAGCTAATTTAAAAAACTGAAAATTAAATGGCTACAAAGACCTGTTGGTGTAAAAAGGTCTTCAAGAGCACTTGAAAGTCAAAAGCAGGGTTTGCCTTCTGAATCTTTGCTGGAAGAATGTGCCACAAGATGTATATCACTACAAGAACCTTGAACCTGTTTGCTTGTTCTCAGACAAACTGCAGATGGTAAGTCAGGAACAACCCTTGACTATAGATACTGTTTTTGGGGGAGTAAAACAAACCGCAATCCCTGATTTCAAGGGAACACAAGGCCAGGGATTGTGGTTGGTTTTGTCCCAACACAAGGAGGGAAGAATGAAGTGGGTGCAATTCATTTCTGCACAGTAAGCCTTATCTTATGGCCTTCTATGAACAGGCAGAGTCGAGTGCTCTGGAGGGCAGGCAATGCAGCTGTGTTTCTGGAGCATAGATGCACAGGAGCAGAGAAAGCTGCCTTTTGCCCACTGGTCCATCAAATCAGAAACTGAGACGGCTTCTCTAAATCAGGGGCATCCCTGGAAAATAGGGACACGTGGAGGGTCTGTGCTGTGGCTCACCAACTGATGCAGTAGAGAGGCAAGGGAAATGCTGAGGATTGACCTGAGAACCCTCCCAATATATAGGTCTATAGGTTTGCAAGTGGTGGAATGGCAAGCATGCCATTAAGAGGGAGTGCTGTTCAGACCCGCCCTGTGCTGTCTGGCCATCTACTTCCCCTGGCTTGCATTACGTCACCTGCTGCCGTGTGGTTCAACAGCTGCCACTTAAGATATTCAACACTAGGCAACAAATCGAGTACATATTACTCCGAGGTGGAAAAAGATCACAGGTGTAGGCAGTTCTTATTTTTCCAAGGCTATCTATTCCTGCATTTGTGCACCCTATAACTGACTCTGTTTATTTGCAGCTTGGATGAAAATGCAGAGAACTGCCAATTGTAGGTTTGTGAAGGTATTGAGGGGTTCCTAATAGAATGACAAAATGGAAATGCATAGGATTCTTTGCTTCCTATTTTATATAGATTTTTAGTGGGCTTTAAATTTTATTTTTTAAAAACATAGCATTTGCTTCCTCCAGTGCTAAGCACGATACTTATATACAGTATTTATTTTGAACACTGATAATTGACTGTAACAAAGAGATTAACTGCTTTATTTAAAGAAAAATTCACATTGTGAAGGCCTGTCTAAACAGTGCAGTTTTCAGAAGGCGTGTGAAAGAAGGCAGGGACAGTTCCTATTGAACCTCTACTGGCAGGGAGTTCCACAGGGCAGGGTTGTCATTGCATGTGCCCTACAAATGAGCTGTTTGGTTCCTCCCCCAAAATTAACCAGGTCACTCTTCCTCACACAGTATATGCTGTTAAAAGGGTTTCAAATACAGTGGTACCTCGGGTTAAGTACTTAATTCGTTCTGGAGGTCCGTTCTTAACCTGAAACTGTTCTTAACCTGAAGCACCACGTTAGCTAATGGGGTCTCCCGCTGCCGCCGCACCGCCAGAGCATGATTTCTGTTTCATCCTGAAGCAAAGTTCTTAACCTGAAGCACTATTTCTGGGTTAGCGGAGTCTGTAACCTGAAGCGTCTGTAACCTGAAGTGTATGTAACCCGAGGTACCACTGTATTTGTTGAATCCAGAACTTCTGTGTCCAGATGTTGGACATCTTGATGTCTCCAGAATCTTTATGAAGGCAGACTATGATAGTTACCCATTATGATTACTACATTTATATTCTACCTTTCTCTCAAGATATGTGCATGGTTCTTCCTACTCTCCATTTTTATCCTCATGACAGCCTTGTGAGGTAGGTTAGGCTTGAGAGACCGTGACTAGCCTAAAGTTCCCCAGTGAGTTTTATGGCTGAATTGCAACAGGGGTAAACTGACCCTGAATTTCTTGGTTCTTGTTAGTTGCTGTAGCTTCTATAGATGGTTAAAGTTTTATTGGTTGTGTTTGTTGCAACTCGTTTTTGTGCTTTATTGTGTAAGATGCTTTGGGTCACATTTATGAGGAAAGTGACTAATGACTAATGGTCTGTGGTAGATTTGTCCTGGATTGAATTTCAGTGTTCTATAATTTCAGTTTCTGTGGGCGGTGAATGCTAATTAACATCATCTTGGGTCATCTCCTTCAGCCACCCAATTTCACTGGCTCTGGGAATGTGCTGGTATCAGTGCGTGATATATTTACATATATTGCTGAAAAGGAGTGAAGGTCAGGTGTTCTGTCTGGGTGAACTGGGAAGTCCATGAAAGAGAACTCAACCTGATACTGAAAATTCATTTAAAAATTAGCATTTCTACAGTATTCTCTAGTTCTTCAAAGTGCTTTGCAAACATTTACAGCTGCCCTATCCTATCAGCAGTGTTATCCCTGTTTTATTTTATTTGTTTTAAAGATTTATATCCTACCTTTCCCAGAGTGCGACCATTCCCAGAGTGGCTCACCAAGTATTAAAATGAAAAAACCCAACATTATAAAAAGCTCCAAAAATAAATGGATCCAAGTTTTATTTATTTCAGGTATTTCTTACATGCTCTTCACCACAAAGTCCAGGGTGGGTGATATTTTAAAAACAAACAAACCCAATTTATAATCAGTATGAAAGAATATGATCATACAATTTTGAAAGAGAGGAGCAGAAGAAACTCAGCCACAGCAGAATTAATGTTTTATTTATTGGCTGATGGGCAGCGAGCTAACCCTACTGGGTTGCCTGCATGACCCAGTTCTGCATGGGGAACTTCATCATGTAGCTGATCCCTGAAGAAAGCAGATTTGCTAGCCCTGTGCCCAGTGCTCTGCTTGGAAGGGGACTTTGATAGGTGGGCAGGATAACCTACCTTGCAATCATCTGGCAGCTTAATGATGCCAGGTGATTGACAGGTGGGTCATCTCACCCACCTGTCAGAGTTTACCTGTGTGGGGTGGGGTCAGATAATAACCTGGCTTTCCATGCCAAAACGGTTCTCCACCCATGCTTCACAGCAACTGGAACAATATTTTTAAAATATTGTTCAGCTGCTTGAAGAGTGGGCACCATGTCTGCGCCATAACACACAGGTGTGGTACTTCAACCCAGTGTGCAATCTTCAAGGGACTGGCACCCATTGCTTGCTTCTTCTAGACTTGGCTGGGTTGGGATGGTTGTTGGTAGACCAGCAGGTTTCTCTGCCAGTGTTTGAGGGCGTATCCAGACTTCCACTTGCCCTCACAATCAGAAAACCACGGCAAAACCACTTGGACCCGGGCCTATAAGGAATGGGACAAGCAGAAAACCACTCATGGGACATGTGGAAGTGTGGATGAGCCCTTGAGTCTGGCAGAAGGTTACCATGTCCTGCTAAATTCTCTTACTGTATTGTTGTTATTATTTTCCCAAGGGGCCATTGAAGTTGACCCTGCTTAAGAGGTTGTGCCAACTGCTTTGAGTTGCACAAGGCTGACAATCTTGCTAGCCTCTTTAAAGCGTAATTTCTTAGCAGAGTGCCTTTTTAAGAATTTAATATCACATAGAAATGAGAGAGGGGGAGTTTTATGTGTGCTAGGCCCACCTTGCTTAGGTAAAACTCTGTCACAGGCAGGATGCGGTGGTGACGTTGTAGAGGAGTGGTTAGCTGAGGAAATACTTTGGATTCTGAAATCGAGTTCTTGGTAAAATGACAGCTTAATGAGAAGGTGCCAGAGATCAAAGGCGGAAGGAGCTTGCTTAAATTAACCGTCACAACTTTGCCCTAAATCTGTAGGTGGGGAGTTACCCTTGTGGGCGTTTTTTATCATAGGCTGTGTAAATACTGTTTCGGTTTTTCATTGTGTTGGCTGAGACTAACCTATCTTCAATTTGCATAACATTTTTTAAAAAAAGTTAAAACACTCTCATTTAACATGGTCAGATTAATCTCTACCTCCTCGCTCTTGCACAAATCTTTGAGGAGATTCCAGTTTATTGATTTAATATTTCTGGTATGTTGATGTTTTAATTCAGATGGCTGTAACCATTTTTTGTCTTTATTTTTATGCCAGTAGTTTGGCTTATGAATTGCTTCTTGTTTTTACAGTGTTACCTGCCTTTGATTTTCTTCTGAGTTTTATTATTATTATTATTTGCATTTTTTATTATTAAGGAAGCATGATATGTTTTGAAAACAAATGGTCAACTTTTCCAAGTATTGTTCAAAGTTTTGCTATGCTTTCTACATATTTGCTACCTCAAACCTAGAGGCGCACCTTATAAAACAAATAAGCAGTCGCTAAATTTCCCTAAGCAAAGTAGCTGGCCCTTTCTAGGTCCAAGATGGTGGAAGGAGGGATCCTGGCCCAGCTGAGGCACTGGCTCTGCTGGGATGTTACACCCATTGCCCCATTCTTACATTCGGTGAACACGTCTGGGTCTGCAACAGGATTACAGCAGCAATCCCTACGCCCCCCCACGTGTTCATTTTGATGGTATATATTGAAAGTGGGGGACTTTTTTTTCACCCGAGGGCCACAATCCCTTCTAGAGAACCTTCTGAGGGGCCACATGCCAGCGGTGGGTGGGGCAGAGGCAAAAGTGAGCAGAGCAGCAGGTGTGAATTTTGCATTTTGTTCAGTCAGCCAGTTTCTACTCAGGACCCCCATGCCCTTGGTCCTCCATCCATTCAAGCAAGCAAGCAAGCAAGAGACATTCCTGTTGCTCAAGGACACATTCCAGGCAGGCACAAACAGTCAGGGAGGGTGTGAAGCAGGGCTGGTAAGAGGCATGGCCAGAGAAGGGGGGAAGAGTCCAAGGGGCCAGATAAAGATACTTCGGGGGCCACTTTTGCTTCTGGTTCCCCATGCCTGGTATGAACAGGATTCCCGTGAGAAGGAGTGCAATGCAGGGCTTTCGCCACACAATTGGGGAACCTACTGTTCCAGGGTTTCTGATCCTGTGGAGAGAACCCTGCGGTCATGTAAAGATGAGTGCAGAGAGGTGGCCCATGGCGGTTGGGGGGCTGCCACAACTCCCCTCTCACATTTATTGAATGTACGAAAGGGTGAATATTGGCATTCACCCTTATTGATCCATGAGGCAATAAATAATGTTGAAATATCAATCTGGCGAGGAAATAATTGTATGTAAAACTTCTAAGAATTCAAATTCCCTCTGAATGTGGAAACAGAGTGTTCCAGAAGTTTCCCCACAAACCTTGTTCTAACTCTACTTAATAGACAAGATATTAATAATGAGCGCCATGACAGAAGTTTATGTCAAGTCAAGCCAAGAACTCACTCTCCCTCGCTCTGCTTTGACAACCAGAGCAACAAATGGCAGTTTGCACTAACAATGTGTAAGAGCGTGTCTAAGATGACTCTGTCAGGAATGGATATATAATGCCTTTTTTTTGCTACTGACCTGTGGAAATGTTGCAGGTTAAGAAGACAGGACAATTAGTCATATATAGCTCTCCAAAGAGACATCTTCATTCATTTATACAGTTCAGCTGCAGGGCTAGTTCTTGGAATCTAAATGAATTGGTGCGACAATGGACTTCTGTATGAAACGAGGTCAGGCCTGGAGCGATTGAAAGGGAGCCCCTCTGCCTAGTCCTGCCCGTGACGGAGAAACGTCCACAGAAGGCAATCATTTTTGGAGAGCTTTCAGATAAATGCTCATCCAAAATCTGATGGCTGAATTGCACCTTTTAAATATCTCAGGATGTGTGCCGACAGCGAATTCTGTAAATTAATCACATGCTGTGTGAAGATGGCTGCCCCGAATCTCATGCCATTCAGCTTATTTGGATGACCTCAAGTTGTAGTGTAATGAGAGAGAAGAAGAATAAATTCTCTCCACCATAGCTGTCAACTTTTCCCTTTTCTTGCAAGGAATCCTATTTGGAATAAGAGAATTTCCCTTAAAAAAAGGAAAACGTTGACAGCTATGCTCTCCACCTAAAGCATGCATAAATTCTATAAACCTCTTTCATGGCGCATCGTTACTTAGCATCCTTTTTAGAAACGAACACCACCACTGCAAACATTTTAGTCTTTCCTGTAGTCCTACTGTTGACACTGAATTTTAAGGTTACAGTGACCCTGGGGAGGATATTCTAGTATCAGTTACTCCCGTCTTGTTCTTGGTTCATGAATGTTTTAAGATGGCTGCTGCAGCTGCTTCGACTTTTTGCAACAATATTGTGAGAGTCCTGTCCTTATGGTAGAAAACAGGATTCTGCATATTATTATTTTTTTAAAGAGCTTAATAGGAAAAATATCCTGATGCAGGGATAATGTTTTGGACGTGGTCCATAGAAATCTGGGTTTAAATCCTCACCCAGCCAGGTATCTTGCTGGATTATGTTGGGACAGTCACCTTCTCTTGGTCTAAACTCAAGCAGTGATAGAGCCATATGACTCTCTCAGGGCAGGGAGTTCCTTAGGCAGAGGAACCCTGTTAATACCTGAAGGGATAGAAAGAAAGCGTATCTGTGGTTGATCTCAATTTATCTCAGTGTTTTCATAAATAAATAAAATGTCACTTGCAGTGGTGCTTAGAATGGAGTGAGACATTTTGTGTGTCTGTGTGAGATAATGGGGACGGGGCAGCAGTCCCACATGTCAGATGAACATAATCTCAAAATCCTCTGCTTTCATTTAACCAAAGTTTCTAGCATTTGTAGAACCAGAGATGTGAAGCAAAATGTTCTCATTTTGCTGTGAGAACATAGCTTGCTCTCCCGTTCAGTGTTTTATCCCCACCCCACTCCCAGAGGCAGGGGGATTCTGAAGATGCTTTAATGACCGGTTAGGTAAAAATCTGCCCTGATGAACATGGCTCGGGTGGTAATTCTGTCTCGGTGGGGGATGCACCCCATGAGACCAGCTTGAAAGATTATTTTTGGCACACAGATCTTTGTTAGAAATGTTTCCTGAATTGTGGCCACAAATCTTGTCACCAAGTGTGTGGTTTTGAGACTAGTAGAGGTTTTTTTTTAAAAAAAAGAGGTGTTCTGGTGTTGCTCAGCAATAGAATACAGAAGGAGACCTGCTGGATCAGACTTAAAGGCTCATCTAGAGCCCAGCATCCCATTTTCTACTGTGGCCAAGCAGGACACGAGCTCAGGAGCCCTTGCCTGCCTTTCCCCCACAAAAGGCCTTAGGCTGGGGGTGGTACTCGGCCATTTGGACTAGTACCCAGGAGTAGATGCCAGCTTTCATTCTTGTAAATGCAAATGTTTTCATATAGACTGCAACCCTTTGAGAGTCAAGGCATCTCCTTGATTCTGTGTCCATGTATACTTTGAGCATTACAGTTTTCTCTGCAAGCATGAAGCCTAGAAAGCTATTTTTTAAAAAAATAGAGGGAAGAGTTACATTTATTCTGCTCTGAGGTATTTTCCCTGGATGTAATTTACCGGAATAAGATTTTTTAAAGTCCTATGTTAACCTTTGCAGTGCGAAGAATGATTTTTGTGTGTCGTGTATCCTGCCCTTTCCCCCAGGGAGATATAACCAATGTATGTGGGAATATCTCATTTTATTTTTCTTGCAGCAACCCTGTGGGATTAATTTAGAAGGAGAGTGAGTGGCTCTAACGTCACTTAAATCAAGATTTGTGATGGAGCTAAGATTTGAATTTGGGTCCAAGCCCAACATGCTAATAATTATGACAGAATGGCAAATATGCTTGGGTGTATTTTTTCTTCTAATTCAGAAATGGGAATATTTTGAGCACAGGACCATTGAATTCATGCTTAACTATTCTGAATGGTGCTGCCTCCCCCCACCCCAAGTCTTATCAAAAAGCTCCATCTGTTCTTGTATTTCCTTGGGTTAAATTCACAAACATACCTGCTGCCTGATTTTCCAGTTCAGCCAGGATAAGTATTTCGATTCAAAATTCACACATCGAAACATTGACATGAGAAACTAAGATTCGTACAGTGTGAGAGTGAAGAGCAGAAAATAGTGTGTATGGGTGTTCTCTTTCATCAGCGGGCTACAGTTGAAAGGCAATTTGTCATCCAAGAGCTGGAGAAGGACCTTTTTGTCTCCAAACCTTGCTCAGGGGCTCACAGAAGTACAACACGTGGCTGCCTAGTGCTGGAAACAGGATGTTGGGGAGTGTGGGGTGATCATCGAGCTCAGTGGGCTTCACACTCTCTTTTGGGGAACTCTGGGGTTCCTCAGAACATTCTTGGGCATACCTCAGATAGATGATCAGTAACAGCAGATAAGCCTCACTGGAAGATTGGTCATCCCTACCTGTCTAGTTGTGACAGTATCGCCATAAAATTCATTTCTGATGTTGTTGGACTACCTCTTCCATCATCCTTGCATATTGGCTATCCTGGCTGGAGCTGACAGGGATTGGAGTCAAGAAACACCTTACGTTTCCCACCCCTGATTTATTGGGGTGGCTTACTGACAATTTTGATATATTCAGTGCTTTTTGTGGTAAAAAATGAGCTCCCGGTACTTATATATTGATAAGAGGCTTGTGTACTAGCACAAAATGGCTGCCATGCGCAGCTGATGAAAGGTGCCAGGACTCTGTACCAGTGAGTACTGTCACCAAAAAGCCATTTATACATTTTATTTTAAATGTAGGAATCCTGTGGGATTGTGCACTTAGTCATAGTGTTCTCGTCATTGTTACTAGTTGATAATTAGATTCCATATAACTTATCATTGTATTTGCTAGAAATGTAAACATCAGTGCTATTCTTAATACTGGCTTTCTCTCCCCTTCCCAGGCTATGAGCATCAGCAAAGCAATCAACACTCTGGAAGCACCAGTCAAAGAGAAACATGCCCGCAGTATCCTTTTTTCCTACCACATCACTTGTTCGCTTGGCTTCCTTAAGTTAAATTTGTTATTAGTGCTATTTAATAATAACACTAATTTAATAAAGTATTAAATTTTGTAAAGTACACTTAAGTACAAATTTATTAAAGTAGACATTTAATAAAGTACACATTCAGTAACAAATATACTATCTGGTGGTTTACAGAGTAACTTCCAAAAATGACAGACCAGTGTCTCATTTCCTCCTCTTCCTCTGTAATATGTAATGCCTCATGTTCTGGGTGCCATTTGCTGTGAGTTTTTTCCACTTACATATCAGAAGATGAGGTAAACCAAAGAGTGTATCACAAGAGGAAAACTCAGCAATGCTAAAAATCAAATCCATAAAAACTGTTGAAAACAAACATATTTCTATCAAATTTTGGTGAATACAGAATACAGGATTACTTATGATGTTCTTTATTTAGAAGACAATCCTTCATTGATTTGGTGATGTTCAGAGCAGTGACTCAAAAGCTGTGGTAGAAATTAAGATAAATATTACATATTTATTACATTTATACCCTGCCTTTCCTTCAACACTTAAATGTTTCTAAGTGCTTCTGGGGCTGTTTTTCCATTGTTGGTGATGGGAAAATCTCTTAGGAGGCTGGCCATGTTTCGTTGTCCTTCCTCCCTGCCCCCTTAAACACCTTGAATTTCAAACTGCCCTTGACTCCTATGAAGGAATTATTCTGGGGACTCATCATGAGAAAGGAGCATTTACTTTTTGGTCATACGCAATTGGTCTCCCTTTGCCCAGCAGCGCCATCCTCAGCTGGAAGTTTTGCCACGTTCTCCACAAAGTCCTCCGCGATGGGCATCCAAATGTAAGTTTGCTGGCCTCCTTCCATTCAACCAGTGTGCAAAAGACCTTTGACGGAAGAGAAGAGGCAATATACTTTAAACTGTACACGTAGCTGACATTCTAGGTGGGACAGTGTGTACACTGTGATTGAGAAAACAACAGAAACTATGTCCAGAAAATATTCACCCCAATAGCTTGATGGTGTGACAAGAAAAGCTGGATTTTGCAACCTCTGTCAATTATTATGACCTGTCACTGCCCTTAAGCTTGTTAAGTGTATATGTTAGTTAAGTGTATATGTTGAGATCAGCCCTCCAGATGTCCAAACAAGATTCCACATGAGGTGGGTGCTTTTAGGAACCATGTTCAGATTCAGCCAGACCAATGCATAATACAGTGGGTGTTTATCCTTCAAGCTCGAAGTATATAAGTCCATAAAGGCTCGCAAAATCCTCTTTTCTGCTGTTAGTCCCTGTACTATGGGAATATAATTTAAAAGTACATGAATCTGTAAATATCAAGAATATTGCCAGCACTAAATTGATACAGACAACAACTTCAGATGCTGAAGACTAGATCATTGGAGAAGTCCATATCATAGAATCATAGAGTTGGAAGAGACCACAAGGGCCATCGAGTCCAACCCCCTGCCAAGCAGGAAACACCATCAGAGCACTCCTGACATATGGTTGTCAAGCCTCTGCTTAAAGACCTCCAAAGAAGGAGACTCCACCACACTCCTTGGCAGCAAATTCCACTGTCAAACAGCTCTTACTGTCAGGAAGTTCTTCCTAATGTTTAGGTGGAATCTTCTTTCTTGTAGTTTGGATCCATTGCTCTGTGTCCGCTTCTCTGGAGCAGCAGAAAACAACCTTTCTCCCTCCTCTATGTGACATCCTTTTATATATTTGAACATGGCTCAATTAGACCTTTTCTGCCTTATACCTCCAACATCTATCTGTATGAGGTGTTGCCTTCTTACAAAGGCCTTGTAGAGTTTTGTATACATGAAACATTAATTTTTGCTGGGTCAATCTCAGTTTCAAACCTAAAGAAACATTATTTGTGGTCCCTAAAGCAGTTTTCCATCCTCTGGGTTGTATGATACAGTCTAATTCCTGTTCCACATCTCTCTAACCCTATTGGTTGCCTGTAGGTATTAGGCAGGTGCCTTTGCTGTAGTGTTTCCAATGCCTGCTAAAACCGTTTTGCTTTTGTTTAGCGTACTCAGACATGTAATTTCATCATGTACATTCATTTTCAAAATCTGTTTATTTTTACCTGTATTTTGATAATGTTATTTAATCTACTGTTTTTAAAGTCTGTTTTGCTATTTTTAATGAATATTCTATTTCATGTAAACTGCTTAGATTTTTTTTATTAAGTGTTCTATAAATCTTGTAAAAAATAAAAATAAATTAATTAAGCCTGGTTGACCTTTTATAGAAGAATAGACAGGGATCAGTATAATATCCTTTGGAAAACAGGTTCTGAATTTCTGATGTGGCCAATTTTCTTGTGCTTCTAAGTTTTCTTCACACACTGTCTTCTCTAGGTTCTTCAAGATTGTCAGCGATATCGAAGTAACATCCGAGAAACTGGAGACCTCTGGGTGAGTTACAGAAATGTGCTTCCAGCTGGATGCTCCAACTTTGAATTTTATACTGGATTGAGAACACTTTCTTCAAATGTTGTCCTGGATATAGAACAAAGATCCCTGGTCAGCAACTATGCCTGGTCTGCCCTGTTGGGGGTTATTTTGAACTGGAAGTGTGGAATTGGCGGGGGGGGGGGCGGCGGCACAAGGCTACCTTCCATCTTTCTCCGAAGACCAGGTGCTGCTGATCTATAGTCTTATCGTGGCTTTTAAAGTTTCCAAGGGGAGCGGGGTAAATGTCATTTTCCAAGAGACAGATTTTGTTTTGAGGCTATCAATTGCTGATCTAAGCCAGTGGAGTTAGAGAGCCAATGTGGTTTATTGCTTAGATTGCTAGATTAGAACTTGGGAGACCAGGGTTCAAAGTTGTCACACAGCAACAAAGCTCACTGGATCACCTTTGGTCAGCCGCCATCTTTCAGCTTCACTTCAAGCTTGTTGTTGGGTGGGGAAAACTGTGTACAGCAACCCTGAGCTCCCTGGAGAAAAGGTGGGATATAAATGTAAAAATAAACAAATAAACCTGACTCCCCCCCCCCATCCCTTTTAATGAAACGTTTATTTTTCCTTGTTAGGGCCACCTACATGATCGATACGGCCAGCTCGTAAACATTTATACCAAACTTTTGCTCACCAAAATTTCCTTCCATCTAAAGGTAACTTCTGTTTATGCAGCTCCTGCACACCTTATCTTCTCAGCGGTTTTTTCTGTAGGGTTGCTACTCTCCAGTTTGTGGGAAGGGGCTCATCTAGTTTCAACCCCAAGAGCTGCATCCCAGCAGGGGCATTATGGGAGTTCCCTCCCACTGCCTGTTTCTCCCTCCTGTCAAGCGGGAAAGATTATTGTAGCTGCCTGCAGTGGACCTCCACAAGGAAATTAGTCTGACTTACGAGGGTTGAAAGGCGTGCCGACCTGCCTTAAACTGTGGTTGTCTCCCAGCTGGGATTCTGCTTAGGGTCCCTCCAGACTGGTGTTTCATTGTGGACGTACTCGGCAAACATGTTATTGACAGAATAATAGTGCATTAGTAGTAGATTTATTTTGCTTTGTTAGTAGTTCTGTGATGCTTCCCCAATGCTACCACATTATTGCTGTTCAGAGGGGCTGTAAGCACAACTTTTGCAGGAAATTACAGGATATGTACTTCTTTAGAGATGAAGCATCTTTTCTTCAGATGCAGCTTGAATGCTCAATGAAAAGGATGTCTGGAGGGGCTGTAAACTGTGTTGGGTTAGGTAACTAGTACTGAAAATCTGGTAAACTTGAGATTCTTCCTAGCTCAGCTCAGCATTCCACTTACCGCTTGTAGCCACTGCCCTGCCGGATGGCACCTTAGCCCTGGCCTCCACCCCATTACCTTTCTGGAGAGAAGCAGTGTTTTCAATGTTTTGGCTGAATCACATTGTTTAGTTCATGTTACAGGTAACTACATAATACTCATTCCACAGTTGTAAGAAAATATTTTAGTAAGACTGCACCTACACTTTGGAACTCCCTGCCTGTTGACATCAGGCAGGTGCCTTTGCTGTATTCTTTTCACTATTCTTTTTGTTTAGGAACCCTATCCTCATCCTATCCAGACATGTAGATGTCAACATGCTTTAATCTATTTTAACGTTAATTAATTTTAAATGTTAAATGTTCTTAATTGATTTTAACATCTTTTTATTGAGAATTTAAATATTTATTATAAACTGCATAAATGTTTTACTACAATCAAGTGGTATATAATTTTTTAAAATTTAATTTAATATGTAGCCCTGAACTGTCCACTCTTACAACCACATCCTATTGTAAGATATTTTTCTGGGCATGAGAATTAACCTAATGTGTGAATGCACTGGGGACATGTGGGCAAAACAAGGAAAGCTGCCTTATACTAAGGGTTTATCTACACTTACCTTTCCTCTGTGCATTTTAAAGCCCTGTGTCTGAGTGCCTTTTTTGTTTACTCTGGAGGTTTCCCCGCAGTAACCTGCTCTTTAAAGCTGAATTGAAGCAAATGGCAATCTGGGGAAAACTTGAATTGCTGTTTGTTGCACCTCAGCTTTAAAGAGTGGGCTTTTGAAGGGAAAGCTCTGGGAAAAGAGAAAAGGGTGCTCAGACACGGAGCTTCAAGGCACAGACCGTGCCTGGAAAGAACAGGATAAAAGAGAAGTGTGTGAGTCATACCATTTGGTTCATCTAGCACAGTATTGTCTACAGCGACTGGCTGTGGCTCTAGAAGGTTTCAGGGAGGGTCCTCTTCCAGTTCTACCTGGAGATGCCAGGGATTGAACCTGGGACTTTCTGCAAGCAAGGCAGGTGCTCTCCCACTCTTTCTGTGTCTCTTTGTCTCTCTTTGGGTTTGGTTATGGCAAGGCAGCCATCTCCTAGTGAATGGATGCCAATTCTTATTTTTTCTCCTCCAAAGCACCCCGAATTCCCCCCAGGCCTGGAAGTGACTGACGAAGTGCTAGAAAAGGCTGCGGGAACAGATGTGAATAACATGTAAGTTTCCCCTGCCCACCCAGTCCCCCACCTTTCTGGTTACTTGACATCTTCCACAAAGCATAATGGCTGCCTTTGTTCCCTGGGTACAAGTGGAGTGTCCCAAGTGTGAAATGTACCTCATTAAAGATGCTTTGGATAGAAGCCCAAGTAGCTCCTTGGCTGCCTAGTTCTGATATTAACTGATCCTGCCAGATCAGTGTTGCCTAAACTTCCGAAACCTAGATTACAATTTTGTGTTGTTCTCATTCTTCTGGATTAAAACTAGAGGCACAGTTTTGCTCTTGCACTCAACAAGATCTGTCTATGTTCTCAGTCAGCACCTGGAATGTTGAGCAAGCCTCTTTCTTGCAGCTGTGGGACAGCCCAGTTAATAATATCTCTTGGCATTTCACACTCCCCTTTAGTCTAGGTTCCCAGGAATGGGACCGTGTTTTCTTGGCCATGGGATGCTTCAGAGATTCCCCCATGCCTACCAGCTGAAATGTAGGCAACATCCAGGAATCACTCTGGGTTGATTCAGATGTAATGCCAAACCATGGCTTGCTCTATCCATTGTGTAGACTCCAAGCTGTGACTTTGTGTCTTCCCCAATGCACAGGAAAACCATGGATTGTGAGGTTTGTGTGGCTCAGCCATGCTGGCTAGGGCTGATGGGAGTCCATCATCACCTGGAGGAGACAAAAGATTTTAAAAAACATGGTATACCATTTCTGAAAAGGCAGGCTAATGGCAGGATATTTTGACAGTCGATGGTCCTTGTTTTATGTCTCTCATTTAAAAAATACTTTTTTTTGTAGCTTTCAGCTCACAGTTGAGATGTTTGATTACATGGATTGTGAACTCAAACTGGCAGAATCAGGTAAGATGACTTCAGTTCCTTCCTTTGTTTCCAACTTTCTTTCTCTCTTTTTGCTCATAAAATTGCGTGTGCTCCAGGATTGTCAACAGTGCCCCCACTCAAAAGTTCTGGCTTACTCCTATGATTGTAACAGCAGCAGCTGCAGAAAGTGAGAGTCAGAGCTTTCCACAACACAGCCATAGGCATTATTTGTGAATCAAACGGGTGCTAAAAGTACAGGAGCAAGACAGACTAGTAGTTCTCTTTTTTTTGATAGGTTGGCAGCCCTTAGCATATTTTAGTGTATGTTAGTGTAATTCCAGAGTTACATATTCTTCACAAAGACAGTCTGAATTCAGCAACCTGTGTAAATTACACATGCTTTTGGAACCCTCCCTCTCCTACAAAACCCCTCAGACGTCTGTCTTTGTCAGCTTCGCTTCAATTCTCCAATAAACAGAGGCAGAGCGCTGGTCTCTGCCCCACCTTGGCTTTGCTGGTTTGTGGCTACCAGCCAACAAATGTGTTAATACTCCTTTAGAAATTTATTATTATTCTCATTATTACTATTATTATCACTCAAAGTACAACTCAGGACTTACCCACACTAACTTTTTGCTTTGCTCTTTCTAGATAGAGGTCTGCACTTTAGCGCTTTGTGTCCAAGTGTGTGTGTGTGTTCTTTTTGCCCTAAGCTTTTACAACAAAAACACTCTCTTTGAAGCTGAATTGGAGCAAATGTCAATTCAGGTTTTCCACAGCTTAACGTTTGCTCCAATTGAGCTTTAAAAAGTGGATTTTCATAGGGAAAGCTCTGAAGCAAAAAAGAAAAGAAAAAAGGTGCTTGGATATGGAGTTTTAAATAATGAACCATGCCTGGAAAGAGCAAAGATAAGAGTGGATGTGTCCTCTGTTGGCCCAGAACCTACAGTATTTATGTTCAGACAGGTTCAGAAACTACTCTCAGGTTTAAGCTCCTCCTAGCCATCAGGGCGCATTATTTCTAGCTATTTGCTATGATAATGCTAGGCAGAAGCCTCTCTTCTGCAGGAACCAAGGCAATGATGTTCTCATTCCAGACTTCCACATGTGGCATTTCTGAGCACAGTTTCTCTTGGCGCAGAGCATTGAATGGGCCTTACCTTGGGGTGTTGCAAGTCATGACTGTGCTGCTCTCAGTCGTTTGAAAGACCTGGTGTTGTTTCTGTTGCCAGGCAAGGCTGTGTGTGCTCCTAGTTAATGATAAAGCTTTCATAATCTGAGAAGATTGTGCTTGGTCCTGCCCAGCAGCAACCTGAGTAAACAAAGGTGATAGGAGCTGAAGCTGCCAGTTCAGTCACGGGGAAATCACAGTCCTCCGGTGCACACTGGTTCCTTTAACAGGCCAGTTGTCCTATGCCTTTTATAACCTCAGATGTTAACATTTTCAGAATCTAGGAATCTCCCTTCTGGATTCCAAACAAAAGCCCTCATAGATTTTCCTCCCCATCTGCCAAATAAAGTGGTGACTGGTGCTCTTTGGGACTGATGGAGCAGGAGGAACCAGAGCCAATCACAGGCAGGCCAACAAATTCTAGTTTGTTCCCCACCCTCCTCCCTGCCAAGTTCTGCATGGGCAATACCGAGACTAAAGAGGAAGCTGATATTATCAAGGTCACCCCCTGAGCCACTTGCAACTAAGAAGGCAGGCAGGTGAGCACTGACTAAGTGCAGATTGATGTTGATAGGGCTCCGTTTGCCATAACAGACCAGCCTCCACTGGCCAAATACGTTGTCCAACCTTGCTGCAGGGTGTGAAGGAGGATGCCAACTGCTGTGTTTTGTCCCTGGCATCTGGCGATTGGAGGCATGCGGCCCCAGAACAAGGAAGGTTATTTATTTAGAAGATTTAGATCTCTGTTTTTCTAGACTTGGTTACAGCAGTTGTGGAAGCATGCACCATTTTATATAAGCTGCAAAGTTCAGTTAAGCTTCCCATTTGATTTTTATGTATTATGCACATAAGCATGTGTGTGTGTCATTGGTTTTATTTAAATATGCACAGGCACACACATACAGAGGTGTATATACTGCCAACTTGTTTGCTGTGCTGTTTAGTTGTGTTTAGGACTAATTGATTGGAGATACAGAATATGTATATGCACACACAGAATCTTAGAAGCAGTCAAACAGCAGATGAAGAGATCCTGTTTCCTGCAAGTACATTGTCAAACACTAAGTAATAATATATGAAAAACAAATGATCAAACAGAGAGAGAGAGAGAATGCTGTTTAATTAAATGTTTCAGCTGAGGAAGGTCAAAACCAAAATGTTCATCTAAATAGTATTTTAAATCTCTATTTTAATTTATAAGCCTACATATAAATAAGCATGCACACATACAATTCTATGATTCTATGAACATGCACACAGATACTGGGGTATCCAGAGACCTTCCAGTAATCCAGCAGCAGCAGCAGCTGTATTTGTTATTATTAAAGGCACCATCTCAGTCTTAGCTTTCCATCCATAGAGGATACTCAAGGCAATAAAATGCAATAAAAACAGGCCTCAAATAAGTATTTGAAATTTCCTTTCCTCTGTTCAGTTTTCAGACAGCTCAACACCTCCATGGCTGTCTCCCAGATGTCAGCAGTTCAGTGCCGGCTGGCTCCCCTCATTCAAGTGATCCAAGACTGCAGCCACCTCTACCATTACACTGTGAAGCTGATGTTCAAGCTCCATTCCTGTAAGTTGCTCTTGTGGGGGTGTGGAAGCATACCATGGTTCAGGTGCAGTTCTGGGACATTTGGGGAACGGTCCATGGCTCAGTTGTTAGGGCAGATGAATTGCATGTAGGTTTGTTCTCTCTGGTTCTGTCTCTGGTGTCTCCCAGTTAAAGAAAGAATCTCAGGTGATGGGAAAGAGGCTGACCAGAAATTCATCAGCCAGTTAGAGACGGTGTCAGTCTACCAGAAGATGTTGCCACTGCTCTTAAGGTGGCCATACTTGAACAAGGAAACTGCTAAACCACAATTTGTAAAGAAGTTAACCTCTTATTCATTTGTGGCTGAGTAGAGTCAGTGGTTTCGTTTCCCATTCCAGATGTTAATTTACTCCCCGTTGTCAGTTCGATTGTTTCATCACTTGTCACTGCATTCTACCTCTCATTGAATTCTCACTCTCTGTACTTTTTGTATTTAATTTTTCTCTGACCTTACCTCCTTACGACCCTCCTCATCCCTTATCACTGTCTGTGTGCATGTGTGAATGCAACCAAGGATTACACTTCATGCATTTGATGAGATGGACTCTAATTCATGAAAGCTTATGGTGTAATAAATTATTTTAGTTCTCTTGGTTGATTTTTTCCAGTCATAGTGGACGATTCTGGATGAACAAAGAGTCTGAGCTGGTATAAGGCAGCTTCTTGGGCTCACAAGTTCAAGTTGTTTTTGCACTCTGATCAGGGAAGTTTTGGAGGACTTCAGATGTCCCGTGAAGGTTTCTCAATAAAAAGAGGAGTCACTGAGCTGTGGCCCTTCCCCACAGCAGGGGTTGGGCAGAAAGCTGATTGGGGTCCACTGGAAAATCACCAGATGGACTGCAGTAGATAAGTACTCACCATCATCATTTATTAAATTTCTATACTGCCCTCCACCTGAAAATCACATGGCAGTTTACAATATAAAACCACAAAAATAGATACCGTAATAACAAACAGAAACAATAACACCCCCCCCACACACACAGTTTAAAAGGCCATAGGGTTTCTGACTCCCTGGTCCGCATGGCTTATCTCACCTGCTGTCACTGCAGCTCACTGAGAGGGAAAGGTTGACATGGTGCAAACACACTGTTGGGAGCACTGGATTGGCTTCAACAGTGCATTTGCACCGTGCTGACCTTTCCCCTGCAGTGATGCTGTCTGGTAAGCCTTACCAACTGCTGCTGCTCCCAGTAGTTTACATAGGGAGTGAGTCAGACCATGGGCCCATCCAGTTCAGTATTGTCAATATTGACCAGCAGTGGCTCTCCAGGATTTAAGGCACTGAGTCTTTCCCAGCTCTGCCTCAAGGTGCTGAGTACTGAACCGAGGATGCAAAGCGGATGTTGTACCACTAACTGCTGAGCTCTGGCCCTTCCCCAAAGCAATGGAAAAATCAGAAGAAGCAGACTCCAAATGCTTGAAGGAAAACTGATTTCTTTATTTAAATCTTCCTTTAAGCACCTGGATGTTATTCTTCTTCTTTCCCTCCTTCTATCCGTGTTTTCTGGGTTTTTCTGATTGGTTTTCAACAATAGCAAGAATAACAACAAAAAGGCTTCCCTTCTGTTCTAAACTAGGCTGGTAAAATTAAAATTGCTGGGGTGGGAGAATCAGGTGTGTGGAAGGGTCAGCTGTCAGCTCACTATTGAAAACTAGTCCCTAAGCTGAACATCTATCTGCTCTGAGCATCATGGTCTTTAATTTTAAGTGTAGGTCTGTGTTCTGAGGATGGACCAGTCAGTCAGTTCCTCATTTTTACAGGCTTAAACTCTGTTTCCTCCCTTTCCACATCAGTTTGCTTGGATTATTTAAAAATGAATTTAATGAAAATTTATCATTTTAGTGTGTACTTCTCCAGATATACACATTTTAATACAATTTTACCTAATACACTCATTTTTGCAGTGTTTTCCTCTAATATTCTGCACTTTATTCTGCAACATATGCTTGGCTGGAGAACAGCTTTGCTGTGTCCTCCGCAAAGTATGAGGATGAGAGAGTGAATGATTTGCCTAAGGCTATGTGGGAAATGGGTTTTTTGGGTGGGACAGCTATGGTGAGATTTGAACTCAAGATTTCACAGTTCACAACATAGCAGCTGTGCCATACTAGCAGCTCAAGGGTTTTAGCCTTTGGTTACCTCTTATCCTTTTAGGCTCTTCTGCCAAACAAATGGGCTCTGAATGGAGTTTATGGATAGTATTCTTTAAAAAAAGCAAAGCCATAAATAACACTCGAAATCAATAAACCATACAGTCCAGACTTTCCCAACCTCGTGCCCTCCAGATGTTGCTAAATTCCAGCTCCCATCATCTCTGACTCCACTGGTTGAACTGGTGGGAACTGGAGTCCAACAAAATGGCGGTTAAGATACAGACTGCCCTTTAAGGCTATGTAGAGCCTGTTATTTGTATTCCACAGTGAGAAAGAATTTACTTGAAAGGTGGGTAATAATAATATCTGTCTTGCTGATGTATGTGAGAGAAATCCCTGCTGATATTTATCTGCTCTTCCCCTTCTTGATCTCTCTACACTAGCTTCCTTCTTTACAGTGGCCTTTCTATCTTTCTTCTTTTTAATTTTAAAAAGGGATTCCCAAGGGGGGAAACCAGCATTCACAGGTTTTCATTCCACCTTCCGTTAGGGAGCTTAAGTATATCCTGCCGTTGGCTTTTCTGAAACCAGGATTCAGTTCCCAGAAGGACAGGACTAACCTTTAAATATGTCATAAGTTTTGCACAAGACTTATGCTAAGGAAAGCCGGAGGATTATTAAGCATATTTGTGTACAGTTGGCCAGATTTGCATTAATTTTGCTGAAGCCATAGAGAGAGAGGGCGTGCAAGGGAGAAACTGAAGCCTGGAAAGACCTGCTTATTTTGATTGTGAACGATGTGCTTCCTTAAGAGTTCCAACAGCCAGGCATTAAATCAGCCATATTATTTATTTCATAAAATTTATACATTGCTTGATTGTTTAAAAATACTCTCAAAGCATTTTAGAAAACATAAAAGAGTAAAGGCAATAAAAGATTTGCAGCCGGAAGCCACATTCCTTTCTGGGAATCATAGAATCCAACTCACTGTTATGTGTATAAAGATGAAAACAGAAGGACCAAAGCTTAGTAGTATTGCTTGCTTTGCATGCAAAAGATCCCAGATTCAATCCCTAGTATCTCCAGTTAGGGTCTAAAACCATCAGTGAGCTAAATGGAGTTTTTCTTTGGAATAGCTGCCAGGCCCTCTGCTTTCGGAACCATGACTTTTCCAAAAGTGCTTCTCTTCCTCTTCTCCCAAACTTTCAAAACCTGCAGCTCAGTGGCAGAGCATTTGCCTTGCATGCGGAGGGCTTCAGGTTCAGTCTCCAGCACATCCACGTAGAACTGGGAACATTCATTGCCCGAAACCCTGGAGAGCTGCTGCCAGTCAGTGTAGGGAGTACTGAGCTAGATAGACCAATGCCCTGACTCGGCATAAGGTCACTACCTATGTTCCCAGCAGATTGTGAAAGAAAGCCTTGGTTGGGTGCCAGGTGTGCTTTTCTCTGGCTCAAACCCCTGTGTGTGCCTTCTTGGCAAATGGTCCATTAAAGTCTTGGACAGCCCGTTCCTTTCTTTTGTCTTCCTCAGGTCTCCCGGCTGATACGCTGCAAGGGCATCGTGACCGTTTCCATGAGCAGTTCCGCAGGTAATATAATAATTAGAATTATATTTATTTTTGTATTTCGCTTTAATCCGCCTTTTCCCCTGACAGGGCTCGAGGCAGCTTACAGCTAAAAGCATATTTTAAGAGCAGTCATTAAAAAACAAATAAATACGCATGGGACTGCACTGTAAAACATTATTTTAGAGATAGGAGAGAAAAGTAATTTAAAAGAAGCGTATATACACCCTTCTCTGGTGAAAACCAGGTAATGACTTGTGGCCTGCTTTTCAATCTGTGCCTGGGCTGAACTACATCACATAGGATGGAATGGAAATCTTTGTGGTTAAGCTCACCATTGAGATTTCCAGAAAACACCACCCCTACTAGTGGGCTTCTTGGACACCGGCTTCTGGTTGGCCATCGTGGAAACCCCAAAGCTGGAGTAGATGGTCCCTTGCCTCATCCACCAGGATTCCTCTTGCGTTCTTAAGAGTCAGACCACCTTGCTGTTGGTTTCAGTATTGACAATTCTGTTTCCCCTCTCCTCTCTGTAGCCTCAAAAGCTTTTTCAAAAGGGCATCGGACATGCTGTACTTCAAGCGACTCATCCAGATCCCACGGCTGCCTGAGGTACAGTCTCTCTTCTGCCTTCTGCTGCTGCTCCCCAACCCTGACAATCTGGGGTAGGCCACCCACTACCAATGCCCCCAACTACTACTGTTTGTAAAGCATTTCCTGAAATTTACCCTAGGAAATTCACTGTGTGTGAGAGGGGGGTGGAGAGGGAGAAAGCACCTGTCTGCCCGATCCGATCTCTGGGTGTGTATTTGTGAGGCTGCATTTATGAGGGTGCCATCTAGCTTCACCTGCACTGTAAATGTGCCTGACTCCTTTTGTTCCTCCTCCATTAGAACCCGCCTAACTTTCTGCGGGCATCAGCCCTGGCCGAGCACGTGAAGCCTGTTGTGGTGATCCCAGAAGAAGAAGCCCCTGAGGACGAAGAGCCAGAGAACCTGATTGAGATCAGTACAGCCCCAACTGTGGAGCAACAGGTGAGAAATGCTAAGGGGGTCTCTGGAGTGGTGAGCTCCACCCACCACTTTTAGGTGCACCCCCACTGGCACTGGATTTAGGGCTGTGCAGATTGTTCCCCACACGAGGTGCTGAGCTAAGGGAGCACAACACTTAGAAGATCCATGGGTGGGGGTTGCAATTCTGGCCTTGCACAGGGAGACATATTATGAAAGATTACCAAAGACTGCCCCTGCCCCCACTAGAAGGTGCTTATGAGGGAATGTGTCTGTAGGAACTGGAAAAGACCATTCTCTCCCCTCCCCCTTTAGTGCATTTGCTGGGTGGGACCACATCATTTTGCTTTAAGGAAAAAAGTTATCTGAAAAAGAGTAGGAATTGGATGAAGTGCAGTGGGTATAGGGAAAAAGATGCCCAACCTCCCACCAAGCTGCATCCCTTCCCTATAAAAAGTGGTTCTTCGTTTCATTTCGTTTTAAAATGGTTTTAAGATGCTATTCTTAGCCGACTTGTAAATGCCTTACAAAGTTGAAAGGATGGCTAAGCTTAAAAAGAAGAAAAGAAAGAGATGTGTGTTGACTGCGCTTGGAATAAAGCCAGGAAACAAACTTGGCCATTGTGCTTGGGCAATGCATTTACAAAGCTGTAAAAATTGGACACACAAAATTCTTGGCAGTGATTGCAATGTTTTCCAAATGGAGCTTTGCTTTCGTTCGTTGTTTCCTGGCTGCTGATGTTTGCTCACTATGTGATGACGTTCGCAGGTCAAACTGGAAGTGCTGCCAGGGCCAGTCTAGGAGGTGCAGATCTGGGAACCCTGCAGAACCCAGAGGGGTGTGCGTGGGCCAGGGGTGTTCCAGCTGGGCATCTTCTCGTGGGAGGCAGTGCATGGTCATGTGGGCTTCCCAGGAAGAGCTGTGGAGCTGGAATCCAGCATGACAGCTCCAACTTCTGCAACACAGCATTTGAAGTAAAATAAAGACACCTTTGTCCACCCCGTATGGTAAAATAGTGTCAGTGTGTGGTGCAGCCCCACTTTCTCAGGGAAGGCAAGAGTGGCCAGGGGGCAGGGGTTGGAAGGCACTTGTTTCAAGGGTCATGCTGACATTTCTATGGCTTATTCTTTTACCATTGTGGCATCTCAGTACTTCCACACAGAGGAGCTTTCAGAAGCATAATGGATCTCAGGTGTGCTGCAGAAACAGTTCCATGTGCAATAGTGCAATTTATTTAGTTGTAGATACATGATAAATAAAATGATGTAATACTGTATCTCCCTAGGAATACAAAGCATTTATGCCATATAGCCATAAACATGAAGCTTCCCCTTCATTGTCAGTCTTTTTAATATTTGTTTCTGCAGAATGTGTCGTCTGATATATTTGAACAGACTTTTGGACCACCCAATGGAATAAGAGATGATAGGTAAGGGTGTTTATCAGCAAAATCTCTCTCTCTCTCTCTCTCTCTCTCTCTCTCTCTCTCTCTCTGTGTGTGTGTGTGTGTGTGTGTGTGTGTGTGTTTTTAAGCTGGCATCTTAATAATGAGGTTTAGCATTTATGCAGCATTCGGACTATTTAACAGAAAAAGTTGTATGTGTATTAACAGTCCTGTAAAGTAGATCATTATTATCATATCTCTCAGCGCTGTTGTTTATGTAGCCAAAAGAGTAAAACCCATTACCCAAGGAAGAGATATTTCCTTGATGGTTCGCACCCAAGGTCTGCAGACATTTGTGGAATTTTAGGCAGCGTGTGGAGCAGAACAGCCCAGTGGGAACTGAACCTGGTCAATGGGTACAAAATACAGGATGACTGTTGGAGGGTGGTGGTGAGATGAAATGGAGTACCCCAGAACAGGGTGGTCCAATGTGCAGCTGGCCCTCAAGGCCTTTTTTTGGCGGCCCTTGGCAACAGTGGATGCCCCCACCCCCCAGTCCTCGTGAGGCTCTCAGCTTTGGGGAGGAGGCATGAGGGTTCTGACAGGGTCCTAGAGTCCTTCCTCCTCCTTCACAAAGCCTATTTGGCACTTTCCCAACTTTGGGAAGGAGGTGCGAGGGACCCCAAAGCCCAGCGCCTCATTTAGCTGGCTTGGGGGCATCAGATTTTGGCGTTACCCACCCACTCACCCCCCCTTGTGACAAGGCAGTCAGTGGCCCACATGTTCCATGTCAAAGTACTATTGCGGCTCACTTGGTATAAAACGTTTGTCCTCCCTGCCCTAGAAGAGGACACACCTTGAACCTAGTATGGGGCTACTCCATACTGCAACTTTTTGGTTACAGACCCCACTTGTTATCCCAGTATTGCTGGCAGGAGGTGGGTGGTTTGAGGCTGAGACAAAGAAAAGGAGAGGCTCTGATGTGGCCCTGAAGCCTTTGCAGCAGAGGAGAGATTTGCCCTGGAGGCCTTGAGCTCATAACTCTTCATCACTATACAACATCAACTCAGAGCATTCTTGTGTTTTTGAAACCTTTTAACCCTCAGGGATCTCCAAATTGAAAACCTGAAGAAAGAAGTGGATCTTCTTCGAGCAGAGCTGGAGAGGATTAAGCTTGAGGTAACATGGGGCACTCTGTGTGCTTGTGTGTGTAGGCAAAGTGAGATGTCTTACTTCAATTAATAACTATGATACATTGGAATTTAGTGGATTCATGGAGATTGCATCATCCTAAGGAAAAAGCATATACATATTTTGCAGAAATTCATAATACCCAGCATAGAATTGATTTCTTTCTAACATCAGCATCATTACATCCCTTTACTAGCTGATGTGACATTGATATTCCCATTATAGCTGATCACTCAGCAGTAATACTGGAATATAATTTATCTAAAAACCAGGAAGGTATGAGGAGATGTATCTTAATATATCATTACTAAATGAAAAAAACTTCATTTAATATATAACCCAAGAAACGCAAATATATTTTAAAAATAACTCCAAATCTTCAGTGTCAAGACTGATGGAATGGGAAGGATATAAAGCTTACATCAGAGGGAAGATAATATCTTCTCTGCCAACAAGGCCAAGCTGCAAAGATTAAAAGAAAATAATCTAAAAATTTCTTTAAAAACACTGTGGGGCGATATGGCAAATAACCAATCTAAGGTTACATATGAAAGAATACAACAACAAACATTAGAGATGAATAATATACTAGCTCAAAAAATTGAGTTCAGCCTACTAAGTCTAAGACAAATATATTGGGAACAGGGAGAAAGACCGATATTGAAAGGTGGGGACCTCTAAACCTCTCCCTTTGGGGAAAGGTTAATGTCCTCAAAATGAATGTTGTTCCAAAGCTTTTATACATTCTTAGAGGATTACCAATGTATATTCCCAAATTATACTTCCAAAAAACAAATCAACTATTTAGATCGTGCCTGTGGGGTACAAAGCCACCAAAAATATCACCACATAAAATGCAACTTCCAACTAAGGAAGGCGGCTTTGGGCTCCCAAATCTGGAATTGTATCACCAGGCTTACTTGCTGAGTAAGACTAATTATTGGAGAGCTTAGCAGGAATCCCAATTGGGCTACTCTCGAATATAGTTTCTTTGAACCTCTTGTAGGGTGGACTAAACTTGGCTCCAATTTTATGAAATATCCTATTATGCTGGAGACTATTAAAGCACCTATAAAAATTTGAATGAATATAAATAAAAATAATAAGGATGACCGCTATCAGCATGAGAAATTAACAATATGGGCCAACCCAAAATTAAAAATTGGAAATCAAGTAATAATTTTGCAAAATTGGATGAAAAAAGGTATTTTGACATTGAATCAATCAATTGATGGAAATTACAAATTTGTGGAATATAAGACTTTGCAAGTAAAGTATGGATTAACCAGTGAAACAAAATGGCAATACATCCAATTGAAACATATGTTGGAAAGGCAGTTTGGCCCTGACTTTATAGCAGCATCAGAAACACCCATGCTGCTACAAGGTTTAACCTCTGCAACAAAAACAAAGAACTCTACACTTGCACTATATAAAACCCTACTCAACAGAAAGAAATATGATTTAGAATATGATAGACAAAAATGGAGTGAAGAGTTAGGGGTACAGATAACAAATGATAAATGGGAGTCAAGTATAAAATCAACAGAAATAGCTTCTATGGATTTAAGACTTATTCAGCAGAAAATAATATTCAGAGTCCACTGGACTCCAGCAAAACTTTACCAGAAAAAAATAACAAGTGCAGACAACTGCTGGAGATGTGGGAGTAAAATGGCAAACTCAGTATATATGTTGATTAACTGCCCGATGATAAGATCATTTTGGTGTGAGGTGAGGATATTTATAGCAGGAGTAATAAAAAGAAATTGTTATTTAGGGGAACTGAATTTAATTCTAAATTATATTCCAGAAATGTGGGAGATTTCAAGGGGTCAAAAAAAAATGGGTGTACCGTGCTATATTAGAAGCAAAAAAAATTGTTTTGATGAATTGGAAGAGCCGCAAAAAGATTTCATTGAGCACATAGATTTATAATATGGACAGATTAGCTACATACGAATGAATTGCATGTCGATGAAAAATAAGAATGTGAATCTGAATTGTCAAATTGTATTATTATTGTTATTATGGTTTTTGTTGTTTGTGTCTTTTGTGGTTGATTTTATCGAAAAAATGATTAAATAATTTTTTACAAAGTGAGATATCTTACTTTGGGTGCTACAAAAAGGAAGTAAACTGATAATTTTTTATATTTTTATATTTTTACTGCTAGGGAGTAGGGAAGAGGCGCTTGTGAGATTTTGTATGTCAAGTGCTAAATGAGCATTGCTTGCCTTGAATAATTCGGCAGAGAGTTGGTGATTGGCATCCAGTGAGCTTTATGGCCATGTAAGGATTTGGTCCCAGGCCGACATTCTTACCATTGCACCACATGGACACTTGCTGCTTCCCCCAGTGGCCAGCAAGATGCCTGTGTGGGAAGCCCAAAAGCAAAGGGCACAAGAGCATCCTGCTTCTGATCCTGCAGGTAACACACTAGCTGTCATAATTATAGCCATTGCTTTGTATGTGTTTTGCTGCAATACTCAGGCTCAGAGATACATCACTCAGCTGAAGGCCCAGATTAACAGCCTGGAGGCGGAGGTGGAAGAGCAGCGGAAGCAGAAGCAGAAGGCCCTGGTGGACAACGAGCAGCTCCGGGATGAGCTGGAGAGGCTGCAGAAGGCAAAGCTGGAGGGAGACAAGAGTCGAGGGCTCTACCTAGAAGCAGAAAGTAGGTGGTGCCTTTGGAAAGCAGGTTATGTGTGTTGACCTGTGCTTTTCTAACAGCAATAATAAGAAAATCCTATTTATTGTGCTAAGGAATGTGCACTTGGCACTGTCTACCTCAGGGATGGGGAGCCTCAGGCCTGGGGTCCAGATATGGCCCTCCAATTTCTCTGCCTGGCCCCTGGAACTACCCCAAGGCCCACACACGCCCTCTCTTCCCAGGCCATGCCTCTCACTGGCCCTGCTTCAAACCCTGCGTGTTTCTAGTAGGTTATGGAATGGGACCTTGGGCTCTGATGTTGCCTCTTTCTTCTCTGGATGGAGGATAGAGAGGGGTGTGCAAGTGTATACAGAAGTAGTGATTCACATTTGTTCCTCTGCCTGCTGTTGTCTGTGGCCCCAGCCACCACTGTAATGTGGAAGGCTGCCCAGAAGGAAATGTGTCCCTTTAACTGGAAAATATTGCTGACTGCTTATCTGCATAAAAAAGCATGTGTGCTTTGCCTGAGTTTTGACACACCCACCCCAAACGCACCACCAGCCGGAAGCAGTTTTTGATGGCACAAATTACTTCCTCATGGTCCTGCAGCCTGTGGAAGCTAGAACGGCTGTTGGCAGTCACCTGTAAGGCAGGACCCACAACCCATTTGCTTGTTCCTTGGGACAGGCTCTTCTGGGCAGCTAGTTGCCCACCATGGCTGCCAAGGTTCAATAGTTGGACTGAGAATGCAGCTCATGACAATCTCATTCCTTTTTCCAGAGAAGGCCAGCGCCACAGAAACCCGCTACATCAAGCTGAAGGAGAAGCACAATGAGTTGATCAACACACACGCAGAGCTCCTGAGAAAGGTAATGACAGTGCTGGCTGCCAACTTCCCACACTGTTCCATTGGGTATTTGCATGCAAGAGGAGATGGGAGGGCGCCTCCGCATTCACATTCCACAAGGGCTGGCTTCTCTCTTAGTCACAGCCTTCGGTTCCAGCAGTGGTCAAGCATGGCTCTAAGTCTCTGGCTTCTGCCTGCTTCCAGCCCGCCTCGCACACACAGCTCTGGCTTTTTGTCTTTCTCACTACCACCCATTTGTCCTCAGGCACAGAGCAACTTCTTTTGCTATACTAACAATGGTACTCGCTGGATCCAGGGTCCAGGAATTAGAAGGGACCCAGGCACCATACAGACTATCCCTGCAATCTCAAAATGATGCTTAAAATATGTTTGATGTTTTTTAATACCAAGAATGCAGACACGGCCAAGCAGCTGACAGTTACCCAACAGAGCCAAGAGGAGGTTGCCCTGGTCAAGGAGCAGCTGGCCTTCCAGATGGACCAAGTCAAACGGGAGTCAGAAATGAAGGTTTGCTGCTTTGATCTCTCTTCCCCTGTAACAGGGCAGGGGGCTCCCTATTCAGAAACTGTTGAGGAGCTGTTTTGATCTAGGGGTGGGCTGAAATAATGTTTGGTACTAAACATCTAAAGCACCTGACTTTCTCCCAAAGAATCCTAGGAACTGTAGTTTGTTAAGGGTGCTGAGATTGTAGGCGTGTGAGGGGTAAACTACAGGTCTCAGGAGTCTTTGGGGAGAAGCAGGGTGTGTTAAATGTGCTTTAACGGTATGGTGTGAATGTGACCATGGAGACTAGGCGCAGCTCAGGACATAATTGAGGGATGGCTCAGCAAGCTTGAGTCCCAAGTTTGTAGTGCCAGGCCCCTGATTCCTGCTGCTCCCCCCTTGTTGACATTAAAAAAGAGATATTGGAGGGCGCAGTTAGGTGTTAAGAGCTCAGCCACACACCACCTTGATTTGCTCAGAGGCATCTGAAAAGTTTGCGCATTTTTACAAGGATGCACTTTCTCTTTGATTCCCTCTGTGTAGTTAGAAGATCATATGTTGCAGATGGAGCAGGTGAAGAGAGAACTGGAATCTAAGAAAGAGGAATTGGCTCAGCTTCAGCAGTCACTCAGCCGTTCCAAGCAGGTATGCAGGCTGGGGTCGTTTGTGGCCTGTGTTGTTTGTGGGGCTGAGGGTTAAAATCTTGCAGTGGTTTCCCCTTCCCACATGATACTCTACTGAGGAGTCTCTGATGTATCAGCCACTGAGAGGTACCTTTTTTATACAGGACAGCTCCTTATTGGTTATACCCCATGTTAGCTATACTCAGAGTAGACCCATTGGTGTTAATGGGCATGATTTCAGTGGGTCTGCTCTGAGTATGATTTAGTTCAAAAGAACTCCATGCATTGTGAGTTAGATTTATGTATAACTTTTTTTTAAAGACACCTTTCAATTTAGAAAACTTTGAAGTCAGCTGACAACTATATTAAATTATATATCGTGTGTGTGTATTATATTGCTTTTGTTTGTTGTTGTTTCAAAGTTTGACTGCATGTATCTTTTGTAACTTTGTATGCTGCCTTGAGCACATGTAGGTATAGTCAAGCGGGATTTCAATCCTGAAATAAATCAAATTAAAACAGCATCCACTCGGAATAAAAGCCAGCATTAAAAATAAAATAAAATAGTAGGGAGCTCTCATAAAATAGCAGTGGGAGTATTCCTGTGGGTTGTCTTGCAAAAAGCCATGAGGCATCTGTCTCCACTTTGCTGCCCTGCTGTGCAGTCCTTTGCCTTAGGTGGCCCATCTTGCACTGTCCCAATGTTAAGGGTGCTTTGGTTGCGCCTCCCCTGAGAACCCTCTCCACTACTCTCTAGAGAAGCTCATCTCATGCTTTTGATGTGCCCATATACTAGACTGTTTATTGCTTATTGTTTTTTCATTTTATTCACAGCATTTATATGCAGCTCTTTAGTTGCAAAGGCTCATGGAGCAGCTTGGAAATCATTAGAAATAACACAAGCTTACAATCTAAAAAGCCATGATGTAAAAAGGAAAAGGGGTGGGGATGGAAGAGGAGCTCAAACTGGTGTTTGTTTGGAGCACCAAATTGTTGGAAGGCTCTGATAATAACCAGCTGGGATTAAAATAGCCCATTTTTCTTGTCCCAAACTCACCAAAAGTTGAGGTTTGTAACTCAAATCCTTCACCTGTTCCTTCGCCTCTTGCAGTGTCATGTGGTTTAGGTGGAGGAAACTCCTCTTAAGCCTTCCCACCCAAGTCATCTTAGGTTAAATTACCTCATGAAGAGGACAATGAGCATGTGAAAAACCGCATTAGTAGGGGGAGGTGATTGAGAGGGTGGGGCCAAGCTGAAGCGGGAGAGCTGGGCAATGAAGCTGTGAGCCAGCAGGTCGCTTGTCCTCCATGCAGGCCGGTTCAGACCTCAACACCCAACTGGAAGCCCTCCAGGCCGAGAAGGAGACACTGAGGAAAGTGGTCAGTGAGAAGGACTGTGAGCTCATCTCGACAAAGGGCCTGATCCAAGAAAAGGAGCTGCTCTTGAGCCAGGAAGCAGAGAAGAGAGCAAAGGAAGTTCAGGAGCTGCAAGGGAAGCTCTTGGAAAAGGTACTCAAGGGAGAAACAAAGTCTTGGCAGCGGAGGCTGGTCCATCGGGTGTGTGGGATGCTGCCCTGACAGCTCGCTCTGTGCTTGGCCAGACCTCTCCTGCCTGCTTACCTCCAGCCAGCCCAGGGGATGATCCTGGCTATCAGCTTCCTCCTCCCCAGGGCTCCTCCAGAATGGTGCTTTTTGCTAGAGTATTCTGAAACATGTCATTGACACAATAATAGAGCATTAGTGGTGAATTTATACCGGACCATCCACACTTCATTCCGCTTTATTAGCCATTCTGCGATGCTTCCCCAGCGCTCCTGCATTACTGTTGTCTTGAGGGGCGCTCCTGCACTGTAGGGCAACAAAAGTGAGGCAAAAGGACCCCTAGAACATTTGTGGCATGAAAAGTTACAGGAATTTCTGCAGAAGGTTACAGGACATGCGCTGTTTGGAAATGAAGCAGGATGTCTGCCCTGAAACTTTTGTAGGTGTGAACAGTATTGAAAATGGGGTTGTGTATAACCATCCTTATATTATCATGAGCACAAACCATCATGAATGCACAACAAGGATGTCTGGAAGGGCCCCTTCCTCCCAGTACTGCCATTACAGGAGTCAATATGAGAACGGGGGCAACACTAGAATGCATTGGCTCTGTCCGTCATTGGCTCTGGCTCCGCCTGCCATTAGCCTCCTTGCCAGTTCCCAAAAGACACCGGGCACAACTGAGCCTTGGAAAGCTTTTGTCTGGTTAGGGAAGGCAAGGGAAACAGCGGGCTGAGCAATGGAGAGAGGGAGCCAGTTAGCAGCACTGTAGGCCTCCCCTTTGCCCAGTCTGGATCATGAAAGAGCAGTGAATACGTGGGTCCCGGGAGGGCACTGTTAACTTAAACACTTTGGGACAATCCCACAGAAAGGTCAGGAACAGAACCTGCAGCAGAAACTCCTGGAGGAGCAGTTCAGCATTCTGCAAGGGACAGTGAAGGAGGCTGAGAGCATCATTCAGGACGCCGTTGCCAAGCTGGACGATCCTTTGCACATCCGATGCACCAGCTCACCAGGTAGGTCTAAAGGTCCAAGGGCATGGATGAGTCTGACAGTGGCTTGGCTTTGTTTTGTTTTTCTTAACCTATTTTTTAAGAAGAGCAAGTTCCTGTCCCTTGTAACAGCCCAGGAATCCTTGAGTAAACCTCTCAAGCAAGCCTGGCATCATTCAGAATCCTGAGGCAGTGGCCAAGGCCCTCCCAGGGATGCCTGTCCTAGCCCCCTCCTCTCAAATCCAGCCCCCACTCCATGCTCCAATTAGCAACCTGAGAGAGTTGCCTTTTCGATGTCCTACAATGCCCCAAGTGATGCTGCATTGAGGCCATTGTGAGACATTTAAATGGCAGCTGCCCCAGACCTGGTGGTCTGCCTGTCTTGGAGCACTGCCGCTGCCAAGGAATCACACCAGGGCTGAGCCCCACAACCCCTTTCAGGGATGTAAGGGAGGGAGCCTGCCAGGGGAAACCTGGGCAGCTGAGGCTCCTTCACTCCGGAGCTGGCTCTGCTTCTAAGGCACACAAAGCACGAGAGTCCATTTTATCTTGTTTTCCCATAGGCCTCCTTCTCTGCCCTTGCTTTTCTCTCCGCAGATTACCTCGTCAGCCGCGCACAAGCAGCACTGGAGTCAGTGAACGCTGTGGAAAGTGGACATGGGCGCTACCTGTCCAACCTGGCAGGTAAACATTGCTGGGTTGCCGCTGCAGTTCTCCTACTTGTGGGGCAGGGTGGGAGTGTAGGGAGTCTGGTGTTGCTGGCAAAGACAGATTGTGCCTCTCCTGCCATCACGAACATTGTTTCTTCAAATGCTCCCCCCCCCCCGGCCAACCCCCTCACCAAAAAAGAAAAGCTAAATGTCTGGTGACTACATGGAACATTTCACCAAGTGGTAAAGCTTCAGGCTGATTTTTAATCCTTGCACTTTTAGCTATGTTCTACCCCCCACCCCCCGTGGAGGGGGTAGGTCTGGGGGATGGGTTTGGATGGAGTCAATAAAAGGTGCAGCCGCAAAGCCTTCTGCTCACGAGTTATCCAGTCTTGGAGGTGTTAAGCCTGTGCCTTCCGTTGCTGGGGAATGCAGGTGGGGAAAGTGCTGTTGTGGCAGGTCCTTTTGTGAGCTTCCCAGAGACACCTGGCTGGCCGCTGTGAGAACCAGGTTGCTGGACCTTTGGCTTGAACCAGCCGTCGGGTTCTTCTGATTCTTTTTTCTTTTTTCTTCTCAAATGTTTTGCATTGAATTTTAATAACAACAAGCAAGTTACAGAAAAAAGAAAGAAAATAGTTTTTGTTATAAAAAAAACAAGAAGTTGTCACAATTGCCAATAAAGTATAGGAAACAGCTGTGTGATTTGCGGAGTCAAAAATAAAACATATCAAGAGGAAGAGGATGTGTAGTCTATAATTGCAAAGGGTTCCATGGTCTGAACTGAAACAATTACAAATTGTTATTTCAAAACAGAAGATTAAAATACCTTGAACTGTACTAAACCCAGACACTTGCACAGCCCTGTTTAACCTGAGCTGCTGTATTCGTGTATAAAATGAAATTGGACCAAATGACAAAGATAGTGATCTTGAGCATTTTGGGCCCTGAACTCTTCTGATGTTCTTATGGGATGGCCACAGTTCAGAGCTACAGTGGGGTTAGAAGAGAAAAGAGCTGGGGGAAGAGTTGGACTGAGGTTAACCTACGTTTAACCTGGACAAACCTTCAGGGTCTCTGCTCCTTGTGGTGCTTAGCTGAATGCTGCCACTCTGGGCTTATCTCAAATGAGATGGTTTTATCCCTGTGATCCACTTCTGGATTTCCATCTTGGTATTTCTCTTCATTTCTTAGATGTCACTGGATTGGTTGGTGCTCTGGCCCAATTTGCCCACCTGACTGCAGACACCATTGTGAATGGCAGTGCTACTTCCCACCTGGCGCCCACAGATCATGCAGACAGTGAGTAAATTTGCAAAGGTTCTTTTTCCCCACCCCTGAAGTCAGAAGTGATGCAACTCTTTTCACACGATTTTCCTGAATGCGAAACCTGGCTTTTAGAAATGGTTGGAACCCAGTGTGTAAGGACCAGGAGACTTCAAGCGCCTCTTTGCTATCTGGTTTTTTTCTTCTTCTTCAATCCATTCATGCATCCTCTAAACAGGGGAGGGGCAACTTTTGCCTGGCTGGAATGTGCCCTTGACCTCTGAGAATGCTTCTTGCATACCTGGATGGGAGGATAGAGAGAGAGAGGCATGAATGTGTAGAAACAAGCCTACCATACAAAGGAAAAAACCACATTTGTTCCTTTCCCAATTTTGCCTACTGCTGGCATGTGGCCCCTGGAAACAGAGGAGGTGTGTTAACTGTGTGCAAATTTGAGCATGTTCATCAGTCTCTAAACTCATAAATTTAGCACTGAAGGCTTCTGTAATTGGGTGACAATCCTAGAACTTACTATGGGGATAAGGAGACACAAGCATGGTCAGGTGCAAGAATAACATCCATATTTCTGATGTGTGTAATGAACTCTGCTCTTCCTTGGGGTTTGTACTGGGCTCTTATCCAGATTACAGATCAGGCCAACATCCTCATAGCTTCCACAATCCTGCAATATCTGTTATTCCCAAAGCATACCCTGAGCCTCAGGACTTCCACATATTTGTTCTGAAATGCTTCTCCTGTAGCTCCTCCAATGAAAGCTAAAAAATGAGCTTATTCCTGAGCTTCCCACAGTCATGCTAGTTTCCCTTGTATGTGTGTAATTTTTATTTTATTTTCTTCTTCTTGCCAGAATTGACTGAAACCTGCAGGGACTGTGGGCAGCAGAGTCTGGACTATCTGAGCAAGCTGAAAGACAAACAGTCTCTCCGACAAGCAGATTTGGCAGATGTGAGGAAGAGGCTGCTGGGACTTCTTCAGCTGGGACAGGTAAACAGAGTTGAGGAATGGAGTGGGGAAATCCATTGGGGAACACTGTGATCTCACAATTTATGCTTATTAGTGTACTTCTACACTTCCCTAACTTGGCCATGGCAGTGAGGAGGCAAAACATAGAATTGTAGAGTTGGATGGTCCAAGGGGTCATCTTGTCCAACCCCCTGCAATGCAGGAATCGCAAGTAAAGAATCGCTGACAGATGGCCATCTAACCTCTCTTTAAAACCTGCAGTGAAGGAGAGCCCACCACCTTCTAAGGGAGTCCATTCCACTGTTGAGTGACTCGCTGTCTAGAACTTATTCCTAATGTTTAGTTGGAACCTCCTTCCTTATAATTTGTATCCGTTGACTAATGGTTTCTTTCAGTAAAAGAGCAGCTAGCTGTGTAATGCTGGGGTGGGGAAACTGCAGCGCTCCATATGTTGTTCAACTACGTTGTCCTTGGCCATAGGCCATGCTGGCTGGGGCTAAGGGGAGTTGGAATCCAAAAAAACTTGAATGGAGGACTGCAGGATCTTCACACTTCAAAGTGTTGGTGTTGACCTTTGAAGCCCTACATGGCTGAAGGAGCGTCTCCACCCCCATCGTTCAGCCCAGACAATGTGGTCCAGCACTGAGGGCCTTCTGGCAGTTCCCTCACTGTGAGAAGTGAAGTTACAGGGAACCTTCTTGGCAGTAGTGCCCTTCCTGTGGAATGCCCTCCCAGCAGATGTCAAAGAGTTAAGCAACTATCTAATTTTTCAGAGATATCTGAAAGCAGCCTTGTTTCAGGAAGCTTTTAATGTTGGTTGTTGTTGTAGTAGTAATAATAGTAGTTGTTTGCTGTATTTTTGTTGGAAGCCTCCCAGAGTGGCTGGGGCAATCCTGTCAGTTGGGCAGGGTACACAAAATTTCTTCTTCTTCTTCTTCTTTTCCATTTGAGCCAAGTGTCCCCTTTAAGGACTCTCTTTCTATTTTGACCAGGAATTGAGACCCAAAAGCTTAGACATCCGGCAAGAAGAACTGGGTGACATGGTTGACAAAGAGATGGCCTCCACCTCTGCTGCAATCGAAGACGCGGTCAGGAGGATAGAGGTGAGATGAACCTGTTTGGTTGGTTGTTTTATTAATAGTCAACCTTTTAGGGAAGGCCGTGTGCAGCTGAAGCATATCCACTTGAAATACATTTGAGTGGTAAAAAAAACTACCAGGATTCAAGAATCAGGGGCATAAAAACATTAAAGGAAGGCAGACTGAACAAATAAGTCTTCAAGACATGTTTGAAGGCCTTTTGTAGTTCTGAAGGGAGTTCCGCTGCACCAAGTAGACCCTGTCCTTTCTCCCCACCACCCTAATTAACAGCACTTGTGGGCAGTCAAGTAAGTGCCACTGTAGTTGAACTCAGGGCTTTTTTGCAGACGGAACTCAGTTCAGAACCTCTTTTTCTAGAAAAATAGCATTGGTTGAACTTAATAAAATGGGCAGATGTCATATGGGTGAAGATGTACTTGAGTGGCAAAAGGAGAGTACAACTCCGCTCAATACACAACTGCTTGACTTGTTATTTGTGATATTTTTAGGATGCAGTAAACTCCTTAGCACTTTTCTTTTGACGTGTCAAGCAGTATATAATTTACCTAAATGAAACAAATAAATATAAATTACCCAGATAAATGATTAATAGGTGGACTTCGCTGCCACAAGATGTAGTGGTTGGTTGGTGGCTTTAAAAGGCAATTGGGCATGTTTGTGAAGAAAGAAGCATGTCAGTGGCCATTAGTCCCAATAGCTAAATGGAGGGGGGTGGGGGTGGCATCATTGTCCTGCTTAACAGCTTCTTTGAAGCATCTTGCTGGCTGCTATAAAGACCAGGGGCGCCTTTGTCAATTAGACCCCAACTACAGGCCTGTTGTGCTGCCCGACTGAATGAAGCTCTGTTTGATTTTTCTGCAGGAAATGATGAATCAGGCCAGAATAGAGAGTTCTGGTGTGAAATTAGAAGTAAATGAAAGGTGAGTCTGCAGGATCAAAGATCCACAAGGATGTAGTTTGCACTTGGGGTACATTTCTTTTTCATTTGCAACACTTCCAGCTAAAAAAGAATTTCTGATAACACAGATAGGAAAGACTTTTGCCAGGGACCTGGAGAGAGCACACTTGGAATACCACTTGGAGATTTTGAAAAAAATAAGTGTAATAATAATGATGATGAGTTATGGTCATCTTGCCTCAGAAACAATATTGTAGAGCTGGAAGACTATGATGGACCTTTGGCCTGATCCTGCAGGACTGTTCTTACATTCTTATCTGCTACCTGTATTTCTTTATTCAAAGAGTTTTCAATACAATCACATTTCAAATCACTTTTCAGCCATGAAGCTCACCCTGAAGGTATATATGGAAGGTATATTTGGGAAAGTAGTTATCTCTCTTGATCTAAGCTGCTAATCTTGCCGGGTGGTTGTGAGGATAAAAAGCAATAATCCACTGTTTGTTGCCTTGAGCATGTGGATTTGCATAATATTGTTGGCACAGACTGAACCCCCAGCACTCAGCGTTTGAACTGAAGCATGAGTTTTCCTGTTTGTTTTGCTACTGAATAACCTCTTGCTGTGCTGTAGAGGTGATTCCTTTTTACTGAAGGGTCTCTTCTCCCATGGTTCAGCTCGCCTGCCTTTTGTTTTGTTTGTGTGCAATAAGTGTAGTGTAGTTCCAGAGACCTGAAGAGGCTTTGCCATAGATAACTAAGGAAGGAGACGCTGTTGGTGTGCATGATTATTTTCCCCTTCAATATATTCTTGGGTCCTAATGCTGTGTTCTGTCACTAGATGGTAAAGGGACGCAGGTGGCGCTGTGGTCTAAACCACTGAGCCTCATGGGCTTATCGATTGTAAGGTCAGCAGTTCGAATCCACGTGATGGGGTGAACTCCCATTGCTCTGTTCCAGCTTCTGCCAACCTAGCAGTTCGAAAGCACCCCAGTGCAAGTAGATTAATGTAGTGGGAAGGTAAACAGCATTTCCATGCGCTCTGGCACTCCTCACGGTCCTCCATGCACCAGAAGTGGTTTAGTCCTGCTGGCCACATGACCCAGAAAGCTGTCTGTGGACAAATGCCGGCTCCCTCGGCCTGAAGCGAGATGATCAGTGATTTTGACTGGACTTAGCCACCTAGGGGTTCTTTACCGTTACCTTTACCTAGTAGATGGTGCTGCAGTGCTGGCTGTTTACCTCTTTTTATATCATAACACAAACAGCATTGCAGTGATCCCTGGCGAAAGAATTGAAGCAATTCACCAACAAAGAGAAGAGTGAAATAACCACCCCCATGCTTTTTCGTTTACTGTGCACCCTCAGAGAATCAATTTCAAGGTTCCTTGGGAGAAACAAGAAAAAGTGGTTTTAAACTGTTTTCCCTTGGTAGTGTAGATGCAAACAACAATAGAATCATCATTATTTAAAATGTTATTTCCAAATTTTAGGGCTTAATCAATCCTTTGAGAGAGTTAAGCATCTTCTTTTTTGTTTCCCACAGAATCTTGAACTCTTGCACAGACTTGATGAAGGTGAGTGCCTTTGTAATTTATTAAAGCCCCAGCTAAGTACTTGAAAAACCCAGCTGTTACCAGATGGCTGGACTTCTGGAGGGTATTTAACACTGCATGGTTAACAAGATCTCTAGATATTCAGCATGACCTTTTATTTCAGGTTAGCATTGCCACTAAGGGAAGTTTCAGAAGTATTGTACTGTGTCTGGAGGGTCAGGTCTTTTTTGTTGTACTGGAATCCCTAAAGCTGTAGGGAAATCCTTCTATTAAACAGAGTGGTTTGTTGTTTTTGTCTCTTTCAGGCAATCAGGCTTCTTGTGATGACATCTACACATTTACAGAAGGAGATAGTAGAAAGTGGAAGGGTAAGGCTGTTCTTTTTGGACCTTATGTTCTTCCTTTGCATGAAAAGTATGGGGGGCACTGAACATCTGGCAGGGAGAAGCCTGGAAATGTGGGCTGCACCAGCTCCTTGTGTCACATCATTACTTAAGACTGAAGACTCCCAAGTAACGGTTTTGTCTGTTTTCTCGTGGCCTCTATGAAGCATTTAAAGCTATATCAAATGCTATTCAGATAATGCCTCTTCCTTCTCTACAAGAGAACCTGTTTTTATTGCATTCCCAACCATTGGCTATGCTGGCTGAGGCTGATAAGAGTTGGAATCTAGCAAGCCCTGGAGGCCCAGAAGATCCCCATCCATGCTCGAGAGCAGGGTTAACCAAACTTGGGTCTCCAGCTATTGTTGGACTACAACCCCCATCATCCCTAGCTAGCAGGACCAGTGGTCAGGGATGATGGGAATTGTAGTCCAACATCATTTGGGAACCCAAGGTTGGAGAAAGGCTGCTCTAGAGTAAAGAATGCTGAGAAGGAACTCCCCTGACCCCACCTCTTCCCTCTCTTCTCTTGAGTCAGTAAAACAACTCCTGCTGCAGTCCTGTATTAAGCACCCCAGCAGGGCCTCCTCTTGGGGAACCACTTCCATCAGGAATTGTGAGCCTGTGGCTCTCCAGAAGTTGCTGGACTACAACTCCCACCATCCCTGGCCGCTGGCTGTGCTGGCTGGGACCGATGGGAGTTCTAGACCATGTTCCTCCTAATCCCTGAGCTAGACGGACTTCCTGCCACCACTTGCATCCGTCCCCAGTATAAGGCGGCTTTGTTTACCCATTTGTGACCTTTCAGTAAGCACACCTGTCACCCCAGTCTTTGAAGAAGCTACCAGAGGGTGTGTTTTCCAGGCAGAGTTGCATCATCTTTTCCATTTTGAAGCATGTTTTGCTTACCAAATAAAGCTCAGCCTTATTGTGAAAGCTAAGTGTCCTATCTCTCATGGAACACTAGGGGGCAGCAACACCGCAGGAGTTTTATGCCAAGAACTCGCGTTGGACGGAGGGACTCATCTCTGCTTCTAAAGCCGTGGGATGGGGAGCAACACAGCTTGTGTAGGTATCTCAATTGCTTGGGCTTTCTTTTCCAAGCCACTTGCTTTGTGGATTGAAACACAAGGGAATGGCTTCACTAATCCTCTGTCTTTTTGCTCCCCACTTCAGAGAGTCTGCGGACAAAGTTGTCCTACACACAGGCAAATATGAGGAACTGATTGTCTGTTCGCACGAAATCGCAGCCAGCACAGCTCAGCTTGTAGCTGCCTCCAAGGTAATCACCCCAGAAGGAAAAATAGTCTGCACTCTTCTCAAACTGTGCAGAACTGGGTGCAGTTCACATGCCTACAGCCCCATCTCAGAAGCAACATGCTTTGCATTGGGCTGGGAATTCTGGATTTTTTGCTCTTAGAACTGTACCAAAAACATCCAATGAAATCTCAAATGAGAAAGGAGAGTGAGGGTTCTGTTGCCAAAGTAGGCTCTAGTGTGCCCAGAGCCCCTTGCAGAAGCAACTTCCTACATAGGTAAAGGTAAAGGGACCCCTGACCGTTAAGGCCAGTTGCAGATGACTCTGGGGTTGTGGCGCTCGCTTTACAGCCTGAGGGAGCCAGCATTTGTCTGCAGACAGCTTCCGGGTCATGTGGCCAGCATGACTAAGCCGCTTCTGGTGAACCAGAGCAACGTACAGAAACACGGTTTACCTTCCTGCTGGAGTGGTACCTATTTATCTACTTGCACTTTGACATGCTTTTGAACTGCTAGGTTGGCAGGAGCAGGGTGGGAGCTCACCCCGTTGCGGGGATTCAAACTGCCGACCTTCTGATCGGCAAGTCCTAGGCTCTGTGGTTTAGACCACATGCTCAGGTACAAATACGCTTAGCAGCTATAACTCATAAGAACACCATAAGACCCCTGCTGGATCAGGCCAATGGCCCATCTAATGTCGCGTCCTGTTCTCACGCCAGCCAGATGCCTGTGGGAAGCCTGCAAGCTTCCCCACCCGTGGTTCCCTCAGGGGACCATTTTCCTCTGCTACCATCTTCATTTGAAGCTTTTTGCATTTCCTGGGTTCATTCTCAAGGCCCCAAACCTGAACCCAGAAAAAAGCACACTGCCAATCCTCTCTTTTCGCCTCTCTCCTTTTGCAAAGTGGCTGCAGTTATCAGAGGTTGGCCCTGGGGGAAAGATGAAGGTGTAAGGTACCAAAGGAGAGTTCTCTCCCCCGCCTTCACTCCTCACTGGTTTCCACAAATTCACAGAGGAGGTTGAGGCTATCAGTGCTGATAACCATAAGGGATATGTACTACCTCCAATATCTGAGGTGGGTGCTAGGAATCGCAGCTGGGGAGAGTTGTTGTTGTACTTGGGTCCTGTTGTGGGCTTCCCATAGACACCTGCTTGCCTGCTGTGAGAATAAGATTCTGGACTAAATGGGCCTTTGGTCTGATCCAGCAAGACTCTTCTTATGTTCTTATGAGACGCCCCCATTTCAAAGCAACTGTGGAATGGCACGCTCCTTTCCTACCTCTCTGGTGGTGCTCAGCTGAACGCCTCCACTTTGAGGAGTGCCTTTGCTCACTTCTCTTGAAGGATTTCCATCCAGGATGTGGGACTAGATGGCCCTTTGCTCTGATGCAGCAGGACAAGACTTATGTCCTTAACCTGCAGACTAGGAAATAAAACAGCAGAGATTTTTCAGCATCCTAAGCTCTGCCTCCAAGTTGTTTACTGTAACAAGTACGTACACAGCCCTGGTTCTGAAATGAACTGGCCTCAAGCTGCTGCTGCTCAAAGCTTTAGGTTGGACTAGCAGACCTTTTTTTGCTCGTGTTTTCCCTACACCTGGCAAAAGATTTGAAAGAAGCAATATTCTTGATGATGGCAGGTGAAAGCCGAGAAGCACAGCAGAAACCTAGGAAAGCTCCAGGAATGCTCGCGCACCGTCAATGAAATGGCTGCCAATGTCGTGGCTTCCACAAAGTCAGGCCAAGAGCAGGTTGAAGACAAAGGTGAGCTGCTGGGGTCTGGGCATGGCAGTGGAGCTGGGCGTGGAGGTGGGAAACGCAGCGTGAAATGGCAGACTTGCGTTCTTGAAAATGCCTTTTTAAAGGCTTTCTGGTGCTTGCAAAATTATGAGAAGGAAAGTGTGACATGAGGAGAACAGGGCTAATATGAAAGGCCAACAGAGTTACAGTGGAACCTCAGGTTACATATGCTTCAGGTTACATATGCTTCAGGTTACAGACTCTGCTAACCCAGAAATAGTGCTCCAGGTTAAGAACTTTGCTTCAGGATGAGAACAGAAATTGTGCTCCGGCGGTGCATCAGCAGCAGGAGGCCCCATTAGCTAAAGTAGTGCTTCAGGTTAAGAACAGTTTCAGGTTAAATACGGACCTCCGGAATGAATGAAGTACTTAACCTGAGATACCACTGTATTTATTTATTATTTATTACTATTACCCATACTCAGGGTGGTGTACATGCTGCTCCTCATTTATCCACACAACAACTCTGTGGGGTAGGTTGGGCTGAGCAACTGACTATCCTGGGCCCATTCAGGCCGCAGTCTTAAAATGCAATTACCAGGAAGTAAGGCACCATTGAGACTCACTTCTGAGGAAATACAGTGGTATCTCTGGTTAAGAACTTAATTCGTTCCGGAGGTCTGTTCTTAACCTGAAACTGTTCTTAAGCTGAAGCACCACTTTAGCTAATGGGGCCTCCCGCTGCTGCCGCGCCGTTGCGCAATTTCTGTTCTCATCCTGAAGCAAAGTTCTGAACCCGAGGTACTATTTCTGGCTTAGCAGAGTCTGCAACCTGAAGCGTCTGTAACCCGAGGTACCACTGTAGTGGCAGGGAAGCACAAGTGGGGAGGGGGCTGTTGCTTTCAGGTTCTGCCTGCAGGCTTCCTATAGGTATCTGGATGATCTCTGTAAGAGGAGGGTCTCTCTGGAGTGAAACCAGTGCTTTAATCACTGAACTGGACTGACTCCACGGGCAGTTAATAGGGCCTTTGTTTTTTGTTACGTTATGTTACACAGCACACTGTGTGATAAACACTGGAATTTGGTTCCACAAAATGTGGGGCTGGCCACCAACCCAGGTAGCTTTGAGAGGGGATTAGACAGTTCCATGAAGGAGGAGGCAGCTAGCCATAGAGACTAGTCATGCTGGCTCTCTGGGGCTGGCCTTGTGCCTCTGAGTTCCTGGGGAACACGGGTGGGGGAGGGTGACTGCGCTCCTGCCCTGCTTGTGGTCTTCCCCTCTAGAGACATCTGGCTGGCCTCTGGTGTGGCCCATCATGTCTTCTGTGGTTCTCAATAAGAAACTACTAAGCTGTTAATGAGAGAGGAGTTATTTTGCATATTAAAAACCCCTGCCTAGCCTTTTTATAGCTGTGAAGTTTTATGCTTGGTGCCATGTGCAACTTCCAGGGAGATGTGGGCAGAACTTCATTGAACAGCCTCGTGTATTGGACTAGATGTGTTGGGGGCAAATATGTTCTATTGAAGAGCAAGAGGCTTTTCTAAAAGGTGCAATAGCACAGACGGCTTTCCCCAAATGCTGTTATTGCTCAAAATGGTGAAGGTTTCCAGTCTTTCCTGCTACATACTAAGTTGCTCAACACTCCTACTGAAGCAAGAACACACTGGTGAGGGGCTGGGTTTAGGGTAGCAGAAAGTGGCAACTTTTCAGTTTTAAAAAATGCCCCCCACCTCCCTGCTGAAAACATATGTAGTTTCTACAACAAACTTGCTTTTCTCTTCCTTTCAGAGACCATGGACTTCTCTGGAATGTCCTTAATCAAACTTAAGATGGAGGAAATGGAGACACAGGTGCTGTTTGGGTTCTTTGGAAAAACAGGGGAAGTGTTGAAAAGATTCCTGGGGAAGTATAAAATAGAAGCTGGGTTCATCGTTCCCAAAGTGACTCTCACACAAGAGCCAACTGCCCCTTGAGCATCTGAGGGATGAGATGTCGTCAATGGGACATCTTTAAATAGGCCATGCAGACTGGGGTTTCATACTGGTGTTATGTAAGCCATGATTTGTTTGCTGAAGAGCAAGTTGAAAGCAAGCCTTAATAAGAATGGGCAGTTGCTGCCTCCTCCCACCGTATTTAAGGCTACAGAGGTTGAGCCTGACTCTCCTTGCCCAGTAGCCCTTCTTTGGATCTGTCTGTCTACTCTAATCCTTACCTTTTCCCACAACAGTGGCTTGATTTCAGCATGTCAGTTACAGCTGGCAGAGCTTGGAAACACAACTAGCCTTTCAGATGCTGGTGTCCTCCAGCTGTTTTGCACTACAACTCCCATCGGCCCCAACCAGCATGGCTGTGGGTGATGAGAGTTTCGCATGGTCCAAACCAGTTGAACAAGCTGAGCAAGGGGTGGACTCTGTGAATGTTTTAGTAACACATAACAGCCAAGGGTTTGAATATCACAGGGCAGACAACAGAGCATGGAGAAGCAGAGGTAAATGAGAACAGCGTGTCTTCGTTCAGCTACACATACCGTATTTTTCCATGTGTAAGACTAGTTTCCCCCCCTAAAAAATAATGTCAAAAATAAGGGGCGTTTTATACATGGGGGCATCCTATACATGGGAAAATACGGTACTTGGTCCCCAGACCCTATTCTCCAAGCCTAAGCAGTTGTGCCAAGACAAGGCAGTTGAGAAAATGAGGTGTGGGACACGTGTGGGGCTGCGTGGATGCAATTCCAGGCATAAGGAGGAGAAAAGACAGCAGTGGGAGACCTTTTGGCCACCTGGGAGTAGAGATGCCAAGTTAGAAATATTCCCGCACTCTGGTCCATGGGAGTAGATCTATGGATAACATGTGGACTAAGCAAGAGTGACTATGTTCAACAGCTGCATAAGAAGTGGGGTGTCTCTGATATTTCTCACTCCCCATAGCTCAACAGAGAATGTTGCTTGTTGCAGGTGAAAGTGCTGGAGTTGGAAAAGACCCTGGAGAATGAGAGGCTTCGTCTTGGTGAGCTGAGAAGGCAGCATTATGCCTTGGCTGGTATTGACTATGAGAGCGCAGAGGGGGGGAAACCAACAGTTGCCCGCAAGCCAGGCAGCTTAAAGAAGCCTCCGGTTGCTCAGAAGCCTGTCCAGTCCCTGAAGCCAGCCTGTGAGGTACGGTATACTCTCAGCCGCAGAACAAGGGGTGTGCATGGTTGCAGAAAGCAACAGCCTTTTCACAGCAGTCAGGCCCAGAAAACATTATGAGGCTAGCAAGCTTATGTGATTCATTCATTACCAGGATAAGTGCATGTTTGTCACGGTTGTACGGGATTCACGTAGGGAAGCCAAATCGAGTTTTCCCCTCTGAGGAATCCTCTGGAGACTCTGCTTGCCACAAAAAATGGTGATTCCCAGGCAGTGGGCATAATACTGTGGAGGGTGCAGAAGAGCACTGCAGTGGCTAAAGGGAGACTGAGGAACATGCTGGGGCACGTAATAGTGTCTGTAGAATGGCAACCAATGCTGCAGTAGTAGATTAAAACAAATCAGCAATACAGGAAAGCATTTCTTCACACATCTAGTCTGTGCAATCTGCTGCCCCAAGATAACTGCCATTTGCTGAATGAGAAAACACAGCCGTTCACAAGCTGCGGCAAGGGTGGGCAACTTGTGGCTCTCCAGGTGCTGCTGGACTGCAGCTCTCACCATCCCTGGCCACTGGTCATGTGGGCTGGGAGACCAAAAGCCTCTGGAGGACCACCACAGGTTCCTCATGCCCTTGGGCTTTATGTCTCCATGCTTAGAGGCAACAGAGAAACATCAGAAGGCTGTGAACCTCCTGGGGTGGAAGATGCAAGATGCTGGACTTTGGGAATAATCCTCTGGGCTACTCTTACTGAAAGGGTCACAAGCTAGAGGGAGCTTCTTCGTTTTCATTTATAGTACACCATCCAGGATACAGGACACCCTTTCCAGCCCCTATCACTCCTGCCCTTTGGATCGTTGGAGGGCATCAGCTTGAGGGCAGGCAACAACTGTTTCCCATTAACTGATACATCCCTAACTTGATTGGACACAAGATTTTGCCTTAAAAGCATCCCCTCTAGTCTCAAGCACATAGAACTGACATGCATCATCCAAAAACAGTGTGTGTCTTAAAACAGCTGCCACAAATAGATTGATTAAATCTCATTGCATTAAAATTTCTTTTAGTTGGGTAGTAACAATCCATATCTTATCATTTTCTGTACCTGGTCCAGGAGGATGGTGTGTTCCAGGCACATGTTGTCAACTTCTAAGGTGTAAATGGCAAACGACTCAACCTGGAAAGGAAGAGAACAGCAGCAGGAGCAGAGCAAAGGGCATGTGGGATTCAGCTTCTAGCCAGCTTGATTCTTCTTCCTGCTGCCCGGAGGGGTTCAGGCACTGTGCCTTGCCTGCTGTTTTCCTGCAGGCTCCAAGCAACAGATTTCTGGGCGGAAGACTCAAAGACTGTTTGCCTTTCCACAGAGAGGGGGCTGCTCTGGAAGGCCCTGAACTATAGACATTCCAACATTTAAAAATGTCTGTGTTTTAAACAGATACAGATTGGATAAATCCTCAGTTGCCTTGTGTCTGGCATTGCCTTTACACTGAAAACTTACTTCCTTGACCAAGAAAGAAGCAAAGGTATCTTTGAATTGTATAGCTTGACCTGATCTGTAGTATTAGAACGACTGCTTTCTTAAAGCAACAGTAGGCTGCCTGTTACCTATGTGGAACACAGATCCTAAATGGGAAGAAAGGGGAGGGTGAGGGGAGAAAGTTTACTTTGTGGATATCAGTTATTTATAAGCAATAGGAATCTTGTGCTGTTTCGAGTAAACGTTGGTGTACCTATCACTGTACTACAGGAGCCTTTTTAAAGAAATGTGATCCCCCCCTCCCCTTTTTAAGTAGGCTGTTTGGATTTCTTTGTAGTGTTTATGCTACAGGCTGAAAAATGTTTCCCCCAGGATGAAAACTCTGAAAAGGATAACAATCTTTTTAGACTGTCAGTTTTTGTATACGTATTAAAAAGGAATAGGATTTATTTACTGTACAGAAAGGTTTGACAACTTCTAGAAGCACTGCAAGCAGAGAAAAAGTCTACACTGGTTTAAGGTTATAAAATTCCAATTTAGGAATAAAATGTAAAAAACGACAACCACCCAACTCCTATCACAATTATTGATGGAAACAGTTGTAGAGTTTGACATTTAATAGGGGTGGTGGTGGGGAGCAGGAGGATTTGCAACTTATAGGAAAGCTAAGGGGGTGGGAAATGAACCAAATGCTAAATTTTAATAGGACTATTTAGCTTATTAAAATGGATTAATTGCCTGAAACCTTGTTCAGTGTTCTGTTTTCCTGATATTTTTCTAGATCATATTTTTACAACTATTACTTAGTACCACCTCCTTGAAGCTGGCTGGCTTCAACATGTGGGCGTCTTCTCTACCAAGTTGTCCAGCTTGGCTTCTCCATTTAAGCCATTAATGATATTGCTGAGCAGGTACTTTACAACTGCCAAGTTCAGTCCTTCAGGCCGACTCTATATAAAGGTAGCTTCACTGGGACATTGTTCTTGCCAAGTGTATCTAGTAGAATTGTAGCCAGAGCAAGATTTCTGCTATTGGAACTGAACCATGGCCATTATTTTTGGTGCTTGTTGTACCTGCAAATTGCAAAGGACTTTAGTACCACAAAATAATTATCCTCTCCTTTGGAGTGTTTCTACTAGCAAAAACAATGACATTTTAAGCAAATAGCTGGAAGTCTGCCTTGATTTGTTTACACTTTGTGGTATTCTTGTACATAAGCAATAAAATAAGACAAGTGGTGTGTTAGGATACTGAAATTGCTGTGTGAATGTCTGAGAAAACAAATGGGTTATTTCTTGCCTTGACGTTCCAACAGTGGTAGCTGTCAAAATTAAGTGGTGCAGTATTCTTTTACAAAGTCAAACCAGCCTCAGCACAGAAGCAGTTATCTGCATAGTTAACATATTTCAAGGTAATATATTTCCCTTTTGACGGTTAACTAGGTGGCTCAGTCACTTTTTTCCATCTTTGTCAATGGGAGAGGAAAGCAAAGTGGCAAAGTGGTACTTTACTGAGCAGCAATCGCACAATGTACACTCATGGGGAAAAGAAAGTACACCCTCTTTGAATTCTCTGGTTTTACATATCAAGGTGTTGCACTGGCCCAGTTGAAGTCCAGACCTCAACTCAAATGAAATGCTGTGGCAGGACCTTAAGAAACCTGTGCATAAACAAATGCCAACATTGTAAAGAAGAGTGGGCCAAAATTACTCCACAATGATGTGGGAGATTGATAAGTCATACAGAAAAAGATTAGTTCAAGTTATTGCTGCTAAAGGTGGTTCTACAAGCTACTGAATCCTTAGGTGTACTCAGTTTTTCACACATGGCTTCTCCACTTTGGCTTTATTTCTGTTAAATAAATCATGGAACAGTGTAATGTGTCATGTGTTGTTGTTCATCTGACATTGTATTTACTTAACAATAATTTGTTCCTTAGCAGGTTTTAATATTATGTCCTCATATATAAACCCACAGAATTCAAAAAGGGTGTACCCCCCCCACGACTGTAAGAGTTGAAAAAGGTAATTTTGAGAAGACACACACCCATAAGCCAGTGACACATTTGTACAAAATCTAGCATTTTTTTATTCGGTAATCACTGCAATCTTGAAATTGTTAACAGCCAATTCTACAAGAAAAACAAACGGCTTTCAACACTGAAGCTCGTTTTGAAACCACATCCTCATCAGTTGTATAGCACAAAGGAAACTTTTACAGACTTGTTACATTAGGAACAGTCCTACTTCCAGAAGTGAGATTCTGCTAGAGGCTTAGTTAAAAGTATCCAGTAGCTTCTCTGGGGGTTAGAGGCAACACGCTGCATGTCTTCCTAAGACTAGTTTACCCTGGGATAAGTGTCAAGCAGCCTGCCCCTGAGGCACAAGCGACAGGATGATGCCTCAGAATACAGCCTACTACAGAGGATTACCAAATTGCCAGCATCTGACACACCTGCTTCTTTATTGGACTTAAATACACTGCCAGCCTCCCTTAGTAAAACTAGTTACCTATCCTAAGTTTGACTCTTCTTACGTACTAACCCCACCCCACCTCTTCTGCATTCTGCTGCTACCACTGGATGTATGAAGCTAATCCAGCAAAATCCACTTATACTTTCCCCACAATATATACAATTACGAAATAGGCATGGTCTAATGTCAAGCAAGTACACTGTGAAATTCCCTTTCACAGCAGACATCCCTCCATGTGTATACTCTTATAGAAAGGGCAATTAAGACAGTTGTGTATAAAAAAAGTGGCTCTCCCCTCTCCAAAACACACACACACAACCCTGCCAAGGGAGTATGGCTTTCTTCACCTCACAATAGTGTATGTTCAATGGGTGTTTTTTTTTTTTTTAAAAAAAACATCACTAGCTGCACAATACAGGTATAATGAACAAAAACACATTTGCAATTTTTTATATAAAGGTCAGCAAAAGAGTAATATCTGAAATGGAACACTAAAACAGTTTATATTCTAACGCTATTTAAACTTCTGAGCTTCAACTGCTTTTGTTTATTAAAAAAACTTGTAAAGTTTTCAGGTAACATTTGCCACTTGCAGGCATCTGAAGTCATATGTTGAAGTGTTTTGAAGAAGGTTATGACCAGGCGGCTCCTAAATCTTTTGCCACTACTGGAATCAAGTCTACTCCATAAAGGGGGAATGCTTGCTCAACACATGTTCACAAGTGGCCTTCAGATCAAGAAGCCCCACCCACGGTGGAGTGCCTCCCATTCAAATGCCATTCTCACCTTTGTTACCCCACAACTGGTTGCTGGTGGCCAAGCCCCACATGTAATACTTCCTTCTGTATGAATGCAGAATAGAAGGAAGTGGGGTGCAGGATCAGGGTGCAAGCAGCAGGTATTGGTGGGGAAGAAATCATTCATCCGTTTGCATCTGACTCCTTTGGTTTCATCTCCACCCAGGTCCCACTTAATCAGAAGAAATGTCCAACAGTGTTCTCTCGTAAGAAGCGTTGCATTCATAGGACCTCACAGGACAGCTTGCTTTCTGTGCTCATCCCCCAACATTTTGCTGAACATTTGGACTTCCACCATGCAAGAGGGAACAAAAGGTCTTGCCCTCCTTCATGCAGTTACAAACATTTGAAAGTATGTCTTGCACAATTAACAACTGCATTTCCTGCTATCACCATTTTGAACACAATGACATCTAACAAGTGCTCCGCTGTAGCACCAGCCAAGCGATAACCCCTAAGCCACAACTGCAACACCTTCCTCCCCCTGCAGAGCCCCAGGTGGCTGTTGCCTGCATCCTCCTTTAACTGCCACATCTGAGACAAACAGAAGTTCTTCTGGCAGGCTTGATTTACCAGCCTACTGGATCAGCCCTCCCCACCTTTTCCTTGATTACAGCAGTTTAGTAACAACGGCTACCAACCACATATTTACACTTCTCACCACAAGCAAATTGCAGATACTGCCTTGTGTTTACTTTCAAAATCCTGCATCATAAAAAGAAACCCTCAGAAAGGAGCCCTTAGAAAAAGACAATTGAATGGCCACTGAATTGAGAGATATGCAGGTATCTTTTATCAGCAAGTCACAAACAGTGATCCTAAGGCACACATCAGCCATGATGCACTGCTGCTGGATACAAAGAGAGCCCACTTTTGTTGCTGGTAGTGCGGTTGTCTTCTCCATGAGGAAACCCTGAACAGTCCAGCAATTGCAAAATACATTGTTGCTGCTTTAAAAGGCAAAATTTCTTTAAAAACTAGTATTGGGCTTTGGGGTTCTTTCTTGATAGGGACAATCACTGTCTAAAAACACTTTAGAAAGTATATAAATATGTTTTGTGAAATTTGTAAGTGGGCTTGCGACCGCCTCTGTTGCACACAAAGGATGCTCACATGAGAAGCTATCAACTAAGGTTATACCACCATTACAAACTAGAGAAATATTTAACCCGTTTAGCCCTGGAGAATCTGTGAGAATGCCAGTAATTCTACCACCAGCCCAGCACATGCTATCTAAACTTAAGATGCCTCTGCCTCAATTGGTCAACATTTCTACCTCAATTTAGACATTTGCCTCAAGCTTTTTTCTTTTGAGTGTGTAATGCTGAGGGTGGTGGTGGAATAAAGATAGCCAACAGTATACGAACAACCAATTTCTATTGTTAAACAAAACCTATTTTTGAAGGGGTGGGCAGACATAATTGGTACCTACATTGTGTCTAATTTGAGGGGCAACTGACAGAGTTATAGCACCAAACAGAGGTCTGCCTTTCACTTAGGCACTCAAATGTGAGCTCTGAAGCAGCAGTAAAAAGATGGCTACATTAGCTCCAGTGTTTGTATTCTGGTTGCTGGAAAAAGGATGACTTATCATCATGCTGAATGAGTAACACGACTGGCTGAAAGACTCACCCAATACTGAACTTCTGGGAGAATTTTTAATCAGATCTTCAAAATTAAGTAGTGTTACAACCACGGAATGGCCTTCACAAGCCACTCTGGCACCCCAAAATGCATTCAAATGACTCATCTGAACAAGTAACAGACAACTTATTTGAAACATAAACCAATTATTCAAAGGCTGTTTCAGAAGCTCCAGTTTATGGCTCTGTCTAGGATTAAGTCAGGCGTCTTACTCATTCAGCCCCCTTAATCTTTTAGCACACAGAAGTGACTCATAGGAGTCCTCCATGCGCCTCCGAGTACACAAGAAGCATCCTTTACAAGAAAAATTATGAACAGATGATTAAAGGAACCAACTTTTCAAATTCACCAACCTCCAAAGGTTCATATTCCACACACAATAAGCAGCACAGAAAATGAAAATGAAAAAAGGGCAAAACTCAAGTTACCATGCCCAAATAAGATTATAATAGATACAGAATTCAGCAAATACAGGTATACTTTTGTCACCTTTTTTTTAAAAAAAGAGATCTTGTGTCATCCATGGAATACTAAAAGCTTATACCTGATCAGACCCTAGAAACCATTTTTCCTACATCAAGCTAGAATTTCACAATTCCCCAAGATTTGCACAGTAGGACTTAGTCATACACCAAGATCAAAATCTTGGTCCTGGCAGAATTAGCCTCAGAGTCCCACAGCCAGATGGGAAGAGGATATCCTGTTCCAAGGCAAGTGTGAATGGCCTCTAACAGAAAAATGGCAGTTCAAGGACGGGCACAAATGCACACGGATTTCCCATGTTTCATCTTTTATCTTCCAACAGAAGATTATGGCTTGAAGAAAGAGGCTTCCAGGCTGAAAGGTTTTTGCATTTTGCTCTTTTAGCCAGCTTACCCAAAAGGGGCAGTGATCAGAAGAATGTAAATATGATACAATATAAAGTTTCTTATGGCCATTTTGTTTTGCAAAGCTGACAAAAAATTAGCTCCTGTCGTAACAAAAAGGGCACCAGTTACAGTCTAGGATGGCGTGGGGGGGGGGGCGGGAAGAAAAGTGGCAGAAAGAAAGTTGGAGGGTTCATAAGGAGGTCTAGATTGGCAACTGCAGCTTGGTTGGTTAGTTTTTAAGTAAGTGTTAAAGGGCATTATGCATTAACAGCAGGCCTTCTTGAAACTTCCACAGCAAAACAGTTAAGGCAGGTTGCTAATGGATGTGCTGCTCCAACAGCTTCACACTTTCCTCCTTGCACTCTTGAGCTGTGAGAAATGCATGCTTTGTGAAAAGCTGATAGAAATGAAGAGTGTCGCTACAGCAGCTTTAAGGAAGCTGCCTATGGATGGCAACTGTTTTACTTCCATGTTCTTCACAGTCAAGATGCACAAAGCCGCAAATTAGTTTGAAGCATGTTTTCCTGCCACAAATTATCGAAGTCCAATGCAGATTCTCTCTCTCTCTCTCTCACACACACACACACACACACATGCACGTACTTAATTTGGAATTAAAGTAGCTGTAGCTGTAAACATCAGTTTCTTCTTACTTCTACAGCCTATATAATTTTTTTAGTGCATAGACACAAGTTTGGGGGTCCTGCTCATCCACTTCAACAGCGTTCATAGCTAGAATTCCCACGGTCTATTTTCCTAGCTCGGTTAAGAGGGAGGAAATTGAGGAAGATGGTATAATGCTATGAACTAACCCATGACTTTGCACTGCATCTGAATCTGGGCCCATGGTTTATTTCCCCCAGACAAACCACAAGCAGCAAACCAGAGAACAAGCCTTGGCTACAAATCTTGTTCCTGGCAAGCCATAAGGCCAAGTCTGAATGCAACCCAAACTCAACCATGGCTCAAGCTTATGGCAGGACACCAGCAGCAAGACTAGAGGAGGCGCTTCCTTAATGGTGGCCAGTTTGAAAATCACACTCATGCCAACTACCTTGAGATACACCATTCAATAGCATACAAGGCAATCCTGCTGACTACAAAGAAAGAGCAGCAGCAATTTAATCTGCATTTCGCTTCAACTAATTTCATAGCCCCGTATAGAACAAACTACTCCTGCAAGATGCTGTGCTGAAAGGCTTAAGGGAAAACTGGTAACAGAAGCATTTGAGAGCGGAAGTAGCTACTCTGCTCTAACTACATTGTGTGTTAACTACTACTGTCTCTGTATTCAACCCTATACCTCTATCACACCTCAAAAGATTTTTCTTTTTTCTCTCCATCGGCTTCTTAGTAAGCTTCTGCTAGTTTTATGCTGAAGAATGCAAGAGCATACAAAGACAGTAATCAGCAAGGTTCCCTTGACCTGGAATGTGGATGAGTCCCCTGAAAAATTTAAGGCTCAGAACCATTTCCTACTGAATTCAGCAACAACTGTCCCTCTCCAAACACTCTTGAAACATTATTCATTTTACAGCTATCCACGCTTATTAAAATGAGAGATCAATCAAACACACCAATGAGCAATGATGTGAAATTGGTGTGCTAATCCCTCTACGATCTTTTACCCCCTACTAGACTCTTGGAAGGAACTCCAATGCAATGAAAAATTGCATTTAGCATATTTAGCTGTTATTCAGGACTCTGTCACAGACCCATCTGATAGCAAGAGTGAGCCCCCAGAAGGACTAAAGCAACAATGAAATTTCAAGACTCTGAAACTGTCACATGACTGCAAAAGTTAATTAAATACAAAAAACTAACAGCCAAGATTCATTCAAGAGCAGTCAGTCTAGAAAAGTTTGTAAATGGAAGCAGGTCTTCAATTTTAAGAAACAAAAGGTTTGGAAGACTAGAGGGGCATGGAGGGAAGAGAAAGCTCTCTCCCGGCTCAATACGAAACAGATTCGAGGTTCTCCACGGGGTGGGAGTTTTAGCTTAAGATGTGATGAAAATATAAACTGATAGAACTAATTGCCCATCAGATTAGTTAGAAGTCATGACACACAAAAGTGTGTTTGACAGAATTTGCTCTCCACAATGCAAGAAGACAATACAGGTCAAAAGCCTTTTTAAGACGACCCTCTACCCTACATGCCACAATGAAGGAATTTGGGAGACAGACTGATGAGGAGAGAAGGGTGACAGCAAGCAGAATGGGGAGGTTGCAGAAGGTATCCAATGGAACAAAATACAAAATTTTGGATCTGGTCCAAAGATCCAACAAGAGGAGGAAAAACGGGTGTCCATTCACTACTTATTTTTTTTAATCCTGAGACTTTCTGGAGGTCATCACGTTTAAAAAAAGTTGATCGATCCCTACCACACATTTAAAAAAGGCAATTTAGGGACCTACTTACACTGGCATCATCTCACTGAAATGAATGGGATTACTTCAGCATGGGAAGCACCTTGTCCCGCATTAGGTGCTAAAGCCTCAGTTAGCAAACACCGAGCACAAGCACCGAGTCACCAGGGTTGCTGGCTGGTCCATTTTACTGTGTTTTCATAGTCAGAATGTATATGCAACAGCTACCATTTAAAAGATCAGAACAGAGATTTTTTTTTTTTTGCAGAAATAAATTGAAGTTCTTCATGCGCAAATCAAGTAGAGAAAGAGACACGATCCCTTGGGAAGTCACAGTCATTCCACACTGACTTGAAATCTCTTAAGAGCTATGCAAGTTCCCACTTAATATGGAAACAATCAAATTTACAGTTCGGCTGCCCTACCACCCTTCTAAGCAAGTGTTTTATGCAGTTGTTGATTTAAAACAAAACAAAACATGGCAATGTTTTGCAGGATGCACTGATGCACAAGTTGTCAGCTATGATTTCTTGTGTGCAAAGTCTGGAGATTTGCCACTACTTAGGTTTAGTTTGTGGGAGATAAAGAGTAAAAAGTTCAGCACCAAAACACAAGAGTCAGGGCATGATGGCATCTTCACTGTAGGATAAAGCCAGGGTTTGGTGGGAGGCGAGGCGGTGGTCTTTGGGGCAACGCTGGTGGGTACTGTGGGGTAAACGGAGCTGAATATCCTGGAGGGAGCATTTGAGTAGTAGATGGAATTCCTGTTCGAGGGGGGAGCGGAGGGTATGGAACACCTGAATAGGGGAGGGCTGGTCCTGCATTCATTGCTGCTGTAAAGGGAGTCGGGAAGCGTCCTGCCGGGACTCCTGGCGCCAAGGGTGGCGGTGGAGGATTGCGGCGAGGCAGAACAGAAGGAGCAGCATTTGCCTCTGAAGTCTGAATTGCTGGTGGTGTCTCAGTGGCTCTCGGCTGAGGTGGCACCAAGGGAAGTCTTGGTCCCTTCAGCACCATCTCTTGGAGTTTTTCTATCTTTACGCGTCGCAAATGAGCCAGTTTCCTTTGGCTCTGATATTCATCAATGAAGGTGTCCAATGGAACTTCACCATCCAGAAATTTCTCAGCCATGTTCTGTTGCAAACAACAAACAAACCATTAGGGGAGGGACACACTGCAGAAATACATTCCCTAATCAAAAAACATCAGGCTCCATCCATCACTGCATCTCTTTCTGCTAAAGAGGGAAGGAGAACCTGTGGGCCTCCAGATGTGGTTGGACTCCAGCTCCTATCAGCTGCAGCTAGTATGGCCAATGTCAAGGATGATGGAAATTGTAGTCCATAGTCATCTGGAGGTCCACAGGTGACCCATCCCTATGCAAAATGAAAGAATATAACTGTCTCAGCTTGCAGCAGCACAACCAATGAGCTGCGCTGCCAAGGCTCGATCCTTTACCTGGGAAGCCAGACAGTGGCTCAGTAGGGCCTATTGTAACTGGCAGGAACTTCCCGAGGTCTCAAGACAGAAATTGCTCTCAGCCCCACTATACACGATTCTTAACTGCAGATACCAGGACTGAACCTGCTACCAATTACATGCAAAACATGATGCTCTGCCACAGATCAGTAAGGCCTCTGAAACACTGAGCAGCTCTTTTTAAAACATTTACTGCACTTATATCCCAGCATTTTTTCTCCAAGGTGTACATGGTTCTCCTCTTCCTCGTTTAATCTCCACAACAACCCTGCGAGGTAGGTTAGGCTAAGAGGCAGTGTGTCATCAGCTCTTTTCAAGTACAGATCTGCATCCAAGCAGCATTATAAAAGCAATAATCACCTCCCTGTGGCTTTTGCTAGGAGGGTTAAGTTGGTGTTTCCCTGTCTGTTAGAGACAGGAATGTACCGTGACATAATTTTCCAAATGGCCAGCCAAGTTGTGCAAAGGCCACGGGGTATGCTAACTGGGAACATATTAATAGGAATATGGATATTTTAAGTATACAGACACATATGAAGCTGCTTTATACAGAGCCAGGCCAAATAGTCCACCTAGCTCAATACTGCCTACATTGACTCCCAGCCTCGCCTGGAGATACCAGGGAGATTAAACCTAGGACCTTCTTCATGCAAGGCAGGGGCTCTCCCACTGAACTATGCCAGAGAATACTCTTCCCTACTTCAAACTGGACACATGAAACAAGTTACACAGATGGCATGAATATGGTGAGAGTATATGCTTACTGTATATACTGCAAATCTCCCTGGAAATTTATTATATAAATTTAATAAATAATGATAAAAGTAATAAAGGAGAATGTTTTTCCCAGCAAAGAGCTAGAAGAACAGCCATGAGGGACAGTGGACTATCAGTGATTAGTCTGAAGCTGACTATTTTCCTCCCACTCCTCTTTCATCTTCAGGGGGTTTTCTTTCCTGCAGAAGTTACTACTAGCTTTTCTTATGGCTTCTGAGGCACTTGGAGGCACTGGAAACAGCCTGGGATCGAAGAGAACATGGAAATTAACTTCTGCCCCTCACCTCCTCCATTCCCTCTCTGATCTGAACCTCTAGACACTGTCCATATGTTTGCAACCATGACTACCAGAGTACTTTTTTGTTTTTAATATAAGATTCTCAAGACGATTTGCTTAAGAAATTTCGCACTGTTTTTCTGCCAAGAACCTGGCATTTAAGCCAACTTACATAATTGTGTTACATGCACCACACACAGAGCCTTGAAAACATGCAGCTATTTCTTTGCACAATGTGACTAATACAGCCAGGCTCTCTGCACTAACTCTGTAGTGCAGTGACCAAGGAATTTGCTTGTTTTCAACCCTAAGCAGCTTAAAGCAAGGATAGAGTTTAAAGCAAGGAGGCTGCCATCTGTGGCAGTTATGTAGGCTCTGGAAATTTTTCCAATTCATTTTTTTCCAGTAAAAATTTGCTACCCTACAGAATGATTTAACTATCATTTAATAAAACAAAACTTTGAAACTACCAAGCTCACTTAATATAGGATTTTCAATTAGTACCCACTCATAGTAATGAATTTATGGAACAGAAAATCTTTTGTGAAATTTTTTTGGGGGAAATGTTGTGCCCCACACCACTGACCTGCAGTGCTTGTGGCCTCCTGAACTACATTAAGATCACAGGCTGGTGGTGGACCAAGCAAGGTGGAAGGAGCTGTCCAGCAGTGCCCAAAATTCAACTCACCAACAGGAGCACAATTTCTGTAAGTGCTCCGACAAGCTGCTCTGTCCTTCCAGCTAGATTTTCATGCCCATTTCCTGGCTAAATCTGAGGGGGAATAATGCCACATGCCCACTTCTACAAGGTCAAGCTGTAGCACTGAATCCTGGGTTCAGAAGGGCTCCATGAGACACCCTTCCCTACTTCCCAGCTGAGCCACTGCTCAAGCGGTCCTGTGAAAACAGTCATACTCAGGGAAATATTTAAGTCGGTGGGCTGTTAAAGTAATCTGTATTTTTCTGCAAGCTCTTTTAGGTGAAGTGATAAGATTGCATTGAGAACCCAGAGGGGATAAGAGGTCTTCCAATGCCAGAGGCATGTTGGCATCTTGATCTCCTGGGCTCTTTTCACTGACCTCAGTGTCTTCTTCAATTTTAGCCCCTTCTGTTTGAAGCAGTGCTAGAAGGGTCTCCAAGGAAGCATTGCTGGATTGTCGGTCTAAATGGAACAAAAATCAGTAAGAGATATTAATCAAAGCAAAATTGCTAAATGAAATATTAAACTCCAGACATTTTAGGAAAATAATTCTAAAAATAAAAAATATCCCCAATAATGGTTGATCTAACTCATGGGTGGCTAACCTGCGGTTCTCCAGATGTTGGCCATGCTGGCTGAGTCTAATGGGAGTTGCAGTTCAAAAACATCTGGGAAGTCACCAGTCAGCCATCCCTGATCTAACTGAATACATGTGGCAGCCTTAGCTACTTACATTTCTACTGACCCTTAGACAGCAACACCCTGTATTCATTTACACCAACCAATTTAGGAATGATAAGTATGGTTTGCCACAGAGTTCTACTGCATGCCCATTCTGCCAGACACTTAAAACAGGAAGATGCAGAAAGAAGGGTTCATTACCTAACTTCGTTTTCTTTATTTGATATGCTTCGAAGATAACCTGCAGTTCTTGATATTTTTGCGTCAATGCAGCCTTCAGGGCATCCAGCTTTGGCTGATATAAGAGATTGCCTTCTGCCAGGCTGCGGTTGCTGGCAAGAGTCATGTCCTTGCTAAGCTGAACGTTTTGAGCCTGCAAAAGAGAGGAAGTGTTAAATGGGCAACATTTCTAAGGATTCTATTACTGACTAAACATAGTAGTCAACACCACATGCTAGTTGTCTACTAGCAGGTACACTACCTAGTTGCAGCAAAGGAAAATATGGGACCAGCTAACATTGGCTCCTCCCCTTCCGGTGAGGGAAGGAGGGAGACGGGATGGCAGGGTTTGGATGCGACAAAAGACTGCAGAACAACACAGACAGTTGTGACCTAGAGGCAGCATTAGGTATTAAAATGTGGGGCCCCAGTGCAAGCACACAGAACTGGTGTTAATTAGCAGGAGGAAAGGATGTGTTGCTATCGGATTTTCTGCCTCACTTGAAAAAGCCTGTATGTGCAGCCTCAAATCAGACTAGCCAGAAATGCTAACTCTCTAAAAATAAACCTGCCATTTTAATCTAGTGGACGAAGGAGGGCAGAGAGAGAAGATAGGTTTACAAGAGAGGGGCTTGAAAAACCAAACACTACATGGAAAGTTGGCTTGGCAGAATCTCGCACGAGATCTCTAATAAGATTTGTAGATCAAAGGGGAAATTGTAAGATCTGAACTCAGTCATTCAGCAGAAGTGAACAGCAGGATACTGTTTCCTCTAATGGGACAGGGGGGACAAGGCCCTGTTTCCTTGATTATACAAATCTGATAAAGAGCTCTTTATTGCATTCAGGAGTTAGCATGCACATAAGCCGCTCTCAAAAAAGACTGGATATCTTCATTTGTTGCCTACATATGTTTCCTACATTTTAATGTACACTCACACCCACACAATTTCTGTCAGTCATTCAAGGCAGCATAATTTAAAAAAGTGTATTACAATCTGATAGGTAACACAAATACGGGAAGCGAAGGAGAACATTAAGTAAGTCAGGTACAGCCAAGCCTTACACAAAATGGACTGTATCCAATTAAATTTACTCATAGTGAACTCACTGGAATTAATGGGGCCTGCCAGTCACATCCATCAATTCCAATCACCAGCATTGGATACAACCCAGATTTTACTTTCCTGTCTTTGTGATCTACCTCAGATCTTTTCAAACGGTGTGGCAACATGTTAGCATGTCAGCTGAAGTGTGTACGTGTGTCTCGCAAAAGCTCCCCCCGCTCCTCCCTGGGCTGGAAAGGGGTTAGTTTAACCTCTGGTTTACTAGTAAAACGGAATTACTGTGTCACAAAATGATGCATGTTTAAAAACTGTGTCACTGACATGAAAAGGACTGGGGTGTGCGTACACTCAGTGCTCTGCTGAATCACGCCACCAAATTGAAACACCATCCAAGATGTTAAATCACATAATGAATCACACCAAACTCCCATCTAATCCTATCCTGTTAATAGGCCTCCTGGAGAAAAAGGGCTAATAGCTGCTGAAAGACCCATGGTGGTGAATTGGGAACTGGACAGCAGCTATTTGGGCACTGTGGGAAATAGATGCTTAGTCAGGTGGGCCACTGATCTCATCAAGCCAGACTCTTTTGATGGCACTCCTGAATGGGTTTTTTTTGGGGGGGGGGGATATTCCAAGTTTAATTATGCCTAGTCCACCAACATTCCTTAAACCCGAAGTTTAGGATCTACTCAAGCTACGAAAAAAATGGAAAGCGTATGATTTAGAGAGTGGATTTCTTCTTTATATAAATTGTTTATATATGGCTCACTGCACGATTCCCTTCACTAAGTCTTCTTATGTGACTTGCTCTTAATAATTATTTCCAATTCATCTGTCTGCTTTCTCTCCCATCTATTTTTATATCAAGAGGACATTATACACACTAACTCACTCACTCCCAACTAAATCTTTTATATTATGCAAAAACCCCAAGCTAATGTCTGCTGACTCTGGACATTTAGCTTTCAGAAGCCAGTGTATAACTTAGCATTATCACCTTAAATATTTCTGTTAGAAGCAATAAATATCTCTGTGCTCCCAACTGGTAGCACACACGGGTTTGCAAATGTAGCAAATATAGGACTACTTTTCCACCCCATAAATTAACAAAGCTGAGTGTTCCTGCCAGCGGCTTCCTTGTCACATGGGAGCAATAACTAAAGCTTACTAGGTTTCTCCAGCACAGTTACATCAAGAAGGGTAAAAGATGCTTTCCAAGACATTAAAAAGCAACATTACATTCCCCAAAATTATTTTTTTAGATTAAATTAAATATAAAATCATTATTTTAAAATGATTGTGCACTAAGTGTCAAATACACCATCAAATACACCATCAGTGGGACACAGCCAAAGTAAAAAAATTATCAAGGACACCAGAGGGCCTCACATGAGAGGCAGTCACACTTGAAATTAGGATTAAGGTCCCATCTGAACTAGATGTTTAAAGTAGTACTATATACTACTTTTGTTCATTTATTACTATTATTTTATTTATTAGATTTATACAGTGCTTTTTTTCTGGGGGGACACAGGGGGATGTGCATAGCCCTAAACATTTTGTGAATCTTTGTACTTTTGTCCATTTACTGTATTTATTTCTTCCGATTTGAACTATAAAATAGTGATTTTCTTGAGTCGAAATAAGAATACCCCTAAACATTTTTAAAGGGGAAAAAAGCACTGGGTTTATATACCACCCTCAGGGCAGTTCATGCAAGGAGATTCTCTGTTCCCCTCATAGTTAGTTCCCAGAGTGGTTTAGCAATCAATCCCTCTTTCCTGGGAACTCGGTAAACTGGAGTATTGTGGGGGGAACAGGGGTCTCCTAGTAACTCTCAGCACCCTTAACAAACTACAGTTCCCAGGAGTCATTAAGGGATGTCGTGACTGTTTGAAAGTAGTGAAATATTGCTTTAAATGTATGGTGCAGATGGGACCTCAAACTGATGAGCAAGGAATACACTCCCATAAAAGAGGTGATGCATTAATAACTACAATAAACTCCACCAAGCTAATGACTGATGTTAGGCAAGGAGAGGGGAATTATGTAATTGTCCTTTTTATTACTAGATTCTAAATAAGAGTCAATTATGAAACAGCAGTGGGGTTGCTTAGTTCATGAGCTTTTCCTACCTACAACAGAGGAAGCAACTCATACTAGTTAAAGACTTTTTGTATCCTCAAGCACGTCCTACAAGTTCAGACACAGTGTGGTAGAACAGCATGTCAAAAAAAAGCAGGGATGCAATAAAGCAGATCTGCCCCACGCCACCTCTCTTCCTCTCCAACCCAGCAATTTATAGCCCCAATCCCTGCATGTCCCACCCAATCTCATTATATTTATGCAGTTTCCAGCTCCTGTCAACATCACTAGCTGCTGCTTGCAGGAAAAAATGCTCAGCTTAACAACTTAAGGACACAAAGTAAATTATGTGATGAATCTGATTAATGAGACAACTTCATGTGATTACCTGCCATTTTACGCTGCCTCAGCTCCATTTTAGGAGGCAGCTAGCTAGCAAGTAGCCAGTTTTAGCAGAATATGCCTGTGTCTTATTTTATTTTAAACAACCTGTAAGTACAAAGTGTTTCTCTTAAGTTGTACCACACATTAAGGGTCTGGAAAACTCAAGACTGTATGTTGGCCCATATATTACTGGGACAGGAGGAGTTGTCAAATTCTATTCCTATCTTCATCACATACATACTTTGGGAATTCAGTTATGGCACCTAACTTCTAAGCCACAAATTATTGTGTTAGCAAGCACCCTACTCTTGCTCAGAATGATTCCAGTTTAATGTCTGGGGAAACTCTTGACCATGTGAACAAGGACAAGCATGACTATAAAAGATGTAAAATATACTTTAAGTAATATACATGAGAATGATCTCAGGTTGCGTTATCCTCAAGAAACCCATGCCATGACCATGGAATTCTGCGGCCAAGAGAAGGCAATCTTTGTCCGAACATCCCTTTGGAGGATACCAGTAGCAAAACTTTATTATTTTTAGTTATACACATCCAGAAAATCTAGACAAACTAAAACTGGATTTTTTAGCTTTAACATGCTTATGTTAGTTCTCTCAAAGCTGATGTCTTGGCATGGCCTCAATGTCACTCTTCTTTCTCTTTGGCGATCACTCATAGCCGAGTAAGATTGTCTTCCATAAACACAATTTTAACAAGGAGTCCGTAAGTGACTGTGGAGGCCAATTCTGGATCCACACAACCCCAGTGGGGACATTGGTTTCCGGGAGTTGATCACAGTGTGGATTTGCCAAGCGTGCCTTCCTCTTAGCACGCTTCTCCCTTGCGTCCTGAGTTCGAGTGTCTTCAAAGCCCATGACACCTTTGGTAAAGGCTGTTCTCCAACTGGAGCGTTTGCAGGCCAGTGTTTCCCAGTTGTCAGTGTTTATACTACATTTTTTTAGATTTGCCTTGAGACAGTCTTTAAACCTCTTTTGTTGACCACCAGCATTACGTTTTCCATTTTTAAGTTCGGAATAGAATAGTTTCTTTGGAAGACAATCATCTGGCATCCGCACAACATGACCAGTCCAACGAAGTTGATGTTGAAGAATCATTGCTTTGACACTAGTGATCTTTGCTTCTTCCAGTACATTGATATTAGTTTGCCTGTCTTCCCAAGTAGGAGGAGTTGGAGATGGTGTTTATAAGTGGTCCATGTTTCACAAGCATATAGTAACGTTGGTAGTACAATAGCTTTGTAAACAAGCATTTTGGTTTCCCTGTGAATGTCCTGGTCCTCAAACGTGCTGCACTTCAATCAGGAAAAAGCCGCACTCGCAGAGCTCAGGCGATGCTGGATTTCGGCATCAATGTGGGCTCTTGTGGAAAGATAACTGCCTAGGTAGGAGAAGTGATTGACATTTTCCAACGCTACACCATTGAGTTGGATTTGTGGCGCTGCAGAGGGGTTATTTTGTACTTGTTGGTGCAGCACTTTGGTTTTTTTGGATGTTGAGTGATAGGCCAAGCTTTTCGTAAGCTTCTGCAAAGATATTTAGGATGGTTTGGGGTCATCCTCTGAGCGTGCGCACACTACATTGTCATCAGCATACCGAACCTTTATGACGGTAACCTTACTCTTTGCCTGCTCAGATTGAAGAGCTTTCCATGGACAGATGGAAGGCCTCAATGTCACTAGGCGCAGAATGGCAAATGCTGTCTATTTCTGCTCCTACAAATTCCCTTTTCTTACTCCTAGAACTAAATAACTTTTTACCACCTATGAACTCTTTGTCAAGCACTGCATGTTAAAACACCTTTCTACCACTTACAGAGCTTTTCAGACTTGAAGTGCTTTCTCACTTCCCCCAAACCCAACCACTTCTGCTAATAAGAATCACTTGTTGGCTAACTCACCGAGGCCTGAAGCTTCAATGTTCTACCCATATTAAGTTTAGCTTATATATCCATTTATTATAAAGCTCTTTTGCAAGGTAAAATCACAGAAAGCAAAGCTTCCAAGATAATGTGCAGGGGCATTTATATAAGCAACTCAAAAACCAGTGGAGAATAAGCTGTGGGCCCACTTACAGCATTACAACACCCAATTGCGCCCTCTGTCACAGCAATTCATGTTCTATTTACGTAGCGCTATTACTAAATGCTCAGAAATAAACCACACTGCCTCAGTAATGTTTACAGCAACAAATATGTTTAATGTCCATATTTCTTCAGGAAAATCAAAGAAACTTTTTTTAAAACCCACATATATACTGTACAGACAATATAGTATAGCTAAGCCTCATGGGAGCTGGAGTCTAACCTCACCCCAGTCCCTGCCAGAGACAGAGCAGAACACAAGAAATGTGCATCCCTCCCAGCCACCTCTTAGTGACATCGCATTGAAGAATTTCATAACAACCATAAGAAACGGCTCTATTTAAGAACACACAAAGCACTGGCTGATTTTGCTTTCTCAATGGCAAACACACACAAAACCCTTTAAAAGCAAAGGAGTCCAATACACATTTAGTCATATGAACCTATCCAAAGTCACAGTAGCGTGATATGGCCACAGTTGAACAATTTCTCTTGGCAACGCTTAATTTTTCAAGGCTTGATGAAAATTACTTCACCACTTTCATTTCCCCACCTTGCTTTCGAGTATTGTAAAAACCACAAACCAGAGCCGCTTTGATATATATGGACTTTCAGGTCCCTATAAACCCAAAATTATCAACTGTGACTAGCATCCTCGACTAATTTTGTGGGTTTTGAGAGTTATTTGCATTTTTCAATATTCAGCAGAGATTGATGTGGATTAATGCTGCAATTCATTGTTGTTCTGAGCTGCAGTTAACAGTAACATGAGATACAATAATAATAACAACTATTATTTATATGCCACCCATCTGGCATAAAAGGATGTCACATAGAGGAGGGAGAAAGGTTGTTTTCTGCTGCTCCAGAGAAGCGGATACGGAGCAATGGATCCAAACTACAAGAAAGAAGATTCCACCTAAACATTAGGAAGAACTTCCTGACAGTAAGAGCTGTTTGACAGTGGAATTTGCTGCCAAGGAGTGTGGTGGAGTCTCCTTCTTTGGAGGTCTTTAAGCAGAGGCTTGACAACCATATGTCAGGAGTGCTCTGATGGTGTTTCCTGCTTGGCAGGGGGTTGGACTCGATGGCCCTTGTGGTCTCTTCCAACTCTATGATTCTATGATTCTATGGCTGGGTTTCCCCAGCTACTCTGGGCAGCTCACAGCATATATTAGAACATACTAAAACATCAAACACTAAAAACTTCCCAGTACAGGACTGTCTTCAGATGTCTTCTAAAAGTCAGATAGTTGTTTATTTCCTTGACATTTGAAGGGAGTGTGTTCCACAGGGAGGGTGCCACTACCAAGAAGGCCCTCTGCTTGCTTCCCTGTAACTTCGCTAATCGCAGTGAAGGAGCCAGCAGAAGACCCTTGGAGGACCTCAGTGTCTGGGCTGAACAATGAGGAAGGATACTGGTATACTGGGCTGAGGCCGTTTAGGGCTTTAAAGGTCAGTACCAACACTTTGAATTCTGCTCAGAAACACGCTGGGAGTCAATGAAGATCCTTTAGGACTGGTGTTATATGGTCCTGGTGGTCACTCCCAGTCATCAGTCTAGCTGCCGCAGTCTGGATTAGTTATAGTTTTCAGGTCACCTTCAAAGGTAGCCCCACGCAGAGCACATTGCAGTAGTACAAGCAGGAGATAACCAGAGCATGCACCACTCTGGCAAGACAGTCTGCGGGCAGAGCAGATAGGGTCTCAGCTGGCATACCAGACGGAGCTGGTAGACAGCTGCCCAGGACACAGAATTGACCTGCACCTCCATGGATAGCTGTGAGTCCAAAATGACTCCCAGGCTGTGCACCTGGTCCTTCAGAGGCACAGTTACCCCATTCAGGACCAGGGAGTCCCCCCAGCTGCCTGCCCCATCCCCCTAATACAGTACTTCTGTCTTATCAGGATTCAACCTCAATCTGTTAGCTGCCATCCATCCTCCTACCACCCCCAGACACTCACACAGGACATTCACCACCTTCACTGATTCTGATTTAAAAGAGAGGTAGAGCTGGGTATCATCTGCATACTGGTGAATGCCCAGTCCAAACCCCCTGATGATCTCTCCCAGTGGCTCCATATAGATGTTAAAAAGCATGGGGGAGAGGATGGAGCCCGGAGGCACCACACAAGTGAAAGCCCAGGGATCTGAAAACTCATCCCCCAACACCACTTTCTGGACATGACCCTGGAGGAAGGAGCAGAACCACTAAATAACAGTGCCCCCAGCTCCGAATTCCTCTAGATGGTCCATAAGGATGTCATGATTAATTGTGTCAAAGGCCACTGAGAGATCCAGAAGGACCAGGAAACAGCTTTCACCTAGGTGTGTGGCCTGCCAGAAATCATCAACCAGTGCAACCAAGGCAGTTTCAGTCCCATGATGAGGCCTGAATCACAATTGGTGTGCCTGGAGTTGTTCAGTGACCACCTGCTCAATCACCCTGTCCAAGAATGGAAGATTTGAGACTGGGCGATAGTTGGCCATATTGACTGGGTCCAAAGATGGTTTTTTAAGAAGCGGTTTAATAACTGCTTCTTTAAGCAGGTGTGGGAAGACTCCCTCACAGAGGGAGGCATTCACCACCCCATGGAGCCCATTGCCCAGCCCTTCCCAGCTCACTTTTATGAGCCAGGATCAAAGAGACAGGTGGTCAGTTTCACTCATCCAAGGAGCCTGTCCACATCCTCAGAGGTAACAGAAGGAAACCTGACTATTTCAGTGTCTAACATGGTATATAAAAGGAAGCCAAATCCATTTTTATAAAGAATGAGATTCAAGGAATTACAACAAAATGTTGGCCGGGGACTTCTTTACATTCAACTAAAACTATGAAGACAAAAAAAGAAAAAGGACTGAAATGGAACTTTTTCAAATTCAGTTTTTTAAAAAGAGGCTGACATCGTTCAATTTACACTGATTAGCTAAGAATACTTACCACCTGCTTTGCAAATGGAAGTGAAAGTTAAAGGAATGGATAAGACTCCTTGGAATATTAGCAATGCAATGGATTCAAAATTAAACTTCCAAATGGTATCATAAGCAAATTCCCTCTGGACCTTTCCAGACAGAAGAGGGAACATTCTCCTCATTTATGGCCCCATTAATTTTATGCTGGAACTCTGGTAACATCCACATCATGGCTGAGGGAAAGATTAAGCACACCACAAGCAACAATCTGGATTCAATCCAAATTGGAAACTAACTACAGGCCACGTCACATGCGCCAAGAAAAGGGGTAATTCAATAAGAAAGGGAATACAATCAAACCTCGGTTGTCGCATGTAATCTGTTCTGGAAGATCATTTGACTTCCGAAACGTTCAACAACTGAGGCACGCCTTCCAACTGGTTGCAAGAGCTTCTTGTACTCAAGCGGAAGCTGCGTCAGACGTTTGGATCCCGAAAAACGTTCAAAAACCAGAGCATTTACTTCCGGGTTTTTGGCGTTCAGGAGCCGAAATGTTCAAAAACGGCGCCGTTCGAGAACCGAGGTTTGACTGTTATTTGGTGGAAAGGTAAAATTCTTCAAAAGCACACCTTTCTGTCAATTAAGCAAGCCAGCCTAACAGAAACAAACTAGCCTTGTACTAATAATAGTTCCTTATAATCTGCCAACAAGGCAGGAAAACAGAACAAACTCCTGAGATAAGAACAAGACCAGATTTCAAAACAGACTGGATTCTAATTACGGTATATAAACAGTACTTTGGATCAAAGATAGGAAGGTGCGGTGTGCAAAACCCAACAAGCTCAATTTTTAAACTGAACTACCGGTTCAGAAAGAAGGCTGACCAGTAAGCCTAAAGTGGACAGGACAGGTTAACACAGGCACAACAGAGACTCAAACTGCAGGTGCACCGTGGGCCATGAAAACCCCAGTTGGGGTTTTGCGATGGTTGCTCATGCCCTGCCTGTATCACTGTGGACTGGAGCAAAGCACTTAGAGTGCAAAGTCCAGCTGAGGTACTGACACTAATCCCATTTCCATTCTCACATTTGGGTGTGTATGTATGTAGAGAGCTGCAGCTGGGCTTGCACTCCAGTTTGCTTCAGAACTGTGTGATTCTCTTGTTAAACAGATTAGGAAAACTGGCTCACTTCTCCCCTCTCAGAAAATCTTAAGAGTTATTCAGAGGGCTTAAACAAAAGTGCTTAGATAGCAGGCCTAGACTTATTTTAGAGTAGAGTAGGAGTTTGGGTATTTTCGCTGTAGGTTATGATTAAGTAATAACCCTATTAGCAAGCAGCTGCCATCTGGAGCTCTGACCTTCCCCTCTTCTGCAATAATATACTTTATTTTGTGTTTTGAAGGGGGAATGGTGAAGGGGAAAAACTGATGTATGTAAAAACAACAAGTTTCCTACCACAAAATTATCAGATAACTACAAAATAGTGATTCATACGCAGGATTTGCCAAGCTGAGTTGTGGGAAACAATGCTGGCCCACAAGGAACTATGCTAAGGGTACAACTAGAAATACCTTCTGAAATGTGATATCTGAATGAGACTAATCCCAACTGCTCATCACAATCTGGCAAACCAAGTTATAATCATAACCTTGCTTTGGGAGAAGCTACAGAAAGGAATTCTGTCAACATTTCCATAAGAATTAAAAATAATAGTAACAAAGGAGTCTTTCAGCTACTCTCAACTTTTTACCAGGATAGCAGCTGCTTAATGTTAATCTTGATTTTTAATTTCAGAGATCCTTCTCTCCTGCCCCAATACTAGAACTGCACATTTAGTTCACATACTTCCACATAACAGTAAAAAACAAAAAACACAGCTGGATACAATCCCAGAAAACATTAACTACTACTCTGATGGATATGTTTTTAGTCAACCGAATCAGAGGTTTTTGTGTACATGGACCTTTTGGAATACTTCCTTCACTGCTGCCACATCTGTTTCTAGATCAAGCAGAAGAGGCACAGTGTTACCCTTCAATGTGCTCCAAGGCTTTGACCCTCTTCTCTTTCCTCTTTTGTGAGGATACCTCCCTGCGCCCATGACCTTTACTCCTCTAGAACCACCACCTTCAGCCATCTGAAAGTCTCCTATTCCCTTAAAGAGTTGCCTGGAATTGCCTCCCACTTGTGTGATGACACTTCTCACTTGCTTTTACCCTTCCCCACAAGCTTCTCTATCAACCCTCTGGTTCAATCCCCAGTTCCCATGCCCTACTACAACCAAACTTTAGCACAGGTACCTGTTAACAGATACCATATATTTACTATTTGTTTTTATTGCTTTGTTCTATTTATCAATCACTCTGGGAATTTAATTGATGGGTGGCATAATGTACTCTTCCTGTTTACCCCTGCCTCCCATCTCATCATTTCTGTTATGTTCATTTTTATATTGTAAGCTCCTCAGGGTATCGACCTGTGCACATCTAATTGTGCACTCTATCACTGAACAGAATGGATTGCAGCATCAACTCCCCTTCTCCAACTTCACAAAAAGAAACAGTAGGAAATACTTCCTGTTTTAGGAAAGACTGTGGTGGGATGTGTGGGTTTCTTCTCATTATTAGACAGTATGTGTGCTCGTATGTGCACAGTATGTGCACTTACCTTCAGCTGGTATGTATGACCTAAGGTGGGTCAATAACATTTCATGTTCTGTTTTTGTACGTCCAGGAGTTGGGTAGAAGATGGAATTTCAGTAGGTACCGCTTCTTGACTCTGCATAAGAACTACTATGAGTACATTTCCTTTTCATCTGGTCACGCAAGAGGAGTGGGGAACCTGCAGCCTTTCACTTAATTTCATGCAGGGAGAATAAACTGGGGGGGGGGTACGGACGGACTCCCCTAGCAAGTAATAATTTCAGATCTCTGAGCAAAGGAATCTACTGTCCCCACAGTGCAAACTTAGAGAGATAAAGGGGTGGTCCCTCCCGCTGCCTACATGTGATCCTGATCAACCTAGGGGGAATGCAGCCCTCAACAGAAAAGGGGGTCCTCACCTCTGTCCTGGAGACAAAGCAGGAAGGGGAACAAATATAATTAAAAATTAGTGGGTAAAGCATTGAAAGGTTTTCTGGTCAGTAAAGGTTGGAGATCTAACAGGACTGCAGAAGAATCAAAGGACAATTTTCTGCAATGCTGCTATTTAATGACCCATAGTGTCCTTGCCTTGACTGCAAACAGAGCACATCCTGGTATCCCTCTTCCCTCCCTAACCCAGACATTTTTTGTTCTCTATATAACAAGGAAGTGACCTCTGTTTACAAAGCGCAGAGGGAGAAGCCCTATTACGTAAGACAGGCGGCTCAGATTCTACTGTACCAAGTTATTTTAAGGTGGTGTATGTTTTTATCTAAAAGCCCCTTTGAAACAGCACTCGGTGAGTCCAAAAAGCTTCCTAGAAATATGGAGTAGGAATTCTTCCACAGGAATTCCACCTGTCCCCTAACTTGAATCATTTGGAGTAGGTTCATGTTACTACAGGAATAAAATCAATACCATGACTATTGTTTGTCAAAAGTCCAACCCATTTGCAAGATTCTGAGACACAACTATCACCTTGAGGAGTAAAAAGCCCATCGTAAACTTGAATGTGGAACCAATTTTACATGTATTACACAGCTTCAAATTAGCGGCAAACCCAGCAAAATACTGAAATTCAAAGCAATATTCAGAACACATGGCTGGAAAAATCCAGGATAAAGTTGAAACAAAGGAAGCAAAAATATATCTGCATCATTGTAATCCAACACTCACGTGGGTCTTGATTCTGAGTAGGTTAAGCATAGGATTGCACTGTATATCTAACAGAAGAGAACTGGGCCTTTTCACTGAGACTAGGTACAGTAATGTTTCACACTTATGCAACTGATCATTGAGACCAATTTTAAAAGTTACATTTTGTGATTTAAAATAATCTTGCTGAGCTATTTTTCAAGGGAAGAAATACAGCAGATATTAGATATACAGCAAAGAATCCTCTGGTACCTTTAAGACTAGAAAGTTATAAGCTTTCACAGACTACAGTCTGCTACATCAGATGCAGAAGATTAACATTTCCCCTGCCCTCCCCAACAGGATATGGTTTCAAAATTTTCTGCCCTTTTCCCAGTGCTCAAGCTTACTACAGGTCCAGCAGCTTCCATTTTGGCCACCCAGCAAACATTTCACCCAGGTCCTCCTCTGAATTCTCTCCCATTTCAGAGAGTTTATTGCGTTAGTTTGCAGGTACACACATAACCCTTGTGGTGCCCTCAAAGATCATCAGATTGTTTCCTAATTTTTCATAGACTAATGCCAACCCCTTCTGATGAAGAAATATTACGCACATACACAAAACATTACCCTGCCTGCACACATTTTAAAAATCAGTTGGCAAGTATTCTGTGTATCTTATTTAGTTCAAGACCACAAAAGCTTGTGCCACAATAAGATGCCAAAGGGCATACTTTCATATGTCCAGTTTTACTGCTTTTTTCCCTATTACTGCCTTGTGTTGGTGCAAAACTAAGCCTTTGCAGTATCACCCCAAACTGCCCCTAATGTCTTATTCTGGATAATCTCACTAGAACTGTGCAATGAGACTGTATTATTATGCCAGGGTGACATAAGTTTATATCTTGTAGACATAGGCTTTTCCTAATTGATGACCACAAGAGAGAAGAGAAAGCCTGTAGTTATAGGCATGTTTAATTAGTAGCCTTAAAACCTAATTTAATGTCGGCAAAAGAGAACATGACCACATTCATAGTTGAGATGAGGAACAGCACTATGGAGCCAAGGACTTCAGGCATCTATTAACTTGTTTCTTCTTCTTCTTTTGACATCTGTCTGCAAGTACACAAGGGACTGTCCATTAAAGCCCTACCAAATTTACCATCCCTAAATCTTTCAGGGATTCAGTCAAGAACACAATATAGCAATTACAATTAAAATCTTGGAAGAATGATGAACAAATATTGACCACAAAGTCAAACTCCCTTAACAAAATTCAAAACAGCCAATGAAACTAAGACAAAGATATACCAGTAAAAAAAACAAACCACCAGGTAAAAGCCTTTTTAAGCTTCCATATTTTCACTAGTCACCTAAAATAATCAGTGAGAATACAGCTACTGGTAAGCACAGAGTACTCATGCCGGGGGGGGGGGGGCTAGTCATTTCAGATTCAAGGGCTAAGCATAGGTCTAAATATCTTAAGATAGTAATAAGAATGACAGCTCAAGATCAGTGTGGAAGTACCGTACCAAAGGAACGGAGGAAAGCTTGGATGCTGCTGAGAACAGGGGGAAATTCAACAACAAAAAGCCACATCATCCAAACGCCTCCACACAAAACTCAGAATTCCATAACCACTAGTATAGCTTGAGAAAGAGGCTGCACATGAAGAACACCTACTGATTTCATTTCACATGCACATATTCATTTGCTGAGAAGTCACACAACCCGATAAAAACTCCAAATGGCATCTCTGATGCTTGCTAAGCAACAAAGTAAGAAAACCTATCAAGTCTATTCAGCACACAGAATTAGGAACCTGCCTTATACAGAGTCAAATAATTGGTCCATTTGCTCCAAAGTGTCTACCCAGACAGGCAATGACCTTCCAGACAAGAGTCTTTCCCAGCGCTCCCTCAGGATGCAACCACATTACAGCCCTATTATGCAAAAGACATAATAGCACAAGAGACCTTTTGGACACACACTTTAGAACAGCAAATCAAAAGAGGTACAAGCTGTTTTAACACAAAATTATTACTGAAGACGTTCCACGATAACCATGGTAACTAGTTCTGGGCATTTCCCATTACAATGGTGGAAAGGACAATTTACTATCACTTTTTCATGAGCATCTTTGGTCGCAGAAATGCTTTCCCTCAGAAGTTAGAAGGACTGGAAATTTAAGTTTTGCTTCATCTAATCTATTACCCAAGGCTGGACATTTCTCAGATGCTTCACTTTTCATGCCCCTAAAAATCTAATGCTAGTATCTAGGAATTCAGAATATCTATATTTACTCTACCTAGGCAAGGTTGACATTTGTAACATTTCAAGTTGGTTCCTAGGCAAACTAATCAAATATTTTTCCTGCCCAATCTTCGACACTGAGTGAATGGTATTCATACAATGACTTTCACTGGTTAAGAGCCAGTGAAATTTGCAAGAAAAGGCTGCACTGTAGAGTACCTCTACTCAGGACTCCAGTGAGCCATGCCTTTTGGGGGGTTCATCTTTTCAACAATGCCCTCTAGTTTTCCTCCTCCCTCTGACAGGCATCTGCATTCTATAGCCACTAACATGCTCACTATATTCTTTTTAAGGTTCCCCCCTTAAATAATTTTTTTGGCTCTGAAAACCTTGAGGTAGCCCAAAGCCTGCCAATCCCTTCTTTCTGTGCATGGATGGTGCTGTTTTGGCTGTACAAAGATCCACTTTGCTGTATATAGAGGAATACCAGCTTACCATTAGTATGCTAGTATATAGAAGAATACTATTACCAGCTTACAATACAAAGCAAGAGCATCAGGCAACATACATGACTTCTCACTTAATCTAAGGCACACTTACTTGAGAGCGAGTCCTACTTGAACTCAGTAGGGCTCACTTCTAAGTGAACACAGTCTAGCTGAAAAGGACATTATATTATAAGCTAGCCTTTGAAAATAAACAAGTTATGGTATAAACTTTAGCCCACACTGTCTAAAGCTACTACCTGCTTCCCCCCCCCCCAAAAAAAAATACATTATCTTTTCAAGATGTCAGACGATACAAGACAAGAAGCACCTGAGTGCTTGCATTCCTTATGATTTTTCACTTCTTGCTTCTTAAGGCATTTCACTCCCATTTCTATTACTATTTGCATTTATTTATTTTAAAAAATCATTTATATACCTCTCTGTCATTAAAATATATCAGCAGTTTACAACAATATAAAAACAAAACCACTAAAATCATAAAAAGTGGCAAACAAAAATAAATTAAAAACAAGCATCAATGAACCATTGTGGCAGATATATGCCTTCAAACGGCAGAAAGCAGAAAAGGAGAGTGGATAAATCAGCAGGGAAGGGAGGTGGGAACTTGCAGAACATGCCTGATCGCTTAAGCATGGTTAGGGAACATCACACTTGTGCTGGACCTACACAGATAGTATTTTGGAAGGTTCTTTTGACCAGAACACATAGAAACATCAAGTTACATGTATGTATACACACATAGAGGATCAGCCCAAGCAGATTCACTAAACAGGACAGCTCATGCAGCGGAAGGATAATTTACATCTATTCTATGAGGAATACACACAACATGCAAAAGGAAGAGCAAGTTTGCAATTAAGACACTTTTATTTCAGACTTGTATAAAATAAAAGTAATAGGCAATGAAGAGTTCATGCAAGATTCATATCTAGGTCTGATTTGATAGTCAACTTTCTCCACAACCCTTCATTTATGCTGGGGCTGTTTGGTTCTCATTTTGATAAATATTAACCCCAGGAGCCTCTGCATCTGCAGAGCAGGAAGTGATGCCTTGATTTGCAGGTGGACCTTACACCTCTGCCACACTTTGTAAGCACCATTTTCTTCCGCCACCAATGCAAAAACAGTCATGCAAAAATATTGTAGAGTAATCAAACTACAGTACAAAGGCACAGCCCTCTGAAAACTAGGTTTGCTTCACCCAGTTCAGTCTCTGCAGAGATCTAAACTTTAAAATGTATAGGGGGTTCTTCATTCCTGAAATAGACATGGCTGTTTTATTTATATTTTACTGACTTTATGAAATGTAAGCCTCCTTGTATTGGCTATTCCTAAAGAGGTGGCAGATAAATGAATTTATACATAACTTATGCAGACCCTCTCAACACTTGGGCTCTTTGCTTTTTTCATGTTTGCCTTAACTGAGAACTACGAACAGATCTTAGTTTCATTTCATAGCCTTGAAAACAAGAGGAGTATTATCAAAAAGCTGGATACAATCTTAGTTACAGTGAGCATTTCTATAGCTTAGCACAATGACTTTTCAGACCTGTGGCCTCCCCACCCCCCACCCCAATAGGCTGGCTTTTGGGTTCTGTACTAGCGGTTACCAAGGAGTGACTGGAAACTAGAGATCCTCCCTCCATTTATAAATTCCAGACAACAAAAGAGCACAGAGAGAAGCAGCAAAGATTTCTGAGGATTCAAAAGCCCTTTATTTGACAAATGACTACATTACCCAGATCCCAGAAACCAAATTAAGTGAGGAGTGGGTGGGAGGAAGGAAAAAGTTGACACTACATTTATGAGCTTCAAAACTGCAAAACAAATGGAAAGAAAGTGAGAAGACTTGTGTCTGAAAGGTGTGGATCTGGTTAATTAGCAAAGCTTATATTTGCTAAATTAAACAGAAGAGAAAAGAGATAAACTGTTTTTCTAATCTCCAGGGGAGTTTGCTTTTACAAAGGACAAATAGCTAGATTAACTTAAACTGAAGAAATTTCTTCAATGCATTTCCTTGTGTTTGGAAGTCCAGGATGCTGGTTATGTAGTCAACTCAAAAAGCAATGAAGAACTGCTTTTGTTCCTAGACAAAATGGGGAGTGTCCAGCACTCAATTCATAGAGAAGCAAAGAGGGCTCATGATATTCCCCTTAGTTACAATTATTACTGGAGTGGAGTGGTATGATTTAGCCAGAAGTGAAAGAGTCAAAAGGAACGGGCTTGTGAATCTTACCTTCTCCCTACCTTTCTCTCATCTTCCTGGAGAAGAGGGGGCAGAGAAGAGAGAACTATTATCTGTCACTGAAGCAAACTGAAATTAACAATGAATTCAAGCTACCCCCATGGGGTAAAATTACCGTACCCTTTATCTCAAATACATTACAACTCCAGAAGGCCATAATGGGTGCTTTCATTTTTTCATAACCAATCAGGTTCTACAGGACAAGAAAACACAGATGGGGTAGCTCTCATTATAAAGTTTTCTATTAGGGTATGTCAGACCCACAAAGGGGAAGGAAGGAGAGAACACTTCTTTGTCAATTCATTAGCTAAATGAGGAGTTTAAAGGCAGAGTCAGGCAGTGGAGGAGGGCAGGCTTCCATGTATGTTTTAATTCCTATTTTATTTCCGTGTATCAGAAGGCAGTTGCCTAGGCAGCTGCAAAGTCTCAGCTTCTCTCTCACCTACCTCCACAACACCACATAATTCTGAACCACTCTCTTCTCTGCTCCCTAATCACTCATAGACAGACACCTCTCACCCACCAAACAGATTCTAATCTTGCGCTAGAAAGACAGCTGCAAGGCCTGATCCAACTCATGTGAGGAGAGTATCAAAGTGGAAGGGTCATTCTGAAAATGGAATTCACTAAACAGGGACACACCTGCCCCTTACAGTTTGCAGTACTGTATCTCTCAATGGGGCGGGAGAAAAGGTCAACACACAGTTGAAGAGACCCCTAAAAGAAAAATTGCCCAGATCTTAACACACAGTCCCAAACATTTCAACAACAGGAAAGGAGGAGTATTAATTCAGCATTAAAGGTTGGAGAAAGACAATGAGGAAGGCTAGCTAAGTTTCATGACCACCCGCACATCCCAATGGCAAGACAGCAAATAGTTTGGGAGAAAAAAAGGCAGATCTAAAATGGATAAGGGTGGCCTAATCTATGTCTCTACCCAATCTACCCCTAACTTCAATCCCTAAAACCATACAGCACAATGGGGCTGGACAGGAAAAAGAACACCTAAGCACTGATTTCCCAGACAAGAAAAACAAAAAAGTTCAGTTGTAGAACATAAGACTCAATCTCAGAGTCGTGGGTTCAAGCCCCAGTTTGAGCAAAAGATTCCTACATTGCAAGGGATTTCATACAATGCTATGATTCTATGAAATGGGGGCAATTAAGACTAAGGTCCCTTCACCACCAACATGAAGAGCAGGGGACTGCAGATGCCATACATGCATAATCTTCCTTCTTTTGCCATCAATTTTTCATTGGTCTAAACTAGTATGAACACTACACACAGGGAAGTAAGCCCCACTTAACTTGATGTGAATCAACCAGAGTCAATACAAACAGAACACTGAGCAACTCAGTGTTGGATTATTGTTGGATTATGTTGTTGGAGTGACGTTAGCCTAGCATAGAGGCAACCCTGTGGATCCTTCCTTGGGAGTCAATCCCATAGCCCTACTTCCAAGTAACCACATACATGATCAAACTGCAAGCATATAAAACAGCATTTGGGCTCCGCTGTTCACTTTGTAAACAGGTTTGTGCTTTATCGACATTAAACATACCTTCTTCCCCCTCCTGTTAACAAAAGCAAACTAAAAACGCCTAAAGCCCAGAAGAACATCAAGGATTGCTAGGTATGGTTTTGTTTAATGAACTTCCTATGTGGCTTCTGAGCAGAGAAGCAACTACCGTAGCACCTTTGCATCACAAGGATGGTAAACAGCAGCAACTGCCACCACTAAATATTAAGCGCCAAGATACTCGTGGCTAATATACTAAGCATTCCGCGTCAATACTGCAAACTTATTTTATTTGCTTACAGAATTTACACGCCGCCCCGTTTTCACAAAGTTTTCTGGACGACTTTGCACTAAGTTGTGTGTGTGTGTTTTATATTATTAAAACAAACAAAAACAAAAAAAACTTACTCAGAGTAAAACCTTAAAGCCCGAAGTTACAGGGATCCAGCAAAAATGAAAACTAACCGCACCCTTAAAGTAAACACATAAGATATTAACGCCGGTGTTGAAAGCGGGGGGAGTAAATTTTAAATTAAATGAATCTAGTGGCGAGGGGAGGGAGACAGACCCCCCCTAACCCGCCGGTTTCCAAGGCAACGTGACAGGGCTGGCGCCCCCCCCCGCCCCCCCAGCCTACCTCCTCCATCTCTCTGGCCATGCTCTGGAGCTGCTCCTCGTCGTCCAGCAGCTCGTTCAGCTGGTGAAGGCTCAGGCCCTCCAGCCGCCTCACGTCCACCGCCATGGCGGGAGAGAGGAGGGCAGAGCAAGGCGAGGAAGCCAGCTCTCCGCTCGCCTCCCTCGGCCAAATCTCCGCTCGCTCGCCCGCCCGCCCGACTCCTGCGGCGGAGGCTCTTCCCGCCCCTCCCGCCGCCGCCGCCGCCTGGCGCTCCACCGGAAGTGCTGCGGCCGCTCTTCCCTCGTCTCCTCTCCTCCCTCCGGGTTTCTCTCGACGCCAGAGGGAGGGGGGAGGAGTGTGACGTCACCTGTCACTCCCTTCTCCCTCCCTCCCCCCGGCACGTGATGGGGGGAGGGGAAAGGGGAAAGAGGCGGGAAAAGCGCGCGCGCGGAAGAGAACTTTCAGCAACGCTTTTCTTTTAACTTTCTTTGCAGTTCAGTATTTAAATTTATGAGTGTTTCTGTTTTTTTATTATTATGTTACGTTTATGCATATTTCCCCTCCCCCCTCTCTCGCTCTAGTTACCTCTTTTCCATCTGAAGATGCTTCAGGTGACTAACGAAAGTGAGAAACAGATTGAAAAATAAACAAATTAAAAACGCAACGTTATTGAAATTTTAAAAATGAAAGTTTCCCAAAAGAATCGTTCTTGTTAGTTTATCATACGTAGGGAACATGTCTGTGTGTATTCTGTATACTGTACAAAATGGGGTCAATCTGCATTTGTGGCTGAGGAAAAGTTGGTAAAAAATATATGAATACTCTTAATAATAAACAAATCAAACACGCAGGAAAAGTGTAAAAATACAGAATGTCATCTGAAATAAAACTTGTTTTTCTCATTAGCTGTATAATGTTTCTGTTTTTCATACAACTTGAAGATTTCTCTTTCAGTGGCTTACTTTCAACACCTTACTGATCAGCTGTTTCAGCTATTCCTCTCAACTTCTTGCTGATCAGCTGCTTAAATTCCCACCTTGTGCTGATCTTTCGTTGCTGTTTTAAACTGGGCGTTGGGGCATCAGCATTTTAGGGGTTTGCTTTTCTTTTTAATCTTGCATTCTCTGCTGCCGCCGCCGCCACCACCACCTTTTTTGCCTGTTAGCTGCTTTGGTTTGTTTTTGATAAAAGTGAAATCAATGCTAATAACAGCATGCCATTTAAAATTGTCAGAGATACTGATATGAAAAGATAGATGTTGTTATCTGGAAGGCAAATTTTCTACAACCTTGGTGCAGCCACAGAAAAGGCCCTACCTGCCCGCACACCAACAGAAAGAGGCACATAGATCAGGGACCCCTGAATGTACAAGCAGGATGAGAAGGCAGTCCAAGTGCCAAGCTACTTTTAAGAATTTCTCAAAGTGATTAAGGCCACAGCCACACCACACATTTAAAGCACTCATGCCACTCTTAACGGTCATGGCTTCCCCCAAAGAGGGTGCTGAGAGCTGTTAGGAGACCCGTCACAGAGCTTCAATTTCCCCAGGATTCTTTGGGGAAATACATGGTTGTTGAAGAGGTATAAAGAGTGCCTTCAAACGTATAGTGTGGACATGATTTAATTTAGGCCCCTGAAGTACGACACGTGTCTAATGACAGCAAATCTTTATTGATTAATTATATGAGTTTTAATTGATTAAACATGCAGTTTTACATATGCATAACACAAAACATGAAATGGGAGGAAACACATTTTCTTTAGTTTGAGATTAAGAGATTACTGTAGAAAGTACAATTTTAGAACACGATTCAGAAGGGACTAGCTCTAAAAAGAGGTTGTGTCTCCCATTTTTATAAGAGCTATTTGCAACCAATCAGAATTTGCCTCCCTTCTTTTACCTTTTGTTACGTATGATCAATGCGGGGTGGGGTACAATCTGGATATATGCCATTAATTTTAGTTACATAACTGGGAAACCACCTGTTCAATGACATAAACTGAACTTCCTGTGGCAAACTCCATCAAAAGCTTTTCCCTCTCCTCCTGCCTTCTTTGTGTGGGCTGATGAGTGACTGGCATTACATCTTCACAGCTGCTGCTACCACACAGACTTTATTATGGGTTTTTTAAAGCGCATTGTTGCTATGACAGCATGAGCATCACTTAGCACCCTTGCATGTGCCAGTTCTAGTTAAAAAAGGAATGGAAATGCAGCCAAATTAAAATTACTTTTAATCACACCAAAGGAACTCAATGGGAATAATTTAAGTACCTCTCTTTATAATAAAATGTACTAGTGGACTTTCTTTTATTGTGGTAGAGTTCTTTGAGGGGCGGAATGTGCTTCAAATGTGCTTTAAATGTATAGTGTGTACACAATCTAATTTTACTTCAGCACTGATGGTGGAACAGCATCCTCCAGCGCACCTGAGCAGGCAGCAGGCTAGTTCAGGGACTCCAGGGCAAGCTGTGGAGAACACAGGGACCTTTTCTCCAATACCCCAACACTCCTTCCCGCCCCTTGCCCAGCCGCTTGCTCACCCTGCCTGCCTAGTGGTAAAGCCAGCCTTGCACCTTGACCTCTGTCAGCGGCGTAGCGTGGGTTGTCAGCACCCGGGGCAAGGCAAGTAATTTGCGCCCCCTAACCTGCCGCCGCTGCCAGCTTCTTCTTGCTGCTGCCTGGTCTGGTCTGGTGTGGTTCTCTCCCGCGCTCAGCGCTGCGCTGGGCAGCCGCTGCACTGTCCCTCCCCCAGATAGTCCCTCGCTCTCTCTCCGCACCGCACGCCTGGCACCCACCCCCTCCACAGTGGGCGGCAACCCAGCGGCTCGGATCGGATTCGCACAGCCAGCACTGCAGTGAGAGAGAGTGAGTGAGCCAGGTAGGGGCAGAGAGCTGCGAGTGCGAGCGCCCCCCCAGATGTTGCGCCCGGTGCGGCCGGCCCCCCCTGCACCCCCCACGCTACGCCACTGACCTCTGTACATAATTCAATGCAATGTATTCAAGTCTTAGGGCAAGATTTGTTCTTCTTTTACGATCCAAAGCCAAGGTTTGTTCTCAGCCTGCCAATTGTGGCTTGTTTGAACAAAATAAATCACAGTCCCTGCTTTGGATGCTACACTAAGCCAAAGGTTGCAGATTTTTGCTCCTGCTCATTAGCAGAAAGGAGCAAAGCAGGATGGTAAATTTCATGGTAAATTCAACAGGATGTAGTCACAGCTAGCTTTAGTTGAATTGGGGCCAGTGACTATTGGATCAACTATATTCTAATTTAGGGCTGCAAACTTCCATCTATCATATGAATTGGTTTTTAAATCTTTTTAATGAACTAAAAAGGCATCACATTAATTTTGTTAATTTAAATTCAGCATCAGTAAGGGGGAGGCTACTAATGAAATCTGCAGGTGGCAGATGCCATCTTGGAAGAGGTATTCCCTCTTCACACAGGAGGGAATAGCGCTTGTAAAATTGTACGTGCTGCAGCAAACACATGGACTTTCTAAGAGCATATTTGTCTTCAAATTTATTATTTTAGGAACCGTAACTGTATCATATATATTTCTCATCTCATCTTAGCAGTTTGCAGAACAACTTACAGGACAAGGCTTTGAGTGGAAAATGTTGTGCGTTATTTAAGCAAGGTGTGGTTTCTTGTTTGTCTGGGAATCATTTGTGTGTGGACAGAATTATGAGAGCATTCACTTGTAGACATATCAACAATTGAGCAGCTGATCAATTTTAGCCAGGGTTTCCTGGTTGTATAACTAAGTTGTATAACTAAATATGCTTGGCTCACATAAAAAACATGGAGGGGGGTGCATTTAGAGACTAAGGAAAAACCATCACAAGGTAAACAAGAGAGTTACTATTCAATAAAAAAAAAATCTATGCATAGAAGCAGACAAAAAAATGCTAAGTTCTTAATACCAATATAGAAACTACTTCCAAATGTTATATAACACTTCAGTGTAACCAAGAAACAGAATCCAGGATGCATCCATGCAAATATGATTTGATTCCAAGTAGTTCTCCCCCATTAAGGTTTATGGGACACAAAAAACTGGTTACAATTTGGGGCACAGGTGAGAGGATAAACTTTAAAGCACAACAGAACTACAAGGAAGGAACATAGGAAGTTGCCTTATACAGAATGAGACCCATCGGTCCATCTAGCTCAGTATTTCCCACACTGTCTGGCAGCAGCTCTCTAAGGTTTCAAACAGGGAGTATATCCTAGCTGTACTTGGAGATGCTTGGGATTAAACCAGAGACCTTCTGCATGCACATCAGATGCTCTCCCACTGAGCTACAGCCCTTCTCCAAAATGGAACCCTTCTTTTACCAAGTCTTCCTCTGATACCGCTTTCTTGTAGCTGGTTTTTTTAATGGTGTGGTTTTTCCCCCTGGTTATTGAGTCCTATTGAGAGAAAAATAGTTTAAATTGGTTTGGGTGGAAAAGGAGCATGGGGAGAATAAATGTTTAGCTCCCCACACCTCCGTTGCTTTAGTAGTCCTCTCCAAACCCTTGCTTTGTATGCCTAGTTTGGGCACCAGTCTCTCTGCATGTACACAACATGAAAATGGGGTCTGACTGCGCATAATGCTTAGCAAAAGCTCTTAAAGTGCAGAGCAGCCCCACTTGCACATCACAGTAAATCAAAGTGAATTATTTACAGCCATCTCACCTCTTTCATTCTCCCTGCTTTTGTTGAGGAAACAAAATCACATCCCCCGATTTCACATTACATCCAAAACCAGGGATCATAGTTTGTTTCATTCCAGTAAACCACAATCAGTAAGCCAAGAACAGATTGCGGTTTGTTGGAAATGAAACAAACCATGACCTCTGGTTTGGAAGTAATTTAAAGCCAGGCATTATGGTTTTTTCCTGCAACCGTGAGGAGAAGTGGAAGAACCCTAATGGGTGCATTCATGGTAAACTATTTACTGTGACATACTGTGGCATGCAAACTAGGTCAATGTGGCTTCAGTACTACAGGACCACATGTACAGTGATTGCTGGGTTTGCTGAAAATGGCACAAGAGGCTCAGCTAGCAGAAGGACACTTCTAAGCAAGAACTATTACAGTTAGTTCTGTTTGTGTTCATTAAGAGAAGGTGGTGCTAAGGCCTACAGCAAAGATTGCCTGATTGGTCAACTTCAGGACAGCCTTGCTGTTTCATTAGTGGAGCCTTCCACTGAAGGTCTCTCTTCCACCTGAAGATCAGAGGGACTGACCACCCTCCTTTACTGAAGGTGGTAAATGTAGCTGGAACTTGTGACTGATTTGTTGTTTAATCAAATTCAGTTGTATCTTTCTCCCTTTTGCAGTTTGGATTCCTATGGCATTATCTGTTGAATCCGTAAGCTGATATGTATCTGCACTTACAATAAGTGCATTGCGTGTATATGCATATGCAAACACAGCATCCTTGCATACCCCACCCATTATAATTACAGGCCATTTGTTCATTAGGAAGAATTGGCATCCAGCCAACTTGTATTTAACTGTGATGTGACCTGATTTATTTGTAAATGTGCTCTCTGCATGCTCACCCACACCCTTGACCTGGTATCCTTTCAAGGTTGACTTCAGCATACTTGTTGGGTATATCTGCAATCTATGAGTCACTTTCACAACAGTTGGTTTGTACTGGAAATTTCAGAGGGAATTTAATTTGCAAGTCTAATCTTTGGAACTTTTTAACCCTCTCCTGAGGCGGGTTGCTAAATCCACACAGACTGCTCAAGTTGCCCTAGAGCACATTTGCTTTCTGCTTTGCAAAAGAATGCTACTGTACAAACATGCTTTTTTTTTCTTCGTGGTGCTACAAAAACAGAACATCCCTCATAACTCAAGATGTGCATAACCTAAATGAGGCATGTTTATGGAAAAAGGTGCACAAATAAAGCTTTATGTGAAGACAGATGAAACGTTTTGTAGAGTGTTAATACAACTCTGGAGCACCATCACTCAATTTCAGGACAGAATCAACTCACTCTCTCCTACAATAAAGTCAAACTCTGAAAAAAAAATACATTATGCAAGTGTGGATATCGCAGAATGACAAGTGTCTATGATGTCATCAAGACACTGCCCAATAAGCCTCAGCTGTTCTGTAAGTTTTATTTTCTTACATAAGGCAAACTGGAACTATGAATGACAAGGTGCTCACATGTTGTTTAAAAAAAATAGTGGATAGCAGGTCTTAAGCATGAATAGAGGGACAAGAGTGGCAGCTGATTCAGTGTCTGATGTGATGCAGTGGAGGGTGGTCTATACTGAGTAAAACTTGGCTGATTAGAACCCACAGTCTATTTGCTTTGGACACCCCAGAATAAGACACTCAACTCTTCTGAACAGGGTACAGAAAACACATTTTAAATTAATCCCATTAGGAATAGGTAGAGCTTTGCCCATCTGATACCAATAAAAATCTATATAAAAACCAAACCAATAAGAGGCATTAGGGACTAGCCCTGGGGATCATATTATTCTTGTCCCTCATTAGGGTGCCTGTGGCCTACATCACCTCCGATAAGGATCCTTGCCAACTGGCAGTTAAGGTGTTTGCTGAAGCATCTTTTCAGAACACAGCCTGAAATTTGTCACAAAGTGACAGGAGCATAAAGCTTATATACAAGTGTGATAAAAATAATATTCAGGTCAGAAGTAGAGTGTCTGGATGTATAGTCACTTTCGCAGCTACTTGCATACCTCCCCATGAATTTTTATTGCTTTTCAAAATTGGTAACAAATTAACATCTAATTAATGATATGTAGTAACCGTGTACTCTCCCCATCTTTCGCTGTCCCGCCTTAGCAGCAATAAACCTGCAATTAACAGTCCAATAGTCTCCAGCAGCTTTTGTCATGGTCAAGTCGACTGAGGGACCTTTTCACTTTAGCCCTATTGTCCAAAATCAAAGGAGATTCACAGCAAACTTGGTTGTTGACCGATGCTTTCTCCAGAATGGAGTCATGACATAACCTAGCACCCTGCACCTCATTTCTCGGCAAAGTCTTCCATCAAAGACCAAAGCAGGCATTAAAAGGTCTCTGTGGGTTTTTGGCAGCCCCCCCCCATGACCGCATTGGAAGGATCGAGGGGGATGTTAGACCCTGCTTTCCCCCAATATCTCCACCCCAGCCCCAGCCCCAGCCCTGAGTTCAGGGGAGCAACTTTCCAAGTTCACTACTGGAAATGGAACTACATGCATACCTCCCTAGAAGAGCCATCAAGGGGTTTTCAATTGCAGAGCAAGCTGTTTTCCTGCCTATGCTTCTTCTTTTTAATGACATTATTTTAAATCTAGGATGGATATTTTTGCTGCTCTGGGCATGCTGGATTCATGATTGTTATAAGGTCCAGCCAACCAGCACTCTGCACAGCCAGCTTCAGCTGGAGACAGGAAGAACCAGATGCTCCTGAGCTGGATTCCATTGGTGTATCTGGTCAGGAAGGAGCAGGTGGAGATTCCTGGAAGACTCCCTGCTCAATATACTTGGCTGTGTCAGATGTGCTTGAGCACCTCATTGTGAACCACTTCCTCCTGGCTTATATCTTTCTTTTGGCAAGTGAGGCAGGATACAAATTCACCACTATATGGGAGAGACTGCCTAAGTGCACATACAGAGCCTGGCTTGAGTGTGTCCTTGAACTCTGATTATACCATACCTCTTGCTTGCCCTGAATGAAGGGTAGAGTGCAGTGGAGGGTAGTCCATTAGGGCTAATTAGTCTTGATTCCTCCAGCTATATTTTGGTCCCCATGTGCCAGACTTTCTATTACAGAAAAACTGTATTTTAATTTTTAGATGCAGATTTTGCTGAGCGATTTTATTGTACTGAACCTTTCAGAATTTGGTCTATATGCCAATAAAGGTTTGAGACTGATTGATTGTATTGAAAAAGGTTCCCCACCCCTAGTTTGCTATGAAATACAGAAGGCTTCAACCTCATTAGTAAAGGGTGAACCAACAGCATTACTTTGGGCAGCATTTACAGCCTGTCAATAATTATGTGATTATCAGCAGTAGACCTCACGTTTTCAGTTGTTTCAAAACAGTGACACTGGCTTCTGACTAGCAAATGCACACCAAGCAGCCAAACACTGGTGAACTGTTCACCATCAAGAACAATGTCCCCTTTTGTTATGTGAATCACTGGAAAAGCATGAGTGAGAAGTGCCACCAGTGGTAGATGGCAGGACTTTGGAGGCAGAGGTCCAGGACCTCATCAAGCAAAGTGAGGAGGACTCTCAAGTGCAGCCTAGCGGGCTTAAAATACACATTGCTATTGAAAAAAGAGGGCTGCCATAAGACGATTAATTCCAAAGACTAGCATAACCTAAGTGTGCCACTGAACACTGGCTCTAATATATTGAGAAGAGGGTTTCTCTCAAGCACCTGGCCCTCCGTGGGATTCCCTTTTCCCGAGGAGGCGGAATGTGCAGGAATTCTATCCCACAGTTTCACCGAGCTTTGTGAGTGCTCCATGCAAAATGAGAATAGCTGGTCTTGTGTGCTTGGCAAATGCCGAATCTCTTGCCCATGTGGAGGTAGCCATGAAAATAAAACACAACAAACAGCAATAACCCTTCAAGATTCTCAATAAGCTGAGTGTCAGAGGTAGTCTTTATTTATTTTGTAAAGTGTTTGTAAAACATCACTATATATAATTTGCCAACAGCAAAAAAAATCTGCCAAAAACACAGCAGCATCAAAATATCAGAAAGGAATTAAAATGAGCTAAAGTGCTTGAGCTTATTTTGCAACTGAGTGCAACTGGAGAGACTTGAAAGAGAAAGATTTTTAAAATTGCTCAATCCTCAATTCATAGTCTAGTTATTTTGGTAATTTCCCACCCTGCCACCTGACTCTTTAAGCACAGTTTTGGATGCCTGTGAGCTCTTCCAAATCATTTATGAAACTGTAAAACGACTGGGTGAAATTAGGCAGTGCAAAGTGGAGGTATAACATATTTCCTCCTTGCCCCCCCTTGCTTTGCTACAACAACAACAAAACACAACAACAAACAACAAAATGAACAGAATAATTCAGGCGACCAATGCCTGACAATTAAAGAATGTAAAAAATGATTCCCAGCCCCCAGCAGTTATTTGGGATTGCTGGCAGAACCCACACCTTGAACAAGATCTTGTTGGGACTCCCCAAACAAAACTGGTGACAAGCCATTGGGAAGGTCTCTTCTGCAAACCTCATTGAAACAAATGGAGAAGAATTGGTACACTGCTCTTACTCACGTAGGAAATTTTCCCAGTGGATTTTTTTTTGGGGGGGGTGTTTCCTGCCTGACTTTATGCATTGAAACCAAATGATAAAGCCTTGACTGCCCTCACAAAAACAAAGTTTTGAAAACAGGATTGTCTTATTCGCTGCAAATGTTGGTACAGACTGACAGTATGCAACAACTGATAAGTGCCAACATAAATTTAAACCATTTAAGTTGTTTCTGTTTTAAAAGTGTGCACCTCCAAATATCAAAAGCTAACCAAGGGAAGAAGAATCCCTCTCAGGGTTTATTACCATATATGTAATTGTCTGTAGGCCAGGGACACAATCCACCATTTATCGCCATCTGCTGCAGTGCCACTTAGGGGACTGGAAGCATGGCTTTTCAAAGGAATGATTCTGGATGCTTCCTTACTTCTAAAAAGCCATCATGCATATTATTCACTATGTGAATATGTCACCATATTAAGTTGCACACTTCAGCTCAGAGGTATCTAGAACCACTAGTCATTTTTGCAATTTTTGGGTCTAAGATGGTCAAAACCTGAGCCAAGTGCCCTAGAGAATGTCTGTTTTAATGAGGGTGCCATACTTGAGGCATGGCATTAGCAAGGGTGTCTACAGGCACTGGAGTGATCCCAAAGAGCAACTGCTGGCTTAGTCCCAAGGCAACATTTCCCTTCCCAGTCCACACAATCACCCTCAGAGATCCTCAACTGGTCATCCTTCTTCCCATACAATTGCATGCACCTAAAAGAAACACCTGTTTATAAATAACAGCAAGTTTTGCATGCGTATCAGTGGGAAAAGAAAACACAGGGGCTGTGGCGGGAATTGTTGGCCCACTGGTTCTCCTCTCAGATCAGCAGGATACTGCCTGCTGGGAGTCATGTGCACCGGACATTTAGTGCATAACACTGTAAACGGACAGAAAACATTGGTGAAGCTGTGCTAAAGAGGAGAGGTTGACTCTTCCAGTGGGATGCCAATTGGATTCCATAGTGCTTTCACCTCTGAGCTCAGCTGACAGCCCAACTGTGCAGTTCAAAATTTTCAAGTCCGGCACACATGACATCAAACTCTGAACTCTTCAGCCAGTCCTGTCTTTGAAGACTCTCTTCGGATGCCAGGCAAGCTGCCATCCTGACAGCTGTCCCCCGTGCCGGACTCATGGCCGAGAATCTGTCTTTGCACTAGCTTGTAATAAAGGCCACCTTCTTCCATGAGCTGCTTGTGTGTCCCTTGTTGTACCACACAGCCCTTGTCGAGAACAATGATATTGTGTGCCTTCTCCACAGTGCTCAGTCTGTGGGCTATGACAAGCACTGTGTGGCCCTGGGCATCCCCATAAATGGCTTGCTGGATCTGCCAAGAGAAAGAGGTTGTTAAAGAAATGCCTCACAAACGTCGTGCTGATTTCCTTGTGCACATGTCCAGACAGACCTGCCCCAGAGGTTTATGACAGGTAAATTAAAACATAGAACAAAAATGCCACCAAACTCCTCCCCTCTCAACACACACACAAACCAGGTTTGAAAATAGCCAGCCGGGGCAAGTAACAGCAGCCTGCAGTTGACAAGGCAGGGAAGCCAATGTAAAAAAAACCAACAGTTTAAACTGAAGCCTCTGAAGGTTCCCATATCTCTGTATTTTTTGCTTTGAATTTGCCCTGGCTCAATGTTCGCAGCCTGATTCCTCCCTCCCTCTAAGGAGGGGGCCCTAGCCCAGTGGCAAACTACCAGATGTTGAACAGAAGGACTGAGGGTCAGTCCTTGGCATTAACAGGCAGGGCTGAGAAAGACCTCAGCCTGAATTCCCAGACAGCTGCTGCCAGTCAACAGTGGGCAACATGGGTCCATCATGGTAGCACAGTATGGCAAGCCCTTAAAACTGTATAACTGGCACCCTAATGCTATGCCTGAACAAGAACACTCCCTCCAAACAAGCATGCTCACCGCATGTTCACTCTCTGCATCCAGGGCACTTGTGGCTTCGTCCAGTATCAGGATTGGTGGGTTTCTGATTAAAGCTCTCGCAATAGCCACTCTCTGCTTCTGACCACCAGAAAGCTGGGTTCCCTTTTCACCAGCTTCTGTTGGTTCAAAGGAAAGGGAGGAATCAGCATTAAATCTAAAGTAGCCGGGAGGGCTAAGACAGACAAGGAAGTCCTGGGTTAAAAGAAGTCAGCAGGGAGGTCTTATGCAAGCCACATTTTCTCACTCTCAGCCCACCCTCCATCATCTGCAACATGAAAATGAAACTGACAGACCTCATAGGCTGTAAGGCAGGAGCGGGGAACCTTTTTTGCTTCATGGGCCACATGCTTATCAGGATCAGCCTTGTGGGTCAAATTTGACAGGTGGGTAGAGCTGCCCTCTCAGTGACATCAGGTGCAAGTGGTTTGAAGTCCCAAAGTTGGAACTTCAAAGCACCTTGCAAGGCATTGCTAAAATAAAGTTTTTTTCCTTAATTTAACAGGGGATTCCATTGCAAATCCCATTAAATGAAGTGGGAAACTCTTTATTGCAAGGTGCTTCGAAGTTCCAACTTTGGGATTTCAAAACACCTTGCATCTGACATCATGGTGAGGGCAAGTCATTCAGGAAAGGGTCTGCATGGAATCCTGCCAATCTGAGTGGGGTTGAACCCCCACTAATCAGTTGATGAGTGTGCACTAAATACCACTGTTGTGGCTGTGTGCCTGTTTCCTGCTGAAACCAAGGGTGCACAGCCAGTGCAGGATTTAACCTCGTCCTCCCACCTATCACATGATGTAACAAGTGGTGAGGTTAAGGGAAAATGGCCTCACAGGTCAACGTGAACCCCTGGTGGGTCAAGATTGGGCTGGAGCTTCCCCATCTCTGCCCTTACCAGGACATATTAATGTGCTGTGAGGGGATGGATTAAAAACACACACCAAACCCTTACCCACTACTCTTAGGACTGTGGTAGTGGGAAGGCCTTGTATTAGTACTGATTCCCTCTGTCAATAATCACAAGGATTCTCCAGCATATCCTTGCTTAAATATAATCTGCTTAAATATAACCTGAACCTTTTTCATATGTTTTGTGTGTGTAATTTCAGTTTTCATGTGAATGTCTTGTTTCCTCTGTACTGTCTTGTTTCTTTATATTAATATGCTATTTAATCATGCTTTTGATTAAATAAAAGTGAGTATTTTTAAACAAGTGGTTAAATATAAGACCAAAATATGTATATGTGTGTATGACACAGTTTGAGAGGGGGAAAATACATGAGCACACACTTGTTTTAGGGTGTCTAGGAGCTCTGCACACAAGAAGCAGAGGAGCACCCATCTCCTCCTCCATCCCACAAGATCACCACCACTTGCAAGTAAGTATGAATCTGGGCTCAGCTGCTGATTTCTTGAAGACACAGATAAGCAGAGTTTCAATACCTGTGTGGTAGCCATCCTGTAATTCCGTGATAAACGTGTGGGCGTTGGCCTTTTGGGCAGCATGAATGACTGACTCATAAGGGACAGAGGCCAAGCCATAGGAGATATTTTCTGCAATAGAGCGAGCGAAAAGGACCGGTTCTTGGCTCACCAGAGATATCTGCATAGAGAAAGGGAGGAGGGAGGGAAGGGAGGAAGAAGAGTCAGCTTAAATGACTATCCTTGCTTGTGAAGGCATCCGTTGTTAAGCAGAGTGAATTCCAAGCATTAATTACATGACTTCATTGTCCTGTGTGAGTAATACAGCCTCTTACAACCTCCTTTTGCAAATATCTGTCATTAGCCCCTGCACTGCACTTCCTCACCAAACACTACTGCAGAGTGGGATGCTCAATGGCTTAATAGCTACACAGTACTTTCATGTCTGAAAGGTAAGAGGGAGAGATTCTGAGCAGGTTCATTCAATTTAATCAGTTCTGCAACCTGTATAAATTATATTATTTTCCACAATGTCTTCCGGTTTTGCAAAATGTAGGGAAGAGGTACACAGGGCACTACCTCCAAAAGCTTGTTCAGTTTCTGAGGTTTCAAACCTATTTTCGCAGTCATAAGGACTAGAAACTCTCCTTCTTTCTCTTCTTGAAAGTAAAGTAATATTTTCAGGAAGCTCAAGTCTGTAATTCAACAGAAGTGGCTCAGCCTTGCCCAAGGCCATTTAAGAGCTAGAATACGGTTACCAGCGAGTCGTACCACTGAGTGCAGGTACTTGTGCTCGTACATGTTAATAGGCTGTCCATCCAGCAGGACTTGCCCATCTTCAAGTGGGTAGAAGTTTTCCATGATGCTGACACAGGAACTCTTCCCGCTGCCTGAGGGCCCCACCAGCGCAGTCACTTTCCCAGGATGAAGCGTGAAGGAGACATTCTGTAAAGCAAAAGGATGTTTCTGCATGACCAATAGGGGTTATTTCAGCCTTTCCCCAACCTGCTGCTCGCCATATGTTTTGGACTACAACTCCCATCATCCCTGACCATGGCAGTGCCACTTTGTTCTTTGTTTATAATATATGTATTTTATCTTCCCTTCCCACTGCCAAAGTCTTTAAAGTAACTATTAGAAACTGGCTATCCATGGCCACCAAAGCCAAATGTTCAGCAACAAGGCAGGTGTGAGAAGCTTACCTGCAAGACCTGGGTTGCAGGTCGAGTGCGGTAAGCAAAGGTGACATTCCTGAACTCCACTTTGCCTTCTAGCTGGTTGGGGGCAAGAGTGCCATCGTGCACCATGGTCGGCTTGCGGTCTATGAACTCAAATACTTTCTCGGCAGCTCCAACACCCTGCATCAGCCCACTGTAGACTGAACCAATAGACTAAAAAAATAAAAGAAGTGGAGGACATTACAATTCTAAGAACCTCTTATATTACAACAAGGAAGGAACAAATCAGGAACATTTCCTGCTTTTGAAAAGATGTTTTGCAAATAAGTCGTCATGCTGTGAGAAGGTTCATTCAGAATTAAAAGAAGGCTGTCCCAAGTGGTTAAGCCAGGAAGGCATGGTCAATGCTGACATTTACTCAAGTTGCCTCACTCAGTTTTGGACACACCTTCACTAATGGGCATTGTTAGAGGGTGACGGCAGCCCAGGATGTGTGTGGCTCAGGGCACCTGAGCGTTGGATCTTTCGTGCTGGATCCTTCTTCCCTTCTTTCGCCTTTTATCTAACTTGGAGGTTTTACGAGATGGTCTTTTAGCAGACCAGTGGAGGGGCACTGTGGCTCATCTCACCCTCTCCTCCACCGTGGAAGCCACTGTGAGAAGCTGGACTATTAAGGATCTTCAGCAGGGCTCTTCTTACATACTTAAGCCATCATGTTTAATCAATAGCGCTTTAAAAAAATGATTATTTTGTGTATGTTTGAAGCTAGCTAAGTAGTTGCTGGACTCCAGCTCTTATCAGTCCCAGCCACCATGGCCAATGGCCAGGGATGCTGAGAGTTGTGGGTCAAGAGTATCAATTTTAAATTATAATTTAAATTAAATAAATAAATTTGGTTTCCCCTAGATCCTTCTTCATCAAAAGCATGACTGCACATATGGCCCATCTAATTCAGCATCCTGTTTCTCACAGTAGCCAGCCAGATGCCTAGGGCAAGCCCCAAAGCTGGACCCAAGCTCAACAGCACTGTCCCCACTTTCAGTTGCCAGCAACTGGCATTCAGAGGCATACTGCAGTGGTAGAATAGATAATCTGCTAGTACACTTATGAAGATATAACTATATACCCGAAGCTCAGGCTAGGCTGGAGCCCCACATAAGACTGGAAAACAAACACAGTCCGTGGGAGAATGCTGAAGACCCTGATAAGAAAGAAACTCCACATAGATCAGTTACTTTAGCTCTCTTAAGACTGGGACATAGATGCTTTCAGATGGGTGAAACGTACCTCCATGCAGTCTCCAAGGACAAATTCATAAATAATGAAGGATATCAGGTTCCCACTGGTCATCTGGTCAGTGATCACCAGGTGGCCTCCGTAGTACAAAATGCTGACTTGAACAATGAGGAGTGTTAGCTGAAACCGAGCATAGAATCCAGATTCAAAAACAGGAGACAGAGTATCTCCTGGGTTCAAGAAACCAAGGTTTCACCTTAAATGGCAACCATGTTTGGGTTGGTGTAGGCAAGATGAAGGCAAGGAACAAACTGAAGCAGTGAGGGGATAGAGGGCATTGGTCTGAGCAGAAATGCACTATACCAGGAAGAGGAGAAGTTAGTGACATGTTTGGTATACAACTGATAGTGTGTAAAGCATTAAGATTCATTAACAGCTAAATGCAGGAATAAGGGCTGGATGAGTGGTCTTTTGGCAACAAAACATGCAGGGAGTACAACGGTATCGAAGGAAGACATCCACTGTGCTGTATATAAATATCCAGGCCAGGATCAAACTCAGGGACAGGCTAGTTTGTAGTAGCAGGAACCAGCTGTGCACAGCACCTGTGACCTGGTGTTTGCAATATCACAAAACAGCATTTCCCTCCTCCCTAGAGAAGATTTGGTCTTCATTTAAATATAGCAAGACTGATACCTAACTCCCAGTTGCACTGGACTTGAATTGACTTTATGTATTGTATTGTTCTAATTTTCATACACACACACACACACACATTTTTATATATGCAGCTGTTCTATATATGATTTTACTGTATTGTAAATCACTTTGGGATGCCTCATGAGAAGAGATTCATAAATGAAGTACGGCAGTATAAAAATAATAAATTTCATGGACCGAAATCCACCTTATCAGATGCATGAAATGTTATGCTATGTTAGCAGGGGGGCATTTATGCACACATGCTTATCTGCTAACATAAATATAAATATTTTTAAACACTTAATTGTCATAATCATGCAACAAATATATATTGTTATTTGTTGGGGTGCCAGAGTTTTGTGGGTGTAAGGCACCAATAATTCTTGGGTTTAGTAAAAGTTAGAATTAATCAAGGTTTGATTAAACTGTGCCAAACGTGGCTGGATGCGGTTTATGCTAATGAACCAGCCTGGCAGGTCTACATGAGTGTAAGCCATTAAGAAACAAACGCCCGTGACCAGTGGCAGAGCTACCTGCTCCGGCACCAGGAGTGGCGTACATCTGGGGGAGTGACTGGCGCGCCCACTGCGGGGGAGGGGCATGGCACATATTGGGGGATACGCAGCAGGGGGCGCATGTCCCAGGGGGCGCGGCACATGTTGGGGGTGCACAGCAAGTGGCGTGCGTCCCAGGGCATGCACAGTGAGTGGCGAGCGTCCCAGGGGGCAGGGGTGGCCATGATGTCAACCCCTGGTATGGCACCTGGGGTGGACTGCCCCCCACCTTCGTCCGCCAGTGACCGTGACAGCCCATCAAGGAAAACATAAGGAGAGAGCAAAGACTACCAGACAAGGAGGAGAGGGGCCCCTCTCTCAGTTGTGCGTTGGTGGGCAGAGACCAAAGTGGTTAGGATTTCTGGGGAGGTTTGACAAGCAGAGAAGGGGGTGGGTGCTCCGCAATCCCTTCATCTAGCTTCAGGTTGCGTATGTGTGTAAATAAACCAAATAACATGAAGATACCACACACTCTGCTGTGCCTTATTCCCAAAGGAAACACAGGCCTGGAACCCCTGAAGCCTCTGGCACTGCTGAAGGGGGATTGGGGTGGCGTGTAAATCACACTCTCTCTATATTAGGCCTGGGCGATATATCGATACAGTGGTACCTCAGGTTAAGTACTTAATTCGTTCTGGAGGTCCATACTTAACCTGAAACTGTACTTAACCTGAAGCACCACTTTAGCTAATGGGGCCTCCTGCTGCTGCTGCGCCACTGGAGCACAATTTCTGTTCTCATCCTGAAGCAAAGTTCTTAACCTGAAGCACTATTTCTGGGTTAGCGGAGTCTGTAACCTGAAGCGTATGTAACCTGAAGCGTATGTAACCCGAGGTACCACTGTATTTTGCCCAGGACTGGTATGAGGAGAAGACCACAATGTTGGTTTCACTCAGCGGTACATCGCTGATGAAACCGCCACACGCCTGAGTCCCTCTGCTAGCAGCGCAACTTCATCCAGGGGTTGCTGATAGCAGAGGGACTCGCAAGCATGGCAGTTTCACTTGCAATATACAGTGGTGCCCCGCAAGACGAATGCCTCGCAAGACGGAAAACCCGCTAGACGAAAGGGTTTTCCGTTTTGGAGGTGCTTCACAAAACGAATTTCCTATGGGCTTGCTTCGCAAGACGAAAATGTCTTGCGAGTTCCTGCGGGGGTTTTTTCCTCCCCCCCCTTTTTCCCAAGCCGCTAAGCCGCTTAACAGCTGATCCGTTAAGCCACTAAGCCGCTTATCAGCTGATCCGCTAAGCTGCTAAGCCGCTTATCAGCTGATCCGCTAAGCCCGCTAAGCCGCTAATAGCGCTAAGCCGCTAAACCGCTAATGGGCTTGCTTCGCAAGACGAAGAGACTCGCGGAACGGATTCTTTTCGTCTTGCGAGGCACCACTGTACTGCAGAATGAAACCGACTTCGTGGTCTGCCCTCGTATAGCACAGAGGGAGAAAAAAGCTGTACCATCGAGATGCTGATACGACTTGTTCCTCCCTCCGCATCTTTAAACTGCTCAGCCAAAGGGCGCCTGGTTGCCATTCCCTTCAGCCAAGCATTTAACAGAGCCCCCAATCCAGTGCTAGCTTCCCAAGCTAACAGTGAGGTAGGGGCTCTGTGAAACTGCCCCACCCAACCGAGCACCCCTGACGCCTCAGCAGCATCAGATTGCTCAGCTGGTGCGAGGGAGGCTTCTACACCCCAGCTGCACGAAGCCTGATGCTGCTGAGGAGTTGGGGCTGACTCAACTGGGCTGGGGGGAGCCCTCCCACCGGCAGCTGGGCAGCGGCCTGGGCCAGCTGCATTGGCCCTAGCCTACAAGGGCTCGAGCTCTGGTGGTGAGAGCTGCGGCAGCGTCAACCTGTGTCTAGCCGGCTGGGGCCAATGCAGCTTGTTTCAACATCACGGTATATTGCCAATCTGCAATGTCTGGCTGGTGATACATCACACTGTTGAAAATCTAACATTGCCCAGCCCTACTCTCTCTATATGAAACTATATATATATATATATATATATATATATATATATATATATCCCCCTGACAGGGACTCACGCAAACAATTATCATCACCATGCATCTGCTGAGATGGATGAAAGTTTCTGCCATGATACATTTGTCAGTCTTTAAGATGTCTGCACAGAACCCACCCATGTTAAAGGGACAGGTAAACATGACGACAATGAAGGTGAAGACAGTAACCTGCAAAGCAGCAGGGGGGAAGAGTTTCCACCTACCCCACTGGACCACACATAGTAGGTGTAAGCCATGGCTTCTTTTTTGTTGAGTTTGTAGACTTGCTGCAGTTTGTCCGAATAGACGTTCGCCTCCACTTCCTCGTTGGCAAAGCTGCGGACAGTCTTCATGGCTGATATGGTTTCCTCAGCGGTGTTGTTGGCTTTTGCCAAAGCATTCTGGACCTCTTTGGAGAGTTTCTAAATGGTGGGCACAGAGAGGGAGGGAAGAGAGGAGGGCTGTCCCATAACCAAGAAATGGAATGAGCCTACTTGAGGGTTTCCCACACTTTCAGAATTTGGGAGACCCCAACAAGTCCCAGCAGCTGAACTACTTCTCCTCCTCCTCCTCCTCCTCCTCCTCCTCAGGTTACTAAAAACCTCCAAGGTCACTTACAACCATATTCATATAAACCGTAAACAACTAATACAATTTCAGAATGAAAACCAGTAAATCCATATTGAGGTTTGGCAGCAACCATAGTCATGGCTAGTGAATTCAGGCATAACAAGAAGAACACACCAAACTATACAGGTTAATATCCTGGTTTGGCAAATATGTGAGCATAGATTCAGACATCACAGTTTGGCTTTGTGTTCCCGCTGATTCTGAATGCTACCACTATATCAGGGAACTGTATTATATAAGCCACCACCAAGCAGAACTTCTCCCCTCTGCCCATCCCCGTTGCTGCCTGTGTAAACTGAAAGTGAGGCACCCAGAGCAGGGCCTGCAGAGCATATCTTAAGACAACCTTTCCCAACCTTGTACACTCCAGATTTTGTTGGACTTAAACATCCATCAGCAAGCGTAGCCAACGGTTAGGGATGAGAGGTTGTATAGTCCAGAAACATCTGGAGGGTCACAGGTTTCCCATCCCTCTTGTCATCTGCTCAGCAGGTAAATCCATCAAGGCCAAGAAATAAAATAAAAATCCCCATGGGACCTCTGCAAGGCTTCCTCCTTCAGAATTTTATGAACAGCAGCACTGTACATCTCTGTTGCTTCTCTGCAGCTCCTTTTTGGGTTGGTATTGTACATGCAATACTAGAGAACAAAATCAGGAATCCACGCACCACCAGCCTTTTTGAATTCAGATGATAAAATACATGAGCATGAAGACACTATAAAGTGTTCAGATTTATTTTGTTATGTTTTATTTTCTATGATTAGTTTTGTAGTTCAAAATGGAACAAAAAGTATATCTAGAGAGAGAGAATTAATACATGTCGATATATCTATATTTATACATAGAGAAGGGATGCATGAATTCTATTTTTTATTCTATTTTTTCTAGGCTTAAATTGAGTTCTCCACATTTCTGCAGCAATTGTTTTTGGAGAAGATATTGGGGGGGAAATCTCATTAAAATTGACAGATTAGTGCTAATTTCTCATAACAAGCACATTTTTGTATGCAGTTTTGACTAATATACACATTTATGCAAGCAATTTCCCCAAAGATAATGAAATTTTTCTAGGTTCTTTTTACTTTTATGCACCCTTTCCCCATGCATAGGCATCTCTGCGCACATTGTTTGATTGGACTAAAGCATCTCCAAATTCCAAAGGCTAGCTGCGTCCTGGTACTAGTATTGGTTTGAGAGGTGCAGATTAGGTAGTTTCTCATTAAGATACAAAGACAAGCAAATTTCTCCCCCATCCCTAACACCCCCCCCAACAAAAGGCCAATAAACTATGCATACCCCACAGACCAGGATGTAGCAAAAAACCACACACCCTCCCCTGTTCCCCTCAGTGCTGAGTAGTATTAATCTTGCAGCATGAGAGCCAAGAAACTTCTGTTGGCTGGGAGCCAGGCATTCAGTGACTCAAGCAGAGCCTTACTGAGATTGTGTGGCGCTCCATGGGGCAGCCCCCCTTGCCTTTGCAGTGGGAGCCAAGCTGGGGAAGCATGAAGGACAAGGCAGAACAGGAAATGCACATTTGCAGACTTAAGCACTCCATCCAGATGACCTCAGGCGGCAAAGACTCACAGAGAGGCAAGCAGGCAAGGTCAGCCGCTCACAAAGGACAAAAGATTAGCCAGGTGCACAGATGTCCCAACTGGTATTACAAGTTATGGCAGCGAGAGGAGAGGTAGAATGAACAAATCACACGCAAGAGAACAATCCCCCATACCAGAAACAACTAGGAAAATAAAGCAGCAACAAGAGGAAACCTTGAACGCATCAAAATGGAGTGGCCAGAAACCAATTTTTGGAAAAATTGTATTAAATTTGTTTTAATTTGTGGCTGATTTGGTAAAAATTGGAATATCAATAAAAACAAATTGGCAAAAAAGAGAAAGGGGACAACCCCCCTCAATCCCAGCTCCTGCAGGCAAGGCAGGAGGGGAGGGGTGGAAACTTGTCATGAAACAGATGGTCCCGGATTTAAAAGAAAGCATACAAAAGGTTTTCCACAAATAGGTGATGTGCTTTTGCAGGAAATAACAGTAGTGATGATGGCTGCATCAAAAGTTGGGTGGCTTTCCAGAGAGCTTACAATCTATCTTTAAACAGCAACCTTTAGGATTCACGCGATGTTTGTTTTGTTAAAGTTCAGGGTACTTCACATGGATATGTGCTGGAGGCTGCCCAGATAATAATAATAATAATAATAATAATAATAATAATAATAGTATAGTCTCTTGAATCCTTACTGTTCTGAGCTCCATGTGGAGGTGTATGGAGGACATGGTCAGACCCTGGGAGAAGAGTTGGAGATGGAGGACCCTAGGGAGGGTTGGCCAATATTGTTACCGTCACCTTACAACACACACTTGGCCGTTATGCCCTCCTTTTCAAAGGAGATGGCTGGGGGAGAGAGCCTGCCATGAAAATGCAGCAGCATTACCACAGAGAGAACGTATATATAATCTTTGGAAGTGAGTCCCCCTGCCCTGAAAGACACAGCCCTAGGACCTCCTCTCTAGAGACAGCTCTAATTTCTTTTCAAGTCATCTGAGAAGGCAAGACGACCTGCAGCTGCCGATGCCTCTTCCCCACTTGCTTTGGCAAGAGAGACTGCAATTCCGCTCCACAGGGAGGACAAGGCAGGCAGCTGGACAACAGCGCTGCCAAGGCCAAGAAATAAAATAAAAACCCCCACAGGACCTCTGCAAAGCCTTCCTCCTCCAGAATTTTATGAACAGCAGCCCTGTGCATCTCTGTTGCTTCTCTGCAGCTCCTTTTTAGGATGGTATTAGAGCAGCCAAGAAAACAAGGTGCATGGGCTTGGAATATAGGACCGAAATTGTATGTGCAATATTGGCGAACCAAATCAGAAATCCACACACTGTCAGCCTTTTCGAATTCAGAAGATAAAATGCATGAGCATGAAGATTTATTTTTTAATGTTTTCTTTTGATGATTAGTTTTTGTGGTTAAAAATGGAACAAAAAATATATGAGAGAGAGGCACTCAAGAGATGGTGTGTGAAAATAGGACAGTTCTCAGAAACTGCTCAGAACAGTCTTTGCCAGGAGATTGCTCAGGACACAGCAAATTTGCTGTGGGAAAGGATATTAGCTCAGTGGTTAAAGTATCTGTTTTGCATGCCAGAGCTCTCAGGTTCAATCCCTAGCATCTCTAGGTGGGGCTGGGAATGTTCCCTGTCTGAAATCCTGGAGAGCCACTGCCAGTCAGTGCACTGAGGTAGATGGAGCAGTGGTCGGACTTGGTAGAAGGGCAGCTTCCCATGTGCCTGTGTCCCCAAAGCAGAGCACCCACAGGCAAACAGACAGACAAGCTCTGAGAATGAGCTCTGGGGTCAGGCTTAAAAGCTACAGGTAACACTAACCTTGTAGTACTTCCCATAAAGATCTGACATGAGCATGATTATGGGGAATCCCATGAAGGTTACCAGGGAGAGCTGCCACGAGAGGCTGAACATGAAAACTATCACCCCTGTGGCCTTGACCATATTGCGCAGGAAGATGTTGATGTTCTGCGACACCAGGTCACTCACAATCGTCGTGTCCGACGTCAGCCGGGAAATAATGTCACCTGAGAGAGAAAGAGAGAGAATGAGAACAGAAGCAAAGTGTGAAGAGCAAGATCCATGGGCTGGAGGGTGCTGGGCAAGGGGCAAAATGGGCTTTCTCTGCTCACAGAGAGAACTCTGCCTATTAGTTGAAATATTCACATTCTCTATTAATTATTCTTATTATTAAAAAATAAAGTGCTACAGTTTAAGGTCCTAATGTGCAATCCTGGGAAATACGTATTTGAAAAATGATCTATGGGTATCAAGGATGCAAAGCAATTTTCTTTTAAAAAAGATCAAATCAAAATGCAATAAATAATTATGAAAAACAGGAATAAAATTAGCAAATAGCAATAGTTGTAACAACAACAACAAAACCCCAGCCAATCAATTGCATTTTCTTTAAAGGAAGAAACAGAAAACAGAACTTGACCCCACTTACAGGCTGGACTGAAAGCCAAACCAGGGCCTGTTCCAGCTGGAGTGTGCCATCCTTGTACAACAACCACAAATTGCCACACAGGAAGGGCACAGAGGAAGGGGCCGTAGTTCAGTGCTAAAGGATCTGCTTTGCATGCAGAAGGACCCAAGTTCAGTCCCTGACATCGCCAGGCACAGACTTCCTTGTCTGAAACTCTGGAGAGCTGCTGCCAGTCAGTGTGAGATTACTGAGCTAGTGGGCCAGTGGTCTAGCTAGATAGGACCACATCTTAGGCAATCTACCAAGAGTTACAAGTTAGGGGTTTATCACAAAATAAACCCAATGGCTTCTCCCACTCCAAACCGTTTGCACCAAGGCTGACTGATCTGGCCCCTCAAGGAATTTTTTCTGGCTCTCACACTGATTTTGGCAGCAGCAAAAAGGGAAAATAATACAGTGGTACCTCGGGTTAAGTACTTAATTTGTTCCAGAGGTCCGTTCTTAACCTGAAACTGTTCTTAACCTGATGTACCACTTTAGCTAATGGGGCCTCCTGCTGCCGCTGTGCCGCTGGAGCACAATTTCTGTTCTCATCCTGAAGCAAAGTTCTTAACCTGAAGCACTATTTCTGGGTTAGTGGAGTCTGTAACCTGAAGTGTATGTAACCCGAGGTACCACTGTAATCAGTATGACACTGAGGTACACAGAAAGTTTTAAACCTCTCAGCCCAGCCCAGCTCCCCAACGGGGATGCAAATTGTTCCATTCACACCCTGCATGTGTGTCCTGTACATGTGAGTATACTGTAATTTAGAGTGTGGGTGGGTGGGTGTGCGCTCACACATGTGTGTGAGTGTGGGTCTAGCATGTGGCCCCCAGAAGGTGGGCCAATTATTAATGTGGCTCTTGGACCCCAAAATGGCTGGGTATCCCTACTTTACTTTAAAAAAAGGATCATCCAAATGGGGATGTGACTGACTAACTGCACTCAGGTGCTCCATTCAGGTTCTGGCCACCTCCACTCCCAAGAAGGAAACCTACGCCGTTGAGAGATGAGTGTCTACCAAAGAGGAAGAGACATAGTGCATAATTCTAGGTGTGTGATTGTGCAGTTTCTCAATATAGCCTGATTCACTAGAAAGTACTAATCATTTTTCTGCATCCGCAACACAGGAGTACAACCAAAGACTACAATAAACCCTTCCCTAAATGGTTCTTTGAGTTGCAGAGGGGCTATGAATATGGTAGCACACAGGGCCTCTGTGCCCTTTAACTGAGCCCCAGTTCATCATTTGCTTCCTGCTGCAGATCTGAGAAATTCAGCAAGTGCTCTCTCTCTCTCTTTCTCCGGAAGGCAAGGAGCCAAGGATATTGTGGTGCCTTCTGGTCAGAGAAAAGCTTGCTGCCAGAACCCTCAACACAGAGGGCAGACCACAGAGAGGCTGAAACACATCCTTAACTCAAAAACCCTTTGGGCCAGGATCCAAAAAACTGTGCAGCTAGTTGCATCTACGCAAGTGGTGTGTGTGTTTCTTTAACAGTGACCTCCCCTCTATGTCATGAGGCAAATCCCTTTTAAACCAAGAGGAGATCCAAAAGTAGTTTTTGACACAGACTGGTGTGCAGGAGGGAGCAGCTAGATCCAAGACAAAATTGCAAAGAAGAGTTTGTTCTAAACCCATATTTGCACCTTGAGCATTTACATCCAGAGGCCAATGTTCTGATTGCTTCAAGGAACGTATGAAGCTCTTGTACTAAGCAGGATCATCAGTTCGTTTAGCTCTATATTGTCAACACAGACTGGCAGTGGCTCTCCAGGGTTTCAGAGAGGGAGCCTTTCCAGCCCTAACCTGGAGTCGCTGGGGATTCCACCTGCAGCCTTTTGCATGCAAAGGAAGTGCTCCACCACAACTGGAGTACCTCCACAGACTGCTATAATGCTGTGAGATGCAGTTGGCTGGATCATTGATACGGCCAGTGTTTTTTCCCTTAAAAAATGTTTAGGGGTAGTCTTATTGTGACTCAAGAAAATCACCATTTTGTAGTTCAAATCAGGAAAAATAAATACAGTGAATGGACAAAAGTACAAAGATTCAGAAAATGTTTAGGGGTATGTGTACCCCCAGAGCATGATGCCCGCAGTAGGAAAAGTACATAGTGGGCTCTCCAGGCTTCCTTAAGTGGCTCTGCTCACCCCGCTTGCTACCACCTGCCTTCTCCCCAATCCCTACATGTGGCCTCATGTTTCTTTCATCCATCAAATCCTATTTGAAGCTCAGCTCTGCCGTGAAGCCCTTGGGCCTCACCCGCAGCCAGAATGGAACCTAGCCATGTGGACCTGCATTTCCACATGCCAGGGCCATTAGCAATGCACATCCCACTCCTTCCTGCTCTTCATTGTTCTCTCACACCGTCATCACTTAGTTCAGGGCAGCCCAGCTTCTCATACCAAGTAGGCCGCAAGAGTGCCTCAACTTGGAATCTGTGGGCCTTGCCTGTGCGCTGGGAGGGGGGAGCGAGCCCAAAATCTGACACCCCCACCAGCCCTCACATTGCCTTCCCAAGCTGCCTAAGCAAGGTGCAGGCTTGGGAAATGAGGCACAGGGCTCTGGCAGGGTCTGGGACCTCTCCTTCCCAAAGCTGGGGAAACGCTAACTAGGCTTTGGGAAGGAGGAAAGAGAACCTGTCACAGCCCTCACGCCTCCTTCCCAAAGCCCAGGGCTTCCTTATCTGGTTTTGGAAAGGCAGTGCAAGGGCCGGGGGTGGGGTGGGCATCAAATGTTGCCAAGGACTTCTGAAAAGGCCTCAGGGTCAGGCCTCGTGTTGGACCACCTTGATTTAGATCATGAGCTTCTCAAGGCAGTGAGGGGGCTTATGGTTCTTGGAAAAACATTCAGATTACAGTGGTACCTCGGGATGCGAACGGGACCCGTTCCGGAGGCCCATTCGCATCCTGAATGGAATGTAAGACACGATGGCGCATCTGCGGGTCGCATTTTGCCACTTCCGCACATGCGTGTGACGTCATTTTTAGCGTCTGCGCATGTGTGAGCGGCAAAACTCAGAAGTAACACGCTCCGTTACTTCCGGGTTGCCGCGGAACGCAACCTGAAAGCACTCAACCTGAAGCACATTCAACCCGAGGTATGACTGTAATACGCATTTCAAATTCTTGAGCACTTGGGCCATGGGTCTTTGAGCACATTCCTATCAGCCTCAGTCCCTTGGTCACTTGCACCTTCTTAACTTTTAGAGTGAGGCCAGCTGCTCTATTTAGTGCTGCTGTTAGGCTGTAGGAGTAGAGTAGGAGAGCTAGGAATACATGTGTACATAAAAATAGATACCCTCCCTTTTTCCTTTTTCCTTGTTCCTGGAGCTCTGAAAAAGGAACTTTTTTCCTGAATGTAAACTTTACCTTTATGGCAGGCTAGCTTTTATGCATGCACACATCAATTTCATGCAGGCAAGCAAGAAGCATTTTCAGAGTTCAGTGTTAGATCCCAGCCAGGCAAAAACACTCAGATTACAAAGCAGGGTCTGGGAGGGGAGTAGAGAGGCTTGGAGGGCTGGATTTGGCCCTGGGGCTGAGGTTCCTCCTCTAGGGGGTTGACTGAGAAACAGTGATGCAATGAGTCAGTGTGCCTGGCTGTTAACCAGAAGTTTGGTGGTTTAAGCCCACCTAGGGACTGCTGTGGGCAAGATTCCTGCACTGCAAGTTGCTGGACTAGATGACCCTCAGGGTCTCCTCCAACTCTATAATTCTATTCAACAGCCTGGGAAGCTTCCTTAAGCCACAGTTCACCCCATAAAAGCACCTTTCTGCAAGGATGAGAATGAAACAAAAAGTTTGCACTGCTATTGTGTAGATCTGTGGAACTCACATCGACAGGAAGTAGCTGCTATTCTCAGAGCCACCAAACAGACTCTTGGGCTGGGAGTATTGTTTAGAAGGTCTTGTTGCTGTTACTAATATTAATTTTTGTATCTTTCTTTTAGATCTTATTATGATGATTTCTGTGGAAACTGTTCAGTTTGGTTGCATGCTTTTTGATGTTTAATTTATTTATTATGACTACTGGTTCTTTTGATGTTTGTAAATATGTCATTTTCTTCATGTTGTAAGTCTAACCATGGTTTGAACTATGGAAAGGGGGCGTACAAATAAAATGGGAATAATGAGCCGCTGCAAGTACTAAATGTCTGTCCTGCACACAATTAAGTGGCACTGAAAAGCAATCAATATTGCCGTTTCCTTGTGGATTATATAAAACACTTATAATTTGTTTTTCTGGTGTTTAAAGTGTGTGTGTGTGGGGGGGGATACTTAAAAACAATTGTAGTACAAAAGAGAAAAGAATGATTTTTAAAAGATGCCAAAGCCTATTTAATTCAACCAGTGCCTGCTAAGGTAAAAGGAGAAAGGTGTGGAGCCTGTGGCCCTCCAGGTGTTGCTGAACTACATTTCCCATAATCCCTAACCACTGGCCATGCTGGATTGGGCTGCTGCCTTAAAAGAGGTTCAGAGTGAGAAGGCGTTTGTTTCTGGTCCCTCCAAAACAAAGGCCTCGCTTCCCCTTAATTCACAGCTATCACAGTTAAAATCTCTTCTGTGAGGCCATATGGAGTGGAGGCGTGATCATCTGAGCATAATGCCCATAAACTTGTGGGATTACCAGTAAAAATACACAAATGCATGATTACCAGATAGGCACATGAGGGGTCATAGAGTTCTTGAATCAATATAGAAAAGACTGCATGAGATCACTTCCTTAATGTTTTTGTGGGAATTTCTAACAAAGGAGATATTTTGTACGTCTTTTTGCCTGAGTGTGCTCTCTCTCTCTTTCTTTCAAGCCAGCAATATGAGCAGATGTACCTGCCTTGGCTCTGCTCAGAACCCAGACTCCATTTAGAAAAGTAATTTTGTATTTTGTAACTAAGAAGTGTTTTTACCTGCATACTACTGTGATGTATTTCCTCCCTGCATTGAAATGTAAGTAAACCTTTTCGTTTTTACTAAAATATGTGTTTTCATTCTCAGCAATGAGGACAAGGAGAGGAGAGGTCAGCGGACCACAAATAAACAGGGATAAAATGTGTAATTGCCTAATTCCTAGCTTCCAATAGGCTGCAAAAGTGCATAAGTGGTTTTCATAGCCTGTTTACTCTCATATTTCTCCCACATACATGGGACAGGAGGTTTAAATTTAAATTTACAGATTTAATCCTCAATCCATCCCATCACAGCTGATACAGGGGGAGGTCGTCCTTCAGACCCCCAGTTTAAAGCCTCCCCCACCCCAATAGTTATACTGGAGAAATTCCCTGTTGTGTAATTCTAAGTGTCTCCATTTCCTGACATGAAAAGATCTCACAGCACAGATAAAAGAAACCCACCAGTAAGGTTTTCATCAAAGAAACTCATTTCCTGTGAGACCAGCGACCGGAAGAGGCTGTTGCGTAGCCGAATGTTCAGCCTAGCGAACACGAGGGTGAAGACTCCGCCCCGGATACCTGCGGCAAATGAACTGATTGCAGATAAGAGACGTTATAGGACAGACAGACACCGATACACCGACACACCGACACCTCAGCCCAGTCCTACCATGCAAGAGGAAGAAGCCAAGGCAAAACCTGGGGACAGGCCCAGCCAATGTGGTGCCCTCCAGATGTTGTTGGCTCCAACTCCCATCAGCCCTGACCTGGGATTGATGGCAGCTGTGGTCCAGCGACATCTGGAGAGCAGCACATTGGCCACCCTTGTCATGGGACACAGGAGCACCAAGTGCTTCAGAGGCTCTGACGACCACCCCAAGAGTTTCACATTTCACTGCTCTTGCTCAGTATCTGGAGTGAGCCAGCAGTCTAGATCTGGCCTAGAAGCCGCTTCCTCAGCCTTCTGGAATCCGTATGAAATTTTGGTCAAGAGATGGCGGATGTTTCTTTATGAAAGCTTTCACTGCTTGGGAGTGTGAAAGGTGTTTTCAAGTTGTGAAGCAGAAGGTCAGCTGTGTCCTTACAGATGTTGTTGGACTTCAGCCCCAGCCAGTCTGGTCAGTGCAGTAGAGTTATTTTAGTTTTTAAAAAATGAAGTGCCGGTACTCGTATATTGATAAAGGTTTTGTGGGTGCAATCACAAAATGGCTGCCCTGGGCAGCAAAAAAAGTCATTGAGAGACATGCATGCAACATGTGATTCCTATCCAGAGTGTGTGAGAGGATTTAAAATGAAAAGGGAAGTAGAATATGGACCCTTATTTTTTAAAGTACGCAAATCAGTGTCTCCTGAGCTGTTGGCTTATGTGAACATCTTCCCAGGGTGCCTCAGTCTCTACACCAAAGGTAGTCAATGTGATGCACTCAACATGCCATTGGGTCACTTCCTCCATCATCCCTGGCCACTGGCCATTGCCACTGGGGTTGGTGGACGCTGCAGCCCAACAACATCTGCAGGGCACCACAATAGCTACCCTTGCTCCACAGCTAAGAAAGGAATTTCCTTTCTAAGAAAAATAATTCTGGGACTAAATTGAATAGGATTCTCACTGCAAGTTAAAAGAAGAAGCAGGGAATGGATTCCTATACTCAGGCCCCAACTATATGGAAGATAACTCCACCACGTCACATTATGCAACATGACAAGATTTTCCAGCCCGCCTGTGGGTCAATTATTCCAGTTTGGTCCAACTACTCAAGTAAGGCTACCTTCCTATGGCCAGGAGGGCCATGATGACCACCGCTGTGGAGAACTGCTCCATGCTCTTCTGGATTACTATTCCATCAATGGCCCGACCTGTGTAGTACGGAAGGAATGTCTCTCCTGTTGGGGGGGATGACAAGGCAGATTAAAGGCAAAAACCCAAGAAGGATGTAAAGACAAGAATCCCTGTTGTTATCTTCAAACACATTCAGCCCCTTGTGTCTTCCCAAGCCCTGAAAAGGAAGGGCGGCGGGGGCCCAAGGCGCAACGGTTGAGGGGCTGCGTCCGACCAAAGGTAAAAGTGGGAAGGGTGGCACATGTGACTCTTATCTCTGTATAGCAGGCTAATATTTTTTTTAATGTTTTAACTTGGGGAAGAATTCAGTGTTATGCTAAGGTGATTCCATCAGGGCAAGAATTTCACTTTGCAAGACGGAGCAACCCCCCTCTCCTCCTCCTGCATGCTGTTTTTGGGGTTCTCCCAACCCCCAAAAGTCAAATTTGGGGGCACAGAGAGTGTGCTGGGGGAGAAGAGGTGGAAGCAGTGCTTCCGCTAACAGGCTTCAGTTGAATCCCACCCTTTGATTTTTATTGATTATTTTAAGGTATATTTTATGCTCTTTGTAAACAGCTTAGGGCTGTTGCTTACAATTAAACAGTATACACATAACGATTAAACTTTGAATATAAATATAAAATTCCAACTGTACAAAAAGCAGAGATTTACGAGCACACAAACCATTGTCCAGGCAAGCAAATTGCATTATTGTGGTTTAAGGGTGCCTACTAGCCACAAAGTAACACTTGAGGAGGATGCGATAATGAGGCCAGCGGGGGATGTGGCCTGCAAGAGGGACATAGGATGGGCAAAGCCCTAAGGTCTGAGCTGCCACACCCCTGAAATTTACTTGCATCTGTCAGGGTAATGTTGTGGCCAAGAGCATTGGACAGAGGACCTGGGAGAGAAGCGTCCATACCTCAACTCAGACATGAAACGCACTGGGTGACCATGGGCCTGTCACAGTCTCTCAGCCCAACCTTATCATCACAGTGTGGCTTGGGAGGATAAAACAGGAACAGCTATGCACGGTATCTTGAGCTCGTTGGAGGAGAGGGATATAAACACAGTAACAAACCACCTGCCTGCAGTGTATATACAATTGGAAAGCATTATTAAGGAAAGGGCCATAACTCAGTGATAGAGGAACCACTTGCCATGCAGGTGGTCTCTGGTTCCATCTCCGTCACCTCTAGGCAGGGATGGCCGTGTCCCCTGTCAGTAACACTGGAGAACTTCTGCCAGTCCAGACCTCTCTATTTGGCCCTTGGACTCCTCCCAGGCCACACTCCCTCCTCTGGTTGTTTCCCCTCGCTGGGATTTATCCTTGAACTGCAAAAGTGCCTCTCGCTTGCTGGACTCGAGAAATGTATGCACCAAAATCTCTCACTTTTGTGTGGCTGAACTATACAAAGTTAGCAGTCTGTCTGCTGCCTCTGCAAGTCTGACCCTGAGGGAATGCTGCCCTCAGGCTCCCCACGCCTGGGGCTCATCCACGCTTCTGCTCGTCCCATGCCTACAAAGCAAAGGGCTGAGAGGTTTTCTGCTTGTCCTGAGCTTGCTAGGGAAGGGCCCAAGTGGTCTTCCGTTTGCCCCGCCACTTTCTCTGGGAAAACCCACTCTTTAGCAAACAGGTTGAATTGGAGTAAACATCAATCCATGGAAAACCTGATTGGCATTTGCTACAATTCAGCGGTGAGAAAATGGCAGGACAAGTGGAAGTCTGAATGAGCCCCTGGTGTAGACAACAATGAAGTAGATGGTCCAATGGTCCAATTCAGTATAAGACAGCTTCCTATAGTCTCACCAACAGATGTACTCACCTAAAGCAGCCACTAAGAGGAAGAAAAAGGCCACTACAAGGAAGTGAACATCTGGTTTGGTGTAAGACAACAGCTTACAAATGGTGGCTGCTGACGCCTCCTCTTTCTTTTCCTGGGCATCAGGCAAACTTGGATCCCCAATTTCTTCTGCTTCAGTCCTAGATTCGGAATTTACTCCCAGAGTCTCCCTGGCAGGTCTCACCGAAGAAAGCAGCTGCCACAAGGAGAAAGTGGCCGCCAGGGACACGTATGTCCAGGCAAACAAACCCCAAAACCAGGGGTCTTTGATGGTCTTCCTCACCTCCGAGTAGAGCAGCAGCTTGACCAGGGCATAAATCCCCACCGCAAGGCAGACAAGTGTGATAAAGATCCGGGATCCTTTCAAGCGCTTGGGACCATAGATAGTGTTTCTCGCAACCCCAATGGCAGCACCCAAAAGCACACAACTCCGGTACAGGCAGGCCCCCCAGATGTCCAGCATGGAGTCGAATATGTTGAAGTGCTTCAGATCCTGAAGGAAGCTGCCACCACTGCGGCTGTGTTTGTACAGCAAGGTGGTCACTGTCACATCCAGGCCTGTAAAGGCCAGAGTGCCGACCACGGCTTTCCAGGCATGCATAATTTGGATGGTCCTGGCGTGAGGTAGAGGCAGAGAAACAGCTGGAGACCCGGAAGGGGAAGGAGGAACAGAAAGCCTCCTAGTTGAGGGTCAAAGCAAACATGTTTGACCAGCCCTTTCTGGAAGAGAGAAAACAACATGCAGGTATAATGGAAGGTGGCACAGGGGAACTTCAGGCTGTATCACCCTCTCCAGCCACTGTGGGAAAATACTGCTTTATGGCAATGTGGTGGATTAGGAAATGTTTACAACCTATTTGAATTCAGTAGGCCTTATTTCTGAGGAGACATGGTTAGGACTGCACTGTGAGTTTATCGACTCAACAGGAGTTGTATCTGAGTAAACATGCTTTGGATTCCACTTCATGGCTGAAAAAGAGCTTTGTGTTTCTTCCCACAACACACACAGCAGATGGAACAGAGGTCCACATTTTACACAAGTTGCTGGTAGAGTGAAGTGGCTTCCCAGAAAAGGGAGGCTCAGAAAACCAATATCTGCAATCCTCTGAAGTGGAGGTTGTGCTTTGGGTTCAGGCTGTGTGCAGAGGTTCTGTCACAGTAAGATATATTGAATTTTTCAACTTTCAAATTCCAAAAATGAGGGCTTCTAAAAAGTTGTTACATGACTTGGGAATTAGAAATATATTTTGGTTAAATTAATATAATTTAGTTTTGATTGGTAAGTGAATGTGTAAAATTACATAAAAATCATTTTAAATGGTTGCCAAGTACTTCCAGTTATATTATATTTTAATATTATTAGCTGACATTTTCAAAGGTAAAATAAAAATTTGTTGGTTTTCCTAAAGTAGTTTATGTGCTTCTTCATCAAACAGAGACTTACCAAGCTAAATGTTGTTGTTTTTTAAACACCAAGCTAAAGGTTGTCAAATCACAAAAATAACACCCTCTGTGTCCCATTCCCCATGATTCACTATCCTGTCCAAGCACAGCTGCCTCACAATCCTTCAGGGATGCATAAATTCATGGTTAGCAGGCTGTGTTAATAAGTGAAGGGGTACAGATTTTTTAAAAAGGATTAAAGATAATAAATAGCACTATTCCCCCCTTTTTTGCCAATAACAATTATTTCTGTAGCAGATAAAGCATTCCAGTCCACAATAACTTGTGTATTAGCACATGTGGAATTGTACAGTTCCTCTCTGGGGTAGTTAGGGTTTTTAAAATCATATAAGCATTTTTTCAAAAGGACTGCAGACTCCCCATAACTCAATATCCCAACCATCACCACCCCACTAAAATATCCTGCTCTGTTAAGTTTGGCTGGCACAGGTGCCGTTTCCCCAGCGGTGGAAGAGAAGCAAGCAGCAACTCTGGCCAGGTGAGATTTGGACAAGGGGCTCCTACCTTTAGCAAAAATCAAAAGGGAACCATCCCTCGCTGGCCCTGCCATTGCCCCCCACCTGCCAGTAAAAGACCAGGTGTGAATAACTTCTCTTATCAATGTCAACATTTTCAATTTTTTAAACGGAAACAAACAAACAACACTTCACCCAGGTTACCTGATGCTCCCCTCATCTTTCAGGGGGTGCTAGTTGGGTAGACTATTGATGCCAAAATGTGCTTAAATGCCCATCTGGCAACCAAGTCCTGCCATTACCATCTACTCACAAGAAACCCTAGAACTTTTAAACACTGAAGAGAAGAGAACTCAGGATAACAGACCTTTTCCCCTTACAGGCCTCCTGACTGTTGCCATGGAGATAGAACAGGGGAAGAGGGTTGGTTCCTTCCTGAGCAGTTTTTAAAACTAAACAAAATGGGGAGCCATTCTGCTGGGAAATGTGGCAACACCTGTCCTGAAACTGGGGTCCCCCTCGATACAACAGCGACGGGGAACCTGTGGTCCTCCAGATCTTGTTGGGACTCACAACTCCCATTGGCCCTGCTGGAAGGCCACAGGCTCCTCATCACTAATATAAGAGAGACCAGAAACCAAACTCCAGCATGGAAGGAAGGAGCACAGAAGAGAGAGAGGCGGTGGGCAGCTGAAATAACTCCTGGGGGAGCAGCTGCGCTAATCTGCTGCAGCAAAGGCAAAGGCAATTTTTGAAACGGCAGCAGGGGCTTTTGCAGACAAACAGCGGGATGCTTCTGTCAGATTAATGAAAGGTTCTCCTCAGCTGGTAGAGGCATTTAAGTCATATATTTTTTTTACATGCTGCTGAATGCCCAAATAGGCTTCTAAGTGGTTTTAACAAAGTATTTAGAAGTATACAAAGTATATGGTGGGGGAGGGCAGGAAAGGTCCTTTTCTGTGGCATGCCCCGGGCCCCATCTCTTTATAGTTTTAGGCAGCTGGTTAAGATGTATATTCTTCAGCAGCTATTAGCGGCTGTTCTTTAGTCATTGGTTATGTATTTTTAAGGATTATGTGATTTTATGTATGGAGGGGGCCAAAAGACTACAAAGAAGTATAGTCTGCAACGTAAGAGCAGAAATGTCAGACTGCACCTCTCTCTTTCATTCATGTTATTGGGCCTCCCTGTTTTACACTCCCTCCTCTTCTAAACCCACATACATGCATTTGTAAGGTAAAGGCAAAGGACCCCTGGATGGTTACCGTATTTTTTGCTCTATAAGACTCACTTTTCCCTCCTAAAAAGTAAGGGGAAATGTGTGTGCATCTTATGGAGCGAATGCAGGCTGCACAGCTATCCCAGAAGCCAGAACAGCAAGAGGGATTGCTGCTTTCACTGCGCAGCGATCCCTCTTGCTGTTCTGGCTTCTGAGATTCAGAATATTTTTTTTCTTGTTTTCCTCCTCCAAAAACTAGGTGTGTCTTATGGTCTGGTGCGTCTTATAGAGCGAAAAATACAGTAAGTCCAGTCAAACCTGACTATGGGGTGTGGCACTCATCTCGCTTTCAGGCCGAGGGAGCCAGTGTTTGTACACAGACAGCTTTCTGGGTCATGTGGCTAGCAGGACTAAACCACTTCTGGAGCAACGAGACACCATGACAGAAGCCAGAGCGCACAGAAACACCATTTACCTTCCTGCCACCTATTTATCTACTTGCACTAGTGTGCTTTCAAACTGCCAGGCTGTCAGAAGCTGAGACAGAGTAACAGGAGCTCACCCCGTTGCATGAATTCGAACTGCTGACCTTCTGATCAGCAAGCCCAAGAGGCTAACAATAATACACCTGGTGTTTGCTGCATTTGATGAAGTGGGCTAAATATCCTTTTTAAAGGCTAGCCTGCAAAAAATATGCTACTCACCCCCCCAAAAAAAAACTCCTTAAGCTCATTTGAATTAGACATTTTTGTCTCCAAAGGCAGTGACAACAGCCACTACACACCCTCCTCCCACCTACATCACAACACAGATGTACTAAAGGGGAGCGAGCAGAGGATTTTTTGCATGTAACAGTGTCCCCTGCTGGTAAAATGCACACATTAATGCAATATTCTTTTCCTCTCAAGCATCCTACCTTCAAGGACTCTTTCCCACTTAAGACCAGTATGCTGAAGAATCTCTCCATATGTGTCATTACACCGGATTCTGGGATATGCTGGTGTAGTGGTCATAACAACGATGGCCCTCTGAATGTTGTTAGACTCCAACTCCCATCAGTCCCAGCCAGTGTGGCCAATGATCAGGTGTGATGGAAGTTGTTGCTCAACAACATCTGGAAGGCTATAGGCTCCCCATTTCTGGGTTAGGGGGCTGGACTAGGACTGGGGAGATCCAGGATCTCTGGGTGACTTAGCCCAGGCACCATTTCACCGCCCAACCTATTAGCTCACGCCACACCGATTTTTTAATTGATAAGAAATACTTTGCAAAACAAAAAGCACTCGATTTATAACACATCAACTTTATAATACGGGACATCTAGAAAGTATAGAACAATGTAGCTATATTAGAACATGAATCATTCCCAAAATACAATTATAAACAAGCCTCTTACCTATGTACCTTATGTATACAAACATAATGGAAGGTGTGAACTTGTTTTTGCCGGGTAATCTCTCTCATACTGTATATATATATATATATATATATATATATATATATATATATGGTCTAATTTGAGACAAAGAAACTCTCATCACCTCATCAACACCAAGAAGTCTCTCTCTTTTCTGTTCTTTCATGTTTGTCAGAGTTGGAAATCCTAGTTCACAACAATATGTCACTGAGAACTCTAGAAGAATAGCCAATGTTATTCTCCTGCACTCTGTTTCTGGGCACACATGCAGAGAGCGATTATGGATCACAACTAGGATTGTCCTCAGCACCACTTGATGCTTTTGCTCTCATTTTGAAATGATATCTATCCATGTTCTGCTTAAATTTTTTTTAAATACTATGCTATGCTATATTGTAATGTTTAAATGTTTATTTGATTGTGCTTTAATATTCCCACCACACTTGCCACCCTCTCCTGCCACACCAGGGTGGCACACCACACTCTTTGAGAACCACTGCTCTAGCCACACACAACCCAGGCTTCTTGGAGAAAAGAAATGAATTCAATAAATTTAAAAATGTTCTAGGGTGCAGTCAGGCCACAGAGATTGCTGCCTGTTGCTGTCCCACATGAAAAGAGAATGACCCAGATGCACAAATCACTCTCCTTCCAGCTTCACATTAGAGATGAAACTGTAGAGTTTTCTAGTTGACCAACTCCTTATCTATAGGGCTGCAATGTTTAACTAGTTAAAAAACTCTTATTAATACACTGTAAGCAGTTTAAAAGCTGCACATAGAAGATCTTTCCTCTTTTCTCCCACACTTTGGAACGGATGCCTCTTCTAAGATGCCACCTGCACAGATCATCCAAAAATGGAGTGGGGAGGAGCAAGATTCTCACTTCAGACCGGTTGTTTTCACCCATATGCAAATTTAAGCAATTGATTGACTAGCACACACTATGGCTGTGGACCAGATCTGACCAAGGCCTGAGTCGAATAGGGCCTGTTTGGAAGGTCTCAGGTGATTCGAGCAGGCACAGACACAGATCACTGGTTGGATGAGCCAGAGCAACTTGTGGCAGTCAGCGCATCAGGCAGGACAGAGAGGCAGTGTGGGAAAATCACGCAGAAAAGCAGAGACCTACCTGACCGGTCACTGCATCTTCCAAGGAGAAGGTAGGCCCAGCACTGTGGTTCACCTTCCTGCCTGACCCCCCCAGGACTAATGTCTTCATGCAACAGCTTTTGAGCAGAGAGACCAGTCCTGTGGGGTGCAGGGGCCACTTTGCAAGCAGCTTTTCTGCATTGGACTCTTCTTGCTTACCAGCTAGTAGGCAGAAGGATCCCATCCCATGTGATGTTGGCCGCATCACCTGCCCCCACCCTGGGAACAGATACGGGGTGGGTGGCCCCCGGGACAGCACAGGGCAATTTGGCCTGATCCAGGGACCACATCCACCAGAGGGCAGATTGGAGTGGGTGTCTGTACACAGTCCTAGCACACACATAACTGACTGAGAAAGCTTGGGTCATTACTTGGGTAACAGCCCAACTTTTTAAATGGACTTTAGGTATAATTGTGTGCAGGGGTTATATTTTTATTACATATGCATCTGACCCTACCTTCACAGAATTCAAAGGTACACATGATCCCCTCCTTCCAATTTTATCCTCACAACCCCCCTGTGAAATTAGACTGAAAGAAGTGATCAGCTCAGAGTTACCTAGTGAGCTCTGTGATTGAATTAAAGGTAAAGGTACCCCTGCCCGTACGGGCCAGTCTTGACAGACTCTAGGGTTGTGCGCTCATCTCACTCTAGAGGCCGGGAGTCAGCGCTGTCCGCAGACACTTCCGGGTCACGTGGCCAGCGTGACAAAGCTGCTCCGGCGAACCGGCACCAGAGCAGCACACGGAACGCCATTTACCTTCCCACTAGAAAGCGGTACCTAGTTATCTACTTGCACTTAATTGTGCTTTCGAACTGCTAGGTGGGCAGGAGCTGGGACCGAATGACGGGAGCTCACCCCGCCGCGGGGATTCGAACCGCCGACCATGCGATCGGCAAGTCCTAGGCGCTGAGGTTTTACCCACAGTGCCACCTGCGTCCCTGTGATTGAATTAGCCTGGCACTATTATAACTCAGCCTTCCCCTGCCTGGCTGGTGCCCTCCAGATGTTTTGGCCCACGTCTCCCACCATCCCTGATTAGCTGCGCTGGCTCAGGCTGATAAGGGTTGTAGTGCAAAACACCTGGAGAGAGTTATGGGGCTGGGGAAGGCTGCTCTGACCATTAGTCATCTCTTGACTCTCAATTAAGTTTCCTGAATGTCTGGGCCCCTTTCTCTCTTCCACCCCTGCAAAAAGCATTCGTTTTTATTTTAGCTGCAATGAAGAAAACCTACCAACATCACCTCCTTGAGCTTTGTCTCTCTCAGCGTAACAGATCAGGTGCCCTTTAGGCAGCATATTTGAGGTGTCATGTTGCCATTTTTTTGCTCAGGTTGTAGAATCAAGAATCCTCATCAATATAGTTTAACTTCTTTAGTCAAATACAAGGACTGGAGAATTGAGGAAGGGTGGGGATAGCTTCAAAGGGGAAAAATGAATTCTAAAACACACTCACATATGCACACAGCAGTGTCAACTCTGAGCACTGCTATTTATGACATGGCACATATTTTGGGCATCTATTATTTTATTATTATTATTATTGCTGGCC